TAACCCTAACCCTAACCCTAACCCTAACCCTAACCCTAACCCTAACCCTAACCCTAACCCTAACCCTAACCCTAACCCTAACCCTAACCCTAAACCCTAAGTAACCCTAATGAACCCACCGAGGGTCTGAAACAAGCAGTCTTGCACCAGGCCCCTGACAGAGGCATTTCCGCCGTGTTCAGCACTGTCGAATCGCACGCAGCCTCCTCTGACACCATCCTATTCCACGAAATTAGCACCGGACGTGCGCTCAAGTCACAGCTTCCTCAGAATCTCTCGATGATTGTCCAGGCAAGCCCAGGTCCGAATTCGATCTTCGAGCGCCTTAGGTCGTTGGTGTCGCAAGATGTCGGTAAAGAATATGTGGGCTCCTTTTATCGTCCGATAGCCGTTGCAGACGAACACGCAACGCCCGGGAGGGGCACACTACACAGTCTGCTACGAGTAGCTGGAGAGCTGGCTCTGGATCTCGTGCACCCCCAACAGATTCCCACATTAGATATCCAGAGTCTGTCCGGCGCTACATTCGAACTTCATGGAGAAGAGATTTTAGACTGGACCAAGACAGATGCGGTCCACGTAAGAGTCCACCCAGCGAGCTGTGATATCCAGTTGCGCCCTGACCAGACTTATCTGGTCCTCAACCTGTTGGGTAATGTCATTCAGGCTGTGTGCGAGTGGATGGTGAGCAGAGGGGCAGGCACCATCGTGGTAGCGGGCTCCGACCGTGATATCGACGAAGTCTGGCTGGGCCAAATGTTGACCGCTGGGGCTACAGTGACAGCCATGGGCATGTGAGTGATACAATCCCCAATTTTCCGTTGAGGCAAACCTGTTGTCGACAGGCTAACAAGGTCACGTCAGCGACTGGAGCCAACCAGCATCAATACAGAACCTACGTCGCACGATTTGCGACACGCTGCCTCCTATAGCAGGCATAATCAGCGGGACTACTATCCCTGTACATAACTCCTCTGCCGCAGGGTCCATCGACGACATGCAGGGTACGGTGGCCGAAAATGTACGGGGCATTCTTCAACTGGACGAAGCGTTCTCAAACAATACCTTGGACTTTTTCCTCTTGTTGAGTTCGGCGACGGGATCAATTGGACGCCCAGAACATACTGCTCATTCGACCGTGACGGCGTTCATGTCTAGTATTATACAACGGCGCAAAGAGCGTGGACTGGCCGGTAGTATAATCCATGCGGGAGAGGTACGTGGCATTGGGTGTGACAATCGCTCGCCCTACTGCCATGACTCCATATCCTGGTTCCCCATGTCCGAACGCGATCTGGGTGAAACCCTCAGCGAGGCTATCCTGGCTGGCTCCGGCGCTTCCAGCTGTAACCGTGAAATTCTTGCGGGATTGGGGCATATCTCCCCGCAACAACAGAAGCAGACCTGGGTTCAAGATCCCAGACTTTGGCATCTTGTCCTTCACCAGAACAACGGCATGGCTCGCCAGCCGATTGGTGATGGCGCAGCCGACGATCTACGACTTGAACTAGCACCGAGCTTAGAAGCAGCAGGTGAGATAGTCGAGAGGATGTTGATAAATGAGATTCGCAAGAGGCTTCAAGTCTCTGGCGATGAGGTCATCACACGAAATACGTTGATGGTTGAGCTTGGGGTTGATTCCCTCGTGGCGATTGACCTGAGAACCTGGTTCTCGAATGAGCTGTCTGTCGATATCCCAACTTTGAAGCTCCTTGGCGGCGCATCCATTGGCGACCTTGCAGACCATGCCACCTCGAATTCAGCCTTACTGATAGGCCTCAAAGACGAGCAGCCTCAAAGAACCGAGGACAGTGACGGCGATGTTGTCCAGGATACACCACCGACTGCCATCAGCCCAGTATCTACCGTGCAAAGTACCCCAGACACAGGGCTGTCGGATCCCTCGGGGGATGGCTCCCCGACATCTTCTCAATCCGACAGCAACTCGCTCTCGGACAGCAACCATAGCCACGAGAGGGATAAGATGGTGTATACAAAACTCGAGAGACTGTCCTTTGCACAGACGCGCTACTGGTTTCTCAATCAATTCCACGAGGATAAGACTTCACACAATGTGACCTTGCTGTTCAAAATGGGCACGCTGCCGCGGATAGCTGATCTTGAAGCTGCCATCCACCTCGTCGGTATGAGACACGAAACGCTGAGAACTTGCTATTTGACGGAGACGGATGAGGGCAAGAATCCGTATCAAGCCATTCTTGAATATTGCCCTCTTCGGCTGGAGAAGTGTCGGGTAGGAGACGATGAAGACGTGATGAGCGAGGTTACCAATATTCGTAACCATGTGTACAGCCTGGAGAGCGGAGAGCTTGCACGGATTCGCCTCATCACTACAGCTGCGAATAAATCCCTCCTGCTTATTGGGTGGCACCATATGGCGTTGGATGCGGCAAGTTTCCACATCTTCCTTCATGAGCTAGGGCTAGCATACTCGAAACAGCCGCTTCCCCCCCGTCCGAGGCAGTATACGGACTTTGCTGCCGCACAACGGGCGGCGTATGAGAAGGGAGAGATGGATCGCGAGCTGGCGTATTGGAAAACGGAGCTTGAGCAGATGCCGGCTCCTCTGCCCTTACTTCCGATGGCGTCGACCGGAGTACGGCAGGCGCTGAAGAAGTACGATCTATATGATATCAGGTCGGATGTCGGGCCCGCGACAATGCGTACGATCAAGGCAGCTTGCAGAAAGCACCGGGCATCTCCCTTCCATTTCTTTCTCGCTGTCCTCCGCATCTTCCTCGCTCGTCTCACCGGCGTTGACGACTTCTGCATTGGCGTTGCGGAGTCCAACAGATTCGATGCCGCCAACGCAGGGATCGTTGGGTTTTTGCTCAACCTGCTGCCACTCCGATTTCAGTCCGGCATTGAGGGTCAGTCATTTGGCGAGGTGCTCACGGCCACGCGGGACAAAGCCTACAAGGCCCTCCAGAACTCAAGCGTACCCTTTGATAAGCTGCTTGATGAGCTGGGCGCCGCTCGATCAACAGCGTACAGTCCCCTTTTCCAGGTTCTAATCGACTGGCAACCGCAGACCGGCGACAATTACAAGCTTGGAGACATTGACATGGTGGCCGAGAGAATCCTACCGGCCCAAACGGCGTATGACCTGACGCTTCTGATCGGGGAGTCTGCAGACGGTGGAGCTATCGTCAACGTCCGCGCTCAAAGCTCCCTGTATGATCGTAAAGCAGCTGAGCTTATCGCGCGTGGGTTCATGGAGCTCGTTGAAGCCCTGGCGACAGACTTCAGCCAACCGGTCGATGATACCCCCATGTACCAATCGGAGGCGGAGCACGCCATCAAGCTCGGGGAAGGCCCATTGTTAGCCACGGCATGGCCAGAGACGATCTCCCGGAGAGTTGATGAGGTTTCGGACAAATACCCGGATCGTATTGCAGTAAAGGACACAGAAGGCCGGGAGCTCACATACAAGGGGCTGGCTGACCGGACCACTCTGCTGGCAGCCAGACTTCTTGAGCTTCGCGTCGCCCCTGGCTCACCAGTCTGTCTGTTCATGCAGCCCACCGCAGACTGGGTGTGTTCCATGTTGGCTATATGGAAGGTGAACCTGGTTTATGTCCCGCTCGACCTGAGGAACCCCGTTGCGCGACTGGCGAGCATGGTTCAGGATTGCCAGCCGCGCGTCATCATCTGCCAGGACAATACGGCGGCAGAGGTTGAAGCCCTAGGATTCCCAGCCGCGCAGGTGCTCAACATCTCCCACCAGAATGCTGACACCGAGATCTCAACGGTGGTCGAGAACAAATCAGATCCCCAGGCCCGATGCACAATCCTCTATACCAGCGGCACCACGGGCCGGCCAAAGGGCATCCAGCTTCGGCATTCCAGTCTGCGAAACGAAGTGGAAGGATACACGAAGCGATGGCAGCTTGGTGCAGAGACTGCCCTTCAACAAGGGGCAATGACTTTCAACCACTCGCTGGATCAGATGCTGGTTGGGCTTTGCAACGGTGGCCGCGTCATTGTTGTCTCGCGCTCCCTCCGCGGCGATCCAGTCTCGTTGACGAAACTGATAGTAGACGAGCAGGTCACCTACACGAAAGCGACGCCGTCAGAATATTCCACCTGGCTTCAGTACGGTTCCGATTCACTGTCCCGAGCCTCGACCTGGTTGTTTGCCTTTGGTGGTGGCGAGCACTTGACAACTTCGTTGGCTCAAAGGTTTCGAGCTCTAGAGCTGCCGCAACTACGTCTGTTCAACTCCTATGGGCCGGGCGAAATCACCATCTCCTCGCACAAGTGCGAGATTGACTACAAGGACGAAGGATCAGCGCCACCAGGGAATATCTATCCCGTTGGCGAGTCACTGCCAAACTACAGTGTTTACATCGTAGACAAGAAGATGCGATGTGTGCCGCGCGGCGTTTCCGGTGAGATACTCATTGGAGGCGCAGGGCCCTGCATGGGATATCTGAATATGGACTCCTTGAACGAAGAGAAGTTCATTCGCAACCCGTTTGCTCGCCCCGAATATCTCAGCCAGGGATGGACCCGAGCGTATCGGACCTTCGACCGGGGCCATCTCCTCAGCGACGGCAGCCTGGTCATCCAGGGCCGGCTTGATGGCGACACGCAGGTGAAGCTTCGTGGTCTTCGTATCGAGCTCGGCGACATCGAGAGCACCATTCTCGAAGTGGCAAATGGGCTATTGGACCATGTCGTCGTGTCTGCCCGTGGGGAGAAGGACCAATTCCTAGCTGCTCATGTTGTTTTCTCTCCGCAGTTCCACGGCGACGTGGATCAGTTCTTGAAGCAGATGAAGTTTCGTTTGCCGCTACCGCAGTATATGTGCCCCGCGCTTTTCGTTCCAGTTGAGCAGCTTCCGCTCAATATCCACGGCAAGTTCGACCGCAGGGCGGTTGAATCGTTGCCTCTCCCCAGGGTTTCGCAGACTAGTAACCCAGCCAGCCCCAGCAATACGTTATTGACGCCTGCGGAATCGGCAATGCGGAATACATGGAGCAAAGTCCTAAACGATGAAGGCTTTATCAACATGTCTGACATCGACAGCGGGACTGACTTTTTCATGGTAGGCGGAAGCTCCGTGCTGCTGGTCAAGCTTCAGGCAATGCTTCATGAGGAGCTCGGGGCGGTGGTACCGCTGGTCGAACTGTTCGAGCACAGCACCCTAGGTGCAATGGCCGTGACAGCCGAAGCCGTGAGGCAAACGAACGCCATCGATTGGGAAGCTGAAACATCCATCGACGATATTGTCGCCTTTCAGCTACCACCTGCAGTTCCACCGAGTGCATCCGTGCAGAAAAGCGGCCTCACTGTTGTCCTCACTGGGGTAACCAGCTTTCTAGGCAGAGAAATCCTGCGGCTCCTCGTCGCTGACCCTAAGGTGGCTCACATCCACGCAGTTGCCGTACGCTCCAGAGTGGGCAGCAAACGCCCTCTTCCCGACCCCCATCCCAATCTGACATTGCATGATGGTGATCTCTGCAGTCCATACCTCGGACTCAGCGCCTCTGCCTTCGCCTCGCTTGCCACAATCGCGGACGTAGTGATCCACAACGGTGCCAACCGTTCCTTGTGGGACGATTACCAAGTCGTGAGAGAGGCCAACGTGGCCAGTACCAAGACTTTGATCACACTCACCCTCGCCAGCAGCCGTCGCGTCCCTATCCATTTCATTTCCAGCGGCGAACTCGCGAGCATGGCCGCGGACGGCGCGACCCCCGCCCAAAACGGGCAACAGGGATACCTTGCCTCCAAGTGGGCGAGCGAACGGCTGCTGCAGAGAGCTGCGGCGGAATTTGGCATCCCTACTATTGCCCACCGTTTAACCAAGAAGATCGTGAAGCCCACTTCGCCACAGGCCGTGTTGGATAAGTGCCGCTCCATCGCTTGCCAGATGCGTTGTCTTCCTACGAAGGGAGGCTGGGAGGGCATTTTAACCTTTACTCCAACCAATGTCCTGGCCATGGATATTTCTGCGAAGGTCCTAGATGTTAATGCAGGTGGCAATGCACCGGCAGCCCATAAAGAACTGGTTGTTCACGAACATCAGGCAACGGTGCAGGTGAGCATAGCCGATATAATAACAGCAACACGAGAGACGAGTGAGCCGGTGGACAACTATGATAAACTGATATTCCCATACTGGATTGGGCGGGCCAGGAGAGAGTTTGATTTTGGATTGTTTGTAACTGGGCACGATGTGGTCGTGGGCGAGGGGGAGAAAAAGAGTATTACTGTTGTTTAGGGCGGTTACAGTCTATACTCGCATTAGATACTGCTGCAGCACGTCTTATAGATAGGACTTAATCCTTATTATGGACATGATGTCAGAATCGAAGAAATTGATATTTTACATATTCAAACTTTTGGTTTAGAAGGGCGGTTGATGGTCGGTAGGGTTGTGTGCCAAAACATATATTCGCAAGGCACTAAAAAGGACCGATTAGTCCGCCCATGGTTATGATGAACACTGGCGCATGCTAGTAAGCGAGTGAACAGCTCAGGTCTCTTCCATCTCCAGCGAGTAGATAAATATATCTATATTACGATGAACCATTCTCTGAATAAATTCTAGTTTGGGTGAACATTATAGTCCGAATTTTTGTTTTTCAATTTATATATCTATACTAAAATCTAAATTGGTCATATTATATATATTTGCCTAAGTACGAAGATCAGGAACTTTAGAGTATAGGTAACCTAAAACTTAATAATTTATATAGATAAGGATCTAAACCAGCAGGTTACCTAAATATCTGCAGAATACTCTGCTGTAGCCTAAAACCTAGTAGGTCTTTGGAAGTACAATTTAATCCATGTCTTGGCGGGCTGGCGGGTTGGGGCAGGCTTTGCAGCCTAGAGTTAAAAAGTATACTGTAAGAGCACGTGTCAGAGCAAGCATACTCCTAACTGGACTAAAAGGTCACTATGATCAGTCCCCATGGCCTGGTCTGCCTGGATCGCACCTGTAACAGCTGCTCGCACGTGACACTACCCTTTTATTATATATTTTCCTGGCAGTATTACTAGTGCATAGAGATATTTTGATAGTTGCAGTGGTGTGATATATACGGTACCGACAACTCCGAGCCGAGGCTCGGCACAGGGACCCCTTTTAAGTCTCACTCCTGCGTGAGGAACACAAAAATCCTATTGTGCTTTTGTTCTTGTTACTATTTCACCAATGGAAAATCTCCTCCGCAACCCTCACATTCTCTCGAATATAGCGAATCTTCGCCTTCCGCCCCTCGTCGAATCTCCCATCCAGCGTCACCCGCGCCTCAGGCGGGATACGCGCGTGGGTATACTCCGCGCCGGCATCAAGCCCCGCCGCTTGCTCTTCACGACGAGCAAGTTGCAGTGCCAGACGAAAGTGCAGATCTGAGTCCCAGACGCCTTCGCGGCGCTTGCTGCGCCCGATCAGGTCGATGGCGCGGTAGCGTACGCCGGAGTCGCGGCATTGCGTGGCGATTGTCCAGAGCGCCGGGAGAACGCCGAAGGCCAAGGAGAATCGTGAGGGTGACGAGTGGAACGGGCGAGGGAGGATGGGCGTGTAGGTGGATTGGAGGTTTGTTTCGTGTTTGAGTTGTGGTGGCGGTGACGTTGTTGTCGGAGGGGAGTTATCGCGAGACGCAGACGAGGACGTGGACATGCTGCGACTGCGGGAACCCCAGGGGCTGCTGCTGGCGCGATAGTGCCCACGGGGACTGAAGGTCGAGCCGACCGACGTTTCTAGTTCTACAGGGGGCGACATGACGATGATCTGCTCGGCGAGATCGAGGATGGTATTGAGCTCGCTAAGATGACTCTCCCAAGCGGTGTCTTGGGGAGGCCACCCCATATGCAGCACCATCGTCAGCATGGTGCGCCAGAGCTGGAGCATTCGGACCGATTGCTGCGATGGGTGGTCTGCGCTGTCCCAGTGGAAGACGTGGGCGAGGAAATAATCGAACTCGAGCGACCATGCGTCGAGATCCGTTTGCACCTGCTGTTTGCGTGCCATTACCTGCTCAATGACCCGAGCCATCTCCAGCTCGTCAATTGGATCTTCGAGTCTTGCCGAGAAGCTTAACAGGCGCAGGAAGTCATTGTAGATGCTTCGGAAGGTATCTTGGGCCTCCTCGAGCGTCCAAAGGGGCGCCGGCCGGCCGGCGCCCCTTACTGGCAGCCCATCATCATCTAAAAGCGGCGAGTGGCCATCGATTTCCAGAATCTGGGCCTCCAGGGCGGCGAACAACGACTGGATCACGTCCGGTGGCAACAGCGTGTTTTCCGCCCGTTGCCCGCGCAGTTGGCGCTGAGCGAGAATGCGCAGCCCCGAGCCAACATGCCGCAACGCCGATCGGAAGTGGCCCTGGAGGCTGTCCAAGCAGAAGAAGAGCACGCATATGGAGAGGATTCCATCTCCCGAGCTGTCGCTGCTGCCCGCGAGGAGTTTCAGTCCCTGCCGGATGGCCAAGTTGTACTGCTGCAGGGCGAGCTGCATACCCCTGCGGTGGTCGTGCGGAGGCGTTCTGCTGTGATACAACACCACGCGATGCATAGTCCCCAGGGCCATCGCAGCTCGCCGGATGGCGGGATTTTGGCAGGCGGCGGTCAGCAGCCAGCCCCCTGCCCGGGCGCCAAAGCACGAGACCGTTTGAACGTTGAAGAATTCAAGCGACCGATATTCATCTTCCGTGAGCAGTGTATCGACGCCGGGGAACATGCGCAGCTGCGTGGGCTGGGTCACCTGCGGCGTGTGCTGGATGATACGCAGCTCAGAGGAGCCTGCCTTCGCCGCTTGCTGTTGCGGTCGCTGCCTTGTGGTTGGAGGCATATATCCATCGCATCTGCGGCCCGTCGACTCACATCGGCGACAGTGCGGCCGTTCTTCATCACATTTGACCCGGCGGATGCTACGGCCATTAATCCTTTCGCCCGGCGACTTGGGGATAGCCAACTCACCGACAAGTGATGCACCCATTTCGCGACCGGCCCTGCACCGAGGAAGGATTGCTGGTCATTTCATTCAATGTACTGACCTGGATGTCCTCTGGAGCCATTCTGGCGGGCGCTTTCCTGTCATGATCAGGTCCGCCTCTAGGCGCCATCGAAGAAAAACCCAGGTAGGTAAGCAGCGGCAATGGCCGTGACAATGACGCTAGAATGGTCCCATCCAAGCCTGCTCTTAGTCAGCTGGCCCCTCTGCAGCTAGTTAGGTGATCCTTGTAAGCTGACAGTGTCTGGACTTGTTAACCTGTCCCACGAAACTCGCCCCAACCGGCCCCAGCCCGCCAAGAATGAGAGCGGGTTGGACCTTGTTAGACACGACGCCCTCAGAGTCCAGAAATGGGGTCAAGTCGGGATTCCATCGAGTCTCAGAAATCACGGCCAGCGGCACGATCAGAACAGGTGAAATCCACAGCTTCGTTCCGTGCACCATGAGGCTCATGTGGAAAGCAATCAGTGTCTGTCTCATGGGTGGCCGACATTGCCTCTTGTCCAAGATCTGGCTTTTACTAAATAATGACTAAGCAAGGTTGAGAGTAACTTAGGCAGTACCGGAGTATATTCTGAGCGTGACCCCAAGCACCGGTCAGCAGGCTCTTTCTACTCAACACCCAGCACCTTCTTTGACATACCACATTGCGTATGACCGGTCATATCGACCCGTATAACAGGGTAACATCCTGTATGGAATCGCTCTGCTGAAGCCTCTGGGAGTTTTGGAAGTTTGAAAGCTCTTAAAGCTTAGATTGTCCAAACAAGCTGCGTTAATTGATCAGGACATTTAATACATTCGTTTGTTGCAGTTTATTTTTTTTAGACAATTTTCCAATAATTGGGTGTATCAGAAAATCAACAAGATGTCAGATTTTGGTTCTGAAATTCCCGGTTCGATCCCTCGGGGTGAAACGGCAAGCTAATCAGAACATCCAAATGACCATCCTGGTGCTTATATTCAGAATGCTAAGCATAGAGAAGAGAATTAGGTACATGAAGAGATCGATTGTGGGTTGTCTTCGCGAAACGACGCTTAATTTTTGGTAGGCAGTAGGTGACAGAAGTCAGTTCAGTGTACACCGGTGTACGCGATAAGGCTGGTCAATCGCTGTAATCTATGCTGGCTCATGATCACGGCACGTAGGGCCGTGACACGGGGGACCTCACATTCGTTTGCTTCTTTTTGCCTGCCCACTTGAGCCATGATTTAATGGATCCAACTTCTGGACCTTGATTTCGACACGTGGTTTTTTTTTTTTTACCGGCGTTGAGCATGGTGTGGTGGCGCTGGGATGGCTGTTCTTGCACCCATGTCTAACTTTATGTTACGGGCGAGCCCTATATAGGTGTGATCCGGGCAGGCCAGGCCATGGGGTCTGGCCATAGTGACCCTTTGTCCAGATGGGAGTATGCTTGCCCGACACGTGCTCTTACCTTGCGGCATCTATACTATAAGACAAGACTCATTATTTTCAATTTCGACCATGGAATCAAACGGCTAACATAACAATAAGTATGATTTGATTTAACAAACGGCAACAGCAATATTATTATCATCCCACCTGTCCAAGATCTCCCTCACAAACGGACTCTCGGAAATGGCAAGAACATCCTCAAAATACCCCTTACTCAGCTCAAACGGCATCGCCGTCAGATTCGGAATATATCTCCCTATCAACTTCTCTGGCCGGACCATGTGCTCTGGAATAGCCTTGCGGAGGGCGCGACGGAAGGTGTCGGCGCCTGGGCGCAGAAGACTGCTGTGGAAGGGGACGTTGACTCTCAGAGGGATAGTGGCTTTGCCGCGTTGGAGAGCTAACGGAGTGGGCTTCTTGTCGGTCTGGGCGAGACATGAGGTGACAATGGTCGGGACGGAGGATTTGAGAGTTTCGAGTGAGGTGAGGTATTCGGGGTGCGCAACGAGGGAGTCCAGGACACCGGCAAGGCAGTCGAGGCTGCGGAGCTGGGGAGTTGTTAGTATGATGGCAGACGGTGGCAGACGGGGTCCACATACATCGCCAGCACAAACGTACTGTGTAGACTCGACGTTGAAGTTGACGATCTCGCAGAGACCCCCGGTTGCGGCCTCGACCGAGTCGACAATGTCGCAGAGATCGGATTCGGAGAGGTCTGCGTCTGTCAGATCAATGCATTCGATAGTAAAGGGGGAAAAGGGAGAACGGGGGACGTACTCTTGGAAACCCGGCTCGGGTTCGCCGCAACCATGGAGTAGTCCCGGCCAGATCGGTCCAGCTCGATGGACTTCTGCATGGTCAGACCGCGATAGAAGACTGCGGCGGTGACTCCCTCTACTGTGAAGACCTCACCCATGGCAGCGAGCGCGGCATACTCGCCCAGCGAGTGTCCGGCATAGCAGCTGTCCTCGTTGATCAGACCGCGAGCGCGCATGTCGTGGAACCGCGCCAGCTCCATGACCACCAGCGCGGGCTGCGTGAAGATCGTCTCGTGCAGCAGACCACCGGAGGAGGTGTAGGTGAAGGAGCGCGAGCTGGGGGTGATCTCCTGGAACGCGCGCACTGACTCGATCTCGCCCTGCTCGTTGACCACTTCAAAGTCCAGCGAGATATAGTTCTCGCGGATGGCTTTGCCGCGGCTGCCCCCAAAGTGCACGGTGTACTCCTTGGGGTTGTTCCGGACGATCTCGAGAATCGAGATGCCTGCATGCTGTTAGTATCATTGTTCTCGGATATGGTTCCAGGTAACATCGGGATAGGAGGTAGCTACCGTAGGTGTTCACGAAGAACTGCTCGGCCGTGTGCCACACATCGCGTGCGGCCTGGCTAGTCTCGTATAGATCCATCCCCATCGCCGGCTTCTGGCTGCCCTGGCCCGTGAACAGGTAGGCCCCTGGCTTCTGGGCCACTTCAGCCGTTGCGCGGAACACTTCCACTCCGGATGTTTCCGACCGTGCAGTAGCAACAACAATCAAACGGCCGTTGTTCATCCCCGTGTGGCTGATATCCACGAGGAGAGTCTCGCCGGGGCACACTTTGCCCTTGAAAGAAGCGGACCAGGCCTTCATGCGCCGCGGATCGTTTCCTGCCGCATGCAACTCCACGACGCCCCGGACCAGACCACTAGTCTGCATGCCGTGGATGACCCGACCGTCCTGGTGGCCTGCGTACCGCGCAAACGCCCGCGACAGGTGGATCGGGTTGCTGTCACCCGAGGCGGCAGCGTACTGATCACTGGACTTGGGCATCTCAATGCGGACGTCTGCAGCCAAGGGCACAGCATTAGGAAGCGACTTGACCTCATCGTAGGCAAATCCCCGACGGGTCAGGAAGTCGATGACGGGGTTCTTGAGGAAGTGCGAGTTGCTCTTCAACATCACTGTTCCTATAGTCATGTCCTTGTTCCCTACAGCGCAGCTGACGGTTCCGCAGGTTTCTATCTGGCTGTACGTGTTGGCGTCGCGGAAATGGTACGAGCTTTTCAGCCGGAAAGTGAGCTCGTCGTCCAGGTGGTCGTCGAGGCTGAGGTCGGCCGCGGCGATGCGAAACCAGGGCTTTGATGCCAGCAGAACCACATCTCGCTTCGACTTCAAGGGCAGCTTGTATACCTGTTCATCTTTTGTCTCGAACGTGTTGTGGTAGTCTTCATACCGGCCCTGGAGGATGAACTCACTGGCGACGGTGATGATGGGCGTGCCCTCCCTGGAGATCGTAGCAACCGCGCGAACCACCTTCCCCGAGTCCGGGCGGATTCGAATCGACAGAATCTCCGCTGTCGAAGACAATAAATCGCCCTCGCGCATAGGGCTCGCGTTCTCAATGACTCGGAAATCGTTCTTCAAATGCAGGAGCTTGAGGATATCGCCGTTGACCGCGTCCGTAAAGAGACAGCGCATCAGCGGCTTCCACGCAACCACAATTGCCATGTCAAGCGGCGCAAGCAACTTGGATTTCTTTTTCCCGTTGCATGCGCTGTTCCGGTTGTCGATGGCCTTGGTGAAGTCTAAGATCGCTTCGCGAGTCAGCACTTGCACGTCGCCGGCCCATTTTTGCAGGCTCAATCCATCATCCCCTGCGTCGCCAACCCAGAGCTGTTCGTAAAAACGGCTAATGCGCTGGTTGCGCGTATCCATAACCTCGTGGATTGGATTACTGCCGTACGTCGGCTTGTAGGTGAAGTACATCACCAAATTGACCGGAGGGTTGCCAGCACTGCCCCCAGTCATAGGAGCTCGCAGAGTCAACATGATCTCTGAAGCAGACAAAGCTCGGATTTCTGCAGTCGCTTCGTCCTTCTCCTGTCCCTGGATGTTTTTCTGCCGCATCAGGATGACCGTCTTCTGGGGCTGTCCGGGTTTAATGATACGCACGGAGAAGCCGGCGCGAGGAGCGAAGAGGCCTTTAATGGGATTCCTCACGAGCGTCTTCCCCTGCACGATCTCGTTTAGCGTCAGCAGTGCCTTTCGCCAGGACGGCTTCGTCCCGCCGAGGAGAGCTAGCCACTGCATCTCCGTCGGCAGGTTATCCTCGGGGCCGTCCAGATCGTACGCGAGGGTCGGCGGATCATATGAACGACTGTGCTTGACATGCGGCACCAGCTGCTCGTCCTGAGTAGATAAAACGGGAGACAGTGTTCCCGCAGAGTACAGGTAATCCAGAGTCGGAACTCGTCTCTCGTCCCCGGCATACTGCTGCTTCAGGAGTGCCTGAACATGTGGTTTATGGATGTTATCAAGGATCTGTTTCACCGGTTCATCCGCAACTTTGGTGTATTTCGCCGCCACTGGGCCGTGCAAGACACAGATCCGCCCGACATCTTGGCCTATGACGGCCTCCAGTCTCTCAGACTGCCACAGCGAATCCTTCTTGAACCAGTACTCGAAGGACTCGTCTAGCGCAACGATGAACGGCAGGGGCTTGCGCCCAGGCTGCTTGTACAGCTTTAACAGCTGGTCCTCGTCCTCGCGGACGATCACGTCTTCTAGGGCTGCCGGATAAGACTGCAGGAACTCGCTCAGCAAGGCCTGGGGGCGGTCCAGCTGCGACGTGGACTGGAAAACCGCACGAGGGCGAGGCTGGCGCGCGCTCAGGCGGTTCTCGACGCAGCGGATGAAGTCAGCCATGAAGGACCGGTACGAGGGGTCAATCCAGGCCTGCTGATCCTTGAGATAGAGCAGATCAACAGCCCGTATGAGGACCTCCGCGTAGGTCATCTCGGAAATCTCCACGGGGTTTCCCTGCTCGTCGATGCCAAACCATACCTTCTGGAAATCGGCATTTAGCCGCTTCATCAACGAGCCCTTGCGCCTCTGCATCTCCTCGACTTGCTGCGCTGCAGGGAGGGAAAACACCTCCTTATCGAGCTCCGCCCACAGCAGAACCCCACGCGTCGCAAGCTTGTGGATCGGCTCGCCCATTTCAGACTTCACCGTGATAATCCCCCCGGTTGCTTTCTTGTACGTACCCTCCCACTGGGAGTCCGGCACCCCGGGGATATCAACAATCGCCTGCTTCACAGCAGGACTAGTGCGCGCCTCCTTGGCAGCCATGACGCGGCTGCCAACAAGAACACCATCGAAGGGCATAGCCGCGTATCCCAGAGCCGTGGACCATGAACCAGTGAGATACGGAAAGGTATCCTCGCTCCCTCCAAACCCACTTCCCGCGACTAGGATGAGGTTCGGGTAGGCCCTGATCTGCGCGTACCGGTCCAGGATGGGTTCATGGAAATCCTCGTACGAGTGATGTCCGCCCGCGCGTCCACCGGTCCACTGCAGGATAATGGGGAAATCGGGATTAGATTCTGCAATGCGTAGCACATTGTCAATTGCTTCTTTGGAGCCCGGCTTGAAAGAGATATGGCTCAGGCCGAGGTCGTGGATATACTCGCTGGCGATGTCGGGAGAGGGCACGCCGGCGCCGATTGTAAGCCCTGTAATGGGGAAGCCCTCTTGCCGAAGCTGTGCGAGTAGCGGAATCTGCCAGCCCATTGCTCGCGGATTCGCGTAGATCAGGTTGACAGTTATGCCGCGGCCGGCGGGAATGAGGTTCACGAGCCGGGTAAGGGCTGAGCGCATGCCGGCTGCGTCATGGTAACCGCCGCCGGCAATTTCGGTGTGATAGTTCGCGTTGATGACCTCAGCGACGAAGTCCGGCGAGACTGTAGTCGGGGTCATGCCAGCTACCATGACGGGGGGCAGACCCAACGCGCGGGAGAACTTGGTGTCAAGGAGGATGTCGTCGCCGACGCGGACGAGTCGCGGAGAAAAGTCTTGTTCCCAACTGGTGTTGTAGACCACGGGGCAGCGCCGGCTGAGCAGCTCGGGCATGTAGCCGAGCGTCTTCTTGCTGGGGCCGGTAAGGGTGGTAGAGAGAATTACGCGTGCAGCGGTGCCGGCTTTTGCGGAGGCCAGTAGCGCCCCAATTCCGGTCTCGCGGCCGGGGCCAAAGTCGAGGAAGTGAGTGGCGGAGGGGAAGCGTGTGGCTCGCTCCCAGTCGACGATGCCGCAGACGACCATGTGTACGAGCTCGGGGATCAGATTGTCGAACTCGCGGAGGTCGGCCCCGTTATCAGTACGCAGGACAGGAAAGAGTAGGCTGTTCCCGGGGACGTGGACGGAGCGGAGGTCTTCCAGGATCTGGGCCTCGGCATCCTCCAGGAGGCTGGTATGGAAGGGAACTGAGATGGGGAGGAAGCGCGCAGTGATCAACAGGGGCCGTTGGCTGAACGGCACGCGGGCTGTGTTGGTGGAGGAGCTGGAGTTGTTGGAGGCCGCGCGCAGCTTGTTGGCGAAGGCGTAGAGTGAGAGAGGGTTGCCGGCCACTACGAACTGTTGCCGGCCGTTGATCAGAGCGAGAGAGCCCTGCTGTGCGGCGGGGAGATGTCGGTTGTGCTCGTCAAGATACTTGAGTAAAGACTCATGCGAAGCGCCCTTGACGCTGAGCATCGGGCTCAGGCGCTCGGACTGATCGACCAGTGATGGGGGGATGGAGTTGGATGCGTAGCACTGTTGCGAACGGCACCCAATCCAGAACAGCACTTGAAGCGCGGTGCTTGCGGTGTCGAAGAATGTAGGCCACGAAACGACGGTGGCCAGCAGCGCTGCGACGACGATGCCCTGGGAGTGACCGGCGGCACCGCTGAGGTGACGGGCGAACTCGCCGGGGGACTTGTTGAGGATCTTGCAGGTGACGGCATAATTGAGAAGCTGCACAAGGCCGATCAAAGGCTGGCTGACAGGCGCAGAGAGCAGATAGTCGGCGGATGGGCGCGAACCTGGGTTCTCGAGCCAGCTGATGACATCCAGGCCATGGGGATACACATCTTGGGCGCGGACATCCGACGCAAACCCCTTGAGCTGTTTGCTCATAGCATACAGGGGCTCGGCCAGCTGTCCGCCATATGTGTCATAGAGATGCTGCAGCTCACTGAAGTAGCCCTCCACCCCCTGACCGTTGAACACCGTCACAATGTTTGCCCGACGGACGAGGGCATCTGAGAGTAGACCGCTGGTCCACTTCGGGGACACGAACTGGGTCACACTGATCGCTTGGTAATAGGTCTGAATGATGCGAAACTTCTCTTCAGGCTCGAGAGCCAATGGCGCCAGGACGGTGTGGATGTCTTCATCCTGGCAGAGATGTTTGTTGACGACGCGCACAAACTGCTTGAGAATCTCCTGTGGGCCGTCCTCGTGCACCAGCTGGTGGCCACCATCGAGGATCTCGCGCACGGAACGGGTCACACTCTGGAGCTTTTCAATGAGAGAGGCACTGTCGATAGGTCGTGCCCTCAGGTCGTCCAGCGTAGCTGCGAACTTGTCGTTGAACAGGGAGGATTTTTTGATGGAGGCTTCTGATCGGAGGAATGCGATCTCAATGTCCTCACCGCGGTAGGGCATGCGGGGAGGCGATCCCATGGGATACTCGGTCATGGGAGTATCCAAGTCCTCCATTATTGGGGGAGAGAAGAGATCTTCCGAGGATGCAGACGAGCTGCCGCCTGCTATGAGCGGGCTTGACTTCATCTTGGAAGCCAGGTCTATAGCGGGATGAGAGAAGCTAAACATGGTTACACAAGGGAACAGGAACAGAAGAAAGAAAGCGAATAATCAGATCTGGAGAAAAGACAGAATAGCCATACACAGAAGAAAGAGAATGATTAGTGAAAGAGTGAAGATGCTGGCTCTGGGCAGCTCAGACTCGCGCCTACAGGACTTAGAAGCCCAGGCCTGCTCGCTGGGATGATATAGAAACGGGTTTCAGGACTTAGTCTTTTCTCTCGCAGAGTTAGCCAAGCTGAGACAAACCTGTTCTCGATATTAACTGCGCCCAGCCGTAGCCACGAGGCTATTTCCATCGAAGGAGGTTGTTGGGAACCCATCAGAGCCTTGCTTGGGGGCGGTCGACTGTAACCCTACATTGCCCCAATAATCCGTATACGAACCTTACCCACCATACCGACACTGTTCTTCCTAGCGGTCATTACCGTTTAGCAGTCATTACGGTTTATACAAACCAATAACCTAACTTCCTAGCGGTTATTACGCATCGTGGCTGATCGAAACCGATACGCCCGTTGCGCAGCAGGCGGGGGCTAGATCCTTCATTCCTGAGGCTAATATCTGCATACATGGCTTGGCTCGCTGTTGGCATGAAGGATCACATTCAGCCAGCCCATTCTTCGCCGTTTCTTCTGGTTTTGGTCTGGGTCTATTGTGCTGGTTGCTTACATGGACTAGTGCTGGACTATGGAGCCGGTGCTTGCGCGCTTGGACTGAGGACTAGTAAGGCCGGGTCAGAGAGCACAGGAGTGGGAGTGAGAGAAATTCGAGCAACAGCAGTTCCCTGTCTTTTGCAGGAGACTTAATTTTCTAAGAGTTCTTCTCTCCTGGTGTTTCTCTCACAGTTGACAACTTTTCAGACCAGCAAGCGCAACAATGCCTCTGTCCCCGTCAGTCGAAACCCTCCTCAGTAGAGTCTGGGACTCCATCACCTTCAACCGTTTCTTAACCGGCGTGGGCATTTTCTTCCTCTTCTTAAACGCAAAGGGTCTCCCCGGTGTCTGGCACGTAAGTCACTCGCAATATTGCAATGCATTCCACGGAAAAAAGCGAGAAAGAGAAAAAATAAAATTCCTGGATCTACACTAACTCGAAGCTCTCAATCAGTACCGCCTCTTCAAAGGCCTCTTCATCGAACTAGTATGGAAGCGCTCAACAACCCCAGCGCCCTTGCTCGACAGCCGGGGCCGTCCGCGCCTCTACAGTTACTTTGTGACTGAGTGCAGCAACCCGGTCATCGAGTGCGACTACAACCTCCACAAGTCCAACAGCACTTTTTTCTCCGATCTGGATATTAATCGCACGCAGTTGATGATGGTGCATTTTAAGCATGTTCTTTCGACTGCGTCGATGCCGGGGAAGACCAAGACAGCTAACGGCAGCGGAAACGGGCAGGCAAGGAAAAAACCGCTCATGATGGCAATGGGCGGCGTTTCTTGCTTGTTTCATCGCGAGATCAAACCGCTTCAGCGGTATGAAATCTGGAGTCGCGTGCTGGCGTGGGATGAGAAGTGGGTTTATGTGGTTAGTTATTTTGTGAAGAAGGGGGCATTGAGCAAGGATGGAAACTTCGGGGGGGGTCTTGATCTCGATCCCAAGGTGAACTCAAAGGTTGTATTGGCCTCTTGTATGGCAAGGTATGTGTTTAAGGAGGGGAGAATTACTGTGAAGCCCGAGCGGGTTTTGCAGGAGTGTGGCTTGTTGCCACTGCCACAGGACGAGGAGGTAGTAGAAGAGAAGGCAGAAAAGGCGTCTGTTGGCAGCAACTGGGGCAAAGAGCAATTTGAGGAAGCAAGACAGAAGGGTTTGGTGACTGCAGGCAAGTTTTCCGGGTTGGAGGTGCTGCCTTTGATGACAGGGTTTGGGGAGTCAGGGGTGCTTGGGAGGTATGGTGATCTTTGACACCGGAAAACAGGAATAAGGAGAGGCAGGCCTGCTGAAGCAGAATGTATGTACATACATGGACTGATCCAGTTTTCAACGTATCACTGCATATGCATCGCGGACGTTCTACTTCACATTACACCACATCTAAGCCACGGCCTCGAAGTCTATAGAGACCCGCAATACAACTCAACTTCCACTCTAATCTACTCCCGGGTCCTCTCATAATCCCCAGTGTGAATCGTCTCCAACGCAGATATCTCTACCGACTCAATATCCCACAGCCCCTTGTACGTGTGCATATTAGCCCCCACCCACTGCCTCGTTCTAGCTTGTGCGTACTAACCTTGGCGGTGTTCTCATGGGCGCGAATCGCCTGCAACACTCCCTGCTCGCTGGGCGCCTGGCACGCAAAGCAGGCCCCCAGGGTTCTCGCCGTCGCTGAATTCGTCGTCAGCGCCGCGGAGGCCATCATGTCGCCCGCGAAGGTGAGGATGACATCCTGCTCCTTGAACTCGATAGTCTGAGGCGCCGGGGCTAGGCCTGACTCTTTGGCGTTCTTCTTGTTGAAGATGACGACGAAGCTATAGACGCAATATTTGTCAGCATCGAGGCAGGCATGCAGGCAGGCAAATAACATTGGACCGGAAAGGGTGCGGAGTATAGTTACAATTCGTTTAGTGGAGATTTGACAGTTGTGAGGAATCGACGCCGGTAGCCAAGACCAGCACCAACCAAGGCTGATCTGGGACGAAGTGAGCGAGTGAGCAGCGTGGCTGTTTGATTGATCATCGTGACTGAGCGCGTGGTATGCTGCTTGTGGTTGCTATTGCTGTGTCCTACTGGCTGGTGTGGTTTGCGCGCCCAGGTGTGGATTTATATAGATTACGGCCCCCAGAGATGGAGAAACTAGACCATTCGTCGTGGGCTGGAGTGAGACTGGCGTTGGCCGGCAGCTGCTGCCATCTTCGTGATATTTGAGGCTGAAAGTAAGATGATGTAGAGTGGTTTTTACAGCAGATACAGCCGTTTGTAATACGGTATGTATGGTATCCATGACAGTACGGAGTTAGATCAATCGAGAAAGCAAAATTACCAGGTGGATCTCATTTCCTCTGAGCATCTGTTAGCGAAATAATTGAAAAATTAGAAAAAATAAAAATAAAAATCCAGGTTAGAACAAACGGCCCCCAACAGCCCAATAATCTAAAGTATAGTCCCTTCGAAAAGAGGTTCCATGGAAAGTGTAGCATGCAAGCATGTACGTTCAGCTTGCGAGGTACGAACTTGACAAGCGTCAATGGCTCGTCCTCAGGAAATGACGACTTGGCTATAAAAGTTATGCTTATGCTTGCCAGGAGTCACTCAGTGTAAACTCGTCACCGCTTCAATCACTCACATTTGCACCCATCTTAGTTGGCTACCGTCAACATGTCCACCTTCCCTGCCGAGCCTCGTAGCGACATTGGTATGCGTTTCTGGACTCTGGCTATGGTGATTACTGTATGAGTAATGCATGCTAATAACAGACAGAATGGGAAAAAGTCGGGGTCTCCTTCTTAGACGGTAATCCTGTCGCATCTGCGTTCTTGTATCTAGATCTCCATGCTAACAGGACCTACTAGTAAACGGCCATGTCGAAAGCGACTTCAACTACCGGACAGGAACCTGGTCCGATCCCGTCTTCGTGCAAGACCATTATCTCAAAGTCCACGGCCTAGCACCAGGACTGAACTACGGACAGCAGGTGTTTGAAGGGATGAAAGGTATGTCATGCTCTTGTCCATCCTCCCTCTCCATCTCCATCTTCTAACTATACCATGCCAGCCTACCGCGACCCCAACGGCCAGATCCAAATCTTCCGGCCCACCGACCATGCACTCCGCATGCAGCGCTCCTGCGACGCCGTTTCCATTCCCTCCATCCCGGAGTCCCTCTTTTGGATCTCCGTCAATCTCGCCGTCGCCAAGAATAGCGAGTTCGTGCCCCCGCACGCCAGCGAAGCAGCCATGTACATCCGGCCGCTCGCCTTCGGCTCTGGCGGCTGGATGCCCGTTGCCGCGGGGCCACAATACAAGTTCGTCGTTTACGCTCTGCCCTTCTGTGCATACCATGGCACTTTACCCGTTGATGCGGTGGTGCTGGAGGAGCTGGACCGCGCGGCGCCGCTGGGCGTCGGCAACGTCAAGGTAGGCGGCAATTATGCGCCGGTGCTGAAGTGGAGTGATAAGGCGAGGAAGGAGGGGTTTGGGATTACGCTGCACTTGGATAGTAAGACCCGGAGCGAGATTGATGAGTTCAGTACGTCGGGGTTTGTGGGGATTAAGTATACCGGAGCTGGAGGTGAGAGGAAGGGGTACACGCTGGTTGTGCCGAATAGCCAGTGTGTTATCAAGAGTGTGACGAGTACTAGTGTCGTGGATGTGGCGAGGTCTTTGGGTTGGAGGGTTGAGGTGAGGCCGGTAAGTTGTTTCTCCATCTGCATGCGATCTTTCCTACATATCTCCCAGGCTCAGAGGCTGATTGGTATATGTATAGATCCCGTACGACGAGCTGGAATTCTTTGATGAGGTGCTTGCCGTCGGTACGGCTGCCATGATCACCTCCATCCGCTCTATCACGCATCGTACCAAGGATCAGGTGTTCAGGTATATAACTAGCGATGAGCCTGGCAGTGCCTGCGAGAAGTTGTCGACGCACTTGAAGGGTATCCAGAAGGGTGACGAGAAGGATTCGTTTGGCTGGTTGAAGAGGGTTGAGGAGGTGACTGTCTAGTATATAGTATATTTACTTCAGAACCACATCTTAATCTTGTCATCTCTCTCAATATCGTGAGGATATTCGTTTCAATGCCGCAGATGGTTGGAACCAACCTATACTTCCGCATAGTCTTCAAAGCAGCTGCACCCATGGTTTTGGGATATTCACAATCTTCATGTATTTGCAGTATCTACCTGAAACATGGATAACAAGATTGAAGAGGAATAGCAAAGGATCTCTCACGCCATGAAGTAACTAAATAACATCGCTATTAAAAGCACTCCATCACGGCCTCACCTCATTCCCTTGATTGTCATACCACGTCCTCTGGTTCTCTCTCTGATATCCATACCCACCAGGAGCCGTCCCCGGAGCGGACCCCCTCTCCTGCGCATCCAGCAGATCAACTCCAATGTTCCCATGCTTTCTCCTCCTCTTCCTATCCTTCTTCGCTTCCTTCTCTGCTATCTTGGCCTCCTTCTTCTCCCTCTTCCGTTGCTTTTTCTCCTTCCGACTCACCCTCGGGAACTCGCTATCGGGGCCCACCAACACCCTCCCCGGATGCGCAACGTTCAATATAGCCAAACAAATAAAGATCGGCGCCGCATCCCATACATACTCGAACCACTCGTTCCGCAGTGCCGGGTTGTCGATATTCGTACCGTCCGCATACTGCGCCAACCGGAAAATGATACGCACAGTGATAAGGAACAGCGAGGCATAGATCGCGTAAAACAGCCATCGCCACGGGATCGACCCCCTACCAATCTTCTCGGCATCCAGATTTCCCTGTCGCTCCATTTCGCCCATCTTCCGCTGCAGGTGAATGAACAGCCCCGTGAAGATCAAGATAAAAAGTTCCTGCACGCCAATGCCTCCCATGTAGATATGAACTCCGCGCATGATCGTCTCCTGCGACGCCTCTGTGTCTGTCGTAAATGCCGCACCAACAAGCTGGATGATGAAGGCCAGGATCTCTAGCCAGACGAAGATGTGTCCGAAGCGTTTTGCGCCGATGCCGCCGAGGCGGCCGCTGGGGAGGAAGAAGTAGATGAGGCGGCCGAGGGTCATGTAGAGGAAGGCGTTGACCCAGATTGGTGCAAGGAGGAAGAAAATGGTGAAGGGAGTATTGTAGGCGTCGCTGCTTTGGTTTTTCGCGAAAAGAGACCGCATTATGAAGGCGATAAGTTCCCACAGTGAGCCCATGATTACGACCCAGGCGTAGCGCTGGCTTTGTTAGCTTTTTTTCTCTATTTTTCTTTTTATTTCCCCAGCAAGATGTGTAGACGTACCTTCTTAAACATGATTGCCTGAACAATATGGATGATCGTCGTAAGGCCGAACAACACTGAAAACAAGACCGGCGCCGCGAAGCTAGCCTCGTACATGTGGATATTGCCACATCCTCCGGGCGGCACATAGCCGTTCTCTTTCGGGGGGATAGGGAGACATGTTGGAGTGCTGGTCTCCGACGCGGAAGTGGTGGTGGCACTCATGGTGGCTGTTGGTTGGCTTGGACCAGAAGGTTGGTTGTCTGACCGGGTGGACTGAGGATAAGAGACACTATATAACCAGCTGCAGCATTTCAGGCAGAAACAAAAGGTGAAACGGGAGGTCTGTGTATCGGGAATCGTGAAAGCGAGCGGCAGCTATACCAGCAGAGACTATAGTAGGAGGACGTATCAAGGCCCCGTACTGTAAGCGCCGGCGCTGGGCCAAGCAGGGCTCAGCGCCCAGGCAGCATTGTTTTCAGCCCCCAACAACAAAGAAAAAATAAAATTGATCATTGGCCTAGCGCAGCCAAGGCAGGCTAGAAGAATAGTAGGCTAAAAAAATCACCCATGAAAGGATGGCGTGAGCCTCGACCAGCATGACAGACTGGCGGGATGATCGGCACAATCCTATTGGTGCGATCGGATACGCTAAGTCTTTCAGGTAAGCTTATTTTCTCCATTGATCTGGCCAATCACCGGGCGAGGACTCTGCCGCAGCTGAACCGTCAAATACTGTCGATCACTGCCAGTCCGGAAGAGTCACAGCCTGTTGGCTTCTCTGGATGGCGCGACTGCTCTACCGCCGCTGGCACTTGCCTGCACTCGCCAGGCGCCACTATTCATCTCCATCCCAACTTCTGCGCATTGAGAAGACCCAGTCGCCCAAACCCCAGCCCAACCCCTCCGAGCTACAATTCGGGCGGTCTTTCACCGGCAAGTATCCCTCAGACTCGAAGTGTATACATATCGGCCAAGTAATGTACCACTTATACTTGCGACAGATCACATCCTGAAGCTCGAATGGACCACAACCCAAGGCTGGAGCGATGCCCAAATCACCCCCTACGACACCCTCCGGCTTGACCCGGCGTCCTGCGTCCTCCACTACGCATTTACCTGCTTCGAGGGCATGAAAGCGTACAAAGACCCGCACGGCAACGCGCGGCTTTTGCGGCCTGAGAAAAACCTCGCGCGGCTCAACAGGTCCGCAGCTCGACTCGCTCTTCCGATATTCGATGAGTCCCGCGTGTTGGAGTTTTTAGCCAAATATGTCGATCTCGAGAAGAGATTCATCCCACACTTACCGGGCCACTCCCTCTACCTGCGCCCAACGTTGCTAGGCACCGATGCCAGTATCAGTGTTTCGCGACCCCGGAGCGCAATGTTGTTTGTCATTGCCAGTCCGATGGGAGATTATTTCGCCAATGGGATGAAGGCTGTCACGTTGCAGGCGACGCGGTCGCCGGTGCGCGCGTGGCCTGGTGGTGTGGGAGAGTTCAAGGTCGGTGGGAACTACGCGCCGAGTATTGTGCCCCAGGAAGAGGCGGCAGAGGCCGGGTGCGAGCAGAATCTGTGGCTGCTGGCTGATCGTGAGAGGGGCGAGGAGTTTGTGACCGAGGCCGGCACCATGAATCTCTTTGTGGTCTGGGCGAACCCTTCCACGGGGAAAAAAGAGCTTGTGACGCCGCCGTTGGATGGGACAATACTGCCCGGAGTGACGCGAATGTCGATTTTGGAGCTCGCAAGGGAGAGACTTGCAGGGCCTGGTTTGGAGGTGGTGGAGAGGAGGATTACGATGGGAGAGCTGGCGGCTGCGTCGAAGGAGGGCCGCCTGCTGGAGGTGTTTGGTGCGGGAACGGCGGTGGTGGTGTCGCCGGTGAGGTCGATTCGCTGGGGAGACCAGATTATTTCCTGCGGTCTGCAAGAGGGGCAAGAAGCTGGTCCGTTGAGTCTGCAGATGAAGACTTGGCTTGAGGAGGTGCAGTATGGCCTGGTTGAGCATTCATGGAGGTGAGTTTTTCCCAGCCAACGCAGAAGAGAGAGGGAGGGAAGGAGAGGAGTAACTAACGAATGTCTAGTTACCGTGTATAATCAATCGTAGCAGCAATAGGAAGGACAAATATTATTGTAAACGGGTTTCGCATCTGCGTGGACCGTTTGTGTTTCCTCTGCTTCGGGTGTAGCATATATATATATATTATATATTTGTAGAATTGAATCTACCAACTCTCCATTAGTCCGATCCCTTATTACAAACAATAACATCTAAACAAATGAAAATTAAAAAAAAAAAAACTAATGTAACCCCCTCGCAGCCAACCCAGTCAAATGCCTCCTCGTATCCCTCCTCCCCAACCCCCCATCCGCACCATCCCCATCACCCTCACCTGCCCAGTCCCCACCACTATATCTTTTACTCTCTCTCCTTTCCGCACTATGCTCCCGACTGCGACTCCTCGTTCTCGGGACCGCTTTCGGAATTATCCCTCCGAACAACTGATTCACCACATTCCAATGCTCGCGAATCGCACTAACCGTCTCTGGCTCCTCCTTCTCACTAATGAGTCCCCTCCGTCCACGCAGCTCCTCCTCTGCGCGCTCTTTCTCGGCCTTCTCGCGCCTCCGAGCCTCGGCCTCGGCACGCTCCTGACGCTCGTACTCTTCCCAGCCGCGTGAAGACTTGTACAGTTCGCGGAAGACGGACGGACGCGAGAGGAGGGTCCGCGGTGGGTCGCTCTCGAGCAGGATGCCGTTGTCCATAACGAGGACGCGGTCGTAGTCGATGATTGTGTCCAGTCGGTGCGTTACGGTGAGCACTGTGTGCTCGGCGAAGCAGCTGCGGATGAGCTCCTGCATCATTTCGTCGGTTTCGGGGTCGACTCTGTTTTGCATTAGGAGCTCAAGGCCAATGGATGGGGAAGGGAAAGGGAAAGGGGATTAACTACTTACCCACTCGTTGCCTCATCAAAAACAATAATATTCCCATGTCGCAGCATAGCCTTCGCCATACAGAGCAACTGCTTCTGGCCGTGCGAGAATAGTTCAGGGCTGGCGATCGTCTCCACCCCATCCTTGCTAGCGAGGATCTCCCACAGACCCACGCGCTTCAGGGTGTTGATGACAGCCTCGTCGGGGCAGTAGTCAAATGGATCGACGTTCTCGCGGATTGTGCTTCCTTCGAGGAGGAGGGGGTCCTGCGGGAGACCGATGATGGCGGAGCGGATTGCTTGGCGGCGGAGGGTGGTGATGTTGATTCCGTCGACGGAGATGGTGCCGTCGCAGAGCTCGATCATCCGGAACAGCGCGGAAACAAGGGTGCTTTTGCCGCTGAATGTTCATTGTGGTTAGCAGCTGTTAGGGGACTGTGGGTAGGGATAGATCTGACGTACCTTCCACTGCGACCGACAATAGCGACCTTCTCTCCCTTCTTCACGCGGAAAGAAACATTCTTCAACACGGGCTTTGAAGGGGCCCTACATCAATTTCAAATCAGTACGTCGTCAAATGGATCACCCTAACTTTAGAGACACAAAAAAAAGAGGGTGGGAAACCAACCGATAGAACGCCGAAACGTTTCTGTACTCCACGGTTCCCCCGCTGGTCCAATCCTCTGGCGGGAGATCCCTCTCCTGCACCAGGTTCTCCGACTCGGTCGACTCAGCAAAATGCTTCACCCGAGTTACAGCCCCTAAGCTGGTCTCTAGCACGGTCCAATCCGTGATAAGGGCCTTAACACTCGCACTCAACGAAACAACATTCACAAGCGCTAGACCCAGCGAACTCGCGTTCGTACTATGCATCGTGCCCACCGCAATTCCCATTAGCACAAGCACGAACCCGGCGACCGTCATGTCGAGGACGAGGCTGAGCCAGCGCTGCACGGCGTAGAGGAGGTAGTATGGGCGCTGGGATTCAGCGAGGAGAGCCCGGTTGCGGAGCTTGTATTGCTCGGCCCAGTTGAAGGCGCGGATTGTGATGAGGCCATTGAGTAGCTCCATAAAGTTGGAGAAGAGCGGCGATTTGGCTTCGATTTCCATGATGCGGAGCTGCCGCGAGGTGCGCATGTAGAAGGTGCCGATGATACAGTAGACGAGGACGCAGAGCGGGATCGTGGCCGTGATGTATCGGGCCGAGACGGCGATGATGATGAGCTGTGCGACGCAGAGGAAGAGCGCGAGACAGGTCTGGAGGACCGCAAGTGGGAGCTCCATGTCGATGAGCTCGAGGTCCTGGCTGAAGCGGTTAAGGGTTGTTCCCGAGTCGGTCGAGGCGAAGAAGGACATCGGGGCGTTGACGACCGTTCGCAGAAGGCGCGAGTGGATGACCGACGCCGTTTTGGCGACGATCTTAAGCATGTAGAAGCAGGCCGTTGCGAGGAGAAAACAGGCGCCGAGCACGCCGAACATCCAGTAGACGCCGATCCGCATGCTTCTGTTCTTGTTCGGCTGGGCGTCGTTGTCTCGCGCCCACCAGGTTACCCAGACGGTCGGGAAAGCCTGCAGGAAGACGAAGATGGCCATGAGTCCGAAGTACACCAGCCAGTTGTGCCACGGCACCGTGGTGAGGTAATAGAGATATGTCTGATAGTCGCTGGACTTGCGCGCGTCTGAGATGGCCTCGTCGGAGTAGGGGGCTGCTTTGGTGACCTCGACGGCCTTGGGCATGGCGCTCTTCATCTGGATTGCGGGCGGTTGGGCGATTGCAAAGCCTTGGATGTAGTCGAGTCTTTTGCAGCAGTCATCAAATGTGCCTTGGACGAGGATGGTGCCGTCAGTGTTTAGGGCAATGATGTGATCGGCGTAGGGGAGTCGGTGGACGGCGTGCGTGACCATGATCACGGTCAAGCGCCGCTTTCTGACGAGGCCGTTGGGACCGAGAACCTGGGTGAAGATGTGTTCGTCCGTTACCGGGTCGAGTCCGCTGAGGGCGTCGTCTAGGAGGATAGTTTCGACGCCGGAATAGAGAGCGCGTGCGAGTGCCTTAGCTTTTGTTAGCTACATCAAGGCAGCCCTAACCAGTTCAACAGACGAGAAGGGCATGCATACCAGTCTCTGCTTCTGCCCACCACTCAGCGAAACACCCTTACTGCCCGCGGCAGTCTGATCACCAGCAGTCAGCTCGGTAAAGTCTTTCTCCAGCCCGCAAGCCGCAACAACAGTTGAATACCACGGCGGATCATATGGCGACCCCCCGAGGATATTCTCCCGTATACTGCCGTTCGTCAACCAAGCCTCCTGCCCACAATATGCCATGCGGTCGCAGTTCACCTTCATCTTGCCCGTCAGACAGTTAACCTCGCCAAGCATCGCCTTCACCAGCGTCGTCTTTCCGCACCCCACAGCACCCACAATCATCGTCAAACTGTGGCGATCGATCCGGTAGGAAAGGCGGTGCAGGATCGACTCCTCGCCGCTCTTCCATCCGATGTCGACTTCGAATGCCTCAATGCAGGGTGTTTTTTCGGTCAGAGGGGATCGGATGACCTCGCGCGGATCTTGATGCGGGTCCTGGGCGAGGTAGTTGCGGATCCGATCGAGACACTCGAGCGCCATTGCGGTCTCGCTGATCGACTCGACTAGGGTGCCGATGAAGACTGCGAAGAGGTTGAAGAGAGTTAGGGAGGTTAGAGCGCGCGCGCTGCCGAGGATCTCGTCTGGTGCGTCTCCCGAGCCCATTGCGTAGATGGTGAAGCTGACAATCGGCGTCATGAGCGTGTTGAAGTTCGCTGGCGCTGCTAATCAGCAAGACAGTTCAAAGGAAGTGTGCAGAGAAGCGAAGAGGGACACTTACAAAGCCCAACAACGGCAATTAGAAGCGAGCGGAATTTCTGGGACGCAAGAATCTCATGCTCCCGCAGTGCTTGAATCTTGTTATGCAGAAGATCAGTTAGGCCGGATATCTTGAAACCCTTCATCGAGCCCAGCATCTCCGCTGTGATTGCTACTCGTTTCTGGATAGCCTCGATCCACAGATTCTGGCGCTCGCCAGCCATCATAGCGATCTTCATGGCCAGCACCGTGCATCCTAATCGAGGTAAGCATTTTAGACTTAGGCTGAAAGAGAAGAGTCTCAAACTCACCAAAAGCGATAATAATCGGCGCGATACCCGCCGTGTCCAGCTCATTATACAGCAAATACAACGCAATGCCAATCTCAATCAGACTCGCCCACGTATCATGGATGTACCGGCCACAGTGGGTAATGCGTTCAATATCAGTACTCATGAGCGTCAGGGCCGCCGAGTCATCGTTCTTATGCGCGTTGATAGCCGTGCTCTTCTCAAAGATCATATCCACCAGCGCCGCGCGCATCATCGTGATCACCCGGTACGTTTTATGCTGCGCCGTCGCAGTCGCGACAGCAATCCCGCCGTAAACGAGCGCATAAGCACCAATCAACAGCGTCGCTTTATTACGAGAATCCGGCCGGTCCCGATAAACAAACAACTCGACCGTGGCGCGGACAAGGAATGGCTGCGAGATGATGAATCCGCTTTGACACAGACGGGGGAAAACCCCAGCCAACAGCTCCCATTTAAAGGCTTTGGCCATCGGCACAACCATCGCGCCAGCCTTGTCCTTATTTGTAACATTCTCCCAGTGCCCGACAACGCGGTGCTTGCCCTCCGGGTCGGGGAGCATGCAGCTTTCAAGGTGGAAGAGGTCACCCACTGACAGGCTGGTGCGCGCGCCGCGGAATAAGAGCGGGTTGATCCACCAGAAGAGACTGCGGTTGACAACGCCGGTCCAGTCCTCGGGTGCGCGACTCGCATACATTGGTCTGGCGAGGCGTTGCTTTTCCCAGATCTCGAGGATCAGAAGGGGGGCTTTCACAACTGTGCCAGCGATGAAGATGGCGGAGACAGTGCGCAGGCCTTGGATGACCCATGTTGTTCGAGCGAGGGGGATGTCGAAGAGTAGCGTAAGGATGAAGTAGATACTTAGGATCTTAGATGGCCGGAGAGAGCGATGATGCTGTAAGTGTAATAGATACCCGCAAGGCAGCGTGGCAATGAACCGTAAGACTGTCGAGGCAATGGTGAGGTCTGTCTTTGGGGCTCCGGATTTCATCCAAAATGCGAGTAGCAATAGTTGCGAGATGGAATAGGGTGCAAGCAGTAGCTATATCGGGTACTCAGTTCCGTTCACGCACTACTGCACCAGATATTCTAGACAGACATACCAGTTTCAAAGTGTGCAGCCAGCCCCCCCTGACCTTGAGACTGGCGCTACGAACCAGGAAACACCTTACAGTCGCAGCCAAGATCAACGTCGCAGCAGGAAAGATAGACAAAAAGGCTTCCTCAAAGTACAAAGTAAAGTCCAACCCCCCATAGCAGGTGTCTCCAACTATGGGGCCGAAGTGGTTGTGCTCATCGATCGTGCAAGAGCCCGCCATGGCGAGTTCAAACGCAGCAAACAGAGATAGAGGTTCAAATCCACCCCCCGTTCATCACGCACAACCCAGCCTCCTGGGTTTATGGGAAAGTAGGGATTCTTCACTGAGTTTCTGCGCGTCCGCCTGGAGAAAGCCTGTCGCTCGCTGCTTCACGAATAGAGCACAGTTCAGGACAGGACAAAGCGGGTCTTACTGTCACTCCAACTCCCACCTGTGCTGCCAGAGCCAAGAACAGAACCACCCCCAAAGCCAGCGGCTGTGTCTGCATGAAAGGAATGGTGGACGGACGGGGCTCAGCTTGGGTCCGCGTGTACGGGATTGCGGGTATGCTTCCGAATGGAAACGTTGACTTCGCGTGGCCGTGGCTCGTAAACGTACAGCGGACTCGGCCCCCAAGGCCAAGAGAAGCGAGTATCGATCGTACAGCCTAGAAGAATTCGGGTACGCCATGGAAGCGACAGGGCCAAGCTTCAGCTCTGAGGACCATTTGGGTTTCGGGATTTGATCAGCCCTGTCAGCCAGGGGAGAAACTCTCGGCACTCTTGGTGACCTGTCTAGGCTTAGGGCTTACGAGCAGGCCAATCAACTTGCGTTATTGTTTATTACGCTAAAAGCCTGGCTCGAGTACATCTATATTGGGAGTAACATACATACGATACATACGTACATAATACATGATTACATACATACGGTAATACACGCGCAAATACAGGGGTAGATGCATACGCAGATGCATCCGGCCACATGGACTACACACGTTCTATTCTTGCAAATCCAACGATCCAACGCCGCAAGAACACCCAAGTGGCCAGACCGAACACCTTGTGCATATAACCCTGTCAGCACCAGCCTCGCCGAGAAATTGGGAACATGGAAGCAGGTCTGAGGTCATCTCGAAGTCTGCTGGTGGATTCTTCGAAATAGATGCCATTCCCCTTATCCCACCGGGTATAATAATAACTCCGGCCGTCTAACACAGAAGTCACTGTTGAAAAGGGTTCTTACGTGGACCATTTCATCAGTGTCACACCAACAAACTAAGGGAACGAAAGAAAGAAAGGCCAAAGAAGAAAGGGACCAGCCATGGTCTCCGCCCAAGATGATGGTGCGCAGCGGAAGCTCGCCCATACTCTGCTCTTGGAGCTGATGTCGTGCGTTTATCCCTCTTACCTTGTGCAACCATACCATATACCCTGCATAGTTCATGTTGATCATGAGCTTTCGTGATCCCTCTCTCCTTCCTTATCGCTCCCTCCTCATGTCAAGTGTCCTTGTTGAGCTTCATACTTACACCTATATGCAATTACCAGATATCAATTTGCCTCCCCGGTCCGCTGGATCGAAACCCAAGATGTTGTGCTCGGTCAATACCGCGCCGAGCGCATCATTGAGATCGGCCCAGCCGCAACACTTACCAACATGATCAAACAAACCGTCCAGTCCAAATTCCTGCACAGCGACCGGGCCTCCCTGCTGGAGCGTCAGTTGCTCGCCTCCGAGAAACAGGGGAAGGATATCTACTATGAGGACGATGGCGTTGGTATTGGCATTGGCGCGGAGGCACCCGCTCCGGCTGCCCAGGCCCATACCCAGGCTTCCGGTGGCGACGGGACGCCTGCTGGCGTCGGCAGTACTGCTGCTGTTAAGGCCCCTCCCGCTCCCGCCGCCAAAGCGGTAGCACCGGCTGGCGGCATCGAAGCCATCGAAGACCAACCAGCGCGAGCCTCTGAGATCGTTCGCACACTGTTATCGAGAATTTTGAAGATCGCGGTGACGGACGTGGTCGGGACACAGAGTATCAAATCGCTGTCTGGTGGTAAGTAGACCCATCGAGCCCCTTCTCCTGTTGCGATGAATTGATCGATCTAACAACGAATCCAGGTCGCTCAACCCTAGAGAACGAAATCATCGGCGACCTCGCCAGCGAGTTCGGGTCCCTCCCCGACCGCGCCGAAGACCTTACAGTCAGCGACCTCAGCGCTGCCCTCCAAAAGACCTTCACGGGCCAGATGCGCAAGGTAATACTGAAAATGCTCCACGCGATGTTCGCGTCCAAAATGCCCGGCCAATTCACCGTCGCCACAGCGCGAACATATCTCCAGTCCCGCTGGGGCTTAGGTTCTGGGCGTCAAGATTCCGTCCTGTTATTGGCGATTGCGCAGCAGCCCGGGAGTAGACTTAAGGAGGAGGCAGAGGCTAGATCATTCTTTTATGGGCTTGTACAATTTTATGCGGCTGAGCATGGATTGACGTTAGGCGCGAATTCGGGTGCCACAGATGAGACATCAGGGTTGGGGGAGAGTTTGGCGATGGATCAGAAGACGTTAGCGGCCTTGACGGGGGGACAGCGGGAGCTGTCGAAGGCGCTGTTGAAGATCTATGCCAAGCATTTGAATATCGATCTGGATGGGGATCGGCGCGCGCTGCATGATCTGCAGGCGACGGTGGAGAAAGATCTGCGGCTGGCGCTGGACCAGATTCGTCAGGAGCTTGGGGAGGATTTTACCGATGGGGTGAAACCGGTGTTTAGTGCGAGAAAGGCGAGGAGGTTTGATAGTGCGTGGAGCTGGGCGTTGCAGGATCTGCTGCAGTTGTATTATGAGGTGTCGAGGGCTGGTGGTGAGACGGAGGAGGTGCATCTGGCGGCGAGACAATGCAAGCATATTGAGGATGCGGCAGACCCCAGGCTCCTGGATGTGCTACAGCGGATAATGTGCAAGTTCGAGCAACAGCCAGTGCTGTCGTCTTTATTTACACAGCTTGCGGCGCGGTGTCGCGAGTCGTTGCTGCACGGTCCGAGATACCTAGCGCGGCCTGATAATCGGGGTCCGCGCACAACGATCAGCGCAGAGGGCAATATCTCCTACACTGAGCAGGACCGGCCTGAGCCAGTGCCACTCGCGAATTTGGTGTATCTTCCCAAAAGCACGGAGGTGGCCCCGCTGGAGCCGTTCCTGCACCTGAAGCAACGGGCTAGTGGTTCTTCCTGGGCATACAGCCGCGACCTCACGGAGCAGTACCGCGCCGTGCTGGAGCAAGCCACGACCGTCGGAGAGTCCTTTGCTGGTCGCTCTGTTCTCATCACTGGCGCTGGAGTTGGGTCCATTGGTGCGGAAGTCCTCAAGGGCCTACTAGCTGGCGGTGCTCGCGTGATTGTAACAACTAGCCGCTTCTCATCCAGCGTGGTCCGCAAGTACCAGGACTTGTATGCACAGGTTGGGTCTCGCGGCTCGGAGCTGGTCGTCGTGCCCTTCAACCAGGCCAGCGTGCAAGATGTCACCGCGCTAGTCAATTACATCTATGACGCCCAGGGCGGCCTGCATTGGGATCTCGACCATATCCTGCCCTTCGCGGCTATGCCCGAGAATGGCCGAACAATTGAGAAGATCGACCCGCACTCCGAATTGGCTCATCGGACTATGATGGTCAACACGCTGCGCCTGCTCGGTGCTGTCAAGGCTCGCAAAGAAGCGCAGGGCTCGCAGACGCGACCAACCCAGGTCATCCTGCCTCTCTCCCCCAACCACGGTGTTTTCGGTGGAGACGGTCTCTATAGTGAGTCTAAACTGGGTCTGGAGGCACTCTTCAACCGTTGGCACTCGGAGGACTGGTCCGACTACCTCTCCGTGTGCGGTGCCGTGATCGGCTGGACCCGGGGAACAGGTCTCATGAGCGGCAATAACCTTGTAGCGGAAGGAATCGAGGAGCTAGGATGCCGAACCTTCTCCCAGCAAGAGATGGCCCAGTGTCTCCTCTGCCTCATGTTCAACCCCATGTGCAGTCTCTGCGAGGAGGCGCCCCTCTACGCCGACTTATGCGGCCGCATGGGTGCGGTGCCGGATCTCAGACAGAAGGTGCAGGAGCTGCGCACGGAAATCAATGAGACGGCTAACACGCGCAAGGCGCTCCTGGAGGAGCTGGAGATGGAAGCCAAATGCTGTGAGGAGCCAACACTCACGGCTGCTTCCGAACCAGCAAAGGCTACGGCCACCCCCACCCCAACAGCTCACGTCCGTCTGGACTTCCCCCCAACCCTCGACTACAATCAAGACATCAAGCCACTCACACCCGACCTACAGGGCATGGTTGACCTCGACCGTGTTGTCGTGGTGACAGGATTTGGGGAGATTGGACCATGGGGCAACGCGCGTACGCGGTGGGAGATGGAAGCCTACGGGGAGTTCTCACTCGAAGGCTGCGTTGAAATGGCCTGGTTGATGGGGCAGATCCGGTATGAGAACGGTGCAAGTGCATCACCGGGTTGGGTGGACGCAAAGACAAACGAGCGTGTCCACGACCATGAGGTCAAGCAGAAGTACGAAGAGCATATTCTGTCCCACACGGGCATTCGTCTCATTGAGCCCGACCGGTTCGGTGCAAACTACCACCCCGAGCACAAGCAGCTGCTGCATGAGGTGCTTATCCAGGAGGACTTCCCCGAATTGGAGGTGCCTGAGGCTACTGCGCAGCAGATGAAGCTGGAACACGGGGACAAGGTGGATATTATCCCCGATCCAGAGGGAGGCGATCAGTGCCGTGTGGTCTTGAAGAAGGGGGCAAAGTTGATGGTTCCCAAGGCGCTGCGGCTGGATCGAATGGTCATCGGACAAATTCCCACTGGCTGGGACGCACGCAAGTACGGGATTCCGGACGATGTGATCTCGCAGGTAGACCCGGTTACCTTGTACATGCTGGCCTGCTCGATTGAGGCCCTACTTTCGTCAGGGATCACCGATCCCTATGAGATCTACCGGTATATCCACGTCTCGGAGGCCGGCAACTGCGTTGGCTCCTCCTTGGGCGGTTTTAACTCGCTCCAGCAGATGTATCGCGGCCGATATATGGAGAAGGAAGTGCAGAAAGATATCCTGCAAGAGACATTCGTCAACACCATCGGTGCTTGGATGAACATGCTCCTCATGTCCTCTGCCGGCCCCATCCGGACACCCGTCGGCGCTTGCGCAACCGCAATCGAGTCCGTCGAGCTAGGATACGACACGCTGATCAGTGGCAAGGCGCAATTCTGCTTCGTCGGTGGCGGCGACGACTTTGGCGAGGAGGTTCTCTACGAGTTCGCCAATATGAAAGCCACCGCCAACACAGTCGACGAGTTCGAGCAGGGCCGCGAGGCCTCTGAGATGTCTCGTCCTGCTGCAAGCACGCGCAACGGCTTCATGGAGTCCCACGGCTGTGGCGTCCAGATTCTCACGACCGCAAGACTCGCCATCGAGATGGGCCTGCCTGTCCGCGGCGTGGTCGCCTTTGTGGAAACCTCCAGCGACAAGGCAAGTCGGTCGGTCCCCGCGCCTGGAAGGGGGATCCTCTCCAAGGCCCGTGAGGTGCAACCCTCCTCCTCTTCGCTCATTTCTTCGCCATTACTCAAGATCTCAAACCGACGCAAGCGCCTCGACTTTCGCAAAAAGCAGATCGAGTTCGCGCGGGAGACTGCCCTCGAGGAGCTCCCACTTGAGATTGTCAGCATTGAGGAATCCGAGGTCGAGAATTATGTCCGCGAGCGCACGGCACAGATTGATGCCGAAGCACGCAAGGATCTCAGAAACGCCCAGTACCACCTCGGCAATGCCTTCTGGCATAACTATCCTAGCATCGCGCCCCTGCGCGGGGCATTAGCCGTTTGGGGTCTTACCATCGATGACCTCGACGTCGCCTCCTTCCACGGGACATCAACGAAGCTGAATGAGAAGAACGAGTGCAGTCTTATCCAGGCTCAGCTTTCCCACCTTGGCCGGACAAAGGGGAACGTCATCCTCGGCGTGTTCCAGAAATATCTAACGGGGCATCCCAAAGGCGCAGCCGGAGCGTGGATGCTCAACGGCGCTCTGCAAATCCTGGACACAGGGATCGTACCGGGGAACCGCAATCTCGACAACGTGGAAGCCGAGCTGCAGAAGAACGAGCAGATAGCCTTTTTAAATCGGTCATTGGACACAGGCCGCGGCAGCATGCGCGCGGTGAGCGTCACTTCATTCGGATTCGGACAGAAGGGCGCTCAGACTATTGTCGTGCATCCCAAATATCTGTTTGCGACGCTAGAGGAGCAGGAATATAAGGAATATGTGGACAAGCGAGCGAAGAGGCAAAAGAAGGCCGATTCGTTCTTCTATCGGGGGTTGGCTTCCAATAGGCTTTTTGAGCTGAAGACTGCGCCGCCGTGGGCGCCGCAGAAGGAGTTGGAGACGCTGTTGGATCCCACGGTGAGGTTCTAGGAGGAAAAAGTGATGAATTATAAGATATCGGCTGTTGTTGTGTGATGGTCAGGATTGGGATTCTTTTGTCTTTCATGACTTTGCTTTGGATTTGGAGTTCTGCATAGTGATGAAGTATTTAGTAATGTATTATTTCAAGTGCCAAATGTGTTGCTGTATCTCATTCTGGGTGTAAACGTACTGGATCGAGAGTTGAGGCGGCATCTATTACACCTAGGAATGATATATATATATATATATATATAGAAACTGGGAGGATGCGGTATACCCATCTATGTCACGGCATTAGGCAACAGCATATCTATGCTTCCGCCGGTCTCCACAAACCAATGTTGATGATAGGGTGGCTCGGTAAGTCTATCTGAAGCAGGATGTAGTCTTTGTAGATCGCAGTGGCTTGTGGATCATGGTGTAACAACAATCTGCAGTAAGACGATCAAATATAAGACAGTATGTGCTTACTTTACTATCTTGAGGGATTGTAGACCGGGAAGTACGTAGCTTTGATGCCTAATTTAAAAAAGCATATCTAGAGATATATATATCCTTCCTTCATCACTAGGTATCACAGGGCTTCGGTATAGGTTGACACTCAACATAGTGCTGTTCAACAGATGACTTGATATTAAGACACCAATTCTAACAAGCATTATCAAGTTATACATCGATCTCCCACTAAACTACGGTACGAGGCCTAAACTCCACCAAAGGTCCCTCTTTAGCAGCCGTGATATGCAGAGCTAGCTGGTACTCAGCATCCTCGTTTACCTTGACACCCTGGGGCAGCCGCATATCAAAAGCATACAAAATATGACACAGTGTTAACGTTAACTCAATATACGCCAACGGCTTCCCAATACATCCACGAGGCCCAATCGAGAAGGGAGTAAAGCCCGCAAACGGCGAATATTCGCTGCGATACGGGTCAGGCACCGCCTCGGGTCCCAGCCACCGTTCTGGGACGAACTTGAAGGGTTGCGGATAGATTTCCGGATGGTGCTGAATGGCGTATACGCAGGTGCCAGCCTCAAGACCCTGGGGGATGTACTGTCCATCTACGGTGGCTCCGCCCGCGTCGGCCTGGCGCCATAGGGGACCTGGGGCGGAGGGCGACAGACGCATGCTCTCTTCAATGACTGCGCGGAGGTACGTGCACGAATTTACCTTTGGACCGAGACCGATTTCGGCACGGGATTGGAATGTGCTGCGAACTTCTTGCACGGCGCGTTCGTAGACCTTGGGATGGTGGCAGAGGTAGTATATGGACGCGGCCACTGCGGTCGAGGTGGTATCGGTTCCTAAGATGGTCGGTCAGTTTTCTCTTCATAGAGAGAAGGATTCGATCTACAGTACCTGCGACCACCAATGTTGCGCTCTCGCCGCAAAGCTCTTTGAAGGAAAGAGGCTCCTGTGTTTCTGGGTCGGTTGCATCGCGAAGCAAGGCGAATGCCCCCTTCAAGGAACCCTTGCCTGACATGGCCATCCCCTGCCGAATGATATCGTTGACAAACTTGACAAACTGATTCCGAGCTGCAATGGCCGCGGGAAAGAGGTATTTATCGATCTTCATGTTCTTCGATCCGCCGGCCTCTATCAAACAGCCGACACGCACATTGGACACTTCAATCAAGTGCGGCACATTTCGGTATTTCTTCTCTGTCAACGAAGACCAGGGTACACCAAAAATGACACTGCACATGACATCAAATGTGAACCAGTCGCCTGCGAATACGGTTAGGGCCAACAGCTCGAAGAAGATACACGGGATAACCTACACCAGTGGGACATGTTCTTGGCTGGCCCCCAGCTTCCATCCGGAACAATTTCATTTGAATTATCGCCTTCCCGACGAAGTGCCGTGCAAAGTTGCGCGATCTTTTGCTGAATAGTTTCCTCATATCCGCGGAAGGCTGCATCGGAGAAGGCCTGGCTGATCAAGCGGCGCTTCTTGCCGTGCTTGCGTTTGTCGATTGTGGTCAGAGTGTTTGCGGCCTGGTGGACCATGGCATTGTATTTGACTGACTTCTTGAAGTTTCTGCCATGAGAGTAGATCTCTATGGCCAGTCAGCATGACCTCTCAGAGACAGTGCTAGAAGGCCTCATCGCACCTTTTAGTCCTGCAGCGGTGTTGACGCTCAACTCATTGGGGCCGTAACGAACATATGGGCCTAGTAACAGCGAAGCGTCAGTTGATACCCATTCATGGAGAAGATTCAATATCACCCACCATACTTCTCGTGGCAGCGCCACATATCAAGGTGCTGGTCACCTTTCCATGAGTGATAGACCGCATAGTAGTTGGTGAGCTTGCCCAGCAGAGGCCCTGGGTACTTGGAGTATGGGTGGAAGTACAATCGACGAACACAGAATATGGTCAACTATTACACAGGCTGTCAGTCGGTAGTCACTTGGTGCGAGGACCTAGGCGAGGTCACATACCGCAAGCACAACCACGCCCAGCCACACCGCGAATGCGGCCAGGAAGTTGGAAGTTGCAAAGTAAGTATGCAGCATATTGAACTGCGTGTCTTGCCCTCTCACTTCAGATATGTTCCGGCTAAGCAGGAAGAGACTCGACTGAGTCAAATACCCCAAAGAAGTGGACGAAATGGCATCATGAGATGCCGGGTCGATGTGCGCAACCTCGCAATCAACCTTGCAACCCCACCTCCTAACAAGCCCTGCTCCCTTTTTCCGTCATTGTTGACTCAAACTCAGCCTTCTGAATGAGGTGGACCCAGTTCAGCTCCAGTTGTGATTCGTATTTCGCCATTGCTGTTGGAACATGGTGGACAAGTATGAAGGATGAAGGATTGGTATCCTGGTGTACTCGCGGCATGACGTTCTGTACGTAGGCTATGTATGGGCGAAATAAGGTACTGTATTACAACTGGTGGTATGTTTTCAGTCTGTAATCTTGGTCACATCTTGTTCGCCCGTCGATCCGGAGTATCTCCATGGGAGCTAAACTGTAGTCTACAGCTAGCCGTGCGCCACGAGGAAAGGTTACATCGTGCGGCAATAAGGAAAAGGATCATGTCGGAGCTTGGCATCGATATCTGATAATTCTTCCGCCTCTATAGCTGAGCTGTGCTGTTCGTTGTCTTTTTTAGCGATCAAGTCCTAAAGCTCGACTCACGCATTCACGACAAATCGATTGACAATGGCAGAGCGCTCGTACCTTTCTCGCTTTTTCTCTTCCCAGTTTTCAAAGCTCCCATACCCTACGCAGAGCTTCAAGGATGCCGTAATCCTAGTGACGGGGGGGAATACCGGGCTCGGGCTGGAGGCCGCGCGACACTTCGTGCGGCTACAAGCGGCCACAGTTATCCTGGCTGTCCGCGACGTGAAAAAGGGTGAGCAGGCGAAGCAGTCCATTGAGGCGTCCACCAAAGTACAAGGCGTCGTCGAGGTCTGGCCGCTGGATCTAGAAGATGTCCGCGGCGTTAGAAGCCTGGCCGCCAAGGCGTCCGGTCTCCCCCGTCTGGACGTGGTAGTTGCAAATGCAGGTATCTCAACCAACAAATGGACACTCGTTGGCGAAGAGGAACGAACCATCCAGGTGAATGTCCTCTCAACGTTTCTTTTGATCCTGTCGCTCTTGCCGAAGATGCAAGAGCCAGACACGGCGGGCCGGACCCGTGCGTATCCCCGCGTTGTGGTGGTCTCCAGCGAGGGACATGAGACGACGGCTTTCGCAGAGCAGAAAGCCGCGCGGATTTTCGACGCACTAAGGGATCAGAAGCAGGCGAACATGGATGAACGGTAAGGATTCCCGAACACCAACCTTACCCTGTTCTTGCCTGGTGGGGTCAGCGTCTAGAACAGCTAGATTAACCGATTCGCAGCTACGATACATCCAAACTTATCCAGCTCTACCTCGTGCGTGCCCTTGCAGAGCGTCTCAGCCAACCCGACAAACGCCCGGTCATACTCAACGCCGTGTCGCCGGGATTATGCAAAACTGGGCTTCTCCGCGAGACTCCGCTTGTGGCTCAGCTTCTGACAGGTCCCATTATGGCTGTCCTTGCTCGCAGTGCAGAGGAGGGCAGCCGGACATTGGTTCACGCCGCTGCGGCTGACGACGGTGAGAGGAATGGAAAGTACCTGCGTGACTGTAAAGTGACTGAGTAAGGCGTCCCTGTCATTCATTGATTTCCTTACTTATTCAATAAACACGTTGTGACCACGAGGGCTGACGGGCTGATTACATGCAGACCTGCAGCGTTTGTACGCAGCCAAGAAGGCCGCGCCACGCAAGAGCGATTGTTTCAGGAGCTTTTAGACGAGCTGGAGAAGGTTTTCCCTGGAATCGGGAAGAATATCTGAGCCCCCAGTGAATTTGTACGTAATTGCTATGTAAATTGATTGATTTGATATCTTGATTGTTCTGTGGTAGCTACAGCGAGACGCCCGCTATAGTCAACTAATAGTATTCACCTGTTTAGCTAGTCTGTACGATTCTCGATCTGGCCCCTGGGTCCACCGAGGGAGTAAGTAGGGTTGGCTCTACATGGCTCTATTAGCAGTTCGCCATCTCCATGCATTCTGTCCCGATATGGCAAACTCTACGCTGCAGCCAATTAGTAAAACGTGTGTGAGCAAGCAGAATCAGCCCATACCCTCGGCGAATCGTGGACGAGCGCACAGCCAATGGGGAATTAGCCGCAGGAATCTGTTGGCTTCAGGCTACCACTAGCCCTGTCACATTGCAGTGGCTGGACCCTTTGTATTAAATGAGTATTGTTGTTTAGAATAGATGAGTGGCAGATCATTGTGGAGAGAGAAACTCTTAGGGGCTGGGGGCCGTATCCGTATGCGTATTACGCTGAATAGCCTTGGCGTATTCCTTACTATTACTCCATGTATTATACCTTACATGATACAAATCAAGGAACAATATGGGATACCAGTATATTGCCGCTTAGTCTTGGACCGTAGGCGCAAGATTACACATCGAACGATCTTGAAATAGCGCTAAGGGCGGTACTGCCTGTGAACGTGGATAACACACCGGTTAAGAATGGCCCGAAGGAAGGATTCCGTTCCTGCTGACATCGGTAAGAGTGTTGCTCCGTTTAGGGTGGTTTGGAATGAAACATAGCAGATAGTTTCGTCCCCAGCGCAGAACTAGTCACTACATACAATCAGTAAGCCTGTAGTGTTTCTCTCACCGTGCAGTTTTAGGTTCTTAGGCTCCCACTGTAGTTCTCGTCGCAGTGGCAAGTTAGGTCTAGTGATAGAGCTGAGGATATGGTGCCTGGAAATCAAGGCAAATTTATTAGGAACCACCAAGCCAACACGTGACAATGAGCCCCAACCGTCTCGCCGTCTTGCTCGCTCAGCAATCTTTTCTCCGATAATTCGCATCAAGCATAACTAACAACGAGAAGTTGTGTTGCCATGAGGTACGAGGAGCAAGATGAGGCAGTTCGCTCACTGGAGCATTTCGCCAGCGACACAGACGCCGAAGGCGAAGACGCTCCCTTAATCCCTGATCTATCTGGTGCGGTTTCACCACAGACCCCATTGTCGAGAAAAAGCGTTCTGCGAGTAATTCTACTATGCGCATCGGCTACTTTAATTCTAGACATTGGTCTTACGCTTGTGCGTGCACCGAAGATCCGCTTGTTCGAGTCTATCCTGTGCCAGGCATACTATCGAACGCATGGCAGTGCCCTCCCAGTGCCGATGCAGGACATTCCCGAGTCCCAATGTAAGACAAAGGAGATCCAGTCCGGGGTCGCCCGTTTGATCGGTTGGCAGACGGTGTTTGACGGGATTCCAGGTATGCCAATCACAGTTTCACTTTTAGTGAGTGTGCGCTGTTGCCAGATCAACTGCCCTAACCTGCTGAAGCCATTTTCCTGGCCATTCCCTACGGAGCGCTATCCGATTCCAAAGGCCGCAGGCCAGTTCTATTAATGTGCTTTCTGGGCCTGGCGCTGTCGACTGCGTGGGCCTTGCTCGTGTGCTGGATGCAGTGGCCCTTGGAATTAACGTGGATCTCGTCTCTATTCCAATGCTTAGGGGGCGGTCCCGCGGTGGCTACCGCAGTCTTGGAAGCCACCATTGCCGATGTGGTGCCGGATGATAAAAGGTAGGTGTTCCTTTCTGTTTCTACTGCATACAATACCGCAACATTGTCTACATCCTGACGCACGCGGCCTAAAAAAGGTCCACCATCTACTTCCAGTTGCAAGCCGCGGTATTGATCTCTGATATCCTTGCAAACCCCCTGTCATCTGTCCTGATGGCCCACAATCAGTGGACTCCCTGCTTTCTAGGCGTAGGAATTCAAGCCCTTGCCACCGTCCTGCTGATGGCCTTGCCCGAAACGCTAGACTTTTCCAGGGTGTCACGGCCGTTAGATGCGTCGATCGATGGCTGCAAGGAAGAGGAGCCGACGCTGCGTGGCTGCTTGGCAAAGAACTTCCGTATCATCGTGTTGGACCGAAATATCGCTGGTCTGGTATTCAGTCTCCTCATATTGACCATTAGTGCGGAGTCGCTGGGTTTCCTGCTACAGTATGTTTCGCAACGGTACGGCTGGTCGATCGCTCAGGTATGTAGGATCTAGCATAGCAACTTTCTCCCCAGCCCCTGCCTCGCCCCATCCCCGTCATTCTGGGTGATTAAGACTGACGTAGATGCGAAACTTACCTAGTCGGCGATGCTTCTCTCTTTACGAGCCATGGTGGAGTTTGGGCTCCTTCTCGTCCTGGGGTCCCTGCTCTTGTTCGTCAAGGGTCCGGGTCTTCGTGATCCCCAACAGCGTGATCTATTAATCGCCCGGTTTAGTCTAGGACTCATCATCCTAGGGCTTCTAATCCTGTCGTTGTCCCCCACCGTGGCCCCGGCAATCCTTGGTGAGCCTCCCAGCTTGTTTATTCGTCCGCTAGCTACAAGGGCACCAAGAGAGGGAAAAAGACAAACAGAATCACCCCAGTGTTTGTAGCTGGTGTGGCCCTGTCCTGTCTATACTATCTACACATCTGCTAGAGATTTCACGCATACCATTCCGCCTACCCTATTGTACCACTAACCTAAGCACAGGCCTTATAGTCTACACTCTCGGCGCGGGCTTCCAACCCGCCGTAATGAGCCTCCTCGCCTCTCTCTGGAAGGCCTCTAACCCCTCTAACCTCGGCAGTCTTTACAGCACTGTTGCCATAATCCTCGCGGTGGGCGGCGTGGTCGCCGGTCCTTTGATCTCGCTGATGTATCGGATTGGCCTCTCATTAGGTCATGCATGGGTGGGCCTGCCTTACTTTGTGGCTTCGGGTCTCTGTGCAGGGATTGCAGTTGTTTTGTTGTCTGTTACATTACCAGGACGAGAATGAGAACCAGGACGAAGTGAAATGTGATACTGGTTTGTTTGGGAATGAAATTGAAACGTGAAATGAAACGGGACGGGACAGAAAGAAATGGAATGACATGAGATGAGCTGCATTTCGCTCCAAAGGGACGATTTGACGGATATGTGGATAGATGGATGGCCCTGTAGGCAGGCAGCCATTTTTTTTTTTTTTTTTTTTTTTTTTTAGGTGCGTAGTACACCGGTGGAGGCAGAAGGATTAATATCATATACACACGTAAAGAAAGGGCAGGGGATCTGCATTTGCTGAGAGATGAGGGAGGGGTGAGGTGGGATATAAAAGAGGATAGGCTCCCGCTATTTGGGTTTACCTTTCTACAAAATCATTGGAGAGGTGACTTTTTAGTTACTATGAACTTCATGCTATATGTGATGGAAAGTATCTCACCACTAACAGAACATCATACAAAAAACATGGATGGCTATCACCACTACTTCTATCATCCCTTTGACACCATCCTTTCTACAAACATCAAAATAAGACTGATTGTTTCTCTCCATGTTCGTTGCGCTAACAGCATCTTAGCCAACTGCCCATCTACTTGAGCAAGCTAAACTAACAGGACAATTACTTCTTAGGAGTCCGTCTCATATTTGTGACAAAGGGAATCACTCGAGCGTTATCCAGGTCCCAGATCCGTTCCTGAATGTAGGGATCACTTTTCAGACGTTCCCAGATCTGCTCCTTACTCACATCGTTGACGACCATAACGGACCCCTTGAAGGGCCGGCGAGGGTTTCCGGGAAAGGTGTGCTTCTCGAAGATAGGCCCTGCACACACCCACGCCTCGGTTTAGTGATGATTGAACAGTGGTAGGTAGCATGAAGATGGCTAATCGAAGAAGAACAAGGGCATGAAAAGAAAGAAAGGAAGACGGAAGAGAGGAAGAGAGGAAAATGGATGAAAAAAGCTCACCAGCCCAGGTAACCCATTGTTCCTTGTGAAGACGCACAAAGTTGGGCGAGTGCCGGGGGCGAATTTCGAGCCGACGGTCAAGCTAGGCCAGCACAACAATATCAGAAGAGGTCTTGTGCCGAGCTAGGGTGGGAGTGGTGGGTTCGGTGAGGCCATCAGTCATCACTCACCACATTGGGCATATCCGGAAACAGCACCAGCCATTCTCTCGGCGCAGCAGCAGGGGCGGAGGCAGGGATAGGAGCAGGAGCAGGAGCAGCAGCAACGGCCGCAGCAGACGAAGCGAATCTGGCTCCGAGATGAGAGAGCTGAAGGGCGAATCTATGGGCCGCGCCAATTCCGTTCGCCATAGGCATACTGAAATGAGACGCAAGGTTTGATCGAGGGGGAAAGTGAGAAGTGGATCTGGTTTGATGGTGTGCACAGCAACTGCAGCTACCACTAGCACCTCCTTGATGGCTGGCCCCCATTTTATGTCTTACCCTTCACGTTTCCCGCTGCCATGTGCCATGTGTTGCCTCTCTCAGACAACTCGCTGACCACCGGGTTGGAGAGACATCTGAGACACACAACCCATGTGTAGTGCGTGGCGGAACCTCGTTGGTGGAGGGTGAGGAAATGAGTATCAGCTGCGGCATCCTGGTGCTCATCCTGCTGAAGTCTGGGGCTGCGCATACGCTTTAGTGAGGATGAGGATGAGGATATCTCCAGTTCGATATACAGAGTGTGTAGCGGTAACGGTACCAGTGGTAAACTAGTGGTACCGTAAATTCATACGGGTATTTCAAGACATACATGATACAAGTGTACCTTGACGGCATCTAGACTGCAGGTTTGACTCCACTCCTGCAGTAGCGCCAGATGCATAATTTTCCGTGCCGACCGAACGTGCCAAGGGGGGCCAAAAAGGCCTTTGCTGCATGAGTTATTAATTTATGGGGCTGTGAATTGAGGGGCGCTCAGGCACTACCATGCCCCAGCCTGATCGACGAATACCCGACAGGCCAATCCATCTCCTACCCGAGAGTCTAATATACTATGTTTAAATCCCGGTATTACACTAGGAACGTGGATAATCTGACTGTCAGCTGCTGTGGGGCTGAGATTGCTAAAAGTAATTCCTAACCAACAACTAGAATAATATCATGGCGCGTATAGGTACTAAGACTGGACAGTCGAGAATGTTGGCATAGATTGCATGGCTGAGTCCCCAACAACTTCAAGCTAGCTTTGCCGGAATTTATTTGGCGACAGACGGATTGGACTTGACTTCACTCGAGAATCCACGGGCATCCGATTGACTACACTTCCTGTCGTTGCGACTATGAACTCTTAGACAAGCAGAAGAAGAGAAGAGAAGAAAAGGTACGATATCCTTGACGGACAGCTAACATACACAGACACGAAGACCATAATTAATACACTACAATCATAATCATAATGCCTTCCACCAGCGCGACCGCAGACTCGTCTGCGCAATTTTGGAAGAAAGCCACGGCAGAAATGGAAATCAGTCGTCTTTCCCATCTCACCCGCTCCTACGAGGGACAAGCACAATGGAGGAGCTATCCTGTCAACCCCAGCATCGAGCTGCAGACGCTGAGCGCGTTTTGCGAGGCGCACCGGACCTCGCTCCTGGTGATCCTCCAGACCGCGTGGGCCGCAGTTCTGGGTCGGTTCCTTGCGACAGACACTGCGACTTTCGCCAGCAGCCTGGAAAATGGCGATGAGGCGAAGCACGGTGTTTGCGGTGCGATCTGGTCGCGGGGCGCTACCACGCTGCATGAGCTGTTAGAACAGCTTCAGCGGGGGTACGAGGCGTCGTTTGCGCACCAGGATATACCGTTAGGGGAGCTGGAACAGCTGTTGAATGTGGTTCCTGATACTGGGGTAAGGGTGAAGCACATTAGCTGGCCCGGCGCGTCTCCGTATCAATCGGGGGGAAGCGACAAGGTGACTAGTAGTTTGACCGAGATTTTCAATGGCATCGCAAAGGCTAATAATGGCGCAGCGGGTGATTGAATTGGTCGCACAAGTCAGCCCAATCTCAGTGCGCATTTCCGTGGAGTACAACGCTTCTGCTCTGTCGTCGGTCTATGCGCAAAGCATTGCAGGCTCGCTGGAGAGGAGTCTGCAGGCGGTTGTAACCCGTGGCTTGACCCCCGTCTCCCAGACCGACCTGTGCAGTAAACAAGATCGGGAGGCAATCTTCAACTGGAATGTATACGTGCCAGTCTCAATTAACGAATGTGTGCACACGCGCATTGAGCGCAAGGCCCTCGAACAGCCCCAAGCACTCGCAGTCGCGGGCTTTGGAGGCGATATAACCTACCAGCAACTCGACTCGCAGGCCGACCATCTGGCTGCATACCTTCAGGAACTGGGAGTTGGCGCCAACTCGTACGTCGCACTCTGCTTTGAGAAATCGACGCTGCCGATTGTGGCCATGTTGGCGGTCTTTAAAGCTGGCGGTGCCTACGTCGCTCTCAACCCGGCCCATCCTGTCAACCGCCAGGCAGTCATTCTCAGCAAGATCGATGCGACAGTCGTATTAGCCGGGCCTGGCTACGCCGAGACCTTTTCTCCTCTTGTCAAACACTCCGTCGAGGTCACGCAAGACTTGGTGGACCTGCTTGCTGCTGAGCGCCGCGCAACACACCTCGTCCGGGCTGCACGTCCTGGAACCCCAGCCGTTGTCGTCTTCACTTCAGGAAGTACTGGCGAGCCGAAGGGAATTGTGGTGGAGCATCGCGCATTGGTCTCAAGTATGATCGGCCACGGAGCGATCATGCGTCTGGACGGCTCCACTAGGGCTCTCCAGTTTGCGACCTATACGTTCGATCTCAGCGTCGGAGAAATATTCAACACTCTGATGAATGGCGGGTGCGTCTGTGTGCCTTCAGAAGAAGAACGACTAGACGACCTGGAGGGCTTCATCCGCCGTCTAGAAGTAAACTGGGCCCTGCTGACCCCTACTGTGCTGAACATGCTGGCCCCGGCAAACGTCCCCTCAATGAAGACCATCTCCACCGGAGGTGAACCCATGAAACATGATATTATTCAAGCCTGGGCGGACCACGTCCAGTTAAACAACATGTACGGCCCCGCAGAAACTACGATCCTCTGCGCTGGTCGTGCCACATTGAGCCCTACCACTCCTGCCTCTAATATTGGCCGTGCTCTTGGAGCACGTCAATGGATCACAGATCCAATGGACCCCAATCAACTATGTCCAATTGGAGCAATCGGAGAAGTCCTGATTGAAGGACCCGGTTTGGCGCGCGGGTATCTCCACGATGAAGAGAGAACCAATGCGTCCTTTATAGGAAACCCTGACTGGTTACCCAAGGCTAGCCCTGCGCGTCGCTTCTACTGTTCCGCTGACCTGGGATTTCTCAGTCCAGACGGAACCTTCAATATCGTCGGCCGGAAAGATACTCAAGTCAAGGTCAACGGCCAACGTATCGAGCTGGAAGAAATTGAATTCCATATCAAGAGACTCCTCAGTTCTGGCTGGCAGGCAGTGTTAGCTGAAGTCATCAAGCCCAAGAGGAACAACGAGCAGTCAACCCTGGCCGCATTCATTAGATTTGAAGATGGCGAAGCTTCTGGAACTGAGCTGCTAGGGGACATGTCCGAAGAGCGACGACAGCAGCTCCACCAGCTCAAGAAGGATCTCGGTCTACATCTCCCGGCGTACATGATCCCTTCGGTGTTTGTACCCATGGCGCATATACCCACAACTGCACATGGTAAGCTGGATCGACGACAACTTCGAGATTTAGCTGCAGGTTTCTCCACCGAGGACCTTGTCTTGTTTTCTCTCGCCATCAGCACCGATACGGCCAAGCGCGAGCCTGTCACAGAAGCTGAAAAGGCTGCGGCAAGTCTCTGGTCTCAGGTGCTCAAGATCCCATATGAGACTATCGGGTTAGACGACAACTTCTTCCAGTTGGGAGGCGATTCGATCGCAGCCATGAAGCTCTCCGCCACCGCGCGGTCTGCAGGGAGAAGCCTAACCGTGGCGAAAATCTTCGGCCATCCCACTCTTGAAGCCATGTCCCAAATCGCTGTGGGACTCTCACATACCGAGACTGAATCAATTGAGCCATTCTCGCTCATTGACGTAGAAAATGTCTTTGAATTCATCGACGAACTTTGCTTGAAATGGGGGCTGGAGCGTTCAAGCATTGAGAATGTGTACCCTGCAACCGCCTTGCAAGAAGGTCTAATGGCAATCACCCAGGGAGAGCCTGGTACCTACATCTATCAGAATGTCTACCAGCTGCCAGCGGAGATTGATCTGGCCAAGTTCTGTGCGGCTTGGGAGTCTGTCGTCAATACCACTGAGATCCTGCGCACCACTCTTCTTCCCACCGATACCGCGGGGACATATCAGGTTGTGACCAAGCCTTCTTCTATCGACTGGAAATACCCAGCCAGCGTGGAAGAGTACTTACAAGCAGATGCCCAGCGGACAATGCTGTATGGAGAGCCACTGGCCAGGTACGCTCTCGTCCCGGGCACCCTAGACGGTCCACCGTCGACGTTTATCTGGACTGCTCATCATGCCTTGTATGATGGTTGGTCTCTGCCGCTTCTGTGGAAACGAGTGGAGGAGGCGTACAGGGGCAGTGGACGCTTACTACGACCGCATGTTGCACCTTTCAACCGATTTATTGCCCATCTTCGAGACATGGATGCTGGCGCCGCGAATGCCTTCTGGAAATCCTACCTATCCTCATCCAACCCCCCAAAGTTCCCGCAATTGCCATCTCAAACATACAAACCCCGCGTCAACAACATCCATCGCCATGGGTTCGGCCTCAAGGCTACCAGCTACTCGTCCGGTGTCACAGCGTCCACTCTCATTCGTGCCGCCTGGTCCCTTCTCATGAGCCAATATACAGATGCTGGCGACGACATCATCATCGGCGTGACAGTGGCCGGAAGAAATGTCGATCTTCCAGGCGCCTCCGAAATGGCTGCGCCGATGATTACCACGGTCCCTGTCCGCGTGCAGATCGACCGTGACGAAACGGTGACTCAACTTTTGACCAGAGTTCAGACACAAACCGTCGATATGATGCCCTTCGAGCACGCAGGGTTGCAGAACATAGCCAAGATTAACCGCGAGTGCCGTCTTGCGTGCGGATTTCAGAGTCTGCTTGTTGTCCAGCCCGAGGAGGACGAAAGAACCACCGGCTCCCTGGATATCAGGAAGATTCAGTCGCCCGATGTGGGGATCTACACCTACGCGCTGGTCATTCAGTGCTTGCTGCAGGGAGATAAGGTCGGAGTGCAAGTTGACTTTGATGACCAAGTCCTGTTCTCGTGGCAGGTGGAGCGTATCTCCTGCCAGCTCGAGCATCTCTTGGGAGAGCTCCGAGCCAGTCCCAACGTCAGGATCGGCGACCTGAGCCTCGTGAGTCTGGAAGACTATACCCAGATTATGAATTGGAACCACAAGCTTCCCGTCGTGGAGGAACGCTGCGTGCATGAGATCATCCGTGATCAAGTTTTAGCCACGCCCGATGCACAGGCGATCTGCTCCTGGGACGGAGATTTTACCTACGCGGAGGTGGACCGGCTATCAAACCGTTTTGCTCGACATCTGGTGAATCTGGGTGTTGGTCCAGAGACATTGGTCCCGCACTGCTTCAGTAAATCCGCCTGGACGGTCATTGCTATGCTGGCCATTATCAAGGCCGGTGGTGCTTGCGTGGCCCTAGATCCTGGACACCCCGTAGATCGACTGCAGGCTATCATTGCAGACGCGCAGGCTGGTTTGGTGGTGACTACACCAGAGCATAGTCATCTTTTTAACGGACTCGTCAGCAAGGTCGTGGCTCTTAGTCCACAGTTCTTCGGGTCGGATGGATCGTCCGCTGAGACTCTACCACCACGCGCAGGACGCAAGAACCCTGTCTTTGTCTTGTTTACCTCTGGAAGCACAGGAAAGCCAAAAGGTATAATCATCGAGCACGGCATGTTCGCCACCAGTGCTGCCGCTCACAGCAGGGCGTTCGGCATCACTGCTCAATCGCGAGTCTTCCAGTTCGCTGCGCACACCTTCGACGTCAGTGTCGGTGACATTTTCACCTCGCTGATGAAGGGAGCTTGTATCTGTATTCCGTCTGACCTCGAGCGCATGAATAACGTCGCCTCAGCCATTAACCGGATGCAGGCCAATTACGCCTTCCTGACGCCGACAGTGGCCAACTTGCTTCGTCCAGAGCAGGTTCCCACCCTTCGCACACTAACACTTGGTGGCGAGGCTCCGACTAGAGAGAATATTCGGACTTGGGCAGATAGTCTGAACTTGATCCTTTGCTACGGACCTGCCGAGTGCTCGGTTTACTGCTCGGCGAACCCGCCAGCAACGCAGCAAAGCAACCCAGCTGTTCTTGGACACGCCATTGGTGGTCTTATCTGGCTGGTTGACCCAATAAATCATGATAAGTTGACTCCTGTCGGCTGCGTGGGCGAATTAGTTGTTCAAGGAGCGATAGTTGCCCGCGGGTACTTGAATGAACGTGAGAAGACCCAGTCGGCCTTCATCCAGGATCCGGCCTGGATGCCTCGGACATTCCCCAAGGAGTACCGCCGTATTTACAAGACCGGGGACCTTGCGCGCTTTAACCCGGATGGGTCTCTAAGCTTCGTTGCGAGGAAAGACACCCAGGCCAAGGTCCGAGGACAGCGCGTGGAATTGGCGGAAATTGAAGTCCACCTTTCTGAAAGTCCAGAGATTCAGCATTCCATGGTAGCTGTCCCGACTACGGGTCCTTATAAGAGCAGACTTGTCTGCATCCTGTCCTTGCAAGAACTTGCTCGACGCAGCGATGGCGGTTCCCGGGATAGTAGCGGTGTTGCATTGATTGAAGGAAGCAGCGACAGATCTCGCGCTGCTCGGATGGCTTCCGTGATAGAAAGCCGACTTGCAGAGAAGCTTCCCCCCTATATGGTACCGGCTGTGTGGATTCCCCTGAAGAGGATGCCGCTGAACTTGTCGGGGAAGATTGATCGGAAGCTGCTCAAGGGGTGGCTCGAGGACGTGGATGAAGCCACGTACCAGTCTATTGCAGCGATGGCGACAGCAGAGGAAATCAATTCCCAGCAGCCTAGCTCAGATACAGAGAAGAAGGTGCAGGCCGCTTTCAGCGCAACTCTCAACATCCCTCTAGAATCCGTGGGCCTGAACACTTCGTTTCTCAGTGTTGGTGGTGATTCCATCTCAGCCATGCAGGTCATGTCTCGCATTCGCTCGCAGAATCTTCGCATCACCGTGCAGGACATTCTGAAGCTCCGCACGGTGGCTGCTGTTGCGGGTCGAGCCCAATACATCGAGCAGTCCACGGCAGATAGCTCGGCGCTGGAATCTGAAGTCATCGATGAATGGTTTGAGCTTGCTCCCATCCAACAGCTGTTCTTCAAAATGCAGCCGAATGGGCAAAATCATTTCAATCAGAGCTTTGTGTTGAAGCTAACGCAGGATGTTCAACAAACGGAGCTTCAAAGGGCACTTGAAATAGTTGTGCAGCGTCACTCTATGCTTAGAGCCCGGTTCGAACAGGCAGATGGGTCCTGGAGTCAAAAAATCACAAACGATGTCTCTGGCTCTGTTTTCATGTTCCCTAGAGAAGAGGGTAGTCGGGATAGAATGATGGCCCGGTTCCGTGAGGCAGAGACTTTACTCGATATCAACAGGGGGCCACTGTTGACGGCTCAAATTTGGATTGCTCCTGAAAGCCAGTATCTATTCTTGGCCGCTCATCATCTGGTCATTGATCTCGTATCGTGGCGAATCATCCTGCAGGATTTGGAGGATGTGCTTAGAACTGGCCGTGTCAGCTCAACGCCCACGATTTCCTTTCAGAGTTGGGCAAGACTGCAACGCGAATATATTTCCCAGCACTTTTCAGATCCAGACACCTGGGAGCTCCAGGCACCCGCAGGAGATCTGTCCTACTGGAACATGCAGGGAGAAGCCAACACCTGGGGAGAAATTGTCACCAAATCCTTCACCATCGACGCTCAGAGGACCGCGCTGCTGCTCGGTGACTGCAATCTTCCGCTGCGCACAGAGCCGACTGATATCATGGTAGCTGCACTACTGCATTCCTTCCGTCACGCATTCTCTGACCGAACCGCCCCTGCCGTCTACCTAGAAGGACATGGCCGTGAACCGTGGACATCGGCCATTGACATCTCACGCACCGTGGGTTGGTTCACGACCATGAACCCCGTCAGCTACGACACTTCCGAAGACAGCTGGCTTGACGCTGTCAGAAGGCTGAAGGACAACCGCCGAAAGATTGCCGACAATGGGTGGCGGTACTTTACCGCGCGATCTCTTCTAACCGGCGGGATGCAGGATATGGAGATTGTTTTCAATTACCTCGGTCTTTACCAGCAACTGCAGAGAGCCGACGCTTTGTTTCAAGAGTCTTCCATCACTGGAACTGACTGTGTTGAGATCGGCCCTCAAATGCAGCGTTATTCTCTGTTTGAGATCGCCGCTGGGGTCTCCAACGGGCAGATGCAGTTCAGTTTTGAGTATAACAAGAAAATGAGCCATCGCGATACAATCAGATCTTGGATCAATCTTTATCACCAAGTCCTCGAGACCGGTATCGACGAACTCATGGCGCAGTCCGAATTAATACCCACTCTCAGCGATTTCCCCCTTCTGGCGTTGTCGTATGAGGACTTGGGGAACCTGGCCACCTCCGTCCTGCCCGAAGCTGGAGTCAAGTCAATCGACGAGATCGAGAGCCTCTCTCCTTGCTCGCCTATGCAACTGGGTTTGTTAATGAGTCAATTGAAATCCGAGGGTGCCTACGAGTTCTTCACTATCATGGAGGCCACTGCGCGCGAGGGAGTCGATAGTGCGCAGTTGGTTGCAGCCTGGCAACAGGTTATTGACCGGCACCCCATACTGCGAACCGTCTTCATCAAAAGTGCTGTCCCAGAACGGCCTTATGACCAGCTCGTGCTGAAGGAGATAAAGGCGCAGGTTGTGGAGCTGCGTAGCGACGACCCTGTCCATGCTTTACGCACGTTACCTCCCACATCAAAGCTCCATCAATTGGCAATCTGCCACTCCGAGAACGGCCGGATCTTTTGCAAGTTGGAAATCAACCATGCTTTGATTGATGGGACATCCATGGCTATCATCGAGCGGGACCTGAAGCGCGCTTACAGCGAGAAGCTTAGCAGCGAGCCTCCTCTTGCGTACGTCGACTACGTGACCTTCCTCCAGGAGGCCAAGAGGGCCGAATCCATCGAGTTCTGGAACACTTATCTCCAAGACGCTCAGCCTTGTCAATTTCCCGTTCTCAATGATGGCCGAGAACAAGTCCAGGCTCTAGACTCGATCAATGTGGAACTGCCCGGCTTGACAAAAGAGACCCTGAGCGCCTTTTCGGAACGCTGGGGATTTACCATCGCCAATGTTGTCCAGACCGCGTGGGCCCTGGTACTGCGCTCTTATATTGGAGCAGACTCTGTCTGCTACGGGTATCTGACCTCTGGCCGTGATGCTCCTCTGGACGGCATCGAGGACACCGTGGGTCCGTTCATCAACATGCTTGTCTGTCGCTTGAAGTTCGATCCTCATGAGCCTGCTTTACTTGCTCTAAAGAACACTCAGGACGGGTTCTTGAAGGCCATGGCCCACCAATACGTGCCTTTGGCGGAGATGCAGCATGCCTTGGGCGTTGCAGCACAGGGATTGTTCAATACAGCCATGTCGTTCCAGAGGTATTCGTCAGAGGAATCGATAGATCTAAATTTGAGGAGGGTCTACGATTATGATCCTACTGAGGTAAGTTCATGAAGAAGTATAGACCCTGTAAGTACGGCTTGCTCACTAGGGGATCTTAGTTCAATATCACCGTCAACGTCGCCACGCGAGAGGAAGGATTGCAAATTGATCTCGCCTACTGGACCTCCAAACTATCGAGCGGCCAAGCGGCCCATATGGCTAATACCTACAGTACTGCCATCATGGCACTTCTTTCGAACCCCGAGACTGCCCTAGCCGATGTAGACATGCTCAGTCCACTGGATAAAGCATCTTTACGCGACTGGAACAGACAGCTGCCTCCTGCGATAGACCGCTGCATGCATGAAGTCATTCACCAGAATGCCATAGAACGACCTCATGCTCTGGCTCTCGAGTCGTGGGAGGCCGCATACACATATCGGGACCTTGACAGGGCATCGTCTCGTCTTGCGCGACACCTGATCAAGCAGGGAATTTCGCCCGATGACTGTATCCCATTGTGCTTTGAGAAATCACTCTACACGATCGTTGCTCTTGTTGCTGTTCTCAAGGCTGGTGGAGGGTTTGTACTTCTAGACCCCAAGCATCCTGATGATCGTCTCAAGGGTCTTCTCGAGGACAGCAAGGCGAGGTTCCTCATAGTTTCCCCACAGACCCAGGAGCGTTGCAAAGACCTCATTTCATCTTTGGTTGTTGTCTCACCCAAGATACTGGATGAGCTTCCTCACGCCGATGAGGACGATACCCTCCCACCATCAGCCGTTGCCCCTGAGAACATCATGTACGTCCAGTTCACATCGGGTAGCACGGGAAAGCCCAAGGGAGCGGTTGTGCACCACAGGGCAGCCTGCTCCTCCATCGAGCACCACGGAAAAGTCATGAACTACGGACCGGACTCGCGCATCTTCCAATTCTCTTCCTATACCTTTGACGCCATTATTCTCGAAGCATTTACCACATTGTACCACGGCGGCTGTGTCTGTATTCCGTCTGAGGAAGACCGAATGAGCAGCATGGTGCAATCGATGCGCGAGATGAAGGTTAACAACATGTTCATGACGCCCACTCTAGCTCGCCTATTTGGGCCCGCGGATGTTCCGTCTCTGACAACCCTGATGCTTGGTGGTGAACCGATTCCCCAGGATAGTATTAATACGTGGAAGGATCACGTCGATCTGATTGGAGGGTATGGGCCAGCTGAATGCTGCGTATACTGCTGTTACAATCCGCTCAGCTCCAGCGGGTTCAAGCCCGAGGTTATTGGATACCCGGTTGGAGCAGTTCTGTGGATTGTGGAGGCCGATAATCATGATAGACTCGTGCCTGTTGGTGCTATTGGTGAAATCGTCGTCCACGGCCACACCGTTGGTCGAGGCTACCTGAACGACCCCGCCAGAACGGCAGCGAGCTACATCTCAGCACCGAGCTGGATTGCCGATTATGGTTATGCGGGTGAGCAGACGCTTTATAAAACAGGCGATCTGGGACGATACAACTCCGACGGCACATTGACGATTGTCGGCCGCAAGGACACTCAGGTCAAAGTAAACGGACAGCGCATCGAGCTGGGAGAGGTCGAGCACAGTATCAAGACCGAGTATCCTCAAGTCCTGCAGGTGGCTGTTGACGCGCTTAAGCCCGAACATGCCAATGGGCGCCAGATTCTGTCTGCCTTCCTCGAGTTCGAGGCTGATGAGGGTAGCGAAGAAATTCAGGACGAGAACAGCTTCCTTCGCCCCATGAACGACAAGCTTCGAGAAACGATGTTCGAGATCGAGGCATTGCTCGCCCAGCGCCTGCCACCATATATGGTCCCCCATTTGTGGTTCCCCCTGGTCACCATGCCGAAATCCGCATCTGGCAAGACAGATCGGAAGGTGCTGAAGCAGCTCTGCAACGGTCTATCCAAGACGGAGCTTCAGCAATATTCCCTTGCAAGCGGCAGCAAAAAGGCTCTCGAGACGCCGATGGAGAAAAAGATCGCACAACTCTGGAAGGACATCTTTGGGGTATCTAACATCGGTTCCAATGACAACTTCTTCCGGATTGGCGGAGACTCGATTGAAGCGATGAAGTTGGCTGCCGCTGCCCGCGCCCAGGGTATATCCCTCTCGGTTGCGGATATATTCAATAACCCCAAACTTAGTGATATGGCGAATATCGTTGTTGCGGCCGATGGTGCGCCCGCTGTGACGCACGAATACGATGCACCTTTTAGCCTGGTCGGTGGCAAGAAGAATGCACGCTCCCTGGTCCAGAGGCATCTTCCGAATGAGCAGTTTGATCTCGTGGAGGATGTTTATCCCTCCACCTCCCTACAGGAAGGGCTACTTGCATTGACTAGCAGCCAAGCCAGTGCGTATGTCCTCCAGGCTCCCTTCCTGTTACCGGCCAATATCGACATGGGCCGTTTCCGAGATGCCTGGGCCAAAGTTGTCGAGGCAAATGCCATTCTCCGTACAGTAATTGTCTCAACAGAGACCCAGGGTACCTGCCAGGTTGTCTTGAGGCGGTCTATTGAGTGGTCAGAGGCGCCAACACTGGAAGCATACCTGGCGCAGGACAGAGAAAAGCCTATGGGCTACGGAACACCGCTAAGCCGATATGGCCTGACATCAGACGGGTACTTTGTCTGGACTGCCCATCACTCCATCTACGATGGCTGGAGCTTCGCACTGATGCTAGACGAGCTCGAGAAGAGATACAAGGATGAGTCAGCCGCCATTTCTCGCCCTCTGTTTGCTGAATACATTCAATTCCTGCTGCAGCAGCAGGGCAAGGCCGATGCAACCGCATTCTGGAAATCGCAGCTACAGGATGCTTCCTCGTCAAGTGCATTCCCGCGGCTTCCAAGCTCTCTCTATGAGGTGGACGTAGACCGGACCTTCCAGTACAGCTTCCCCTTCGGCAGCAAGTCCACCGTCACGGCATCGACCGTCCTCTCGGCGGCTTGGGGACTGACAATTGGCCGGCTAACCAACTCGTCGGAGGTGATTTACGGCTCAACTCGCAGCGGTCGAAATATTGACCTCGCTCAGGCCACTGAGCTTATGGGGCCAACTATCGCCACGGTTCCCATTCGTATCAACCTTGACCCATCGATGTCGGTAGAGGATTTCCTCGCCGGAGTCCAGAATCAAGCGACGGCAGCCATTCCATTCGAGCACCTAGGCCTGCAGAATATCAGCAAGATCAGCCCTGCATGCAAAGCCGCATGCGATTTCCAGAACCTGTTCGTCGTTCAGCCAGCGATGATCGGCGATTCCACTGCCATCGGTATGAAGCGCGTTGAACTTCCCACCAAGGGACTGCATACGTACGCTCTGAACGTCGAGTGTATCCTGACCGAGGAAGGCACCGCAACACTGAACTTTGAGTACGACGGTAAGATCATGCAAGATCATCAGATCCAACGGCTTGCTGGCCAGTTCCATCACATTGTCCGTCAGTTGTGCGAGAATGAAGGCAGCGGGCTGAAGGTCGGAGATGTCGACGCCTTCAGTGTGGACGACGAGAAACAACTTCGCCAGTGGAATGCGAGACTGAAATCCTACCCTGAAATCACCAGGTGCGCGCATGACCTTGTCTCTGAGCGAGCTCGCCTTCATCCGGAGTTGTTGGCTGTTACGCAGTCGGATGGAACTAGCTTGACCTTCGGCGAGCTTGACAGGTTGTCCACGCTGTTTGCTCGCCATCTGTCCACTTTCGGGATTGGACCAGGCCAAATAGTACCCATGTGTTTGAAGAAGGCTGTCTGGGTCGTAGTAGCCATGCTTGGAGTACTCAAGACCGGTGCTGCGTTTGTCTGCTTGGATCCCTCCTCTCCACCAAGCCGCATGCACGGAATCATCGAAGACGTAGAGTCAGATCTCGTCATTGTCGATGCAGAAACAAAAGATACATTCAGGAGCAATCTTCAAACGCTCGAGATAGGCGTCAACGCCCTTGGATGGGTTAACAGTGCGAGTGCCAGCGACATCGTCTTCGAGGTCCACAGAAACCCACACGATCTCATGTATGTGATCTTCACGTCCGGAAGTACCGGTAAGCCCAAGGGCGTGATGATCGAACACACCTCTGCCTGTTCATCGTTTATCTACCAGGGCCAGGAGTTCGGCTTCGACCATGAGTCGCGCGTACTTCAATTCAGCGCCTTGACCTTTGATGCCTCGCTCATGGAAGTCTTCACCACACTTTGCGCTGGCGGTTGTGTGTGTTTCCCTACCGAAGAGGAAAAGCAAGGAGACATTGCACGCGCAATCAATCACTTGCGCGTGAACTCGGTCATGCTCACACCCACCGTGCTCCGCATGATCCAGCCGGAAGATGTCCCCATGGTCAAGCATGTGGTGACGGGAGGCGAAGCCGTGAGTCATGATATCGTGCAAACATGGAGTAGCAAGGTTACCCTCAAGGGCGTCTACGGGCCTACGGAAACCTCCATGATTTGTATCACGGCGAACCTCGTTCCTGGTAGTTCTCCAGCAAATATCGGTGTTCCTCTGGGCTGTCGAAGCTGGATTACCCTCCCTGACGATCACAACCATCTGGCACCTATTGGGTCGGTTGGTGAACTGCTCATCCAAGGACCCATTGTGGGGCGTGGGTATTACAAGAACCACAAACAGACTGAGGAGGTGTTTATTGAGAATCCTCTCTGGTTGCCGAAACGCTTTGGCGAGACTGGCGGCCGCCGCCTCTACAAGACCGGAGACTTGGTCTACTACTCGCAAAACGGCGATCTCATGATCGTGGGCAGAAAAGACTCACAGGTCAAACTCCGCGGGCAACGCATCGAGCTGGGAGAAATTGATCACAAGATGTGGTTGCATCCTGCCGTAAGACAGTCTTCTGTCGTGCTGCCCAGTCAGGGCCCCTTGAAGAACCGCCTCGTTGCAGTGCTCACTCTCGATGGCACTGAACAAATTACCACACCCGAGGCCCTGTGCCCCTTGTCCGAAGAATGGAAACAGCACGCCAACTTACAGATCGCGAGCATCCGGCAGGCGGTCCGGGAAAGCCTCCCCTCGTACATGGTGCCCACTGTCTTTGTGGCCGTGGAGATGATGCCGAGACAGACTTCCGGCAAGACTGACATCAAGCTGGTGAAGAAATGGGTCAATGAGCTGGATGAGCAGACTGCCGAGCAGGTTCTCGATATTGAGACCACAGCGCCTGGGCTCACTGTTCCTGAAAGTGAGATGGAGATGGTGATCCAGGGAGCCATTTCTAAAGTCCTGAATATTCCTGCCGAGAAGATTGCGCTGAACCGATCGTTTATCAGCCTTGGTGGAGATTCCATCACAGCCATTAAGCTGATGAATCAACTCCGAGATGCAGGGGTGAAGTTTTCGATCAAAGAACTGTTGCGAGCTGGGTCAATCAGTGAACTCGCAGGCGTGATTGCATCTAGGGGTGAGGACGCGAGAGTGAACACGCCATCACCCCATCTCCTTCAGAAAAAAGAGAAGAAATACCCACTCCTGAGCCTCGACGACACTGAAATAGAGACCCTCCTTGCACAGCGCCTGGCTACTATCGGCCTTACCGACCTTACTCATGTGGAGGACGTCTACCCCTGCTCTTCTCTTCAAGAAGGCCTTCTCCTCGCACAAACCAAGGGCGTAGGAAGCTACAACGTGTTCAACATCTACGAAGTGACGACCCCAAAACACTCACCAACCCCAGTCAATCCTCATCTCCTTGCCAAAACCTGGAAAGAAGTTGTTCGTCGCCATCAAATCCTGCGAACAATCTTTATCCAGGGGATTGGAGAAAGCAGTGCATTCAATCAGGTCGTTCTGCGCGAGGTGCACAATACACCCCTCGTCATCGAGGACGTCAAGAGCAATGATGCCAAAAACCTGTTGCAGAACCTCGATGCTCCAGAATATCAGGCCCTGGAACCCTGGCATAGCGTAACGATTTGCTCTGATACTAGTGGCAGAGTTCACTGTGGGGTCCGGATACACCATGCCTTATTTGATGCGTCTTCCATGGATATCATCCTGCGTGAGGTCGCTCAGGCTTACAATCAGACTCTTTCTACCCCAGCGCCGCTGTACAAGGATTACATCTCATACCTACAGGAGCTACAGCAAGGCGGCAATGATGCGCTTGCGTACTGGAAGACATACCTCGAAGGCCTCGAACCATGCTACTTCCCCAGTATCAACGAGCAGGCTCTGGGAATGAGAACACCGCAGACACTTCAATTTAAAGTCCACGGTCTGCGTCAGATTCTATCATTCTCGGCCAGAAAGAACGTCACTGTCTCCAGCATTCTCCAGACAGCCTGGGCACTCGTCCTGCGCCACTACACAAGCACTGAAGAGATCTGCTTTGGATACCTGTCGCACGGGAGAAATATCCCGCTTGTCGGGGTTGAAAGTATCGTTGGTCCGATGATAAATATGATGGTTCTCCGCGTGACTCTATCGGGAGATAGGACATTGACGGACATACTGGAGAGTACTCGCGACGACGTCCTGAATAGTTTGCCGTACCAGCATACCTCGCTGGCTGAGATTCACCACGCCCTTGATCTTCAAGGACAATCAGCATTCAACACCACTCTCTCTTTCGCATCTGCCGCTGCAGACGCCGAGGATGAGGACTTGATCGCTTTCCAGGACCCCTCTGGCAGTGGTTCGACTGAGGTAGGTCGACACACAGTCAATCATCCAGCTCCCGATATGATGTGCTAATTCGTACAGTATGACATTGCCGTGAATGCGTCCGTCGTAGGCGAAAATCTCCAAATCAATTTCAGCTACTGGTCTTCAGCTCTTTCACCGCAGCAGGCCACGGCGGTTGCTGAAGCATTAACGCACTTCATCGGCATCCTAACCCGCTCCTCTGACTTACCCCTGCGTGAGATCGACTTTACCAGCGCAGCAATGAAAGACCAACTTCTTCACTGGAACGCCACCGCGTACGCCCCCGTTCGCACCACCGTCCACGGACTCTTCCAACGCGCTGCTCTGCGGTACCCTGAGAACCAAGCAATCTGCTCCACAGACGGTAGCTTCACCTACGGCGAGCTAGACGCTCTTACTACGCGCTTCGCGGCCTTCCTGCGTGAGAAGGGCGTCGGTCCGGAGGTCCTAGTTCCGGTGTGCTTCAACAGGTCCTGCTGGACTATCGTATCCATGTTGAGTGTCCTGAAAGCAGGCGGTGCTTGTGTGCCACTTGATCCATCGCACCCACCGGCTCGTATCCAGGAAGTTGCCTCTCGCTGTGAAGCAAGACTGATTCTCGCCGCGCCGCACCTTGTCGAGCGACTGCCTGATTGCAACGCATCTGTCATTGCTGTCACCGATGTACTGATGCAGAGTCTGCCCGATCTGCCGCCGAACTTTCAGATCGACGTCGCAAAGCCTGAGAATGCAGCATTTGTGCCGTTCACCTCAGGAAGTACAGGTTTACCAAAAGGTATTATCCTGGACCATACGGGTCTCTGTACGATGTTCGAAGCAAACGCGTCAGTCGTGGGAATCAATCAAAACACCCGCACTTTCCAGTACGCAGCTTATACCTTCGACGTCAGCATCGCGGAGACCTATATTACATTAACGCAAGGCGGATGCGTCTGCGTTCCCACCGACGCTGAGCGAATGAACGACATCGCAGGCGCAATAACTCGTCTGCAGGCAAACTGGACCTTCCTGACCCCCTCCGTTGCTTCACTTCTAAACCCCGTCGACGTTCCGACGCTAGAGACACTCACCCTTGGAGGAGAAGCAATCTCTCGGGACCTGCATAGTACCTGGGCTGATAAAGTCCGATTGATCAACAGTTACGGCCCGGCCGAGTGCTCGATCTGGACGAGCAACCAGCAGCTCTTCCCCGATAGCTCTTGCGCTGATATCGGGGCGGGTATCACCTGTCACTTGTGGGTTACCGAGCCCGACAATCATGATCGACTTGTTCCCATCGGGTGTGTCGGAGAGCTTGTTGTGCAGGGTCCGAACCTGGCAAGAGGATATCTCAAGGATGAAAAGAAAACCGCGGCCGCTTACATTGATACGCCAGCGTGGCTGCGCAACGATACCAGAGCCATTGCTAAGCGTGTTTACAAAACCGGTGATTTGGTCAGACACTGCTCCGATGGGCATCTGGAGTTTCTCGGACGCAAAGATACGCAGATCAAGTTCCACGGGCAACGAGTTGAGATTGGCGAAGTCGAATATCAATTGCGTGCTCGACTGCCCAAGAACTCGCAGGTTGCGGTCGAAATGATCAAGCCGCTCAGCCAAGACGGCAGACAGACACTGGCCGGATTCATCATGACCGAGAGGGACGGCCCATTCCTGAAGGGCTCATCGGGTGACCCAGCCTCGTTGTTGAGAGACCCAGATACGACCTTCAAGAGCATTGTCCGCAATCTCGAGCGCTCGCTAGTAGAGACCTTGCCTTCGTATATGATTCCATCAGTCTTCATCAGCATGCTCTATATCCCCCGAAACACCTCGATGAAGATCGACAGAAAGGCCCTTCGCACTCTCGGGGCCAATCTCTCCCGCGACCAGATCGCAACCTACTCCTTCGTGCAAGGCGACAAACGGGCTCCTCGGACAGCGATGGAAAAACGGCTCCAGGAATGCTGGGCCTCTGTTCTGAATATCAGCCCTGAGTCCATTGGTGCGGATGACAGCTTTTTCCGGATCGGTGGTGACTCTATCGGCGCCATGCAACTGGTCTCTACAGCGCGCAAGATTGGTCTCTCAATCACCGTTGCCGACATCTTCCAGCACCAGAAACTCAGTCAGATGGCCAATGTTGTCGCGAGAAACGCTGCCGCGGCTACTGAGGAGGTCCCCGTCAAGCCATTCTCGCTGCTGCCACAACAGAGAACAGATGAGGATCTTGTTGAGCTCGCGGCGTCTAAGGTCGGAATAGATCGCAATCTCTTGCAAGATGTCTACCCTTGCACTCCGCTGCAGGAAGGCCTTATGTCACTGACTGCCCGAGACCACGGACTTTACACCTTGCAGGCTGTATACAGGCTACCCGAAATGATCAATATCCAAGAATTTCAACTCGCTTGGTTAGCCGTTGCAGAGGAATTGGATATTCTGCGTACCAGGCTGGTCGACCTTGGCCATATGGGCTCTTATCAGGTTGTCCTCAGCCCGGTCATCAGCCAAATGCGCTGGGGGTATGGCGACGATCTGTCTACCTACCTGCGCGAAGATAAAGATATCCCCATCGGCTACGGAAAACCTCTCGCTAGATATGCCATTATCCAGGAAGAGGCCGAGGGCGCGCAAAAGAAATATTTTGTGTGGACTGCGCACCACTCTATTTACGACGGGTGGTCTCTCGGTCTGATGATGGACCTGGTTGAAAAGAAGTATCTGAAAACGTCAACCATCCCTAGCCCCCCTTTCAACAGGTTCATCAACTGGCTCGCGAATCTCGACAAGGCTTCCACGCGGCAGTACTGGCAATCAACGTTTGAGGCTTGTTCCGCGCCTCAGTTCCCATCTGTTCCCCAGCATTACCGAACAAAGGCCAAGGCAGCCATGACACACTCGATCCGTCTGCCTCAGATGGTGGATTCGGAAATTACCGTGCCGACAATCTTACGAACGGCATGGGCGTTGAATATCTCCCAATACACCCGCTCCGACGACGTGGTCTTCGGCATGACGCAGACAGGCCGCAACGCTCCTATCCCTGGGGTGACTGAGATCGTCGCGCCCCTGATCACCACGGTGCCAGTCCGGGTGGTAATCGACAGATCCCAGACAGTCCAGAATGTTCTTCAGGAAGTCCAGAACCAGATGGTCGCCATGATCCCCCATGAGCACGTTGGTCTGCAAAATATCAGCAAGTTCAGCGCGGAGTGTCAGGCCGCATGTAAATTCGAGAACCTCCTCCTCATCCAGACCCAGCAGGATCAGATGGTGTCGCCGATAGGTCTAGAGCGAATCCCCGTGACAGATCTCGACATTCCGGCCTTTGGCATCGTGGCTGAATGTGAAGTTGCCGATGGGCAGGTTCTGGTCTCAGTTGGCTACGATAGTAGTGTGGTCCCTGAGAAGCAGATGGCCAATATCCTGCACCAGTTCGACTTCCTCGTCAACCAGATTGGGCGCGAGAGCGCACGCAACAATTCTCTCGAGGAGGTGCAGCTGCTGGGTGACAATGAGATCAAGATGCTCGAAGCGTTCAACCAGTCGCCCGATGACCGCGTCTCCCGGCTGGCCCATGAACTGATCCATGAGCGCGCGCTTCTTCAGCCAGAGGCAATTGCCATTGATTCGGAGGAGGTTCAGCTCAGCTATGGCGAGCTGGATGACCTCTCCACTCGTCTGGCTTACTTCTTGGTCGGTCTAGGCACCCGACCTGATAAAGTCATTCCACTTTTCTTCCGACGCTCTCCCTGGGCGATGGTCGCCATGCTGGGTGTGATCAAGTCCGGCAGTGCTTTTGTCTTCCTCGACCCCGGACACCCCATTGATCGACTCGAGTTTGTTGTGCAGCAGATCGATGCCAGGTTGGTTCTCACATCTCCGGACCTGGAGTCAACCTGGAAAGAGAAGCTCGCAGTCTTCTGCGTCACCCCCTTAGCACTCCATGCTCTTCCTCCCCTCCAGGATGGAAAACTTCCGGTGACTGCAGTGACGCCTCATAATATCCTGTACTGCATCTTCACCTCTGGCAGTACAGGCCGACCCAGGGGATGCGTGATCGAACACTCCAACTTCCTCAGCGGCGCCGTCCACCACGCGCGCAGGTCTCGCATCTCCCAATCTACACGAATCATGCAAATTGCGCCGTACACCTTCGACGTCAGCATTTTGGAAATGCTCACAGGCCTAATCGGCGGCGGTTGCATCTGCCTGCCGCGAGACTCACACCAGGGTGCGCGGGTTGCTGACATTATCAACGATCTCAACATCAACTGGACCTTCCTGACTCCGTCTGTCGCCCGCACGATCGTCCCCTCGGAAGTGCCAAGCTTACAGACCCTAATTCTTGGTGGGGAGGCACTCGCCAAAGTTGACATCCAGACCTGGGCGGGCAAACTGCAGCTGCATAACGGCTACGGGCCAAGTGAATGCTCTGTGGCTGTTGCTTCGAACGAAGTTCGCGATCCAGCCGTTGAACCAGCAAACATTGGATCCAAGATGGGCTGCAATGTCTGGGTCGTTGACGCGGAAAATCACGACATCCTTCTGCCCATGGGCGCGGTGGGTGAGCTCCTCGTGGAGGGCGCCATCGTCGGTCGAGGCTATCTCCAGGAGCCTGAAAAGACTGCTGCTGCGTTCATCCAGGATCCAGCTTGGGTGCATTACTTGCCCAGCACCAAGAATTCAGAACGCCGCCGGTTCTACAAGACGGGAGATCTGGTTCGACTCAACGCAGACGGCACGATCCATTTCATCGGCCGCAAGGACACCCAAGTCAAGCTACGTGGTCTGCGCATCGAAATGGGAGAGATCGAGCACCACGCCAGTACATACCGGGCAATTAGGCACGCCGTTGTGGCCGTTCCACGCGCCGGGCGCATGAAGGAGTCTATTGTCGTTGTATACACGCTTAACGCTTACGATGACTCGCACGAGCAACAGTCCGCCCTGCGACCTTTATCAAACACCGATCTGGAAACCAGCCAGATGGCCCCTGCGCAGCTGCGAATGCACCTCGCTGCCCATCTTCCCCCATACATGGTCCCTCAAACCTACATCGCCGTCGCGACATTGCCTCTCCTGGCCTCTGGCAAGATCGACCGCCCCAAGCTCCAAAGATGGCTCGAGAACATGGACGACTCAACCAGTGAACTGGTTGCCGCTCAAGTCGGCAAGTCTGCTACCCACGAAGCAGGCCCCATCGACCCGGCCGACACGCTCGCGCTCGCCCTGAGCGAGCCCATTAGCCAACTATTGGCTGGAGACGACGAAGCCTACCTTGAAACCTTAAAGGGCCGCAACATCGTCCTCTCCCAAAGCGGACTCAACTCCATCACCGTGGTCTCGCTGCGGGCGATGATCCGCGAGAAGTTCAATGCAGACGTATCCATCGATCGCCTTATGGAAAGCACCGTCACGGTCCAAGACGTAGCGCGCATGATCAAGCACGGTAGTAACGTCGCCGGTACCGACGAGCAAGGATCCGCACCACAACTCGATCTCCTCGCAGAGGCAGATCGCATGATGGACTCTCTCGTCGCCGAGGCGTCCCCCGACGTGCAGACCCTCAACCAGCCAACAATGCAGGCTGAGCGGATCCTCCTTACCGGTGCGACTGGGTTCCTCGGCACTGAGATCCTCCGACAGCTCCTTTCTAACCCGCCGAGCTCTCGCAGCGTGGTCGCTCTCGTCCGCGCACGGGATAAGGACCATGCAATGGAGAGGATTGTCTCCTCCGCCAGAGCAGCACAGTGGTGGCAGGAGGAGTACCGGTCGCGGGTAACCGCCTGGGTAGGCGATCTCGCAGCGCCGCGTCTCGGACTCAGCGAGAGCCAGTGGTCCGCAATCGAGGGCCGTGGCTGTCCTGGATCTGGGTCTGGGTCTAGCTCTGGCCCTGCAGAGCCACGAATCGACGCAATCATCCACAACGGAGCCCTGGTCCACTGGGGCGCCGACTACCACCGGCTGCGCGACGTCAATGTCTCCAGCGTCATCTCGCTGCTCGCGGCACTGACGCGCTCCCAGGCACCTCCGACCTTCACCTTCGTATCTGGCGGCCACGTACAACTAGACGACGACGAAGCTACCGACGAAGAAAGGGCCGCCGTGATCGCCCACTCAACGGGCTACGGGCAGTCCAAATTCGTCGCCGACCTCGTGGTCAAGCGCTTCGCGGCGCGGTACTCGACGTCCGCCGTCTCGGTCGTGAAACCCGGTCTAATTGTGGGAACCGCGCAGTCCGGGGTATCCAACACAGACGATTTCTTCTGGCGCGTTGTAGCGACTGCCGTGGAGATTGGCGGGTTCAATGCCGAAGAACCAGAGAATGTCATCCTGCTCGCCGGCGCACAGCAGGTCGCTTCCGTGGTGACCGAGAAGCTGCAGTTGAACCCGGACCCGGCCTACAGTGTGTCCGGGATGTCGTCCGTCGAGACCAAGGTCCGTCTAGCAATCACAACGCAGGAACTCTGGCGCATGCTTAGTGAGGAGTTCGGATACCCGATGCGCGGTATGGGTCCGGCAGAGTGGTTGGACACTATGCGTGATGCGGTGCATGCACAGGGCCAGTCGCATCGTCTCTGGCCTGTGCTGCACTTTTTGGAAGCCGGTGGCGGGTACATGGGCCTGCCGGTGGGAGGTTGTCAGTTGCAGGGAGCAACGAAGGCGGAGCAAGAGGAGAAAGAGGAGTTGCTGGCGTCGCTGAGGAAGAGTATTAGCTATATGCGCCAGATCGGATATCTTCAGAGTGATGCGCCAGAGGTTGTGGAGAAGATAGTGTTTGGACGCAGTAGTGTTTAGTTGGATGCAACATGATCTATCAGGTTGTTTGCATTTATGAGTTTTCTTTACTAGCTGTTATTTGTGATTTAACATCATGTTGGATTTGGTAGTTCTTTCCTGAGTGTTTGTCAGTGGAGTGAGCATACTTAATTTGTGTTGTGACAAAGATATATCTATTCCTGTTAAGCTGTGCAGCATGGGCTCTTTGTACAATGCCACGGGCTTATTTTTCAGCTAATAGCTAGGCCAAGTTAGTTACCCCCTAACACTATGCTCTTACTGATAATTTAACCTGAATTTTGAATTTGATCAGGTTACAACGGCCAGGCATGTCTTACTAATCTTTGCGGATAAACTCTGCTCGAACTCTAGGATTGTCAAACGCCAGACTAGTAGGTGACATTAATATGATTTATTATTTCTTATAGCATTAAGTTAAGAGCCTTATAAAAGTAGTACTTATTAAGTATTCAACAAGAATATGTGGATCTCAAAGTATTAAAATAATCATAATACAGGTGACAAGACTCAAGGCAATGATATATATTTGTAAGACACACCGTATGTCGGGGTTAGCTTGGAAATTCTAGTTATACTATGGCCAAGAAGGCGCTTATATAGCCATCAGCGCTGCTGGTTTGTATCCTCCAAGAAATGCAGCCAGATTCGGCTCAGGTGTCCAGATCCCACTAGGAAACAACTGCTTAGACTAGACCTTGACACAACCCGCGGGTTATCCGTCACGGGTCCAGACCTTCAACCTGTACGGGTTTTTGAGTAACCCGTGGGTTGGCAAACAGTACAAACATGCTGTATAAAGCTAATATCTAGGTGACTCAGCAATATTATGCAAGAGATATAGCCTATTTGAGAGATCTTATGCAGCATGGGTTCTTGGCGGGTAACCCACGGGTTACCCAAAAACCCGCGTGGGTTCAGGGTACGGGTCCTGACTTGGACCCGTCACGGGTTTTGTCATGGTCTAGCTTAGACTGAGGCCAAAACTTGCAAACTGGAAAGGACGGCCCCCGGCTTCAATTCTTGGACGCGTTAGTTGCCGGTGCAAGAGGTAGACCAATGTGAGTCCATTTCATCTAGAGAACATGAAAACAGGACTGAGCATGATACTTTGCTGTGGCGAAATTCGGCTGGCAGAGGATTTGAGGGAGTTAATTAGGGGTCCGGCAATCACGTGGAAACATTGCATGCAACAATCAAATGCCCACAGGTGCGTTTTACTGACAGGATAATATGGCCAGGGAATGAATCGCTGATGTGGGCTGCTAGAACTGACTCTGTCTGTAATTCAGTCCTCCGCCTTTGACTCGGAACTCTCGACTTCAATGCCCACTCCATGGCTACAGCCACCGCCGCGCTGTGCCTCTATCTCCCTCACGATCCGCTCATAATTCATCCAAATCCGGCGCCGGTTCCTCAATACCTTAAACTCAAGGTTCTCACCATCAGGCTCCTGCCCGGTAGATATATAGAAGTCTCTTAGAAAGTATAAAAGCTTATTAAACTAGAATTTACTTTTCTCTGCTCTATTACTATTAGCTGTTTATATTTATAATAAAATAATATCCGCACACCACAGTATATTAGAAAAGACACAAGACTTCTAGAAGCTAGATAGAAGATACTCTGTATAATATCTAAATTCAGGGCTTGCGAGGAAGACACAATTGAAAGATAAGTGTAGGTCCAGGTGCTATTGGAAGTCCCTCACAGCGTGTAGGTACGAGAGCCAGCTTCCTCCTAACAATTTTCAAAGAGATAAGTAAGAATAACAACTATATAAAACTGAAGTAGCATCCTGCAGCTACCATACCCGTGTATCTGTGCACAAAGTTCAGATTAGTTCATTATCATATCCTTGACATGAACTGCATCTACTTTATCAGCAGTCAGGTCACCAATATATAATATTATATATAGTGGTTACTGTTTACTAGATGAAGTCGGATATTGCTTTTAGCCAGGTACAAACGGAACCTATTGGAGCATGACCATAGGGGCCTCGTGATCCTCTGTCAGTATAGAACAACCTTCATATCGCTTGACTTATACTTATACCGGCAATCTTATCGTAATAGCATATAGTGAATAATAATGGATAATAAAAATATCGAACAATTGAACTGCATTGCCTGCAGTACCGTACGGAACTATTAATACAGGAAATAGGAAAAAAGGCTCAATAATTATAAAGCTCCGCAAAAGCCCATGCCCATGCCCTCGCTCATGCTAACAAAACAAATCATGACCTCATTGGTAATCCATTCATCAGCTTGATCGGAACCGAAAAGGCTCAATCGGCATCAGTGCTTGTTGCAACCGCTTATTGAATAGTGATCTTCCTCGCGGTCGGAGGTGCTGCCTTCGGCACAACAACCGAGAGAATGCCATCCCTTAGATTCGCGCGTACGCGGTCCTGATCAATGCGAGACGGGAAGCTAAAGGTACGCTGGAACTCGCCAACAGAGCGCTCGCTCACCCAGTAGCGCGGCTTTTCACCTGACACGGATTTGGTCACTTGCTTTTCGCCCGCTTTAGCGATGTCGTTGATTGCGCCTTCTGTTTCATCCTCAACCTGAGGTTGTTTTCCAGTGGTGTCGGTGTTGGCAGGGTGATAGTGGCGCTCAACGCGGCCTTTGATGACTATAGTCTGGGGTTCGGTGAATTCGATGTCGACGTCCTTCTGCGCGGCGCCCGGGAGCTCGCCGTCGAGGTGGTAGGCATCGTCTGTCTCGCGAACATCAAAGCGGGGCGAGAAGGAGCGTACAGAGGTGTGGTGGCCTCGGGTTTTGGAGGAAAGGTGGTTGTCGTATTCGTCCAGCAGGCTAAAGAGGGGGGCGAAGCTGCTGGCGGTGGGAGCGGTCGTAAATAGAGACATTTCTGATTGGTTTGGACGAAATGATCTTAGAAAATAGCTAGGATGGAATGTTTGGGTTGTGGTTGTTGGTGATGCACTTGGTTGCTTGGTAGACAATGAGGGGATAGGCGAGTGCTGGAGGTGGCTTATATGCTCTGTGGATGGTTTCTAGGCAGATATAACAAAGCTCGACATCCTAGCTTCTGGATGCGGCTCGAAAATTCTAGACTTAACTTTCTGTTTCGCGAACCATCTTCCCTTGTACCTGGGATCATCTGGTAGGATCTGGAATCGTCCAAAATTGGATGATGTCATATAGTACCCAATGAAAGTGATAATCATTTCTCATTGGTTGGCCATTGTGGCGGTACGGGCCGCCTATCGGTGAACCGCAGCTTATAGTTCCAATGTAAAGAGAAGGAAAGTGCCCTATAAAATCAGTGATTGAATACGGTCGATAGAGACATATTCGCCCGCTGTCAACGGTCTACAAACCGAATAGATTTCTATAATCCGGGGTTTCCCAGTGGGGAGGATGGTAGTTCCGACAATGGGCTCTCTTATCCCTAGTAGTGGGGCACCGTACTTTGATGAGCAGTTGATTCAACGCCAAATCTCCTTCCATTGAACTTGTATTAGGTCTGTAGCTGGTCGAGCCGATGGTTCGGTTCAGCGCTGAAGGGGCATGCGAACAGGAAAGGAGGCTACAAGGAAATGACTCAGACGGGCGGCATCATTCTGCATCTCTCATATGTACAGAACTTATGGAACCATAATAGCACCATTATAAGGCAGTGGTAGTCTGTGCAATGTCCCTCCAGGTCTTTTTGCCCGCATGGGCCATACTGCATGCCTCAAATGACCGCTCCCCGTTTCGTGTCAATCTCAAAGATTTCCGCTTCTCCTCACAGCTATGTCCTGGCGGATAGCCGTGTATTAGGGTCCTCAGTCTGCCCACTTTGTTCCATCGTAAGGGTGGACGTTTGAGTAGGCCTGCTGAGCCCACCCAAGGCGTTGCTCCATTTTAGCAAGACCCGACGAAGAGACGAACTTTGTTCTCGAGAATTTCGCAGTTCTTTTATGAAGTCTTCAAACCGCGGTCTCATTTGGAAAAAGCTGTTCCCGATATGATCTGCTGAGACTTCTGGTTCGGCTTCGACTTGTCCCAAGCGGACTAGTATCATGAACCTATCTCCGTCTTTTTTCGGAGCAAGGCTGGTAAAAACAGTGCCGAGGTACAGTGAGTCGATCACGCTGACAGTGATATCGGTAAGAGTCACTGTAGCAGCTGTGACTGTTTTGACTAGGAGAGCTGGATGCTGGTCTTCAACTCTCCACAGCAGCAGACAATTCTCCCATCTCTGCAGGGCAGCAGATATCTTGTAATCGACAGTTGTATGTGAACCCATGGGAAAAATGTGTTTCACATCCCCTTCTTTTAGTGCCCTATATTCAAACCTTCCGATAACAGCTCCGTTCTCATCGACATGCGCATCAATCTGATTATTTGCCTTTCGCTCCTTGTACCAGGATACATCAGCGCCATGCAGGAAATCAAACGGGCACCACGAGAAGGAACCCTTCTGTGTTAATGTAGCATGGCCGTGAAAGAGAAATTTGCTTTCGATTGTTCCAAGTCCGCGAAGGATGGCTTTGGTGAGCTCGGCAGGCATGTTAGCTGCAGTCATGTTATCCCTTGCCTGCGGAGTAGAAAGCACACCTGCAAGCAGAGCTGCAATTATGAGCTTGTCTCGTGCCTTTGAGGTACTCCTTGTTTTAAGGACTGATAAAATACTGGAAATTGAGTCGTATTTCTGTCTCCAGACGGAGTCAACAACGTCGGATGCGATCAAATGGCTCCGAGAACAAGAGACACGATCAATAGCAAGTATCTCTGACCGGAGATCCTTGATGACTCTTTTGTTCTTGTTACAGGGGTCCTTGAATATCACCCAAACATCATGCGACAAAGCCAACTCAAGTGCTGTCCAGGCTCGGGTGAACCAGGGAGAGAGAAGAATGGCGAGGCAGGGAGAGCCGTCTTCAGCCCAGGGGAAATCAACAAGATACTGGTCATGCACGAGGGTACATTTTGCTGAGCGAAAGTCACGGTTCATTCTCCGAATTGCCTTTCTGCGAGCTGCAGGTTCTTTAGGAATAGAGATGGTATCCCACCAAATTGCTTCATAACCGAGTTCTCTCACGGCCTCTTTGAAATACCTAAAGAGACAACGGTTGACAAAGCCTTCTTTCTGAACTCCAGAGCCTGTACCGTCTGACCATACATGGGAAATGGCGACGTATGGAACACCAGCCGCGCGAGGGTGTGGCTTTGTGCTGTGATCACCAAGCCACCAAGTCCGAGAGCAACTGTTGGTTTCAACTTCGTGCAATGGAAACTGAAGCAGGCCGCATCGTTTGCTTAGACATTTATGGAGCTGCTCCACACTTGTGCTATCCTGGTCACTGAAAAAGCAGAATTCCGCTGGGCAGTTGTCATGATGTAGATGGCGAAAACTACCGTCATGTACTTTATTCAGTTTTCCATTGCGGGCTTCTCGTAGAAGGATAGATATGTCCTTTTCGTACCCTGTAGCCACTGACAGGTTCCAGAGACGATTCTCACAGATTCCGAGAGAACGCGCTACTCCTAAGGCTCCGAAGACCGCGTCATCAGGTATATTTCTCCTTATATCAAAGTCCTGCACCTGGTCAACTTGTGCAAGCCAGCTGAGAACCTCATAGACTTCTGATTCCAGTTCCGTGAAAGGTTCTTCCCTTGACTGAAGGGCGAAATCAGTAAAGTTGAGTGCCATGGTAATTGCTGTGGATGTGTCGCCCTTGGCTTTGGACGAGGCCAATCGACAAGCGAGAATTGTGAGAGCCCATTCCCGGAAACTTGCCCAGTTACACGCGGGGGCGTTTTTCGCCTTGGCCTTCACAGCAAGGCAATCTTTGTTTGAGCATCTCTTGACATTAGCATCGAGACAAACCCGTTGCAGCCCCTCTAAAAATGGGCCAGTGGGCCACCTGTATGTGAATATCTTCGACCCTGACCCAAGCAAGAGCCCTGGCTCAGGTGTAGTCGTATGTGGCTCGTCTTTGGCTAGACTATTACGTTGCGAAAGAAGGTTGGTCAGACCCTTTCTGCTAATCAGCTCTAAGGCGTGAAAGATGAACAGAGCGAGTTTCGTCTACCTTCTTGATCGTTAGATTCTGACAGTGACTGGAATTGTCCTCCGTAATGCACAGCAACGATCTTGGCAAATCAAGGGAATTCGTTAAACTGGACATTGCGATATTTACCAACACTCTGGTTAAAGCGTATCCTATAGATGTGTTATATCCTCCGAACGTAAATCAAAAATCTTCATGTTCTATTTGGAAGAACAGAAGATCTGAGGGGTCAGAGAATGCGTGCCCAACAAGTGAGGCGAGGGCAACCAATCCGAAAGCGCCGTGTTTCACTCCTCAGGTGTACGAGTTCTAATTCTATATAGTTTGAACGTATGCCTTGGATTGGTGGTTTTGTGCCGCAGAAGGCATGATACCACTTTCTTGTCTCCCGTTGGTACAGAATGTGACTCGGGAATTCAGGCCACAGCAGGACAAGTCAAATGTGCCTTTAAAAACTCTGTTCTGTACCTATCCGAGCATCAGATGACTCAGGGGTTGTTACAGACAAGCAAAATAGACCGTGAGACAGTGTAGCTGCAGCAAGCGTGGCACAGATTATAGTCCCTAAACCACGAAGTCCAGATCCTTTTGTACTGAATCTCACCAACTGTCATGCTCGGGAGAGAACATGGCGTACGCTTATTCCTTACACCCCTACGGCAGCGCCTAAAGTAGACTGAGAAGTGATATGGACTGATATATTCTCTAGCGGCGTTTCACAGCCATTTTCTGTTCCCAAAAAGAACCTGCCGTTACATCCCCCTTTCTAACTCTACAACCTCTGCAATAGGCCCCAAAATCTCGTCACTCAATCTCTCTGCCTTAACAGAGCCTAACGGCCTTCTCCCCCTCCCATTTCCATATCCAAAATACCGCTCAATTAAAGCCTTAACCCCGACAACCCCAACCTTTCCCAACGCCCAATCCGCATCACTAAGCTTTGCCTGTAACGCCTGCGCTCCGACCAGATTCCCCTGCTGATAAAGTCTCAGTAGGGTCACATGTAGCTTTGGGGCGATATTTGCTAGGGCCGCAATGATACCGTGAGAACCTGCAATAAGCGCGGGGAGGAAAAAATCGGATTTCCCGCCAAATGCAGAGAAGGCGCGCGGGCGTTGCGAGAGGGTTGAAGTGATACATTGAAGCTTGCCGATATTTCCGCACGTTAGCTTGCAGCCGACAATATTGGGGGTTGTCGTTGCGAGGCGGATGACTGAGTCGGAACTGATATCGATTCCGCTTGTTACGCTGGGCAAATTGTTGATCAACACTGGGAGTGGCGAGTCCACGGCAACCTAGGACGTGGCATTAGTATTGTACCTTGTCGAAAGCGTGTAGAGAACGAACATCATGCAAGAATCCCTCAATAACAGGCACATTCATCGCTGCGGCCCAGTACGAAGGAGGTAGAACTTTACATTTAGAAAGAGATAAATAAAAAAGTAACATTATTCTTTTTTATCTTTTTAAACCTGTAGTTCATTATATTTAGTATATTACCAGCTATTATAGCTAATAAAATTAATATTTATCTTCTATATAGCTATCTTAAGTAGTAGCTCTAGGTAAATAGAAATAGAATTATATTAGAAAGCCTGAATATTAACTTATTAAAGTAAATACTATTTCAGGATACTCTCTACTATATTATAAAAAATCCTCAAGATTCCAGCTTAAAAGATACACAGCCAGTTGGAATTCCTTGCGGAAAGCACTTTCGCTCGGAGTGTAAATCAACGCGGCCATGTACACCACAAAGCTGTACGCACCAATGACACCCAAGAATAAAATAATTCCCTTCTTTGAGGCCAATTATGAGGGTTCTCTTCGTCATCCGCAGAATGCCACTCCACGCGAATGGTGCCTTCATTGTGAAACCGTATAGGGTGACCGTTGATTGTGTTTACGCAGCTCGCATTCTCTTCCGGGTATGTCAACCAATATGGTCTATAGCAGACAACTCCAGCTCCACTACATTTACAGTTCCGAACCATTTTATCCATAACCATTTTTTTACCCAGACCCCAACTGGCAAACCCCGCGAGACAAAGAAATAAATCAACAAATGGAACCCCTCATCAAATCCGATCGTCCACCGTCCTCCTCGGCCCAATCATGACAGACCCCATCCCCATATCTGCACTATCCTCCGTATGCACAATAACCTCAGTCGTCTGCAGAATCCTCGAATTTGGGTGACCCTGCCTGTGGTCGCGCGCCAGGTTCTCCTCGCTACCGCCGTCGGAAACCGACAGCGACGGGTGGTTTGCATGGATCTGCACGCGATATTTGTCCTCCTCGTCATGGCGCCTGCGGGCTAGCTCGCTGAGGGTGTGGCTATTCGGGCCGTAGTAGGTCTCGCCTGTTCGTTTGCGGGATCGTCCATAGTTGCGGCTGCTCTGGCCGCGCGTGCTGCCGATTATGCTCTTAGCGAGGGGTTTGATTGTTGGGACGGAGGCGGCGATGACGCCCGCGGCGAGTTCGACGCTGGATGGATGGTTGAGCTCAGTTAGTTGGTGCTGTAAATGAAATATGGAGGGACTTTGGAGGAGGGTTGGCATACTAGTTCCAGATATGGTAGGAGTATTCTCTGAGATCGGGCTTAGTAGATTGCTGGTAGCGTAGGGAACACTCACACAGACCGGTAGACCTCTTTGTCGGAGAAATAACGAGTTTGAAAAACTGTTTTTACAATCGCGGCAGCACACGCACTGCAGATGTCAGCTGTTGCCGTTGACAGCTGAATTGGATACGCGTACAAGTAACCCAGGCCCAAGATCCCCATCAGCGATATCTTGGTCCTTTTGTTCACCTGCACGTTGTAGAACATGAAGACCGGGAGGGTGGCGTAGAGGAAATCAGTGATGATGTTAATGGCTATTCGTCCGTATCAGTACCACTCCCACGGGGCCAAGAAGGGGTAGCTGTCAGAAATTACAAGCATTAAATCTGCCGATGGCCAGAAATACAGGGAGTGTAAAGCATTTGGTTGATTCTTTTGCTCGCAGCCCAGCATCCCACGCTGCCCTGACAGGAACACATTGGAAGATCAAGGTGCACAGAGAAGCGATCGTAAAACAAGCCAGGAAACCAACTGAGCCGATGATAAACCACTTCAGCCACTTCTTCTGAGCCGTGAAACGAAGAAGAAAGAGGCCTGTGGATATCTTGACCAAACTAATACCCAGCACGACAATAATCGAGCGCCACCATATCCATTGGGAAAGCTTCCCACGATGGCCTTCAGCTTCGATCGCCGCGATATACTGGCCCATGCCCACTTTGCTTTCGCCGACAAAACAGGCCATGAAACCAATGCAACACATCTAATACGGTGAAAAAAAAGGAATTATCTCACAGAGGCTGCACTTACCCCACAGACAACCATAATGGTGTCCTCAGCATAGAGTCGGCGGAGAATGAAGACCCGTACGTAGCATCGCAATGCCACCACGACGAGCGACAGTCCCGTCAGAACACCTGAGATGGCCAGAATCTTGGGGGCCTGTGTTGAATAGTCGATTTCCCCGCTTGTGGAAGTGTCTGGCTTCTGGGTTAACTGCGATGCCATTGTCACCGCATGAAATAGGAGAAAGGCGCCAGAAGGGGGTGGAAACAGATACCAGGGCCACGGAGAGGGTTATATGAAGACGTCGGGAGAATCTTTCTTTAGACAGGCCCAGGGTTCATAGCAGGAAGAGCAATATTTCGGGAATAATAATGTTGGAAGCTGCTGCTTTGTTTGCGACTAGTCTTTACGAGGCAGGATAAAGTTCAACCCTGTACGTGGACCCAACTCGGACTACCGTTGAGCGATGCATCCTGGGCGACTTCGAGGATGGTGAAATTAAAATTTTCTACGGAGGTTGGCGTTACGAGGACAGCAGGCTGGACACAGACTCGAACTGTGCAAACATTTCAGCACGAGAAGGTCACCTTGTCCTGGCACTACAATCGTCCCAGTAAATGAAAAAGCACACTCGCGAGGCACACTCCATCTGTTCAGGACAGTCAGCGCCTGCGAGCCATACCAGGTCAATATTATCCGTCTCCCGAGGCAGGAAGCCGATGAAGCCACGCCTAAAGCGAGACCCCCATAACGACCAGGAAGTTGCATGCACTCCGGTCGCCCAGAGGCCAGGCCCACCAGCCACGAAATTGTCGTCCTTTTAGCCTTTTGGAACGGAGGAGGGCGATCGTCGCTTTTTGGGGATTCCGTGTCCAGTCTGGCATAAAGCCAACAATCCAGCGGAGCAGCCTACTTCACGAACAGCGAATGACTTGCGGGTCGGAGCGAGCTAGCAATATTAACGGAGTATGGGAGATAAACAAAACCTTTATAGATCTGCCGCTGATCCGAGTATAGTCCGACTGCGGCCTGCGCCGCAGCCCCAAAGGAGTTAACTAGTGAAGTTAACGCAGCAAGACGCAGCAACGGCTGGCAGTGCCGGACGAGCCTGTGTCACAGTGAAACATCGGCCGAACCTACTGTGCTGTGCTCCACAAGACAAGATTACGTCCGCCTGCCGGGATTCGAGCCTAGTGAATGATCAGCAATCGAGACACATCTTGCGCCCTCCTTGGGGCTTCTCAACTTCCAAAGTACTGTGATGAAATCGTTGCAACTCCAAGGAATAAATCTCGAGGACATGTACCGACGTGGACGAGCTTGGACCAGGGTGTCGGAGAATGGTTGAAGACAGCAAGTTGATTGACCGCTGCCCGGCCAGCTCATCAAGTTTGCCCTCATTGCGCGATTATTAACCGGTTAATATACTGGCCAAGGCCGCGGGATGCGCATCCCTGCCCACGGACCAGGCACCGGACGGACCACTCCGATCAGAGATTAACTCAATATCGAACCCTGTCAATCGCAGCCTTGGAGGCCCGGCGTCACCCCATGCATCGACCGCGCCAGTCAAGCACCACGCGTCAACTAACCACGCCGTTCCTGGCACTATCCTAAGATACCTCGCAACGATGGAAATGGAGGCGTCGAAGTGCAGCGCCTAGGTGCTGTCTTGTCTGCATGGCTTATGGTCTGATCTGGAGCTCAGCCGGGGCTTGTGCCTCGGAAATAATTCCCATCATCCGCGTCTGCTCCCTAGGGCACGGCGACGTAGTCTGCCGTACATATAAAAAAGTGCCCCTCTCCTTTTTTTTTTTTTTTTTTTTTTTTTTTTTGCTGCTCTCCTTTCTCGCAAAGACACCCGACATGCGTTTCTCTTTTAGTGCCGCAGTGGCAGTTCTTGCTGCCACACCTCAAGCTACGGCTACCTTTAATGATATCGACGAGTGGGATATCCTCGCGCAAAATGCCTTGGCTAACCAGGTGCGCTATCAGTCTACCAAGCCCCGGTATACAGATAGCGAATGCACCCCTCATACAGCTTCTGTCCGTCGAGAATGGTACACCTTGTTCTAGTTGCAAACTGCGTCTCGCATAGCTAATGAAACGTTTAGGGGAACCCTCTCCAAGCAGGAACGCAAAGAGTATATTGACGCCGTGGTCTGCCTTACCCAGAGTCCCTCGAAGATCGACCCTGCCCTCGCTCCTGGAGCGCGTACACGTTACGATGACTTTGTCGCGATCCACATTAACCAGACCCTGAGAATCCACACAACGGTGCGCTCCCATGTTTCGTTACATATTTCGTACACTCCCAGCAGGAGATGCTAATAATGGCAGGGCAACTTCCTGACATGGCACCGGTACTTTACCTGGGCCTACGAGCACGCCCTCCGCAACGAGTGTGGCTATACTGGCTACCAGCCATACTGGTCCTGGGGCAAATACGCTGATGACCCTCTACACTCGCCTATCTTTGACGGCTCTGAATATAGTATGTCCGGCGATGGCCTTTACATACCTCATGACGGGCCCGAAGTCTTTACAGGCCTCTTCCTGAAACCCGGAAACGGTGGTGGCTGTATCACCTCCGGCCCTTTCAAGAAGTGCGTCCTTCCCCATGTTGCATATTCCTGCAGTATTTATAACCTGGCTAACCCCATACTATAGCTTCACCGTCAATCTCGGCCCACTCTTTGTAACCCTTAAGGTCCCTGGCGTGGAAAAGCAAAACGGCACCGGCCTTGAGTATAACCCGCGCTGCCTGCGCCGCGATATCAACCCTGACGCTGCTAAATGGACCACAGTCGAGCATGTCACTGACCTTATTAATAACTACCGTGATATCTCTTCTTTCCAGGATCGCTTGCAGGGTGACTTCGACAACGGCTACGTCGGAGTGCACACCGGTGGCCACTACACTATTGGCGGCGACCCTGCAGGCGACTTCTATGCCTCGCCTGGCGATCCTGCTTTCTTCCTACACCACGCAGCCATCGACCGTGTGTTTTGGACCTGGCAGAACCTTGACCCTGCTAACCGCACTTTCGTCGTTCATGGGCCAACTCTGCTCCCCGGACGGGGCCCGAGTCCGAACACGACTCTCGACGATGTGCAGTATTTCGATGTCCTTGCAGAGGATAAGACAATCCGCGAGCTGCTTGATACAGTGGCTGGGCCGCTCTGCTATGTTTACAAGTAAATGTATAGCTTTTTGCCGTCTGATGTACGTAATTTTTAGACTTGATACAATATTGCCATTCTCCGGTTAATACTGATAATAATAATATTGCTACTTCGTTCGGCTTCCACCATCCGGTCTATTCAAAGGGGTGCGCAGGGAGGACCCACCAATTATTCACTCACCCTATCTCACTGAGCCGATATATACAGGCGTAGTAGATATAGACGGTAATTTGATAGGCCCTCAGAACATATGACCACAGGGTGTGAAAATTTCATAAGGTGGCCTTGTACATTATATATCCTGGATCAGCAACCTTGGCAGTAGTAAATTGTTTCCTGCGTATAGAATCACGGATAAGCGTGTACGTCCAGGGTTCAAGGTGGCCTACAGGTTGTTAATTACACGGGGCTTATCAACAAACAGAATTTGATACTTCTCATCTGTACTACCTAGACGTATACTTAACTATGATGTACTCATAATGATTACCAGTAACTATATCTCACTAATTAATACCTAGTCATGGTGCAAACGCGGCTTGGGAATAATCAACCAGGACACTCCCGTAGCTCCGAGTAGACCCACAAGCATTGGCTGCAGAACTTTGACTCCGGCTTCAGAGGCGATGACGCCCGTAATGGCTGGGAAGACAGCTCCACCGATCTGGCCAAGGAGGAATATGATTGCTGTAAAAAAATGTTAGGGAAACCTGCTTTTTGTGTGTGTCTGAAGGCACGTACCGAGGGCAGAAGAACGAATTTCGGCGGCGAAGGCCTTGGAAGCCACAGATATACCCTGTCTCTGTCAGTCACCCTTTGGGGTGAGAGGAAATTGGTTTGACGTACCGTGGCAAAAAAAGGTCCCGAGAAGAAGCCGAGTAGACTAATTGCGACTGCTTCGGTAATGATATGTGGAACAAGCCAGAAAACCAACTCAAGTGCCAGACAGAGAATAATATACACGAAAATCATCCGCCGCTCGCCAAAGCGATGTGTTGGCTCCGCCAGCAAGAGTCGTCCGAGAAACCCTCCACCATAGAAACCAGCAGGAACATATCCCATTTTATCAAGATCTCCATTGCGAACCTCGACTAGGTACTCGACAATCCATCCTGTACACTTTAGGTATTTGCCTTTAATAATACTATTTATTAGGGACATACCTCCAGCAGTAATCACAGCACCAAGGAAGAAAAAGAAAAAGAGACTGATAAGCCAGACACCCGCGCTGCCAAGGGTCTTCTGCATTTCCACCAGGGCATTGTGCTGTCTCGAGGGTGTAACTCCTTCGCTCTGGCTTCTTTTCTTTATAGTAGACCACTCACGGAATGCAACCCAGACCAGAAGTAAATTTAGCACACCTAGCCCCAATGGCGTAGCATAGAAGAAGTGCCAATGAGATGAGCTCGACGAGGCAACACCAGTTGCGACAAACGGCGCAACAAGGCAGCCAGCCAGGTACATGGCATGGATAAAGCCCAGCCAGCGATGCGCACCTTTCACGGTCGTGACGAAGTTGTTCGCGTGGGTGTCCTGGTACCCCTGGCCGAGGGCAGCGATTGCAAATGTCACCGCGAAGAGCGCGAAGGGTGGCAGCCAGATGCGCAGGGCGTGCGCCAGGACCTGTAAGCCGGCGCCGAGTAAGAGGAGGGCTCCCAGGTTTAAGTATTGGCTCAGGTAGCTGTTGGTGAGTGCGGTTACGAGCCAGCCAGCGAAGGTGGCGCCGTACCTGGTTTCGGAAGATGGCTAGTTAGCCTCATTAAAGAAGTTTGGATGTGCGCCATTGGCATATAGGTAGGCGCAGATCAGTCTTACACTATTGACACCATGTTTGTGTCAATGCCATACTCATTCCTGATATGGGGAATAAGTGCACCGAGACTGCCGTCATTGATGCCGGCCACGAAGAATGTAAAGCCCGAGCTAGCCAGCTTGACGAGAAGCAGACGGGGAGCAGGAGCTTCGGGGGTGTTGATTTCAAGGGCTTCCATCGTTACGGTGATTTTTGAAACGTTCACTATAGAACTGTGAAGGAACAGGGTGGGTTATCAATGTACGAAGGTCGGAGCGGTTAAACTTCGGGGAGCCACAGCAGCTCCAAAAGAGGCAGGTCGGCCAGCCCTCCGTGGCCAATGTTCATTGGATTTGCTTCTCGTGCACTTGTCAGCTAACAGGCGAACACACTATCAAGGCTCTACTATGCTGCAGTAAATCACCCGGGGACCGTCGGGGCGCTCAAAGCATTACATGAACAGCTGCTTTAGATATCATCAAAGTAATCATGTTTAGCATAACGCTCAGGCACTTGCTCTCTGGTATTCCATCCAGACAGACTACCAACTCTCAGGTAGACAACACGATATTAAGAATCAACTGCTAGTTTACGTTTCCCCTCAAGTTCATGCCTAAAGCACTTAAACTACCTGTGACTTGTTAGTAATTTGCCCAGGAGGCTTTTACTCTCGACACCAGACAAACGTCGGAAATTGGCGGGACGATGCCGCATCATGTGGGATTATAAGTGATCTTTTCTGTTGAAACTCCGACTGCCATCCGGGAAGGGGTAAGGAGTAGGCCTAATATACATAGTCTTAATGTGCCTCATGAGATCGGCTTCCCTTCTAAAAGCTGTACGGGAATACAGCCCTTCACTCGCACACCAGTGATCGCGGCCTTTTCATGTTTTCTCCTGATGATCCTCCCGTCTGAGAAGGGCCAGTGCTATCTTGTGTGAAACTAGCAGCATTGAAGGGTGCCCGTTGGGTATGCTCCAGACCTTCCGGGAGGTTATCCATCTCCGAAACCCCGGCAATGTAAGAAAGGTAAAACGAACTGCTAGTGTTATTATATTTAAAGATAGATAGGCCTGACAAGGTTGAGTCCCTGTCAAGATTAAAGAAGCTCTGTTCTAAGCAGCTCCAGTCTGATGAGAAGCCTGTCGCGATCCACCGTCTGCGGGAAAGTGGTCATCCCCTATGATAAATATTGTAAACAAATAACAAGAGCCTGGATAAAATATGAAAAGTCGCATAGTCTTAGACCTTAGTGCTTTTATTAGGTATTAATAGAAATGGGCAATAGCTTCTCGACCGCACAGATCTGGACCAGGCTGTGCAGTGGGCGCAGTATGGTATGCTTGATCTTTAGGAACCGAGAATCGAGGCGCCAGGGTGTTCAGTGAAGTAGTAAGACCTTAATTACTCCTGATTAGCCTCAACCAGGTGTCAGCAACGTTAGCACCGAACTACTTGGCGTTGCTCGCCGAGAGCCGAGGCCGCAAGAACTGCCGATGGGCGCATCCGAACCAGGAATTGGCTGTCGGCCTCATATCTTGCGGGCTCAACCGGACGATCCCCACGATACCCCAGGCTAATGACAGGAGCTACGGCGCACGTCGGCCTATCGGACCGGCAGCGCATCTGCGGACCGGGGCTGTTATAAGATGATGGACGACAGCGAACTGCAGGTGCAGGTGCAGCGGAGACATCAACCCAACGTTCAAGATGGGCAAGAAGAAGATCTACCGATCCCCCTATCCCAACCTCCAAGTCGAGGCAGTGGACCTTGTGTCAAAGGTCTTCTCGAATCCCTTCAACACGCCTTTGTCCAAGCCGATGTATATCGACGCCCTGAGCGGTGACCAATACACGTACGGAGATGTCATTCAACGCACGCGTGCCCTAGCCAACGGCCTACAGAGCGAATTCGGCCTCAAAGCAGACGATGTAGTCGCTTTATTCAGCCCGAATACCATCGAGTACCCCATCGCCTGCCATGCCATCATCGGCTCGCAGGCTGTTGTCGCCCCAACCAGCGCGGCACTGACACCACCTGAACTGCACGCTCAACTGCGGACAAGCGGCGCGAGGTTCATCGTCGCGCACTCATCTCTTCTTTCCACGGCCAGGATGGCTGCCAAGGATACATCGATTGAAAAGGTCATCGTCCTCGACGGTCAATCCGCTACACCGGGCCAACAACCAACCTGCCAACAGCTCGCAAGTACCTGTCCGCCCACCGAGCTGCGCGCAATCCCGGCCCACGAAGCCGAATCGCGAATCGCATTCGTCTGCTTCTCGTCTGGGACCTCTGGCCCCGCGAAAGGGGTGATTACCACGCACCGCAACGTCACATCGAACCTGCAGCAATGGCGCGCCCAGCTCCTGGAATCCGGTTCACCGTCGCAACAGATCGACCGCACCGCCGCAATTGCCTTCCTCCCCTTCAGCCACATCTACGGATTGAACCTCTATATGTGCCAGTGCCTGCTGTGGGGAACCCCCGTCGTGATCCTGCCGCGCTTCGACTTGGACATGTACCTGTCCTGTATCCAGAAATACAAGCCGCAGGAGCTGGCCCTTGTCCCGCCAATCGCACTGATGCTGGTCAAAGACGACCGGATCAAGAAGTACGATCTGCGAAGCGTGAAGCGCATCCTGTCTGCCGCGGCGCCACTGACCATCGAACTCGCGTCTGCGCTCGAGGCTCGGTTCAGAGACATTTACGGGACGGAGGTCTTCTGCACGCAGTCGTGGGGTCTGACGGAGACGTCGCCGATGGCAACTGGAATTCCGAATGATCGGATGGATAAGCGCAGCACGGGAGTTGGGTGCGTCGTGCGCAATATGGAGTTCCGCTTCGTCGATCCGGAGACCATGCTCGATGCGGAAACTGGTAAAGATGGATCCAGTGCCCCCGGTGAGATCTGGTGTCGTGGACCGAACGTCACGCCTGGGTATTACAATAACGCCGAGGCGACAAAGGGCGCGTTCCATGTGGATGCCGACGATGGCACCTCGTGGTTTCGCACGGGCGATATCGGGGCCATTGATGCGGACGGGTACATTACTATCCAGGATCGTATCAAGGAGATGATCAAGTACAAGGGATTGCAGGTGATTCCAAGTGAACTCGAGGGAAAGCTCGTTGATCATCCGGATGTGGTCGATGCCGCTGTTGTTGGGGTGTGGGTGGATGAGCAGGCGACGGAGTTGCCGACTGCGTTTGTTACGCTGAGGAATGGGATCGACGGGAAGGAGATCAGGAACGTTACTGAGGGCATTCACACCTGGTTGAACGGCAAGGTTGCGAACCATAAGCGGCTACGAGGAGGCATACATGTTGTCGAGAGCATCCCGAAGAGCCCCAGTGGGAAGATTCTGAGACGCGAGTTGAAGCAGCGGTTGAAGACAGGCGCGGAAAAGGCACGCTTGTAGTTTAGTGTATATGTAGGAAATGGAATTTGCTTCTGATTGAAACCATAAGGGCTTGAGTTACTATATATATACTCTCCCTGGTCTTAAAGGTTAATAAATAATAATCTTAATATTTAATCTCTCTAGATCAGGCTATTAGATTATTATATAGTTCTCTTTAATAGATATTTCCTAGTTAAGGATATATAGAGCCTTAGCTATCTCTATAGAGTTATAGTATATCTATTCTTTAGTAGTGGTTGTTGGAGACGCGCAGGGATCAGTAGTTGGTTAGTGTAGATGCCCCGGCAGTTGTCCGCCGGTTCGCTCCCTACCCGGCTACATACATAATACTATTAATAATGTCGTTGAGCGAAGTAGAAATGAATATTCTTTTTTGGTAGTTAGACAAATATACGTAATCAGTGACTTGCTGTTGACAACCGGTCGAGTAGGCGAGTACGGGAAGGGGCCGGCCGGACGGGACAGAACCCGCCTTCTAACCATCCAGTATGAAATGAGCCTTTTGTCATTTGGAAGCTGCTCTCCACTTCGTCGCGTGAGGCGTGATGTGAGATGTGCTTTGAGTGCATTTTCAATACTGTGTAAGTTATATAAGACACCCTATGCTGTACATATGGCTTGACCAGATTCTTTGATATTGAATACAAGTATCACCATCTCGAAACCTTCGTATCACTAGCCTGACCCATAATTCCGTCCATTGCGCCAAAGTAATCAACCAGCCAGGCACAACATGCCTGGGTTAACCAACGCGGTCCAAAGTTTCGGCCCAAACAACCCCGACGTAACCAACGAGAAGACCAAGATGAAAGACCTAGCGCCACAGCAGATGAAACCACCCCTAGATTCTGATATCCAACGCGGAACCGTATCAACAGACCCTACCAACGGCAACGGCCTCCATCGTACGCTAGGCAATCGCCAGATACAGCTCATAGCAATCGGCGGCTCCATCGGCACCGCTATATTCCTAACAATTGGCTCAGCCTTGTCCCGCTCTGGGCCTGGGAACTTATTGATTGCCTTTCTTCTTCACTGTACTGTTCTCGCTTGCGTAAATGACTGCATGGCAGAGATGACTGTTTTCATGCCTGTGGGTGGTGGGTTTATCCGCCTCGCGTCGAAATGGGTCGACGAAGCCTGGGGGTTCATGGCTGGTTGGAACTTTTTCCTTTACGAGGCGCTGAATATTCCTTTTGAAATCACTGCCATTCATACCATTCTGTCTTTTTGGCGGGATGATATCCCTGTTGCGGCTGTGTGTGCGGCATGCATTGTTCTCTACGCGTATGGTCGCTTCCCCATGTTTGCACGGTGTTCACTACTAATTGTTATGTTTTCGTCGCAGTTTCCTGAATATCCTTGTTGTTAAAATCTACGGCGAATCGGAGTTCTGGCTCTCCAGCGGCAAGGTCATCTTGATTCTGATGCTATTCTGCTTCACGTTCGTGACAATGGTAGGAGGCAACCCACAAGGTGACGCATTTGGATTTCGCTACTGGCAGACCCCCGGTCCATTCGCAGAATACCTTCATAATGGGGACTTGGGCAGGTTCGAAGGCTTCCTCGCAGCTCTATGGTACGCGGCATTCACCTGCGTTGGACCGGAATATGTGTCCATGATCGCAGGCGAAGCCAAGCATCCCCGAAGGTACCTCAAGGCCGCCTTCAAAACTGCCTACTGGCGTTTTGGTATATTCTTCATCGGTAGCTCTCTGTGTGTGGGTGTGTTGATTCCCTATAACCATCCCACCCTCCTCGCCGCAGCGAACAGCGACTCCGCACAATCTACCACAACCTCGTCCCCGTATGTTATCGCAATGAATAACCTCGGCGTCAGCGTGCTGCCCCATATCGTCAATGCCCTGCTAGTGACGACGATTTTTTCCGCAGGTAACACCTACGTCTACGCCGCGTCGCGGAGTCTCTACGGTCTAGCTCTCGACGGCAAAGCGCCCAAGATCCTCCGCAAATGTACAAAGAAGGGGATACCAATCTATTGCTTTGTTGTTGTTATGGCATTCTCCTTCCTATCCTTCCTGCAGTTATCCAACGGCTCAGCTACCGTCTTAACCTGGCTCGTGAATCTGCTCAGCGGCGCGGCAGTTATCAATTTCATTGCCATATCCGCGACCTACATCCGTTTCTACAAAGCCTGTAAGCACCAGCGCCTCGATAGAGGTACGTTCCGGTATAAAGGTTGGTTCCAGCCGTGGGCTGGGTATTTGGCGTTCTGCTGGATGCTCACTATTGCGATTTGTTACGGGTACGCGAGTTTCACGCCCTGGAGCGTCGCAGAGTTCTTTACGCATTACACCATGAATTTACTTGCGGTTGTGAACTTTCTGGGCTGGAAATTGGTCAAGCGGACTACGATGCTGTCCCCTGAGGATGTCGATCTGCAATGGGAGGCGCCTGCGATTACGGCGTACGAGGAGGCTGCCGCTGCCAGTGACCCGCCGACTAGTTTCTGGGCGGAGATGTTTCTGTTCCTGCGTCGGCCGCGAGTTTCGCAGAAGGCTGCCTGAGGAGGTTTAGTGTATATGTTGTTTATAACTGAGTAGACTACGAGGAGCGCTACGGTCGACGTTGGAAGAAAGTTGGAGGCGGGGGATATCTTGGCTCCCCCGGCTCAACATCGTTTGAGAGCTGGATATACACCAGATATCTCGTGTATCTCGGGATTCCGAAAAATGAAAACCTCATAGTCCAGAGCAACTGGCTTTGAATTCGATCGTCGCCCTCGTGGGAATCCTCACCCTGTATCGAACTACTGCTGATCGCTGAACGACTCCAATGACCGCCACCAAGCAGTTGACAATAGATCTTATATATAGTCTAAAATAAAAATATCTCTCGATGACCTATACTCCCTACTGTCCTAATTTCTTATCTTTGCTAGTTCTGGCAAGATCTGACCGAGATAACCCAGTGTTTACACTTGTAGCGATGTATAATATAGGTCGCATGCAGCTAGCAAATTTGAGTAATTAATGGTGCTAATGTAACATATTCTCTTCGAATGGAAACTTTGATAAGACTTCAATGCCAGTATCAGTAATTAAAACCTGCTGCTCAAGCTTTACCCCCTCCGTTCCCCCCTTCTCGCCAATATAGCTCTCAACACATATTACCATTCCAGCTTCAATAATACCATCATAACCCGCATCAGGAAAGTCACCGCGGTGATATAGGTATGGGTATTCTCCTGTCATTCCGCAACCATGCGCCGAGAGATAATACCGATTGTCATAGTACTTTTCCGGGATATCCCACGCGAGTTCCGCGTATTCACGAAAGCTAAGACCGGGGCGTAGAATACTCATGTTGTGAGTCACTTGCTCATAGGCAACCTTGTAGAGCGTTCGTTGCTTCTCAGAAGGATAATCAGGCCCTGCATGAAACGTTCGTGAGAAATCCGAATAGTAGCCATGGCACCCAACGACGTCTGTGTCAAGGCCAATAAGCTCATTCTTGCCGATAACATAGCTTGCTGCTTCTTGGAACCAGGGGTTGGTCCGTCTGCCTGCACTCAAAAGTCGCGTCTCACAATAGTCGCCATTCTGAGCAATGATTGACTGATGTAAAACTGACCATAGCGCGTTCTCGGTGATTCCCGGTCGAATTGTGTCTCTTAGAACACCAACGGCAGTTTCAGTCGCCCGTAGTGATGCCACAATACACTTGACCTCTTCGGCTGACTTGATCGCCCTGGCCATTTCGACAGGCCGCTGAGCGTCAACAATCGTGAAGCCAAGATCCTTCAATGCGATAGCCGCATTGGCATTGAGTCGTTCCAATCCAACTGTCGCAGACTTGCCAACCAGTGATGTGATCAATTCTCCCATCTCCTCTGCCCATGCCATTTCCTTCTTCTCGATGTTAGGACCTGCCGCAACAAAACTCGCGGTTTTAGCCAGGCGCACTTCATCAATCGTCTCATATCCTTGACTCAAATGCAGACATCCTGTAAACTCAAACAGAATCGAGCGCTTTGTAGTCAAAAGCAAGTATCGTGATGGCGCATTGCGCATGCTAAACACCTGCATGTTTCGACTCCCGGTAGTGTAGCGAATATTGATTGGGTCTGAGAGGATGACAGCATCGATGCCATATCTGGCCATTTGTTCGCGCACACGTCCCAGTCTATAGAGACGCACCGCTTTCAGATCGATTCCCTCGCTCTCGGGAGCCCGGTCTAAAAGTGCTATATTTGAGAGATCGGTTCTTTCGGCATGCCAGTCAAATGTCGCCATATTGATTTCGGGCTGTTAATTTGCACCTAGGGGCTCAGACACTAGATGTAAAAAACAATAATGTTTGATTCTTCTGCTCACTCGTTCTATACATGAAACTAATCGGCCCATTTACTACTGGGCAACGCGGGTATATAACCGGTCATGTGACCGGGTATGCACCGGACGACATTGCACCTTATTTCAGAACAGCGATGTTTCGTTCCACAAGAGATGATACAACTCGTTCCTTATAGGCCAAGCATATAATTAAACCTGGCACTCGCCCGCCCCGCAGGTCCAAGGTCAAGAACCTCCACCCGCACCTCCAAGGGTCAGGGCCCAACCTGAGTTTACTATAAGCTTATCTATCCAGAGTTATTCTCTCTGATAGATTAATCCCAGTAGGTAGAGTTTTAAATTATAATAATTTACATAAAAGAATAAAACCATCTTACTCAGATTTCTTGTTTAAGAAGTAGAATATTAATTCTTAGAAATATATATTCGTAGCTGAGGCCTAAGACGCCTGGAGGAAACAACCCAGCTGCAGGACATAAGATGGCGCGCAGTTTAAATACACAGAGTCCCCTGTAACTTGGTAGGACAGCAGCTTGGATGTGTCCGCGTCATGTAGAACTAGTAGTGTTGCTACTGCGGTTGTCGCATTTCCAAAGTTATCTGTCGTGCGGTAAAGTAGCTGGTAGCTCCTATTGAGGTCAAGAGGACAGTAATCATTACCGATAGAGAATAGGACTGTACTATTTGGCTCTGACCTGGGGTGGTCAAGTAAGTTATATTTCTCGCTTAATCTGCAACTTGCTCAGGCATATCTCAACATTTAGAGATCCTGACGGCCCTCGGGCTGAGGAAATATGACAGTGCACGCTAAGACATATATCAATTATAGAGCGGTTTTTTTTTCCAAAATCTGCTCCCCACGTCCGAATCGTCTCATAGGATACCGCCATTCTATGTTCCTAGGCCGGTTCTATCGATACCATGTTTATTTATTGAGACCTTCCGCAAATACGCGGGGATTCAAACAGCAGAACGCATCTCAAATGTTGGTAGCTTGATCGGTGTGACTCCACCACCCCATAGTCCAGCACAGCCGGCCCAGTCTAATAAATCATCATTAGTCTCGATATGCAACCTCTTAATCACATTGCATGATAAGCGTATCTGGGTAAGGTACTCACAAGAAAGGAACGACACCGCAAGGCCGAAAGAATAACCGGCGGTCAGAAGAGCATTTATATTGGCCATGAAACCAGAAGCCAGAAGCAGAAGACAGATGTCCAAGAAGAACAAGTCAATGAAAAGAACCCAAGAGGACCGCATTGCCGCGATGGTAAATACCACGGTCACGATAAACCATGCCCATAAGTATAACGCCAGAGCCTGGTTGAAGCTGGAATCCACGGCACCGGTAGCGGCGTCGGTGTAGGCAGACAATATGCCTGTTCCGGGAAGGTATATCATTGCATACGACAAGTTGAACGCACCATATGACGAAAATACAGTGGCACCGAACTGTGAATATAGTGTATGTGTGAGCAAATGTCCTGACTTATCAATCCCGGGTTCAAGGTGCAGTGACTTACCGTGTTTCCAGTGATGAATTCCATGATTCCGGCAATGAACTGACCAACACCACCATAGAATACCAAACACCCAACCATCACATTAGGTGCTGAGATACTCCTGGCGTGCAATCCAAACACAGAGATCAGGAAAATATCTACAGGATTAGTCACATCTCATCAACAGGCAAGCGGCGATATACCTGTGGCAAATGAGATCAACCCTAAAGGAGACGGGCTCGCAAATGTGCGATGATAGACAGGGAGAGCAGGTTGGCTTCGGTCGTTCACATGTCCGCCTTCAGTGTGAAGACGTTCAAGGTGATCTGCGTGAGACAGACGAGACATGTTTTGTTCCTCTGGTTTGATAGCAGCAAAATCGTTTGAGTCCATGGTCTTTGACAGATGGCTGGGAATACGCAGGAACAATTTCCTTTGGATCCGTTCGCGATTTATATATGTTGCAAGTGGAATTCACACGGGAACAGTACTTCCCCCACAGCTTCTAATCCGGGGAACACGGACGTAACCGGGTGTAGCACTGAGAATAGGGGTTTTCCCTACCAGAAGGTAGCTAATTCCCCAATTTTTTGTCTTCGAATTTACCACTAACAATCTAAGTTCCACATATCTACTAGGTAGGGATGATAGTGCGGAGTTGCGCGGAATTTCATGGGATTTCGCGGACTTGCTGCCGGATTGATGATTCATGCTAGCTCCCCCCATCATGATAGGCACCATTGGAGCTCCGCCTTTCTCCGCACTTTGGGACACTGGTTTTGTAATCTTCGAATAATAGTGTATGAAGAGGTAATTCCTGAATGCTTGAGACACCATGTCATCATCTCAACACAATGTGCTGATAGTTCTTACTACTTAATGATTTACGTCTCAACACCCAGTCGTTGATACAACAGCTTCTTGCCATTGACAGCTGTTAATCCCGCACTAGCAGGCGCCTTTTGGTTGGCGATAGGAATGTGAGACTGTGCGCGCTCGGGAGTGGTGTTCACTGCGTCAGGAGCAGCAATCCGATTTGTCAAGGTTCCTAGTCCTGTCACAGAGACACTAATTTCATCTCCGGTTTGCAAGAACCTCATGGGTCTGAACCCGAATCCAACGCCGGCAGGGGTACCAGTGGCGATAACGTCGCCAGCTTGTAGTGTTGGACCAGCGCTGATTGTCGCAATTATGTGAGGAACGCTGAATATCAGGTCGTTAAGAGTGCCCTCCTGGCGCTTCTCTTGGTTGACGAAGGTCTGGACTTTCAGGTTCTCGGGAAGGCTGTCCTTGGGGACGGCCACAGGTCCCAAGGGACAGAATGTATCGGGGGATTTGCCGAGGAAGAATTGTTTGTGGTCGCGTTGGCACTCGCGTGCAGTCATATCGTTCACAATGGTATAACCCCATACATGGTCCAAGGCGTTCTGATCTGAAATTTGGAAACCAGGCTTTCCAATGATCACGCCAATCTCACCCTCGTAGTCAGGCGTGCTGGTGAAGTTTGGATGCAGCAAAATAGGGTCCTCAGGGCCAATGATGGAAGTCGCACGCTTAGTGAAGATTACCGGGTGAGTCGGCTGGTCGGTCTGGTCTCTGGCATCGTAAACATTGGGATAGTTAAGACACTAAGTGAATATCCTGTTTTCTTCCGTTTTGGCGCTATCATATTTCCACCAGATGCCTATCTTCTTTCCATTCTTAACCCAGAATGGAGGGGACCATGCTGTTATTTGAACATGTAAATCAGGGTGCTGGACAAATATTATAAACCTCGTGCTTAGGAGTCAGAGATTCAATATCTGCCTTGCACATCTTATTGACCACGGCAACAATGGTCTGGCTCGCTCACGGGGGTATATGAGCCATGCCCTAATGGGCTATATCACCGACTTATGGTGAGCTAGTTAGGCACTAATCGAGCTCTATCTGTTTAATTTCGTTACTAATAATTAAATTGCTATGTTGAAAATATATATAACACCCTATGCTGTCACAGACAATGACCTAGGCAGCCGCGTGTCATACATTATACTCCACTCCACACACCCATGCTCGTAGTTATCAACAAACCCGCCGCCATACCACTCGTCCTGGTCAAAGTCCAGATCACAAGTGTACCCAAAGTCTATAAAGGTTTGCTTGCAATAATCCCCCATTGGCTGGGAGCTCTTCGGCTTGCATCCGGACTGGTCCTCCGCCCAGAGAACGGATATTTGGAGACCTCCCGAGTCGCCCCAGACATATCCGAAAGTGTTGTCTGGGGAGAGTTCATCAACGGAGGGTTGGTAACAGATAGTGTCGACCATATCGGCGAAGTCATCGAATGTGAATGCCTTATAGCGGCCGTCTGCATTGTGGTCACGGAAACAGTAGGGCTCGGGGTCTGGTGGGGTGGTTGGATACGGAGGGTCCGAGTCGGTTGGATCTGGGTCTGGACTACCACCATCACCATCACCGTCACCGCCGTCGTCGTCGTCGTCAGGTTCTGAGGTGGGGATGGGAGGCATAGTGTAGTCGTTGCTTCCCGACGTTACAACGATTTGGATGCCCTCAAGGTCTTGAGGGGAGCTTGTTCGTGCCCGACATCGCGCGGTGGTTGTTGTCGACGTGGTGCTGTCTGTTACTGAGCAGGCTGTGAATGTTCGCGTGCACTCTTCTGTGCAGGTTGTGGTGGTAGTGCTCGGGAAAGACTTGACTGTGCAGCGCTCCATGCACCATGATGCTGTTTGTCGCGCAGAACACGTTGTTTGGCTATCATCTGGTCCATCACCGCCGCCGCCGCCGCTTGACCCCCCACCACCTCCTCCACAGGAACGACCAACACAGTTACCGGCACCTGGAGGGCACCCTCCAAGACAGCCACAGACTCCGCCGCAGCCACCAATGTCGGAAGGATCGCAGTCGTCGGCGCATTGGAACCCACCGCAATCCTCCCCCGGGCCACAGGTTGGGGTTGGGAGGCCCTCGCTGAAGGTAACAGATGGCGGGTAGTTTGACGGAGGAGGTGGAGGGGGACTTGGATTACTTGGATTGTCTGGGTTGTTTGGATCATCTGGATTATTAGGATTTGAGCCTGGCCCTGTTGGCGTCGGTAGAGGAATGACAGGGTAGGGCCCGGGGCTCCAGGTCCAGGTGATTGGGGGCCTCCAGGAGTTAGATGTTGACGTCCCATTTGGCCCCTCATAGGTCTTGGTGAAAGTGCTCGGTTCGAGCCGGACACTGCTTGTCAGCCAAATAAGACTTTCATCACCCTCTTCTTGGATGTGATTCCACACATCAATGCTTGACAGGGTAATGGGGGACGGTGTGATGATGGTCGTCCCTATCGACCCCACGGTAGTGGTTATTGTAGCGTCCTCTGCGGCAAAATACTCAGTCGTCGACCAATATTCTTCATATGTTAACGTCGTCGGAGAAGGCTTGATAGTCGTTGGACTTTCCAGTTTCCAAGGGGGGAAGACAAACGTGCAAGGGTACTGGTCACACTTCACGACAGGTTCATCTTCCTCATATAAATCCGGGCTAATGTATATAACACCCGTTCCTGGACCGCCGGGACTACCGGGGCCACCTCCAACAGCGTAGGCGGAATCCAGATCGATCGCCCAGTCTGATGTGCCGCCCATATTTAGGCCGGTAATCCAATCCACGCGACTGGTATAGGATGACCTGGTCAGCCATGAAACCCATTCCGTGCCGTTGTACACCAGGATATCTCCGTCATCGTCGGAATGTTGCTGAACATCTTTGCCACTGGCAAGCATTTGTCGAATCTCGTTGTTTGAGATGTATCCCCGAGTTCCTGTGCACCGACCTGGGGCTGCGTCGGATTCGGGGCCCACATATTTGCAATCGGGCCCCCAACATCCTTCTTCAGCCATCTTAAAGCTTCTACCATACAAGGGCATGCCGATTATGAGTTTATTCGCAGGAACACCCGCCTTGGTCACCATAGACAGCGAGTTTCTCGTCTCGGTTTTGTTGACATGGGAACGCATGCAGTTCTGTCAGAGCTTCTTCGCTAACCAAGCTTCCAGCCTCGCAAGCCGCAGTGATGCACCAGAGACAATTTGGTGACGCACCGTTTCAATTCGGCACCAACGGTCTACATGGCTGTCCAATGGTGACCATTGTCTCGCGGCGGGCTGTCTGGATGGTATGTGTGTGGTATGTGAAGGGTTATTCTGACCTTTGCTGATCAATTCAGGCACATTTCTGGGAGGTTTTCTCTCATACTGGGTCAGATGACCTCGACCCAAATGATATAACATACATAGGTTTCCGGGAGAGAATCCTCGATGTAATCAGGGATATCCCGGTGACCAACCCTGTTGTCCCGCCAGGGGGCAAAGTGTATGAACCGCCTGTTGGGCCCAGGATCGACCCCAACTTGTTTAACCGGCCTGATGACGGGACCCAGATTCTCCTCTATGTTCCCAATCATCTGGATTCCCCGCCACGGCAAAGAAAGAACCAGCGATATGCAAAAAGAAATGCACAAATGATCGACGCACTCAGGGAGCGCGTTGGAGGGGATCCCGTGGTGAAAACATTCATCTACGATGCCCTGCACTATGGTCGTGGGGCCGACCTGGCTATAGCTGGCACCAATCGTAGAGGGATGGTCTTGATCCAGTACGATCCAAACAGCAATGAATAGAAGAAAACGGGCGTGGAGGCTGTTGTATGAAAATGGATTCTATTCGGGGGTGATTCAATAAGGAAGGAGGGGTAGGGCTTGGCAAATACAGCGTAAATATATAAGTGAGGCCACTCCCAGGTAGAAACTGCTTTCCAGTTAGAATTACATGCAACATGGCTTCCTTTCTTTCCCTCCCCTTGGAGGTCCTCGACCGTGTCTATGAATATGTCGCTTCAGGCTACCAGCCCAGCCTGTCGTCCCTAGCTCTCGTCAACAAATATTGCTACCGGGTCGCTAGTAAACATCGCTTCCGACGTGTTACAATCAAGGCTCCCCTCGATCAGGGTATCAAGCGATGGACCGACCTCCTCCAGTCTGCGTCTGCCTTTGCCGACGTTCGCAGACTGTCAATCATGTTTCCGAATGAAGGGGGATACCACTCCAACCATTCATACTACACAAGCGACCTGGACGACTTGACTTGCATCGACGAGTACTATGATCACGCAATCTGGAATCTGTTCAGGACGAGTTGTCAGCACAAGGATGACAATGAATGGGAGTCCCTGGTAACCCTGGTCAGCCAGCTATGCGGCCTCCAGGATTTGATCTGGGCCTGCGAGATTCCGTTTCCGCCTCCACTACTCGACTTCCTGCATCAGAAGTTACCTGACTGTAGGCTGCACAACATGGCTTTCAGGCTCCCAAGTCTTCACTACCATTCGAGCCACCCACAAGGCATTGACAGCAGAGACTTTACCCTGGCTACGTCTCCAAACCTAACCAGTGCTCTGGTCCCGATGTCACGTTACGACCACGATGGCAACGTGGGATATGACGAGGAGGCAGTGATGCAAATGTCAGCAAAACTCGCACTAAACTTGCGAGAGGTGCATGCTGTAGAAAGGCCGATCGAAGCCTGTCTAGAGCATGACCAGGCTGTAGAACGAGGGCGACCACCCTGGCAAGGTTTCTTCCCTACCAGCCCAACGAAGCATGGATCTGAGCCGCCACAGCAGGCACGCCTGCAACGCTGGGGTCTTAACCCTGCTAGAATAGATCTGTTCAGGCAGTGGGAGACCAAGCTCGACTTTTCTACCCTCCAGGTTCTCCATCTCTGGCAGGTGGATGTAAAAACTTTGCAATCTGTTAGTTCTCACAGCTTGAAGTCTCTCAGAGTGCTGGCGATAGATTTAAAGTATCCTGAAGACCATGACATGAATTACAGCCTAGATGAGGCTATACGTTTGGATGAAGCCGCAGCCTCTTTTGTCCTAGCACTTCCTCCTCTTAACAAAGTCCATTTTTCTGGAGTACACAGACACGAGAACGCGTTTCAAACGATCATACAATTCCATGGAGCGTCACTGCATACCCTGTCACTTATATCATCACCATGCTCTAGCCTACCAGGCCCTCTTATGACAGTCAGTCGAGTCCAGCAGATCCAAGCACACTGTCCGAATATCCGCGACTTACGAGTTCCTATCTTACGCACCCGGGGTAATGCAGCAGAAGGCGAAGCCACAATGTATCAAAATCTTGGAGTATTTACCCACCTTACACATTTGGAGCTCCAGCTTCGCCCGAGAGAACCCGATCCTGAGTCTCTAATTGACGACACCGATTATATAGATCCCCAGCAAATACCCGACCAGGAACTCCTTGTACGCGCAGCAGTGGACGAAGCACTCGCTCGAGAGATCTTCACCAAAATTATAACTGCTGGGGCACGCTCGCTGCAATATCTGAGAGTGCAGACATTAACTGACTGGGTCCCACTAGATCTCGAGCCTATCGCGTCCATTATGGCCCGCAATTGGGATTGCATGAGAATCCCAAGGGTCAGGAATAGCCCCGCGAACATCCAGGTCGACGTGAAAGAGATCGGCGCGAGACTGAAAGATCTAGAAAGGAGGAAAAATGGCGGACCTAAGGTGAGCCTGGCCCCGTACGAGAAGATATTCCGCGAGCTCTGGCCTGTAAAGGGAGAGAGCTGGGAGGACGATTGGCATAGTTTTCCCTTGGAGGCAAATGAGGGCGCTTGAACTGAGTTTATGTCAGTCATGTGTTTACAGTGTGTAATCATGGAGTAAGGAGTTATTTTATTCTATCTGATATTTCTTAAGTTAGTTAAATAGTAGTAGTAATAATCCAATACCCTCTGCATAACGTTAAACTATCGTTGCAACTAGCTATAATATTCTTTTAACATCCAATTTTCTACAGATTCTCTAGCTCATGCCCGGTAAGTCACGCTTGTTTCTTGGCCAGTGCCCGTCAATTTGAGATCCAAACCCAGGATGCGATTGCGTTAATCTTGCAGCCAGGTAGATTGAAAGAAATGCAATACTCACCACGAGAATGGGTGAGTCAATAGCAAAAGTTTATCCCAGATACAGCAGGCGATAGTACATTGATTTTACTCTCTGATTCATGTCGCCAACCAAGAATCTGCCGATGACCTATCTACAAATGATCATGCTTCGCCGTCAACCGCCAGACCAGGAATGCGGCCGTTCCGAAACAGATCCACGAAGAGCTGGTGATCAAGACGAGCCTGGGCGCTGTACCGATGAGCAAACTCCTCCAGAGCATCCATGAATCCATCCTCATCAGCCGCAATTGCAGCGTCAATAGCCTGTTCGGGGGAGAAAGGCACCAGCTCCGAGTGTCCGCTATCGTTGTCCCCTGCTCCATGCATCATTGCCGTGGCTCTCCCCAGATCTGCCACGACGGTGGCCATTTCCTCCACGTCGTTGATATCGGACCAATCCAGGTCGACAGCGTACGGAGATACCTCTGCGACGAGCTGGCCGACGCCGTCGATCTCGGTCCAGCCGAGCCAGGGGTCCGCGTGCGCTTGCAAGGCCCGTTGGGAGATCACGGTGCGGTGTCCTTCGTGGAGGAAGTAGCTGGCCGCAGCGGAGTTCGTGACATGCCGGGACACAGCTGCAGCGGTAGACTGTTTCATGTAGATGACCACGTCGTTCTCAATGGCCTCGCTCTTTCCCTCCAGTAGGATGTTGTAGGAAGGGAGACCAGCCGATCCGATCCCTACGCCACGGCGTCCCACGACGTCCTTAACCCGGTAGGCGCCGGTTTGCGTTTTTGGCTCGGGCAGGGTTTGGAGGTAGTTGTTGAATGCCGTGACGACCTTCTCGCGTGTTGCCTCATCGAGCTCAACTGCACCGCCTCCAGGTGTGAACCGGCGTTCATACTCGTGGATCTCCGTCATTGTGTCTAGCAAGCCGACACGTGTTTCCATACGCGCATCGCGGAGCGCATCAAGCAGCGGGCCCTTTGCAGTTTCTAGAGTAAACCGAGGAACTTGGTCTTGGTTCTCGCTGGTGGCTAGAGTATGAATACGCTCCCGGTACGCAGCAGCATATGCCCGAACCAGCCGGGTGATCTGCTTGTCACTGAGGGCCTTTGCGTACCCGATCAAGGCGATAGAAGCCACGAAACGCTTGACATCCCAAGTGAACGGGCCAACGTAAGCTTCGTCAAAGTCATTGACATTGAATATCAGTCTGCCCTGAGAGTCCATGTAGGTGCCAAAGTTCTCCGCGTGTAGATCACCATGGATCCAGATCCGGCCGGACTCGCTGTTCAGAAATGAATCGTCCTTCTGCTGCAGCTCGAGGTCGTGGTAGAACAGACATGCCGAGCCGCGGTAGAAGGCGAAGGCTGAGGCAGCCATCTTCCGGAATTTCACCTGAAATGCAGCCGGGTCTGCGACGAGGAGCTCACCAAATGCAGTGGCAAAGACATTGAGGATTTCCTCGCCTCGCTGTTCGGCGGTTGGGGGCTCGAGTGTCATCGTGTGGTTGTGTCTCAACGGCTGGACTCAATGTCTGTTTGCTTCTTGATTTCAGGGTCCGAGGGATAGTAATAGTATTAATATTCCTGGCGAGATGCCCACAGCTCAAGCCCCAGTTTGCTCCCTGTGGCAGTACAGGGACTTTCCTCGTTGTCATTTCACTTGGCCCACGGCTTGGCTGGACCCCTTAACGGTCATTATGCCTCACCTTTGCAGCCTGAACCACCTCAAAAGGCTCGGCGTGTCGCAGGTCAGGTCCACCGGTATGCAGCCAAGGCCATATCCTCATACTTCGCGGCGCCATGAGCTCAAATGGCAATCTTGTATGATACTTGGCGTCAGAGCAGTGGGCAAAGAGCATGAGCACGATTGGAGCCAGACACTGAGACAGACAGCGACTTCGTCTATGATGCCTACAGCCAAGACAGGGGGGACATGCTAGAGGTGGCTGTGCAGCTCCACGTTGAGTGGAGAGCTGTTTGATTATTGACGAAGGTCAGAATGGCCATATCTTGGCCCTCAGCCACGTCAATGCCAGCTTGCTCCTGTCTCACAAAACTGGGGTGAGTCTGCTTCGCGTCGGACTCCGAATTGAAACGCCCGGCGACCTTGATCCCCGCGGAGGTTCTTCTCTTGCAGCAACAGGACGCTACCTGTAAACTAGGCTTTAGTAAACAGAGTAGTTAACTTGGTAAGCGAGTACTCAAGCAAATGCCTGATGGTAACTGTAATACCAGAATGAGTCACTCCTACTTATCCTGGTAATTTATATACACAAAGTAGGCAGGAGAGACTAGTTCTGAATGCATGTTGAGTCCTGTTACACCGGCGCCAGGCGCAGAAAGCGCGACTCTCCTTCTCCCAAATCCGCAGATAGAGTATCCCCAGCAGCAATACTCGTCTTGCTTCCGAACCACACGTCAACTGCCGTGTAACTGCCTCCCCGTAGGCCGAGATCCGCAAGGGTAATGGACACATTCTGCCGTCCAACACCAACGGTCACGTAGCCACCATCACCGTGGTTTGGACCGAGATTTGTCAATAGTGCATATGCATTACCCTTCTGATCCGGTCCGGCTATCCAGGCCTGCAACTGCTTGGCCTGGTTACTGCCCGTGCCAGGATTTCGCGGCTGCATGGGGTACTCGGCGCAGAAGTCCGCGGCTTCAATAGAGGGCCGAGACGTGGTTAAGTACCTGCCTAGCGAGTCAAGGTTTGTCATGTCGGAACCAAGGAGTAGATTCGAGGACGCGCCAATCCAGAGGCTCATCAGAGTAATGCGTTGATTGTCCGTCACCCCTGTGGTGTTAGCTGGATTCCCAACAAACAGGTTGTCTAGGTTCCCTCGCAGGGTAACGGGTTTGTTGTCGACCAGCTGGAGGTTAACAAACTGTCGATAGTTCTCGATTGCACGCTGGACATTGGGCATCCCCACAAACACATCCTCGCCATAACTGTTAATGTCGGTGTCCACTCTTATACTGTCCGCATTGGAGGTCCATATTCCCCAGTACGGGTCGCTCCGACACACGTTCGATGATATGTCCAGTTGAATCTGCCGTCCGCTCTTTGCAATGGCGCGGTGGTAGGCAATTCCCGTGGCGCTCAGGTTGCCTGGCATGCGCGTGTCTTCGATGTTGGATCCTGGCGTCACGTAGTCTAGTTTGATCATGTCCACCCCCCATGCGGCCCATAGAGCGATCAGCTCATCGTGATAGAGCTGAGTGGCCGGGTTGCTGTAGTCAAAGTAGCAGTTGTCGTTCTTATCCACATGGTCGATGAATGTTGACCCGACAGTCAGATTGGAACCAAAGATCTGCTTATCCCGTGCCTCACACGGGATGCCAGGCTGACTGTAGAGGCCCATCTTGAGACCCTTGCCATGGAGATAGTCGCTCAGAGCAGGAATATCAAAAAGCGTGGTGTTGTGTGTGACCCGACCGAACTCGTCTGTGAGGGAGCTATACCAGCCGCCATCCACGCTGCATAGGTCATAGCCAGCCGCGCGCAGGTCGGGCTCAACCAGGACCGTGCACTGCTCCATGATGAATTCCTGGTTGACGACTCGGCCAGGGAGCTGGGGGAAACTAGGGGTCGTGTTAGGGGTTGCCTGGATTCCCCAGGAGTTCCATCCTCTGGCAGGGCGCAAGAACCCATTGGGCGACTTTGCAGTCCTCAGCACAGTCAGGTGGTTGCCAGTGCTGTTCGGCGCGAGAGGCCAGCAATTGTCCTCCGCATCCCTGTAAGGGAGAGCAGCGGCGGACCCCAGGATAGTTGCGAGTATGGCGATGGGCAACATGGTAGCGACGTTGCGCTGAAATTGAAGTATTGGTTGATGAGCTGTGTTGGGATCCTCCAGGAGACGTTGTGTTAGATATACCTTTGCCTTGACATCAGTCTCGCACCGCATTAAACCGAGACTCCCACCGGATGATCATGAAAACGAACGGCGATCATGGAATTGAGCCGATTTGGGGATAACCGTGGCGCCAATTCCCCGACACGGGGGATCGTGGGGATGCAATGCGGAGAGTCGATATCAACACAGCGGCGAATTTGGCTGCTAATGGCTGCTCGCCGCCGCCATATCATACGGTCCTGTAATAAGGGTATCTTTTATTGATCTCCTTGGCAGAGTAAGACCGGGATTGGTTATTCATATGAAGAATACATTCTTGGCTCCGCTACGCCTCTCCAAGAAGCATTCCTGACGACGCTATGCAGATTTGAATGATTAAAAGCTATACGACATGAGGGTTATTCCCGATCCCTAGCAAACTCTGCTTGTTTCTGACTGAAACTATCAGAGCGACTCCTCCAGTGCCAGCATGGATCTCTTCTCTAACATTTCTAAGTATCGGTACAGCTCTACAAACGATGCCAGCCAAGCTTGCTCTCTCTTGTCACTCGGCTCTCGGGCCTGGCTCTTCACTGGTAGCTTAAACTCCAAATGTGATGCCGTCCTGTGAACCGTGAAGAATAGGCCCTTAGCCGCGTTATCTTGGTCCGACAAGGACGTGTGTACTGTTCGCAGCACGTCGCCTTTATCATTGGCTACCAAGCCCTTCGTAGACGGAAAGTCTGTAAAGAAATAAGGCAGTCCTCCCATCACTATATTGGCATGCTTCTCCATAGGTTGCGAGTGTGCATGTTGTCGGTGGTTACTATTGTTTATTTGGCCGTGCTCAGTAATGAACCCATACTTCTCCACCCACCGCAGCAATTTCGCCAATGCGGTATCAAAGGGAATGATAGGGAAGAAATAGAAGGCGAAGTATTCGGTAGCAATGAAGTCTTTGACATCACACTTTCGGAATCGATTGGCTGTATATCGCATCCGGGATACAATGTGTGCGGTATTTGGCCGCCGCTTTTGCTCAGGATCCAGTGTTCGCTTCAGAATATCAGGATTCTGCTCCATCAAGGAAGCTGCCCAATGCAATTGGTCCGATGCCTGCTTGAAAAGTGCTTTCTTTGCATGCAGGACAGTATCCATGCACTCTCCCAGGTCTTGGACTGTGTTGCACGCATGCAGATCTGGGATTCCACGAGAGAAAACCGAGCGATCGACATACTGCTCCAGGTCCATGATTGCGTATATCTGCGTGTAGAGAAAGGACTGGATGGACTCTCTCAATTCCTTCATGATAACTTCGCGTGCCGGTTTGTCCAGTTTATGTGCGAGCAATACATCAATGCTCCAAGATACATGTCCATACCCCGGAGGCTTGAATGGGAGTCCCACCTTGACATACATGGCAAAGTAGGATTTTACCATCTGTCGAGTCTGCGAAAAGGTTTCTTCATCATCTCCCAGCAAATTCCGGCATTGGGGTTGCGAAGAAACAAGGGCATTGACTTTGGGGTCATCGTACCACAGCAGCTTGAAGACATCCCAGACTTTTAGGTCGCCGATAATTTGGTGGGCGAGCTCGACAGGCAATTTTGCCAATTCCTGGCATATCCTTTCGAGTGGTGGCATTTCTGGAAAGGGTTATTTTTGCTGAGGGGCAGCGTGGTCTTTAAACCAGTTCCACATTACGAGCTGGCACTTGGGGCTGAACTCTGAGTCACTCCCTGGACAAATGTTAACTTTCTATTGGTTTCTAGCGTGTCAGACATCCTGTGAATATTTTTTGGCTCTCCGGTTCAACATAGAGGTTTCTCATGTCAATCAATATGGAGTCGCTTCCTCCGTTTCTTCCAAATGCGGAATTCAAGACACAACACGCCGCAGCTATCGCCAAGCAGCTGAGAAAGGATCAAACAAGATGCAAAGAGGGCCTTATGCCGAGCAGGCTTGCGCTGGTACTACCAGCCTCGCCATCGCCGCTACTAGATGCAATCGCAGCCCACCTCACCCCTGACGTTGAAGTTTCGCGGGTGCTGAGGCTGGCTCGATGCGAAGCCATAATTGGGAGCATAAAATCGTATTGGAATGGCCTCAAGCATACAACGAGTGAAGATCAAGATACTCTTCTGAGTGGAGAGGTTCATGTGCCAAAAACCGAAGAACTCGAGGCGACGCTCAAAGTGCTACAGTACCTGCAGGGGAGAGGACCAGTCTCCAACATTACGCCTCGCAGTTCCCTAACAGAGGTAATCGCAGCAGTCAGATCTCAGCTTAGAATGAGTGATGACATGCGAAGAGATTTTCATAACGAGGGACGAAAAGGAGTCTCCAAGCAGCGATGCTACATGTGCCGACAACAGCATATGAAAGGCGACGCCCACGATCTATATCCTGCGCTCTGCATTCCTTGCGGTGCATTCAATATCAGCTCGTCAAGGTTGTCCCTGCCGGAAAGTCTAGTGCTGGATGGGAAAATAGCACTGGTTACTGGGGGACGGATCAACCTGGGCTATCACACAGCCTTGAGACTGCTGCGATGCGGTGCCCATGTTATTGTCTCTTCGCGGTACCCAGCTGATGCAGTGAGTCGATATGCGAGGGAAGTCGACTTTGAGCGCTGGCAGTCGAGATTGAAAGTCGTCGGCGCTGACTTCAGGGCCGCAAAAGACGCATTTAGACTCGTGCGTGTCGTGAGAAGACTTTTATATCCCTGGCACGAAGAAAACCCCGAGTCAGTCGAGCGAAGATTCCTGGACATTCTGATCAACAATGCTGCCCAGACACTGACGGATCCTGTCAAGGCCGAGATTAAAGCAATTTCTCGAGAACAGCGATTGAATGATCGTTCGCCGGTCAACAGGTTGATCGCTGACACGGCTGATGACGGGTATGTACCGACGGTCAGAGGAGGTCTTGATGCATCCTGGATCCCCAAAATCGAGAATGGGGGAGAGCTATTAGAGAACGGAACTGGAAGCAATGGAGATAAAGCAGAGGAGCGTTCAATCGCCCAGAAAGGTCTTCACACGGGCGACGAGACAAGACTTGGGAAGTCATCCTGGAAGCAATCGCTGGACGAGATACCCTATGAAGATCTGATCAGTGCACACTCCGTCAATGCATTTGTGCCTCTCATATTGTGTCGGGAACTGCTGCCTTGCATGGGCACGGATGACCCCAAGTCTTCCAAAAGGCCCCTGGGCTATATTGTGAATGTATCCTCACGGGAAGGCATTTTCGACGACGTGGCAAATTCTCGCAGCAAAGCAGGCCATCATGTTCACACAAACATGTCCAAGGCTGCCATCAACATGATCACTGAGACAGAGGCGACTACTGCTTGGAATACTCGTCGTGTCGCAATGAACTCCGTCGATCCGGGTTACATGAGTGCAGCACCAGACTGCCAGCCTAGAGATGGTTGTCCGATTGGGTTTGAAGATGGTGCTGCTCGCGTCCTCTGGCCCATTGTCGTAGGAGAGCGCGAGGGCCGGGTGGTCTCTGGCAGGTTTCTCAAGCATTTTGAGGAGGGCGCTGCCATAATTCGACGTGGTTAGACATAAAGTGTGACTAGCAATGACCTCATCCTGCATGCGAGGTGCGTGTGTTTTGGTTCATTCTGTGGTGTAGATAATAATAAACATTACAGTAGAAGCTGATTGTTGAATTACACTGCCTCCTTCCCAGTGCGATGGACCTCGTCTAGAGGAAGTCCGTTACACCTTCGATGGCATTTCCACGCCAGTGCTGTGCCCCAGAGGGCTTGCAAAGTATCTTGCCAAATCCACCGGCCCTTCCACTCTCTGTTTCTTCTCCCACAAGCCATCGCTCGTCTATACTTCCAAGCAGAAGATCACACGATTGGCGCTCACTCTCTCTGTCTGACCTCCAGATCAAAGAACTACCGCACTGACCGCAGAACCCACGGTATCGGCCGGATGATGAAGGATATTCTTTGTATGTCGGGAACGAGTTGAATGGTGGGGAGACTTGATCTGGAGAGACAGACAGGTACTGATAAATCAAGGCACCGGTCCATTTCCGGCACATCGTGCATTGGCAGCTTTCAGACTGGCAATTAATTAGCGGTTATCCTACAACAATATATTTAGGAACCCGCTGTGGGTTGTACCACTGGTGGCCATTGACCGTCCTTTCGGAATGATACCTCGTATCGAATGGCTGCACAGAGGCAGCCACCCGTCAGAACTACGGCTGCATTTTGAGGAGCTGACATGATTTAGCGCGACTTCAGGGGAAACTGATCGTTGGTAAAGCTGTTGCAGAGCAGGAAGCTTTATACGACGGTTTCCCCGCCTTTGCTGACCACCTCTTCGTATTCCCTTGACGCATTGGCCTGTGACGTCAGCCAGTACCCTGGTTGCGTATGACTTGGACGTATCCATACAAGTAAGTTATATAAATAATCCTTGGGGGTGACTATTTTGCAAAGGGCTGAGTTTCCTATGGTTGCAGCCAAACACTACATAGTTCACTATCAAGTCAAGGAACTAACCCCTGCGAGCGAAGTCTTTCCGACAAATGGGCCTCTCTATTCCTCCACTCCTCCGTTGTAAGCTCGTCACCAGCCCTCCAATAGTAAATATACACCGTCTCCAGGATCAGGCAGAGCAGGGTCATGAAGCTGGTTCACAGTTAAAACAGCCACCGCTAAGGGTCAAACATCGCTAACTTACAAGGCAATGAAGCTAAATGCCTCTGCTGCGTACTTTCTACTACATACAGTCTCGCCGTTCCAGGGACTCACGCGGCAGCTCTGATGGTTGAAATTGAGCGCCAGGAGGACGAACGAGACAAGCCACCTGGTTGAGATAAGTAAGTCGCCGGTTCGAAGAGAAATATGATAGGATACTCACAAGTAGGAGATGACTCCATCGCAAACCAGCCACGGAACAGCAAACCACTTCCGTCGTCTTCCTGGATAGCTGGCACCGGTTGCAATAATATACAGAACCGGTGTCAGGGCCGCCTAGGCATTATTAGCATACGCAGCGACGAAACGCCGGGACGTACAATGATCAGAGAATAGATGACGGTAAGCGTCTTTGTGCCTCGAACCGCCCAGCCCGTAATTCCCAGGACAACTACTGCGCTGGCGACCTGCAGGACGTGCAGGACGTGGATGATGACCTTAAGAGGGTATGTGCTGAACCCTGCCATTTGGTCGGTTGAGGTGAACGGCCATCAGGATTGTCGCAGTATTAATCCCCAGTTCAGAGGTTTTAAGTCTTGTCAATAATGTATGACCTCATGGATGTGACCTGGAGAAGAGTCGTGACAAAGCTGGACAGCGAACCGCGGAACAGCTTCTTGGCCCACCGATATATTTTCCACCTTATTGAATGGATAATACTAATGTGCATCTGTACAGGGGATTTACTCGAAGTAACTGTTCCCAAATCAGATTATGCTATGCATTCATTTTTGCCCCCCGCTGCACCAGTTGTGGAGCTGCTTCAGGGATTGAGCACCGCTGATGGCCGGACATCTTTCCCCGGACCATCGGGCGCAATACGATTACAGATGGGCGCATTGTGGCAGGTCCCAATATTACCAGGTCAACCTCACAGCTGAGTGTGCCGTGACGGGGTTGACAAGCCTTGAATGTGAGCTCGGTGTAGGGAAAGATAGCAGGAGTGCTTGCGAGAAGAATACAATGTAATCTCTTCGAGATCCACGGACTCTGAAGGAGACTCTCGTTCGCTGTAGCTTGCTGTCGAGTATCTCTTACTACAGGATGTGTGTTATAGAAATCGCACCACGCTGCCAGGTCTGAGATAACGACAACAAGCCTGACTCGACAAGTTCCGAACTTCCGGCGAATGGATCCAGTGGGACTCTCGCCATTTTTGTTACTTAATATGGCTGAGCCAAGCTGGCTATTCGCGGCTGTTCCTGGCTGTGGATATCCTGTGGGCCCAGCAAGGCTTGAATTTTTCCTCGCCCTCGTGCATGTCTACTGTGTGCGGTATGCCCACCCGCGCCCATCGAGTCCATCGAGCCCATCGTATCCATCTGCTACAATGCTTGACTCGCGGGGTTTGCTGCGCCGAGTCCCACCTGTGGCCACACGAGAGAATTTTTCTCCCACAGGCTCCGGGGACATGCATCTCGACTGCCTGCATCTCCTGTCCTGAATCTCATCTGTCACCTCCATTGTATCTGCCAGAATGAACATCGACGGCGTGAACCCATTCCCTGCTCGTGTCGACTCCGAGTCGGGATGGAAGGAGAGCCCCGAGGACGAGAAGGCCACCGCGCCACGCTACGTGGATGCGTTTGGCGATGAATCCAACGCCGAAATCAAATACAAGACTATGGAGTGGTGGTAAGTAGAGAGTTGCGTTCTTGTATATCAGGTCTAATGCTAAAATTTCCATAGGCAAACTGGGATGTGTAAGTAATGCCGCAGAACAAAGCCCTGGTGCATCGGGAACATCATCTAATTGACGCCATCTAGTCATGATTGCGGAGTCTGTTTCTCTTGGAGTGCTGTCACTGCCTGCTACTCTTGCCCAGCTGGGTCTTGCGCCGTAGGTTCTCTGCGCAAAACTGCTTGCCAGCTCGAGCTAACCGGCCACCTACAGAGCCATCATCCTCATTGTCGGCCTTGGTCTGCTTGCCACCTATACCGGGCTCGTCATTGCGGAGTTCCATCACCGCTATCCTCACATCCAGAACCTGGCCGATGCTGGAGAGGTCCTGATGGGGGCATTTGGGCGTGAGCTCTTTGGTATTGGCCAGCTACTGTTCTCCATCTTCATCATGGGCAGTCACATCCTGACATTCAGCGTCATGATGAACACGGTTACCGAGCACGGCACCTGCACGATGGTCTTCACTACCGTTGGGTTTGTCATTTGCATGGTCTGCTCGCTTCCCCGTACCATGAAGAACATGACTTACATCTCCTGCATGTGTATGTTGCCATATGCCCCTGTATCCTCAAGTATTATGCTGACTCCAGGCAGCCTTTGTCAGTATCTTCACTGCTGTCATCATTACCATGGTTGGAGTGGGCGTCCAAGGCCATGGATACAACACCATCAAGGCCACCGTCGACACCGATCTGTTCCATGCCTTTACCGCGGTGACTAACATCGTCTTTGCCTACTGCGCTCATGTGGCCTTTTTCGGTCTCCTCGCTGAGATGAGGGAGCCCCGGGACTTCCCCAAGGCCCTGTATCTGCTGCAGACATTCGAGATTATCTTCTACACCGTTGCGGCCGTTGTGATCTACTACTACGCAGGCCAATCTGTTGAATCGCCTGCCCTGGGCTCAGCAGGCCCAGTCCTGAAGAAGGTCGCCTATGGCATCGCGATCCCTACTGTATGTCAAGCCCATACTCTGGAGATTATAGACACTGACCACCCCAGATTATTGGAGCCGGTGTTGTCAACGGCCACGTCGGTCTCAAATACATCTACGTCCGCCTCTTCCGTGGAACAGACCGAATGCACCGCCGTGACCTGTTCTCGATTGGATCGTGGGTGGCCATCGCTTTGACCTGCTGGATCATCGCCTGGATCATTGCCGATGCCATCCCGGTATTCAGTGACCTGCTTAGTCTTATTGTAAGCTCTGTTTCCACTCTGTCGCTTTCTTTAGCTAACGTCCTCTACAGAGCTCCCTCTTCGCTAGTTGGTTCAGTTACGGACTGTCGGGCGTATACTGGCTACACCTTAACTGGGGCAAGTGGTTTTCATCCCCCAGAAAGATCTGCCTCACCATCATCAACGTGATGGTCGTTTTGATCGGGGGCTGCATAGTGAGTACCACGTGTCCTGGTAATGTTTGAATTGCACTGACAATATCCTCGCTGCAGTGTGGTCTTGGGGTCTACGTCTCAGGCAAGGCTATTCATGACGATGCTTCCAGCAACAGCTTCTCTTGCAACAGCAATGCATGATCAGGGCCTTGGCTTTGGCGGCAAGTCCGTATGATATGTCCCATATTATGTATATATTCCAGCATAGTCCTCGCATCTATATTAATATCAGGCCTCACTCTATCTATTTTTGATAATGTGTCTACAATTAGGCTCTGCTATTTGCGAATTATATTAACTAGCGAATTGCAGTTTAAGCCACATCAGACCATTTAATATGCGTCATGACCCTCTCTGTTGTCCGGTTCGAACCACTCTCTACCCATTCCGCAATATTATTTAAACGCCGGTCAATGCCAACCTTTTTTTTTTTTTTTTTTTCTTTGATTTCCATGCTCACGATAACCAGCAAACTATGGCACCCCACAAACACGACATTGAGGTAGTGCATGTCAAAGATGGTCGACCGGATTCCGGCAAGGCTGTGCTGGTAGACAGAGTCTGGCCTCGCGGTCAACGCAAAGACGAGGCACCGTGGGATGAATGGCTCAAGGAAGTCGCTCCATCGACAGAACTACGACACTGGTACGCGCATGACCCAGACAAGTACGAAGAATTCGCCAGCCGGTATAGGGACGAGCTCCACGACGAGGAACCCGCAAGTGCTTTCAAACACCTGCAGAATCTACACCACAGCGGACAGCTGGTTCTGATGACGGCCACTAAGGACCTGCATCTGAGTCAAGCTCATGTTCTAGCAGATATGCTAGCGGAATAAGTGCGACGGGTGGAGTCGGTAGCCAATGTGGATATAACCTGCGAAGGTCGAACAAAACTGCTATGTATATACAAGACACTCATCAGGCGCCCAATGATCAAAGTGCTTTGGCAAAGGCCCAGTCCAGCACTTTCTCCACTGGCTTGTCGAAAATATATGGACAGAATGGTACTACAGATAACCCAAGGCCCAGGGTGCCAGTCGTCCGAAGACGTCTACTCTTCACGTCTTTCATCATCCAGCTGGCACACTTCATGGCACTTTGGATTGTGGCGGCAGGGAGCGCCATGCTAGCCAGACTGTGAAATAAAATGCGCTGGACGCCAACAAGCCGATAATCCTTCGAAAGAGCAGCTACTCGGGGGTGAGCCGCGGCGTCCGCATCCTGCACTTATTAGTATCATTCTCTAGGTCATAATACAGATCTGGTGCGTACAAAATGTGGAATTTTGTGGGATGCCTTGCGAGACTCGTGAATAGCATCCCATAGAATGTACCCCCAGGAGACAGCATGTGCCCCGGTCAGTATGTAAGGGCTGGATAAAGGGCCGATGGAATCGCTGATGTTGGAAGTGTATGCGACGTATCGCTGCAGCGAAATGGCGAGAGTCCGAAGTCTTGACGTGTATGCTGCATAGCGCACGGGTGGGACAGGCTCATTGTACCTGAAAATATGATGTTATTCATACACCAGTCATATTAGGCGTCCAACACAGATTGGCAGGGAAGACCGTACTCTTTCGCCCAATACTCGCCGTAGATGCTCTCATCTTCTTCTTCCTGTGCTACAATCCGCTGTAATGACGGTGGCAGCTCGGTATGCTGGTGCCTTTCCCCCCTGGATGCATGCTTTGGCACGCCTTCCAGATCCTGATCTGTTTGCGTCACAGGCGCCATTTCCAGCTATATGGGAACCGGCTCTAATTCGTGAAATCGCTTTCAAACTTTTCTATCTAAACGCGATGGGGTGTGTTTTAAATGTTTCCGTATCTCGGACCGCGCTGATGTCACGACCTGCCGTGTGGCGTCAAGCCCGGAATGCAAGCCTCACCAAGGGATACAAGTCCAAGCTCCAATATTCAGCCTGGACCTGTGGAGAAGAGCTTTCATCCATGGTTTGGGCTGTCAGACGACACTGCATAGCTAGCATGCGATTGCAGCAGTCCTTCCTGGTCCAACTTTGCTACCTTGGTTTCCCATCTGCCTGCCGGGTGTCCGGCTATTCATTATGTGCTTCGTATTACTTGTTCAACTATTGTTTACTCGTCCATTTCTTGTTTTTAGGCGGGGCATAAAACAATCTCTGGTATTGGTTGCAAATGACCTCCTCTTATATACATTACCATATAAACCCTGGACATACAAATAACGACTCAATCACACCCTCGCCACTGGCCGGAAATGCAGCATCAAGGGAGCCTTCTTCCATAGCTGCTTGAGTCTGGCGTCGTCAACCCAATCGCCGCCGCCAGATGCCAGCTCCCAGTCAAATGCAAGGACTGTCTTGGCCAGGGCAATGCGCATTTCGACCCACGCGAGCGTGACTCCGATGCACATTCGCGGTCCGATGCTAAAGGGTACTGTATAAGGCTTCATAGGGCCATCGCACCATCTTTCCGGCTCAAAGCTCTCCGGGCGCTCTCCAACAGTGCGTGCATCGTGGTGGATAGCCCAGACATCGGCCGATACGTAGACACCACCCGGGACAAAGGTGCCATCGACGGTTTCACCTCCTGGGGGACTGACGCGAGGGGGCCCTACTGGAGACGGAGGGAATAGTCGCATCGTCTCCTCCAGGACAGCATTGAGATATGGGAGGCGCGCGGTCGCATCACCGGTGGCATCGGACGGGCTGGCAAAGGCAGTCCGCACCTCCGTCTTGAGTCGCTCCAGACAGTGGGCGTGGGACTTCTGCGATAGATACCACAATGCCGCTGTCAAGGCTGTCGCACTGGTCTCTGCGCCGGCCGTCAGCATAACCATGGCCTGGTTGGCGAGCTCTGTGTCCGACATGCCGCCGGCACGAATCGCGTGCTCGAGGAAATCATCGACAGCGACGCGACTTCCAGTGCCATTACTGTGTGCTGGGCCTACTTCAATGCGCTTTCGTGTCTTTGCGAGCGTCATGGCGCCGTGCTGGGCGATGGACTCGACAGCGGCACGGGCGGTCGCTGAGATATAGGGCATCCAGCGCAGCAGCGGGCCAACAAATGCCAGGCGCTTGCGAAGGTTGAAGATGGAACCACTGTAAGTGGCATCCAGCAGGATAGACACCCACGGGTGGCTCTTGTTGTCCCGGGTCGCATAGAAGGACTCGCCAAAGGTGAGCTCCCCGATGATATCAAACGTCAACCACTCGAACCACTTGGACACATCGAGAGGGACGGCCCCGCCGCTACCACGCGCTGTAATCTGGCTCACCCAGAGGTCGACATGGTCATGGATAATGGGCTCCTGGGTGCGGATGGCCGAGGGACGGAACTGCGGTGCGAACATGCGATGCTGGCGGGCGTGCTCCTCCGGGTCGAGCACAAAGGCGATATTCGGGTGGCCATTGTCGTAGAACCGATCGGACTTGGGGAATAGCTTGCGTGTCTTCGAGGGGGCGCCGTAGATGTCGCGAAAGGCCTGGGCCGTTGCAAACGAGAGCTCGTTGGGCGCGATGCGTACAATGTCGCCGTACTGCTGGTGAGCCTCCTGGATCTTGCGGTTCCAGAAACCTCCAGTCCAGGCCGATGCATACCAGAGCTCAGACACAGCTGCCAGCGGTGGACCAGGGTACTTGGAAAGCGGATGGAACCAGTAGAGGCGCACATACGTCGCGAGCCAGTAAGCCAGGACGAGGCATCCCACGCCGGCCGTGAGGGCCACGGGGGACAAGGAAAACAGCATTTCCAGTGCCATGATGACTCTGACCGCGGTGAATGACCCCGGGAGGGGGCTACGGTATATGAGGGACAGGAATACGACCCCAGATGAGTAATTGCACGGTCCTTCGTGGAGGAGACTGACTCGCGGCCACTACGGCCCGTCCCCCCCAGAGATGGAGCGATGGAGCGATTGCGACCCACGAAACTGGACTCCTTCCTGTTGGAGTTTGTCCAGACATGACAAAGTACCGTGCTGGTGGCTGCCAACCGGCTGGCTGGGCTTTTCGGCAGTGGAGTCCCTGGACGAGGGCGTGGGTCGAGTGGTTTCGCGCAACACACCGAGCTTGCACTAGACACCGTTAGGGCTCCTTAGCTCCTTGGTCGATGCACGCCTGCAGCTGTCAGGCTGTCGCTGTTGGGCCGTGCTCCGCCGCTGACCTGTCGTCGTCGTGTTCGGCGCCAAAGTACGGCCTCAGATTCTCAGACCATTCGGGGGAGTTCCTGAGTGGACGAGTCCAGTCTCTGATATCTCTTCGTCGACTGGCCCGGTGAAAGCGGCTAATGCTGGCTGCGGAAACCTGTCACAGTATTGCAGCCCCGAGACAAGGATTATACTTGGCAATCGTATCGAGTCCTCGCTGAGCAGCTGTTGGGCCGTCCGGGGGGGTGGCACTCTGACACCCTCGTCCAAGAACCCCTAATCCTTCAGCCATCCCGGTCCCAGCTAGCTTCAGCTCTGCATAAGCATCCTGGCGCCTCAGCCAGGGGCGTGAAGAGTGAAGCCTCTCGAAACACGGCCGGTCAGCAGCGTCTGGGCCATCTTAACGGCCATAAGCACCGGTCAACTGGGGCCCTGCTGGCCAGTCGGCCCATCCAACGGCGCTGATCAGTATTTGACAGCCACCCGGTGTACAGGGATCACGATTCGATGTATCAATAATCCTGCCCCATGTCCGTCGTTTGAGATGTGTCTGGGACTTTGAGTGATTCAGTGAGGAAATATAAGGTAGTCGAGCCCAGTCCTCGCAAGGACGCCGTAGATACTCCACACTCTTTTGGCATTCCTTTGTATTTCGCCTGTTGTAAGGCAAGAGCCAGCGAGTAACGACAATATGGCTTCCAAGTATGTGGTTGAACCCCCGCCGGGCGAGACGCGGTTTTCAGGAGAGTCCATCCAGGCCAATATGGCAGCGTGCGCCATCACGACAGCCCTGATCGCCCTGGCTGTCGTTGCCCTCCGCCTGTACACTCGCTTCTTCCTCACAGAGGCCAAGTTCCAGCTCGATGATGGTAGGTGCGGCCTCTTCAGGAGCAGGCCGTCTGCTAACTCTTTGCTCGCTTCAGCATTCGTCTGCTGCGCGGCAATATGCTCCATCATTCTGATTCCGGTCTCGTACGAGAGTTTGTCTCCCTGTCCAAGGTCAATATATACACTGACTAACTCGTGCGGTGTTCAGTCATGGCCACCGGTGTCGGACTGCACCTATGGGACGTAACCATGGAGCAGTACTATCCAGGGCTCAACGTCGTCAGTTGCTCTCGTCGTGATATCGTCCAGTTCCTAGCATACTGACTCTTCTAGTGGACCCTCGTCGCCACGCTCGTCTACGCCTGGGCCGTGATCCTCTCGAAACTCTCCATCCTGGCCTTCTATCTTCGTCTCTCCCCCCAGCGCTGGTTCCGTGTGATCACCTTTTCGCTCATGGGTGCGGCTACCTGCTATGTGATGATCTACACCTTCATGTTCATCTTCCGCTGTGATCCCATCGAGAAGGGCTGGTACAATTTAATAGATGGCCGCTGCATGGACACCCAGACCATCATGACGGTGCTCAGTGTGTTGAACATTGTCATGGATGTCATGACGCTGTTACTCCCTATCCCAGTCATCATGAAGCTCAACATGCGACTCGCCCAGCGCATATCCATCATCCTGATCATGTCTTCGGGTGTCTTTGTGTGCGCCATCGCCATCCAGCGTACCGTCCAGATGCTTGGGGCTCTCACGTCCGCTGACTATACGTGGGATATCACCGAGCAGTTCTACTGGTCGTACCTGGAGGTCAACGCCGGCATCCTGTGTGCTTCAGTGCCAGCTCTGAAGCCGTTCGCTAAGCGGCACTTGGCCACAGTGTTTGGAGGCTCTTCGCAGCGATATGGGGCCAGGAATGCGCCGTCCAGCGGGCCTGAAGGCACAGAGCAGGATACAGATGCCATCATGATGCGGTTGACTCCAAAGCGCTCCAGCTATACGCGGTTTTAGTACATCTTCTTTTCACTTTTTTCGGATGTCTGTAATATAATAGATCAGAGATTTCACGGTTACAAAATACACTGGTTGACAGTATAACTGGTGTTCAATTGCCTAAGTTTGCTAGACTTTTTATTTGAGACTTGCAGTAGACAGACATTGCTTCCTTTGTAATCCGTATACTGATAACGTATACGTAGTCTGGTTGTTTACTCTCCCATCCCTTAATCCAAAAGGGCTGTTCGTATTTTCAGCGATTGAAGGAGATTGATCATAATACAAACTCCACAGCAACAAGTGGTTATATCATCCACTTGTTCGTAATTGTTTTAACAGGCCCTCCTCCTCACTCTTTCAACCCCATCGACAGACCCCGAGTCGTCGATGGAGGGTGAATTTGCCGATGCCTCGCTCTCTGGCGAGTCCTCAGTAAGGCGTTCAATCGGGTCATCCCACCGCGCCACCATAACATCTAGCGTGTGCGCATGGGGTTTGAATCTGCAAGGCTTAGTACCCCTGCAGTCATCCTTTTGGCAGATATGGCCAAGATAGCATTTTAGAGATCGACAGCGAGCACCTTGCGGGCAAGCATTTTGCCGCAGGATATACTTCATCACGCTCAGCGAGTCGGAATCAAGCGGGCTGTGTCCATATTCGCAATTCTCGGTGTCGCAACCCCCCGCGAGGTGATAGTAGTTGCACGGCCTGGATGGTTTGGAAAGTCGTGCATACGTATCCCGGCTATCCTGCGACGGTATGGGCACGTATGTATCAATACGCTCTCCGTCCTTATTCACTGCAATAAACGACAGCGACCTTGTATCCATATAGGGAAGTGTTTTGCTGTAAAATTCCAGGTCTCGGGTGGGGAACCTGGGCTCCTTGGTGTAATAAGATGGTATTCCGGGCGAGGCCTTGTCCACTACCGGTTTCGATAACTGTTGGCCTGGCCCTGTGTGTACTTTGGTACACTGGTTGCCGTATTTACAGATGCCCTGTTACGGTACTACACGTTAGAGACACCTCTGTGATAGAGGAGGGCAACATACCTTTTGATAATGGGTGCAGATCTTGGCACCCGGCAGAACAGTAGGAGATGGGATATGGTTTCCGCCAACCTGTGTTGACATGAACACGGAGGGAAGCTCCCGGACAGCGAATTCAAGGCTGCTGAAATCAGGGTGGTATGACGCAGCCTTGATCAATGTGATACGGTCAGTCTTGCCGCGGTAAGGAGTCAGCAAGGACAGATAGCCAGTATCGTGGCATCCAGCAAAGAATATATGCTTGCACTGGTTGTTATCCGCAAACAAACGGAACATTTCTGCCACGGTCAGTGAGATAGCGCAGTGGACATGGTGAATGCACAAGAATACCTCGGATTTTATAATCGGCCCCTTCCTTCTTGTCCCCGGCATCCACATAGTCAAACAGGTCCTGAGCAGCAGTGAAGCCCGCTGCAAAGATTGAAAAGGACCGTGCTTCTTTTCCGATAAGACCAAGACGGCCCAACGACTTTGACAGCCCGAAGATGTTGGAGTATATGCGCACCATGATCCGACATTCATCCGCCTGGGTTCCGAGTCGCTCGTGGACAAGGTCTTTGATTGATTCGTTTAGTAGCTGCGCCGCTTTCGTTCCGCCTTGATGGCCGGATTTGATGAGGTAGTCCTTGAACTGCTTGAGGTGAGACAGAGCACAAAGTGTGCCGGGGTTGGTCCTACCAGATAGCCATCGCCGTCGACCAGGACAAGTACAAATGGATTCCGCTCCTACGGCACAGTTATGTCAGAAAGTGTTATTGTGAATGATTGGAAGATTTACCTGAGTTTTCGCCAATCTCTTGTATCTCTCTCGGCCCTCTTTCTCCTCCTCGTAGTCGCTTTTCAGGCGGTTGTAGCTGTCGAGGAGGAACTGGAACTGGCCGAGGAGCCTCTGCAGATCATCGTGGTGTTTCTGGCTCTCCTCTGAGACGGACTTGAGGTTCCCACCGAGGGCTTTCAAGTCGGCGTCCCCAAGCATAATGCTTAACGTGACGAGAACTAGAAAGAGAGAGCAGCGACGGAGTGGCCGGGAGCCATCCACGACTTAACAAGTCGCATCTACCAGTGCAGCATGTCTTTCAGGCAGATGAAGGAGGCCGTGATGGAAAACAGCAGAAATTAAGACAATTGTGAAGACAAATGAAGGAAAATGAAAAGAAATACAGGCAAAAGTGAAGACAAAATAGAAAAATAGAAAAATGCGGGGTGACAGATTACTTGATATGGAAGGCGGTGACAACCAAGCACTGTACTGTACACGTTATTTTTTTGGTTTTTGTTATTGTATTATTTTTATATATATCTAATTACTATAGAGCTGGGGTGTCAGAAATGGATATCAGCGGCAGATGGCCTGTACTGAGGGCCTGCACTGCTGTAGTGTAACTAACATATATATATATTTGCAGATCAGTAGTAGCTACAACAATACACTATTTATATTACAACAGTTGTTGAATTGGCTTATCTAGACTTCAATGGCCTTCATGAACGAGGGGCTCTCGTAGTCCTGGACCACCTTGGATATCGGGACCGTGTAAGCATCCGAGTCGTTCTGGCTCTGGAGATGGCGGACGTAGGCCTGGGCGACTCTGATCCACGAAGCTTTCTCTCTCTCGCTTGCTCCCAGTCCCTGCCAAACCCAGAGGTGACTTCCCACGTCATACAAGAAGACGTCGTTGCCATCAAAGTCTGCCTTGCGGATTCGTCCTCCGTCCTTGACCAGATCAAAGGAAAGCTGCCCCGAGGCATCGCTCAGCCGGAACAATTTACGAGAGGAAGCATCTGCACTTGCCGTCGCCCTCTTGGACTGCGAGATGGGACGAGGAGCCTTGAAAGTGGTCTGCTGGACGTCCTTTCCTCCCAGCATGTCGACAATGATCTTGGACCGGGATTCATGGCGAGACAGGACCTCGACGTCGATATGCTTAGCGAGTGTCATGTCGTGCACCACCTGCGCCGACTTGGCCTTTTCCATCGGGCTGCAGTTCTTGCCCTGCCAGACCCAGATCTTCTCGCCCTTGTCCAGGATAAAGACGTCGTCGTCGTCGAGGCTTTCCCAGGTGGGCTTGACTTCGTAGACGATGATGGAGTCAATGCGGCCTCCACCAGGGAGTTTGAACACGCGAAGCAAGGTGGTGACCTCCTTGGGCGCCTCTTCTTCGACGTGGGTGAATCCAGAGTCGACGCCGCCCGAGCGGATGGTGATACGGCGGAAAAGCGAGGCAAACTCCTCGGACGGATACTCCTGCACTTCGCGGTGCTGAGTTGCGGCTCCATGCAGGAACTCATCGAGCTCGACGGTCTTGTAGGCGGCAGTGCCGGCCTCGTCCTGGGTGGTGTTGTTTCCCAGCCAAAAGAAGATGTCGTGGCCCAGCTTGTCGCCCAGCTTGTACGAGTGCAGGACGATGTAGCTGTCACCATCGAAGAATTGGCCGTATTGCTCCTTTGGCCAGGGGATGACCTCGAAGTTCTCGATGCGCCAGATCAAGAGGCCTGGTTCCTGGCCGACTTTGCCATTGTGCCAGGCGGGCTCACTGAGGGCGGAGGCGTGCTTGACGCGGTGGTCGAGATCGGAGCCGACCAGCTCGACGTTGCTGTCTTTGATGTCGTATTTCTTCGGGTGGACGAGGCCTTCGTGGGGAGCCATTTTATTGATATCTTATGGATAGTCTGTAGTTGTGAGTTGTGTTAAGGAGTTGGCGAGGAGTTGGTGGCGGTGGTGGGTCAGATCGAGATCGAGCGGGGCCAGGAACATCCTGAATAAGCATTTATATATTATATTTATACAGTATACATTTTATAGCTCAGACAAAGCAGAAATGCAGACAAATAGTGCCATACAGACAAAGAATGTCAAGAGCATACAGAGAAACAGTCCAGAATAATGAATATTACGCAGTCACGTGGCCTTCGCCAATCACCACGGAACATGTGACTCGGGCCACTTATGCAAGCATTTATGCAAACAGTTATGCAAATATTTATGCACGTACGTTATTGCCTGGCCGATTGAAATTACTCTACAGTACTCAGTGCTCTGTAGATACGGAGATATGGAGATACTCGAGTCAAGACCGAGTATCCTGAACACTCCGTATTGTATACGCCTGAGATGCGCAGTGATATCATGATTACTGGTTGCGTGTCGCTGTCGATCACAGGGATGCAATAGTGGAGACGCAGACCCTTACAGAACACACTGAATACTGTCTGTACTCCGTATAGTCTACGGTGTATACGGTGTATACGGCGTAGTCACGGTAGAGACGGAGAATGTAGACTCGATACTCAGAGCCTCAGATACAGTCTGTCGGAACAGTCCGTCCTGCCAAGCGACCAGGGCTGAACTCTGGATAATCTCGTATCATCGTCTATCCTGATCCTTCTGAATGGCCCCCAATCTCGCTGTTCTCCAGCCAGTCATGCTTGCTCTCTGCAGTCCACTCGTGCCCCGATGCCCACCCCCCTGCCCCCCTGGAGGGTCTTCCGGGCTCCCCATTCCACATGCTCGACGACTGCGACTCTCCACGTCAAGGCTCGAAGCGAACCTGAGACTAACGATGCTCTAGCGCTCATGCCAGGGTCTGCGGAATGCCCACGAGGCTGCCGCTGCATTCTCATCCTCAGTCCTGAATTCTTTGGCTTCATGCCTCGCTGCTCTCCTCCATGCGGTACCAGTGGCTCGGACTCCGCCGTGGCCTCCTGAGCCCCAAGCTGCTGCTGCTGGATCTCAGCGCCTACACTCGTCGCCTGCTGCCCGCCTTCCTGCTGCTGTATCTGGCCCTGCTGTTCGTTGCCCGCCAGCACTCGCTCCGTGATCCGACCTCCAGCTTCTTCCAGGAGTCCACCGGCTACTCGCCCACCTATTCCACCGTCCGCACCGCCCAGGCAAACCAGTACATCCAGGATGCTGAACAGGGCAGAGGCGAGTCCTGGCGATGGAGATCGTCTGACAGCCCGTCCTTCTGCGTCGGCGTTGCGACCGTCGCGCGCAACAACACCCGCTACTTCAAGACCATGGTAGGCTCGCTGCTTGATGGCCTGAGCCAGTCTGAGCGCGCGGACATGCACCTGCTGCTCTTCGTCGCCCATACCGACCCCTCGCAGCACCCTGCATACTCGGAGCCGTGGCTCAATCGAGTGCCCGACCAGGTGCTGTTGTACGACAATGCGACCGTTGATATCGACCACATCCGCAGTCTGGAGTCCAGCGAGGCCCGCTTTGACGGGCGCGAAAAGGCGCTGTTTGATTATACCTATCTGCTGAAGGCCTGCGAAGCCGTCGGTGCCCAGTACGTGGTGATGCTGGAAGACGATGTCCTGGCAATGGATGGCTGGTACCACCGCACGCGGCAGGCTTTGCACTCTATAAAAGATCAGATGAGTGTAAAGGGGGCTGAGGCTTGTGAGTCTAAACCCCCTGCATGTACTATACTATTTCTTGGCTGACTTTATTAGGGCTGTATTTCCGTCTCTTCTACACCGAAGAGTTCCTTGGCTGGAACTCCGAAGAGTGGCCAACATACCTGTTCTTCTCGCTCGTCACCGTGGGCTGCGTTGCCTTTCTTCTACTGGGCGCGCGCAGCTACCAGCCCAAGATGTATCCCTTTGTTCCAAACGACCTGGTCCTGGTAATCTGCGGAGTGTTCACGCCTCTCCTGATCGGCCTCTACTTTGCGTCAGGTCGAGTCACGATGCGCCCCATCCCTGCTGGAGTGCACGAGATGCCCAAGTTTGGCTGCTGCTCTCAGGCCTTCGTCTTCCCTCAGTCCCGTGTCCCCGACCTAATCAGCATGTATGAGGAAAAGAGAATAGGATACGTGGACATGCTGACGGAAGATTTTGCGAACGACCGCGACGAGATCCGATGGGCCATCACCCCCAGTGTCATGCAGCATGTCGGCCGCAGGAGCTCCAAGGATGCCCTGAACGAGCCCGAGGCGAAGAAACTCCTGGCGAGTCTCTGGAATTTTGCATTTGAAACGAATGATGCCGCTGCCCTGCGCCGGGAGCATGAGGCGTATCTGAGTGGTGCCACTGCTCACCCTGGTGGTTCATAGCCGAAGTGTATATAGTATATCTGGGTTTAGCCATGTATAATATGATAATCTGGACATGTTAGGGTCTACAGCGTATCGACTCCGGCAGAGGAGCACCAGACGTTCAACAGTCCATTAATTTGTATAGACCAGGTTGCCTAATCGGGACACACCGGGTGTGCTGATTGGCTGCTGCGCCGGCCGGAATTGACCGAGACCGCGTGATTAGGTAATCACTCGGCTTCTCTCCCGTCTCCGAGTGTATCTCCGAGGTTATCTCCGAGCATGACGCATTATACAAATATAAGTATAAGCTGATAGTCGCAATCCTCTGGATAGCTCTACAAAGCTTACCATGGCGTCTACACTGCTGCAGCAAGGGACTGTGCTGGCCCATCAAGATGGCCATGTTATTGTACTAAAAGAACACGATGTACTCATTCAGGGAAACAGAATCACCCAAATCGGCCAGAATCTCAGCTGCCCTGGCACTGAGGGAACTGTGATACCCTGCACAGACAAGATAATCTGTCCTGGCTTCATCGACACTCATCATCACTTGTGGCAGACCCAGGTACCACTCTATGACTGACCACGGCGGCGACTCACTGACCAATACAGCTTAAAGGCAGGCTTGGTGACTTGGGCTTTATGGACTACATGGTTGCAGGTACATTGTCTCAATTTAATGATACATAAGCTTGCTTACGTATGGTCAGGAAATATCCAATCATTCAACTATACTCCAGACGATATCTTCTGGGGACAGCTCGGGGGCTGCTTGGAGAGTATCAACAGCGGCGTCACCACCGTCGTTGACCATGCCCACATGAGTTACTCTCCCGAACACGGTGCGCTTCCTGTATCAATTCAAGAGCGATGTCTAATGATGCTTAGTATCCGAAGGGATCCGAGCCTCGGCTTCGTCCGGGCTACGTTCAATATTCTGCTACACCCCAATCTGGCGTATCAAAACATGGACCTCTACGGTCGACTACGACGATGATCTCCTTCCCCAATGGTGGTATACCACTCTGGAGACCCTTGCAGGCTCTGCCCCATTTGGTTCAGGGCGAGTCCAAATGGGACTGGCTTTTGATAGCTTCAAGCTGCCAAAGGAAACTATCAAGAGCCTTTGGGACAAATGCCGCTCTCTCGGTCTTAAGCTCTTTACGACTCATTTTGTGGCGAATTATATGACAAGTAAGTGATGCCAACTATTCCAACCCGCTACTGAATCAACTTACTCATAGACAGACTCGGTAAACCTACTTTCCGAATACGGCCTTCTAGACAAGGACGTTCTTTTCTCGCATGTCAACGGAATCGCGAAACCCGATGCCCAAACTCTTGTCCAGCACGGAGCGTACTTCTCAACGACCCCCGAGACTGAGCTTCAAATGGGCCTTGGCGATATTGTGGCTTTTCGCCCAGACGTCAAGTCAAATGCATCGATAGGAATCGACTGCCATGCAAACAACTCTGGTGACATCCTGACGCAGCTTCGCCTCAGCATGCAGCATGCTCGTGGGGTTGAGAACCGAGAAGCCATGGAAGCAGGAAAGTACCCGTCTGTGGGAATAAAACTAGAAGAAGTGTTCAATCTGGGCACAATACAGGGCGCCAAAGCCGTCAATATGGAAGACCGAATCGGGAGCATCGAGGTGGGCAAGCTGGCTGATCTGGTCATCTTCGACGCCACCTCTCCTAATATGGCCTGTGCTGCCGAAGAGAACCCGGTTGCTGCTGTCTTGCTCCATGCAAATGCTGGAGATATTGAAACAGTCATAATAGATGGGATTGTCCGGAAGCAGGACGGTGGCTTGCTAGATGTACAGGTCCTGGATAGTCTAAATGGGCAGATAACGGAGTCCCTTTCTTGGACTGCGGTAACGAAGAATCTTCTTACAAGTCGCCAGAAGATACTAGGGAGAGGAGGGAAGCAAGATTTCCAAGCGGGGATGCAGTTCTTGTACAAGACATTTGGATAAAATGGTGGCTCTGGTTATTCAACATATCCAGATCTGGTTCTATTCTACGAACTTGTGTTATTATACTCTGCAGGGTTGCTTCATAATGTGAACTGATCTTATATCGCCCCAGAGAAAGTGGGTAACCGTGTTTAATCATCAGCTGAACTTCCGCGGCGTCAATTTGACCGTGAGAGGCGCCTTGATCCAGTTGGTGAAGACTCGCATGTTCTCATGGTCGTTTCTAGGATCCCATTGAGTCCACGTCTCATCCCCAGTCATGGCAATATCATTATGCCACAACAGCTTTGCCGTGATAAGCCGCTGCTCCATGTACGACAAGCTAGCAATAGTCAGTAGTATCCTATATGGGTGGTGTCATACTTACTTGCGGCCGATGCAGCCCCTAGGTCCCAGTGAGAACGGATTGCTCGCCCTCAGCTTGTCGGTTGTATTCTCCTTGTCCAGCCATCGTTCCGGTCTGAAGGTGTAAGGGTCGTGAAAGTTGTCCTCTGCGTGAGTCGCCGCCCACATACACGTTGACACTGTTGTTCCTGCTGGAAGCATATGGCCGTCGACTGAATCACCCCCATACGGCACAGCCCTGGTAAACCCTATGGGCGCACTGGGGAATAGCCTAAGGCCTTCCTCAAGAACAGCCGTCAACCATGGAAGCTTGGTCAACTCCTCGTATGTGATGTCCTCGTCACGCTGGAACGCACCCCGTATCTCATCCGTAAGCTTGTCGAGAACTCGCCGATTCGAAGGCTGCAGGAGCTGGTTGAAAAGTCCTGTCATAAAGCTCCCTGTAGTCTCCGATCCAGCAATTATGAATAGCGCCCCGTTCACGATAATCTCTTCCTGATTCAGGTTCTCTTTATCTTGCTGCGTCATCAAATAGTGTAGGAAGTCCCGGTGCTGGTTGTTACCACCCTGTCCCATTCGTTTCAGAATCTTCTCTCGCGAATAGCTCAGATGCTTAATCCTCTGTTCGCGGAGTTCTTTCGGCGCAAATAGCTTCAGCATCAATGCTTGCAAGACACCGCCGGTCGTCGCCAGTCGCCTTGTCGCCTGCTCGATCGCACCAGCCTTGATCGACTCGGAAATCAAAGGCACCCAGAATCGAAGGTCACTGCTGGTCAGACATCCAAACGGCTCACCGAGGGAGAGATGTCCAATAATGTCAAATGTCGTGTATGAGAACCAGTCGGCGATATTACAAGTCTTGCCGGAGCGGGCGAATTCGTTCATCTTGTCACGGAAGGTGTCGATATACACCTTGATCAAAGACTCCTGCTCCAGCAGAGCCTTGGTGCTAAAGGCGTGGGATAGAGAGCGGCGCTGGCGGGCGTGGTCAACGTCGTCCGCCATCGTGATCGTCACCGCGCCCGGAACAGCCTGGATAGATCCGACATGGATTGGATCTTTATGGAAATTGCGGTGACCTGGACGGCTGCCGTAGATATCCTTCCACGAGTCGGCGGAATTGAACGAGAGCTCGGTTGGTGTAAGGCGGACCACGGGGCCATAGACATCGTGCAGTTGCTTGACGTAGAATGGCAGGCGACCACGGACGAGATGGTAGCTGAGAGGGATGGGCGAGATGCGATTGAGGAACGGTCCAGGATATTGGGCCAGTGGGTGAAAGAAAAGTCGGTAGACGATGTTTGCGACGAGATAGACCAGAATCTGGCACTGTCAGTAGGGCTAAGCAGTATTGGACGTATATCGTACCCCTGCAGCGGCAACATAAGCAAGGGCAGTAAACCCTGCTGTTTCTCCAAGATACCTGTCTAAAACAGCCATGTCTACCAGTTAGCAAATTGGTATTTGATTTAATCGGGAGATTGGGCGATTCAAATATGCAGCCGGGAAAGCTTCTCCGCGTGCAGACAGTCCGGAAAAGCTGTTCCAGCCCCGCAGTCTACAGCTGGTAAATAATGGATCAATCCTGAATTTATATGGGTCTGCTCTTCTATACTTAATATAAACCTTCCTGATATCCTGGAAGAATCATTCTACTCCCTCAATGCTGGAATCTGCTGCGTCATGCAGTGGATGCCACCGCCGTTGACAGCAATCTCATTCAGATAGACCTGGACAATTTGCCGCTCAGGAAAGACGCTCTGCAGAATCCTTTTCGCGTTGGAGTCGGCTTTGGGACTTCCAAATCGTGGAGCAATGACTGCGTCGTTTACAAGCAGGTAGTTGATGTAGCTCACCACCATGTCTGGCTCCGACCCTTTTATATCGTTGGCATCCGCATCAGGCAATTCCACAATCTCCAGTGCTCGTCCCTTGGCATCAGTAGTCTGGGATAGAATATTTCTGGTCTCGTTGTAAACCTTTGTCCACACTGCATCGTACCGACTCGGACGACTCAGGATAACTCTGCCAGGGCTAGTGAAGCGGGCAAGGGCATCGATGTGAGCATCAGTTACGTCTTTGTCTTTGACGCCGGGGACCCAAATAACTTTCGTGACGCCCAATATCCGGTGCAGCTCCCGCTCGATGCTCTCTCGAGTCACGTCCTTGTTGCGGTTTGGGTTCAATATTGAGCTCTCTGTTGCTAGCATGGTTCCCTCACCGTCGACATCCAGAGCTCCGCCCTCCAGAACAATTGACGACTGTAGACGCGGGATATACCAATCATTAAGAAGGTCGCGAGCTAAATGAGCATTGCTGGACGACGGATATCGCCCTCCCCAGCCGTTGAAGTTGAAGTCTGCCCCGTAGAGAGCGGGATAGGACTCATTGCTAAGCACGAATGTCGGTGCAATGTCTCGCATCCAGGGCTCAAGATCATCTGCCGTGGTCGGTTTGATGTCGACGCCGTACTGACCACAGCTTGCAAACTCACGTTCAGCGTCGGAAAATTGGTCAGAACTGACCATCAGAGTCACCGGCTCAAAGGCAGAGATGACCTTTGCTATGCTGACCAGCTCAGCCTTCATGCGCTTGAGGCTTCCGGGTTCCTGATAGCTTGGGTTGCTGTTCCCCGGCCAGGCCATGAGAGTTTGTTCGTGGGGATGTCCCTCGTCGGGCATGTAAAAGCGACTGTGTGTAGCCATAGTCGAGGTGACTGCAAGACAGAGTTGCACAGGCAAGAAACGCATTGTCAAGAGCGGCCTATATGAGGCGAGTCTGCGAAGAAAGATAATATTGAAAGGGTGGAAATATTAACGTTAGAACATCTACAGAACGAATTTACTCGGGCAGCAGGGACCCTTTTATGCCCGAGTTTCAGCATTGCTACGACGGACATCGCCGGCAGATCCTGATTTCGTGGTGGTGAGCGAGGGCCAGTTGCAAAAATTATAATATAGACCCCCACGGCGGCGAGCGAGTAGAAATATTTATATATTATATACACTTCCGCCAAGAGACTATCCAGTGATCCTTTCCATTCTCAGAATTGATTCGATTGAGTGACTCTTCAGCTCCAGGCGCCAGCATTTCCAGCAGTTTGCAGCAGGCACCACTGTTCCAGAAATCTTCTGTTCTGATATACTAGCATCTGAAGACAATTCAGTAATTTACCAATGACAATTAATGCACTACTTTCTAAGCTCAATAATGTACACGATAACTCGAGAGTTACCCTAATTCGCTGTGGTAGCTTATTTCCCAAATCTGAAATGATCCTGGCGAGTCGGCGTCGAGTCGGCATCATTGACCTCCAGATGAATGTCTGTTTTCATCATAATTCCCTCTGACCTGCCCTGCCCGGCTATAATGTTGTCTTGGCTCCCATTCAGGTCAATTGTGTCTGAGAGTCGGCGGCGGTTAGTGGGCCGCGAGCTGAGTCGATATGTCCCACCAGGGCCAGAGGGATGACCATGACTGTTGCCTGTACGACCGCTGGAGCCTAGGAGTGCCGGTGCATATGTCTTCACAAGAACTGATAGCGAGGGGGCGGATCCACAGAAGATTGCTGACAGGCAGTTAGCCCAGCTCACCAGTATGTCTATGAGGGGAGTCCATACCAACGTATATCTCGATACTGCACCAGTTGAGCGAGTCTGCTAGACTGTAGTATTGGTCTGGATTGTGCGCCAACTTCTTCACAAAGTCATATCGGACGCAGCCAGCTGAAGTATTATTAGCATGAGGTATGTGGACAGGGGAAACAAAAGCGTACCTGCAATTGACAGAATACCGAGGCCAAACACTCCAAACAGGGCTCCTTTGCGTCTCTAAATATTGTTAACATTTGATTATAGTCCGATTGGGACATTACACACAGTGGAAATGCGCACACCCCAGAGCATCGGGATGGGGGCGAGGTAAATGCAAATGTCGGTGATGATATTGAGGATACCATTTGCCTCGTAAAAGACCTGCTGCGAATCTACATCCATGCATTTACCCTCAGTCTCTCCGGTCAAGTCCCAGAACTTGGCCGGTGGGAAGCAGGAGAAGGCCAGGACGAAGAAACTGGCAATGGTCAACCCAACGACGACGAACTGGAGGCCGTACACGATCCATTTCATATATCGACGGTGGTCCAGTCGGAGGTAAAAAATGAGCAGCGACACCTTGACAAATCCGAGGGAGAGCACGTAGATGACCCGGGTCGAGTAGACGCTCTTCAGCATTGGCACCATGGTTTCGTTGGGGATGTCATTAACTGGGCCCAGTTAGCAGATGGAGAGCTGCATATTGTGTAGGCCTGCTTACCGTGTCTTCCGACTCCATAGTAGGCAGCTATACCTGTCAGCCTGGACATTTCTGTGCTGTAGACGAGACCTACCTGCCATAGACGCTGCCGTTAACGCAAATGCCAGTATCTAGGCAGTTAGTGAGAGCAGTGCTGAAGTCGTGCAGGTCTACTCACCGATCCAATAACCATCAGGACTCATATAACTTAGTCAACTGTTCCGCAATATAATGCCAGCACTTACCATCATCAGTTCCCAGCGCGTGGAGCATCACTACTCGCACATACACTCGAGCCGCAATGACTGCTGAGATGAAAGCAACAAAAGCACCCCCGACGCCAAAGACAGACGCCTGTCGGGAGCCTGACTCCAGAGACCGTGTAGTTAGAGGACCCATCGTTCATGTGTCTGCAGTCTCAATGTCGCCCCTGCTGGACAGGGGTGTCAGCACTTTAAGGCCATTGGCATTTCGCAGACAGGGGAAACGCCAGAGCTGGGAATCGTCAATCAATTCCTGCTGGACGATCGTTACTACGCATGGCTGGTCCACTGACAGGGATTGGAATCGATCACTGAGCTCGAGCTCAGGCTTGTTTGTACTAAACCGGTCTGGAGCAGGAGAGGTATCAGGTAATCCTTCAAAGCGGGACGCCAACACAGTGGCCCACCAGCATCGGAGATTGCATCGCCGCTGGTGAGATGTCTCCCTATTCCCTGTCTACGATGGCCCTCGCTGTGACCGATCCGATATCTTCCCGCATCTTCTCCGGGGTAGTTGGAATGGGGTATGGAGGCTGAGATACACGCGCGGGAGAGCGATGGGACGGGGAGCAACTGACGACAGACACCATCCTGGATGAGACAAGCAGCCGAGACGGTTGTCTCAGACCCCAGGCGTTGGAGGTGACAGCCGTTAGCGAGATATGGAGATTGGAGAGGCGGAACAAAGTACCGGCTGTTGTTGCACGGATGCTCTCCCCCGGCCATCCATCGCCGGCTGGAGACGTGTGCGAGTCGTGCTTGGGCGAACCCACTGGGCCCACCGGGTCTTACATGACTGATGTCGCCCCCGTGAAGACGGCCGAGAACAGGCAAAGCGGCTCAGCAATGCCGCAATGATATCCACTGGGGCTGCGCTAGGGCTGTGCCACCATGCCGCCGGCGCTTGGCTTCCACTCTGTCGGTGCTGCAGGTGCAATCAATGCCCTTATGGGAAGGAGAGCTCATTAGCCGAGCCCTCTCACGGTTCATACAGCAGGATTGTTTGCTGAGACGGCCGTAAGCCATCTGTCCTGCGAATAACGATCGTCAGTGGACAGCGGCCCGCGAAGGAGCAGCCCGTCGACCCCATCGTATCGAGTCTCTCCACTCTGACATTACTCGCAACAGAGTTAGGGGTTTGGGCATATAAGGACGTGCGAGCTACGGTCGGCCACGGGCCTGTGAGCCTCGAACTGCCTTCGTGTTTTGGTAAAACAGCGTTGCAAGATGATCGAGTCCCAGAATAACGTGGCCCTCGTCTTCGGGGCCAGTGGCATTTCCGGATGGGCTGTTACCAAGAATCTCCTCTCGTATCCCTCTGCGACGACCTTCTCCAGAGTCATTGCACTGACCCATCGCCCGCGAACCGTCGCGGACAGCGGCCTGCCCCTGGACCCTCGTCTGGAGCTGTACTCTGGGGTTGACCTCCGTGCAAACCTGGAAGATGTCAAGCAGCAGCTGACGAGCAAGATCCCTAACTTGGATCAAGTAACCCATGTGTATTACCTTGGTGCGTAGTCCAATGCTGGACAGCGAGTATCCCAATTGCTAACGAGTATGTTCGTCGACAGCATACACCAACGCCACCGCGTACTCGGAGAACGTCATGGACATAAAGAACCTCAACGTGGGAATGACATTTAATGCCGTCCATGCGGTCGACCAGCTCTGTGCGGGCATGAAATTCTTCCTCCTGCAGACGGGCACAAATGTAAGCTGGTTTGCATGGTCAGATAAACCCACGCGACTAACAGTAATGACTAGAACTATGGTGTGGCCGTCTTCCAATACATGGACAAGATCGAGATCAACCCTCCTCTGAGGGAAGACCAGCCTCGAATCCCCTCGCCATGGGGCGATGAAATCTTCTACTACGACCAGGTCGACCTGATCAAGAAGGCCGCGAAGGGGAAGCAATGGCGGTGGTGTGAAGTCCGTCCAGACCAGATCGTTGGTACGTTCTATTATGTCTTTTAAAGTAATTACGCTGATGCAGTTTGATTTGTTAAAGGGCACGTCCCCGCCGTCACCAGCATGACCTATGTTGAGCCCATTGCTCTATACCTCTCCCTATACCGGTATATCAATGGACCGGGGGCGCAGGTGAGGTTCCCTGGCACACAGAAGAACTTTGTCTACACATTCACCGAGTCCTCTCAGGACATCATCACTCGGGCGGAAATCTACCTGTCAGTGGAGAAGCCCGAGGAAGCCAATGGGGAGGGCTTCAACATTGCTGATACCGACACCCCGGGGCCGTGGTCCGTCAGATGGCCGATTCTGGCCCAGTACTTTGGGCTGGAGGGTACAGCCCCCGAGGGAGACGGCTGGGGGGAGATTGACAAGTGGTGGGCAGAGCACCAGGGCGAGTACCAGAAGATGTGCGAGGAATATGGCCTCAGACAACGGACGGTAGATGAGGCTACCTGGGTTTTCGTCAAGGCTGGGTTCACTCTCCTCGACAGAAACCGAGAAATGTGCCTCGACAAGATTCGCGGGTTGGGCTTTACGGAGGAGCTGTCCATCGGTCAGGGCCATTATCTTGCATTTGACCGGTTGGCAGCAGAGCGCATCATCCCGGAGAGAACGAGCGTGTCCAAGGGGGAGTAGACTATATTGAACCTTGATGGTGCGAATATGGCCAATATACAGCTAAGACCATATAGAATATACTAGATGAATTAAAGATCCTATTATCTACAGCAACGGACCGAGGACAGCCTTAGCCAATTTGAACTATCATCAGCCTCAAATGGACAGTTCCTCGAATTTGCAGTAAAAGTGCAGGAAGGAGTACAGCTCAATACAGCCACGGGACGATTTTCCATCGGACAATCCGCTTGTACTCCGTCCAGTCATTCCCATACTTCTTCGCACACATGGCGTCGTCCCGACCTTCGCGGTGGATCAAGAGAATGGCAAAATAAAGGACATAGAAGTAGGTAAAAACCATGCCCCAGCCAGCTGCGGGTCCTTGAACTACCAGTCGGCCATCCAACATCGGAATAGCATCGCCTACAGTGCTGCCTGCCGGGAGAATAAGATACCCAGCGAGTGCCGTTGGCAGACTGAACGGGAGAGACTGCATCCAGTCGCCAAAGTAGTTGACGTGTCTAGAGATCCCCCACCATCCAGCTGTCAGGAGTCGAGTGCCGCGCTTAGTTTGAATATAAGACAGCTTAGCCACGGCAGGGTTATTGGGATCTGTTCGGAATACGTGTTTCTGGGTATTGGCAGCCCTAAATATGTATATCCCAAGAACAAACACGGCGCACATGGCCGCGATGTGGATCCAGCCCAGATGCACAGGGTATGTCGAGAGGTAGCGACACTGCGTGGAGTACAAGAAGGGAACCCAGGCAAGGTCGCCAAAGGTGAGCATGAAGCCCATGCCGTCGGTAGTGATGTCCATCATGGTCAGGATGCTGGATTCGCCGTACTGGCTGCTGAAGACGTAGTACGCCTGGACGAGCGCCGTGAATACAATGCTGTCGGAGATGTAGCCGTAGTTGCGGTACTGCTTGGCGATGAAGGCCAGATCTATCAAGGCCCACAAGGTCAGGCCGGGGCAAACTTCGCACCATGTCTTGATGTCGATTTCTCCAAAGAATGGCAGAGTGACGCGGGGATTCAACTCGCGACCGATGTAGAAATCATAGACCAGGTTCCCCGTGGTGCCTCCAGCGGCCAGCTCGCGAAGGTCGCGGTTGGGGTATTTAGTGTTGACGCTGAAACTGTGGACATAGAGAAACACAGATAGAGCGTATGAGATGATAATATTGGCAGTCAAAAGCTGGACATAGTTATCGGTGATATAAGTCCAGACAGCGAAGTGGGCACCGTGCAGGTACGTCCCAACAGCGCAGATGGTGAGTGTAACCATACTGGCAGAGAACGCTAGGATTCAGATTAAAAGGTGTTCAGAGGGCGCGACAGAGCTGTATACGTACAATTGAAACGATATGACAGCGGGCGGTCATGGTGGACGAGTTTGGTGCCGTGAACAACGCTGGCAGGCAGAAGTCTCCAGAGAAGCAGGCTGTAAACATAGTAGCCGAGAGTGGCAAGGAGGACTTCCCAGGTGATAAAGCTGCTAATGCTGAGATTTGTATCTGCCTTGATATTCTCCCAAGTCAGGGCACGACCAGGGAGCAGCGATGGAATGGGACAGCCAGCGACATCGTTGCAGCCAAACGCGAACGAATAGAGCAGCAACGGGAGGCCGAACACAATGCCGGCGGCACCAAGACTGCAGCGGGTTAGATATGAAGAGTGTCAGGAGAGGGCTCTTACGGTCCGCCAAACTCGTACTCAACCATATTAAGAATTGAGTGAGTGTTGTGAATGTTGTGAATGAATGTTGTCTGGAAAAATTAGGAGATCAAACAGCAAACAGAGCAAACAGGGCAAACATGACAAACATGCAAACATGCACTTCTCAACGCACACAGTCGGCTGTTTGAATGACAGCACAGCCAGACAGTCATTAAAATGCTGTATGTTGATGATAAGCTTAGAGTAGATAGATTGGCTGTTTCTCGAAGGTGGCTGTGCGGACTAGTGGTGCAAAATCATTCACCGGGGTGAGACATGTATATATATATAACACCGTGTTGTGCCTACTCGATACAAACTGTCAAAGGGACAAAAGCTAGGCGGGCCATAGGCACTGCATACAGACATCATCAAAGCGACTATGTCTCGCTGCATCTGACCCTTGGTGAGCGACATTAGAGTCTCCGATCATGGTGTCTGCAATTAAGCTTACTCGTAGCAGATCAGCGCAGCTGCAGATCCATTCCAGGGCAGGCAACTCGTGGCCAATCCAATAGTCAGAGATACCAAGTCAGAACCAACTTTATCACTTTATTGAATGATTGACCGAGGTAGGGGAAAAGCGTCGTCTCCACTGCCAATCGCCCCGCGGTCTTCACTCTTTGGATGCGGGGATCCGGCGTAATAAAGCCCAGGGGTCTTGCCAGCTCTTTCGAAAACAACAAAAAAAAAAACACAAAAACAACTGGCAAATGTCCATGTCGGCCTACACAAGAAGGGCGTCCAAGGCCTGTGCCTGGTGCCACGCCCGCAAGGTGCGCTGCGACGCCACCACCCTGGGCCGTCCCTGTACGCGCTGTCGCCAGGATGACCGCAACTGCGTGATGCGGAAGAAACTCAGCACAAAGTGAGGCTGTCGAAGAGTAGGACTTGTGCTGGAGCTAATTGCTGAATAGCCCGAATCGCCAACGCACCCCGCCAGAGCCAGAGTTGGCCTCTATGCCCGTCGCTGTTCGCCTCGAGCGTGCCCCGGCACCCACGTCAAGCCACGATAACCACGTTCATTTCTCCTCATATCCATTCCTCGACTTAAACGGCTTTTCGTCGATGACCCCGGAGGATGTCGCGTTTTTGAACTCCAAGGGCTGTCTGCAAGTCCCTGCTCCTGTCTATCTGGAGGAGTTTGTACGACAATACTTCCTGCACATCCAGCCCTGCACCCCCATAATCGATGAGTCGGTCTTCTGGGATTTCTATCGCAGCGATCCTTCTGACCCGTCGACGCCTATACTCTCGCTTCTCCTTTTCCAGGCAATGCTGTTTGCAAGCTCTCCCTACATTTCGGTTGAGACGGCGCGGCTCTGTGGATTCGACGACAAAAGGAATGCTTGGAATGCGCTCTATCAACGGGGAAAGGTGAGTATATCGCGTCCAGCCCAAGAGTTCTACTGACAAGTGCAGTTTCTGTATCATTTCCAGAGCGGCGAACCAGAGCTCGTCCGGGCGCAGGCTGCCCTGCTGTTGACCTTCCATACCTCTGCCAGCCAGCCCCGGGCTGCCAGTCTCTGGCTCACCCACGCAGTTCACGCGGCCTCCGAAGCGAGCCTTGATAAGGAATTGTATGAAGATGACCACGAGGCAGTAGAGGCAATCCGCAGTCGACTATGGTGGTCAATCCTCATCCGAGACAGAAGTATTTCCCTGGGGCTTCGCCGCCAGCCTCAACTCTCGTCCCTGGAATTAAAGATGCTCAAAGATCTGCCTAGCGAGGAAATGTTTGAAGATGAGATTACTGGTTCTCGCGTATACGACCCAGGCACCAAACGAATGCTCTTCATCGTCTTCCAAAGCCAGTGCCAGCTAGCACTTCTGCTCACAGAGATGGTCTCCGTCGTCTTCGGCACCCAGGGCCTGTCGTTGCCCTTGTTATCCCCCGAGGGGCTTGAGCATACACTGGGTGTTCTGAGTAGGATCAGGATGTCGTTGGAACTGTGGAAGCAGGAGTCGCCGTTGCCCCATACTCGGCACTCTCCTGCCCACAGCGCTGTCATCAAGTTCACGCAGTTGACAATGGTGTACTACCAGTGGGTCTCCTCTGTTAAAACACCCGTGTATATTTTAACAAATTTGTAGAACAGCTCGGATGGAACTCGCCCATTATGGAGCCTTGTTAATCGAGCGACACCGGGACTACGTCGGCGGGGATTATACGAAGCACCTTTTCTACACGGGAAATATGCTTCACGATGCGACAACTCGCCTGGTCACGCTTCTGGAATATTTCAGTAATAAGAGCAAGGTTCAAATCCTGCCTCTCACGATGTAACGTCCTGCATCCACTGTTTTTATCGAGTTATTGCTGACTGACTGTAGAGTCGGATTCATGTCGATGCCACTCATTCTCAGCGCAATCAACTTCAACCTGTCGTCGACAGATAAAGAGCAGAGGTCTCGCCGTCTGCCTCTGGAGTGCCTTTGGCAGTTGATGTCGCAGTCACGCCGAGTCTACGACGTGACTGATTTCATCAGCAGCCAAACCGACGACATTCTGCATCTGGCATACCTGACATCCCAACAAGTATTTCGCGACACCGGCCCTGTGACGCCTGCAAGTGCGAGTGATATCCGAACCCAAACCCAAACCCAAACCCCAGGCAGCTGCGCAAGAAATGATATGCAAGTCGGAAAGGGCCGAGTCAAGAACTGGCACGACGCCTTCCTACGACATACGCGAGCATACCTCTTGCTAGCCACCACCGTCGATTATTCCATGTCTGTTGGTCGACTACCATCGAACAATGCTTTGCCTGAGCTGGTGTGTGTTATCCCGTCAGTGGGAAAGGTTCAAATGCCATGGATATCACAACCGCGTGCCGCTCGAATCGAGGCGAGATCGAGACAGGTTGCTGTTTCAAGAGAGGAAGAAAGCGAGGAATTGGCAAGTCCTGACACTGTAGCAACCTCAAGTGCTATCATATCAAGTACTGAAACTGGAACTACTCCAGCCCTACAAACGGATCGCGGGTCTGTTACGCAGTTGGACCCTGTCGAGAATGGCGGCGGCAGTTCAAGTTATGACTTCGACCACAGCTCACTCTTGCATGTCAACCTGGACTATCTGGATCTGGATGTTCTTGTGAATGAGTCCCCCATTGTAGAACAGGACAATATGGTGGAATGGAACCAGTCCCCGCAACTGAGCTCTACCGTCGCGATGGAACATCCTCTGGCAACATCAGATCTTTGGCCTATGACGGGCATGAATGCTTCTTCCGACACTAATCTGCACGGTCTATTGGAGGACGGCCTCGTAACTCCGGAATTTATGTGCTCGTGATGGGATGGCTGTAAATGGGGTCGCTGTACATTATGCATTAAGTGGAGTTTGCACTATAACCTTTGTCTATAACCTTTGTCTAGAAGAAGATCAAGAATCGTCGACGCCCGATATATGCCCGATTCATCATCTCAGGCTAGAGGACGATCATTTAGCCGTGAAATACCGAGCGGTTGGTGCAGGATCGGGGGGAAATGCCGCCCAAGCCAGCAGGCCCGGAAGAGCCAGAGAGCGGGGAGGGATCTGCTGCGAATGCAATTACTCTTCGTCCTGTACTCCGTACTCCGTAATTGAGAGTCTTCAGACAGTCTGCGAGGAAACACCATTGGGATTCAGACTGGCACAGTTGTCTCCTCAGATCGGCCCTGGACCGCCAGAGGGGATGGGGATCGGCGCCATAAACTTCACTAGACCGACCCAGATATTCCCTTTCTTGTGTTTAAACCAATCGAACTGCCTGAATTAAAAGCCTTCTCGGCCTTCAGCCCCGCGTGCACTCGGTGCCTCGATCTCCTCGGCTTTCTCGGTCCCTCACGACGCTTCGCCAGCCCTACCCCAGACCTCCAATACAGGCAAATCTTTGTCTGGGGAAGTTGGGATGCGCCCCACGGGGACACCAGTGAGAGCGTCTTCGGTGGGCGATGATGTAGGTTCTCCGTGAATGCTATATCTCTAGCACTTACATGTCTCTTGCAGATACCCCGAGCCATCCAACGTTGCGCAAGCCGCAACATTTGCACAATTAACTCTACGACGCTTCATCCTGCAATGTCTGACACTACCACGCTTCTTCGTCGGTCCAGAGTTCAGCAACCAGGTTCCGAAGACTGGTCGGTACAATAACAATAACTACCTGGCCCATCCCTACTACGTTAAGCCTACTTTCAGCCACCGGTGGGGACGTATTGCCTGGATGACCTGGGCCTTGAAAGGTATTATCCCTAGTAGTAAGAGTGGAGGGAAATATCTTTCCGAGAGATACCGATTTGACGAAGTAGGCCCGGAGAAAACAAGAGGCGTTGGAAGGAAGCAGACGGATGAGTTTGAAGAGAGGATAAAGTCTATCCGAGACATGGGATGTCCGTTGGCTGTCAGGTAATGTTCATATCTACGTCGTTGATGTAGGGATGAGAGGGCTATTAGACTGGGTAGATTGATATACCGGGATGGCTGTAGACAACATATCATACCAAGACCGGGAGATTTATTACATTAAGAGTTGACATCGGTCCATCCCCATAGCCGACGTGGATTGTCCACGAATAGTCGCTGAACCTGTGCCTGGCTCCCTGCCCATTGCAGTGTCTGGTTCAGAATAGCCTCATCGTCGATGTCGCGATAGTCCTGAGGAACCAACGGACCACCAGGCCCATTGCCCTCCTTACTAGCAGTGTGAGGCCAGTCACTGCCAAACACCACCATATCCGGCCCATTGAGCATCAGAGTCTCCGCAACAACACGCATGTCGCTGTACAAAGGCTCCTGTTTTGAGTTCTGATAAGGCGCCGAGATCTTCACAAAGAGATGGCGACTCCGGACAAGATCAATGAGCTCGCGGAAACCAGAAATAGTAAAGGGATCAATGGTATTTCTGGGGTCATTTGTTCGCGATCCCACCATGGCATGCCCGTAATGGTCCGCCACGACTCGTACGCCGAGGGTTGGAAGTATAGAGTAAAGGGCCTCGTAGGCACTGATTGGGAGCCAGAGCTCCAGGACCCAGTCGTGGACACGCGCAATACTTGCAGCTCGAACTACGTCCGCGGTGATCTTGTCGTCTGTCCCGGTGGTTCCGTAGTTAACTCGAATACCGCGCACGCCAGCGTCGTGGAATGTCTGTAGCGTCTTGTTGTCTACCTGCTCATTTAGATCGAGTACGCATACACCAACATAGCTTCCATTGAAGGAGCGCAGGGCATCGAGAAGGATAGTGTTGTTTGTCGCGTACACACTGGGAAGCACGACGGCAGCATGGTCAATACCGTGGGAGGCTTCAAACTTGGCGGCGTGTTGACGAGTTGCTGGCTTGGGAGTGTAATCTGACAAGATAAGAATACGACTTCTTTGCATGTGCTTGCAGCCTACCTCTGTCGGGATCTAGTGGGTATCGGTCTGGCTCGATGATGTGTATATGCGAGTCCCTACAGTTGTTAGTTAGATGTCGCTCTTATAAGCCGACAGAGGCATACCATGCGTGCTTGGGAACTGTCAGCCCCGTACTGACAGTGGCAATTGCCATCAGTAGGAGTATCTTCATAGTGTTAGACAGCTTCGACGGTGTTTATAGCAAACTCACCAACCGTATACTGAAGAGCCCGTTCATCGCTGTGGCTGCCGCAACCCTCAAGTTCTCAATCACCCCTTCCTACCCTCCATTTTATAGCCACGACCCCTTAATGTTTATTTTACTCGGAAAGATCCGCTTCCCCAGACTGAAACCCCGCAGCACCCGCTGTCACATCCTGTTCCCACCCGTAGGGCGATGTCTGTGTGCGCAGTGTGGACCGGTTCGGCTATTAACCGACGGCCTCTCTTTCCCTCCATTTTCTCCTCCATTATTCCTGCTTCTTGCAAAGTCCCCATTCTTTCGACGCTGCGGGTATTCAGCCTTGCGTACGAAATTACCGACTGCGCCGAGAGAATAAAATGCAGGCTCCAGGACGCACTCCGTATCGGACGGATCCGATGCGGGCTCCAGCCGCCACAACCCCGTCTCATATCCGGAGCCAAAGCCAAAGACAAAACCCTGCAATTCGGAGTCCGCTTCGTCGCAGGCCTTTGGCATGTGTACGTTGCCGTCGGCGAAAGGTCCGATGCGATGGAGCAGTGCCGGCCTGCTCCAACTGCGCTAAAGCCGGCGAAGAGTGCTTCGAAGGGCGGGCGGCATCCGCGGTGTCCAGGAGGTTTGTGACAATGCAAAGACAAGAGGCTAGATTCTAACCAAGTGTCCTAAATGTAGCCGGCTTCACTATCTCGAGAAACGGGTGCGTGAGCTCGAGGGGCCTGGAGACAATACCCTCATGCCGCAGACCCCCGAGCTCTCGGACAACAACCGAAATGTCTTCGCTGATGGTCAGTCCAACAATCCAGGAACAGCGCCTGTTGCAGGGAATCCCTCCTTCAGCAATGGACAGACACAGACGCCTGTTGGAGAGTCGCCGGCCGACTCCATATCGAGTCAGATCACCCGTCACCAGCCCCTGGCCCATGAAGTCGGCCTCCTATCGCTTTCCAACACTACAGACCCAAAATATCTGGGGCCCTCGTCTGGTATAACTTTTGCACGTCTGATATACGAGAGTGCTCCACAATCCCAAGGTCTGCCCCTGTCGTTTCTCCGAGACCAGGAGCAGCAGCAGCAGTATAATATCGTAAACCCAAAGCAGACTGCACTGCCTGCAGATATTACTTCAATTACCCTTCCTCCTCTTGCAGATTGCCAGCAGTATGCTGATGCCTTCTTCGATGCTACGCTTTTCTTCCCGTTTATCTCACAGGACGCCTTCTACCTGCTCCTCGACCAAGCTCAACACTTCAACGAGACATCGAAATGGGACAGCCTCCTTCCAATCCGGCTTGCTTCGGCGCAGCTTCTCCTAATTTTGTCACTGGGGGCCCGCTTCCTCGAGACCAGACTAGGCGCTGATTACTCTTCGTCTGGCTTGTTTCTGTCGGGGATGGAACACTGCGCGAATCTGAATCTTCCAGAAAGTGTCGAAGGGGTTCAGGTTCTCTTGCTGATGGTTCTGCACAGCTTCTACAATCCAGAGGGGCTGAATGCCTGGTATCTGCTGCATACAATCATCGCGAGCTGTCTGGATCTAGGGCTTCAGCGTCGTGATAGCAGTATGTTGGTTCCTATATCTTGGTAGTCTGTTCGTGCGCTAATGCAGCGATAGATGGGCGTGAGAAGACACAGCTCGTACGTAGCGCCGTCTTCTGGTCAGCCTACTCGATGGATCGCACACTCACGACTATCCTGGGTCGGCCATTGACACTGCGCGACGAGGCCATAGATCAGGCATTCCCCGGACTTGAGGGCAGTGATGAAGTCGAGGAGGCAGCGATACAGTGGCACCAAAACAATACCCAGCCAAATCAACAGGCCCAAGAGATAATAAAGTCACCTTACGTAGCTTGCGTCTACTCTCTCCGCTTCGACAGGATAGTTGCAGAGATAAAGCTCATGATCTACCGCGTGTCTCGTTCGCCCCGGCGATTTCCCTGGCCGACGAACCTGGACTCCTGGCAACAAGAGACCGAAGAATCCTGCGTAAAACTTCTATCTGAGATTCGGAATTGCCAGCGAGGTCGTCCTAGAAGCGAGACAAACTCCCTGTCAGGAACAACAGTGCAGCGACTGGAGCTCAAGTACCATCAATGTATAATGTTACTCTACAGGCCGAGCCCCCAGCTGTCACATCCCAAGTCAAATGCCATACAAGCGTGCTTTAACAGCGCAATGGCCATTATCCAAATCAACGGAGATCTCCACCGCTTCTCGAATATGGAATGCTCCTGGCTGTCAGCCCACTCTATTTTTGTCGCGGCAATTACCATGCTCTACTGCCTTTGGACCTACCCTGCTGTTCGGGGTGCAACTCCCATGGCAGAGTGTTTATCCCGCGCAGAGAGGGCTCTCCAGCTTCTTACCTGTCTCAGTCAGTGGTGGTCAGTAGCTCTCGAGCCGTGTCAGAAACTTTCACATCTAATATCTCTAACCCATGAACGTTCTCACGGTGGATTGGACAGCCTCTCTGGTCTCGGACCGGGTGGTCTGCAGGAGGGAGCACCGGACGCGGTCAACTTTGTACCCCCGGACGACGGTAGGTCGTTACTGATTGATGAGCTTGGGATCCTGCGAGATCTCTTTGACCTTGGCTGGTTGAATGAATGGAGTCTTGATACCGCACCGCCAGCTTGGGATTCTGATCAGCTCATGGGACTTTGAGTATCATAAAGCGTATATAACAAATTAATCGTAAATGCATAGTCTTCGGCAATGGAGACGGTAACAACCTCCACTATTCCATTAGTTAATTGCATAATGTTTTACCAATTGTTTAATTCCATTGAACCAAGGCCATCGGCCTTTTACCGAATCTTGTGGAGCAGCCGAAAATCGGAGGCCGCTGGCGTTTAAAGCCGTTTATCCCACAAGTGTAATTATCAAATCAGCAATACCAAGAAATCTGAACAATGCCTGCAAGGTCCGAAGACATTATCGACCGCTTGAAGCTATGGGGGGCATGCGACGTGAGTCTAACCCAGCCAGCGCCTCATATAGAAGCTGATTACCGCAGGTGGCCGATGGGCTCTCCAAGCTCAAGTATCCCAACGGGGGATTCCTGGAGGGTCTTACTATATACTCGCCCGAATTCCAATCAGGGGAAACCAAGATCGTTGGTCAGGCCTTCACCGTGAAATTTGTGCCCAAGACAGATGAGGCTGCTCCTAAGCTGAGTGGGAATTACGTGCGTGCATCCGCATTCTCGACTACAGACAGACCTTTATTCTGATTGTTTAGATTGACATGATACCACGCGGTGCTATCGTCTTTATTTCCCAACCACCGCCCCAGGTAAACGCTGTGTATGGTGGCCTTATGACTCTGCGCGCGCAGGCCCTCGGTGCCGCAGGTGTAGTGATAGACGGCCGAGTTCGAGATCTCGGTGAACATCGGGCTTTAAATTTTCCTGTATGTTTCTTTAAAATGACTGTCTCTATATCCACTAACACCGGCAGCTATTTGCCAAATCTGTTGGCACAACAGCTGGCGGGGAGGTCTGTCGGCCATCGGAAGTGAATGTCCCTGTAAGACTGGACTCGCAAAATCAAGAGGCTTGGGTTCAGCCTGGTGACTACATAATTGGCGATTTGAACGGTGTTGTACGTCTGCCGCAGGAATTGGCGGAGCAGGTGCTTGATGCCATTCCCGCTATTGCAGAGGCAGATGCAAAGTGTGCAGAAGGTATTAAGGCTGGAAGGAGTGTCCAGGAAGTGTTTAAGGAGTTTCGCGGGAGATAGACTAGTCCATACCGGTCCCATGTCAATAATTAAAGTGTACTCTCGTGCTGAGTAGTATTAACGCAGTAAAATGGGTTTATTGTAGAGTCTGCATCGATGTGACTCAGAACGTAAAGACCACACTAACCAACAGACAACCCAAGGAGTAAATAGATATGTGATCCCGTCCGTAAAAGATCGAATATATTCTGACAAATTCAACATGCCATTTCTCTCTACTACGCAATGTACCGGAATCCCTCCCTACGCGCAACTCGCTCCTCCTCCGAAACACCTGCAATTTCCCTCTGACTCTGTCCTCTCATCTCCTGCGTCACAGAGGACTCTCCTCGCTCCAGACGCTTGTTAGCGCGAAGAAGGATGAAGCGCATGAAAAGCGCGAGCACAATCACGCCGACCGAAAATGCCGAGTTGGCGGACATCGCAATCACATAGCGTGGAGCGGAATAGTCAGGGTAGAAGTAGGATGAGAATATCTGCACATATGATAAGTATAGTTTCCGGTATTTGGTACCAACCAGCAGTTACCTGAGAAATGTTGCCAAACGCGTTGACAAAGGCCACAGCAGAGGCACGCTTGATTCTGGGCCGCAGCATCGTCTTCTGTGTCCAGGCCAGGACGACTGCATTTGATCCATGCCCTCCAGCGACCATCAGGACCATTGCAAAGTAGCGGGCACCGATGTTGAGGGTGGCTGCCGCAACGACGAAGCCAATGATGGCAACGACCATAGGCCAGATGGCATGGAGCGACGAGTTCTGGAATCTATCGGCAGACCAGTTGTTGGCGATCGAGACGACCAGTCCCAGCATGTATGGAGGCACCGTGAGCAGCAGGGTGTTGACTGTGCTGAAGCCCAGGGTCTTGACAACGGCCGGGAAGAAGTTGGACGTGGCACTTGCAACCTGAATGCAGAGGAAGATCAGGGCAAAGACATACAACCGCCAGTCATTGAAGGCCATCTTGAAGCCATAGCTCCAGCGCTCGTCGTCCTCATCTACCTGGCCAGCATCGGATATCAACCGCCACTCGGCCACCGCACGCTCTTCAGCGCTCAGCCAGGGAGTGTTCGATGGGTAGTTTGGTAGAACGAAGAGCGCGATCAAGGCAATGAAAACAGTAGCTGAACCTTCAATAATGAAGATCCAGCGCCACGACTCCAGCCCTCGTGCTCCGTCGAGACCACCCGTGATACCAGCCCCAATGAGCCCGGAGAATGCGCTTCCAAGCTGAGAGCCTGAAAACAGAAAGGCACTGCGCACTCCCATCTCGGAGCGCTTGTACCAGGACGAGATGAGGAATAGTGCACCAGCTATCGATCCAGTTAGGAGAGTGGAGTAGGAGGATATAGAAACTTACGGTAAAACGCAGCTTCCACGAACCCAAGGAAGAAACGGAGAGCATAGAGACCTCCTGCATTTTGAGTCGCTCCAACAAGGGCAGAGAGGGATCCCCAGACGGCCATCACACAGGGAATATAGACGGACGGTCGCAGATGCGCAAGGAAGATGTTGGAGGGCAGCTGCATAAGGACATACCCGGCGAACAGGAGAGCCACAGCCGTGGCGTACTGCGTGCTGTTCATATGCAGAGACTCCTCGATCCCGGCAACCTTTGCTGCTGATATATTGTTCTGGAGGCATATTAGGACTAGGTAGATGTTTAAGAGAATCAAGACTCACCCGGTCCAAATAGTTCATCACAAAGATCACCCAGACGCAAACCAGCAGGCGTATATCCAGCTTTCTCTTCAGCCTTTTCTCTACGGCAGCGAACTCCTCTGGGCTCATCATCTGAGCTGGAGCTAGTCGATTTGGTTCGAGACCCTCCTTTCCTGCATCCTCGAGATCGGTATGTTCTACCTCGAGTCTCGTAACAGGGTCCGTCTTGGTCTCCATCGTGACGTGATCCCACCACAAATAAGGGTATATACAAAATATAGATAATGAGAATATTAAGAACCGTATTAAAACATTTTCATACTGGACAACAGCCTGTTTAAATATTGTTCTTCTTGCAGACCTGCCAAACCCCATGGGGCTGGGGATCTACCCGCCTTAGCAATACATCTCAAGGCCTCCTGGAGTAAACTGACTCGTGTCCTCATACGGTAGCCCTCATTAGCAGAATAGGAAAAAGAGACGGACTCGGAGCCGAAAGCGAACGGCAAGAGACCGAAGACGTGGAGACTCCGATATCGAGACTGACTGCCCTAGCACTACTTGGGGAGGCTGTCAATTCAACAATCCTCGCGCGTCTGAGTATCTCTTACAGTTCTCGACGCTCATTGAAGTGACAAAATCATCGATCTCTATAGCATAGTCTGAATACCAGCTTCTACCGCCAAAATGACTATAGTACACATGGGTATGTTCAATCCCCTCCAGCATGTCGCAGCTAACACCAGTCTAATATAGTCATGTTTAAATTTCGACCTGAGGTGTCACGCGAGCACAAAGAGACGTTTGTCCAAGAGCTCAAGAAGCTGAAAGAGCTGGACTGCGTCAAGGGACACCGTCTGGTGGTAGGAGGCCCGTCTATCACAGACCCGATAGAGCGGAGCAAGGGATTCGAATTCGCCCTCCTCAGCTTTCATGAATCTCTGCAAGATCTCGAAAAGTATCAGGCCAGCAAAGAACATCACTGGTACGTTGCGAAGCCCGCTGTCGAAGCATTACTGATAAATGCAGGGTCACGAGCACCTATATGTTCCCATACAAAGAAGATCTTGTCCGGTTTGATTTTGAAGTCTCTTCTGAGGACGAGCATATGTTCACGCCATTTCAGCCTAGCAAGTTCTAGTTAACTGCATGGAGGACCCGATCGTTACATTAGAATAGAGAATCAATAGAGTCACCCAAAGTGTGCAGAGCCGAGTCTTGGTAGACAATGAAACAAGACAATTAAACAGCCATTAATATGTCTCCAATCACCTCTTGTGTCCAGTTATCCATCTAATAAGCCGTAATATGCTATCCATTTGGTAGTGGGTAATGGCCGTCGGATCTAACCGACGGACGGAAAATAGCCGTCCGGCATATCGGTTACACTGCGCGTCTCATTGCGTCAAGACCAGCATATCTGCCTATTATCGGAGTTTAACTTGTTATTTATTATTAGCAACGATCCCAATCACATAGTATAACCAACCAGACTGATCGTACCGGCAAAATGGCTTCGGTGAGTTCAACCTTGTATCGCTATACTTTATATTCTAAAACTAACAGGCATGCTAGACAAGATACTATGCAAACCCGGCCGAGGCCGAGCAGTTCGCGACTTCACTACTCATCAAGGCGGGACTAACGAGCAAAGACGCGCGGTCAATGGCCGAGTGCCTAGTGTTGGCGGACATTCGCGGCGTGGTAAATCTCCCTGGTCTATTGTGGAGGTGTATCATCTAATGTGCGATTAGGACACGCACGGTCTTGCTCGACTCCCCCAATACCTAGACCGTGTGAGCAATGACAGGGTAAAAGCCCAGCCAGAGATTAAAATCACAGAGAAGACCCCAGTGGTTGCCCATCTCGACGGAGACAATGGGTTCGGCTTCGTTGTCGCCACGCGCGGCATGGCAGAAGCAATCAAGCGAGCTGAGATTTATGGCATCGGGATGGTCACCGTCAATCATTCCAACCACTTCGGGATGGCCGCGACGTACGTCCTTCAGGCGTTGCAGGCAAACATGATTTCGCTGGTTTTTACCAACTCCGCGAAGCAGATGCCTCCATTTGGAGGGAAGGAGACCCTGCTGGGGATTTCGCCGTTCGCGGCCGGTGCTCCTACAAATTCTGAAGTTCCATATATTCTGGATATGGCCCCCTCTGTTGTCGCGAAGGGCAAGATCCGTCGTGCTGCGCGTCGCGGCGAGGCTATCCCGCTTGGCTGGGCTTTGGATGCAGATGGAAACCCAACCACTGACGCGGATGTCGCGTTGAATGGCAGTATGGCTCCTATTGGAGGGCCAAAGGGATCGGGCATCGCAATCCTCATGGACATCATGTCTGGCGTTCTTACCGGTGCGGAGTTTGGTGGCCAGGTGGGCGATCAGTATAAAGATACAAAGCCCCAGAATGTCGGACACTGCTTTATTGCGCTGAAGCCGGATGTATTCTTCAGCACGGATGATTTCAAGGCTCGCATGGACACACTCGTCCAAAGGGTTCACGGGGTGACTCCTGCGCCTGGGTTCTCAGAGGTGCTTTTCCCCGGCGAACCAGAGCATCGTCTAGGCGAGCAGCGACGCAAGGAGGGCATTCCATACGCCGACGCAGAGAAGAATCTGTTTACGCAGTGTGCTCAGCAGTATGGCATTCCTGAGCTGGCTCTGGCAGAGAGTCCTCTCTCAAGTTAAACAGCACTATACTTTTTCCAATAGACAATTATTATAACGGTCCTCCGTCATAGGAACAGCTGACTCTTACACCCGTGTATTTGGAGTAGTTAACCTTCGGATTGAGCTTTACTGAAGCATTCCAATCACTATTCACTGGCGGGTTTGTTAATGCTGTGGAAACTCGTTCGGACCGCTACCGAAGACATCGGATGTAACCGATGGCCGATCATCGGAGAGGCAAGTTAACCAGATGAGCCTGAATCGAGGGACAATCAAGGTAAATTAAAGGCGGATGATATGCCTCTAACTCATGGTGTATATGCAATAATTTAACATGCAGCCCCCGAAAGACACCCCATACCCAGAGTCCAATCTCAGCTGGCGAATACTGAATCATGCCAACGAAAATGGATACGCAGTCGGGGCTTATAACTGGTATTGCAAGCCGCCTTGCGTTCTTAAACCAGCTAACTGGCTTTCAGTTACAACACCGACGGTGTCATGGCGGTAATCCGGGCTGCCGAATCCCAACGCTCGGCGGCAATCATCCAGTTATTCCCCTGGACAATGCATTTCCAAGGGCCAGAATTCATTCGTTACGTGACCAGGGCTGCTCATTCAGCTAGTGTGCCTATCGCAGTGCATCTGGACCACTGCATCAAGCCAGATGATGTAGACCTTGCATTAACACTGCCTTTTGATTCTATCATGGTCGACGCCTCAACAGGGGACGACGAATTCAATTCTCGGTTCTGTAAGAGCATTGTCGACCGAGCTCGCTCTGTGAATATCACCATTGAGGCAGAGATGGGCCGCATTGAAGGTGGCGAGGACGGCCTTCCTACTGTCGATATGGAGGCCGTGATGACGAAGCCCGAAGATGCAGTGGCTTTTGTCCGTGAGACAGGCGTTCATTTCCTGGCTCCTTCATTTGGCAATATCCACGGTGGATATCCTCCTGGCGGAGCAGACAAGGCCTGGGACCTTCACCGGTATGCCACCATTGTGACTGGCCTCTCAATGTCACTGCTAATTTACGTCCAGCCTTGCTGCTATCGGGAGTTTAATATCTTCTCGTACACCGTTGGCCCTTCACGGAACGCATCCTGTCTCAGATGAATTGTTCCGTAAAGCCATTTCCTGTGGCGTTCGAAAGGTCAACCTGAACCGCACCGTGAGAGACGAGTATACCCAATTCGTTGCCAGTAATGCCGGCACTCTGGAATTGACTGCACTCCAGGTGGAGGGGGTGAAGGTTTACTGTCACTCGATTGAGCGCATGATGGGTGTTCTGGGCTCTGCTGGGCGATACTCATAGTTAACATCGCAGCTACGTTTATGCGGTCTTTCAGGTTGACAGTGATGTGGCGGGGAATGCTAGAATTAGCTCGCATATTAGACCGTCCTATATTCTATTGGCTATTTACTTAGTGGGGAGTTGATGGATACGGTGATATGTTGTATATTCACTTACATTGTCAACAGGCAATCAGCACTACAAGGTGTTGGCTCATAAGGAAAGACTACAAAACAATACTGGAGATTCAGTAACCAAATATTCACGTCAGAACTGCATTGCTCTGGTTGTCTCCCTTCACTTAGCCAGACTCTAGCTATATATCTCCCGTCCTCTGGTAGAATGCCTGCGAGATTGTTTTAAAGAGCACACCAGAGCTCCTATACAGACCTTCATTTGTCGACCGCCGCTTCTAAGACTCACTCTTTCCGCTACCATGTTGCGCCTTCTGGCCACCCTGTTCCTGGCGCTCTGCACACTCATGGCGTGTGCCGTACGTACCCCTCTCACCCTGCTGCATCGCATGCTAACCAATTCCGTCTTTCTCCTACAGTTCCCCGCTGAGGATGACTCTTTCAAAGCCGACCGGATCGTCGATGTGTCCTGGGAGGTTGCGCCCTTCCCCGGGGCTCCTCCAATTACCCTGAATGGCACCGTTGAGCAAGTCTACGCGAAGCTCGTCCAGATGAACCCGAACTACGACGACGACTTCAAAGATATTGACCCGGATCTGGAACGCGCCGTCGGCTTCGACAAGCGAGCAGATACCCTTATGTGTGAGGGCGAAAAGACGGCAGATACAAAGCATATCAAGGAAGGTATTAAGTACCTTCGAAAGGTCAAGGGCTCACCTCACCTTGGCCCCTGGGATTGTGGTAGAGTGAGCTGCTCCTATTATTCGGGAATCGTTTGGTGCAATGATGTGAGTAGACATCCTCTCTGGGACAATAGCATCCATTCTAATATATAACTGCAGAGCCCCAACTCAAAGACCCTCCCTTCGTTCACTAATATTGCCGAAGGCGCACAGGTGATTATTGACGGGTGCGATAAGAAGGGCCAAGTCGTGGGATACCTTGACCACAGTGACCACTGGAGAGTGGTTCTTGTAGATGCAGACTGCTAGACAAAGTCGCATCCTACTCCAGTCTAATCTTGTGATTCTGTTGCGTCTGTCGGTGATGCCTTTGCAGCAGCCGAATGGATCTCGAATTATTATGAGTGGCGTATCTACCAAACATTGTTTATTGCCCTGCTGTGACAAGATGGTGAAGTTGTAAATTCAGCTGGTCTAGCTATTCCTTGATCCATTAACCCAGATTCCATTCAACCAGCAACGCTCACTTCAAGGCTGGGGTGTCCCCAAACTCATAGTTATCCGGCATGCTATCCAATGCGTCAGTCTCAGTAGCGGGCTTTTACGAGGTAACTTACTACTCGGTGGGATACCTATTACCCACGAGCTTTGTAGCGTTGACGGCATCGGTAATGAGTTTGTTCGCTTCGTCCGTAAGTTTAATATCGGCACTTGCAGTGTTCTCTTCCAGATACTTGATAGACCGTGTTCCAGGAATTGCAATAACAGAAGGCTCACGAGCCAACAGCCAGGCCAGCGTGGTCTGGGTGGGGGTAGTGCCGTTTCGCTCGGCGACTGCCTTGATGACCTCCAGCAACTTCTGGATTGCAGGAAAGTTCTCCTCGGAATAACGGGGAAGAATGTTAAGGAATATGTCTTTGGTAAGGGCATCCCGGGTTGCATATCTGCCTGTCAACAGCCCACGGCCAACGGGGCTGTAGGCGACGACGGCGACCCCGAGTTCACGACATGTCTCGAGGAGGCCAATCCGCGGGTCCTCGATATCAAGGGCGAACGGGCTGTACTCGATCTGCACCGCAGAAATAGGGTGAACGGCATGAGCTCGGCGAAGAGTGTCGGCCGATACCTCGCTGAGGCCTAGATACCGGATCTTGCCTTCTCTAGACAGTGTTAGTTTAGTCGTGGGACAATGCAGAAAACCTACTTCTTGAACTGGACCATTGCCTCAACAGTCTTCTCAATCGGGGTCTTTCCGTCAACTCGGTGAGCGTAGTACAGGTCAATAGAGTCGGCCTGTAAACGCTTCAGGCTCTTCTCCAGCGCCGTCCTGGCATACTCGGGGCTGGTGTCAATGATCTGGCGAAAGCCATCATACACCTGGATCGCAAACTTCGACGCCAGGAAGATGTCCTTTGCTTTGTCGGGGTTCTTGGCTCTCCAGGTCCCAATAATCTCTTCGCTGTCTCCGTAGATATCAGCAGTGTCCCAAAACCACTGTCCAATGGCATGGGCACGGTCCAGTAGAGCCAGACGGTCCTCGTCACTGGGAACTGCGCCGTAAGCGCCGCCGATACTCATCAAACCAAATCCGACGGAAGAGACCTCGGGTCCATTCCGGCCAAGTGCTCTAGTGGGGACAGACATTTTGATTTATGAGAGATGGATAATTCTGTTGATAGTGCTGGACTAGACTTCCGAGACGTTGCCCATATTTATATCTTCAGAGCTGACCGATTGTTCGGGATTTGCGGACATAGCCACCTTGTTATATCCGCATGGATTACTTCAGAACCTTCGTGAATGCTATTCTAACACAGCTGAGAGGTTGAGTTTCCCATGTTTGGGACAAGATCGATGAGCCTTGATGTGATCGTCGTCATGATGCCCAGGAGGGTTAGGCAAGCTGCTTGTTCCTGGCGAATCAGAATACAGTTAACACGACTGGGCCAATCCACATTCAGTTTGTCAGTGCCCACCCATAGCTCCACCAATCAAAGTGGTGTGGGGAGCATTGTGGCACGTGACGTCAGCCGTCTTGCACAAAGAAACACCACAACCATTTCTCGTCAAGTCAATATAGGAGACCGCAGGTGGCTTCTCCATCAGACTCTTCGTCCTCCAGCAGGGACCGGGGACCATGACACGTCATCGTAAGCACACAAAACACGTCCGGTCCGGCTGCCGGACGTGCAAGATCCGCCGCGTCAAGTGTGACGAGCAACAGCCGGCGTGTCGCAGGTGCCTCAGCTCAGGACGAGTCTGCGATGGCTATGGCATCTGGAGCGAGACCAAACGGGTTCCCGCTCTGGAAATCCAGCAGAATCAGGGCGCACTGGTTAACCACCCCGATGCACTGCCCGACCTTGGCCATGAGGAAAAGCGTCAACTAGATCGTTTCCGGAACACATTGAGCGACAAGTTGGCGCAACCTTTCGGATCCCATTTCTGGAAATCGCTCGTTCTTCAACTGTCGCAGTCAGAGCCTGCTGTCTTACACGCATCGCTTGCCCTCACCTCGGCCTACGAGCGGTTCGTCCAAGACCAAGGGCAGCCAGACTTCTCCAGCGTCAGTGCAAGCGGACTGTTCTCACTCCGACAATACAACCATGCCATTAGAGCTTTGGTTTGCAATAATTTGCTGGACACTGCTTTGTCGCTTCGCATAGCCATCGTCTCTTGCGTCTTGTTTGTTTGCTTGGAGATTCTGCGAGGCGACGTGAATGCCATGCACGCCCATTTTGCCGCTGGGATTAAGCTGCTACGCCAGCTGCAGCATCTAGAGCAGCGCTTGCCAACGTCCAAAAGCGTCATCATGGTGAAGGATGACCCCGATGCTTTTGACGACCATCTCGTGGAGATATTCGCGCGGCTAAACATGCAGTTCCTGATGCTCGGCCACGGACCGCAGGTAAAAGAGACATTCTCTCCTGCATTTCAGTACGGAATTCATCTCCATATACCTCGGTGTTTCTACAGTGTCCATCAAGCTCGGCAGTCAGCTAACCCTATACTACTCTCCACTATTCACTTTGTAATGGAAACGGAACAATTGTCTTTCGCGAGTAACGTGCACCCGATATCACCTAGCGCAGAGATGCTTGAAAAGCGCAGAGCCCTTCAAGGAGACGTTGCAGAGTGGATTACCGGCTACGAGAGCTCAATTAACTCACATCTTGCATCGATTTCATGGAATGAAAGCCTTGGTCTCATAACGCTCCGAGTCTACGCTGAAATGTCCACGATTCTCCTGGATACTTGCTTCTCAACTAAGGAGACTGCGTACGATCCTCATCTCTCAAGTTTCAAGTGGATTATCGAACGTTACCGTGAGTTCCACAAGGCACTTCAGACTCAACACTGCACAGCACCACCGTACTTCACCATAGATCTGTCCTTGTTTCCACCGCTGTATTTCACAGCCCTGAAATGCCGTGATTGGAGAACGCGACATGAGGCGCTTGCAATCCTTGGGCAATACCACCATATGGAGGGCCCATGGACGGGAGCCATGCTTGCCATCGTTGCAGGACACGCGGTCAGGCTCGAAGAGAAGCATTTTGAAGGAGCATTACAATCATCCGCAGCGACATCAAATCCAGCGGCACCAACATCACCGTCTACCGGACCTAGCTTGGTCCTTCCTGAGTTCGCTCGCATCCACTGCGTCGACTGCAAACTCCCAGCCCGCCGTGCACAAGAGTCATGCATTGCTTCTCTCACGCTGAAGCGGTTCCGGCATGAGTTGGGTAAGACTGGAGGCTGGGAAGTCAACAAGTGCAGTATTGATCTTACCAGTCGACCCCAGACTGCACTGTTTGTAGTGTGATCCGTGCATAGCCAGCAGCAGGAGGGGCTCTTCGCTATACAATATGCCCGGTCGAAAATCCCGACTCGCAACCCTCCGACCGAAATATTGCCGACGACTCAGCCCCTCCGAGATTCAGACCTTGTCCTTGATGACGTCCCTGATCTTTAGCTGTCAGTTATATAACATTTTTTGGGCATCCGAATTGACAAGTCGTCACAGTCAACTTTCAAGATGAACCCACCCAACACGAAGCCCTACCAACTCCCCGCCGACGCGACCTGGTTCGGTAAGCATCCACATTATTTTGACCAAAGGTGTACTAATTAACTTTTATTACAGTGACCGGGTGCTCGACCGGCATCGGTCGTGCGATCGCAAGTCATGTCGCCTCGCAGCCTGGCCACCGTCTAATCGCGACTGCTCGGGACCCCTCCAGCCTCTCATACCTTGACGACAACAACCCATCGATCCTCAAACTCGCCCTCGATGTTACCAAGCCAGACTCTGTCGATGCAGCATTCAAGGCGGCCGCGGCTCACTTCGGGGAGAGCTACTACATCGACGTCGTGGTGAACAACGCCGGATATTCACTGTCCGGTGACACCGAGTCGGTTAAAGAGGAGGAAATGCACGACGAGTTCGAAACGAACTTCTTCGGCACTGTCCGCATTACTCTCAAGGCAATTGAGGTGATGCGCCAGTCCAAGGACCACCGGGGTGGCCTGATTTTCAACATGTCCTCGCTGGCTGGTGTCTGTGCATTCCCCGGCCACGCCTTCTACCACGCCAGCAAGTTCGCCGTCGAGGGATGGAGCGAGTCTGTCGCGCGCGAAGTGCACCCTGACTGGAACAGTACGTTCGCGTTGTCTATTTGAAACTGCAAAGTGCATCCACTGACATACCCAGTCAACTTCTGCATCGTCGAGCCCAGCGCCGTCAAGACCAACTTTGAAACCACCAGCAAGAAGCGCACACAGCCCCACGAGGCGTACGCTGCCCCCGACATGCCCGCTCGTCAGCTCGAGACCTTCGTTAAGAAGGGACTTGAGTCCGGAGTAGGCTTTGAACCCAGTGCCGTTGCCAACGTGCTGTACACCGTGGCCAGCCGCAACGACAAAGTGCCTCTGCGTCTGCCTCTCAGTGCCACTGCCGTCAAGCTTATCACCATGAAGCTGCAGGGTCAACTCGCGGACTTGGACACCGTCAGTGAACTGAGTGCCATTGATGCCAACCAGGCGCAGTTCAAGGTCTGAGCGCATCGTCTTGGTCCAGGACCGCTGGTAGTTCTAGTTACAAATTAGCAATGGAATAATGACTCTTCCAAATGACCGTACATGGTTTATACTTGAATTTCTAGCGGACACTGGTGCGCTACTCTAATAACCAGTTGGTTTTGTAGTACAATATCATGCCTATGATTCATTACGGAAGTACAGAGACTATCACACCCTTTGTCTATAATATTATCATTGGATTTACCTAGTCTACCATAGTCGCTTCCACCGCACCTTCATGTCCCTGTCAGGAGGGATGCCCACGGCCCCGATATAAGACTGATCGTTCTGCGCCGGCCGATCCGACTTGGATCCATCTGGATGTGTCCATTCTACGAGCTCGATTTCAAACCGGGTCACAAGAGCAGCAACTGTCATCAAGATCTCCTGCTTTGCGAAGACGCGACCGGGGCAAATAGAGGGACCTCCTCCTAGGAATCAGTTAGACAGCATTCAGGCAGAGCTATTCAAAACATACCAAATGGAAAGAAAGATGCCGTGCGACCGGCCATTGTAAACTCGGGCTTGCCACTGTCATGTTTAATATGTCTTCCTGCCCAGAACTCCGACGCAGGGTGCGCATCAGAGCTCCAGACTGCCTCGTTATATTGCCCGATCTGACTGGGTGCTTGGATGAGCGACCCAGGGGTGAGAACATGTCCATCCAGGGTTATCGGTTGCGTAACCTGGCGGGTGACGTTGATCGATACATGCAGGCGCAGTGTCTCTATATAGACAGACTGCAGAAGAGGCATCGAGAGGAGCTTCTGGGGGTTGAAGACGCGCTCCCCAGTCGAAGCGTCGACAGTGCTCGCAGCCAGACATTCCTCTCGCACTGCTCTATACAAATCAGGGTCTGCGATGATTTCCATCATGGCCCAGGTCGACATGGGCACCGAGTTCGCATTCGTCCCAAAGATAAACGTCGCAACCATGCCGGCCGTTGTCTCGGGGGAGAGATTCGTCTTCGCCCAGAATATGAGCTCGCGTGCCATTCTCGACCCATAGTGAGGCTCCCACTCGGCGTCGATATCGGGCCCATTCCAGTCGAACTCTCTCTCAGCTGAATCAAGATAGCGGCGACACATTCCGTGGAACTGCTCGCGGATCTCCCAGGGCTTGGGATTCACCCATCGAGGCAACCCCCACATAAGCCGCGGTGCAAGACGGGCGAATTCCCACATGGCTGGCCAGAAACCGGGATTGAGCTCCACGATACGAGAGCCCATCAAGGCGACGAGTGCAGCTTCGGCCATGTCGCTCTCGAAGAACTGGCCCAGGCGGAGCTCCGTCCACTCCCCCAGGGGCTGCTTGGCCAGACGCTCGGAGAACAGATCGAAGTACTTGTCGCTGAGGGCATTGGCATGGTCCGTCCGCTGAAGGTATTCCGAGTAGACGTGATGCTGGCCATGCCATAGTCGCGTCTGGCCTGGCTTGACATCGTGGCCTGGCACAGGGTTCTTGCTGCGGCCGGATTTGTCCTGCTCGAACCTGGCCACTTCGTCCTTCTTTGCGCCCCAGACATTCGCCATTACCTCAAGGAAGAAGACATCAGGGCTGATACTGTGTGACGGTCGGTTGATTGCATGGATGTTCTTCTCGCCAGACACCATGTATATTTTCTTCGGTCCAAGTCGGAACCTGACGATGTTGCTGTTCTGCTGCGCCGAACTATACAGTGTCAGAAAAACGTTGATTAAGCAATTGGTAGGCTTACGCGACGCGCTGTAGGAAGCCATGCATGTCTGTCATGTACTGGTAAGTGTTCGAGAGCATGCTGCCCCCGAGCGACGGTGGCTCCTTCGAGGCGCTTCCCATCAATCGGGGGACGATGACGGCGAGGGCAACGCATACGGCGATGCCCCAGACCAGTGGTGAGATCTCACTAGCCATTATTTCTCAGTCGCATTCCAGACTCCCTTCAATCAGAGCTATTTCCCTATTCCCACCTTATGTATCCGAAATGCTGGTCCAGCTCCTGCGCCGATCGTTCGGAGTAATCTGCATAAAGGCCGGTCCAGTCGGTACAGATATTAGTTATTCCTCCGACTATCGTAAGCAATAGTTCTGGTTGGAGTAGACACAAATAAAAGTACCGCAGTATTAAATTCTTAAATAGAGCAGTGGCATGACTGGTCGAATGCCGGTTGTCTATTCAGCCCATTGCATATCCCAGACACGATGGCACCACGCACACAAACCGCAATTGTCCAGACGGAGATATCGTCTTCTAAAAATATCCCTCTCACGGTCAATCGTTCTGCGCCAATTCCTGAAGTCAAATCAGAGCACCATGTGCTTGTCCGAGTGCTTGCGGTGGCACTGAACCCGAACGACCACAAGATGGTCACCCATTTCAACACGCCCAACAGTATAGCCGGATGCGATTTCTGCGGTATCATCGCCAGTCCTGCATCATCTTCCTCAGCTGCAGCGCGCCTCCCCAGGGGTACCAGAGTCTGCGGTGCACTGTTTCCGTATAGCCCAGCGGACCCCGACAACGGATCCTTCGCGCAATTCTGCGTGGTGGACTCGCGTCTGCTGGTCAAAGTCCCTGATACATGGAGTGATCTCGAAGCTGCGTCACTCGGAGTTGGATGGTCTACCATCTCGCTCGCATTGTCCGACCCTAATGCGCTGAACCTGGAGGGACTTCCTACCAAGCCTTCTCACCAGGCGAAGGAGCCAGTACTGGTTTACGGCGGTGGAACTGCGTCTGGCACGCTGGCCTGTCAATTGTTAAACTTGTACGTTAGGTTCTCCCAGGTATGAGGCGACATTCGCTAATACACTATCTGACAGGATGGGCTATACACCGATCGCCATTGCATCCAGCAAGTCCGCCGAACTCGCAGTCAAATACGGAGCGAGCGCGACAGCCTCATACGCATCCAAGGACTGCGTCGACACCGTAAAATCGCTGGCCGGTAAGCCCATTCGTCGCGTTCTGGACTGCATCACGGACGCCGAATCCGCAGCGATCTGCTACAACGCAATGGCTCGCACGGGTGGCACCTATGCCTGTCTCGAGGAATGTCCTGAGGCCTGGCGCACTCGCAAGATCGTCAAGGTAAAGGAGGTAATGGGATTCCAGGTACTCGGAGTGGATATTAACCTGGGCGAGTCTACATACACAAGGGCGGGCGATGAGAAGCTCATGGCAATAGGGATACAGTGGGCGGGCGAGATAGAGGCGCTGATGGAGTCTGGCCAGCTCAAGGCACACCCACTACGAGAGCTTCCAGGCAGCTGGGAAGCCATCGTCGAGGGTCTGGAATTGTTACGCAAGGGCGAAGTGCGCGGACAGAAGCTTGTTGTGGGGATTCCACAGGACTAGATACTGGAAATAGTCTACTCTATGCATGGTCTATGCTCTTAAACTGGCCCCAGAAGTCCTTCTTCCACTCATTCACCAGCTTGGTCACCGTGGGATTCCCAAACGGCGCCTGCTGAGTAGCAAAGAAGCCAGCAACGCGTAGGTTCCTGTTCGCCCACCAGACGATGTTCGAGGCTCCTCCCCATCCCAGCATCCCCTTGGGCTGCCCTATCTCGGCCACCTCGCCAACGGACAGTATCCCACCCAGCCCATGGTTGATAGCATCCTCTGTGATCGGGCCTGAAACAGTGTCCCACGCAGGACGCAGTCCCAGCATCATCTGAATGCTAGGGGACTTGGGCACCAGCTGGGGCGTAAACATCTCCGCGATAGTCGTCGGCTTCAGCAGCTTAGGCGAGTCCGAAACAAGGTCCGCCAGAACTGCCACGTAGTCCTTGGCCGTACAGGACAGACCACTGCCTCCATCTTGGTCTTCAGGGTTGTCAAACGCCCATCGATCGTGTGGCTGCAGTGTTCCGTCTGGCGTTCGCAGTGCACCTCCCATTGCCCGTGCATTATACTCAGGGTGACCAGCAATGTTGAAGCGGGGGAATGGAGGGGAGAGGTCTAGCTTCTGCCATATATTTTCTACAAAATACTGCTCCAGAGATATTCCACCGTGCAGTCTGCTCACAACAACGCCAGCCCAGTCCAAGCTGCATCCGTACAGCCAGCCCGTCCCGGGCTCAAAGACAAGCGGCATTTCGTACCGATCAGTGACACGCAGGGATGGCTTCTCTCCAGCACGGTCGCGGGCTTCTGCCCGGAGTCGCAGGAGCCTATGTGTAAACCGATATCCCAATCCGGACGTATGCGTCAGAAGGTGTCTTGCCGTGACTGGGACTTTGCTGGGCTCAAAGACAAACTCCGAGCCAGAGACGTCGGTCAGGATCTGCTTCTCGGCGAACTCGGGCAAGACCTTGGTGAGCGGTTCATCCAGTCCGATCAGGCCCTTGTCGATACATTGTAGCAATGCGATGCTGGTGATGAGCTTCGTGGCGCTGGCGACCTTGAGCACGACGTCTTCGCGGAGGGGGAGAGCATTCGGGAGGACGGAGTCGTAGCCTGCTACTTTGCTGTATATTTCATTCCCTGGATTGTTAGTATGGGTCTCTAGTAGTGGAAAATATGAATACCTTTTCCGTCGACGCATTTGCAGATAACGCCGTGGACTTGGGGGTTTTCCTTGCTGGTGTAGTTGGCGAGCAGAGCGTCGAAGTCAGACATTCTTGCAGACAATGAACAACAGCAAGGAAATTAAGGAGTTCCAGTAATTTCAAATGCTTATCGCAGGAATTAGCTAGCGAGTAAGAGCAATGAGGCCCAATCAGGGAGCATTCGGTGGATTTCGGGCGTTTCGGGAATAACTGTCTATCAATATAAGCACGTTGCTATACTAACCATCATAATTGAGCTAATGTGAATAGCAGTCAAGCTCATCATCCTACACAATGTCTTTGGATCGATATGCTGCAGTTCATGCTGCCACTCCCCAGGGCAGAGGCGATGCTCGACCCACCGCCGACCAGGTGCTGCACGACCAGGAGCCCCTTGAACCCTACTGGCGCGAAAAGGTGATTTTGATCACTGGAGGAACAGCTGGTCTTGGTGCAGAGTCAGCGCGAGTCCTACACAAAACAGGGGCCAAAATCTTCATCATGGGACGAGACGCCGCAAAGGGCCGGAAGGTTGCCAACGAGATATCTGCAAGCAACCCAGACTATCCACCAATCGAGGTTATCCAAATGGACCAGAGCAGCTTACAGAGCGTTCAGGATGGTGCAAACGAGTTTTTGAAGAGAAGCGGTGGGAAGCTGAACGTCCTCATGGCAAATGCCGGCATAGTGGCGTCGCCGATTAAGCAGACGCAGGATGGCTTCGAGGCTGTCTTTGCCATCAACTATCTGTCGCCATTTCTTCTCGTGCGACTACTTACCCCAGCGCTCATTGCCTCTACGACACCGGAGTTTAACTCAAGACTAGTCGTTGTTTCCAGCGCCGGTCATCGCGCAGGCAACGTCGACCCGGAGAAATACAACTATGTCGGCGAGGGCTACGACACATCCAAGGCATACGCCCGGAGCAAGACAGCCAGTATCCTCATGGCCAACGAGTTCGAGCGGAGATATGGAAAGCAAGGAGTGCATGCTCTGAGCCTCAACCCGGGAATCATCATGGACACTGAGATCTCGCGCGGTCTCCCAGGGACCTCCGAGTCCCGACGACCAATGTACTACAAGATGGAGCCTTTACTGGCGTCGTATGAGAAGGATGTCGAGCAAGGAGCAGCGACTCAGGTGTGGGCGGCCATATCAAAAGAGCTGGAAGGGAAAGGAGGGCTGTATCTAGACGATATTCAGGTTGCTGGTGAGGCTACGTTCGACGGTCAACTATGCAGGCCAGGCTGGAAACCCTACGTCTGGGACGAGAAGATGGCAGCTCGAGTTTGGGGAGATAGCTTGGCTATGCTTGGAGTAGCAGGCTTTCCATGCTAATTGTCAATATAAGTATTCTATGCTGCTCTGGCAATCATATTGGCGTTATAGTAGAACGGAGGATCACTGTCGAGTCCTACTGCATGTAGTCCATCGAATCCTGCCTGTTTTAGACGCCGGTCCCATTCTTCAGGAGGTATACACGGTCCTCCTGTGCGTCCGTCTGCGTCGCCTAGCCACCATCCTGGCAGCAGTCCCTGGGCTGGTCAGTGATTATTCAATGGGTAGAGGTTCGTATACTTACCACCATGAAGTCAACATACTTGCCGGCTGTGCTGGTGTTAGCCTGGATAAAAAAGATATAAAGGGTTCTTACGAGGCGAAAGCTCTTGATTGAAGAGGAAGCCGTTGGGCTTGAGTAGCTTTCGAACGTTCTTCAGTGTGTCGACGAGGCATGGCGTTGCGTGCAGCACCTAAGACGAATCAGTAAGATTCCAGCAGCAGCAGGATCTACTTACATTCGATGCAATGACGAGATCGTATGTTTCCGTTTCAAATCCCTGCTCACTGGGATCACGCGAAATATCCAAGGCACAGTACTCGACGTCCTCGTACGCCTCGAATCGGGCTTTGGCGGCGTCGAAGAACAGAGGCGAGATATCGGTGAAAACGTAGTTGCTATACAACTTCTGTCCATCGTCTGATTTCAGTCCGTCTAGAACACGAGCCGTAGTTCCTCCAGTGCCAGCTCCTATCTCCATGACACGCAGTCCAGGGTTACTGCGGCCCATAAGGCTGAACAGAGGACGCACTTCAGACAGTCCATTCGCCCAGTCGTAGAACCTCTCGAGGAGTCCGTCTTTCAATAGCACCTTGACCAGCTTCACGCGTCCCTCGACAATATCGACAGCATTGTCATACACTCTCCATGGCCCTTCAATCACAGGCCACATGTACGTGTTTTTAACCAGTTCCCGCAACCCGTTCATGGCAGCCAGACGGTCCTCGCTTTTCATGTCCACCAGCTCGCGCGAGTCTGCCACTTGGGGATAGTCTGGCTGCTTGAATCTCTCATACTCCTGTGTTATCCAGGAGCGGTATCGTTCGAAATGTGGCTTTGTGCAAGTCGCAGCACGCAGTTTGTCTTGCATCTGGATGGCGCACATCACCCACATCCGAGCAATCATTTCCTGCTCTCCTTGAGACTCGCGAGTAGGCCTCATCGCCTCGCTGACGGGGACTGGTCCTAGGTCTGGGGACCATTGCAGGTCGACTGTCGCCCATTCTGGCCTGCTCGGAAAGGACATGGTAGGCGTCTATGGTAAGGAACTGAGTCAAATGCTATCACCAACACTGATATGTTTTTTTTTTTTTTTTCTGGCTTCCAGTTACTTTTAGACAGCCGTAGTACAGGGGCGGGTCTGCCTTGGGATGTATCTGCCGATTGCTTGCATCCATGAATCACAGTATCAAACTAAATCCCGACGCATATACGGACATTTGACTGATCGGATGATTATATTAATTTCCTCCGATATTCAGCTCATCGGGCGTTTCTTTAGTGTCTGCCAGAAGCCAAACGTCCATGTACTGCAGGTATTGAGTAGAGAACTAAATGTATCTTCAATTATAGTAAACTGCCAGACGATAGTAAGACAGTATTGAATAGCCTAATCAAATACATCCACCGCATATCTAGTATTCTTCAAACCTTCAAACCAAGTGCTGACCGTCTCCCTCGTTGTATCCTCGCTCTGATTCCTCTTCGCGTCCAACAAGATATCGACCAGCATTCCCTTCGCAGAGTCGCCAACAGCTCTACTGCCGCAGATATAAACACGGGCGCCTTGCTCCCATAAGTCCAGAAATCTAGCTCTATCCTTCCAAAGTCTGTCATGAACATACCGACACCCTTCACTGGCCTCCACCTGCCGGCTATATGCCCTTCGAACAGACACCACTCCCCTGGCCTCCCACTGATCCAACTCCCTCCTGTATAAATCGTCTTTTCCTGGCTCACGGCAGCCAAAGTATAGTATCGCGGGTGCAATAATCCGCCCAGAATCATGCATCGCCGCCCGCTCCTGAATAAACCCTCTGAAAGGAGCAATACCAGTACCAGCCGCAATCATAATAATGGGAGTGTTTTGCGCATCGGCAGGGAGATGAAAGGCTGTATGCGATGGTCGAACAGCGGCATGTACAACATCTCCTGCTTGCAGGGTAGATAGGTAGCTAGTTGTCACTCCAACATGGCGTTTTCCGTCAGCTCCAGAACGTGGTTCATCCAAGACCGAGTATGTCAGCACAACACGACGTGGGCTACAGACAGGAGATGATCCTATGCTGTACTGTCGGACACGCATAGGGGGTAGCATGCGAAGGAAGTCTGATATCGGAAGATCGATGTCGGGGTTACTCTCTAGCAGATCCAGGACCGAGATACGGTTGGCGAGGACCTCAGCGGTGTAATAGCCATCGGCAACAAGAGTGTCCAGCTTGTCTTTGGTAGCTGGCTCATTAGCTGCATCGATCAAACTCAGGATGTTTCGTTTAGTGGCAGGCTGGCCCAGCTCCACATAGGATCCGAATACATCAACTGCAGGGACAGGGCCACTGTTCGGAAGGAAAGTGAGTGCCTTGGCTGAGATCGTAAGGTGTGCATCCCATGGGAGATGGAAATGTCGGAGCACTCGGTGGACTTGTTCAGGGGGGTTGACTGGCAGCACTGCAAGATAGTCCCCTGCCTTGTACGCCATGTCCGAAGGCAGCTCGATCTCAATGTGTCGTTTCCTGACTTCAGCATCGTCTGCAGTTAATGTCGAAGTAGCTACCACACTGCTCTCCCTCACGTCCTGGTGGAGGATTGATTTGCGAGGATTGGTTACTGCGACGCTCAGCGAAGGGCCTTCAGGGGCTGCAGCACCGTATTTCTGCTTCATCGCTGGCCAGAAGACCTCATCTTCCCAGGCTTCAAAGTCTGTCATCTCATTTCCTTGCGCAACGTCGGTCAGACCCAGAGCAGCAACATGAGAGCCTCCATGCTTAGCTATGGAAGAATCCACCAGTCTAGGGATGCGGTGGAATGTGGCGGCCCAGTCGTGGTGTCCACAGCCAAAGACGGCATACGATACACCCTGTAGGGCGTCATTGTCCTCGAGACCCTCGAGCCAGCGCACAAACTGGCCGGCATTGTCCGGTGGCTGTCCTTCATACGAGGCTGTAACAATAACTACCGGCTGGTCCTTTGGGAGCTTCTCGGTGGCATTGTCAACGACGTCTACCACGCTGGCAGAAAAACCATGCGAAAAGGCATCAGCTGCGAGACGCTCAGCCATTGACTGACAGGTTCCACTATTTGAGCCATAGTATATACTCAATGGCTTTCCTTTCGCGCCGTTTGACGCTGTAGTAGGGCCATTCCTGGCTGTTGGGCTCGACTTCACTGCCGTCGTGCCAGCCAGCCTATGCCCTAACTCTGTTGCTCGCAGCCCATCACGAGGAGTTGCTCTAACCTTGAAGTTTGCCGGCTTCACTGTCAGTGTCTGTTTCAGACTGAGCGTGTAGTTTGGATCGTCAAACTCGAAGTCGAAGTTCTGCAGCAACATCGCGATGACGAGCAACGCTTCCTGCCATGCAAACGGCCGGCCAATGCAGCCACGCGTCCCATTTCCAAACGGCTTCCAGGAATTCGGGAATTCTTTATTGAGGCGGTCGAAGTTGGCGTCCAGCATGCGCTCCGGCTTGAACTCCTTGACGTCGGCCCCGTACACCTTCGGGTCCAGATGCGACGACCCTACCAAGACGATGATCAGCTCGCCTTCTTTGACGACGTATTGGCCTCCTACTACTTCATCCTGCTTGGGTGCAACGTTGAACACAGGGAGCGGCGGTGTGAGACGCAGCGTCTCTCTAAGTACCTGTGAGGATGCGTCAGTAGTCTGAAATTGACCATAATAACAGCAGACATACAGCTGAGATATACGAGAGTTTGGATAGATGCTCGAACCTAATCGGCGTCTTGCCACAGACTTCATCCACCTCCTGCTGTGCCTTGCGATACGCGTCTGGGTGCTTCATCAGATGGTACATGGCGAACGAAAGCATACCCGACGTCGTCTCGTGGCCGGCAATAAGGAACGTAATCAAGTTATCGAGAATACTCTCCTCAGTCATCTTGAGGCCCGTCTTTGGGTCTACTCCATTCAACATGGCAGAGAGCAGGTCCTTGCGTGTGTCCAGATTCTTCTCTATCTTGCGCTCCTGTAGGATCTCGTTCGCTGTCTGTCTCATCACCTCGATATCCCCAAAGAACTTCTTGTCCTTACCACGATAAAAGAACGAGGGAATGGGCAATCGTCTCGCTCTATCACCGCTCTCAGTCAGGAAGTCCCCCATGGCCTCAACAAACGGGTGCACCCCGTCCTTGTAGTAACTGTTGAATCGAAAGTCCATCGAGCACAGTGCGATCGTGTCCAGAGTCAGTCGCGTGAAGTCGTCAGTCACGGTGATGGATTCTCGTCCGTATCGTGCCCATTTCAGGGCCAGCTGGCTTGCAACGTCGTACATTCCGTCAAACATCAGTCGAAGGGATGAGGGTCCGAATGCAGGGACGAGGATTCTGTGCGCGATGGCCCAGGCCGGCTCTGTCTCGCCATCGATGGCCTTTCCAGTTAGATTTATTACTATAATATCTATCTTTGGCTTACCGTGAAGAGTCCATCGTGCATCGCATGTCTCATTTCCTGTACTGCGTTAGAGGCTGCATATAGGCTGATCGTCTTCACTGACCTTGAGGGCAAAAATGGTCTTTGGGAAACGCTTTTCGTCGCAGAACTCGTTTACCATGTCATAGCTGCAAGCGATAATGAAGGTATGGCCTGGAAAGCGCATCCGATAGATCTCGCCTTGTATGAACCATCAGCGACTACTCCCACAGCGAATATCACGGTTGCGTACCATGTTTGTCTGCTAGATCGTACAGCGACTGCAGAGGAAGTTCCATGTCAATATCGAAGAGATTCCCCAAGAGGGGAACCCCCGGGGGCTGTGGGATGTTGCTTAATTTGCCCATCTTGGTGTTTACACTGAATGAGAGGGAGTGTCCATAGATCTATATCAAAGACTCTTCCTGAATGACCGGGAGATAGCAAGACACTGCATGATACCAATTCAGGCGATTTTATTGGCGAGCTTCCACGTTCCTGAACAAGCAGCTGTCAGCGCCAAAATTGCCGATGATCAGGATAAGCATCGGTAATTTTTAGGGGCTGAATGGGCATCAGCAAAGTCCAACTGGGGCTGGGCTGAGGTGCACTGCCCCTGATATCTCTCCTCTTGACGCGTTGAAAATAAATCTACTGCGTCTGTTGCCAAATGCCAATATTGCATCCTGCAGACGTCGCCATGTCACTCAAATCCCTGAGTCTCTTTCTCCCCCTGGTCTCCCCTGCCCTTGGACTTGCTCCTCGCCAGTCAACTACGTGCAGGGCGATACCTGGAGACCCTGGATGGCCGTCTACCTCTGCCTGGGATGCTCTCAATAGCACCGTCCATGGCCGTCTCAAAGCTACGGTCCCACTTCCCAGCGTCTGCCATGGCCAACCCTTCGGGACGTATAATGAAGACGCGTGCGCCGCGATCAAGACCGCATGGCTTGATGATACAACATTGTATGCTCCTCCGCTGGCGTGCTGGTTCTTATCTAACTGGACGACAGCTTGAGCAATCCAGCCGAAGTCATGAACGCAGGCACACAGAACTACTCGTGTGTCCCGTTTACCTCTCCCTCGCAACCCTGTGAACTGGGAAACTATGCCAGCTACTCGATCAATGTCACGGGGGCAGACGATGCTATTGCGGGAGTCAAATTTGCACGCCAGAATAATATCCGTCTGGTGATTAAGAACACTGGTCACGAGTATGTCGTCCGTTAATGCGTGGTATTACCCAGCTAACGCCATCAGCTTCTCTGGAAAGTCTACCGGTACCGGAGCACTTTCGCTGTGGACACACTACTTGAACACGACAGAGATCATCCCCTCGTACGAAAGCACCGACTACACTGGGCCTGCTGCAAAACTAGGAGCCGGCGTCATTTCAGGTCGCACTTACCAAGCTGTCGCCGAGGAGGGTTATCGGATCATGGGAGGGACTTGCCCAACCGTGGGCCTGGCTGGAGGATACACATCAGGCGGCGGGCATTCCCTACTCAACGGCGCATATGGAATGGCGGCGGATGCGGTCCTTGAATGGGAGGTCATTACAGCCCAGGGACAGCACCTCATTGCCAGCCAGTCCAATAACACCGACCTGTACTGGGCTCTGAGTGGCGGCGGTGCAGGCACTTTCGCTGTCGTCCTCAGCATGACCACTAAGATCTTCCCTGATGGTCCGATTGGAAGTGGAATTCTACTCTTCAATCTCACCTCTAATAATACTGAGCAGTACTGGGGCGCGGTCGAAGACCTTTGGGCGTTTCTGCCTGACTTTGTCGACGCTGGTCCCAATACCTGGGACTTTGCCCTAACTCCCACTGGCTTCCAGGCATACGCCATCACAGTCCCCAACCAGAACGGCACACAGGTGCAAAGTCTACTACAGCCATGGCTAGATGCTGTAGCCAAGCGCGGCATCAAGTACTCTTACACCCCTACAGACTCGTCAAACTACCTGGAATACTTCTCCAGCCGATTCGGCCCTGGCATTGCCGGTGCAGGACCCGCAACCGTTCAACTTGCCTCACGTCTAATTCCTCGCGCCGCGATGTCCAACGCCACTGAAACCAAGACCATTGTAGACGCACTGCGAACTATCGTCGAGGAGGGTGAGAACCTCCAACTGGGCTGCCACGCCCTCAACGTCGGCAATATCGAGCACCCTGACAACGCCGTCCTGCCCGCCTGGCGCGACGCAATCGCAACCTGCAACGTCGTCAACTACTGGGACTGGAACATCACCGCCGCGGAAATGCAGTCTCGCAAGGACCTGCTGGTGGACTACCTCATCCCGCAACTTGAGGAGGCCACGCCTGGGGCTGGCACTTATCTTAACGAGATCGATGCCCAGTGGAAGGGCGACTGGATCACGGAACTCTATGGGGAGAACTATGACCGTCTGCTCGAGATAAAGAACAGGTATGACCCTGAGCACACGTTCTATGCCAGAACTGCTATTGGCAGCGATTCGTGGTTTTCCGATGAGGATGGCCGTCTGTGCAGGGCGTAGAGTGCGATATCTGTAGAATACTTTACTAGACAAGCTTCATTTCTAAATTTTTGTATTCATCCATTTGATGTACATATTTGTTAATTACACAGTTATTATGTTCATTCCATCAACAAACCCCGTTGTGGTTGTGCAAATTCTTTCATAGAAACAACTCGATTATAATAGCAGTGTCTAAAATACTAAACTAGTAACCTCCTAAATAGATGTCCAATTTGACGAGAATCACTGTTCCTCTAGAGCTGAATTTCAGACAAACGGCTGCGAACTTTCACCTTAACCGTCGGGTCCGAATCCAACATGATACCATGAGATATCGCAGTCGGCATAGAGATATCGCTCAGCTCCCAATCGTGCTTAAGCAACAAATGACAAAGCGCAATCTTAACCTCATTTGCAGCCAAGAATCGCCCAGGACAAGCATGCTGGCCGTGACCGAATGCGATCTGCTCCGGACGCGTCGTGGTGAGCTGCCATACATTTTCCTGTCCAGGCTGCTCGCGCAAACGCACGAATCGATACGGCTCGAATTTCTCTGGGTTCGGGAAGATTTTCGGGTCCCAGGAGGCGTGGCTGGAGACGCCGAGTCGTGTGCCTTGAGGAATTTGGAAGCCGTCTGGGAGGTCGATGTCTTCTGTGGCTGTCCGGACCATGTTTACTTTGGAAGGTCAGATTGCATGTATCCGGTCCATGGGTAACAGGTTAGGACTCACTAGAAAGAACAGGCTTCAATCTCTGGGCCTCCTTGATAACACTGTCCATTAACTTGAGATTGTAAAGCGACGAATGCTTCAGTCCCCCGTTGGCAGTCACAGTGGCGACTTCATCGCGTAGGAGCTGGATAGTTTCAGGGTGTTGCAGAATCTCATACATCGTTGTTGTAAGTAGGTCTGTAGTAGTATGGATGGCCGACAGAGCAAGCGTTAGCTGCATTGCAGCTGGGGAATATTTAATCCCCTTCTCTTCCGCCACTTGCTCCAGCCATTCAATGGAATCATACCTCTCCGCCGTAACGGCCGATGTAGCCTTCTCGGCGCGACGTTTCTCGATAACGGGCGTAATAATTGCTTCCGCCTCTCTAAGCTGGGCTCGAACCTTTTGCGCCTGAGGGAGAAATCGGGCAATGAACGGTCGTATGAACCTAGGATATGTTCGGAGCTGGTGCGAGGCAATGAACGAGTCGACAGTGTATTCCTTGGTGATTTTCAACCACGCAGGGTCCTGAGCGACTTCTTCATCTCCCAGGAAGATGGTTGATGACAAGCGAGCTACGAGGTCAAGGAGTTCATCTTTCAGTACAACTTCGTGCCATTCTTGAAACAATATGTTAGCTGGCAGCTCATAAGTCCTTCAATATGGGGTCGCTACCGTTGTCTTCGGGGAACAAGTCCTTGCATGCATTCGAACATGTCTCGGAAAGCGGGTTCGTCAGTCGTTCTACGATGATCAGCGTGAGGTTTACAGTTGTCCGAGCAGAAGGCATACTCATAGCACTCATCAGCTTCGTCTTGGTCATGTCGGTCAACAATGTCGTCCCGGTAGACTCCAAGTACGGCTCAAAGCCAGGGACTTCGGCGCAAGTGGTCTAGGCGCCCGTTAGCTAAGCCCAGCGTCTAGAAAATGCATCATACCTCTTTCATGAACTCGGCATGACTGAGCGCATCGATATTCCGGATGTCATTTGCCAAAGACGGGGGCAGGATGAGCATTTCACCCTGATCTGAGATGATACGAAACGGCCTTGCTGCACCAACCTTCGCAAACCCCTGCTTGATAACAGCACGGGCATTTGCTGCGAACGCCTCCCTTGCCTTCTTCCCAGTAAAGTCCCAGAAAGGCTTCTCTGTGACGAGAGGGGCATTGGCGAGTGGATGCTCTCTGACAGAGTATGAGACCAGCACTGCGATGATGCTCGTCACCAGCAGGGCAATCGAGATGTAGGGACGCGTCTCTACATTTTCAAAGACGTCCGCGGTGGAAATATTCTGAACTGCGTGCAGATCCATGCTGTCTCATACAGATGGGAGTTGGTAACAAGGGTCCAGGTGAATCCCTGCGTATGCAGGAGCTACAATCCGTGACAGACACCGACTGTGTTTTTAGTTCAGTGTCAAGCTGAGTGTCTCCAAGGGCTGACAGAGGCGTGGGCCAATGGGCGAACTGGCAAATCCTTGATTATCCAGCCTCGTGGTCGGACCATTGTAGCCCGTCTTTACAAAGCAATATCCGAGACTATGGCTCCTCGGCCGTTGTGTACAGCCTCAGGGCGCAGGGAAGTTCTAGATTTGCTGACGCCGGAGCATGCAGAAGCCTCCGGGAATATTCCCGAAAGATTGCTAAAATTACCGACACGCTGATCGGGTTTTGTGAACTTATCAGATCTACGCCATGCTTACCCAAATGAGCTATGCTGCTGCATACAAACCTTTGTGACCGTGGTTTAACGCACTTGTTACTGCAAGCAAACACCCTCCTACACCTTCATTCAACACCATGTTCGGTCTGTTCAGCAGCGACGCTCCAGAGGCGCCCGCCCAAGTCCCTACGGACACCATCATACCGTTGAATGCTGCCGATGATACAGATGTCTTACGCAGCGTCGTTGTGGTGCTGTCGTATCGCTTTGATGACGTCCTAGACCCGGCAAAACTGAAAAGCTCGTTTGAGAAGCTCCTCGATAGGCCAGGCTGGCGCAAGATCGGGGCGCGGCTAAGACTCAACGTATGTGCAAGACATAAACCCGTATGAGGGAAGACACTCTAACAGTCTGACGAATAGAAGGAGAACGGACGACTTGAGTACCACATCCCAGAGCGCTATGACGAAAAGCGGCCGATAGTAACATTTTCGCACGTCTCCCATGATGTCTCCATTCTCAAGCACCCTCTGGCGTCGAAATTGCCGCGACCGACAGAGCGCCCTGCCGTTGTCGGCGATCCAAACGACTTTGACGAGTTGACATGCAGTCCGGGCGCACCGAAGACATTGAACGACTATCTCACCAGAGATGTCCCTCAGCTATGCCTGCACGTGGTTTCGTTCACAGACTCGACTCTGATATCCATTTCTCTCCCACACACTCTCACAGACGGAACAGGCGGAGCACAGATCTATCGATGCTGGGCCCTTGTACTGCAGGGCCGAGAGAACGAGATCCCTCCTTTCCACGGATATGACAGCGACCCATTGGCAACCTTTGGCGAAAAGTCTAGCGAGCCATACATGTATGCACCAACCCTGTTGACGGGGTGGAAAAAGTGGCTCTTCGTGTTGTACCAAGTCTACGACGGCTGGCGATACCGCAGCTCGTCTCGCATCGTCTGTATTCCTGGAGGTTACATGGCGGCCCAACGGAAGAAGGCGATCGAGGAGATCCGCGCAGAGACGGGCGACGACAAGGCATTCGTCAGCGACAACGACGTCCTGACAGCCTGGTTCACGCGGCTCGAGGTCGGCCATTTCCCACGAAACTCAAACATGACCGTACGCATCATGAACGCATTCGCATTATCTGCGGTGCTGGGTAACGACCATCTGCCCTCAGCCAAAGCTTTTATATCCAATGCCGCGTCGGAAATCTACACATTCCTGACAGTCCGGGACTTCTTCACGAAGCCGCTGAGCTATGCTGCTTATGCGATCCGCCGATCAATGATGGAAGGCGGCACTCGCGAGCAGATCGAGGCGTTGCAAGCCGTGAAGAAGCAGACGCTGGCAAGGGAGGGCCATACGTGGCCGATGTTTGGAGACGCGTCCATGGAGATGATGAGCTACTCAAACTGGACCAAGGGCAAGTATTTCGAGACAGACTTTTCGGCAGCTATCGTGCGAGAAGGGTTTGCGCGCGAGACTCGGGCTGAGAAACCTGGGTTCGCGTCGATGGTGCAGTTCAACGCGTGGTCGACCAAGTTCGATCTGCGCAACCTGATGCCAATCATGGGGAAGGACGCAGCGGGCAATTACTGGCTGCAGGGGCCGCTAAGAGATGTGGTGTGGAAGCGGATAGAGAGGGATTTGAAGGAGGGGAAGCCGGAGTATCAGTAGTTGTATACACATGGGAACGCGCGTGTTGTTTTGGAGGAGTCAGGCAACAAGGCATTAACTAAGGCAGAAATAGAATATTACTAATTTCAATATCACATGATCCTTGGCGTCTTATCCCTCACGTGATCCATCCACAATGTGTCAACACAAGCGAGAATTAAGCTGGTGCTTTAGTGTTGTTGTTGTCGAAGAAGTTGCATTAAATAAACTGGATAAACGATGATTAATGCGGTCTATGTAAGAGTTAGATGTGAATTTTGGTGGATCCGGACATGAAGATCATCAGATACCGTTCGCTCGGTCAAAATATATATCGACACCACTCCAGAATCACCATCCCTTCAACATCAACCTGCCATTTCCCACAACTATCAGAATCCGACTGAAAACAGCAAATATTGCAATGCAGCTCGGTATCTAAATTACTTTCGATATTGAGGCCGGAAATCCAACTTTCGCGACCATCAACTCCCACGGGGAAGCCAGCCTTGGCTCTCTGGAGCAGCCTGGAGCACCCCGAGGCACACTGCTTGTTATTTGCGGCAACCGATGCCGACGGGTCAGATCAGGTTTTGATTCGGACGGTGAAGATGAAGTGGGTCAATATTTATGGGGCGACGAGATCTTGCCTTGCCTAGACTCGAGTGGTGCCGCATAAACAGGATTTGGGCCGTTTACCAGGACCTTGTTTTTGGCTGCTGCGCGCAATGTTGACCCCTCAGCCTATTTCCCCTCCATGTTCGCTTCAGTCGAGAGAACCGGCGTTTTCGCATTGACTCCTACTCATTCGATACCCATGCCGGACCCCATAGCTTTCATCAACCCGAGCTGGACCTGAGCATGCAGGAATTCCTGTCTCCAGCGCTCCGCCAACTGCCGCAGCCCGACTCCGAGAAGAGGCGACTGCGCGAGCTGTCCAGGTTTGTTTCCTCCACCAATACACCGTAAAATCTCTTCGCGTGCTTGCGATCCTGGAGGCTGACCGTTGTCAATGCGCGCCCAGGTACTACTGCGCAATCCCCCGCCCAGCTGGTTTCACTGAAGACCCTGCCGCAACCCCAACCCCCAGGGACGATGACTCGGAGCCCAATCTCAATGCCGCGCGACTCTCGTCCGATATTACGCTGACGGCGCTGACCCAGCTCGGTGTATACAAGTTCGGTTGCATGCGGTCTTATGTCTCGCTTATTGACGGCCAGAATCAGCATATCGTCTCCGAGGCGACTGGGTCCATCTCTCTACGCGACGGGACCAAACACCAGCCGAATGATGGCTTACATCTGGGAGTCACGACGCTGGACCTGGTGTTTGGGGTTTGTCCCCATGCCGTCAAGCTGTTCTCCGGCCATGATGTACCGCACTTGCAAAATACAAACAATGTCACCGCGAACAGCACCCGCTACATCGTCCGCGACTTTACTCTTGAGGAATACTTCAAGGACCGACCATACGTGACGGAATGGCCGCATTTTAGATTCTATGCAGAAGTCCCGATCTACAGTCCGTCTGGCCACGTTCTCGGTAGCTATTGCGTGGTCGACAACAAGCCGCGCAGTGATTTCAGCGAGGCGGACGTCGCGGCCCTCCAAGAGGTATCCGATGCGATTGCACTACATCTCGAGAATGTGCGAACGGTTCACTTCCATCGGCGGTCCGACCGCCTCGTGAAGGGGTTGATGGCATTCATCAAAGATCGACCGAACGACGAGACTGCCCCCTTGACAGCTGCGAACCTACGTAACGCTGCTGTATCGCCTCCGACCCGACAGTCAGAACTGTGGGAGCCAGATAGTCTTCGCCTTGGAGGACTGTCCCTGACCACTGACCCGACTAGAGAGACTTCACCGTTGTTTTCTAACCGCGACGGAGGGGACACTGATGCGACATCGCCGTCTGTTGCGGTCCACAACTCAGCACCAGCGGGATCACCGCCGCTGAACAATTTTCTGGAGGCTGATTCCCCTGGGGAACTGGGATTCTTTCATGGCCAGATGTTTGGGTCTTCGAGTGGAATGGGTACGCCATCACTCGCCTCACAGGACAACATCCCTCTCTCAACCCTCATTGCCAATGTCTTCGCCCATGCCAGCTCGGTATTGCAGGACTCAATGGACGTGGACGGTGTTCTATTTGTCGACGCTTCTTGGTCCAATTCTGGAATGTAAGTATACCATGCGCTCTGCCTCGACATTTGCTAACGACCACAGTGTTCGATCAAAAACCGACCTGCTGGACTGGGAGCCTCTGCCCAAGAACGCGGACCCGAGACTTCGAAGCGAGTCTCCACATATCCCCGTCGTTCTACCTGAAGAAAGCCCCTGCGATGTTCTCGGCCTGGCGTCTAATGAGACCGGCCCTCAATACCCTGTACCCGATTCACTTCTTCGGCAGTTGATTGCTGCCCTCCCCCAGGGTGGTGTTCTCCATCCAGGCGATGTTTCTCCCGACCCTTCGCTGCTGGAGAACCGACTGGCGAAACATTTCCCGCAGGCAAAGTCACTGCTATTTGTCCCTTTGTGGGATTGGAACAAGGGCCAATGGCTTGCGGGCACATTTGTATGGACGAAGGACAGCGATCAGGAGCGCTTCCTGGGACTGGACGAACTGCACTACTTCAGAGCCTTTGGCGACTCGATTATTTCAAAGATTGCGCGACTGGATTGGTCTCAGAAGGAGAAGTCCAAGTTCGATTTCATATCTTCTGTGAGCCACGAGCTTCGCTCACCGTTACATGGTATGCTCGCGAATGCCGAGCTCTTGTCTGCATCGTCTTTGCGGCCTGAGCAGCGTGAAGCCATAAAGGCCCTCGAGACCTGTGGTCTTACTCTGCTAGATACGATTAACAATTTGTATGTTTTACCCGTAAACCTGGATTCCATTTCTGACAGTTGTAGGCTGGACTTTACGAAGATCAACAACCTCACCTCCCTCAACCAGGGCGCCTCGTTCATCACCGAGCTGGCTAGTACGTTTGATCTGGATGTGCTGGTTGAGGAGGTCGTGGACAGTGTGTTTTCCGGAATGCGCCATGCTGCTACTCCATCAACGTCCACGCCGAGCTCTTCCTCCGCGTCCGAGACATACGCATTCAAACGCGATGTTGCCGTCGTCCTCCGATTTGAGACCCGCGACCAATGGAAGATCAACTCCATGACTGGCGCCTGGCGGCGGATTGTCATGAACATCCTGGGCAACGCGCTCAAATATACCGACATAGGCTTCATTGAGGTCTCTGCGTCATTCCTGCCCCCATCAAGTGACTCAGGGTCAACCGTTGCCCACCTGCGCTTCGTTGATAGTGGCTGTGGAATGTCACAGGAGTTCCTAAGGAACAAGCTGTTCTCGCCTTTTGCGCAGGAAGATGCGCTATCCGAAGGCACCGGTCTCGGGTTGAGTATCGTGAAGCAACTTGTATCCTCCCTGAATGGCTCCATCGATGTGAAGAGTGAACCGGGAGCTGGCACACAGGTGGATGTGTATATTCCTGTTCAGCCTGTGCCAGTATCTGCCAACGGATCCGTCGTCACGGTCGTTGAAGGAGCTGCCGATATAGAACTGCCAAATATGAAGTTCTCCCTGATTGGCTTTGGGGCGTATCCTGAACTCTCAGAGGAACCGACCGGCACTTTGAGCCCCGCTGCAAAGCGCAAGATTTGTTTACAGAGCTTTTTCTCAAACTTGGTTACGGAACAACCTTCTTGGACTGTCTCTCATGCGGAGTCACTGGAACAGGTGGATGGTGGTATCGCGATCATCGAAGAAAGTGTGCTGAAACAACTGTACAACGACGAATATTTGCGTTGTCATCATGAGGAGAAACAAATTAGATTTGTTTGTCTTTGCGACGGCTTGCCTTCCGAACATACAAATGAGCCTGTTGGCGGAGGAGCGGTGGTTCGGTTATACCAACCGTGAGTGACCTGGCATTCTGGTATTGAATTATAGATAACTGCTAACATGCTCTAGATTCTCGCCGCGAAAAGTCGTACAGATTCTCAAATCAATTGCGCAAACTGAACCCCGGCCTTCGATAACTGGGCCTTGCCCCCAAAGTGCACCGGGGCTTTCTGTTACTGGGGACGGCCCAGAAAATAATACCAGCCCAAATGCTGTTGTCTCAGAGCCCAGAGATGGTTTCACTGTGCTCATCGTTGACGACAATGACCTGAATGTCCAGGTAATCGCATCCTTTAAGTCTTAATATATAGCGTGCTAATGTATATAGGTTCTTGCGAAACTCATGTCCAAACTCGGACATCAATATACCACAGCTACAAATGGGCTGATCGCCCTGAATAAATATAAGGAATCACCGTCGACTCTGAGGGTGATTCTTATGGGTTCGTGCTCTTACCCTACTATTCAGTGGCCCATCCTAACCCAAGCCAACAGATGTCTCAATGCCCGTAATGGACGGGATAGATGCCACGAAGAACATGCGTTCCTTCGAACACGAACACTCATTACCCCCCGTCAAAATATTCGCTGTGACGGGGATTGCATCTACCGCGATGCAGCAGGAGGCACTGAGAGCTGGAGTTGATGAGTATCTCGTCAAACCGCTGTCCCTGCACCAACTCGGGAGACTTATCAAGGCGCACCTGTAACAGGGTGCCCTGAATGAGATCCCCTCTTTGTATATAGAATTTACGTGTATATGTTCAGCTGAGACGCGACTATGATCTATGCAATAAACACGATACCACTTGTACACAGACTTTTATGCCATGTCGACACTACGCGCGAGCCCAAGACCAAACTATTAGTACGGCTGTGCGGCAAATACCTTGACCAGATTGCGCCATTAGCGGGACGGCAGAGTATATCAGATGCTGATATAGGGCTTTGCACAGCATGCCGACCGGTGACCACTGCGAGTCAGACTCAAGGCAAAATGACCGCGAGCCTTTCCTTAACAGCAAAACGATGAGTTTAATTGGACGATGGTTTGTTCAACTGTTTAGACACTAGAGAGTCGAGACGGTCTATTTTGGAGGTTGGAATAGGAGAGCCACATTTCCGTGTCCGACTTGGCGAAATACCGAAGGCAAGTTAGATGCAAGGATGGAATGCGATCAGCATCAGACGTTATAAAAGCTTTCCCTCCAAGACCGTCAGCCAAAAGTGACACGCGGCAGTTGAGCTGTGCGCTGTCTCGACCGCAACGGCTCTATTGGCATTTGCACAAGCTTCACCGTGGGGCGCGAAAGCCCACAGAGAAGATGCAGTTATCCCACAGACATGAATGTGCAGATTCCCCATGATTGGTGCGATCGAGCAAGCCTTTCTTGTCCAGATATTCCCGTTCATCATCGGCTATTGTGGCTCCCAACGCCACGACATCGCTTCTCTATGCCCCTTTCGTAGCGATGAAACTGGACAATGGCAGTCCCAACGGGCCCGGCGCGGCACGACGAAGGAATCGTCGCTAAGGAAGAGGGATGAACGGTTCAACGTTAGCTGCCCGTGCACGTCCTCTAGTTATCAGGCCGCTTAACGAGCTGTCGAGCCCATGAAAGAGCCATATCGGCAGCTTGTCTGCAGTGCTGACTCGCGGAATCCTGCCGACCTCTTGATGGTTTTAGTTTGCTAGTATGCTGCATCCTGCAGAGGCCCGCGGGGTGGGATCCTGGAGGGTAAAGCGAATACGCGACTGGGGGCCTGGCCCTAATTTCAGATATTCAGAGGCAAAACCAGCCACCCCAGCCTGTTATTGGGCGGATAAAGCATCAGATCGAGCAAGCTTTGCGTGGGCATCGTCGATCGTCCCATATTGAGGGATCGACATCTCCTCGGTGTTTGTGGGTAGACCGCGATGGACAGACAGCTGGAAGCACGTGTGAGGCATCTGTCGTCCCGGCCTTTTCAATTTGACTCTAATGAAGTCTGCAGAAATGGCCCCCATAATTTACCACTTTGTCCGGCGTGATGGCTGAGACTTTAGTGCGGCGTGGCGGCGCACGCCCAGTCTCCAATCCCCACTGTGCCAATCCTTAGTGCTGGCCGCTGAAGCCTGGCACAATATGAGCATGATCGACGACCAGAGCCTCTAGAACAGTGGTCACTGGCCACTACATAGCTGCTCAGCACGGCTGGGGCCCAGGGTTTGGGCTCTGCAGCAGCTGAAGATATCGCGGCTCGATATGGCTGGTCTCCCAACGCCTTCCCAGGAGATTGTAAAACAGTAAAAGGGGCCGATGAGCGGATCCTTTGGGGCGAAGGACGATAACAAGCTTACAGCTAGCAGTTTACACACCGGTGTCGAGTCCACAAGGCGATGCAGCAAGCACGACACCAAGATAGAAGCGCAGCCAGGGCCGACCTGCTCGCCGTCTTCAGTTAGATTAGGCTGAGGATTATCATGCTTCCTGATTTATTTACCGCCTGGGATTACTCCGTCTGGGCCAATCATGTTATTTGATAGGGACAGCAATGCTCGGTGAAATATTCCAGCTTCCTTCGGCTGATGTGGTGTAGTTATCTGCTTTCCATACATTAAGCCCTGGCTCCCCCATATGTTCGAAATACACAAACCGTCTCATACTGTCTCATATTCCCGAGTCATTCAACATGTCTAACATACCCGAATCACAAGCCCCCAAGAAGAGAGCCGCATGCGATCGATGCCGTACCCAGAAGTTGCGATGCCTGCGAGTACCTGGCCATCCCACAGACTCGTGCATTCGATGCGTGCGCTCGCAGATGGAATGCGTCACCAGCTCGTCCAAGCGTCCTGGCCGTCCGAGAAACCCTGCAAAGCACCCTGATGCAGCAGCTGCTTCGGCCTCCACCGAAATGAACCCTCCGCTGCACACAGTGGATATCCAGATACAGTCCCTGGATTCTGTCGACGACTGGTTCAACTTTAGTTCCCTGGAGACAGACTATGATATATGTTCTGCCCCCTGGAGCTCGATGGATTCAGGGCTCCCCATGGAGGATATTGCTACAGCGCACTCCATATCTTCGCTGTCCACGCCTCCTCCCTTGGTACCTTCCACCACTCCGACCTTCGTCAACACTATGACTGCCGATACAAGTCCAGATGAGCAGTTTTCCCACGAGGTTGAGCAACAGGATGAAGAGATGCTGCAGCTGCAGCTCCTGGCTCCTCAACCCTTTACCGGAAACTTCGACCACGGCCTCCATATCTCGATGCTGCAACGCCAGCTCTCTCAGCAATTATTCACACTGAAGTCCATGCCCTGGGACTTGACCACAGTCATGCGTTTAACCTGCCTGCACGACATTGACCAGTCAAGCCCCAGTCATGGGGATTCCAAACCAAACCCATTGGCCAAAATAGCCAAAACCTCAGGCGAGTTTGCCCAGCTTCTATGGTCTGTTCAAGCCCCAATCGCAGGCGATTCGGGGAGCAGCACATCAAAGAGCTCGAGTCCGCTGTCGTCGATCCATCCGCGCCTGAGCATGGCGGACCTGCTCACCATCCTCTCCTGCCACATGTTGACCATCTCCATCTATGATTCAATCTTCTCGCACTTTACCGAACAGGCCTCCCACAACCCGGGTGCCGTTAATATCGTCCTGCAGTCAGCCCCGAAGCTTTTCCTTGGGGGCATCGCGGTCCCGCCGCGGCTGGATATGCTGAGCCACCTCCTCTACTGCGTTGCGAGCAGCCAGCTTCGGCCGATAGAAATGTTATTGGGCCTCCCGGACGAGTGCTGCGTCTCGCTGAAGCGAAATAGTGCCAACAAAGAAAAGCAAACAGGCTTGTTCAGTGGGCAGAGCGGCCAGCTGCTGTTCTCCACCCTGATGCAAGTTGAGACGGAGACGGCAAATGAAGAGAGAGGTGGCTTGGGCGTTATTGAGTCTCTGAAAGAGAAGATACGGCGGATCCAAGGTCTCGAGTGACCATAATGTCAATAGTAATGTAGCCACGAACACATAGTCAAAGAAGCAATCACAGCATATCTGCAAGCGGACGTCTCCTCCCCCCTCCCCTCTGCCCGATACAGCGAAACCGGTGAAGCAAGGCCGTGCTTTTTGTGTAGTTGCTTTTGCCTACAGTGTGCCCGGATTCTGTCCGAGGTATCGGCCATTCGCTGCCAGCAGTCGCCAAGCAGAGCATCATGCAGCCCAAGCTCAGCTAAGACACACCAAGTAAGCCTGGCGTCAACAAGCTGTTGGGGCCAAGGAATCCGCACGCACAAGCTTCGTTGAGAGCGGAGCATGCCAACGTAGGCGCCGGGAAAAGCCTTGCCCACCGTCATTCCTTTTCTGGACAGGTCTATTTTTGCTTTGTTATCGCCGCAAATTGAAGCCTGAAGAATCCTTCCTGCGGCTGCGAGCTAGCGACGGTGGATTCGCACTATGGGGCCAGATCGCCCTGTTCAGAATGACCGATTGGCCTGCAGGACCGGGAATTTCGCTTCCTGCGATCCACAGACAGGCTATTCAGGATTAAGCTTGCAATTGCAATCATCGGTGGGTGCCATTTGCTTGTCTAGGCGGTGCTGCTGCTGAGCAGTGTAGGCTTCCTCAGCAGCAGCCTTTTTCAACCTTTGCACAGCGCCTCTGGTCTATCGTGGCAAAGATGCTGGCTCCAGGTGCGACGATGAACGACTCAACAACTACAATTGAGCTGCAGAGTCGTCCAACCACCACGGACTCGCGGACAGAAATCCTGTACGAGCGCAACAGGACCGCGTCTGGCGAGAAGCTTCCAGGCCCAGAGGCCGAGAGCCCCCCAGCGGATCCTCCTGCTGAGGCTGAACCGTCTGGGCAGCAGATTACTGGGATCAAACTGTTTGCTATTCTGGCAAGCGTTACATTGTCCGCTTTTTTGATGCTCCTTGATGGCTCGATAATTGGCGTGGTGCGTTAGCCGGTCGGCCCTAACTGGATTCAACTGACCATAGACTGTCGCAGGCTATACCTAATATTACCAGTCAATTCCAATCAATCCATGATGTCGGCTGGTACACTGCGGCATACCAGCTGTCCAGGTAAGATGGGCTCTCTGAAACGGCGGACTCGACTCACATAGCCAGTGCTGCACTGCAGCCCCTGTCCGGCAAGATATACACTTCCTACAACACGAAGGTATGTATTACAAGTTCACAGCCAGATGCTCTCTAACAGATATCATCACTGCGTAGTGGACGTATCTTGTCTTCTTTGGTCTGTTTGAGCTAGGGTCTCTCATCTGCGGTGTCGCCAACTCCTCGTCTACGCTGATCGGAGGAAGAGCAGTGGCTGGCATCGGAAGCTCAGGTCTGCTTAATGGAGGAATGACAATTATTGCCGGCGCTGTACCGCTGGAGAAACGGCCTGGTGAGCTGCCTATATGGTACTGGGGATGTATCAGGGCTAATTGAATGCAGTCTATACCGGAGTCTATCTTGGAAGTACGCTTTACTATGACATCTAGGACATCGTCAAAGGCTTTGCTAACTAACTGCAGTCTCCCAGCTTGGAATCGTCTGCGGACCTCTCATAGGAGGTGCTCTGACCCAGTATACCACCTGGCGATGGTGCTTCTATATCAACCTGCCTGTCGGCGCCGTCACCGCAATCCTCCTCCTCTTGCTCCACGTCCCTGAACTCACTGAAAAGCCTCGATTCTCACTCGACCTCGTGAAGAGAACAATCCCCGAGCTCGATCTTATTGGGTTTACGCTGTTCGCGCCTGCTGCGATCATGGCTCTACTCGCCCTATACTACGGCGGAAACGAGTTCCCCTGGGACAGTTCCCAGGTCATCGGTCTGTTCGTCGGCGCTGGAGTAACCATCACTGTATTCGGATTCTGGGAGAGATATATGGGTGATCGAGCGATGATTCCGCCCTCGATGGTCAGTCACCATATTGTCTATACCAGCGCCATCAATGGCGCGACCTTGGTGGCTTCCATCCTCGTGGCCGCCCAGTATCTGCCCATCTATTTCCAAGGTGTTCGGGGATATGGACCGGCTATGAGTGGAGTGAATACACTGCCGGGTATTCTTAGCCAGCTGCTCACAGTCATTGTGTCTGGAGGGTTGGTGCAGAAGCTTGGTTACTATCTCCCGTTTGCAGCTGCTGGAAGCGCCATCGGTGCAGTGGGAAACGGGCTCGTTACCATGTTCGCACCGGACACTCCCACGGCCAAGTGGATAGGCTATCAAATTGTGTTAGGAAGCGGTCGAGGCATTGGAATGCAGATGGTAAGATGTCATCTCTACCACAACGAGGTCTATATTAACGGCTACCAGGGAATCATTGCCATCCAGAACCTCCTCCCGCCCGAGAAAATTCCTGTGGGAATTGCCTTTATGATTTTCTGTCAGAACTTCGCGGGGGCTATTTTCGTCGTTGTCGGCGAGGTTATCTTCACGCAGCAGTTGGTGAAGCAGATTCTGGCACACGCACCGTCAGTCTCAGTAGAAGCTGCCCTTGCTGCTGGAGCGAGCGCGAGTTCTGTGCGCGCTCTGGTACCGGATGGGAGTCCAGAGCTTGCAGGAGTGCTGCTAGCCTTCTCGAACAGTGTCGACAAGGTGTTCTACCTGCTCATGGGTCTTTGCTTGGCTGGATTTGTGGCTGCGTTCGGCATGGGCTGGGTTGATATCAGGAAGAACGCAAAGAAGCCAGAGGCGGAGTCGGAGAATCCCTGACATAGGAGTGTCTATATGGCGCTAAACAGTATTCTCTTTCGAATTATACGCCTCGTTGAAAGTTGACACTCTACAGAGCGTTATGACTGATGGCCTCCCAGTCCTGCTGATATTTGGTGAATTTTATTTATTTTCGGGAACCTCTTGCGGATTTATAACAATAATGAGATAGAAAAGTATTTCAACACAATAATAGAAAAGATAGACGAAGAATAACGAATTCATGGAAGCTAATTCACAATGCTCTAGTCAACTTGTAGCTATATCTCGTACATCCAACAACAGAGAGGTAAGAATAGGCGGTCTCGATCAAAGGCCAGATACGGTAAAGGATATTTACTAGAGATTTTAGTTGAAAAGGAAATAATCATATTGAAAATAGATTAAACAGCCGGAGGACCTCCGGTGCTCACACCGACACAAGGCCTTCCAGCAGGACCCCTTTCAGCTCGTAGATCCCTCGATCCTTTTCCTGTGAAGATACTTTCCTGTGAGACACTGCAGAGAAATTTCGACTTACAAAGAGAGCCAGGAACTTCACGATCCTTCAGGGGCAGGGCACAATGCGTCGGATTGGACAACAACCATTCGGATAGACTCATAGATAGTGGTTACTAGGTAGCGACTGACCTGGAACGACGCAATGGCAGTGCGTACTAAATCAAGGCCGTTCCTTCGTCTCTATAGACGCAGTATTGTGTATTCCCGATTGTGGCCGTAGTCGGGGTATAATAATATACCGGGCTGTGGCTGTGGCAAGTAAACTACCGAAGTTGTTGCAGTCGGATGCCACTGATTATCATTCGGCCATTCTCCAATCGGCTTTTGATAGCAGGAAATTGGTTCTTCCATGGGGCCATCGCAGGATAGGTAATTTCTGTTGTTCAAGGCACTGCCCGGCCCCCATTCCGGAGTAATACTGCGTAGAGGCGGGAGGAAGCGATAGAGACGATGCAGGACGGCGCTCTAGAGCTCTAAGGATTGAGCTGAGACCGAGAAAAAGCCGTATAGATATATCTTTAAAGGCTGGGAATGTTGCGTGACTGAACGACCAGACAGGCCTAATACATTCAACATTCGTGACCCCTTACATATTATCTTAATCGCGTGCATATCCCCCTGCCCCTGATACATACATTCATTACCCATCATGGCTAAGAGCACGACGATCAACGAGCCCATTGCCATTGTCGGCAGCGCCTGTCGCTTTGCTGGCGGTGCTTCGTCACCATCAAAGCTGTGGGAGCTGCTCAGCAAACCTCGCGACGTGCGCAGCGACATCCCCACGAGCCGGTTTAACGCTTCCAGCTACTATCATCCCAATCCTGCATACCATGGGCACAGCAATATTCAACATTCGTACTTGCTGGAGGAAGATGTTGCTGCCTTCGACTCGGAGTTCTTCGGCATCAAGCCTGTCGAGGCGAAGGCCATTGACCCTCAACAACGGCTGTTGATGGAGACTGTCTATGAGGGACTGGAGTCTGCTGGACTCACGATTGACTCTCTGAGGGGGAGTGATACTGGAGTCTACGTTGGGCTGATGTGCGGTGACTACGAGGCAAGCTTATTACGAGACAGTAAGTGCCCTGGCCCGTGGGAGAGATTGCTCAGTTAACACCTTCTAGTGAAAACGGCCCCAGTATACACGGCCACCGGTATTGGACGGAGTATCCTATCCAACCGCGTTTCATATTTCTTCAACTGGCATGGCCCATCCATGACCATCGACACGGCTTGCTCGTCTAGTCTTGTCGCTGTCCACCTTGCAGCGCAGGCCTTGCGATCTGGCGAATCTCGCGTTGCCCTTGCTTGCGGATCCAACCTTTTGCTGGGTCCAGAGAATTACATTATGGAAAGCAAGCTGAAGATGCTGTCTCCTGATGGTGAGTGATACCAACACACTAGTACGACCAGTAGCTAACATGAACAGGCCGCAGTAAGATGTGGGACAAGGACGCCAACGGTTACGCGCGCGGTGACGGCGTGGCAGCTTGCATTCTCAAGACCCTGAGCGCCGCCATCGAGGACGGAGATGACATTGAGTGCATCATCCGCGAGACAGGCGTGAACCAGGACGGAGCAACCACTGGAATCACAATGCCGAGTGCCACGGCTCAACAGGCCCTCATCCGCAGCACATACGAGAAGGCGGGACTGGATCTGGCCAAGGCCACCGACCGACCCCAGTTCTTCGAGGCTCATGGAACTGGAACGCCAGCTGGTGATCCCATTGAAGCCGAGGCCATCTCCAAGGCCTTCTTTGGAGAGGAATACGCGGAGAGAGTCGCCGATGAGCCGCTCTACGTCGGGTCTATCAAGACCATCTTAGGGCACACCGAAGGAACTGCCGGTGTCGCGGCGCTGCTGAAGGCGTCCCTGGCCCTCCAGAACTCTGTGGTGCCGCCGAATATGCTATTAAATACGTTAAGTGATAAGGTGGCACCGTTTACTCAGAACCTTGAGATCCTCAAGGCCCCCAAAGCCTGGCCTACAGTTGAAGATGGTCAGCCTCGACGCGCCAGTGTCAACAGCTTCGGATTTGGTGGCACCAACGCCCACGCGATTCTTGAGAGCTATGAGCCTCGTCGACACCTGGAAAACGGTATCGCAGGCTCGGAGGCTACTGTTCAGTTGACTCCGTTTGTTTTCTCTGCTCTTTCCCGAAAGTCCTTGCGCGATAGTCTCTCCGCGTACGCCGACTACCTCGAGGCCAACCCGGCAATCAACCTGCGCGACCTGGCATACACATTACAACAGCGTCGATCCGACTTTCCTTACAGAGTGTCATTCGCTGCACAGTCGGCCGCCGATCTGGTTACCAGCATTCGCGCTGAACTGGACAGCACGAAGGTCGAGGAGCTGGGAGTGAGACTGTCAGCCTCTGATGGGAAGCGCCGCAAGATCCTCGGTGTTTTCACCGGACAGGGCGCTCAGTATGCTCGCATGGGAGCAGAACTGATTGAGACCTCTGCGGCCGCTCGGGAGATCATCCAAGACCTGCAGACGCATCTCGAGCAGCTCCCCGAGGACCTCCGTCCGGACTTCTCTCTGGAAGAAGAACTGCGAGCTGCTGCAGATTCCTCGCGAGTCCTCACCGGCGCGTTCTCCTTCCTCTCTACTGTGGTTCAGCTTGTCCTCGTCGACTTGCTCAAGCTTGCTGGTGTCCAATTCGACGCCATCGTGGCGCACTCATCCGGAGAAATGGCCGCCGCATACGCAGCTGGTCGACTGTCGGCACGCGACGCCATGTGCGTTGCCTACTTCCGAGGACGGTTCGCGTCCAAAATGGAGAGTCCCAATGGACCGGACAAGAAGGGCGCCATGTTGGCAGCTGGTATGTCGCACGAGGACGCGCAGGCCTTGTGTGAAGACGAGATGTTCGCTGGACGTGTCTGCGTTGCTGCTGTCAACTCTTCCTCGAGTGTCACCATCTCCGGTGATGAAGATGCCATTGACGAGTTCAAGATGATCCTTGACGATGAGAATAAGTTTAACAGGAAGCTGCGCGTTGACCGGGCCTACCACTCAAACCACGTCTCTCGTCGTCTGGCAGACTATGTTGCTCTTGTCAAGTCGGCCGGTGTCCAGGCCCTGGAGCCTGGGGAGGGCGCTCCTCTCTGGATATCGAGTGTTTACGGGCGCGAGGTTACATCTGACATGGGACTGAATGATGACTACTGGGGAGCTAGTGTGGCCCGGTCGGTGCGTTTCTACCAGGCTCTGAAGATTATCCTCGAGAACGACGAGTACCAGGCTGCTATCGAGGTTGGGCCACACCCTGCACTGAAGGGCCCAGCAAGCCAGACCATCCAAGAGCTGGGCAAGTCGATTGCATACTACGGAGTGCTGAGCCGTGGGTCTGACGCCACTGTGGCCTTCGCATCCAGTCTCGGATCGTTGTGGTGTCGCCTTGGAGGCCAGCAGCTGGACTTGACTGGATACGAGAAGACAGTAAACAACATCAAGTCTCCCCTGCGCGTGCTGAAGGGCCTCCCATCCTACCAGTGGAACCACGAGGGCTCTTACTGGCACGAGTCCCGGGCATCAAAGAAGCACAAAGCCCAGATCCAGCCCTTCAACCAGCTATTGGGAACTTTGATGCCGGATAGCGCAGCGCATCATCTCAGCTGGGGCCACCTACTGCGGGCAAGTGAGATCGAATGGGCTTCAGGCCATCAGGTCCAGAGCCAGACCGTCTTCCCTGCTGCTGGGTACATCTGTACTGCATTCGAGGGTGCTCGAGTACTTTCAGCAGGCCGCCACGTTCGTCTCTTTGAGCTCAAGGATTTCGTCATTCACCAGGCTCTGACCTTCAGCCATGATGACTCTGGCATTGAAGTGCAGGCCTCCATTTCGGACTTCCAGCGGAGCGAAGACCGCATACGGGCCAATTTTACCTACTCTGCCAGTCTGGGCGAGGAGGACCTGGACCTCGTCGCCGAAGCAGAGCTGCATATCGTCTTCGGTGAATCTTCAGAGAAGACTCTCCCCCAGCGTGCATCCAAGCCACCGCATATGATTTCCGTGGACAACGAGCGGTTCTACACTTTCCTGGCGACACTGGGATACGGCTTCGAGGGGCCATTCAAGTCTCTGCACACCCTCAGAAGGAAGCTCGGGTCCAGCATGTGCGCTGTCAACTCGGTTTCGCGCGAGAATACCTTTGGAACCTCCCTGCTGGTGCACCCGGCCGAGCTGGATGGTGGTATACAGTCACTCATTCTTGCCTACAGCTATCCAGACGATGACCAGCTGTTGAACATGCACTTGCCAACGAGCATGAAGAGCATCCGCGTCAACCCGACCCTATGTCAGTCCATGACCGATATCTCAGTCGACTCCAGACTGGGCAGAAACAGATCTGCCGGTTTCTCAGGAGACGTCAGCCTTTACACCAACGACTCTGCGTGCGCCGCAATTCAAATGCAGGGTGTTGAGCTGAAACCTCTCGGTGCTCTCACTGCAAAGGATGACCGTAAGGTCTTCTCCAAGTATGAATGGGTCAAGAACAAGCTCGATGGCGATCTGGCAGCGTGCGATACCACTGTCACGAAGCACCACCAGGACGTCCTGGAAGGATTGGAGCGCATATCGACATTCTACCTGAACAAGCTCGACGCAGAAGTCCCTGCAGACTCTCCATTGCGAAAGGAGGGCCCGCATAGCCACTACCTCAACTACGCCCACCATATTGTCGAGTTGATCCAGAACGGGGAGCACAGGGTAGCCAAGAAGGAGTGGCTTGCTGATTCACTGGAGGACCTACACAACGCAACAGGCCATCTCTCGGACCTGATTGACTACGACATGATGCACCTTGTGGGACAGCAGATGCCTCGCGTGCTCCGGGGAGAGACCAACATGCTAGAGGAAATGCGCGTCAGCAACATCCTAGACAACTACTACAAGGGCGCGTTTGGTTCCCGCGAGGCTGGTCTGTGGATTGGCAAGATCATCTCGCAGCTCGCTGAGCGCTATCCTCACCTGAACATTCTGGAAGTCGGAGCTGGTACAGGTGGTGCTACGACGAGGGTGCTGCAGGGTCTCAGCAACAAGTTCCTGTCGTACACCTTCACCGATGTCTCCAGTGGTTTCTTCGAAGGTGCCGCCGAGATGTTCTCCGAGCACAAGGACCGCATGGTCTTCAAGACGTTCGACTGCGGTCAGGATCCTGTGAACCAGGGCTACGCAGAGGGAACATGCGATGTCGTCGTTGCATTCCTCGTCATCCACGCAACGCCCGATCTGGAGCTCACGATGAGAAACATCCGCAAGCTGCTGAAGCCTGGTGGTTTCCTAATCGTCGGCGAGGGAACGAACAACGACCAGCCATATGGAAGCGCTGGATTCATCTTCGGGTCTCTTCCTGGCTGGTGGTTGGGTGCAGACTCAGGCCGTCCTCTCTCGCCTTTCGTCTCTTACTCTGAATGGGAGAGATTGCTCAAGGGCAGCGGGTTCTCTGGCATCGACTCGACTGCTCCTCAGGCATTCCAGGACATCCTGGGTATGACTGTCTTCGCCGCTCAGGCCGTCGATGACAGGGTCAACTTCCTGCGAGAGCCACTGAACCCAGAGGTGGTCACCCAGAGCGCAGCAGCCATCGAGTACCCCATCAAGGAGCTGGTCGTTGTCGGCGGAAGTACAGAGAAGACTCGTAGTGTCGTTGCTTCAATCACGGATCAACTTCATGCCAGCGCTGCGAGCATTCACACTTTTGAGACATTGACTTCAGTTGACTTCAGTCTCGTTGATGGAGACGCTACAGTCGTCTGTCTGTCTGAACTCGACAAGCCCGTCTTCCAGGACCTGACCCCTGAGGAATGGATGGCATTCAAGACGCTCTTCTCGTGCCCTACAAAACTGTTCTGGGTCACCAGTGGCAGACTCTCTGAGGAGCCTTTCTCCAATATGACTGTTGGATTTGCACGCACCGCAGTCTTTGAGACCCCTGCCCTGCGCTTCCAGAACATTGACATTACAGATCTCGCAGCTGTGACGCCACAGGACATTGTTGAGAAGGTTCTCCGCTTCCACGCAGCCGCCAGTGAAGTAGCACCAGAAATGAAGCCATACGCATGGCCCCTGGAGCCCGAGATTCTGATCGACGCAGAGGGACAGGAGCTCGTGCCCCGGCTGCGAGACATTGCTGCGAGAAACGACAGATACAACTCAGCTCGACGGGCGATCACAAATGAGACCGACATTACGTCGTCCCCTGCCGCTCTGCAGCACGATGGTGAGGGATGGAAGCTGAAAGAGCTGTCTAGGTGGGCTATTCCGGAGGAGACTGAGACCGAGATCAGGCTCGAAGTTACCCATACAGTCTTGTCTGCTCTCCGGACATCTTATGGCCACCAGTTCCTTGCCTTTGGAACTGAGGCTGAGAGCGGTACAAGATATATGGCTTTGGTGCCGATTCTCCTCTCAGTCGTCAATGTGTCCAAGGAATCTGCCATCCCGCTGCCGTCGTCGACTGCCAACGACTCTGAGATCCTTACATCGATCGCTGCTGGCCTGATTTCCGTCTCTGTTGTTGATCCTCTCGTCCCTGGTGATACACTGGTCGTGCACAACGCAACAGAGCTCCTTGCCCGTACCATTACCAACCTCGCCGCAAGCAAGAGCCTGCGCACCATCTTTGTGGTAGACTCTTCTCGGCCAGATTCACCAGAGTCGTGGATCAAGCTCGAGCCTTATATGACGCAGTCTGAGATTGCGGATCTCCTGCCTGCCAATACGGCCTGCTTCGTGGACTTCTCCATCCAGGCGTCAGAGAACACTGCCTCAATCGTATCCGGTCTACCGGTGCACTGCCGCAAAGAGAATGTATCGACTCTATACTCTCCTCTTGGCTGGGAGAGTGTCTCCTCCGTTACTGCCCCTGCCCTGGGCAAGCTGGTCCAACACGCCTGGTTCTACGCCCAACAGGAGACTCTCTCCGGTCAAAAGGCCGCTGTCCAAACGGTTGGCATCACCGATCTGCTAGAGGGATTGAATCCTGAGAACCCTGCGACAGTCATTGACTGGACCGTCTCGAAGACTCACCCCGTTCACGTCAGCCGGCTTGACTCGGCCGTCTTCTTCAAGGGCGACAAGACCTACTGGCTGTGTGGTCTGTCTGGCGCCCTTGGTGTCTCCCTCGTCGACTGGATGATCGAAAGAGGCGCGAAATGTCTCGTCCTAACCAGTCGTAACCCGAACATCTCCCCCGACTGGATTGCAGCACACAAGCGCAACGGCGTCACAGTGACCATTGTGCCCTGCGATGTGACCAACGAGCCCGCCCTGCGTGCAGCCCACAGCTTCATCTGCGAGACGCACCCACCAATTGTTGGTGTCCTGAACGGAGCCATGGTGCTGCGAGACGTATCGATCCGAAACATGTCGTTCGAGCTGATGAGCGATGTCTTCCGGCCAAAGGTGTACGGAAGTATCCATCTAGACCGCATCTTCAAGGACGTGCCCCTCGACTTCTTCATCCTGTTCTCCTCCATCAACTGTGTCATTGGAAACCTCGGCCAGGCCAACTACGCCGCGGCGAATACCTTCATGTGCAGTCTTGCAGCGCAGCGTCGTAAGCGCGGTCTGGCTGCCACTGCTCTGAATGTCGGCGCCATCATTGGAGCAGGCTACATGGAGAGAGAATCGAGCAAGGCCCTGGATTTGACAGTCTCCAAGATGGCATTGATGCATCTCTCAGAGCAGGACTACCACCAGCTGTTTGCAGAAGGTATTGACTCTGGTCGACCTGGCTCTGGCGACGAGGCTGAACTCACGACTGGCCTGCTGGATATCCCTGCAGCAGTGGACAACGAAAACACGCCCAAGTGGCACTCTAACCCGGCGTTCCTGGACTTCATCGTCCACCAAGTGGAGAACAACGGGGCGGACGCTGGCAATGAGGTGATGGCGTCTGTGCAGGACCAGCTGGCCGGGTGCAAGTCTCGCAGCGACGTTCTGGCAGTAGTCAAAGGTAAGTGAATCAATCCAACCCTAACATCCATTACTGACTCGCAGCAGCCCGGTTCGCAATGCAGCTGCGAAATGTACTGCAAATGACGACCGCAGACGAGGACCTGATGGCCCTGAGAAGCCGCGACATCGGCCTCGACTCGCTGATCTCGGTCGACATTCGTTCCTGGTTCCTGAAGAACTTCGAGGTCAGCGTTCCAGTGCTGAAGATCATGGGCAACGACACCATGGCCGAACTGGCAGACCTGGTTGCTGAACAGGCGCCCGCATCGCTGCTCCCAGGGCTTGCCGGGGATGATGTCCCTGTTGAAGTACCGGCAGCGAGTTCTGCTCAGACTCTACCGACCGTCGTCGTAAATAGCGATGAGGCTGGGTCGTCATCTGCAGACTCCGACAATGATGCCACGCCAGCTCAATCCAGAGGTGGTTCGACCGGTTACACGACGCCAACATCCGTCGACGCCCCTGTCCTCAAGGGCCCTGTGAAGATCGACTGGAGCAAGGAGGTCACTCTTCCAAAGGCAGCCAGTATCCCAACTGATATAATCCCTGCTGCTCGACCACGGACAGTTGTTCTCACCGGAGTCAGCGGACTGCTTGGTCGCAGCCTCCTATCGACCCTGCTGGATGACCCTTCAATCGTCAAGATTATCTGCATCGCTGTCCGCCGTTTAGGCGAGCGTCTCCAGTCGAAGGAGCTCCCTGTAAATGACCGCATTGAATATTACCCTGGTGACCTTGAGGAACCCCGTCTCGGCCTGTCCGCCAGCGACGCAGCCAACATCTTCAGCGGCGCAGACGCCGTCATCCACAACGGCGCCGACACTTCGCATCTGAAATTCTACCCCGAGATCAAAGCTGCAAATACCGGGTCAACCAGCGAGCTCATCGCACTCTGCATGACCCGCAAGATCCCCATCCACTATCTCTCAACCGTCGGTGTCGCCTTATTCGGGGACTACAAGTCCTTCCCCCAGGTCTCTGCCGCAGCACACCATCCTCCAACAGACGGATCCCACGGATACGTCGCTGCAAAATGGGTCAGCGAGCGACTTCTTGAAGAACTACACAAACAACACGGTGTCAATGTATGGATCCACCGTCCGTCGACGATCATCCGCGAGGGCGCAGACGCAGTCAACACAGCCGCCCAGACGGACTGGATGAACGCACTCATGGCGTATATGCGCAAGACAAAGGCGGTACCGGTCTTGAAGAACCTACGAGGTGCACTGGACTTTGTATCTGTCCGGAATGCGACAAAGAGCATCCTCACGGCGGTGCTGCAGAACAAGGCGGAGGGGCCGACGTATATCCACCAGGTTGGTGATATTGTGCTCCCGCTTGACAATCTGAAGGATTTTGTGGCAAGGGATACCGGGGCAGCAAAGGTTGAGGAACTCCCTGTCGAGAAATGGTCTGCGCGAGCTGTGGCTGTCGGATTGAACCGTGGAGTGGCGGCTCTGATTGATTCCATGGACGACCCTGGCCAGCCTCATTATCCTCGCATGTTGCGAGAGTAAGCTATCATGTTCTATAATTATAGTAATAGTGTAAATATATAGTTGGTTTGTACCTTCCATGTTATTATATGTTCTTTATTAGTTTTCCCATAACATTTTCTTGCAGTATTTCTGGCTGTTCGACAATATATACCCGACTCTATCACCGAATGGCTTTCACAGCAACAGGCGCACTATAGATACACATACGTTAAAATACCCATTAATTCATCCTGGCGAAATAAAGCTGAACCATAAAGCTCAGCCAGCGAGGAGGATAGGACCTCTTCTTGTCTTGGTCCGGCAGGCTAAACGGCTGACCTTGATAATTCCTTGGCTTGCCAAGGGCTGACTCGTGTAGACTGACTGATATTGGTGGGAATGCTGGAGATATTGCATGATAGGCTGTCTTTAGCCGCCGTTAATGTTTATATCAGTAGTAAGACGAAGTACTGAACGCGCTTATTGATGGAGAAACCTCGGATCCAAGACCCTGTTTAGCCTTATTACCCCGGTTGATGATTATTTTGACGGCATTGGCCATGTGAGAGTAAATACTTCAACCGGGTAGGGGTATAAAATCAGGATTGTCGGGGATATTAGCTGGTAAGAAATACCACGACAAGGGAGATCTAGAAAATGATTGCGAATATTGGGCTGCTTCTGGCCTTTCTTGCCCTAACACTCGCGCATCCTGGGCCCATCCCCAGGCGTCCGTCAATCCATCCAGGCCCTGTTCAGCCATACAAGGCAATCCCACTCCAGACAGAGCGCAACCCGCACAAAATCTGTCACGTCAAACCTGGTCATAAAGGTAGCGATGACGCGAGTATCATCCGCGACGCACTGCAGACGTGCAACAATGGAGGAACTGTTGTCCTGGACAAGGAATACACCATCTGCACTCCACTTGACCTTCGTTTCTTGAAGCACGTCGATATTGCACTTACAGGTACCGTGGAATTCTGTCCCGATTTGGATGCCTGGAGTCTGGAGAACCTCTTTCAGTTCCATTTCCAGGATGCGTCCTCGTGGTGGGTTTGGGGAGGAGAGGACATCCACCTCTATGGAGCCGGCACTGGTGTGATCCAGGGCAATGGACAGGTCTGGTATGATGCTCATGCTGCCGACTCAAATGTCAGCCGCCCGCTTCTGTTCATCGCCGATGGATGGCATGGTGGCTCCATCACGGGTCTGAAGTTGCGACATTCGCCTAATGTAAGTGCAACCATGAACGATAGATAGACTGACTAACAGAGCAGTGGCACAACTTCATCGCCAACAGCTCCGACATCCTCATCTCCGACATGGACCTGTTCTCCCGGTCGTCGTCTGAGAATGCTGCCAGCAATCTCGACGGCTGGGGCACATTCCGGTCCGACAACATCGTCATCCAGAACTCAGTGATAAACCACGATGACGACTGCGTCTCGTTCAAACCAAATAGCACCAACGTCATTGTCCAAGGCCTCCATTGCAATGGATCCCACGGTATCTCTGTCGGGTCTCTCGGCAACTACCCCTACCAATACGACATCGTCTCCGACCTGTACATCTACAACAACACAATGGCCAACACCACCACCGCAGCCCGGCTGAAGGTCTGGCCTGGTGCAGAAGCCGTAAAAAAAGGGGATCCACCATGGGTCGGCGGTGGTGGAAAGGGCTACGTGCGCAATGTTACTTACGACACCATGATCAACGACAACAACGACCTCGCTATCCAGATCGATCAGTGCTACGGGGCCATCAATGCCAGTGAATGTCTGGACCACCCGTCGGGCGTGATTCTTACGGACGTCCTTTTCAAAAACATATGGGGCACTAGCAATGGCGTTGAAGATCCTGTTACTGGACAGCTTATTTGTGGCTCCGAAGATGTAAGGGGCCCTCCTTTATATATGTGCATCTACTGACGTACCAGTCTTGTGATAATATTCGAGCCGAGAATGTCACCCTGACCAACCCCAGTGGACAGCCTCCACAGTGGGAATGTAGGTACATGGATGAGCAGCTGTTGGATCTTGGTGGAGCTGGATGTATCGCAGCATGATCATGAGACATGTAGTAGGGACACATACTGATTAAACCATATATCCAACGTATAGAAGATTATACTCTAGTGTTTGGTATGGCATATCAGAAAGGTTCTCGGGCGATTTGTATTTCCTAAATATTCTTAGCTTTCTAAATATGAGATAAGGCTACGTCGTGATGACTTTGCTGATGGCGTATGCGACGTATTGCACATTCCCGTCATTCAGCCCACAAACGCTGACCCGTCCAGATGGCAAGAGATAGACGTGGAACTCCTCTCTCAACCTCAGAACATGATCTTCATCCAGTCCTGTATAGCTAAACATGCCAATCTGCGTCTCAATATGCGACCAATCCTCTGCCGTCTCCTGTTCCAACCTCTGCCTTAGCTCCCGTCTCATCTTGCGAATCCGGGAGCTCATCGTATCCAAATCATTTTCCCACTGAGATCTGAGATCAGGATCCCCAAGGACAGTCTCAACGATACTTGCTCCAAACCGTGGCGGATTGGAGTATTCCGCGCGGGCAATCGCCATAAGTTCACCACGAGCCCCCTGCGCCGACAAATGCGGCGGAACAACAAGATGCAACGCACCAACACGCTCACCATACAGTCCAAAGTTCTTCGAAAACGACTGGGCTACGCATAGACCAGGATGGCTGCTGGTACTTAGGATCATCTCTGTGAAATGCCGAACAGCCCAAGCATCGCCGTCGACGTCGCCAGTCGCGAAGCCCTGGTAGGCACTGTCGAAAACGGCGAATGCCCCTTTGTCACGGATTAATTGTGCCACTCGAACCCACTGGGATCTTGTCAAGTCCACCCCAGTCGGATTATGCGCACAGGCCTGCAGGACGACGACGTCGTTTCGCTCGGCGCCTTCCAGAGCAGCCAGCATACCTTCTAGATCAACAGCTTTCGTTGTAGGGCAATAGTAACGATACTCAGCAACGTTGACACCGGTCATCTCCCATATCGAGCGGTGGTTGATCCACGTTGGCGACGGGATAAATACACGCTTTGGCTGCAGGTGCCGGGCCAGAAATGCAGCGGCGAGATGATTTGCCCCTGTCCCGGAGACTGTTTGAATTGAGGCAACATTGGTACCAAGTTTGAAGCTGAGAGGTCCGAAGATGAGATCTTTTGCGAGCTTGAGAAAACCGGGTGAGCCTGCTATGCCTAGGTATTCGTGGTTGACCTTCCTAAGCTGTGCTTTTGCCTGGATACCGGTCAGTGATCTTTCTGTCACCTAGATAAATCACTGAACCTGGGTATTTACATTCCGTACACTGGGCAGGACCCAGGGATTCCCATTTTCATCGCGATATGCACCGGCCACGAGAGATACTTTGTTTGGATGAGGGTCTGCATCGAAGTCGGCCATGAGGCCGAACGCAGTGTCCGGCGGTGGAATTTGGAGATTGAGGTACTGGTTTCGCATCTTCAAAAGTAGCCTATGAGAACTTGATTTTAATATGCAAGGTGGCTATATTATCACGAGTCAACCAGTATAGCTCAGGAATGTGCTGGCCAATAGGTAGTAATATGTGTGGTGGCCGTCGGCGTGTTGAACCCTTTCACCGAAGTCTCAACGGCGATGGGGGGATGTCTCGCCGAGCACGAGGGCACCAACCTACATATATTGTGGGAACTTAGGAGAAATATCTCTGCTGTGCTTTATTCTGAAGATCCACCGCAAAATCCGTAACTATGAACCAGTCAACCATTCTAGAGCGCCTGTCCGCCCTTGACACAAACACTATATCCGATGCCCTCGACTTCCTTCATCTCAAGGGCGCCACCTACGGACTGAGACCGCTATGGGACTGCCCCAAAATCGTTGGCCGGGCAAGCACCATTAAAGTCGGCGTTAAACAGGAGGATTCTGCTCCAACCACCCATCTCATCACCCCCGTCATAGACGCTATAACGACGGACGACCGGATTCTGGTCATTGCAGGTGGGAGTGAGGGAATCTCCTGCTGGGGCGACATCATCGCCAATGCGTCGCAAATGAAGAATATCAGGGGGACTGTTATTGATGGCGTGAGCCGTGACATCGACGGTAGTCGCGATATTGGATATCCGGTCTACGGCCTGGGAGTGACCATGATTAGCGCGCGCAACAGACTCGTCCAGCTGGAGTCTGGAACGCTGCTGCAGGTGCGAGGCGTGACCGTTAATCAGGACGACTACGTGATAGCCGATCGATGTGGGACTGTCTTCGTCCCGGCCGAGCGTATCGAGGAGGTTGTGGAACTGGCGGAGCGGATTAACTGTCGTCAAGCGCTGATGGTAAAGGATGTTCGATCCGGCAAGCCTGTATCTGAAGTTATGCACGATACTAAGTTCGAGGCCATTCACAGTCAGAAACCATCGACAGAAACCGCAGGACCAACGCCTAGAAATCCCAGACAAGCATCTGCCGAAGATAAAGAGTTGTCTGCACTATTCGCCGGCTCAGACACACCTGCTGTCTCTGACGCGCTGGATAAGCTCGGCATCGCCGGACAAGCCTTCAATATCATGCCCTTGGCCAACTACAGTAGTGTGACTGTCGGACCGGCCTTCACAGTGCGCTATGTCCCGGCCAGCAATCCCCCAGGCAGTGTCGGTGATTTCATCGATGATGTCGCAGTGAGAGATGTCGTAGTCATCGATAACGGCGGCCGCACCGACTGTACAGTATGGGGCGATATCATGACCCAATATGCCGGACTACGCGGTATTGCAGGGACCGTCATCGACGGGGTATGTCGCGACGTGAACCGCGCAATCAAGGATCAATACCCAATTTTCAGCGCCGGCCGATGGATGCGAACTGGTAAAGATCGAGTTCAAGTCGGGGGTGTCAATGAATCAGTTGGTATTGGGAAGGTCCATGTTCAGCCGCGCGATATCGTCGTTGCTGATGCCAATGGAGTGGTGATTGTTCCTAGGGGACGAGCACGCGAGGTTGCAGAGGTTGCAGCAGCAGTTGAGAAGAGTGAAGAGAATATCAGAGAATTAATCGCCGGTGGTGCGTCGATTGCTGAAGCGAGAGAGAAGCTTGGTTATCACACTCTGCAGCGCAAGGCTTAGGTATATAGAACTATGTTGGTTACTAGTCATACAGCACCATTCCTCCTTTCTGAATAACTACAGTATATCAGGATACTCGTCTTATGACCGCGCAGCCTGGAGTTCAGCGCTGTACCAATTCTGAACAGCCCGTATGTCATAACTCATCGCCACCGTATCAAAGACCGTCAGATGTTGCTTGGACGATGCCCCATCATTCGACAGGCGACCAACCCATTTGCCGTGCTTTCTGGCAGCCGTAACAATCTTTTCAATGGCATCGGCGAACTCAGGCTCATCACCTCTTGCAGGCACATACCCCAGCACCGACAGGGCGAGGTCATTCGGGCCGATGAACAGCATATCTACTTGCGTTAAGAAAATTTAAGATATATTGTGTATCGGCTCTTACCAACACCGGGTACGGCAGCGATGGCATCCACATTCTCCACCCCCACCTTGGACTCGATCTGAACACAGGTAACAAGGGTCTCATTCGCGGTCTTCATGTACGTCGGGATATCGATTCCATGGGCAATGGCTGGGAATGCCGAACCCTGGCCGCGGAGTCCTTGCGGAGGGAATTTTGCATGAGAAACGATGGCCGCTGCTTCTTCGGCTGTATTAATCTGGGGCACAACAAGTCCACTGCTCTTGTTAACGAAGCCCTGGTGGGTGTATTTCTCTGACTCACTGTGCACCAGCATCCAACGCCCTTTTAATCAGGTCAGAATGCGTTCCTCTCAGGCGAACAAGCGGAGAAACGCCCATTGATGCGATAGCTGCAACGGCACTGTGCATAGAGTCATCGCTAATATGCCCATGCTCGCAGTCGATGATTATGCCCTAGATGCATTAGCGCATGGATAGCAGATATAATAAAGAAGACGGACGTCAAGGCCTGTTGAAGCAGCTATCTGAGCATGGCGAAATGATGGAATCCCCATAAACGTCATGATCGGCTTTCTGTTCTCTCGGAGAGCGTTGAGCAGACGCAGTTGTGGGTTGTTGGTTACGCCTGTTATGGCGCTTGGGAAAGGCATTGTGGCTTCAAGTTGTAAGTGTGTATTCGGTAGTATATACTTACCAGTAAGGCTAAATAACTATAAGCCATTCAAGTATAAACGGGTGGTTATTGCCGATTTATACATCCCTCAAGCACGCGTATAACCCGTCGGCGAAATCGACGTTTAAACCGATGTTGGAGCCGAGAGTACGGTTACCATATTACTGCACTATCTACCTCAGTAGTAGACTTGTATTATAGTATACTGCTTTTCATTATACCCCCTATCATGTATATATATTCCCCTTTTTGATAGTTTTATAGACTTAATTGGCTTGGTTCGTAAACTCTGCAATGCGTCGCCACATCTCAACAGGGTTCGAGTACATGGGAAAATGGCCACTCTCTGGTATCTCTGCCAGTTCCACGCCTTCCCTTGCCAGCCGTGGTAAATACGACAGATCTTGATTCTCCTCCCCATACATAAACATCTTAGGACATGGTAAACCCAGGAACATCCAAAGCAAGTCCCGATTATCAGATAACCACACCATAGACTGGAATATCGGACGCACCGCACCAGCCCGCACCCTTGCCGGCAGAGTACTAGCATACAAGGGACTCCCGAACGATTTCGTCTCACGCGTGCGGACAATGAACTCATCCAAGAAGGCCTCCGGGTCATCGGACGGGAAACTGAATATTTGCCGACTCAGGAAGCAGTCTTCTGGGGCGAGATTGCCTTTAATGTCGACGAAACTCAAGACTCGGTCGGGATCCTGGTGGGCGAGGAGAAGGGCTGTGAGTCCTCCCATTGAATGGCCCATGAGATGGAATTGGGTGATTTTGAAGTGATCAAGGACTGCTAATGCTGTTGCGACGAGGAACGGGATATCTGTTGCAGAGAGGCTGTCGCTGTCGGAGTGGCCGCAGCCCGGGGCATCGAATGCAATATATCCATATTGTTGTAGGGCAGAGTGCAGGATGATATCGGCCAGGTCCTCTTTGCATGAACCGAAGCCATGCAGGAAGAGGATTGGGGGCTTGTCATTGAGGTTGTGGATTGTCGAGAGATTGAGGTTTACCCCCTGCACTTGAAGGGGGATTTTCGTATATGAGACGGACATCTTGACGTTGGATAGAAGATGCCAACAAAAAGAAAGAAGGCTTGTTTAGAACAATTGGAAATATGATGGTTCTTTGGATGGGAGATGGCCAACCACGGCAAAATGGAGGCTTACGCCGAACGGAATCGGGGAGAACTCGGCGTAAAAACGCGACTTGCCGAACAGAAAAACCGGGGAATTCGCCACAGACGCCGTCACCACTCTCAACGCTGCCTGGGATGATTGCTACTCCTGTAGAAGCGGCAGTATGTCTGAGAGAACTCGATCAAGAATTTCAAAGAGCATTGCGTAGGCTTCTACCCCTTCTCACAATACCGTCGTCTAACCTATCCAGCTGTCGCAGATGCCACGGCAGGAAGGTCAAGTGCTCTGGGGGAGTCCCTTGCACGAACTGTCGCCAGGCAAATAAAGCAGCCGAATGCATATATCCCCGCAAGTCACGGCTGGTTAAAGTCAGCGAGCAGTGAGTGAACACTCCGATTCTAGTATATCCGCTGACAGGGCCAGATATATCGAGGACCTGGTTTCCGAGAACCAGCGACTGCGGAGCTCGTCTTCGGGGCCTTTAAATGAAGACAGCAATACCCTAGAAAAGGCCCCTGTTGTCGCTGAGGTTCCCTGGTTTGTTAATGCAGATGCCCTTGACACACCAATACTGGTCGCCGAAGCCTCCGATTCGGCTTTTGCAACACGTTTTCGGCAGGCCATGTCAAATGCCCAGCATGGCCATCTACCTCGAGTGAACTTCCCCACTGATGAGCAGCTGCTGGCATTGTCCGATAAGCCATGTCCATGGCCTACGCCCGCTCGTGCACGCCTTCTTGTCCGAGCAGCCGTGAGTGGCCTGGGGAGATGCTATCATATTGTTCGACGAAGTTCGATCCTGCAGGACGTTGAATCCTCCATCCAAAACCACTCACAAACAGGATTGATCATGAAGAGTAAACTTTGGGCTGTTTTTGCGATTGGCGAGATGTACACGACCAGGACGTCGGCCTCAGAGCGAACTTTCCCCGGTCTGCACTACTTCTGCAGGGCAACGAACGTAATTAGGATGGTCAGCGAACGGCCTAGTGTGGATATGGTTGAAATCCAGCTGCTTCTGGTATATCCTCCTTGTTTGTTGAATGAGTGCACCAGGCTGACCATCTAGTCTATATACTCGCTCTTCCTCAACAGACGGCACGCAGCGTACAGTCTAGCCGGCTCTGCAGTACGCCTAGGAGTGATAATGGGACTACACCTCAACATCCCCGAGTCACAGCTCAGCGACTTGGCCGAACGCGAGCATCGCAATCGCATCTGGTGGACGGCCTACACTCTCGAGCGTATGTGGGCAGCGAAACTGGGATATCCATCTGCGATCCAAGACGAAGACATCGAGGTGGATCTGCCATCAAATCCGGAATTTGTCGATGATAGCACCACATTGGACTTTGCAGACTGTGCATATTTCATCGCCCGAGTAGGTCTTGCCAGGCTATCCACCCGCATTATCCACTCTATATACCTCCACAAGGCGGACGCACCATCCTTATCACACCGGGTGCAAGACTGTTTTGCAGACCTTCGACGATGGCTGAAAGAATTGCCGGTGTCACTCCAGATTGAGGCGAAAGAAGAAGAGTTGGACCCCAGGGTCAGGTCACTTCATCTCCTATTCAACCAGCTCGTTATTATTGCCACGCGACCAGTTCTCCTCCACGTCCTTCGCACACGACTCGAAGCCAATGAACAAAATCCCAGCATCGAAGCGAATATTCCAGCATCTGCTACTGCATTATCTGAGACCTGTATTCGCTGTGCTCGGCACTCATGTCGTCTGCTGGCGGATAGCTGGACGAACGGGACATTCATGATATTCGACTACTTTTATACCCAATACCTCTTCGCATCTGCTACTGTCCTAAGCATATCGACACTACTTCATGGCAAGGAGCGTCAGAGCGACGAAGAGCAGTTCGAAGTTGCAGCCGGCTTCCTCCAGCAACTCCGAGACAGTGGTAACTATGCAGCTGCCGAGTTCTACCAACACCTTGAAGCGGCCATTCCTTTGATGGACATAATAAAGGCGCGTTCTGGCATGCATGAGTGCACCGCAGCTGCGGCCTACCCGGAGTCAGAGTCTATGGCTGCCCCGGGCCCCAATCCGAGCGACCTTGAGGGGTCCTCATCGACTGTGACTGATTTCATGACTGCTGGGACGGCACTTTCTGATCCGTTATTGCAGGATCTGCTGGATCAGCCTCTGACGGACCTTGAGTTTATTGATTCGTCTATGTACCTGGACGACCAACAGGGGTTCTACTGGCCGAGTGCCACATTATAGGAAGATTTGGCCCTAGTAGCATGAATTATATGAATTCCGCTGGCAAGAGCAAAAATGAGTGGCAAAGTATTGTCTCTGACAGACCAGCTGACCTGCTCTTCGAACAGTGTCTTACAGGCCGCAATATCACTGATAGACTCTGCTACTATGCTTTCCGGTGTTGGTCCGTTGAGATTAATATTATCCGAGAACCCTAATGCATGTTTTGTATGAAGTAGTCTTCCCTATTCATTGCAATGGAATTAATACCCCGTTGCTAGCACCTTCTGCTTTCATTACGTACGTAGCTTTGCTTTTCTTATCTGCAGATTATATATAACTAGGATAGACTTCATCCCTGCTGGATGTTATCAGCCGACATATGCATGACCACCTGCAGAAAAAGATGAAAGTTCGAGTAACACGACCCCGAGATCTGGGGAACTCTCGCTCGTCATTACACATAGGCCAGTAGGAATAATCTCAGTGTAGCGATTTTCGCGCATAAATTCGCCCAATCCTCGTCCAAACTCTCGCTCTAACTACGCTTACTGTTGGAGAAGCATCGTGGTGTCTCACCCGATGAACCACATGACGACGGCCCTTGCAGACGGACCATTAATCATAATGCGGAGAAATATAGAATTAGCCCTGCTGTACTAGTATTAAGATCCATTAGTGATGCATGAGGTCGAAACGCGGAGTATGCTAACCCATTCTAGTGTGGTGGTGTAACAGAACCACCTCCATCCAAGTCGACTATGGTTACTATTATGCCGTCCCGGGTTTGATACAGCGGAGATTTGATACTACCGGGGATGGAAATCAGGACCAATCAGTAGATCGTGATATTTTGCCAGAGGTGGTTGACATACTGGTATGTGGTGACGACCAGAAAGGAATGGAACCTATATAACCTGCCAAATTCCCCATGGATACCATATACGGAGACCCATCGACGGCAAACACAGTGAAAATGAAGCTAGGCTGTCTACTTTCGATAATCCTCGGGGTGCTCCCCCAACTGGTGTTTGCAGCACCCAAGCCAGTTGAAAATGAGGCCAGGAAGGCGACGGACAGGCTTGTCTTTGCCCATTTCATGGTATTTCCACTGACCCTCTCTACTGAATAGGATAACTGACTACACAGATTGGAATTGTCAGCAATCGTCACAGTGCAGCAGACTACGACGATGATATGAAGCGGGCCAAGTCCCTGGGAATCGACGCCTTTGCCCTGAACATCGGCGTCGATCCATATACCGACCAGCAGCTTCAACTGGCATACCAGTCCGCCGCAAACAACGATATGAAAGTTTTCATCTCATTCGACTTCAACTGGTGGAACACCGGCCAGGGGTTCCAGGTCGGACAGAAGATCGCACAGTATGCCAGCCTGCCCGCCCAGCTCAAGGTCGACGGCAAAGTGTTCGTCTCCTCGTTTGCAGGCGACGGCCTAGATGTCGCAGCGATGCGTCAGGCAGCTGGTCAGCCGATATTCTGGGCCCCGAACTACCACCCCGAGATGGGCACCAATATGGACGTGGTCGACGGCCTGCTGAACTGGATGGCCTGGCCGAACAACGGCAATAACAAGGCACCGCAACCGGGACGCAATATCTCGGTACAAGACGGAGACGAGGCCTATATTCGAGCGTTGAATGGAAAGGATTATGTTGCGCGTGAGATGCCATCCTGAAAATATACTGCTACAGGCTAACGATTACAGCTGCGTCCCCTTGGTTCTTTACGCACTTCGGCCCTGAGGTCCCCTACAGCAAGAACTGGGTCTTCCCAGGAGATCTTCTGTGGTATGACCGCTGGAACCAGTTACTCGCGATGGGCCCTCGCTTTATTGAAATTGTTACGTGGAACGACTACGGCGAAGCCCACTATATCGGCCCTCTCAGCTCGCCGCATACTGACGACGGCTGTTCCAAATGGGTCAATGACATGTATGCCCCCCGTATTATTTCAAAGCTCGATGATACTAATTAATAGGCCCCATGATGGCTGGATGGACATGTCGAAACCGTTTATCGCCGCTTATAAAGACGGCGCCACGTCTGTCGATAGTTATATCACCGAAGACCTGCTGGTATACTGGTACCGACCAACGCCGCGAGAAGTGAACTGCGATGCCACCGATACCTGCATGGTCCCCGCCAACAACGACAGCGGGAACTACTTCATGGGTCGACCTAACGGGTGGGAGACGATGCAGGATGCCGTGTTTGTGGTGACAACACTGAAAGAGCCTGCGACTGTGACAGTCAACTCTGGAGGTAACGTCGAGGTGTTTGATGCACCAGCAGGGGCCAGTGCATTCCAGGTGCCAATGGGCGTGGGGTCGCAGGCCTTCTCGCTCAGTCGCAATGGCAGGGTCATCCAGTCAGATATCAGTCTGCTGCCCATCATTGATGGGTGTATCTGCGGGATATACAACTTCAACCCATACGGTACGTCACCATCCCTACTGCATGTCTGTCCTAATATATGACTAGTTGGAACCCTGCCACCCAGTCCAATAGATAGCCTCGAGAACGAGGCCCTATTCAGTCTCACAATGGGCCTCCACGTTACAACATGTGCCCCAACACCTTCACTGGGCAAGACAACCCCAACGCCTCCTCCAGGATGGGGAGATGCGGCACCAACTGGAACGAGAACATCGTCGGTTACTCGTCCAACCAGCACGACAACAAGAACTTCTACTACCAGAACAACCACGACAAGGCCGACCACTACTACGAGAACAACGACCAAGACCACAACTACCAACAATCCCCCGGCTAATCCAACCGGAGGCGCAGGCAACGTGTGCACCGCAGGTACGGGACCAGGAAACTACGTCGGCCTGTGCAACTTCGCCTGCAGATATGGATATTGTCCTCCAGGACCATGTACCTGCACCGCGTACGGAGCACGAGTAGCTGCGCCGCCATCTACCGGTGTTCGTGGTGTGCCGCTATCGGGACTTGATAATTCGTATTTGGGATTGTGCAGTTTTGGTTGCGATCATGGGTATTGTCCGCCAACTGCGTGTCAGGTTGCGTAGACTCTCTTATGCTTGTTTATGATGGTTACTTGTTGTATCTCCATAGGTCGGGACTCTGTGGGTGGCTTTATAACATGGCTGTTGGTGCTCATTCATTGTATTTAGTTGTTTAAACATGGTGTGATATTGTTTGCGTCGCTCCTCCGTTTGCAGAGGGACATACAAAGCATTCTTGTTACACAGTCTTCCCGCTATGGTGGCGCTCTTGGTGAATATAAATACCTGTAGGCTCCCAAACTACAGCTGGCTTCTGACACTCCCAGCATTAGGGCTCAGTGCGATCTCAGCCTGGGCTATCACCACTCTGCCGTCCTCAGCTACCTGCTGATACACAATTCTCTTCCCATCGTCTTCCTCCCACATCTGCGGCCTGATGGTTTGTCCTGGAAATACAGGCTTGCTCAGCCGTAGCCTCACACTCTTAAATCGCTTCGAGTCCCCTCCGGCAAATGAATCGATAACATGCCTCACGCCCACGCCGATCGTACAAGTCCCAGAGAGAATCGGTCCAGGAAAACCAGCTCGCCTACCATGTCCCGGGTCAATATGCAGTGGGTTCCATTCACCCGTAGCAGCTCGGTAAAGTGCACCCTGGTTGCTAGTTGTCTGATGGTCCACGCCGGTGTCATGTTTCCTGTCGGGTATGGATGTAGATTTCCGAGCGTTTGAAGGCGATATCTTTGACGCCCCATCACCAGGCATTTTAATAAGAAACGAAGTCCATTCGTTATAACATATGTCAGCCCCCGTCTTCGCCTCCTTTGTTGTGATTCCAACAATCACCGCCACGCCAGACCGGCGATCAACAACATCGAGGATCCTGGCTTCGGATTCTAGTGTCCCCGAAGTAGGGAGCGCCTGCTTCATCTCGAGATAATGCTCTGCATGGACATGTGGATGTTCCTCTGGTTTATATCGAGGCATTAATGTTGGCATATCGCGAGTCACCTTCCCCATGATGTTAATGACCGCCAGCGATGTGAATGTCGGCAGGGCGTGGAACTCTGGATGGTCCTCCCAGCAGCGCCGGAGGTCTTGTCCGCTGGCTCCGATGGCGAGATTGTAGGGTATTATATTTGCTGCGTCGTAGGTTACTGAAGAGTGCCATCGGCGGTGCTTGATCTGATCGATATCCATGTTGGATTTCAGCGACCAACGAGGTCTGTTACTCGAGGTGCCCAGAAGGATTTCTCTAAGAGTGTATTGTTGAGATTGTTTATTAACATGAAATCTATTGAATATAAAGGTAACAGTGGTTTATTTGTAAAGGGTTGATAGACTGCGGGGTTGCAATTGCCGCGAACCGAGGAGTTGATAGCACGACGATCTAGTAGACACAAACAATTTTTCCCTTATTCTCAACAGTTATCATCCCCAGGCCTCCTATACTCAGTACGACACACGTCGCCTGTGTGGCTGCCGCCAGAATCCGGAGTGTAAGCAGGGAGAGGGTCGTAGGAAGGGAGACCGTCGTCGCGGGCCACCGACTCCGACGCAGCATCCCTAGCCTTACAATAATACCGGTATGAGTCGTCATGGATAACAGCCGGCTCTGGCTCTTCCGGCATGGCTTCAACAGGCATAACGTCTACCGGTGCCTCATGAATCGACAGAGCGCCAGGATAGACAGCCTGGCATTGCCGACGACGCTCCTCCTCCCTTTCCCAACGCACCCGCTTCCAGTGCCGTCTTCTGAAACGTACTTCACTAATGCATGCGGCCAATAGGGATCCCAGAACAAGCAGTAGCAACAAGCCGGCAGCAACAGCAATGCCGATGCCGACTATCTGGCCGTCGGTGAGACCTCCACCCTCTGCCATCGTGAGATGTTCGATGGGTGACAGGTATTGAGATTGAAAGAGATATTAGGGCCGGTATGGGGGTTACTGAGTGCTGAGGGGTGTGGACTGGATGAAGACAGTGGTTATCCAAGATGGGATAGAGTGGCTAGCTAACGGCGGTATCAATGTTCTTATAGACGTCCCACGTTCACAATCACAGTGGTAGCAAGAGTGAATGGTGTACTCTGCATTCTCCCTTTGAACGTTCACTGAAGGATTATCTTAATATACACTGGTGTTCACTAGTATAGCACTGCTACCGTCAGTGTATGGACAATGGACATTCATTTTGAGGTATAAGGAGTTCACAATTCCACAAGGCCATCAGCCAGCAGGTCAGACACAACGGTGTGGATCCTACACTCTCAGAGATGCCGGCCGCTAGTGACGGCAACGGTCGCAGGAGGTCTTGTCATGGCCACATCCTATATTATGCAGCGGCAAGACGTGCTCCGGCTTTTCGGGTTTCCAGAATGCTAGTTTAGACTTGAATGATGTCTTGGGAAGTGGCGGAGGCTCTCTGCCAAGTCGATTTCGGTACTCGAATTCGACCCTCGCACGCTGGTGGCGCCTCCAATCCCTGTAGTGCATGATAGCGGCCAGGGGATGGAAGACAAGCGCGGTAGCTGCAATTGCAATCAGGACGGCCGCGCTGCTGGCTCCGCGCTACCAACGACTGGCTTTCTGTCTGAGTCGACATTGCTATCGTTTGTGACTAAGTGTCTTTCTGGAACTGATCCTGGGTTTATATGTCTGGCAAGATTCTGACGTGTGCTTGGCGCCGGAGAGAATAACATATTGATAGGATTTATGAGCGTACTTATATGGTTTTCCGATTCACTACTCTTTGATTAGGAGGGCCAATGATCTTTTTTACTTTCAGTGAATGGCAATTGAGCATTGAATGATAGAACAACCGGCTCTGATAAGCTGGTCTTGTCAGTTGTGTGCAGGCTTCTTGCTACCTTGTTCCACAAAGCTGCCTCATGTTGGTAAAGACTGAATTCACATGGACAAGAGATACCAAAAGAGCCCTCCTCCATTGCCTGTGACGTAGGATTGTTTGGGAATTTACTCTAGAGGGCTATTTTCTCTCAATAAATGAGCCATGTCACGGAGAAAGATCTCGACCGTCTTCGGCCCTACTCCCTTAATCTCCTGCAAGTGAGATGATACATCCTCAACATCCTTGCACTCATGCAGGAAATTCCCAAAACTACCATGCTCCTTGACCGCAGCGGATACATCTAGTAGTTTGTCCGCCGTGGAGTAATCGTACCGGACGTAGTGGCCTTGATCGAGTATCTCGACCAACCTATCCCATCCTGCCTGTTGGATAGCTTCCGGTGTTGTGATGCCGTGCTGGACGAGTTCAGAGTATGTACGGCTGGCCACACTCTGTTGAACTGGCTTGCCGAATAGCAAACAGGCAAGGAACCACTTGAAGTATTCCGTTTCGTCGCGAGAATCCAGGTCGATTCCTAGTTCTCGGGCGTATATTTTTCCTTTTTCTGGCATTGCGAGTGTATAAAAATCGTGGAATGTATGAAGGACGATAGTGGTGATATCAGCATGAGTGCAAATAGTGCAATGCATAATGCATAACACCTTATGCATGGACCACGTGACTGACTGACAGATCCATGACATCATACATCGCGATCGACCTGCAATCTGCACCTGAATGTCTTCACACGCGTTGCGATGCCCTTGCTGTCAAACGAGCTCCCCTCTTACAGTGGGCCCTACCGTGTGGGCGCCGTCGACATCGAGGCGCCATGCGATGGCCGTCTCGTCCATACTGCGACCCATCGCACCCACGGTGCGCCCGCCTTCCAACTCGACACCGTCCTCTTCACCCTGTACTACCCAGCCTGCCCAGACTCCCAAAGCACAAAAGAGCGGCATCGATGGCTGTTAGAGCCCGCACGGATTCGTGGTAAGGGCCTTGCTCGCCTCGCCAACCTCTCCAATTGGGTCATCGATCGCGTGTTCACCTTCCTGCTATGGGCTTTCGTCGGCAGCCTCTATATCCCCGCCGACGTCGATATCCCACTACGAGACCCGTGCCTGTCCGATTCGCCGGATGTTAGCAACTCGGCTAGACCTGCAAATACTGCGGGAGCTCGCCGGCGGAGTAACGATAGCGCAGCGCCGCCCCAATACCCCGTTATTGTGTTTAGCCACGGCATGGCTGCCTCACGCACCGACTACACCCAGCTCTCCGGCGAGCTGGCCTCGCGCGGGTGCATTGTCGCTGCAATTGAACACCGAGATGGGAGCGGCCCCGGAAGCACAGTGCGACGCGGAATCGGTCGCAGAGGGAGCGTCTTCTCGACCGACCCTCGCCCTGGTGCTGGCATCCGCAGCCTTCCAAGTGTGCTGCACTTTTCCACACACCACCTACAACACAGTGAGACCTTTGATAGAGCAACACTCCAGCAGGTGCAGCTATCTTACCGCAAGGCCGAAATAGAGGAGACGATCCACGTCTTGCGAATGCTGGCCAACGGGGAAGGAGAGGATGTATTCCGGCACAACGCGCGCGGCGAGGGCGCTCACCTCTCAGAGTGGCAAGGGAGGCTTAATATCGACCAGATAATTCTAGCAGGGCACTCGTACGGTGCGACAGGGACCCTGCGCACTTGTCTAGGCGCACCAAGCCCCCCATTACCCATCGCCGGCTGTGTCGCGCTGGACCCAGGGAAGTCAAGCGGGCCGCTGAACGACGACATCGCAGTCCCGCTACTCATCATCCACTCGCAAAGTTGGAGCCGCAAGTTTAGTGTCTTCATGGGCAGGCCGCACTTCGACGTCGTGAAGGAGCTGGCGCAGAAATGTCTCCGGAGAACCGGCGCTGCCTGGTTCATGACCAGTCTCGGGACCAGCCATCCTAGCTGCACCGATGCGCCTGTCATCCAACCACTTTTACTCGGCTGGGCTACTGGAGCTACAATCGCCGCGGATGAGGGCGTCACGCAGTACGTCCGCCGCATCCAGGAGTTTGTCTACTACGTTCTCACGGGCGAGGCTACAGGCTTGCTGGCGCAGGGGGAGACGCACACTTGTTATCACGAGTCCGCGCTTGTCCCGTGGACCAAGGTATACGGCCCTCGCGACTGGACCAAGGACTGGCAGATACATGTGGCGCCGCCGGCCAAGGACACACCGGCCAGTGAGTCGGGCAGGTTGAACTAGTCAGTCCTTGTCTAGCTGTCCTTTATGCCTCTCGACGAAAACTCAACTATATTGGCAAGAGGAATAGTACTTTGAGGAGCAAACCTTCCATATCTTACACTCTGTCTGTCTTGCTAATTCCCCGATGTTTAAAATATGGTAACGTCTGTATAATAATGTGATATAAGTGTACATTATCTACCTAGAGCACTGGTTGTTCGTGTTTAACTGAGCATTCATACACATCCACATGACAGCGAAATGAACAAAAGGCCAAGTAAACGGACTTCGATCAATCCAACTAACGGCCGTCCGACGGCGTACGGACCACAGCCGGTTTAGGCGCCCTTGGGATGCGTCCAGGCGGCACCGAGTGCATTGGCAGGATGGTTTTCGGTACGACGACCGACGCTCGACCGGAATTTGAAATCCGCTGTGGCCTCATCCGTACTCTGTCGAAATGATCCCTGATGTGACAACTAATAAAGACGCAGAGGACAAGAAACATCACACTGCCAACGGCAATTAACACCCCCATCCCTATCCGTTTATCCTCCTCGGTCAACTTCGTATCACTTGTTCCCGACATGGCTGCTGTTGGCAACCGCGATTCTTGCTAGAGCTAGGTGTGTTTCGTCTGGATGTTTGGCGCAGTTGAACGACCACTGTGAGGGTTGTACCTGCAGGTAGTGTGTCTATTTATGTAGATGCTTCTCACTGCCGCTTCATTGTTGACTACCGGTGAATGGCTTGAATATGAACTTGTAGACAAAGCGCCTGTCACTGATGATTATGTGAACATTCCCTATTGGAGAGGATCGAGGTCCAATGCATTAGCAGCTACAACAACAAGGACTTCATAGAAGATAATCCTTTATACTGTACCGGCCGTTCACCTGAACATGCTTTCATCTGGCAGCATGGCATATAAGCAGCACCTTTCTTGAGAGAAGGTGTATGTGACAGGCTGAAACAGCTACAACATCGATGTTGAAAGGACAGTTACAAGGTGTAATTGCTGTCAAGAACTTAATGAAATATTTCAGTGGGAATAAAATAAACTCCATTGGCTATCATACTAGTAAGCTGGACAAGTAACCACCAGCTGCTCATATACTGAACATCATCCAGACTAATACGGGAGATACACACCGGACTTCTCGTCCTTTTCAGATTCACTAGTGGCCTCTCTTCTGCCCCATGTAATATGGCCCTTGCGATAGTTGTTCGCTATATACCCTGCAATTAACGCCACGCCAAAGATAACGCCCAGTGCCACCAGGCAGCGCGTCTGTGCCGGCGTAGGACTCGATATGTTCGCCGTTGACGTCGCGTTTGAACCCTCCACCACTGCCTCGCGCAGTTCCAGAGGAATGTGCATGGTTATATCAGCAAATATAGTTTAAAATACGATACACGCGTGAGCTGAATGGCTGTCTGAGGACTGGCAGTCTTGCTCGTTACTGTAGCATAGGCAAAGGTCAGAGCGATCAGACGTCGTTTATATGCCATTTCCACGGGACTTTGAATTCTTGGATGCTTTGCCTTTACTTGTGATTGACTAGGTCATTGTACTAACAGTACCCTCCAGGTGCTGCATTGTTATGATCCACGATTATACCCATGATACCCATGAATGAAGCACACAATAAAGTTCACCTGAATACCTGAGATAAAGGTTTAAAGGCATTATTGGTCATGGAGTTGCCCAGATGAAAAGGGCAGCCTACGAATTCACGCGGTTATATTTACAAAATACAACTACTAAGACTAATATTCAGTTTAATGTTTAATTTGAATGCTTTATTCCTAATCAACACAAACACCCCTATCCTGTATCTAAGAATTCAGGCTCCAATATACAACAACTCTTCACTTGGTCCACCCTGCCAGCCACAGCGGACGCCCAAAGTACGTCCCACCGTTGCTGGATGGCGCCGTACTGCATCACCCTCGATATCCCGGTGGTGCTATGGTGCAGTATACACCGGAGGCTGCTCGGTCGGCCTCTGCCCACGGACCAGCGCACGTTCCGGCGGAGGCGGAGACACAGGTTGAACAGCGTGTAGAGTCATACCCCTGTTGGATGCAGCATCCTTTGACTTGGCCTTCGCCGTACGCATGGCCTCCCTCGAGGACCGTGTGCAACGGCCAAGTGCGCGACAGCAACAGCCTATGGTACCGTCATAGAGGGAGAATAGACAGAAGCGTAGACAATGATCAGCCCAGAGGGAAAGCACGATCGCCAGGAATACAGTGACTCCAACTATAACGCCAAGGATGATCCATTCTCGTTAGGTCATCGGACTGTCATCTGCGACAATTACAGAAGGGGGGAAGGCGCGGGCCTCGAGGCCGCCGGAGGACTGAATGGGCGAGCCCTCGTTTGCGGTTGGGATGAACATTGTTGGTGTTATGACGATATCAGACTGCGAAAAGTGCGTGTGCAGTGCCGGATTGGAGTTTAGGATGGCAATTGGGAGGACGCAGGGCTACAGAGAGTGTGCATGCAGCTTTTATGTAGGAAGGTCAAATAGGGGTCTCGTTATTAAAGATATTTCATTCACTACTAGTTTTTATAGTATCAATGCCGTTACAAAATGAGACAAGCAAAACGGCGGATATGTCTTTCAAAGACAAGTGCGTTTGTCAGTGACAAACAAGGCCTCGTTGGTAACAAACAGTGCATGGCTTAAGGCTATCACCGAGTCCTTATACCATATCTTCATGAAGCAACTGCTAGCTTCCCATTGACTGGCACATTGCGCTGCAAGTCCGGGGATGGAAAGCCCTCAAGCTTCACACCCTTCCGAAACAGCAGACAATGCGTTGAGCCCCCGAAATGGAACATTCCCAGCTGGTCTCCCTTCTTTACACGCTGTCCCTGCTTGACGGTGATATCGCACGTCGAGACTTCGCACATGCCCACTCCCAGGAACGCCATGAGCCCGATGGCCGGGTTATCGCACTCAATGAATATGATTGCCCGAGTGGCAAGGCAAGTCAGATACTCCTGCGTCATGACCTCGCCCGAGGCGTCAATATCCTGTTTCTGGCCCTTGTCCCCGTCCCAGAGCCCTTCGAACAGGGGTTCAGAATAGTACGTCCCGTCGACAACGTACGCCTTGACAATCTTGCCGCTAACAGGAGCATGCCACCGGTGGTAACTCAGCGCACTCAGGAATGCCTGATACACTGTCCCCCCCACGAACTGGTCGGCAAGCTCATCATGGGATAACATATCAAACACCGAATAGGGCTGCGACTTGATCCAGAATGTATCCTTGGCTTTCACGTCTCGGGCAAGTTTATACGGCTGGGACTCGCACGCATTCACAACAACACCGTCATCATCGGGCGCAGCAACAGGCCGAATCCCCGGTCGGAAGACTCGGGTGAAGAAGTCGTCCCACGAGGCGAATCCGTAATGCTTTGCCGTTGGGTCACAGACAAACAACTTGTCGAAGTCGTGGTTTGATCCGTTCGGCGCGTTCGCGACCTGCACGAGATTACCCCTGCCAGTCTGACCGAACCAGCCATTTTCCGATTCATCGAGCGCTGTTGCTGATTCTGGCGATGTCAGGAACTCGCCCCATGCGTTTAGAACCTTCTTCAGCATGGCGTTGATGTCCGGGTCTAGGAACGCTGCATACCCGCTGGGCGTGCCCATTGACCAGTCAAGCACGGCGTTGATGGGCAATCCAACCAGCCCAACTTTGAGGGAAAAGTCATTCCACGACGGCGCAGTTGTAATCAGATAATTCAGCACACGCAGCATATGGTGGTAATCCCTAATCTGAGGACAGCCTGTGGGATCGGTGCAGTAGTGGCGGTTCTTGGGCACCTCGGCGAACATGGACGCGACCAGCAGGTATACGCGGGTGTTGGACTCAATCAGGTGCTTGAATTCTTTCAGGACAGGGTGCAGTTCGTGCTTTTCCTTCTTGTCGACGTGGGCTATCACCCCTCCGACCCATTTGTGGTGCGAGTCATGGTCCGGCGGCATCCAGTGCCCGGCCCTGGCCTGTTAGTAGAATCTCAAAAATTAAAGCTAGACCATACCGGTGGTGACGATGGGTGTGCGGCTTGTTTGGCATAATTATTTGTTTGAGCTACTGGTATATTAGTCCTCACCAGGAGGACGAGACGTTATATACACGACGGCATCATGGTGATGTCATTAGGGCCCACGGCCAGCACAGAACTCCCACCGTATTACAGCATTAGAGGTAGTTATTGCGATTAAACCACGAGTCCCGCGTTCCACTCGACCACCTGAAGGTCCTTTCAATGCTCATCTGCCGCTCATGCCCTGATCCATCTGCCGCCGGGGTGAGGGCTTCCTGGCTGGGGTGCTCCCTGAGCTGGCCCGCCGACGCCGTCACGGAAGTCACCATCATATTGTCATTCGCATTGACATCGGGGCGCCAGTAGTGCGGGTTGTTGGAGCCGGGTGTCTGTCCGGAATCCTTGGGTGAAATCACGGAGAGCGCGTACTTTCCACCGCTGTTCTTTCTCCCGTCGCTGCGGTTGCGGTACGACGAGGCTCCGTCGAGGAACCAGCGGAAGAGAGGACGGAGGGTGATGAGGCTGCCGGCGATAATGGCGAGTCCGGTCTCCATGATCGACCAGATGGCGATTTGGTATGTGGAGTCTGGCTTGTTAGTCTGTACATTAGATACGAAAACGGGGAACTCACAGAGGAAGTCCGTGTCGGCGTAGTTCTGCAGATATGGCATTCGGATAACGACACCAATACTTGCCCTGCTCTCTGTTAGTCAAGTTTACAAAGTGCAGTAAAGGTAACATACACAGCCCCCAAGCTGAGAATACCGGCCAACACGCCCTTGGTGCGCCGGTTCATCTGCAACTTCCAGACAAACCAAACCGGGAGTAAACCCAAAGTAAAGTCACAGCAGATCGTAAGCCCACTGTACACGTATGCAACGATGAGCAGGATGTTCGTCGACATGCACGTTCCTTTCTCAAACGGGTTGATCCGCTGCCAGAAGTACGAGACGGGTTGGCAGTCGAAGAGCAGGATAACCCAGAAGACAAGGCCGATACAGATGACGATGACGATAACAATCCATAGGATGACACGGTGGAGGCGATGCACTGCGAGGCGGAGCAATGCCCAGGCAATGGCGACTTTGGCGACGGCGGACGACCAGAGGTACAGCATCTGGCCCAACCACCATAGCTGGGGCTGTCAGTGGAATTACAGAAAATGAGATGTCGAGACTTACCATTAGAGCTCTTTGCAGTGTGTCCAGGTCGGAGAAGTCGACCATGCGATGGCCAATGCCGGCTTCAGGCCCCAGCATGCACAGCGTGCTCAATGCGATGAATAGCGCCTACGCGAGTCAGTTGGTGTCTTGTTATGCCTGGATAGAATCGTACCAGCGCTATAACCATGAGTCCATCGTCCCAGCCAAATGAGCGCACGATGTACAGTCGCACAAAGCACCGCATAGCGACAGTGATAACAGACAGGCCGACCATCACGGCCGCCGTGACGAAAATCGCCAGGCTTCGGCCTTCCAGAGGCGGATTGGCCATCTTCACCGGGGAAAGGAGACAGACTGGGAGGAATTCATTCACTCGCCTCGAGACGGGCAGAGACTGTCAGGAGAGGGAGGCGCCGGGTTGATATAGGGGCCCGTTCAGCGAGGCAGTGGAGATGCAATGCAAGGCAGGGCGAGGCAAAATGTTTCATGATGGCCGTGCGAGGGCAGACTCTGTGACAATTCAACAAAAGCTCAGCGATCGGGAGGAATCCGCTGGGGATTTGAATTCGACAGGAGGTCGCTCGACAGCAGCCAAACTCCCGATCTGCCCGTCGTCGCAGCGGCGGAGTCGCGCACTCCACTCAGTTCCAGATCGATCGATGGTTCCCCGCAAGGTTTGCGCTATACGAGTCATAGCTGACGATTGCCAGTCTGTTGGGCAAGAAGAGCGTCGGGGAGACTTGCTGAGTTGCTGCAGAGCCTGCAAAGCCATTGTATCCTCACAGTCACAAGTCGGGATGCGCATTTCCCCTCACGTTCAAGGTTCAAATTCAAGGTTCAGATTCGACACTGACTCTGCAGGATTCATGCAAGCAACTGCCGGCAGTTGGCAATGGCGCCGAGACGCTTGGACGCGCTTGTTCCGTATGCCGTTCTCCCGTAGTTGTCTATCAGCCACGTTGCTGCGTCTGCAGTCTACACCTGTTGCCTCAATTGCTGTAAACAGCCGTTGTCTGGTTCGCGTTTCTTCTGACAGCGTCAGCAACCAAGGAATGCGGGCGCTGGACAAAGAGGCTCTGGCAATGCCCACTTTTGGCCCGTCTCAGCTGCTCCGTGATGGACCCAGATCAGCCACACCATCTCCCAATCAGTCGAGTCTGGGGCATTCCCAATCTCCCACCGCCCCGGCTAGTAGCACCAGTTGGAGGCGACTGAAACCAGATGGGGATGGTGCGAATTGCCCAGGATTGCAGTCTCGTGTTTGGCTTTTCACGGACACACTGTGAAACTCTATCGCAGGCAGAGTTTGCTGAATTCTTGAATGCAGCACAATGACAATCAAACATTGAGTCAGTCGTTTGTCCTGCCTGTATTCATGTCGCTCATCTTGCGAACTGATCAATTCGTGGTCTCAATTCTTCAAAAAAAAAAAACAGCGACCTGTTCAGTCTCCGTGTGTGTAATGAGCATAACTTGAATAATTCTGTTATTCAGTTTTCCGAAGTTATTCCAGATGTCGTCATGATTATGTAATACGTAGTTAACATACAAATGAACACCAATATATATATATATATATATACACATAACATCTACACACAAATATATCTATGTCATGATTCAACCACTTCTCCTCGCAGGCGGCCATTCCGCGCGCATGGGATTCCGCAAGGAACTTATCTGTCTTAATGAAATTCCAGTCTACGAGCACCAGCTTATCAGACTGCGCATCGCGTGTCCCGACGCCGACGCAGTCTATCTGTCCTTGCCAAACCCGAGTGTACTGGCTCCAATATTAGAGAACCCACGCATCGAACGGCTTACGGAGACGACCCTGCAGTTGTATTACAAAAGACTTACATTCCCGGTAAATCTTCTCTACGATGATCAGGACGTGGGTCCGGCTGGCGGCCTTCTTGCTGCCCACCGCGACGATCCAGATGCTTCCTGGCTTGTCGTAGCTTGCGATTACCCATTTGTCTCGGTCTCTTGTATGAACCAGCTATGCAAAGAAATGGCAACACCTGTTACGTGCTTCGAAAACGCGGATGGGATTCACGAGCCGCTGCTGGGGGTCTGGTCAGCCCCTGCCTTGTCGCATCTAAAAGAGAATGTGAAAAAGGGCATTCTGGGCCCAAAGTCCGTCCTCAAGTCGCAGGGCAAAACAATTAGAACCCACGACGAAAACTGTCTATACAATGTGAACACGCCAGCGGAATATGAGGGAGCTCTACGGATGAGCGAGTACATCGCGTCGATTACACAGGACATTGGGACTTATGTTCATAGCTATGGTTAAATATGATCAACATGGGTAGATATCAACTGCACTGCCATTGCCCAGCTCGCTCACTCCCCTGGGAATATGGACCCAGCAGTTGGCAGAGAGGAATGGCTTCGTCTTGCCTGGGCTGTGGTCGTCGATGATCCACACTTTCCCACTATCAGGGCTCAATATGCCCGGTCGGAATATGTCTGGATCTTTGCGAAATGACAGTACTGGACTCTTTGCACTGTCACACCGCGAGAGCCCGTTTGTATGTGGATCCGACAGTTCGAGAGCGACTGTGTGCGGCCTTTCAGCCGTTTGCAACTGCAGCGTCTGCAGGTATCGCAAAACAAAGAAGCGAAGGCACGCAGCAGCGGCGACAGGATTCCCTGGCAGCCCGAAGAATGCGGTCTCGCGTCCACTACTGGGAAGCATCGAGAACAGAATCGGATGGCCTGGCTTCACAGCAGCCTTGTGGAAAACAGTCCGTCCGCCAATGCTGTTCACTAGCCCGGGAATGAAATCGCAGCGACCGGCAGATACTGCTCCGGTGGTTACAATAATATCATACTCGTCCAGGACCGTTGAAATGGCATCCTGCATGGCCTCTGGGCTGTCCCGGACGACGCCGCGAAAGTCAACATCAACCCCCCATTTCCGCAGCATCGTCATCAGATACGGTCCATTGGCGTCATGTATCATAAAGTCATGAGGCTGGCTGAGTGCATCCGGCGAGAAAAGCTCAGAGCCTGTCGAGAAAACAGCCACTCGAGGCCTGCGCAGGACTGGAATGTGCCTGACGCCAACCGATGCCAGGGCCATAACATGCTGCGGCAGCACACTCTCTCCAGCTTCAATAATGACGTCCCTCTTGCTGAAGTCCCCTCCAGCGAACCTCCTATGCTGGAAGTGTCTGGCAGGCTTATACACTTCAATATACCGCCGAGTCGAGAATTTGTTCTCGCTTACGACGACATCCTCAACAGGCACACAGCAATCATACCAGTCTCGATCCAAACCAAGGGGAAATGGAGCCCCTGTCATGATCTCCACGCAAGGGGGGACTCCATCCCTGAGATCGCCCCCCGTTGAATGCGGCTGATCCCCAGCAGTCGTCGTGGCTGTGACTTCGAAAGTGACTGGGGCTTCAGCACAGGCGTGTTCTGTTGCTGCCGCGCTTAGCGCAAAGCCATCCATCGCAGAGGTATCATACTGCGGCGTATAGATTGGGCTGTGGATTGTTGTCGAAACCACCCGGTCGCAGGCATTATATATCAAACAGGATTCTGTGGGAGAGGGCTTGCGCTGGCGCTGACCCTCCGCCTCATCCTCAAGCAGCCGTATAGCCTTTGCATATGCCAGGGGCATCTTAACTGTATCTAGAGGTAGTAATTGTACAACCCAGGTGTAATGACGATACTTGGCACAGTTTAAGCTCTCCGACTACCACATACATCATCATGAAATCACGACATAGAAGTAACCTCAACTAACAATTAACATCAACACCTTGTAATTATCTCTCCGCAGCTTCAACATGCCCAGGATCGTCGAGTCCAGGGACTCGATCAAGAACATCTGGGGCGACCGCACGCCCTACAAGCACCAGTGGCCGACGCGGTGCGATTCGCATCTCGTCGATAAACCCGACAAATGGGTCCAGAGTGCTTGTGTCCTTTGCAGGTAGGCTCTATCTTGATTTACAGATCAATACTTATTCATGAAGCAATGGCTGCGGCATGGACATCGGGGTCAAAGACGGCAAAGTCGTCGGCGTGCGTGGACGAACCGACGACCGGGTCAATAAGGGACGACTTGGGCCGAAGGGTTTGAACGGGTTCGTATGCTACATTCTTGCACTAAAAATACTAACAACATAGATGGATAACACTTGGCCACCCCGACCGTCTGCAGCACCCGCTGGTCCGACGCAATGGCAAGCTGGAGCGGGCGTCGTGGGACGAGGCCATGTCGCTGATTGTAGATCGCGCAAAGGATATCCAGTCGAGGCTGACGAACCACGGCATTGGATTCTACACCAGCGGGCAGTTGATGCTCGAGGAGTATTATGTGCTCGCGATGGTTGGGAAGGCTGGGCTGAATACGCTGCATATGTATGTGCTGCTCACTATACCTGTCCAATGCTAACGGGATAGGGATGGGAATACGCGTCTGTGCACTGCAACTGCGGCGGCGAGCATGCGTGAATCATTTGGAAGTGATGGCCAGCCTGGTTCATATGCAGATATCGACTATACCGACTGCTTGTTCCTGGTCGGACATAACATGGCCGCCACGCAGACGGTGCTATGGTCTCGAGTGCTGGACCGTCTGGCCGGGCCAAACCCACCGGTACTCATTGTCGTCGACCCTCGCATGTCGGATACAGCAAAGAAAGCGACAATCCATTTGTCCCCGAAGATTGGGACCAACGTGGCCCTGATGAACGGGTTACAGCACCTGATTATCGAGAACGGCTGGGTGAACGAGGACTACACCGCAAAGCACGTCTGCGGGATAGACGACTTGAAGAAGACCGTTAAGGAATACAGACCTGAATATGTTGAAAGGATCACCGGAGTTCCTGTCTCCCAACTGCACGAGACTGCGCGAGCCCTAGCAACATCCGGCAGTCTGCTCTCGACAGCCCTGCAGGGCGTCTACCAGTCCAACCAGGCCACCGCCGCAGCATGCCAAATAAACAACATAAATCTACTCCTAGGACACATCGGCAAGCCCGGAAGCGGCATCCTTCAAATGAACGGACAGCCCACGGCACAAAACAACCGCGAAACAGGCTGCGACGGCGAATACCCCGGATTCCGCAACCACCAGAACCCCCAGCACATGCAGGAAATCGCCGACATCTGGAACATCGACCTGACGCACGTTCCGCACTGGAACGAACCAACGCATATCCAGAACATGCTCAACTTCATCGCAGCCGGCAGCATCGAGATGTTCTGGGTGTCTGGCACAAACCCCCTTGTCAGCCTCCCCCATCTCTACCGCGTGCGCGACCTCCTCACGAAACCAGACCTCTTCCTCGTCGTGCAGGATATATTCCTCACCGAGACAGCAGCGATCGCAGACGTGGTCCTACCAGCCGCACAATGGGGCGAGAAAACAGGCTGCTTCACCAACGTCGACCGCACAATGCACCTGTCGCAAAAGGCCGTCGAGCCACCGGGGGAAGCAAAGCCAGACCTGGAAATCTTCCTCGACTTCGCGCGCCGAATGGACTTCTGCAATAAAGACGGCGGCGTGCTCATCCCCTTCACGAAGCCCGAGGAAGTCTTCGCCGAATGGAAAAGGATGTCCTCTGGCCGACCCCTCGACTGCAGCGCGCTGAGCTACGAGAAACTAACCGGTGGCTCCGGCATCCAGTGGCCCTGCACGAAAGAGTATCCATACGGTAAAGAGAGACTTTTCGAAGACGGGATCTTCTTCACAGATACCGAGTACTGCGAGAGTTTCGGGCACGATCTCGACACCGGCGCACCGCTCACCAAGGCGCAATACCAGGCCATGAACCCAGCAGGCCGAGCTATTTTCAAATCATGTCACTATAAGCCGAGTCTGGAGCAGCCGGATAACGAGTTCCCGTTTCTCTTGGCGACAGGGAGGAATGTCTTCCATTTCCATACTCGGACCAAGACCGGTAGATCGAAGCGGTTGCAGGGCGCTGATCGTGATGCATGCGTTGTTGTATCTCAGACGGACGCAGACAACATCGGCGTTAGTAACGGCGAGATGGTAATCGTACGGTCCAGACGAGGACAAGTTGAGCTCCCGGTAAAGACTGAAGGAATCAACACAGGCCACGTCTTCATTCCGTTCCATTTCGGATACTTCGACTCAAAGGACAAGCGCGCGCGGGCAGCAAACGAACTCACCATTGGTATGACCCCATCCTTTGAATAGCAAGACATATCTAACAAACCAGAACAATGGGACCCCGTCTCCAAACAGCCAACGTTCAAATCCGGCGCGGTTCGAATCGAAAAATGCGTCCAGAAGGAATCGCAGCCCCCTATCGCCCCAGAGCGTCAAACAGCCGCCATCCACGCGGTCAAAGAGAATAAAACCAACGCAAAAGAAACCGGAAACCGCAACGACAAGTCCCAGAACCGCATTCGGTGGTTGGAAATGTGGCTAGGCGCAACGCACGAAAGCCTCGAGATGTTGCGCGATATCTACAGCGACCTCATCCCACGGCTGGTGCACGATCTGGAAATCCAGTCTGGCCTCGAAGTGATGAGACGGATTACGTACGATGCTATAGAAAGGCTGGAGCCTGTCATATCGCGGTACCATGAGAGTCGACGGTACGGACGAAAGGTCTGCGAGAGGCTGCGGCGGTCTCTGTTCCCCATGGAAGAGGACGTGTCGAACGATGTGTACGAGGCGCTGATTGCGCTGCAGTCGCTGGAGATGTTTCTGACGTATATCGAGGGTCATTTGACGGCGTTGACGCCCGCCAGTCAGGCCCTTTGGGACACTGAGTTTGTAAATGCAGTTACCTTTGCTCAGACGAGTGTGGGCAGGCAGAAGGCGTGGGTTACGCAGCATATCAAGGTGAAGAGCCCACAGACGCTGCTTGTACCACAGAAGCCACTGAGTCAGTTGGATACATCTGCGTCAGGGCTGGCAAGGGAGTTTTATTACTGAGAACACCGTATATTTAATTATGTACTTTAATGTATAGCTTGGACAGAGACTTCTCCGGCCTCCGTACTGGGGAATCATTGGGCAAGACTGTAATGAGATTAATATCTTCTGCACTCCCTGAAGCTGGCTTCGTAGGGTTCGTGCTTGATCGGAATGTCCCTCGCGTTGACGGTGCGGTTTGAAAAGTCGGATATGATTTTCTTGCAGAAGCAAACCACCGCGGTAGGAGTCTCTTGAGTAACGCTGCAATGGCAGGCATGCAGGTGCACATAACGCTGACGTCTCCCTCAATAACACCGTAGTAGGAGATCTCGCCGCCGTTATCTGCAATATGAGTAAGAAAGAGTGTTGGTACGTGCTGGTGAGACTCACAAGTAATGTTATACGTCGTGATGGAGTGATAGAGATGCGACAGACGAAGGATGCCCGCGACGATAATCCTGTTCTAATTAGAAAAAGCCATCAAGAAGCTGTTCTCGAACATACAAAATACCAACAGAAAACATGCTGATCACTCGAATCTTCTTCGCCAGAGGCAGATTCAGTTTCAGCAGCAACGGCAGCGGCAGGAGCATAACCACCACGTCCAGGGCGATATTCAGCGGCGGCATGACCTTGAAGGCAGTGTAGCTGAGACACGTCCCTTCAGAGATACCGTCAAATCTTGTCCAGTAGTACGAGGCCGGAGTACAGTCGAACGCGCTCTGGAAGACGACTGCGACGGAGTACGCCGAGCACAGGGCGATCAGACCATAGGTGACGCGTTTGAAGGTGCGGGTGGTGAAGATGCGGAGATAGAAGAATAGAATAGCCAGCTTTGAGACTGAAACCGAAAAGTAGAAAAAAAGGATGCCGACATAGAAGAACTGGCGTTGTTAGAATGGCTGTTGCGTAGCTTATAGAAACGAACCTTCATCTGGGTGATGATTTGGGCCTGGGTGAGCGCCCACATGTCTGTTCCCCAGCCTATATTCGCTCCTGGACTGTTTAGCAGCGGAAATATATTGTCCAAAGACCTTACCTGCAATCATCATTGCTGTGTCAACCATCGCCGTGATCTGGTCTAGTCAGACACAATCCACGCCCAGATAGAGCACGTACAAAAGTAACAATGCCAATCACATCGTCTACCCCAAAAGAGTCAGAGAATGGAGGCCGGCCAGCGAGTCTGAATCCCATTATTATCGTAGTCAGAGTGATGAAGGACGAGCCGACGGCGATCTGGGTTCCGTGGCGACTGCGCGGGGGAATTTCGCAAACGGCATTGGTGATGTTCATGGAATCTGATGGTTAAAGCGTGTTAGAGTAGGATACAGTATGTAGGCAGTAATCTTACAGAGATATTCACGTAGTTGGCAGTCTCTCTCGTAGCACGACGTGATTCCTTCATACTCTGCCGCGCACAGGGCTTGCTGTGCCCCGTTGCAGTCGAACAGGCCAGGTAAGCAGTTTGCCTAGTTATCAATTAGGGGTCTGTATCACTTTTATCAAGAATAAGACACTTATACCGCGCACTGTGGGAGGTTGTTGATGTCCTCGCAGGCCTCAGCATCTGCCAAATTGGGCATTGACATCAACACCAATATAACCAACACCCATATCCTGGCCATCATTCAAGGTGGCTGAACACAGCATGTCTGTAAGAGCCGGGCGTTCGAAATGCCGAGGGAAATTCCTCATTGCAAAATTAAAAAGCCCCGAGCACTGGTTATAAGTCTTTATATTATAGTGAAAGGTCACAATCAACCGAGGAATATACGAACTGCCCGCACCAGTGGCTGCGCCGAGACAGCCACCAGGAGACGTGACCAGTCAAATCGTCCTTGAAACACGAGGCTTGCCTGCCAAGGTGAAGTGCCGGAAATGGTTGCGCGTGCAGGTTTTTAATTTATTCCGTCCAGTCGGCGTGGTTAGACGCTCTGCATGACGGATCTGACACGGAGACCGAGCGCAGGATAGAGGACTTGGACTTTTGCGGAGTATTACAGTTGATAGATCAAGACTATCTGTACTAAGTGCCGTTTCAACGGCTTTTCTTAGCTTTTCTCCACTAGATTGTCGTTTCAGAACCGCCTTGATTGTTAGAAGAGCCAATCTGCATATATTAAGCAGATCTACTGCCTCTCTATGAACACAACTTTGCTAGCGTACTCTCCTTTGAAAGAATACTGCAGGCCCAGGTTCATCAGCATCGAGCCCGCAAAGGGCCCATCACGGTCAACACTATACATCGCTTCCGGCTCCAGTCCCTGTAATTTCACACGCGGCAAGGCATGGTTTACATTCGGGGCCAGTTGAAAGAGAAACAATACTGCCTGGTCTTTGCTTTCCGAAACAAACAGAGCTGCAGGCCAGTTCGACTCCTCAGGCAGAGCTAACCGCCACATATCGCCTGTGAGAATGATCGGATTCACCTTCTCTGCCAGGGAAATCAACCCGGGAATGGTCTTCTTCTCGTCCTCAGTGATCTCCGTTGGATCGAGCTCGAGACCAAACGACCCGCCCATCATGGCGACGTGGGCACGGAAGGTTAATGGTGTAGTCCGCCCTGTTTGGTGGTTGGGCACGCTGGATACATGGGCACCCATTGTACTGGCAGGGTAGGCGAGCGAGGTGCCAAACTGAATAAAGATGCGCTCGACAGCGTCACTATCATCTGATGTCCACACCTGCGGGAAGTACTGCAAGATCCCTGGATCAAACCGACCACCACCAGATGCACAGCCCTCCCAGAGAACGCCAGGAAAGCGATTTGTTAGAACATCAAATACGCGGTACATGCCCAGCATGTATGCATGGTTTGCGCTAGGCGAGGGCGTCTCAGCCATGCCCCGGTTGTGGTCCCATTTCACGTACGTGATATCGGCGCTGTTGAGGAGGTCTGTGATTGTATTTATAATGAAATCCTGCACCTCTACCAGACCTAGATTCAACACCAGCTGGTTCCGCTGCTCGGTCCGTGGATACTTGCCGGCATGGAGCACCCAGTCTGGATGGTTCTGGTACAAAGTAGACTGAGGGTTCACCATCTCCGGTTCCACCCAGATGCCGAAGCGCAGGGTCGAGGACGAGTTTGCAACCTGGAGGGAGGTTATTTTGTCTACCAGCTGTGCTAGACCACCAGGGAATCGCTCCGGATTAGCAATCCAGTCTCCAAGTCCTGCACTGTCCGATGTTCGGGGGTATTCCTGGCCAAACCAGCCATCATCCATGACCAGCAGTTTCACACCTAGTGCCGCAGATTCCTGTGCAAGACGGCACATTCGGTCATGATCAATATCGAAATACAGACCTTCCCAGCTGTTTAACAGCACTGGACGATCGTCGGTCGCAAATTTGCTACGGATCAAGTGGTTCCTGTACAACCGGTGGAGGGAGCGCGACATCCCTCCTACACCATCTGCCGAATAGACCGCAACACACTCAGGCGAGGTCAGCGTTTCGCCCGGTGCAAGCTTCCAGGACATCTGGTTTGGTCCGACCGAGACGCGCGTCAAACCCTGCGATCCCTTCTCAACCTGGATAGAAAAGGAGCCGGAGTAGACGAGCGAGAAACCCCATGCTTCACCCTGCGACTCAGTGGTGGAGGGATGCACCAGAGCGACGAACGGGTTATGGAGATGGGACGAGAAGCCCGTCGTGCTGCCAACGCTGTCCAGAGGTTAGTATCTCGATAATTGTCTGGGCCCTGCCTACCTCTGCACGCCATAGTCCACCGTTCGTCTCTGCCGGTGCGCCTCCCTGGCCCAGTCACCGCGCAGTCCGAGCATCTCCAGTTCCTCAAAGGGCAGATCAACGCTCATGCTGGCGAGAGATTCAACCGTAATTTCCTCCGCACTATCATTGGTAATGCTGGCACTTCGCACGATTGCATTATACCTGGGAAAGACGGTATACGTCAACGCCGCAGCAATGTCACTATACTCATCAAACAGTCGAACAATAACCGTTTGGGCATCACGAACACCAGCAAACGTTGCAGGAAGTCCACCCAGGTCTGGCTTTCCAGGAACAAGTTCATGCGACCGATACCGAAACGCCGAGATGTTATGCCCTTCTGCCTGACGAATGCAAAAGGCTGGGATGCGAAAGTCGCCCCGTCCTAGGTCCGGGAATTCACGGCGGACGCGATCAGGCATGCCCGTCCAGCCATCAATGACGGGCTCAGGATCCGCCGGGATAGGCCCGGCGACGAGGGCACCAAAGTGGTCCGATCTCAGGTCGCCGGTGGCTTCATCGACGTGGAAGCGATAGGAGAGATTATCGCCGTTGAGAGCAAAGTTAGTGCCGTTCACGGCGACTACAGGAGGGGTCAGATGGGTGATGTACGTCAGGGGATTGGATTTACTTTTTTCTTGCATTTCAACCATCCTGATCAGATGGACCGTTGCTTGGGAGAGGCAGGCATACGGTTATATAGGGCATCCTGCTGACGCCGCCTAACCAGAAGCGCCACGGAGAGTCTCCCGCGCATTGGAACAGAGGATAAAAACAGGCACTATAGTTTAAATTGAGAACTGTAACAAAAAAATAACGAGTGGACATGGCGAGACCGACAAAAGTCCGCCGCGAAATAAATAACCATCCCACTGCTGCAGGGTAACCTCGCGGTCAGCGGATATTTCGCGCCAGAGCCGCCATCAAATCAGCAGCTCGGAGCCCTAGATCGCGAGCCTCTGCAGTGACACTGGGGTCCTGCGAGGAACGAAGCAGCTGTTCCTGCCAGAAGTTCCAACGCTCGAGACCGAAAATTGGGCCCCGATAAAGACGCACCGCCTTGAACATCCGCTGGTTATCCTCATTGACAGACATTGGGTCAATGACCATGTTATGGAAGAAGAAGTACCCGCCATATATTACCCACGCGGACACGGTTTGGATGAAAGTGCTCGTGTGAGTCGAGCTGTCCCATTCCAGGCCCATCATGTCCCAGATCATGGACCGAATAGTATCCAGGCACCCAGCAGATGCCAGCCGGGCCTGGAAAGCAGTGGCGTTCAGAACCCTTGTGCCTTCGGGTCCGGAGGTGTAACCTGATAAAGATAAATAACGTCAGCTCCGTTATATCAGCTGTAACACATAATGGGCTTTTGAGTAAAACGTACCGTTAACATATCGGTAAGACTCCTGATGAAGGTATGGCATGGCCACGAATCGAAAATAGTCGTAATCCCGACATGTGCGCGGTCCTCCGACAGAATTACTGGAGACCATGATTGACCTTGCGTGTCTCTTATGCAGAATATCGCACTTCGACAGCTCCCGGGTAAGGTTTAGAAGCTTCGTCTGCGCCTGGTCGTTGTATGGAATGTCCAGTGAAATGCACAGAATGGCCTCGCTGAGGATGTGGTCACTCTTTGTCGGACAGCCTTTGTTCGCTTGGATTTGAGATGTCTCGTCCTGGCTGCTCGCATCCTCAGCAACGCTATCCTGGAGCTGAATGCTCTGAGAGGTGCTGCGCTGCTTGTCAGCAGGTACATCCCGTGAAATCAGTTGGTACAGCTCCTCGCAAGTGCTTTCCATGGCAAATATTTCCTCGGACTCTATATAGCGCTTCAGAATGCGGAGTACATTGCTCAGCTTATAGCCACCAGTTTCAGGGTTGGAGGGTGTTTCCGACATGATGTAAACTAAGGTAAATAATAATAATAAACGAAGAGGGAAATTAAAAAGACAAACAGTGCTACAGATCTGTTGAACTAGATGCAGAGATGGGGACACATCGGATTTATAAAAGAACCAAGGTGGCGACGGGGCGCTTTGACGGCGGGCGTGAAGCACAACGCCCACGGTTTTGCACTGCCAATCTCCTATCCAGTTTCAAACAGGTTGCCTGAATTCTGGATTGGGATGGATATCTGGTCCTACACCGGGCACAAGTAAGGGAGCCATCAAGTGGCGTGTTTGGGCCACAAGGATCTGAATTCCGTTTCTGCGTAGCGAATCTCTGTTTCCAAGTATAGTCTTTTAATCGCCCTCTCGTACGTATGGGGCTCTAAATAAAATTCTTTGTCCATGAGATGGCAGCTTCGTTTCGTCTTTATGGCCGGAAGCTCGCTTAATTATAGTCGTTTGAATCTTCAATGCTGTGTGAATCTGTAACATACATAAAGACCACATCAGCCCCATGACCTCTGCAGGGGACGCAGAGCAATCTCTTTGATATCTTGACGCTTTACAGCAGTTTCCACTCACACCAAACACACGCTGGTCTCAGCTATTCGTCCAACCACCCAACCCCCCTGCAAGCAACCTGGGAGCCCATCCGAATTAGCCAGAGAACATGAACGACATTCGGATCTTCAACACCCGAACCGCCACCATCCTCGTCGTCTTTGAATATGAGACTGTTTACACGTTTTGCCGTAGTCGCGTTCCTGACGATGTCCCGACTGAGGTTCGCCAACACAACGCGGAGGCCTGGCTGGTGGGCACGCCAATGCCCAGAAATGAACAACCCTGGGGGCCGAGACCGCATGCCTATCGCGACTGGGAGAATCTGTTTGAAACCGAGTGCGCAAGCCTAGCCGATTTGCGAGGCGACGCCTATAACCCAGCTCTGCGACGGCAACGCCCGGCTTTGTGGATGTACGTTGGCGCCCCCAACTTCGACTACGGAGACGAGGATGCCGAACCGGGTTCATCGCGCATTGTCACTGACCGAGGAAGACGCATGATTGGCGTCGCCGCCCATTCGAATGAAGAGGGTGCTCCTTTTGTACGTGCTAGCGAACACCAGGAGGTCTATGCAATCCACATAATCCAAATCATCGTGCCACATCCCCCCACTGTAATCGACGCTGCGTAGGCCCTTGCCGATCCCAGCTGGTGCCCTATGTCGCGATGGAGTCACCGAGAAGGTGGGCGTCCGTATCTCACAGCCTTACCCTGCCTTCGTCTCCTTTTTCCACCCCATCCCATCGAGAACCCCAGCCGTATAGACGGCGCCGTACCGGTCTTTCCGTGATCGCGAACAACAAGCACCACCAGAGACAACGACCGCCTGCAACCTGCACCCCTTTCGACTCATATATCTTTCCACGGTTCTATTACCAGCATTGCGATGATACCCCTGATACACTAGAATAAGCGTTCTTGTTCTCTTTCCGATATACCAAAGCATGATTTCACTGTGGGGACCGATGTGTTGGCTGTTATGATACCCTCAGCAATTTCCAATTTGCTTTTTTACTTTGTCCTTATCATTACTTTCAATAGTATGAAACTCTGCGTCGGCACTTCCGTTTCCTTTGGTTTGGGTTCATAACGAGTGACTATAAACGGAACGAAACAAGTAAGTACAGTAGCAGTCGCAACGGCAACTCCATCGGTAAGCATCATTTGTATAGCTCAAAGGGGCCCTCATTTAACTATCCGCGCAAGAGCTGCCATGGGATCGGCGGCTGTGGTTCCCAAATCTCGAGCTTCCTTGCTGATATCAGAATTATCAGAGAGCTCAGCTAACCTGGCCTGCCAAAAGTCCCAACGCTCCAAACCAAAGATAGAACCGTTTTAGAGGTCACCCGGTCGACAGGTCCTCCAGTTCCCAGTAGTCGTCGGCGGTGGGTGGACGACGATATGGTGGAAGAACAACTGTCTGCCATGCAGGATCCAAACCGCAGCCAGCATGACAAAAATGCTCCGATATGTGACACTGCATCGCTCCGTATCATGCTCCAGGACGGTTCTCATGCTCGGGATCATGAAGTGCACACTATTATCAAGTTCTACAGTTGCGAGCCGGGCTTGGAAAGCGCACAAGTTGACAAAGCGAGAGTTGTAGCACTCCAGCGATGTTCCTGTGGTTCGTGTAATTCAGTCAGTCTGTTCTACAACGGACAACAATCAACATACCTGCCCTGATCTCGACGAACTTCCCACGAAACAGTATAAATGACGTATCGTATGAGCACTCAATGCGCATGTATCCCTCACTTGTGCGGTCTATATTAATGCGCTTCTGCTCCAGAACATTGAACCTGTCGAGCCTGGCGAGCTGTGCCATAAGCGCCGCGAGCTTGTTCTGCGCCCGGTGGTTATGGGGGATTTGCTCCGCCACCTCGACGAAGAGACAGCACAGATTTTACTCTGCCCAGGTTTCTGGCGCCCCTGCATCTGGCATCATGTCATAGAGGGTCTTGGTGGTGTTTGCATGCGCGTTGAGGTCACCAGACACAACGAGTGCCGTGAGCAGCTTGATTGCACTTTCGCGATCGTATCTCTCACTACCATCGTCCTCAGCTACACAGTCCTTGCATTCAGAAGAAGGAAACTCGCAATCCGAGCCGTGAGCATCATCAGCTTCGTCCCCATCACTGGAAAACTTGAACTGAAGGCGCTCCGCGGACAGTGCGTGCAACATGCTATAACCTGGAAATTCAAAATCAAAATCAAAAGAAAAACTAATCGGTGAACCTACTTCCCTTCGCAAGACTTGGCTAGGTCGCAATGACTTTTAGACGACTGCTTGAATACTCAAACGTGGAATGAAACCGGTGCTGCCTATGGCTCAGGACTGGAAGCCACAAAGAGCCGGGCGCGAGGCAAAGGGCCTCGTTTTTAATGATGTTAATATATATTTCTTCTCAAGGTAAACTAAATATAGAATTACTGGCCAATTCTCCCGTTCTGAGGTAGAATCTAAAGCATTCGTGACATTGCAAGGATGGGGCGTCAATATGCCACGTTCACGCAATGCTGCCTGGCCTACGCATAAAAAGGTTCATGTGCACGCCTGCCTTAGGCACCTATACAAACGAATTAAACGAGAATGGCCTGGGACCATAAAAACGGGAGCAGCTCTGCCCCCAGGAGTTGTCTTGATCGGACATCTGCAAAGTCTAGGACCTCTCCTGATTCTCAGCACCCTCTTTGGATCGCAACATCGAGCGAAACACCATATCTAACTGACGCCCCTTTACCGATAATCCATCTTTTGACAATACAATACGATTGTCGGTATCACAAGCACCGTCCAGGCCACGATCTTCACATTCAGCAAGCCCCATGGACGCACCGGCGAAGGCCCGACGTAAATGTGCAGGCTGCAGGCGCAGGCCTATTTGGACGACTTTGGAACTCCGATGCCACCATCAGAGGAAGACAACGGACGAAGGCCTCGCGCATACTTGGATAATGACGGTGTCCTTTACCACCTGCGCACCGGTCTTCCCCAGCTGGATGGGTGCATACCCATGAACGAACTCCCATACTTCCCCGACAACCTGTCTACCACGGCTACAACTTTTGAAATTTTGGCACTCAGACCTCCAGTATTCTGAATGCATATCGGGGGAGCATTTAATTACCGGCATCAGGACGATCATGGTAGCCCTCGCAAGGCTCAGCACAACGAGGCCGGTGCATGGCGGATAATCACCACTGGAAGAAGAACTTCCTAACCATGATCACCCATTCAGGTACCGGTTCTGATGTCCAGACAGATCAGCTGAATAGTAGGAAGTTTGAGGAAGTGCCAACTAGGATAGGAGATGTCCAGGTAACCTAGAAAGGTGGCAAGATCTGTCGCGCAGAAATTCTGCGACTGCGGCGATGTAGTTCAGGAAGGACGACAACCTTGCAATATCAGACCGCTCGGACTTCGAATGGCACGCGCACTCGCCAGCACTGGAGCCATCTTCAAAATGTTCACCTGGTTGAAGCGCCGGTAACTCCCTGGCGAGTCGCGGCCAGTCCTATCTCACGATTCAGCTCGGTTCGTACAATTCAATCCGCCAGGCCCAAAACAGGCTCACTGTGCCTGTCAGTCGACAATTCAAGAATTGCCAATCAAGTACAATTTCTGCAGGGTCGCGTTTCTGGGCAAGCCGCAATGGATCACTAGCTTGTCGCCATACCTACCCCGTACATGCCGTTGGTGACTATCATCTCAGAGTGCTTCGATAGCTGGCTTTTGTAGCCCAAGACCACTTGATCGACCAGGGCGCAGTTGACACCAGACCTACCAGAAATAATAGTAAAAAATGTTCATTGTTGTCATTGTTTGGATGGAAACCGTGCTTGTGAATGGAGCGCCCGGTCTCTTGGATGTGGCTTGCTTGTAAAGCCTCGTTGCGTTCACAGATACTGTCTAAGTAAACCCTAAATCTACTATACTTTGGGCGATTGCTATCATGGTGACGCTGTAGTAAAGTGCTCCAACATTACTTTGTACTTCTCTATTCTTGTATCTATGTTTACTAGTATAAAACTTTGGATTGCACATCCGCTTCTTTTGTTTTGATTTATAACGAGTGACTAAACAGAAGGAATATCGCAGAAAAACGAGTAAATACAGCAGCAGTCACAGCAGGAACTCCGTCCAGGGATCTCAGTATCTTATCTGACTGTACGCGCAAGACTTGCCATAAGGTCGGCTGCCCGGGTTCCTAAATCACACGCTTCCTCGCTGATATCAGAATGGTTGGAGAGCTCAGACAGTCTTGCCTGCCAGAAGCCCCAACGCTCCAGTCCGAAGATGGGACCGGAATAGAGTTCGTATGATTGGTATGCCTGGGATGATCGGGCTGTGGTAGGTTCCGGGTCGATTACAATGTTGTTGTAAAATAGTTGCCCACCGTGTAATATCCAAACCGCGGCCATCTTAATCTGGATACTAAGGTCCTCAGGGGTCCCCGCAACTTTTGGCTGCTCTAAGACATCCCTCATGGTCCATAGCATATCTGATGTATTATCCATGATCCCCGCGGTGGATAGCCGAGCCTGAAAGGCGCATAAATTGACATATTTGCTGTCGTACTGCTGGGGCCCTACTCCTGTTTAGTGAAGCTCATGTCAGCGTCCTCATACGCCGTGTAGCGATTAGGCTGAGCCTTACCATTGAATAGCTCGCACCAAGTTCTCGCATATACGCGTAAGTGAACGTAATTTGAGTAGACAAGGCTGAGCTGGCCCACCCCTTGAGGGTGCGTATACCAGCGTCTATTCCGTAACACATTGAATCTGTCACATCTCGCGAGCTCTCCCACGAGTCTTACGAGCTTGTTCTGTGCTCTATTATCATGTGGGATTTGCTCTGCAGTGGCCAGAACTAGGCTGCTAAGAACTCCTTCATACCAGGATTCTTGGGTCCCGGCTTCCGGCATCATGTCATAAAGGGCCTTGCATGCCTTTAGCTCGGCGATGGTGTCGTTGGACTGAAGGAATTCTTTGAGCACCCGGATTGTGCCTTGAGTTTTGCGTTCGCTCTCATCCTCACAGTTGTAGGCATCGAGCTCAAGGCCATCAATGCTCTCATCCGACATGTAGTGGAGGCTCAATGCTGACGGTGATTGTGACATGCTGTTATTTGTGAACTCAGTGAAAACGACAAAAGCAGAACGAATGTGTGAGCCACTTCCATAGATGAGATTTGGATGTGAAAGTGAACCCTTTATACAGTGGGCGATGAATGAAAGCAGGAATAAAATTGCTGCTGCCGAGAACGCCCGAGATTACGACAAAGACCCGGGCGCAAGCCACATCTCGTCTTTGATATGGAAGTAAATATAGATTGCCAAATGGACCAAGTCAAAGAAGGGCGACATGGCGGATAAAGGCCATGCTTCCCAGCTTTGTGTATATTGCGCTCCAGATATGGGTTATAAATATGGAACGCTTTATTTCCAATTCCAAGCTGTCCCGAGATACAGCAGGACAGGCGTTGGCATACCCATTACTGTTTGTAGTATATCGATGTCTGTCACCAAAGAAATCGTTGCGGATGACATCTACATGTTCCCCTGGGGACATTTGGATGAAACCGGAGAAGGCCCCCCTGAGGAGATGTGCAAGCTCCAGGCTCAGGTATACTTATCCGCGCCGAGTACTCCAATGCCAACATCAGAGGCAACCAAAGGGCCACGCCCTCATGCCTACAGGGATGGGGAGGGTTTGCTCGCGCACCTGCGGTGTGGTTTACCTACGTTGAATGGCATTGTCCCTCCACCCAGTGGAAAGGACATAGTATATTGGATGTACGTCGCTGGACCATTCGATTACCAGCAGCAGACGCAAAACGGCCAGTCACCGCAGGAATCGCTGCCTCCACCTGGTGGATGGCGTATTGTCACCGATAGGAGCAAGAACTTCGTCACTATGTTGGTGCATAACGCCGACCCGCGCGCTCGGGGTCGGTTTGAACGAGTGCCAGTGCGGAGAGGCCTGGTGGAGGTGACTCGCCGAGACGGTATGATCGTTGAGACCAGGATTCTACCGCCAGAGTATGACTGACCTGTTGGCTGAAATGGTAATCTTGTCGAAAATGTATCTGTATATAGCTGCAAAGGCATTCGCGCCATGACATATGCATGGAGTAAACGTGTTTTCTCTCCTCTGTTAAAGTAGGCCTATTATTCAACGGATACTTTTTCCTTTTTAAAGTATATTGCCAACTACCACCGGACTGAATGGCTAGGCCAGGTATCATGGACAGGAGGGATAGATACTACAGGTAGCAGTGGATTATAGCCGGCTAACAGCCAGCTTCAAATGGTACGAAGTGTAGCGAATAACAGAAGCTAATACTAACAAGAAATATCAGGGAAGCAGCGCCAGAAGTATCAATGAGTCCACAGTATATCAGCAACCGCAGTTACCTGGAGGCAATTCTCCCCATAGCAGAGGCAGTAACAAGTCGTCACCACGCATGAGCACTACCAGTACGCGCCAGAGCTGCCATGTAGCCTGCTGCGTCACCAGCAATTCGGCGGGCCTCGTCATTGACTGGATATTGCTCAGAGATCGAAATCTCCGCGAACCTTCTCTGCCAAAAGTTCCAACGCTCCAGGCCCAATACTGGACCGTCGTACAGCTCGTTCGTTTGGAAGACTTGGTCAGACTCGGCCGGAGGCTCTGGGTCGAGGACCATTGCTTGGGAAATAAAGTTTCCGCCATATCGAATCCACAGGGCAGAAACCGATAACAAGCGTAGACCATGCGTAACTCGTTGCAAGCCGCTCCAATGTATCTCTCATCCACCATATCATCAGCTCACGAGGCTTCAGGAAACCAACATTTGCGAGGCGGCCTTGAAATGCACAAATATTGAGCAGCTCAGAGGCCTCAGTATTAGTGTCCCAGGTTGCTATTGTTCGGGGTTAGCTTGAAGCTTGCACTGTTTGCCATTCACAGGAGACATACCCTCGCCAATTCGATGGCACTCTCTTTTGAACTCGGTCATGCCATCATAAAAAACAAACCCTGGCCTGCCAATGGGCTTGGTAAATCTGCCATATCTGCCCAGGTCCTGAACAAGTTTCACGAGCTTTTCCTGCGCCGGGTGTGAGTATGGAACCCGCCTCGCCGCACCGGGTAAGAATGCTCACTCCCTCTCGGGGACTATACGCCCCGACCACCACGGTGATCTCCTCCTCTTCTAGCTCGAGGCGTAGATTCAGCCCTAACATTATAGGTTGAAGCAGGGAAATGGGGCTAATCAAAGGAAAAAATATTTTTTTTTTTAAAAAAAAAAATAAATAACAGAAGATAACAGCCAGTAATGATATATTAATAGACCATCTACAAAGCTCGTTGGCCAGCAAAGCCTATGACAAAGATGTTATAAAGGGGCCTTTATTATTATTGAGTCGTCTACAAAGCATATCAGGTTTCTTTGGTGTATCACCCTGCCTTTATTGGGCACCCTTCGATAAAGCCCGAGCTAACAATAGAGGCTGACCCAGATAATGGAGTCTAGGCCAAATCAAATGGGGACTGCTCATCACACGAATGGGTATAAGCCAGATTTACAAAGCACGATATTCCAGATGCCACGAGGTGGAGGGCACGGCAGTCCCAATACCCCCTACTCTGGATTTGCCATCTGCAGTACAGGTTGAAGCACGTCCCTTGACCAAGCAATAGTCTGTCCGGAAGGCAGACGCTCCTACCCACGGCGACAATGAATGCAGGCCTAGGACCCGTAAACGTCCATGATACTATGTATATACATGTTCACGGTTCACCCATAGGGTGCCCATAACGGGGGACGTCATGCCCAAGTGCAAAGTGTACAGTTGCCAATGCCCCGCACCAATATTCATAGTAGTAACAGCATGGTTGTGGAAGTCTTGCCAAGCTCGCGCTCTGAACGTGGAGGTGGCGCTGGAGACTCCCAAAACGGCAACCGTTTCCTACGCCCGCAGCCAATATCAAACACCAAACAGGGAGGCCTTTCCTACTGCCTGGCCTGATTAAGATCCTACGAAGTATATGTACCCCTCGTGCCAGAAGTCCCCTCCATTTGTCTCATAGATTGTCCATTCTTTCCTGCTTTATCTACTCCGTATCTATATCTCAATCCCCAAGATATAGCACAATGTCCTCCCTACACGGCATCCTCGTCGCCCTGATCACCCCCTTCACGGACGACAGATCCAAGATCGATGAAGCCCGCCTAGAGTCCCACATCAACTGGCTCCGGGCCTCCGGTGTCCACGGCTTCGTCCCTGGCGGCAGCACAGGCGAATTCACAACCCTCTCGCTCGCCGAGCGCAAGCAGCTCACCGAGCTCTGCGTCAAGTTCGCCGGCGGCCTCCCCGTCGTCGCAGGGACAGGCAGCACCTCAACAGCCGAAGCAGTAGAGCTGGCCGTGCACGCCGCCCAAGCCGGCGCCGCGGGAGTAATGGTCGTCCCACCCTTCTACGACGCCGTCAACCTCGAACAACTTACCGAGATGTTCGCCGAAATCCACAGCGCCTCTAAGCTGCCCATCATGTACTATAACATCCCCTCTGCGTCGGGACTAACTCTCTCCCCGACCGAGATCGCAGGCCTGTCCAAGGTCGGCGTCAAGTACCTCAAGGATACCTCAGGCAACGCACCAGCCTTCACAGAGCTCGTCTTCAGCCTCTCCGACCAGATCACCGCGCTCAACGGGTGGGATACACTCACATTCTACGGTCTCGCGGCCGGATGTCCCGGTGGAGTCTGGGGAGCAGCGAACATCATCCCCGAGCTGGCGGTTGAGCTCTACGAGGCTGTGACTGTGCGTGGGGATCTCAAGCGCGGCCGGGAGCTCTGGACGAAGGCATTCCCGATCTGCAAGTTCTTGGAGTCGCATAATTATGCTGCCGCTGTGAAGACGGGGGTTGAGTTGAGGGGGCTGTCGACCGGTGGACTGCGCAAGCCGTTTGCGTTGCTGAATAGTGAGCTGCAGGCTGAGCTGAAGGGGCTGCTCCAGAATGCTGGAGTCAAGACTATTTAGCGTTTATAAGTAGCATTATGGAGATTTTATATAAATTCATGAATGACATGAATATCAAGATCGTTACACATCACATTCATAATCTGTAGAGGATAGCCCTGGTAATACTTTAACAAAACAACGGCCACATCTGCCTCTCCTGAATGAACGTCGTCCATGTAGGCATCGGCTCCCCCCGATTCGTCTCCAGATGCTCATCCTGCCTCCGCCACAAACTCACCATAATCTCTTTGGCCACGCCGAATCCCGCAGGACCATAGCTCGCCATCGCCGCATCAACCCAGGCCAGCACCGCCTCGCGCCTCTGCGTCGTCAGCGCCTCACACCCGGCAATGAAAGCAGGCCACGCCGCCCCAGGCCCAGTCGGATGTTCATGCGGCAGGGCAGCGGTAAATTCCGTCAAGGAGGCAATCACACTATCAATATGCGCCGCGAGGATAGCAGGGTGGACGCGGCGGATGCGTCTGTAGAAGAAGATAACGAGGGCTGCATTCAGCGCGCGCAGCATATGGCTATGCGGCTTTGCGGGCTCGCTTCCGGCCTTGAGAGACGTGAGATCACACGAGCAGATGAGATTCTCAAGGCGGATACTTCGGCGGTGCAGGGCTTCCCATGCTTCTAGACTGGTGTTCTCCCCTGCGAGCTGCGCTCGGCGGAAGGTTTCCATGACGTTTGCGAGACGGGTTGTTTGGGATAGAAGGCTGAGCCAGGTCTCTGGGATGCCGTAGACCTGTTTGTAGAGGGTGTCGGAGAAGCTGCGTGAGTCTTGGAGGTGGATGTCGTGTAGCCCGGTTTGTTCGTCTTTGGGCTCATTGATGTTTAGGTCGCTGTCTGCGTCGTGGGCTTCTAGGCGGAGGAAGTCGTCTAGGCGAGGGTTGGATTCGTGTGAGTTTTGTCCTCCTGGGACAGTTTGTTGGCGATGGCGTTGGAAGTTGGTGTCTAGGGCTTCGATGAAGGAGGTCGATGGGTTGTAGTCGTGGAGGACGTAGGTGCTCTCTCCGACTAGGCGGAGCCAGGTGTACATATGGTGCAGGAGCCGTGACTTTTGGGATATTCGATGCTTCAGCAGGCCTCGTACTCGTAGGATGTATTCGGCGTTTACCATGAGGGTTCTTGCATGTTGTTGCTGCCCTGATATGACCTGCGACAGTCAGTAGTGCATACATAAAGGTTAAGCAACATACCGTGTATTCAATAAGGCAACAAATGGCCATTAGCTGGTCTTTGTATTTTGCACGCTTTGGATCTATGGTTTCGTATCGCAGCGACTTTTGCATGTGGTCTCTGGCCTGCTCAAACATCTGGCCGGCAGCCTGCTGCCAGTGACCGGGTGACCCAACAGAACTGTTCGCTGATGCGAGATGCACTGCAGAGCAGGCCAACAGACCGTAAAGATTTGCTAGGCGTGCATGGCTTATTCTCTGCGAGCCCAGGATAGTCAAATCGTTATATGTCGCCATGGCACCAGCCAGGTTCATGGCCCTCCACGGGGACTTGTCGCCCAACGGGATAATGACCATCTGGGGAACCACTCTCTCATTGAAGTGTTTGAAAAGTAACGGCGCATCAGCCAGTGCAGCCGCGTCCAGAAACGTCGAGGCCATTTCAATGGCACTGGATGGGGGAGTCATGGCAGCTATGTTCTGGACTGGGGCGAGCTCCTCGGGGACAACAAACCCGTTCGATCCATTATCAGCCACCGCATCAGCACTTAAATACATATCGAAATTCAACATTGACGGTTGAAAGAATCCCGGCTGCTCCGGACTCAAGCCTAGGATATCTGACCAGTGCAGGAAGTCGTCGATATGGGAAGGCGAGTCGTCGAGCAATGATGGCAGTGCAACACCAGGATCCTGCGCAACAGCCGTATCAGGGACTGTCTGCGGAGGACTACGAAGCGTCCCTTCCGGCTCTGGCGGTGTGTACTTATGACTCTCTGGCTGCTGCTGCTCCCCCTGCATATTGCTGGGCGCATCAGGCGCAAAGTCCAGGACGCCAAATGGGCCCACGACAATATCGCCCACGGGCGGCCGGTCGGGATCGCGTGTCTTGACGTCGATTTCCGCGAGGGATGCACTAATGGAGCCAGAAACGAGGTTCGAGCCCAGGGACGTGCTCATAGACTCTCTCGACTGCTCTGGGGCGTGTCAGTGGCCGGCCACGGGTATGAGTGCCGTACTGACCTGTATAGAGATGGCGGCGGGTGCCAGCGGTATCGTCTCCCTTGTCGCTGCCGCTGCTGCTGCGCATCCAGCGGACTTCATTGGTAAAGCCCTCGCAGGCGACTCCCAGATTCCGACAGGTCCGACAGGCAGGCCGTTTCTGGTCGCATTTGACATGGCGGCGACGACAGGTGCGGCATGCGCCCAGGGTGTGCGATCTGCGGGGGCGGGTGGACCTGGAGCCCATGATGATTATTGCGGCCAGAAAGGAAGTGCATTTGAGCAAGAAGTCAAAAGAAGAAGGGAAATACGATATGAAGTGCAGCGCAGTCGCCGCAGCGGGGTGGCTGTCGGAATCTCCTGCCGCTTTGGTGAGTGGAGCACAGTCTGATATCACTATTTCCACGGACATGGAATCATATTTTAATTGCAAATATTATATATTTATGTGTGCAGGCTAGCCATCTGAACTGCTGGATAGATTTGGGAGATGCTGGGAGACCCTGGTAAATTGTTGTAAACCTGGTGCCATAGTGTAATACTGTAGCATCACCACTGTTAGCCAGAGTGAGGATAGTGACGAACGTAGACATTCGGCATGAGTATCCGTTTTAAATTGTATATATACACTCGAAAGATCTCCCTTGGCTTATCATTAGATATCGGCTCCAGTTACCAGCAGCCCTACACAAACCAGGCAGGCTATCCCGATCCCAGCTGCCTCCACGATAGGAAGCCATCGCCGTAGCCATACCGATGGCGCCTATTACCCCGAGGCGCACCATGCGTGCTGGGGTCGTGCTTTGGCTGCTTTAAGGTCGGTGCTCTGTCGTCTCGCTGCATCCCACATCGCAACACCGCGCAGTTGTCACCGATCATTCACAATGGCCCACCGGGGAGAGAGCTTCGCCCAGGATGTATCCTGCATCGCAGACTTGAAGAGGCTGGGGAGCAGCAGGCTCCCTGCTATGGTGCGAGGTGCGACCAGACCACGACCAAACGGCAGATATTGACATGGTACTAAGTGGCAACAGATTATTACAACGAGGGCGCTATGGATCTGATCACGCTGCGCGATAATGAAGCCGCATACGACCGCTATAAAATCCTTCCGCGGATTCTCGTCAACGTCGCCAACGTAGACCCTAGCACGGAGATTCTCGGCACAAAGGTGACTTCCCAGACATAGCTAGATGGATTATACTGACAGAAGGTGAATTCAGGTCTCGCTCCCCTTCGGATTCAGCCCGGCCGCGTCGCAGAAACTGGCCCATCCCGACGGCGAACTTGCGACGTCCCGCGCAGCAGCCAAGTTCGGCATCTGCATGGGGCTGTCCTCCTACTCAAACTACTCCCTCGAGGACGTCGGAGCGCAAGGGCTGGGAAATCCATACGTGATCCAGATGTGTGTTCTCCGGGATCGATCGATCACACTGCAGCTGTTGAAACGGGCAGAGAGTACGTCTTCTCGAACCACGCTGGTTCCTGCTAACATTCCTAGAATCCGGATACAAGGCACTATTCCTATCAGTAGATGTGCCAGTGCTAGGGATGCGCCTGAACGAGATGCGAAACAACTTCTTCCTACCAGAAGACATGGAATGGCCGAACATCCTCAGCAACGGGAGCGATGGCTCCGACAAGACCAACTATGGTACATCTACCATCTCCTATAAATAGCGATGCTAACTCTACTAGATCCAAGTCTCGACTGGGAACAGACAATCCCCTGGCTCCGGGAAAACACATCAATGCAGATCTGGCTGAAAGGGGGTACGTACATCCCTACACGAACCAAACCACCCATTAACATCAGCAGTATGCTCCCCCGCTGACGTCGAACTCGCAATCCACTACGGCGTAGACGGTATAATCGTCTCAAACCACGGCGGGCGCCAGCTCGATGGTGTCCCAGCAACCCTGGACTCGCTGAGACTGTGCGCGCAGGTCGCCCGCGGCCGTATTCCCCTGGCAGTGGATGGTGGAATCCGCCGCGGCTCTGATATCTTCAAGGCGCTTGCTCTCGGTGCTAGTTACTGCTTCATGGGTCGGATTCCCATTTGGGGGCTTGCTGTATGTATCCTCCCCTTGTCACGATTCAAGCTGACTGTCGTAGTATGCCGGACAAGAGGGCGTAGAATTGGCGATTAAGATCCTGCGTCAGGAGTTGCTGGTTACGATGGCGCTCGCTGGGTGAGTACCTGTGACGTTATTATTTATATAGACTAACATTCTGTAGATGTCAAACGGTCGCCGATATCAACGAGAACCATCTGTCGGTGCTACAGCCGGATGGGAGGCTTTCGAAGCTGTAGACATGGTTTTGGTCTATGAACGATTGCATTGCCCGTTTAGCGTTTAGATTTCCAGGTCGAGATAATATGAATATCTATTCTGCAATAAATATCTCCTATCACTAATTGTAGAATGAGACATAACCACTGTTTTTGCTATGGATACTTCCTTGAAGAGTGGTGGAAATATATCTTAATAAACAGAACCAGTAATTGCAATCTATCTAAACCAAGTACGTAAGTAAATCTTAATGAATACCCTATATCAACACTTCCACAACAAAAGAAAGAGAGAATGAAAGATCTACGCTGTATTCGCACACGAAAAGCTCGCACTGCCAGGGTCATCATGGATCGCCTTGCCAGAAGCATAGAGACCAAGTGCACACATAACAACGCCGATAATGAAACAAAACACGTTCAAAAAAGTAAGCGCAATCTTCCGCTTCGACGAAAACCACAGCCCCTTGTTCATGAACAGCCAGAATGCACCGGGGAGACTGAAGCTGAACCAGCTGGCGAAGAGGGCAGTCTTTACAGAATCAGTACCGAACTGTGCTCATATAACTGGGGACAATGTGATTGGGAGGGGACATACCATCAAACTAAGTAAACTGCTGAAAACAGGGATTGCTGTCGCGATGATCCAAGCAACAACCCAGAGGGCGACGCCGATTCCAACCCAGGACCCGACTGCCTTAAAGTCGCGCTTCTGCATGCGGTCTGTGCCAGCCCAGACGCGGGTGTAAATCGACTTACAGGCGATGTGGCCGTTTATTACGCCGGCGATGATAATCTAAGGTTGTATTGTTAGAATAAGGCTGTTATCGTTCAGAGGAACATACCGTTGGCAATGCGATGCCGTAGGCAATCTTTGAGACTAATGGATTGACAGAGCCAAGTGCTGGCGATTTAACGTCCTCCCCGGCAAAGTAGTAAATCACAACCCCTGCAACGAGGTATAGCGAGATATCGATGGATTGCAGCAGGGTCAGGGCTTTGGGGAAGTCCTTGGGGTCTTTCAGTTCGGCGATGACGTTGAAGAAGGCATTGTGGCTCGCTAAAGACGTTAAAAATTGTTTTACTCCATGGTTTCAATACTCACCATAGGACAGGATGATATTCAGGGCAGAGGTGAATCCAGTAACGAGGCTTGTTTCGGTGGTTGCTTTGACAGGGCCACCGGGGTGTTGGATGCCGATGGCGACCATGGCGATCATCACAGCACAGAAAATACTGATGAATGCTGGACGAGATTAGCGCTGTACACTCGTATATAGAAAAACACTAACAAGCAAGTGATAGCCATGACATGTTCTTCATCGTGCGTGGCAAGGAGAGAACAAGAGAGACGATCAGGCCAACCACCCCAAAGACAAGCGAGCAGGTACCGTGCTCTGTCAGGGTATTCATGGCCACAGTGAAAGTAAGAATATGGCTTGCCATGAGGAAGATCAAGAAGAGCATTTGACCGCTGAACAAGACTTCCCGACCAAAACGGCCCATCAGGACTTCTCCCGCATCGGCCATACTGACAACATGCGGATACCGCCACTTGAACTGTCCGATTACATAGCCGGTATAAGACGCAATAACACCCATCGAGAGAAGAATAACAATAGCAGGAACGAGGCCGAGGCCAGCCACAGCCGCAGGGATGGATAGAATTCCGAGAGAAATCGTTTCAGCGACCATCAGCAGGCCACATTGCCTAACGAGATATCATCAGTGACAGGATACAAGGACCGGAACTGCAGACCATACCACCACTTGAGGACTTTGTATTTGACTTCTGCGTGGGACTCGTCACCAAAGGCATCCTGGCGATATGGCATGCTTTCGGCCTTTTGCTCGTCGATGGCCATTCCGGCGTTCTCTTCGTGTGTTTTCTCGGGGGTGCTTTCAATGTCGGCGTTTGCCGGTTGGGCTGTGTATGATGGATAGGACATGATGAAAGTCGAGTAATAGTATCATATACAACAGGGGTATTTAAAGTGAACGGGTAATGTGTTGATGGAATGGGAGACAGGGGGTTATAAAAAGCAGCAAGTGGGAAGGACAACACCGCACCGCGTATCCGCAGACAAGTGCTAACTTATAGAGAAAGAGGATAGGAGGAGACTCAGTGGAACCGTGCAGGCAGTTGGGACAGATTGTCAGTGTGCAAGAGCATCCCCCGTCTTATCTATGGGTCCTACGAGCACACCGTAGAGATATTCTCCTCAAGATATTCAAGACACAGTTTCAGCCATCTATTCACCTATCTATTGGCTACTTTTAAGATTGAGTTTAATTATTTCCCTCACAACGCAATATTGTACCCCGGACATCGTCGTTATTCTCGTTGTATATGCCGCAAGCTGGGGACTCCACGATACTCCGTCTGGGGAAACCAGACACTCCAGCCACTCCACAGGCGCTTTATCTTTGTCTTCTCAGATTATTGGCGAGAGTGTATTTCTATTTCGTAACTCATCATTCTACCCCGGGGCCACGACGCCGGCCGACGCTTATCAAGGAATAACCTGCCTATTCGGCCGTGGCAAATCATTCTCCCAGTCGGACCAGGTTTGATAAGTCAATAATCATCACGGAACAGTAAAGCTGTGATTAATTAGGCGAAACCGTGCGGGATTTAATTTCGGTCCAGGCGGCTGTCAATATCGGACTCTCCTTCCTGTCCGAGCCCCCATATATCTACCCCGACTCGGCCTACTTCCGCCGAAACCGCTCCGAAATATAGGCCGATTTAGTACGGGTTGATGATGCCGTCTATGGTTATCCTGGTATAGAGGAGTTTGACGGACTGTCATTGGGTGTAAAGCCCGAACTCGACTGCCGATGCAGCGCCTATCATGCCGACAGGATCATTCGTTCTGAATATAGAAAGTCTTTACATGCCGGCTATCTGATGACCAATTCTACCAGCAGAATGTAGTCCTTCGGAGACTCAGTAAGCACAGACATGAGAGAGTTCATCATTCTAAGCACTTGAATCTATCTATAGCTTGTTTCCCATATTTACATGCACTGCCTTAACCTGGGTATAAGCCTCAAGACCAGCCTCTCCCAGCTCTCGTCCAATTCCACTCTGCTTGACGCCTCCAAAAGGCACACGTGGGTCGCAGTCCTGGCTGCTGTTCACCCAGACCATGCCTGCCTCTATTTCCGCCGCAACACGATGGGCGCGTTCCAAGTCCCGAGTGAAGACTGCTGCTCCAAGACCGTATGTTGTATTATTGGCACGCTTGATGGCGTCCTCTTCGCTGGAGAATGGGAGAATGACAACAACCGGACCAAAGACCTCGTCGCGTACAATGGCGTAGGAATCATTCTCCCCCGTAAAGACAGTCGGCTGCACAAAGTATCCATTCTTGTTCTTTGCATCAGCAGGAGTATGTGCAGCACCTCCAGTAACAACCTTGACGCCATCCTTTTTGGCAGCTTCAATATAAGATAGAATCCGGTCATATTGTGCCCGCGTAACCTGAGGGCCCTGGAATGTATTCTCGTCCCACTGGTCGCCGATCTTCGACGTCGTCTCCACAGCCTCTTTGAACCTGTCCAGGAAGGTCTGGAAGATATCCTGGTGAACATAGATGCGCGAGGTGGCAGTACAGATCTGGCCCTGGTTGGACATGATTCCGAAATGGGACCATTTGACAGCCTGCTCCAGGTCTGCATCTGGGAAGACCAGCAGCGGTGACTTGCCACCTGTTTCCAAGGTGATATTCTTCAACGTACCAGCGGCGAGCTTCATGATTTCTCTTGCTGTCATTGTCGACCCCGTGAATGCGATCTTATCCACCAGGGGGTGTCCAGCGAGCGCAGCACCAGCCTCACGACCGTAGCCATTTACAAAGTTGACAACACCAGGTGGGAATCCAGCCTCCTTGAACAACTTTGCAAAGATCAGAATACTCAAGGGCGTCTGTTCCGCAGGCTTAAGCACGACTGTATTTCCGCAGGCCAGCGCCGGTCCCAGCTTCCAGCACGCCATGGACAGGGGATAGTTCCACGGGATGATCTGGCCAACAACGCCAACAGGCTGGCGAATTGTATAGGCGAACTTCTCCGGCGTCGTACTGATCGTCTGGCCGAATGTTTTATCGGCCCAGCCGCTGTAGTATCGAATAGTTCCGATGGCTTCGACGAGGTCTTCATTAAGAGCGACGTGGTAGGGTTTGCCTATCGTTTACCATCAGTTGATTCCGACAAACCAACCAAGACAACATACCGTTATCCCACGCATCAATTGTCGCAAACAACTCCTTATTCTGCTCCATGAGGTCCGCCAACCGGCCCATGAGCTGTCCGCGCTCAGTGCCAGGGAGTTTCTTCCATGAGGGGTGTACGAGGGCTGCTTTGGCGGCCTTTACCGCGCGGTCGACATCATCTGCCCCGGCCGCATGGACGGTCGCAATCGGCTTATCTGTTCTATATTGTGTCAGTAAATCGAATATCAGGCAGTGGAGGAGACGGACGCAGGGTCAATCGAGGTAATGGTTTGTCCGCTGGACGCGACAAACTCGTTGTTGATGAACAGGCCCGTGGGCTGGGTGTACTTGCGCCCGTTTGGAGCAGTGATCTCAACGGAAAGGCCAGACATGATGTAAAATATGCTAGATGTTACAATGTCAAGAAGCTGCTGTCTGTCGCGGGGTCTTATGTACGGAACCAGCTGCTGTGGCTATACCAACCCAGAAGGGAATGTCCTTCCGACTGTGGAGTTGCTGCATCACTAATTTAACTTGGGAATCAGTTTCTCATCTGTTTGCACTCCGTTTGCATTTCGTGACTTGTTTTGTGGATCTGTTTGCATTTCACTGCATTACTTTATGCAGACCTGGTGCCAGCCCTACTTCTTCAACACCAACATCCGTGGCTTCTACACATGATAAGATGTCGGACCACCTTAACCTATTTCAGTTCACACTCAGCCGTCCTGCACTTCCAGAGACGCTCACATGGATTCAGCCGATCAGCCGCGGGTTCAGCTCGAGCGTTTCCCCGCACAAACCTCCAATGACACCGGGGGCCACGTCTGTATCAGTCTAGATTCAGTCTTAGTAGAGTATTAATCTATATTAGGCGTTCTACATTCATGCTAGAGAATCCCCCGCGCACCATCAGACCCGTTCAGTGCTGCGCCCCTCGAATTAAACTCCGTCCTGACCTCAGCACTATAAGACCCGCACGTCAACCTTCGCTGAACCAAATTTCCTCAATCATCGCTGCAACAGTATCACCAACATGGCAAGCACCGACAGCAACGGCCAAGGCAACTCCCCCGTCTCCTCCGTCGAGGAGTTCACCCAAACCGCCTTCGACTTTATCATCTGCGGCGGGGGTACAGCCGGATGCGCCATCGCAGCACGCCTGAGCGAGGACCCCAGCGTCACCGTTGGAATCGTCGAAGCAGGCAGATACGCCATTGACGATCCGGTAATCGACTCTCCCGCGGGGTTTTTCCAGGCATTCGAGAACCCAGACTACGACTGGTGTCTGTACACCGCGCCGCAGACAGGCAACAATGGCAAAGTCCATCATATACCGCGTGGAAAGGTCCTGGGTGGCTCCAGCGCAATCAACTACATGATGTACGTCCGGGGATCACTGCAGGACTACGACGACTGGGCTGAGCTGGCCGGTGATGACGGCTGGTCTGCGGCGTCGATGAAGCAGTACATGCGCAAGCACCAGGTACCCCATCCGTCCAAATATAGTCCTTGTTATATCCTCAGCCCTAACAAGACAGACTCTGGAGTCCGTCAACACAGCAATAGTCGACGCCCCCTCCCCCATCGTCGCAGAGAACCACGGCACCACCGGCCCAATCCGCACCAGCTTCAACGACGCATATCTGCCCCTCGACACTGAAATCGTCAAAGCCGCCGCCGAAACGACCAATCTCCCAAACAAGCCCGTTGACGCCTGGAGCGGCGACCACATTGGCTTCTACCATACCCTCGGTGCAGTCGCGCGCTCAGGGCCCAACGCCGGTAAACGCAGCTACGCCGGACGCGAGTACTACGATGCCAACTCGTCACGTCCCAATCTCAAGCTCCTCTGTCAAGCACGAGTCAACCGCGTCCTCCTCGACGGCACCAAAGCCACCGGCGTAAGTATTAGCGTAGACGGTAAAGAGTACACTGTCTCCGCAACCCGCGAGGTCATCGTCTGCGGCGGCACCATCCAATCCCCCCAGATCCTCGAGCTCTCAGGAATCGGCGACCCAGCCGTGCTCGCCGCAGCAGGCGTAGAATGCAAAATCGAGAACCCCGCTGTCGGATCCAACGTACAGGACCACAGTCTCAGCCTCATTATCTGGGACCTCCACCCCGGAGTCGTCAGCTTAGACACGCTCTACCAAGTCCCCGAAGCCATGCAAGGCGCAGTACAGCAGTACGCAGAAACAGGAACCGGCCCGCTGAGTGCTGTCTCCGGCACGCAGGGGTTTTTCCCTGCCAAACGCATCCTGTCTGAATCCGAGCTGGCCGAGATGGTCCAGAGTATCCGGGATATCAAACCGAGTACCCCGTTCCATGAGAAACAGCTCCAGCAGGTGGTTGCCCATCTGGAGAGCGACATCTCCGCGAACATGCAGTTCGTTTTCCTACCTGCAACGTTTAACCCCAAGGACGGGCCTGAGCATCAATCTAAGCTCGTTTCCCCGCCGGCGCCAGGTCAACCAGCCGGTGTCAGTGCTGCGCTTTGTATCCAGTATCCTGTCTCTAGGGGGTACATCCATATCCAAAGCAATGGTATGCCCCCCATGCATACTTAGCATTCCTTCATTGACAATTGAACAGACCCCGCCCAACCCCCAATCATCCAACCAAACTACATCACCGAAGAAGCAGACGTAACCCTCATCGCCGCATTCCTTCGCTGGGCCGACAAAGTTGGACTCTCCCCCTCTGTCTCCTCCTCCATCGCCCGCCGCACATTCCCACACCCAGATCTCGACATACAAGACCTATCGCAGGCGAAGCAGGCCGTGCGCGACGCCGTAGTCGGAGAATACCACATCTGCGGATCCGTCGCAATGGGGGACGCGCTGGACTCGAACCTTCGTGTTAAGGGGGTGCAGGGTCTGCGTGTTGCTGATGCATCTGTGTTTCCAAATAATGTTAGTGGGAATATCATGTCCAGTGTTTATGCTGTTGCGGAGAGGGCGGCGGATTTGGTGAAGAAAGACCATGGACTTATTTAGTCTTGAATCTATCTATGCCTTCATTGGTCTTGATATTATTTTTATTTGGATCTCTTGTGGTTAATGCCATTTCTCTAAATTCAGCCAGCAGGCTATCTTGTTGAATAGCTGTTACAGCATATACCTAAACATAGGCGACCTATCACCCATCTTCGCCATCTCGTACGACGCATAATTCGAGACATCCATCTGCTCCCTCTTCCTGTTAATCCGTTTATACGACTGGCGCAACACCAGGACAGCCCCGATGCCCACAACACAGAACCCCAATTCCAGCGCATGCCCGAGGGTGTATTTCGGTGCGTCCTGCTCGCGGTAGAAGTTTGATGCCATTGCTGTACACATCTATTAGCTTATGCCTCAAGCCATCGGAGGGGGTTGATTGTTAAGGCATACCACCAGCAAGGTTCCCCAACCCGATATGCATAGCCATCCCAGCAGCGCGTTTATAGTCGCCTGCGAGGTTGACGCTAATCCAGGTGATGTTTCCTGGGAAGGCGGGATATATACCTACTTCCATCAGCTACATGACACAGGACAGGAAAGGAAAGGGATGTTAGACGCACCAACAACAGCAACAAACACCCCAAAATACACCACACCTGGCACGCCGCGGTCCGAGGAGGCGAGAACTATAATAAACCCGATGGCAATCAAGGACATGAAGAAGAGTATAAACGGCGAGCGCTTCTTGTATCGATCAGACAGCCAGGCACCGAAGACGGCTACAACCGCCGCAGTGATGTAGATGGGCACGGTGAGCAGCTGTGCCGTGGAAGATGTATAGCCCAGATCCTTGATGATGGAGGGGAGGAAGAAGGAGATTCCGTACAGGGGGCATGTTATACCCCAGTACACTGATGCTATTAGCTTATGCTGTTAAGCGCCGGAAAGTTGACATACTAAATAACCCAATATAGATCTGCCAGTCCGTCAGGGCATCGAAGACGTATTTCGTGCGGAACTTGGCCTCTTCCTCGACGACTTCCTGTCTGGCCTCTCCGGATGTCTGCGTGCGCAGGGCATTGATCACGTACTCTCGTTCCTCCTCCGTTAGGAACGACGCTGTCTCTGGAAAGTCATACATTGTGAATGGCGCAACAACACCAACCAGGACAGTTAGAATTCCCTCGAGAATGAAGATCCAGCGCCATCCGGCAAGGCTGCCCACGCCGTCCATTTTCTAAGTGTGTGAGCGAAGTCAGGTGGCAGGAGGTGGAGGTATCATACCGCGATGGCCCAGGCGAGGATGCCGGAGAAAGCACCAGCGACACTGGCGGCACTGAAGAAGAAGGCCTGGCGGTACTGGGCGAGGTGTCGGGGGTACCAGAGGGTGATGTAGTATGCGATCCCGGGGTATAGACCGGCCTCTATAGTCAGGTATGTCAATTGTGTTCGCATGAAGGATACAGGATGGATAGAGCGGACCTGCGACACCGAGGAAGAGACGGGAGATTAAGAGACCGTGGTAATCTTTAACAATGCCCATCAATGTCTGAAATATCAGCATTATTAGTATCTTCTGGTGATTCGCATATAGAGACGGACCATCACAATCCCCCACGCAACCATCAGCAAAGGCAGCAACCTCGACGGCCTCAACTTCTTCAGCAGCAGGTTACTCGGCAGCTCGAACGCGACATAAGTAAAGAAAAACACAGTCACTGCTGGTCAGCAAGCAGCCCTAACCAGGTTATCGTCACACATACAGCACCAGTTATACTGCGGCCCCGTCATATGCAAATCATCCAGCATTCCCTCGATCTTCGCATTCCCAATGTTTCCCCTGTCCAGAAACGCCAGCAGATACAGCAGCGCAAGCATCGGAATCAGACGCAGGTCCATCTTGCGAAGGACACGCTTCTGCATCGCCGGCGAAAAGGCCGCCGCGGCATCCCCTGTAGAGCCAAGCGGGCTGGCAGCGACATTTTCCTTCTCGAGCGCGGTCGCACCGGGTTTTTCGAGGTCAGTGTTGTCGAGCGACATTGTGCAGATCGAATGGGCAGCCAAGTCAAGTCAAGGCGAGTCAGTCAAGGCTCTAAGCAGCTTAAATACCCCAGGGAATAGGCTCACCCCTCGCTGGAATATCCCCCGCATTAAGCACGGGCGAGACCCTCAATTCCCCAGTCCCCGAACTGCAGGCTGTGGAGGCTTGATAAGCCATTGAGGGGAATCAAAGAATCGGATACGATGCGAGGGCGAAACCCGCGGGTGCAATTCGCTGTCCAGGTTGCACCGATCCACTGACACGCACGGGACAGTCTTGGCCATTAGGTCTTGCTCCTTGAGAATTATTCTTGACTGACTCTTGTCGTCCATCGGATCCGGTGGCGGATCCGTTGTTGTGACAGGGCATCGGATCCGCTCCGACGGTCTGATGAAATCGGCAGTTGCGTGCTATATTCGGTACTTATGGGATGCTTTAAAATAAATACATCGTTTCCATGAAAGTTTATCCAATCAATAACCTTTACACAATGACGGTGCATACTCCCCAGGGATCTGTCGTGGTCATCGGCGCCGGCACCCAGGGCCGTCGCCTGGCCTATATGGTGAGCATAATCAATGAGGACTTATATAGAGATACTAACGGTCGCAGTGGTCCAGTCGCGGGGGATCAGTATTCCTAGTTGACTTAAACCAGAAACAACTCAAAGACGGACTGGAATACGTCGAGCAACTCCGTACCGAAGCCACAGGGCATTCCGGCACATGGGGAGATGTGCAAATATCCACACCCGACTCGCTCGAGTCTATACTACACAGCGCATGGCTTGTTGTCGAGGTAGATCAGCCACTTGCCTTGATGAATTATGTTGACCTCCCCAGTGCGTTCCAGAGAACCTAGCATTGAAACAGAAGATTCTCTCGCAACTGGACAGCCTCGCGCCCAGCCACACTATCATCGCATCAAACTCCAGCAGCTACGGAATCGGGGAAGTCATTGAAGGCATGGACCTGAGGTGCAGTAGCAGACTGCTCAGCGCGCACTGCTGTAAGTATTTCAATCAAGTTTCCATACCACGCTGACCATGTAGACTGGCCACCCGAGACATCAGGTATTACCTCGAATCCTTCTCTATAAGATGAGACTAATTATCTAGCAATCGAGATAATGGGCCACAACGACACTGATCCAGCCCTGATCGATCTTCTCTTCGATCAATGTGAAAAGCACGGCTTCTCGCCATTCCGTGTCCGACAGAGCTCCATCGGATATATCTACAACCGGTATGGTCTGCCTCACAATTAAGTATTCAGCTAACATCCCACAGTATCTGGGCCGCTATTAAACGAGAAACACTACTAGCACTGTCCGAAGGGGTCTGCAATCCCGAGGAAATCGATGCTATTTTCAAGGATGTCCTCAAAACCCCAAAAGGGCCGTGTGAACAGATGGACGTCGTGGGTTTGGACGTTGTGCATGACATTGAGAAACACTACGCTGAAGCCCGCAGTGGCCTTCCCAGTGAACCTCGGGAATATCTACAGAAGATGATACAGGACGGAAAATTGGGAGTCAAGAGTGGGAGCGGGTTCTACAAATACAAAACCGATCAGCAAGGCTAAGCTTGTCCCTGTATATACATTTATAAACATCGGGCCAGCTTATTCTACCATAGTCTCGATGTTAAATAGAATACGGAATAGGCGGCTCTCCAGCATAATGAGACACTTTTGAAAACGACTCCCTCGCCGCCTTAACAGACTTGCTCTGCGGGAGATGGTTCAGCGCTCGTTCCAGGACAGACCGCACACTCGCATGCCCGCTGTGGGTGATCTTCCTCTGCTCCAGTTCGCGGTCGATGGCAATCTGTACGAGCTGCACGGCGGCAACAACGTGATGTGGATACGGGTCGATGGAAATTAGAGGAACTGTGACTGATGTCTCGGTGGCGCCGACATGGTCTACCACGCCAGAGTCTATGCTGATGGCCATGGTTGTGGTATTGTGCAACCCGAATACCATCGTGTTTACCACGGCGCTCTCCACGCTGGCGATGGTCTCTTTAATTTCGCTGAGCAAGTCCAGGCGGTCCGTTGCCTCGATGGCGTTGGCCATTAGCAATATGGACAGGTGGTAGTGCAGCATGAGAGAATCTACACTGTTAGTGTCTGTATAGACCAGGCGGAAATGGAGTACTCACACCAGCGAAACTTTGTATGCTGCCCCAGGAACGGCATGCGTTGTTCGCAAGCCTCCAGAGGTCGCTTATAAGTATCATTGAACTGCCTCATGGCTTCAACAACCAAGCTAAATGCCCTCTGTACCTCGGACTCATCATGTCCATCCCGTAAGGCCTCCTTAAGAATCGCCGCCAGTTTCCACGTCAACAACTTCCACGCTGTCCCACTGGCAATGATCTGGTTTGCCCTGTCATCCGTCACAACATAAACACCCTCAGCCTGCCATTCCTGCCACTTATCCCTAAACATCGTGGCCCCAGCCCTAACCAATCTCCACGCCATCTCCGCCTCAAACCCAAACAACCCCGAGGAAAGAAGCGACTGACAATTCAGCGTCAGCGAAGCAGACGTATCAAACGTCAATGCCGCATAATACGCTATATTCTCCGCCGCAATAAAATCCGTCGTCCGCACCGTCTCAGGAATCGGCGGAATCGCTTCTGACTTTGTCGGCTGCGACACTTTTGTCCCATTGAACCGCAGACTCCGCTGGCGCGCGCGCAACGTCTGAATCTGTTGCAGGGCAGCATGGATGCACACCTGCCCGAATATCCCATCCGCCTCTTCCTCTTCCGAGATATCCGCAGGGACCGGGGTCAACGCAAATAGGAAGAGGGAGAGAATGGATCTGTATGAAATACGATTGATCACGCGGAGCATATCCCGCCGGGCACGTCGCCAGAGATCGTGAACAACACTCTGGTAGTGCGATGATGTATTCGGCTCGCGAGAGACAAGCGATAACCATCTCGCTGCAAAGGCCGCTATGGTCCCGTGGAGAGACTCCTCTGCCTGTCGGTCTCGTGAGCTTTGTCCGCGGTAGTGCTCCCTTAATCCCTGAGGCGAGTCTGCCTGTGACATCTCTTCCATCCAGCGATCAAGCCGTTCGCAGACTTCGGCGATACTATTCCGGTCTTCACCCGTGCAGCTCCCTGCTCTGGTATATGTCAGTAAAGCTAAGCAAGTCCATAACAACGCAACATACAAAAACGGGCACCCATATCGACTCATCCACGAGCCGAATATCGTATCAAACCCAGCTTCATAAATCACCCGTGCCAATCGCGCATTGAAGGCACTTAAACCAGCCATCGGCGACGCCAAAAGCGCAGGGTCAATTAACGTCGCCGGCGGTGGTCCATTCTGGATAAGCTTATCCCCGAGCGTGTTTGGTACTAAATCGCGTGGACTACGAGACTCGGCAGATGCAGTCGGCGTACTCGACGTCCTCACCGCTGCCAGATCAGAAAAGGCCCCATTAGTCGTGCTCGTCGCTGAAGATGTAGACTTCTGACGAGCATGAGCACGGTTCCTGCGCGAGTTACTCTTTTTCGCCTTCTGCGGCTGGACACTATTCATCCACTGTCAACATGTCAGCTAAACCATAGTCTTAGATAGAGTAGTGGGTCAAACCTCAAAAGTGCACCTCTCACTGCGGCGCGTACACCGCGAACAAGAAACCGGGGAAGCGCCCGAGTGGCCACTGCCAGCGCCACGGGCCAAAGCATCACAGCGCACCCTCAACCGCCGACACTCGTCGCAGCTGGAGAACTGCTTGCGCCGTGCAACAAGATCGGTCATGGTATGGGAATTTGGAGTAAGTACAGGTAAGCAAGGGGCCAAGGATTGCCGGGCATGATGGATCGTTGCTGGTCAGGGAGTCGGGGGACTGCAGCGGAGTGTCCGTGCTTCTTTTGTGCTCCACTGTTTTATGCATTTTCGATTACGTACGAGGCTTTGTGCTTGGCATAGTGCGGGGGTTATCCACTCTGGGGCCGGTGGGCTCCTATTGGTCAATTGGCAGCTTGCCGTTTCGGGAATCTGGGGTTGACGGGAATACACTGATTGTGGACAGTGCAGTAAACGCCGCTGTCTGTCCATACAATCTGCACCGTTTGCGGCATTGTCACATTTTGTCTGTCTTCCCAGCAGCGCCATATGTAATATGGCTTTGTTCAGTGTTGGTTACCCGAGCCTACAGATTCACAGTTATTTGGTAAATATACCGGAACTTTAATACATCTTACCCCTCACATAAGGCGCGTTGTTATCTATTCAGCCGCACCTTTCCAGTTGAAGCCCATAACATTACGCCCAAGGAAAGAGCAACGGCGTTGGTGGTTCCTGCCTATTCTTAGCTGCCCTTATCGCACCTTCCTAAACTACCAACTGTGCTGATTCCTCCTAAACCGGCAGGTGCGGTGGTGCTAGGCTCCAAGGTTTAAAAGTCCTTCAATATATGGCGGATATGCCTAGCTATTGGTGTATAATCAAGTCCTATTAGACATTAATGCCAAGGCTGACCCTTTCATCGAAAGCAAATAGTTCATCAACATGAATAATGTCATTTCCCATTTTAGCAGTAGCAAGCTTATTGCCTTCTCCTAACAATAACATTAGGACCGGTCTTCGAAGCCACAAAATGATCCACCATCTTAAACTGGCCAGTCTCATCCTCGCCGGTCGAGTCAGCCAGCTCAAAGTCGAATAGGTACATGATCCTGGCAAGGGTAATTCGCATTTCCATCAATGCCATGCTCTTTCCAATACAGCCGCGGGGTCCAATGCTAAACGGGCAGAAGGCCTTGCGGGCGATTTCAAGATCGTCCTTGGTCACGGTCCAGGCGTCGTCCATGGTCTTGCAGACTGCCCCTTCGATCCAGCGGTCGGGCAGATAGCTCAATGGTTCGCGGTAGTAATCCGGTCTTCGGTGAATGGTGTACGGAGGAGTGCCACATCCAGTTCCTTCAGGGAGAACAAGGCCATCTACAGTGACGACAGGGTCTGAGGCCTCTCGCGGGATCGATCCGGCAACAGCTGGGGCGAGACGCATAGCCTCGTCAATGCAGGCCTTCAAGTACGGCAACTGGTTCAATTCAGGTCCACTAACGATCTGCTCCACGTCGCTGAAATGAGAGCGCACTTCCTCCTTCAGCTTCTCCATGGCATGGGGGTTTCGGACTAGATGGAACATCGCTGCCGAGAGACTGGTGGACGTGGTGTCGCTGCCCGCAATCATCAGAACGTTCGCTTCTCCCCAGAGTTCCTGAGTCGCAAGGCCCTTTCCGGTTTCGGGATCGCGGGCATTAAGGAGGTAGTAGAAGAAGTCCTTCTTCGCGTCTTTTCCCAGCGATGCTCTCTCCTGGGCGCGCTTATTAGCTTCTTGCCGGGACTCCATGATAAAATTCCACCGGTCGTTCGTCAATCGGCGAATAAAAATCTGGTCAAGATGCCAGCGGTGCAGAGGCATCCAGAGACCGCACTATTCATGTCAGTGATGTCAAACCTGAAGATCTCGAGAAACATACAACATAGTGCCGGTATGCCGCCCTGTCAACCAAATGGACCATGCGCCTCTTCGCGCCGTCAATCAGCATATCAAAACTCTTCCCAAAGCACAGCTCTCCCATAACGTCGTAAGTCAAGTATCCAAACCAATTGGCCATGTTAAACGTAGCACCGTCTTTCGGGTTACTCGGCTGCAGCCCTTTCGGCTCCCGGCCTAGAATCGAGCACAGCTGTCGCACATGCAGAAGCATAACATCCTCCATTCCCTTCAGTGCATTATCCGAGAACGCCTGGCTAAGCACGCGGCGCTTCCGGCCATGAATCATCTTATCAATCGCATTGTGCGTGTTATAGACCCCCGAAATGGCCGGGAACGAGTTGTAAAAGTCGGCCTTTCGGAAGCGATTTCCATGGCCGTAGATCTTATGCAGGCCCTCGACGGAATTCACCGAGACGAAGTTCGGCGCGAGTCGCACATGGGGGCCATATTGTTGGTGCAGTTCATAAATCCATAGATGTCGGTCGCCCTTCAAACCGTGATAGAGCTGAACAAAGGGCGTCACAGAGGCGAGAAACGGACCGGGGACGCTCGACAGGGGATGCAGGAACTTGGCGTATGCAGTCCAGATGAGTGGCTGTACAAAATCCCAGTCAGTTAGCGGCTTTAGGTGCGGTTTGAATCGGGGGTTTCTACCAAGACAACGCTCGCGGCCAGCAGCCCCGTTGACCAGGACCCCGGCAGGATACAGTGCAGCATGGTTGTCGCGACCATTCTTACTCGGTTGGTAATCGCTTCAGCCTTCCTGCAACACCCTCTTCATCCCCAGCATTGTGGGCAGTTAAGTAGGCAGGGGCGCGGTTACCGTCGGCGAATACCAAAGTACGTCACTACTCGGCTACCGGCGGTATCCTCCTAAATTTATACGGAATGTCTTTAATCGGCCACCTCCCATTCGCTCCCGTTGTCAGCTGTCTTCATGCACGGGTATTTCATTCTCCAAATGCGGATATTTGAGCTGAATCGCGGGGTCATTCTTGTGCTGGTTAATCTTCGGGGTGATCAAGTGGTCCCTCCGATATATATCTCCGCCCAGTTTCTCCATTATTTCGGCTCATCGCGGGAAATCCAGAAAGACCGGGTGTTTTGTGTCCGATTTCGGCTTGAATAATATGCTGACGCCAGTGTTGATTTCTAATTTATTATTGTTGTTTGCTGGAGTCTACTGCGTGAGACTCAAGGCGAGGCTCTTAGGGCTCCGGCGTCGCAAACAGTTGCGGAAGTGGTGTTGAATTGAAACGCTCCAATCGCCTCTCATTCCGCGCTTGCGTGGGGCCTGATTTTAGACCAGTAAGACTGAAATGATAAGTATCTCTCTGGACATCTGGCGCATAGATTATAACAGCCTAACTCAGGATACTTCTGAGGCTGACTTAACAGGCGAATCCCCATACTGACTGAACGCCAGTGAAACCAGACGGGGTTCTGACAAATAAAAGTAATTCTATTATGCAAACGGTCAGGAATCTAACGGTAGGTAGAGGTATAGGACGCTCGGACTATTGACTATGGAGTGTTGGCCAAGCTGCAGTACGCTCGGACAATTTCAGTACAGCGCAACACCAGACAATGAAATTATATTCTCCGTATGTTGCACGATATGTACTCCGTACTACACTGTTCACTGGCATGATCAAAGGCAGGGAAGGCTCGGAGGGAAACGATCGGCTCTATCTGAACAAACAACTGTTAGTTCAACTTCCATAAAACGAAGGCAGATATGAATCAGATGACAAAGGTTTCAGTAACCTTGGGTAGTACACATAATACAACAGTCTTAAGCAATACTGATGTTTCATTTCGGCGAGTGAAAGGTTGTGCTCATCATGGAAGGTTGTGATTGGAATGACGGGGATGCTTACCACTGCCGAAAATTCTGCCTGGCTGTTTCTCCAGATATTGAGAAAGAGGCAGCCATGGCTCTATCTAAAGAAATGGAAACACTCTTAGGGAAGCGAAGTTGAGGAATTTATATCTATATACTGGCGGGAGACGCCAGAGCTCGGCATTGAAGCTAAGGAACATGCAATCAACGCCCATGCAAGCGCATCCTGTCGGGCTCTGAAAAAGGAAAAGCGCTCGACTATCATCCATCTTAAATTTATTTTGAGCACACTGATTTGTAGAGGCTCATGCCTCGAGTCAGTTGAGTCATCCTTTGTAGGGTGTACCTCGTATTCGGGACATGGATCCTCTGTGAGTCAAACGGAGATAATCCTTTCGAGCGAGATGAAGCAGTTTTGCCTGTTCTGACATGGAGATATTCTTCTCTCCATTTCTACACACCGACTGAGTGGAGTTGAATGCTTTTTAGAAGAGCAATTATTGACTACCACTATTACCGGGTTTCTTCAAACCTTGGAATTCTACCAGGACCTTCACAATGCCTTTCCACATATCATCAAATGACCTGTCCTGCATAATATCTCTGGCAAGATTGTATAACTAACTGCACTGTTGCATTCCGAGGCTTCACCGTCATACTTGATTGGGTAGCCTGAGCCACAGCTTTATTTGCTGGTCCTTGCAGGTTTCATATATTCGTCACTGGAAGATTCTGGGACTATACTTGAAATAGCAGGTAGTTGTTTTGCAGTGCGTTGAAGGACTTCAAAGTTGTCGCTCCTGCAGTCCTGCTCTCGCGTCTTTCCATACATGATCAGCGACATACCCGTATTCGGTTAGCGCCCACATGACTCGACTTTGATCTGCTTCGGCGTTGAGCTTCAAGTTCTCGAATCAACCTTGGAAGCTCGAGATCAGATCTGAATTCTGACTCATGATTCAACACGCCATGCCATCCATCTACACCCATCGGGAAGAATTCGCTCGATATCGCCGGCCCTTTTACCCGGCTTCCTCGATGGCCAGGACAGCCCGGCTGAACACTGCGATTGGCGGCACCTTGTACCGACGGTCCCGTGACTCGCTGTTCCAAGGCACAGAGAGATATCCAACGCCCCTCTAGAGCCCACTCTTTTTTTCAGTATCAATTCGGCCGTTGCATTGGATGCTTGGAAATGTCTTCCTCTACTGTTTCTCTCACGCCTGTGCCCTCTGTGGCCTGACCCCCCTCCAGAGTTTTCCACCTCGCCCAACCCAGATTGCTGCATCTACATAGTCTTGCGACTAGGAAGCAGCCGCTGTCAGGTCCAACCTAATACATCTAGTTCCCTGAGTGGGCCTGGAACCTGTGGCATCCTACGATCTCCCTTAGAGGATGTCCGACCGTCCTCTCCGTTCGGAGCACCCGTCCCATGAGGGGACGCCTGCCCCCGATACCTCAACAACACCAGAACAGGGGAGAGGCCCTGGTGCGTCGCACGACACTTCTATCGGAACCTCGGATCGAGTGTTTCCAATCCGGTCACTTGTCTCACTTGACCCCTCGACGCGCAGCGATGTCCCCTCACACGGCATGAACCCGGCCTTATCTCCTACCGGAGGCGCCCGTCGTTATTCGATTATCGACGATCAAACTTGGACGCGAATGCGATCAGAATCCGACAGCAGGACAAATTCGATTGACTTGAGTGGCGGTACTCGACCTACCCCGCAGACCTCCGAGCCCGCATCTTCTCAGCGGATGTCCGAATCGTCTACGCGACCTCGATCGAACACTTCAGCGTTACGGAAGGATGATGACAACACAATTCTTACTCCTACCTCTCAAGACGAGCCCGACCAGGAGGCTTACCAGCTTATGACCTCGCGCTTTCGTCATGTGGTGACCGACGACGGACACGCTGTGATAACCGGGAGGACTGTCGACTCGTTCAAAGCCTGTGAAGATGAGCCGATCCATATCCCGGGCGCAATTCAAAGCTTCGGTGCTTTAGTTGCTGTATGTACGGGGCCGAACGAGGAGATGATCGTTCGCATCGTGAGCGAGAACTCAAAAGACATTCTCGGTTACTCGCCGAATGACCTCTTCTCACTTCCTACCTTCTGCGATATTCTCTCGGTCGATCAGGCAGATACATTTTTGGACCATGTGGACTTTGTCAGGGATGAGGGTTACGACGCGGCGGTGGATGGCCCGGCCGTGTTTATTCTCACAGTGAATGAACCCAACGGTAGCATAATTCGATTATGGTGCGCCATGCATAGCAGTCCCGAAACCAATGGCTTGGTAGTCTGCGAGTTCGAGCTGGAGGAGGATGACGTCAACCCTCTGATGGTGCCGGGCCACATCTCGCCTGGGACCCCAGCGAATACTCTAGATGTGACGCCGACGACGGACCAGATGGCCGCTAGTACGACCACGATAAATCAGCCATTGCGCATCCTGCGCCGTGCACGCCGGCGAAAAGGCGAAACAGCTGCGATGGAGGTTTTCAGCATTGTCAACCAAATCCAGGAACAACTGGCCCGTGCGGATAGCATGGAGACCCTTCTGGATACAACTGCGGGCATTGTAAAGGAGTTGACGGGCTTCCACCGTATCCTGGTCTACCAGTTTGACTCGGAGTTTAATGGTAAAGTTGTCGCGGAACTAGTCGACCCGACCATGAGCATCGATCTGTTCAAGGGTCTGCACTTCCCAGCTGCTGACATACCAAAACAAGCGCGAGACTTGTACCGGATTAATAAAGTTCGGCTACTCTATGATCGCGACCATGAAACCGCACGGCTGGTGTGTCGGACGCTTGAGGATCTCGAAACACCCTTGGACATGACTCACGCCTGTCTCCGCGCCATGTCTCCTATCCACATCAAATACCTGGCCAATATGCAAGTTCGATCCTCCATGTCCATTAGCGTGAACGGTCCGAACGACTTATGGGGCCTTATTTCGTGCCATTCATACGGCTCTCGAGGGATGAGAGTATCATTCCCCATACGGAAAATGTGCCGACTAATTGGAGACACCGTCTCTCAAAACATCGAACGCTTATCCTATACGTCCCGCCTGCAAGCACGCAAGCTTATCAACACAATGCCGACCGATGCGAACCCTTCCGGATATATAGTCGCCTCGTCAGATGATCTGCTTCGACTTGTCGACGCCGACTACGGTGCTTTGTGCATTCGCGGGGAGATAAAAATTTTGGCAAAATCGCATCAGTCACAAGAGATGCTCGCCTTGTTAGAGTATCTCAAAGTGCGAAAGCATAATTCTGTCCTCGCTTCTAACCATATTGTGAAGGACTTTCAGGATCTGCACTATCCGCCCGGCTTCAAAGATATTTCAGGCCTGCTTTACGTACCGCTATCCACGGCTGGGCAGGATTTCATTGCCTTCTTCCGCCGCGGTCAATTAACCGAGGTGAAATGGGGTGGCAATCCCAACTTAGCCAAGTTCTCTGAGGGCCATCTGGAGCCCCGGAAGAGCTTTCAGACATGGAGCGAGACGGTCTTGGACCGGAGCCGGGACTGGACCGAGTCCGAGGTAGACACAGCCGCGGTTTTGTGTCTAGTATACGGCAAATTTATCAAAGTTTGGCGACAGCAGGAGGCCGCTCTGGAGAGCTCTAGCCTCACCAAGTTGCTTCTAGCAAACTCTGCCCACGAGGTACGCACACCGCTGAATGCCATTGTCAACTACTTGGAGATTGCTCTCGAAGGAGCGCTGGATGGCGAGACCCGGGATCACTTGAGCAAATCCTACTCGGCTTCCAAGTCCTTGATATATGTCATCAATGATCTTCTCGATCTCACCAATGTGGAGAAAGGGCAAAATCTCATTAAGGATGAGCCCTTCGACTTGCCGACAACACTCAAAGAAGTAACTGCCATGTTTGAAAGCGAGATGAATCGCAAGTCCTTAAGTTACACGGTGTTGCAGCACCCTGGGATCCCCGATACCGTGGTCGGAGATCAGCGACGTGTCCGACAGTCGATTAGCAACCTCATTTCCAACGCAATCCAACGCACCACAGAGGGTAATGTGACCGTGGAAGTGTGGCACGCTCCTGGCGAAGGGGACCCGGGCAAGGCGACGATTAAAATTGCGGTTCTCGATACAGGAGACGGAATCTCACCAGCTACACTTGAGCAACTATTTCGGGAACTGGAGCAGGTCACGGGGGAGGACGATTCCGAGAGCCGTGGCGATAATGGGGAAAATGCTTCCCTCGAGGGCGCTGCTCAAGAGAAGACGACAGTCCTGGGCCTCGGTCTGGCACTGGTTGCTCGAATAGTGCACAACATGCACGGACAATTGACCGTGAGATCTGAAGAGGGTAAAGGCAGCCGATTCCAGATTTCACTGCAATTCCTGATTCCTGAAGGGTCAGAGATAAAGAGTCCGGGCCTGGAAACTGGTCCGGTCGCCACCAAAGACTCCGTGGTTGCATTTCCTACGGAGGATATGGTTCTTGTCGATAGCACTTCTACTTCGAGGCATAACAGCCAGGGAAGCGGTGCTAGCGCCCGTGGCATTGGCCTAGAGGATACTACACCGAAAGCTGAACTGAAGACGCCGCGTGAAGCTTTACAACCGAGACAGCCCACGGAAACAGCCTCCCATGAACCTGAATCCGTTGTGTCGCAGCCTGCAGATCAATCAGTTTCAAAGCCAACCTCTAAACCTGACAAGCCCGACTCGCCACTTCGAGTGCTCGTGGCTGAAGATGATCCTATCAACGCAAAGATATTACAAAAGCGACTCGGAAAACTCGGGTACACTGTTAAGTGGACAGTGAATGGAGAGGAGTGCGCGAATGCATACGCCGAGAACCCAACGCAGTGGGATGTGGTGTTGATGGACATTCAGGTGAGCTGCTGCCAATGTATGGTAGAGGTTTATACTTACGGTACTGCAGATGCCCATTCTCGACGGCATGGACGCCACAAAACGGATTCGCGAATTCGAAAAACAACACATCTCATCGAACCTCCACACCCCCGTCTTCGCTGTATCGGCGTCTCTTCTCGAAAAGGACGCCCAGATGTACATTGACCTAGACTTCGACGGATGGATCATGAAGCCAATCAACTTCGAACGACTCAACACACTTCTTGCCGGCATCCACCAGGCACACGCACGGAACGGCGCCGTTTACAAGCCTGGTCAGTGGGAAAGAGGAGGATGGTTCTCGCTATATCCGGTATCGTGAAATGTTATCATGTTATATCATGTTCTATTTTTCGAAGACGAGTCATGATCAGCGACGGTGCCTGGCGCACCTCGCCTTTTAATTGTTGTGATACCATACTGTAATACATAATCTTCGCATAACTGGGCGAGTTGCACAATAGCCTAAAATTCATAATTCAAACTCCTAAACGTAAACCGGCTGCTCCATGCCCGGACTCGCCTTATACGAAATCCTGCCAGCCGGCAAGAAGAACAAGGCCACCAGGGCACCTCCTCTCACCTCCGGATAATGATGCGTCCCCGCGGCAGGCGACGTCCACCCCGCCCCCATCCACCCATTCATCCCCTTCAACTCCGCCGTTTTATCAATCTGAACCACGCAATTAATCTCGCCGTACGGATGCAGATGGTACTGCCCGCGATACTCGTCCGCGCTATCCATATACACCGTCGTGATGCTGAAATAGCGCGTGCGCTCCGAGGGCGAGCACAGCCTGCTCCGTCGGTATTTGGGGCCGTCCAGTTCGTCGGTCGCGATCCAGTCTTCGTTGTTGGCGATGCCGGTGCGGATGAGGCTGCAGAAGTCCTCATAGAAGGGGTTGCCCGGGCCGTAGTTGGTGTTGAGGTGCGTTTCGAGGTTCTTGCCAGGTGTTCTAACACTGTTAGACGATTAAGAGTGGCGAGTGGGTGGGGGAGTACAAGTCAGCCACTTCGGCGAAGAATTCCTCTGCTCTCTTGATGAGCTTCTCTGCGTTTGGATGCAGGGTCGACATTGTGGGAGGTAGACTTGTCGACAGTTGTTATTTCAAAGCGATAAGCGATCGCAAAGCGATAAGCGATCGCGGGGATCTTTAAGATCTGGGGAATGCGGAGAGAAATGGAGATCCGAGGCTGGAGACGCTCTCGGACACCAATCACGGCAGTTAGCTTACAGCGCAGTCTCTAGCGGGGTATGCATTGTTATAAAGCCTCGTGAACATGGTAGTGCCTGTCTGGCTCTTACTCCAGGATAACTTGGAATATCGCAATGTCGTCCTCGGTCGATCTACTAATCATCGGCGCAGGTACAAATCCACATTCGATATACCCATCCATTTGAGTACTAATAATGCAGGCCTCCACGGCCTCATCATGGCCAAGACCTACCTTGAGATCCATCCAGCCGCAACCCTGCTCGTCGTAGACGAAGCCCACTCTGTCGGAGGCACCTGGGCCGCCGAGCGGCTGTACCCTGGGTTAAAGACCAACAACGTGTTTGGGTCTTACGAGCTGAGTGATTTTCCCATGGTCGCTGAGAAATATGAAGTGGATGGGACAGGTCATATTCCTGGTCATGTAGTGCATGAGTATCTGTGCGACGTTGCTGATCATTTCGGGATTACGCCGTGTCTTCGACTTGGTACAAGGGTTACTTCAGCTGAACTGAATGATAAGGGTGTATGGGAGGTTAGGGTTGAATCTACTAATGAACCAGGAATAATTGATAGCATTCTAGCTACCAGACTGGTAGTTGCGACAGGACTTACATCGAAGCCCCATATACCAAACATACCTGGCTCCGAGACGTTCGGCGGTCTTATTGTCCACTCAAAGCAGCTCAAGGAGCACGCTCAACCACTGGCAAAGAGCAGGCGAGTAGTCGTGGTCGGTGGAAACAAGTCCGCCTGGGACGTCTGCTATACCGCTGTCCAGTCTGGCTCCCAGGTTGACATGGTCATCCGGCCATCAGGAGGCGGCCCCAGCTATCTCTGGCCGCGGAGCTTCTCCCTTGGTCCGTTCAAGACATCACTGGCAAAGCTTTCTACAACAAGGTTCTTTACCCTCTTCGATCCAGCGCCGTTCTACCGGAGCGGGAAGTTCTCATGGATGAAATGGGTACTCCACCGCACAGCACTTGGGCAAAGAATCTGTCGATACTTCTGGACGTACCTCGATTCTATTATTCGAGGAATCAACGGGTACAGCACACATCCCGAACTAAAGAAACTGGGGCCGTGGACGACTCCATTCTGGATGGGGAACTCGCTAAGCGTGCATAACTACGAGACGAGCTGGTTTGACCTGGTCCGAGACGGGAGGATACGAGTGCATATCACAGATCTGGCAAGCCTTTCGCCTGGAGAGGTCCATCTAGGGAATGGGGAGATACTCGATGCCGATGCTCTAGTGCTTTGCACGGGGTGGGCGACTGATATCCCTGTGAAATTAGGCGTGCTGGAAACCGGTGATTTGAATGATGGCAAGGAGGCCGTAAAGACGGTCTATGATAGTGTTCCTTACCTGGAAAGCCTGCCTCGACGGACATCCAGCGCTCCTATATGTGGAACAGTGTCGCCCGGCAAACTGACAGACTTTCCATTGCTGTACCGCGATATGATCCCAGCGCAGACATCCATTAAGCAAAGAAACCTCGCGTTCATCGGTATGTCTGTCTCTATCCACGCCGCGCTGGTCGCGCAAGCACAATCCCTCTGGATCGCCGCATTCTTTGAGGACAAAATCGAGCATCTCAACTCTGAAAATTGTAGCTTGGAGAATGTGAAAAACCGCGCTTTTCTCGAGAGGACATACGGCGAGATTCGCCGACCCCGAGAGACAGGCGGGTTGGCTGGACAACACGCAGATCTGGTGTTTGATAGCCTGCCTTATGTTGATGAGTTATTGGGTGACCTGGGGCTGATGGCAAACAGGAAGGGGAATTGGTGGAGAGAGCTGACGGAGGCATATTCGCCGGGAGATTTCAAGGGATTGGTGCACGAGTGGTTGGGATTAAGACTGCAGTGTTACTTGAGTTGACAGATAAGAAGGCAATAATGAATTCTGAAGGGGTTATAATCCTCTGCAGGGTGAAATATATCCCATCAATGACGATATCCCAATATCCGGTATTTACCCAAAAGTAGAGACACTGCCCATTGGACATAGGGCCTGCAGTCGAACCTCGCCCTCATCGCGCCTTCAAACCGATACTTCTGTCATAACGATTCGCAATCAGTCCCTGCGCAACATATCCAGCCCCGATCCTCGGAGCACCTCAGCCTACGTAAGATAGCTCGTCAGTCTCACCCCCTTAGTAAGACAGAGGCGACGCACTTTGTCCCTACCAGCTTCAAAATCACTTAGGATCCGACGGTGGACCTCACCATACGCATCCCATTCCCGTTGGCTCTCTTCCTGAGAGAGCGGGTCCGCGTACCAAGCTGCTCCTGGGTCGTCTTTGCTGTGACGTGGGTGGTAGAGAGTTCGCCACCGGGAGGCCTGGAACCATGAAATAGTCTGCCGTACCATGCCGCATTTGTGGCCGTTTATAGAACTTTCCGCACCGCCGATATGACCTGATAAAGACTTGAATTGGGAGAGAACATCATCTATTTTACGTGCGAAGATTTCGAGCGTGAACGCCATGGAGATGGCGGGAGATATATTATGGTTAGGAATTATAAAGAATGCCGTTGGGAATCATTACAGCAGGTCTAAGTGGTAGAATGGGACTATAGCTTCCTGCGCTGTCTCACAATCATCTCCATCTGTTAGTTTATACAGTGATACGAGAGGGATGGTCATCTTTGCCCAGCCGTGCAGTGTTTGCTAACACGCCACCAACCCCGCGCAGCACTTGCGAAGGAGCAGTACCTGTAAAGCCTCTTCATACACCCTAACAGGACTGCTCGCTTCAGAACACGATTGCTCTTGTAAACATATGGCTATCGGTAATGTTCACATCGTGCTTCAATGTCCCTGCAATTTTATACAAACCTGCAGAATGCAGAGGATTGCCTGCTGTCATGCTGTATGGCTAATGATTCCGCAATCTGAAGTACCTTCCACGGTATAACGGCAGCCTAGTACAGGGACAGTCTACTGGGCTGGATATTATCGATTTGTGGGTACTGACGAGAACTCCCCGGGAGATGTTCTAGAAGGCATCCATAGTGGATCGTCTATGGCGAGTACTCCAAGCAACGAAACAATATTGGAGCAGTGCTTTGCCAGAAAACTTACTAAAGAGCAAACTGCCTATTCCGGACAATGACATACTAACGCCGTGGCGAGACCACCCCAGCATTGTCTGGAACCGATATAATCCCTCACCACAGCGAAAATGACGTATCCAGACAGACGAATACTTTCGAGCTGCAGGAGCGAGAATGGCTCTAAGCGTTCGGGGTGAAATATCCAAGCGTATGGACTATCCAATCATGAAGGACCCCGAGTATACCCCGAGTAGTGCTTCTGTCGCGGTCTTCATAGTTGAACCCCTTAGAGCAGACAGCTATCCAGTAGCTAGATACATGCTCCGGGTATGGGGAGCGTAGGCAGCGGGGGAAGCTACCTGCCGACGTGGACAGCGACGATCACTAGATCTAGACCGCAGAGCTATCCAGCATGAACTGTCATCGGATCCGTAGGGCTGCGCAATTAGCCTTACGCCAGGTTCTTACGAATGGTATTCGGCATGGAGCAGGATCCTCACGTCTGGGTAACGCCTGCACAACGGCGTGTCAACGCTCTCCAACTGAAAATTCGATTGCATAGCCCCTTAATCCAGCTGTTCAATTCCCTTGGTAGTCTTCCTGGGGTGCACGCAGAAAACGTTGTGTAGGGGTTGCCACGGAATACCTAAAATTTTTGATTGAGAGAAGCCAACAAGATTCCGCATAGTGCAAACTCAATTCGATGGCGAGTGACGCAGTCTGGTCCGTTCGGCTGGGTTTCCTATGCTATCAGACGCCACCTTATTAAGGTCGCCGGAAATGGATTCTCGTCGTGGCAATCTGGGGGGGCATAGTATGGTAGACCCCCCGGGGGGTGCGCAGCAGGTGGAACCCATGGTCCAGACCGGCCCAGAACTTGGTCCACTGCGGCTGTGGCACTCCGGCAGTTATTTCTGTATCTGATTGGTCAATCTGGAAAGAAACTTCAGCCCACACGTGCGTCGCGTGGGCGTTTCCCCATGCTCCGCCCAGTCCACGGTTCTATACTCTTCCTCGATCTTCTCAATGGCGTTCCTGGTAGCCACCATCATTCGCCCAGAGGGTCGATAAGCGTGCCTGACATGTGGCGTCTGGTTCCGCTTTTCCTTGCAGGGGTTTGCGTGTTACGATGAAGCAGCTTTCCATTTCCGGCGCATCGTCGCCGCTTCTCTCCGGACTCCCTGCTCCCCCAGAAGATATATAAACCCCCCGAAACCTCGCTCTCAGATGTCTCTTCCAACTCATCCATTCCTTTGGAGATTCAGATTCAATCACTTTCTTTCTCTTTGCTTTCTCTTTCGAGGTTTATCCTCCCGACTTTCTCTTCTTTTTCTTGAGCAAAAAGACATTCTCTTTCCAAACTCACTCCACCTTCTCTACAAACCAAACCAAATCAATACATCCACTATGTATTTCTCCAAGGCCCTCCTCGCTTCCACCCTCGCTCTCGCAGCCACCGCTGCCCCTGCTCCCTCGAGCACCACCAGCTCCGCCCCCAGCAGCTCCAGCTCCAGCTCCTCCGGCGGCGGCGGTGGCGGCGGCGTCACCATCATCAACAACCTCTCTGAGGAGGTGCAGATCCAAAACACTGCCTCCACAACGGGCAACGGCGCCTCAAAGAGCCTCAGCTCCGGCGGTGACAGCACAACCGAGACGATGCAGACCACCTCCGACGGCAGCGGCATCTCCATCAAGATGTCCACCGGCGGATCCGAGAAGTCCGTCCTCCAGTTCGAGTACACCAGCGAGGGCGACAAGGTCTTCTGGGACTTCTCCAGCATCGACCTCGACGAGAACTCGGCCTTCATCAAGGGCGGCTTCTCTGCCCAGCCCGACAGCGGTGGCTGCGAGGGTGTCTCCTGCTCGCCCGGTGACACCAACTGCTCCCAGTCGTACCAGAACCCGGACGACAAGAACACCAACGCCTGCCCCGGTGGCACCTCTTTCACTGTTACCTTGGGTTAAGCTATAGAGCGGGATGTTAGCAATGCTGGCCCGTTGCCTGCCTGTTACTTGTGATGTTTGCTGTCTTCTGGGGCCGATAAAGCCCGCAAGGCAGGCCTTGCACTCTTTTATGACTTGTTATTCTTCATGCGTTTTAGACCACTTGAGAGTCTGGATCTCCAAGTTTCTGTTTCTGTTATAGACTAGAGAAAACGATAGAATATGTATATATGACCTGTTTTCAAATCAATCTTTTCTCAAAACGAACAAGTCTTGCCATCGTCAAGTATTGCATATTGCAACATTGTAGACACGAACTCATCGATAATCATGTGCACACAAAAAAGGTAACTCATATTCAGACACTCCTTGGCACTTGGGCCAACGCATAAAACAGGTAACCCTGTACTGTCCGAATATGGTCTCGAGTTAGTCAATTATTCAAAATGACAGAGCCTGAGGATCAGGAAATGGACCCCTATCGAACCCAATCGACCGCGTAATGGGCACCTGTCTAATGATGGAATGAATACCTTCTTTTTCCATCCTCCTTGCAGCTCTTGTATCTGGATAACTGCCGTCGGGCCAGTTGCTGTTGTCAGTTCTCACTATATACCTTACGCTGTCTTACCTCACTAAAGTTCCTTTTTCCAAGACTTTCGAAGATAATGCCTTTATAGTGGAATTTCAAATGCTGCAAACTGCTATCTAAATTCAGGAATAATAACTACTGGGTGGAGGATCGACATGGCGGAGATGGATGGGCTGGGGTACTTCGACACTACAAATGGTGTGCGCCTAAATTGATGAAGGGATAAAGGCGAATGGGTGGATGCAAAACCAAGTAAGGTGGCGAAAAAAATTTGATGGGAAAAAAAAGAAGAGGTCCTGCCCGGGATCGAACCGGGATTACCAGATGTGACTCTAATTCGTATCAGAGTCTGATGTCATAACCATTAGACCACAAGACCGATTGTTGGATTTTGCTTCCAGATGTCGACATTATATCCTGAGCCACATTTTCGACACTTCGAGCGTTATATTTTAGGTGCGAAGATGACTTTCTTAATAATCTATGGAGCTTTTAAATATAGAATAAGTATTGAGAATGTTCAATATGGTTGAATGTTCCAACCCATTGTTGTGTAAAATGGCCGCGTTTATGGTGATATCACTGGATGCCGATATATATAACGCGAAACTTCCACCCGAATACCGCAGAGACAAACATATCAAGTAACGAGTTGCGACCACGCCGCGTCGAGTCTATAGCTCATTATCCAAGCCACAAGACTCCCCCGCCTTAAACGGCTACAACCGGAGGTGGGCTGACAGCAGTACCTTGGTCGCGGTGGCCATGAGCGGTAACCCCTAGACCGACCCTGGGTTTGTATAGAGGCAGCCGCGAATCGAGTCCTTGAATCGCTGTCACGCAACGGATTTCCGGGAACTCTGGATCTATTCTGGTGACTGTCAGAAGGGATGTCTTCTGACTGTCTACGTATCCGGCCTAAGCATAAAGAACCGGGACCCCGAGACCGTAGACAGTTTGTAGAATCTGACTGAACTCTATACTATTCCACATATATCCTAATCGACATAAACAAAATGGTTAATATATCGCATCCCCGACCTCGCCGCGACTCGAAGAACATCGACGCCTGGCTCGTCGGCAGCGGCGTGGCATCCCTAACAGCCGCGATCCACCTTATGAAAGATGCAAAAGTGCCAGCCGGAAACATCCACATCCTCGACTCCAGCGCTGGATCTGGCGGCGGACTGAAGACACACGGCAATGAAATGGACGGATACTCCCTGCCCATGGACGGCAATCCGCATTTCCATGGGGAATGCATCGAGCGACTGCTGGCGTTGATCCCGAGCCAGATGGACGGCAGCAGGTCCGTTATGAAAGATATCCAGGACCGGGAGAAGACGGAGGAGGAGCTCATGCCTGCTCAGGCGAGGGGAATTAAACAAGGGGAGAAGGGGGCTGAGGTGTTCCATCCGCATGGCCTGCAGGTTGGGATGAAGCATCGCATGACGCTAGTTAGCCTGATGATGGAGAATGAGATGTCGATGGGGATGAAGAAGATTGAGGATATGTTTGACAAGACCTTCTTCGACACCAGCTTCTGGATGTTGTGGTCGACTACGTATGCCTCCTACATGGTTTGGTTACATAGGCTAAGAAGTATAGGTTCGCCCTGCAGCCCTGGCACAGCGCCATCGAGTTCAAGAGACACCTCCGCAAGTATCTCGAGGACATTGGGGCCCTGAACAGCGTCAAGACCACCCACCGGACCGAGTTCAACTTCTTCGAGTCCGCCTTGCACCCCTTGACCGACTATCTCAAGCAAGAGGGCGTGGACTTCCGCTTTAACACCCGCGTCACAGACCTCCAGTGCTATCCTGATGGCGACCCAACCACCATGTGCGCCATCGAGATGACCCAAGACAACAAGGAAGAGCTAATCACCGTCGACCCAACCGACATCGTCATCATGGGGCTCGGCTCCGTCAACGCCGGCATCTCCCTAGGCACAAACAAATCCCCGCCTCCCCCCTTGCAATCCAACTGGCGAGACCTAATGACCGACGACTGGAAGCTATGGGAGAAACTATCCAAGAAGTCTCTCAAATTCGGAGACCCAACGACCTTCCTCTCACGCATCCAAGAGTCCACCGTCGAAACATTCACCACCACATTCAAGGGCGGCGACTTCCCCAACGCCTACGAGAAAATCACCAACGACAAACCCGGCACGGGCTCCCTCCTCTCCCTCACAGGCAGCAGCTGGCAAATGACCCTCTGCTTCCCTCACCAGCCCGTCTTCCCGGACCAAGCCCTCGACACAACCGTCATGATGGGCTACGGCCTCAACCCCACCCAGCCCGGCGAGTACGTCAAAAAGCCCATGTGCGAGTGCACAGGCGAGGAAATCCTCCGCGAGGCCCTCGCCCACCTCGGCATCCCCGGGGACAATATCGTGCCCAACTCGAAGACCATCCCCTGTGGGATGCCGCTGGGGACTGCGCCGCTGCTGACGCGGGGCCCGCATGACCGTCCCACTGTGCTGCCCGGGCATGCTACGAACTTTGCGTGTGTGGGCCAGTTCGTGGAGATTCCAGGGGATACCACGATGGAGGTTGAGTATAGTGTCAGGGGGGCGCAGACGGCCGTTGCGGACTTGATGGGATTACCTGAGAAACCGCCCAAGCCGCCGCGTAGTTTGTTGATGGAGGTGTTTGATTTGATTATTTAGGCTGCATTGGTAATTTGTAGTGTTGGTTATCGTAGTTGTATGCTGCATTGTTAGTTGAGTTTGTGAGATACCAAATTGCCAGATGGAGCGGGTATGGGGTTCTGTAATGGTATTATTTACTTGCAATTAATCCCATCTATAATGCTACAATGTCGAGGCTATAAACTAGACTGTCAACTCCTTAAAGTGACGCGGAATCCATACGCCATAATGAGATCACCACGCCCACCACCGATGGTTCGCCGCAGAGATCTGGCTCAAACAAGGGTACGATTGTAATTCATCCAACCAATGGCAGCGTGACTGCATCGTGATGTATGCCAATAAAGTGTAAGTTATACAGCTAGCTAGTCGATCCTTCGGCAGACTGCAAACACCAAGACCAACCATCTACACTATACAACCATCTATATTACATCCAAAACAACCACAATGTCGCAAATGGCAAAGGAAGGCCAATTTCAGGCCCCTGGGGCCGCTCAGAGCCAGCAGACACCAGGGTAAGAGTATCTCTTGAAATCTGGGACACGTCGCTAACAGCGGACAGTCTGGAAAGCAAAATGCAGCCCGCCAGCGAAGCAACCAAACTGGAAACCCCCGAAGGCATTAAAGAATACGAAGGATCAGGGAAGTTAAAAGGGAAAAAGGCATTGATTACGGGCGGAGAGTATGCACACCACAGCCATTATCCCATCGCATCCGGCTAAGTGCTGTAGCTCCGGAATCGGTCGCTCAGTCGCAGCCCTATTCGCAAGAGAAGGCGCAGATGTAACGATCGTCTACCTCCCTGTCGAAGATGAAGATGCGCAGGAGACAAAGAAACTAGTCGAGAAGGAAGGACGGGGCTGTCTCCTGTATCCTGGGGATCTGAGAGACCGCCAGGTGTGCAAGGGGGCTGTTGATAAACATGTTGAGCGGTATGAAGCTCATTCTGATGATAAGACCAGAAACTAAGTAATACTGCAGATACGGACACATCAACATCCTCGTCAACAACGCCTCGCAGCAGTACATGTGCAGCGACCTCGCAGAGATCGACCTCGACACAGTGGAAGACGTATTCAAGACCAACATCATCCAGATGTTCGCGATAACCAAGTTCGCGCTGCCGCATATGGGCAAGGGAGACTCGTACGTGCCGTCACAATCACCAGGAAGACCAGAATGAGCAGCTAACGAGGAAGAATCATAAACAACACCTCCGTAACGACCTTCCGCGGCACTAAGAGCATGGTGGACTACGCCTCGACGAAGGGCGCGATTGTTGGCTTCACGCGCTCGCTGGCCAGTCAATTGGTTCCAAAGGGGATCCGAGTTAATGCTGTTGCGTATGTCTACTTTCTAGCCTTCTCATCGCTGGGGAAAGATAAGCTAACGGTATAGACCCGGCTCAACGTACACGCCTATCCAAGTCGACACGCGCGACGCCGAGTCAATGCAGAACTGGGCTTCAGGTAAACCGCTGGGACGGCCAGGGCAGCCGAGTGAAGTGGCTACGAGCTTTGTGTTTTTGGCCAGTTCAGAAGCCTCGCTTTATTGTAAGTGTCTTGGCTGATCGTAGTTCAAAGCTAATGGCTTGATAGATGGGCAGATACTGCACCCGTATCCGCTGGGGGACTAACTGGACAGTTTAAACAATTTATATGGATAACAAGCTTGGGGTGAATAACAAATATAACAAACATGCTATGCTAGCCCGCTAAATCATGGGAATCAATAAGTCGCTAATAAAACCTAATATAACCGTGCCACTGCCGTTGCTGTAATCAATATCAAAACGAGCAAAATGGTATATAGATGTCCGAACACCGGACTGCTCGGTTTTATGGCTACCAGCCCAGTGGAACTATTGGGCTTTTCATGCCCGGAACTATCAGTCTTTTTACCAGTATTGCCATTCGCCTCGCTCTCCACGCCTGCGTCGTTGCCAGGACTATCAGGCTTCGGCTTCGGTGCAAGCTGCAAGATCAAATTGGCCATCTCAAGCTGCCCATTCTCCTTCGCAATCATATACGGCGTCTTCCCCGTCTCGTCTTTACTCCAGACATCCGCACCAGCAGCAATCAGCCGCCGAATCGAAGTCTCCCAGCCCACCAGCGCCGCAATTCCCAGGAAATGGCTCAAACTGACACTGCCCCGGTCCAGCCTTGCCCCATGCTCGATCAGAAGCAGACAAACAGGGCCACCGGACATCAACAGCGGCGGCGCCTCCCAGCCGTCATCGATATTAGGGTCCGCCCCGGCCTCAAGCAGGACCCTCGTCGTCTCCCAGCTATTCGCCATAACTGATAAATGCAGCGGAGTCCGCCCATACCGATTCTGCAGATTGATATCCGCCCCATGTTTAATCAGTAGCCGGACAGTTTCAACATCGCTATCGCCAACCGCCCAATGCAACGCCGCCTGCCCCATATCCGGCTCGGTGCTGTTAATCTCGTCCTTGGACGCCTCGGGCAACCGCTCCTTCAACTCCTTAATCTGCTTCGATATAACAAGCGACCAAAGCGGTAACGTCCCAGGAATCGAAAGGCCCGTATCCGCGCGCTTCACCTCGTCAATGATAGTCCCGCTCTCCGTACGAAGCGGCCCCGAGTGCGATACAATCCCTTCTTCCTTCCGCCTCGCACGCGCAGCCCGGAACATCTCCAGGATAGCAGGATGGTGCGACTCATGCGCGACCCGAATCGGCGTCCGACCGTAGTTATCCCTCACCGTCGGATCACCACCATGCTCGAGGAGGACATCGACGGTTTCAAGGTCCCCCATGCGCGCGATGTCATGCAGGGTTGTTTTCCCGTGCGCATCGCGCATATTCACATCGAGCGTGGGATCATGCGCAAGTAGCAAGCGCAGTATCTCGGAGCGGCGGTTCACAGCTGCACTATGCAGCAGGCCGCGATTGAAGACGTCGACGACGTGGACGTCTGCCCCGCGCGCGATGAGAAGCTGGACAATGGACGTGCGGCCCTCGTCGATGGCGCGCATGATGGCCGTGCCGTCTGTGCCGGCCTGGCGGACCTCGGTGTCGGCGCCGTGCTCGAGGAGGGATTCGACGAGGTCGTAGTAGCCGCCCTGGGCGGCGCAAGTGAGTGCTGTGTCGCCGCTTTCGTGCTTGTGGTTGATGTCTATGGCAGGGTGGGAGAGGAGGAGGTTGACGGTGGCGGTTTCGCCGCGTTGGGAGGCGAGAGTGAGGGCTGTTCCGCCGGCTGGGCTGGTGCATTCCTTGTTGACGTCGATTGATTTGGAGGCGAGGAGGAGGGCTGTGTATTCTGTGTAGCCCGTGGCGGCGGCGACCATTAACGGGGTGAAGTGGGACCAGCGGGCGTCGGAGATATTGACGTCGATGCCTTTTTGCTCCATCAGGAACTTGAAGACTTCGAAGTGGCCCTCGTAGATGGACCAGTGCAAGGGAGAACGGCCGGCGTTGTCGACTGGATTGACCGAAGCACCGGCCTTGATTAGGGCTGTCACCGATTCGATGTTGTCGCGTCGGGCTGCGAGTGCCAGAGGAGTCGACCCTTTAATATCTGTGAGATTGGGATCCTGGCCTTTCTTTGTGAGCTTCTCTATCAGACTGTCTAGATTGAAGTGTGCAGCGAGATGGATTGCAGAGCCGTCTTTTGCAGACCAGCTGGCGGACCGCTCCTGGTCCTCGAGATACCACAAGGCCTGCGTCACAGAAGCCAGACATCCAGGGTCGAGAAGAAGATCAAAGGCCCGGTTGAAGAGGACGTCGTCCGCTGTCGCACGAAGGTGATTTCCCCAGTTGATAGACGCATACCGCAGGAAAGGATATTTCAGTAAACGCTGCTCAAAGTCATCGGCCTCCGATTTACCAGAGCAAGCTCCGCCACGGAAGACATCGAAGCGGAGATACGTCAAGCAGGTGGAAGTGATCTTTGTATTGCCATCAGGGAACCACGTATCACGGTTCTGTCTGAAGAAGCCCTCGGCCGAGTAATGGACGAGTCGCAGACAGTCGGATTCGTCGAACTGGACGAGTCCAGCGCACTTGTTTGCCAGCGTCCTCGCGCGGATGATACTGTCATCGTCGATGTCTGTCTCGTCCTCGTCAATGGCAAGAGCGTGCTCAATGGCCTTCTCGTGCAGCGGCTGCTCTGCAAAGACAACCCAGCACAGGAACTGAAGCACGGTATCTCTGGTCGACGGGGGCAGCTCAGTGATGCGCATCATGGCGTCTGCATACGTGCCGTCCAGTTCCTGGGGCAACGTCTTGAGCGCCGCCATGAGCTGCTTGATGTTGAGCTTCGACTCGAGCGTGTCCATGTTGAACTTGGCCAGCAGGAACATTCCCCCGTTGTTCTTGACTACCGTGTCGAGGATGCGGTCCATCAGCCCTTCTTTGATTTCCACGCACTGCTGCAGGAAGTCGGACGCGCCTGTTCGCCAGCAGACGTAGGTTGTCAAGTCCTCTTCCACGGCAGCAATGGGGATGACTCGGGCGTTGAACTCGAGGTGGTATGTGTGCTTATATCCACAGCGCTTTGGGTTGTTGTCGAAGCACGACGGACACAGGTCGTAGCTTTCTATGCACTGGGCGCAGTGGTGCTGCATTGGTATATCCAATTCGCCACATATATCGCAGTGGATAGGGCCTTCGGGTCGGAAGTGCCGGACGATATTGGGCAGTGGACGAGAGGTGACCATCAGATTGATGGTGGTTGCACTGGGGGACGCTGCTGTACTCCAGGGACAGAGGAACTCCAGCAGAGGGAGTCGTTCCTTTTCGTCGCGCAGCTCGTCCAGGCCATCGAGAACGACGAACACCTTTGTGAAGCGCTTGATGAGGAGCTGCAGGGTGGACTGCAGCTGGTCTCTTGACGGCCTGGTCCCATCCTTGCCGTGTGTGCTGAACAGGCTCGTCATCTCGTTCACCCCGACGTCGTATCGCTGGACGAACTGCTTGATGATGCTAGACAGGAGATTATCGACATCCTGCGAGAGCGGATCATCCCATTTGCAGTACAACATAACCACCGCAGCACCCTTGAGCCCTCCCTCCTCGCGCACCCGCAGCCCCTCCAGCTCGTTGTACACAATCGACGACAAGAACGTCTTGCCAGCACCAGGAATCCCCGGGCAGAAGAGACGCGTATTCTCACCCTCCCTCCACTCGCGAAAGTCATCGCGATCAAGGAACCACTTGCAGGTCCCCTTGTGGTGCTCGTTCCAAATCATACTCTGCTTCGCGACGAAATTCAGCGGCGAAATCCAGTCAATCAGCTCCTTCAGCCTCGTCTCATCAACCGCTTTCTTGAGACCCTGCGTATCGCGGTAAATGTCCTGCGAAAGCGCATGCGTCGACTGGTTAATCCCATCCTGCAGCGTCGCCTTCAACCGACTAATCCGTTGAATCATGCGCTCCGCATCCTTCTGCGTAAACGGCCAAGCGAGCGTCTGTGCGATCTTGCCCCGCGACGAGCGCGCCTTGATTTTTCCCTCCAGATCCTCGAGCTGGATTTTGATCTCCTTCAGGATCCCATCGGGTTCGAAGAGCGGGCGTAGCGAGTCGGGGATTTTGTCGTCTTTGACGGCATCGGGGGAGAGCTGCTCAAGGAGCGACGTGATGGACATCCACAAGTAGGTTACTTCATTGCACAATGCCAGCCGGTCCTTCCCACCAGCTCTTACTGTTCCCAGATATCCGATGATCTGGTAGGCGAGGGTTGCGAGGCCCACGACCCCGGTGGTGATGCTGAGGGGATCCATGGTGGATGCTCATATTCGGAGTGGACAGGAAGTGGGAAAGAGAGGAAATGAAATGTGATTCTGCAAGGCTGGACACGGCAGACGCTACACTAAATATGGGCAGGATAAAAATAACAAGGCTGGCGCCTGTAAACTGCGCCAGCAAGCAGGCTGACTCGGACCCCAAAAGTCAAAGCAGGCCGTTTTTACAGTGACAGAGTCACTGCAATATTAATTACTGCAGCTACAGAGTGACAGTTCCAGCGGGAATTCCCGTCCATCAACCCTGTTTCTGACTCCAGATTGCAGAAGATTACACAAGTTCAGCGGGCGCAGCAGCCCCAATTAGGGCCAATCGCCCCCAGACTAATCCTGCGACGGCGTGAGAGTCTGTCGGCAGCCAATGGAGGGCAGATCAGACTTCGCTAAGCAAACCATTTCCAGACTCAGGCCCACTTGGCCTGTTGTCATGGCAGACGATCAGTGATAAGCACTCTCACACATTCAGCTGGGAGAGTGGAAACCATGCGAGTATCTTCTGCAATCCGGTTGCCTGCAGGCCTGCACAGCCTGCCGCCGTATTGATGCATGCATAAGCTCGTTCTCAATGTTATATTATTATCACTGGCAGACCCTGCAGGATCTGTGGTGTTTTAATTGGCTATTTCATAACTGACATGTACTGCGCCTCAACATCCTTTCCTTGCTCATCCAGCCTCCTTTACTCTGGGATTTCGTGATTGTCAACACCAGCGCGCCACCGGTACTTCGCAGCTGGGTGGTCCGGGGGAGGCCCGCTCTGCCCGGGTTGACTGTACAGGTTCTCACGGTACGTCCCACGGGGAGCAGCATAGTCGTCATGGAACAGTCCCCTGCTTCGGAGCACGGGCAGCAGCAGGTCGATGATGTCCTTGAACGAGCCGGGTTTGACGGCATACGCCTGGATAATTAGCAATGCGCACAAATAACGGCAAACGCAACTCACCAAGTTGAAGCCGTCGACATCGGCCTCGCGCACCCAGCGCTCCATCTCGTCTGCGATCTGCTCTGGGGTTCCGACCGGCGTTGCGCCCAGTCCGCCGACTGTGATGTGCTCGCCGACGGTCTTCTTGGTCCATCTGGGGACTTCGGGCGTCGCCTTGGACCAGCCCTCGACGGCGGACCTGCACCTGTCAGTGATATCGCCTGGCACTTGAGTGAGGAATGAACATACCGAATAGCATTGCTAGGAACATTCCGCAGCTCCTCATCCTCGCCATAAACATCCAGGTTAATGCCCGTCCAGCCACCAAACAGGGCCAGCGCGCCATCAATCGAGCCCAGACTGCGATAATACTTGAACTTCTCCTGAGCCTCCTCCTCCGTCTTGCCAATAATAGGACAAAGCAAAGCCAGGAACTTAATCTTCTGCGGATCCCGGCCGTACTCCGTCTTCGCCAGCTCGCGAATCTCCGCAATATTCTTCGCCACAACCGACGGACTATGCCCAGCAACAAAGATCGCCTCGGCGTGCTGCGCCGCAAACGTCTTGCCTGCCTTGGATGTCCCCGCCTGCAGAATCACCGGCGTGCGCTGCGGACTCGGCTGCGTTAGATGAGGACCAGGCACGTTGAAGTACTTCCCCTCGTGGTTGATTTCGCGCACGCGCGAGGGCTCCGTGTAGACGCGGCGCTGGCGGTCCAGGACCACGGCATCGTCGCGCCACGATGACTCCCAGAGCTTGTAGGCGACTTTGATGTACTCTTCTGCGACGGCGTAGCGGTCGTCGTGCTGGTTTGTCAGTATATAACAACTATATCATGGTTATGGGGCATACCTGAGGCTGGTCCTTTCCGATCAGATTGCGCGCCGCAGAGTCGAGATACCCAGTGACGATATTCCATCCTATCCTGCTCCTCTTAGCATGCAAGTTTAATACCCAGTATCACAGAACATACCGCCCCTTGGTCAAATGGTCAACAGTCGACAGCCTACGCGCCAGATGATACGGCTGCTCGTAGGTCGTCGTCACTGTGACTCCGAATCCAATATTCTTCGTCGCAGCCGCCATCGCAGGCACGACAGCCAGGGGTTCGTTCACAGGCCACTGTGCCCCAGACACAATCGCCGGCTCGAGGTTCCTGGGCCCCTTGTATACATCGTATCCGCCCAGCACGTCGGCGATGAAGATGCCGTGGAATTTCGCGGACTCGAGAAGCTGCGCGAGCTCGATCCAGTGGTCGATGTCGTTGAAGCGGTAGGATTCGTCTTCTGGGTGTGTCCAGAGGCCGGGCGATTGGTGGCCGCTGCCTGTTGATGGTTCAGCAAGGGCAATTTTCATTTTTTTGAGACTGTTTAAAGAGGAGACATACACATCTCAACAAAGGCATTGAGAATGAGCGACTTGCGCGGTCGGTCGGTTTGTTCGGCCATTTCTATAGAATTCCTATGTAGCACAACAGTACAATAAGCTATAACCGACAATAAAAAAAAAATAGCTAGAAGACACATATTTATACCCCTCCCCTCCCCCACCTCATGCAAGATCAATCGCAAAAGCGAAAAGCGATGCGCTCATACCCCGCGACGGTATTTGTACTTCTAGCATCACAGTGGGCCGTGATGGCGTGATATTGCCATTCGGCCGACTGGGTACGCGCACGAATCGTCGAATACAAACATTCGGTTGTCTAATAGGAACAGGGGTATTGCAATTGCATTATCAACGAACCCGTGAATTGAATGGGCCAGGACCGGAAATTTGGGTCGTGGTGGTTGTTGATCTGCTGGATCGCCGGCCTGTGATTTGCACTGCGTCAGAGTATCTTCTTATCACGCCATCAGCAGGAAGTCAGAATGCCCAGAGAGAGCTCGGACGAGTCTGGACTTTTGTATTGGTTTGCTCGGCCGAGAAGGTGAGAGGTAGTTTGGACTGTTCTTTCTACCTTGGTGGCGAGATGCATATCTGTCACCGCAGCCAAGTACTATATTGTGCATAGTCCTTCCACTCCACGATATACCGATTTTATCAGACACCCACGCTTTTTAAAAAATGCACCACAATCTAGATACAGCCGACCAGTGACGGAAATATTTCCCGCAACGTTGTCAGTCAGTATGGGATCTCTACCACAGACACACTGCCGTATCATTGTACGGGACAGAGGTGATAACCCCCTTCAACCTGGGGAAGGCGCTCAAGCACATCTGTTAAAATGGAGGAACAAGGCCTTGCTGTTGCGTTCTCGCTTCAAGACCGTAGTAGAATCGATAGCAATCCAGCCAGGACCCTGGACGTCAGACCCACAAGATCGAGCGAGATTAACAAGGCAGTAGACGCGTCAGATTAAGGGACTGGACAGTTTCCACCGCCCACTCTGGGGTAACGGACCGGCACGCGAGTAATTCCACGGCGCTACCAAGCTCTAAATATCAACCATAACTATGCTGGGCAGGGGCCAGTAGGAGTCTTCAGCTGACCTACAACAGAGCCCGAACAGTGCAGCCTACCAAGGTTCTGCGACCTGTTCTTACGGAGTTGGCCCATCGATAGGGCTAAATCTAGGCAACGAGATAGTTCCACTAGCCTTGTAGCTAGCAGTCTGGTCAATATGGGGGCCAGCTGGCATATCCTGGGCTGAGGAACTGACCTCGTGTCCAGGCAGACAGATTCAAGCCTCTCAAGCCTCAGCTTTCTCAAAGCAGCTAGCCAAAGGACTGCAAATCCTGGGGCCACTATCCGATAACTTCGAGCTAACAAGCAAGCTCAATGCTGATATGTCGATATCTGACAGGATCAAACAGCTGTGGCGCAGCATCGCTTCTCCAACAGCGCAACTAGCCAGACTAAGGAGGCTGCTTGCTGACAGTGGCTGAAGCAGGGTATTATCTCCTGAATCAGGCAGAAAAATAAATACCCTGCGTCACTGCATCTTTGCATTCTGGTATATGACAGGCACGCCCACCAGACCCGTAGTCACCCCCTATCCAACAGAACCAAATAACGAACCAACTCAGCACAAGTACACGTATAATAGGAATAATGACCTACCCAGCAGACAAAGCCAGCATGCACCAACACGACGAACCCCCCTCCTACACCGAAACAACCTCCACAGCAGTCCTAACCCCCTCCTCCTCACGCGCCTCAACCCTCACCACGGCCTCCGCCCCAATCACAACCTCCTCTATCATCCAGAACCCCCTCCGCGGGCAAGACACAAAATTCGCCATGCTCTCCCTCTCCGGCTCCGACCGCCTGCGCTTCATCCGCTTCCCCGAAGCCATAACGGCCCTCGCATCCGAAATCGTGCAGGGCCTCTGGCCAAAGGGGATCCAGCGGGTCCAGAACTACGACGAGAGCATCGAGCTGAAACTGCGCGGGAATCCGCTGGGGTACGGGTATGATGAGGAGAAGGTCGCGATTCGGGTTACGCTGATGGGCCTGCTGAATGCGTTTGCGAAGGAAGGGTGGAGGGTTATTCCTGCTGGGGGGAGGGTAGGAAGGATGGGTGATTATGGAGCTTTTGGGCAGAAGGGTATTTATCTTATTACTCTACCTCTATTATTTAGGTTTTCCGCTGACCAGGTAAAGACAGTTTAATCTTCCACTACCAAGAGCCGCGCGCGTACTCGTGGCTCTGCATCTCGTTCGACTCGGCGGACCTGCTGCACCTGATTAATGCGCCGACAGAGCTGGCCACCGCGCTGATAGGGTACTTTGGCGATAAACTGGAGCAATGCAACAAGGACCTGGTATCGGGGAACTTCGAGCTCAAGTTTAAAGGGAAGCCGTGGAACAAAACAAGTGCGAAAGGAGGCGTACAGAGCCGTCTGCTCATTCTCGATCTGATGCAGTGTCTCGAGGAGCAGAGTTATACGATGTGCACGACGTTTGATATTGACGGCGGCAGCGGGGGGAGTACGTATCAGAGTTATGGGGAGTTGTGGTTCTGGTATCGATGATTTCGTGATATTATAATTATTGCTTTTATGACGCCTGATACCTAATGCAACAATTCATCAATCAATTCATGCTAAAACAACCCCTTCTTATCCCTAAACTTCCTCAACAGAAACCACAATCCCAACAACTGCACAGCACCCGAGAACATCAGCACCCCGCAGAAGAGCTGCACATTAAGAAAAGTCAGGTCGTCAGAGCCCGACGAGCCCAATGCCGCCAGCGCGCCCGCAATCGGAGCCCCGATCAACGTCGCAAAACTACTCACGCTCTGCGCCATCCCGAGCCAGGAACCCAGCGCTGTTGGGTCTGGACAGACATGCGGGAAGACACTCGGGGGGAGGGGGACGAGGGCGCCAGATATGCCGCCTATTTCCGTCAGTATTGAGACACCGTATGATAAGGTAGGAGGATAGGGGAGTACCGTAGAACGCAGCAAAAAGGATGAATCGCGCCAGACTACTCGCACTAATCCACGAGATACAGAGCACACCAGACAGAAACCCGCAGCAGATCCAGGGGATCATTGCGCCCCAGTAATGCGCCACTGCAGTCGTAATGACACGTCCTATAATCGACGACGCTTGTGAGATGATCAGGACATACAGACCCAGCGAGCGCGAGGTGCCGAGTTTCGTCTCCGCGTAGATGGGGATATAGTAGAACGGCGTCATATATCCCAGATACAGGAAGAAGTTGGCGATGGTGAAGTTCCAAAAGGGGAGGTCCTTGAGTGCGCGCACGTCAAAGGCACGCGCTCTTCGAGGCGCAGAGGGCTGTCCGGCGTTATCTTTATTCAAGGGCAGCATGAACCCGGCGGCGATGAAGAGGGCAAGCATCACGAAGCCGACACAGCGCACCATCCATGGGAATCCGAGTTTAGGGAGCAGCTGCTCGACCATGAGGGTGTAGATGACGCCGCCGAGGGGTGCGCCGGCAGTCGCGACACCGAGTGCGAGAGCGCGCTTGCGAACGAAAGACCGACTGAGCAGCGTGAGACTGGGGATGTACAGTAATCCAAACCCAAGGCCCATGCAGATTCCCTGGCTCAGGAAGATCTGGTAGTATTTGCTGGCGAGACTGAGCATCATGATGCCGAAGACGGAGAGGACGCTGCCGGTTATGACCAGGGAGCGGTAGTAGCCCAGATCGAACAGAGGGCCGGACACGAGGCCGCCCATGATGAGCAGCCAGGACTGGATTGTTCCGATCCATGAGATGGCAGAGCTGGTGACCGAGGGCAGGAAGTCGAGCACGTAGTAGCTCTGGAAGGACCCGAAGGCAAAGGCCAGGCCCCTGGACAGTTAGTCTTGGTTTACGATCCTGAGGGAACAAATGTCAAGAACGTACCAAATATTGAACAGGATAAAAAGAGTGCCGCCAACCATCAGCCAGCCCCGGACTCCTCCCTCTGCTGGCGCAGGCGCAGGCGCAGGCGCTTGACTCACGGTGGCCTTCTCGGGACTCTCCTCCGAAGCCATTATAGAACAGACAGACAAGGATCCATGGTAGTCACCACCTGCGGAAGAAAGCGAGCAGAGGGGCAAGCAGAGGGATATAAAAGAATATGAATGACAGCCCGTGCCGAATTCCGTCTCCAACAGAGCCGACCGTCTGAGCACGCCAGCCGAGGAGGATCTGTCAAATCGTTTATTGCATTATTAATGAGTGAATGACCCCGCAATGGAATCATTCCGTTCTACAAAGAAGTTATACTGTTTGTCATACTGTTACTCTCCTCACCCCGTCATAAAACTCCCGCTCCTCATAAACCCTGATGTCCTCCCCTGCATACACCCTGCCCTGCTTCTCCTCCTTGATCCGCAGCCTGCGCACCCGCAGCACATCATACTCGACATTGCGCGTCAACCACCACGTCCAGCCATTCGTCACCCACGAAACCCCAACCACGGCCGCGCAGATCGCAAAGGGCGTCTTGTAGCCGTTGTACGCGAATCGCGACTGGAACAGTTGTGGGCCGATGACGCCGCCCACCTGCCCGACGCAGGACTGGAATGCCAGCGTGAATGCGGACCCGGTTGTGCCTTTTAAGGAGGAGCTTCGCCCTGTGGTTGTGAGTACGTACTAATTAGTCAAGGTTCAAGGGGTGACACGTACAAGCCCAGAAAGGGATGAAGTAGACGGCATGGAACATGGTCCCCAGCACGCAGGCGATATATATGCCGACTTTATCATTAAGCACGGCGAGCAGGATGAAGAAGAGCAGCATCGGGCCCATAATGCAGGCCATGACGTATGCCGGTCTGGTCATATAAGCGCGTTTCAGGAACCAGCCAGAGAAGATAATCGAGAGCACCGACGCTGCTGCGGGTGGGATATTCAGCAGCTGGTTCCGCGGTAGACCGGCGAAGCCTAAACTCGTCGTGATAGTCGGCAGCTGCCAGCTCAGGGCGTAGCCTGCGAAGTTGATGAGCACCTGCGAGATCATGAACGAGTATGTCTTTTGGTCTTTGAGCGCGTCAACCACCTCGCCCATGTCGAAGTTTGCGTCTTTCTCCCTGGGCGCGTTCTCCGATAGTCGTGCTTCCAAATACTCCTGCTCCCTTTCTGACAGCCATTTCCTTGACCGCGGCGACTTGGGCCAGTCCGGTAGAACGAAAAAGACGACGCCGGAGAAGAGAACCGTAAAGATCCCTTCCAGGAGATACACCCTATCTTGTCAGCTCCAGAACTATTCAAATCGAGAGAGAGCATACCATCTCCACGCACTCAACCCCCTCATGCCATTCATATACGAAATGGCATAAGTAATCAACGACCCAATAATCCCCGACGTATTCTGAAACCCAAACATCCACATAATCGGCAACCCCATCTCATCGCTCCTATACCAGCCGCACAGCTGCGCCGCAATCCCAGGGAACATCCCCGCCTCGCACATCCCCAGTATGAACCGCAGCGCATACAGCGCCTGTTTATTCTGCACCGCCGCATGGCACGCAAGCACAATGCCCCAGGTGAGCATAATCCGGCTCTGCCACAGCCGCGGCGTCAGCCGCTTCTGCAGCAGGTTGCTCGGGACTTCGAAGACGATGTAGCTGATGAAGTAGATGCTCTGGACCCAGTTGTATTCGTTGGTGGACATGTTGAGTTCGTTCAGCACGTTGCGTGGCTCCCCGACTTGCAGGACCTTGACGGCTGCGGCGTTGGTGTAGTCGATCTAGTCATACAGTCAGTTTCTTGAAATATAAGCAGGTATAGTAGGAGGGAGGTACGTACCGTCTTAATGACATAAATCACGCCAATCAACCACAAGAAGCGCATATTCACTTTGCGCATAATGCGCTTATCGTCCTCCGGGGTAAACGAGGAGAGAAACTCGCGTCTGCGGTCCTCTTCACTCGTCTCGCTGGGTGCCCTGGCCACATCCTGGACGGGTATTTTCGAGTCGTCTTCTACCATATTTTCCGACTCACATTCAGATTTACGAACCCATCAAAAGTTTTTAGACTTTTGGTTCGGTGGTCTTTTATACCCATGCAGCCACATGGCCAAGCGAGCTAAACCGCAGATTCCAGGCTGAAGACCAGTTAAAGAATTCCTTGGACATGACACAATAACAAGCTCCAACGATGCAAGAGGCACAGTAAGCGCAGGAAGAGTCTGGAGTGAGGCAGGACAGGCAATCTGGCGACGGGATGGCGTGCGCGCGAGGCACAGCAGCGAATGAAGTGCTTATATTGAGAAGCGATAATGACTTACTCGCCCGAGAGAGTCAGATCTGTTTACTCTGTTGAATTCTTATCGTATGGCATCATTTGGGGTAGGGATTGTTGATCTGTTTTAAGTGCCTCTACCAGTTTTTGATATGCTGTCTAACCTATTCAAATATATTAAAGTGTATATCATATCATCATTATAAAGTCACACTCCACCGACACTAAAGAATAAACCTAAACCCCCTCGGCGCCTCCAACTCATCATCAGCATCAACCTCCTCCTCCCTTCTCGCCAACCCCCTATTCTTCCGTACATGCACCACCCGAATCACATACGCCATAACCGCAACCAGCAGCGCCACCGCCGCCGTCGCACTCCCACCAGGCACATACCGCGGCCCCGATGAGGACGGCCACATATACGAGCCGTAGATACTCGCCGTGTTGCCGATCATGTTGGCCGTGGCGATTGCGGCGGAGCGTTTGACCAGCGGGCGCGGGAAGGAGTTTGCGACCCAGGCGATTATGATTTGGTATGCTGAGACGGCGCCCATGGGCATCCTAAAACAAAAAATACGTTAGCCATGCTATTCTGGAACTGGTTGGGTGGTTGGTTGGGACGCACATGAACATCCCTAGGAATCGGGCGCCGATATTGGTCGATGCAGTGCAGATGATACACCCGACGATACTAACAGCCATCAAGCAGATGATATGGATACTGCGATCGTTTGTCTTTCCCGACGTCCAAGTCACAACAAGCGAGACGAGGAAGGTCGCGATCCAGACGGGGGCCGTGATGAGGAGGGTCTCGATGTTGCCGTATTCCAGCGTCTGCACGATGGACGGGAAGAAGTACTGGAATGTCTGCGAGAGGAGCGAGGCGTGCTGCAAAAGAATAAAAAGGTAGATGCGCTTGTCGGTGAAGACGGCGTAGAGGGCTTCCTTGATGGACGAGGTGGCGGTGTCGTCTGCCTCGCCGGCGTCGTTGATGAGGCGCCATTGCGCGTAGGCTTTTTCCTCGTCTTCGAGCCAGCTGGTTGTAGCTGGGTAGTTCGGAAGCAGAATTCTATCCCGTTAATCCACGTTAACAGAATGAATAGGTGGGTAAGGTGCTCACGGGATAAGCAGCGACAAGGCGACGGTGATGCATCCCTCGATGATAAACAACCACCGCCAGCCAGCGATTCCATGGGACATGTGCAGATTCCCCAAGACGCCTGCGCCAATGAGTCCGCCAAAGGCGTTGGCGAGGGAGCTTCCTGCATAGAACCAGGCGATGCGGTAGCTCAGTTCCTGGCGGGTATACCAGCTCGACCTGCACGACGGCGATATTAGTAGGCGATATTACAAACGTTTAATACAGATCTTGTCACATACATCAGCATGACAGCGCCCGGGAAGAAAGGCGCTTCGACAAAACCCAGGAAGAAGCGCGCGACGACCAGACCGGCAAACGACTGCGAGGCGGCCTGGCAGGCGGAGATGACGCCCCAGATGCCCATGGCGATTCCTAGGAAGAGCGACGGTCGGACACGAGTAAGGAGGAGGTTGGACGGCAGCTGCATAAGGAGGTATCCGACGAAGAGAATGCTGGTGGCCAGGTTGAAGTCGGTGCCTGACATGCCGAGATCCTCTTCAAGGGTTCCGAGACGGGCCTGCGAGAGGTTGCTGCATTATTAGTATACTGTAGTCTAGAGAGAGAGTTAACATACTTTCGATCGAGAAAGTTGAGCAGGTACATGGCGACCAGCAGCGGCAGCAGGTGAAAGTCCACCTTGCGCATCAGACGGCGGGTCATCTGCTTGTGCCATTCGTCGCTCTTGGAAGCGTAGGCCTGGTACAGCTCATCCTGCTCGAACTGGGCCTGCTTGGGCAGGTCGGCGTGGCTGGTGGCAGCCTTCTCGACGTCGCTCATGGTGAAGGTGAAACTGACTGAGAGTGAGACTGAGAAGAGAAAGAGAACGCGGGGAACGGCCTTTTAAGCGACTCAACAAATCTCCATACCGCAAGTCTCCATCTTTACCCCAAGTGACCACATCGGACATGCTCCGGACCTGGGGACTGGGGACTGGGGGTGGAGTTGTTCGGGGTATTTCCCACCGAGTGTACACCTCGGTCCATCTCTATTACCGTCGGTAATTCTATAACTGACTCTCTCTCTGTAAAGAACCGCTTAAATCCTGAATATACCTACGGTTGCTGCCATCCCGGTGAGCAAAAGTAAGAGTCCCTTGCAATGTCTGCCAATCAGAAGGCGCCATTCCAGGGAAGCCGAGATCGGGAAATTGCTCCCGAGTCCAGAACACTGAGCGGGGCCGGAGTTCTCCATTCTCCTCTCGGTGCTGTCTTGGTGGTCATACCAGCCCTACTTGTCATTTATTTGTCAACAACCCATTGCACTGTAGCCAAGTTCAGCAAAGGTAAACTGTACGCCGTATAATATTAAGATAACTGGTCTAATATTATGCTTGTATGCCTTGATGTATTTATCCAGCCAACTCCAACCAAGAATCCAGTTCTGCTGAGGACCTCCAGCACCGAACAAGCCTGTCCGCCATATCACTGCTGGTAGCCTCAGATGCCTAGTTGCCACCAAGCGCACTCGCCAGCTTGTCGAAGTTGCTGGCAGCGTCCGACTCTGCCTGTTCACTACAGCCCGCACCGTTAGCACAAACCTAGAGCAACAAAAGAAGAAAAAGAAACACATACAATGACTGCCCAGACTGGCTCAGTCCGCTGGAAATTTCCTGCGAAATCTGGACGAGCTCCTTCGCCTTCTGCTGGAACTCAGCGCTCCATTGCGCGATATTCTAGCTGCTGTCAGTACTCATGCAAACCAGTGCCACGGCTATGATAGTAATAGTTCTCCTTACCTCAGCAGAGGCTCCGCCGGCTCCAAGAGCTTGCAGTTGTCCACTCAAATCTGATGCTGCGCCATCGGTGCTCCCCGCGAAGTTGTTGAAGCTTTCCGCGACGGCTGCAATCTGGGCCTGATCGATGCTGATTTCGGCGGGGACGGGGGAGGCAGTTGCGAGAACCGCAAAGAGGGTGACGGAAATGACCTTGGAGAAGTGCATTTTGCTGCTTTAATTGAAAGTAGGAGGAAGAGTAAAGTGTTTGTTATTGTGATGGCTGGTGGTGTTGAGTTTGAGTCGATCCAGGCGCCCTGATGGACTATTTATGCTCCCCTGACTGACGGGAACGAGGCTTTCAGCCCCCAAACCATGAGCTGAATACACTCTTCAGGAGTCTATATTTACACCAGGCTGTGCCTGGATCTCAATATGGAGCGAGACCCTTGCCAAGGGCCCAAGCGGCAGCGGTGACTGGCTACGACCTCGTATTCGGCCGGGGCTGAGCCAACGCACACAAGAGAAGCGCTGAGGCGGCGGTAGGGCCCCAATCACGGCCGGGCTTTAGCTGCGTCCAAGCAGAAGACGAAGCTATTCAGTATTGGGGTTGGTGGAGCGCAGGATGATTCTGAAATGAGCATCGCTGGGAACCGCTGAATGAGGCTTGGCCCTTCGTTACAGCACGCCATTCAACAGCCCTGTCATTATTTCTGGATCTGGGGATGGCTGTGTAAACTTTAAACTTGTCGAGTCGAGATCGTGTTTTGTATGTTTAATATGTTCTGTAAGCAGAGGGCGAATTGCCTGTGACAACCGCTGGTGTCCAACGCCGTCTGTTATAGCACAACCTAACTGCCCAACAAAAATCCTCTTCGACGAGGCCATCGCCCGTGCAAAACAACTAGACGAGCATCTCCAGCGAACTGAGGCTGTGATCGGCCCCCTCCACGGCCTACCGATAACCTTCAAAGACAGCTACGAGATTAAAGGCCACGATGCCTCCATCGGGATCTTCTCGCTGTGTTTTCAGCACTCGTAAAGAAACGGCCAGCTCTACGACATTCTCACTGGGTATGGTGCAATCGTCATCGCTGAAACTACCGTTCCGCAGACAATGCTAAACGTGGATACCGAGTCCATCGTGTTCGGACGCACCGTCAACCCGTATAACCGGGCATTCGTATCAGCGACGCCTAGGAACTGCAAAAGGAGTAGACAGAATTACAGGATCTATCATAACTTCGAGTGCTCCTATTTAGCGAACTACATACAGATATTGTCAAAGTGACGGGGATAATCACCAAACGGACTCCTCCGTCGGCGCTGTCTATTCAGTATCTACGCACAATGAATGCGCGGATCAGTACCCTGGTCCGACAAATGCACGAAGCTTGGAATTATGATGGGAAACTTGTTGATACATTGCTCTGGGTTCCTGCTCCTCGTACGGCCGTGCCGTTTGATAAGTACACTTATCTTGGGTTCACGAGGTTATTCAATGTGATCGACTGGCCGGCCATGGCTCTCCCGCTTGGGATGTTTGTGGACAAGTACATCGATATAAAGACGGGGATAACCCTGTTTAATGCACTAGACGATGGGATTCAGGGTCTTTATGATCCAGAGTCCTTCCACGGTCTGCCATTGTCCGTTCAACTAATCGGTCGGAGGTTCGAGGACGAGAAGCTTCTTGCTGTCTCACGTTGTGCACGATATAATTGCAGACCGACGTCAAATATGTGGAAATACACATATATAGGATCTATGATGGAGGTTGGTAGTTTAGAGACAATACCAAACCAAGAAACACCACCCCTGGTATCCCTCTCCGTTGGAACAGGATAGAAGAGCGCCTTAATTCTGGCATCCCGCTCGCATCAAGACCAGGACCTGCTCTGAAATGAGTTCTAATAAATTTCTCCCTCTGTATTGAATCCGCCAGCTTAATCTTAGCAACTAAAAAGCAAATCCCATTTCAAATGGATAATCGCCGACAACTCTAAAGCACCTTTCGACCTCCGCAAAGGTCGGGGGTTTGCCGCTATTACTCTACTTGGAGCCCAGACCAGATGAGATCGTTGCTTACTCTGAAATGATTATTACGGTCTACTGTCAGACAGATTATCTCTATTCGCTCGATACTAACTGTTTCGAGTTCCAATCGCTGTCCGCTAAAGGACCCCAGTCGATGCTACAGTCTTCCTATTTCGCAAGGGACTCTAGAAGGACCAGAAATTAACACTTTGTTCCTGGATATATTTAGGCATGTTCAAGAATCAGGTTTAGTATCCTAGAATAGTATATCAGCCGATGGAGACGACCTGTCTGGTGTTTCGAAGGTACAATGCGTGCAGACAAAGTAGAGTTTCACATACTACAAAGAACAACTACCACTGCTAAACAAAGTAGAAGCACCCTTGGCAAGCCTTATTTTACAAAGGTGCATTCACAGAGCAGTCAAAGAATATTCATCTATACTAACAACCCGTGATGAGGGGCAGCAAACGCAGGCTAGCTGAGATATAATCTCCCAGGTTCGTAGATTCTGTAAACTACATCTCCAAGCAAGCTCGTAGACATCTGCTATACAGCCGGAATATCAATATCCATTACTGCAACATGACAGAACTGATCTGGAGAGGCCAAGTGCCTCCTCTGGCAGCGCCAAACCGAAATCCTCCCGACCTCAATAACCTTGACCAGCTCAGCTACAACCAGGCAGTCGCCTACATCGAAGACTTCCCCGACGTGGCAGAGCGCATATATCGATGGGGCCTGGGTAAAGAGAACCGCTGGAGAGATACGCCGCGGTTTTACACTCCGACCAACGTTGTTGACTGGCACGAAGATATTAACCCGGAAGCAACCACGTTCAGCCAGCAAGAAATCTCCGACAACAACAACGGCATCAACTTCCCTATCGATCAGTTAGTACGGCGCGACAAGGTTCAAGCTCTGCATGCTCTTCATCAGGCTGGTCTCTGGACGCCCACTGAGTACAACGCGCACGGTTTCAGCTATCTCCGACAGGCGTACCAGAACGGTGCCGAACTGGTCTTCAATTACATCGCCTACCACGCCAGACACGATTTGGACTTCGCGCGCTCACATCCAGCTGTCCCCAGTCTTCACGGGGCCTTCCTTTCCTCAGATCTCGTAAACCACCTCGACTGGCTGTTGGAAATCGGCGAGCACAAACTTTTCGCCGTCTGGTGGAAATACCTCGACACTCCCCCGACAGTCCTCAACAGCGAAGGCAACGAAGTACATCTCAACAACCACAGCTTGGTAACTCTATGCGAGAACACAACCCTCGGTCTGGCAAACTACATCCGCGAGAACAACAACGTCAGCCTCGAAACCGTAGACACCTCCAACATCCGCGGTTCAGTCTGGCATCTCGCTCTCAAAAACACAAACTCCAACTTCATCGACTACCTCGCCAGATACGCTGATAGAACAAGAATCGATCTCCTAGCCGGCCACATGGAAAGTCCCCTCCAAGCCGCCAGGACACTCAAGCGCTTCAACCACTTCAAGAAGCTACTCTCCACCGGCGCAGACCCAGACGAAATGGTCAAACTAGACCTCCTCGACCTCCCCCGTCCATCAGACAAATGGTTCAAGACCGCCCTTGGCTTCTTCCGCAATATCAACCCCAATCCAGGCCAACAGGTCAGCGGCGGCACATTAATCCACCAGGTGATCGCCAGCCTGCACCGCGAGATCACCGAGGTGCAATCAAATCCACACCTCAGCACATCGCAGAAGGCAGGCAAGCGCCGGCGACTGAAAACACGCGCCGCCGATCTGATTCGACTCGTACGGGTTGGGAGTATACAGGGGCGACCAGATCTGACGACGCGAGATGAACGGGGGAAGACGGCTATTGCTCTTGCACGGGAACATGGGTATCATGAGCTCTACGCCGCACTGGAGCCGAGTCCACTGCCTAATATTGAGATTCCGGCGGTGCGTAGGAGGGATGCCCTTATGCCGCAGCTGCAGCAGCCTGGGGCGCGCATTCCGGCTAGAGGGCATCGGTATCCGACAAGGAGTTCGCGGTTACGGGGGGCTTGATTTGAGTTAGTTTATTGGGATTGTTTCCGTTGTCTTGTATATTCTTGGAAGTTTGTATATATGGTTTCGGTTTGGTGTATGTTTGCGATATGGGAAAGACTGGTGCTAGCCCTAGATGCAACTGTTACTGTTAATAGAATGCACGATACTTCTAACTCTTCTTTCGTGACTTCTGCTTTTTGAAGATATTCTGAAGATATTCAGACGACTATTTCGTCATGTCGGATTTCATTTCGTAACAAAGGACTATTGTTCGTTTCGCATAAGAGTAACAAAGACGCTGAGACGCTCAGATCTTGGTGCAGGTCAGAAATGGTTCGGCATTAAATAAAGACGTATAAAATTATCCCTCCATTGTCGCCATGACTGGTTTGTCTACAAAGCTACGCATAAAGGTGGTATTTCCAAATATAATCATTTTTCCCACGTATGTAAACATCTCATATACATATCGGAAGTAATGCCTAGAATCGTAGACCAATTCCCAGTAACAGATGATGGCAGGAGCCCGTATCTTGATGCCCTTACTGGGCACCAACCCAGACCTCACTACACTACTTGTCTTCGATTGCTTGTTAGCAAACTTCGACTACGACACCCTTCTCACCTTCATCGATGCCTTCCCAGCCTTTCTTTGCATCATCCATGAATGGGGTCTGGGTTATCCTGGCCCCTGGCAGGACCAGATCTTCCAATGCACCCACCACCGCGAGGTTATTGACTTTCACTCCCAGCGTCAAGGGGTGAGTGACGTATCTCTCTCGATAGATCCCACAACCCGCGACATCAACCTCTCTGATTCGGAATTCCCTATAACGCACTGGGTCCAGACTAACCGCCTGGAATTCCTACGACGTCTGCACGCCGAAGGGTTCTGGGAGCCGCTTGGCTGGACTCTCGACGGATACAGCTACTTCAAACTCGCACTCGATCATAACGCTGTCGACGTTATCGCCTATATAGCCCGACGGGCTGAAGGCAACACCACCTTCTACACCTCCGAAGCCACCGTCCCCGCCGTCACAGGCCTCCCGCAGATAATGCGGACTACACATCTAGACATCGCTCTCGAAGCCGGGCTAGGAAATACATTCTGGTCCTGGTGGGCATCAATCCAGCCTCGCCCCGACGCAAAACTCCTACTCAACCGCACCAGCCGCCGACTCCTCTGCGAGATATCCACCTACGAACAAGCCCAAGACCTCTACAACAAGCACAACATAGACATCTCATCATCCATCCGGCGAATCGGAAATCTCGTACCCCCGGGCTACCCATTCCCCGACGGCCCCGGTACACCGTGGCACCTAGCCGTGCGAAATCCGAACATCGATTTCATCGACTTCCTGCTAAATCGCATCCCCGCGCAGATCGACTGGCTGCAAGGCGAGACGCGCTCGCCGCTGGTTCAAGCTCTTGAAGAGGGGAAACACGAGCACTTCGAGCGGCTTCTCTGCTGTACGGCGGATCCACGAGTCGCCACGACGCGCATCCTGTTGACGATTCCGCACTGGAATGATAGGTGGTTTATTTCGCTGCAGCCGTGGATTAGGTACCCTATTCCTGAGGGGCAGGGGTCGGCTCTGCATACTATTGTGGAGGGGCTTAATGCGGGGCTTGAGAGGATCGAACATGATAAGGAGGGGAAGACGCCTACAACGCGGCAGAAAGGAAATTTGAAGAAGCAGAAGATTAAACGGGCGGAGAGGCTTATCGCGCATGTTAGACATGGGAATGTTTATGGGCAGCCAAGTTTGGGGCTAACGGATCGTTCGGGGAGGACGGCGCATGAGCTTGCGGAGATGTATGGGTTGCATTGGATTTATAGTTCGTTGAATCCGCGGCCGAAGAGACTGCGATAGCTCTTGATGGGGATGTGATATTGCATTTGAAGGCAGGGACTTCAACTGTTGGCAGGTGCCTGATTGTATATACAGTTTCGTTTGGACATTGTACAGCTAATACTTTCCAGCCTTGTACATAGGTAAAATGATTGTAAATTTCAAAGACCTTTTTTTAACTCAACCTCACACTGAGTGATATTTGGCATGATCCAAAGTGCTCTTGTTTCACACTTCACCCACAAGCCTAGCCCTAATTCCGCTATTTCATGCAACAGTTCACGGCCATCACCACAACCTGTACAAAACAACAACAAAGAAATCTCTCCATTTACATCTCAGGTGTTCCAGGTTCAAACGCAATGAGGACGTTTGCTCGCTGCTAAGCTGCTAAGCGAGAGGATTTTGGGGTACATAATCCCGGACATTCTCTCAAACAGAGAAGGAAAAGTCATCGTCACGCTGTTCTGGACTATCAATATCAACACATTACTACCATATTCGTTATATTCGCCTCTCAACGCTATCAAAATACCTGCCATATCTCTCGTACCCACCAATACCTCTATCCTATCCAGCCCAGACCGTCCCCACACGACACACGGTATCTCTACAGCGATACCCCTCCTCATACCCACACCGACACGACACCCAAAAGCCAGCAAGATGTTGCTCGACCTGATCTGGAATCAATTAACCAATGGAACGAGAGGACACATGAATCGCAGCAAAAGGGAGTACTGCCTCGTCCTCTACTACATCCTCGACTGGCTTGAGAACGACGAGCTTCTGAGCCTGATGGAAGCATTCCCCGCAATGGCCGGCGTGATCTACTGGTCCTACGGCGCGAAATATCGATGGAAGAACGCAATACAGCAACGGAGAGACGACAGTCAGGCACTATTCTGGCACCAGCTGCGAGAGGCGGTGCGGGAGCAGCGGGAGACTCACGACGAGGTCATTAAGTTGCGGCAGGAGGCCAAGGGGTTTGAGGCCTGGAACAATGTTCCTCAATGGAGGCATACCCAGAGGGAGGCAAAGCGGAGGTTGTTGGCTGCGGAGGTCTTTGAGCTGGAGCAGCAGTTGGAGTGTGTTCAGCAGCTACAAAGGCCCAATGCGAGTACGCTAAGGTGGAATCGAAGGTTCGCGGTGCAGATTCGGCTTGATATCCAGAATGCGATCAGAGATGCGAAAGCAGAAGACGACGAGGTGGCGCTGGAAATTCCCTCTAAACACCAGACTGACCCTGAACGCCTGCCTGCTCGGCCACAGCTGAAGTCTTTCGTGGACGATGATCTCAGTATACCAGCCAAAGTAGTCGAAGAGAACCTACAAGATGTAGGCTTCCAACCAATCGAGCGGATGATCTTGCGAGATTACCACCAATCCCTGCGAGTCCTGTACAGACTGGGCTTGTTCGACCCCAAAGGCTACACCCACGATGAAAGCACCTACCTCGCCGATGCCATCGCCTGCACAAGCAAGGGTTGCACCAAGTTCATAATGAGCCACTACGACTCTGGCAAACTCCTCACCCATTCATCACTGCCCAGCATCTGGCCGGGCCCCTTCGAAATCGGCAACCATATCGACCTCCTCATCGAGACGGAATTCAACTACGGGCTCGGCCTCGCCCTGAAAATCCTGCTCCAGCGCTCCCTAGACTTAAACACCTCACTATGGCCGCACACGAGGAGCCACATCTGCGAATTCGCCACAGGCCATGTAGCTTCGCTTCTAAAGAGAGTCGGCGTGGACCTTACGGACACAACCGACTGGTCCCCTAGGGATACACCGTGGCACATGGCCGCAAGAAACCCGAACAAGTCGTTCTATAATTTCCTAAACCAACGTATCCCGCACACAATAAACCAGCCCGATAGAAACGGTGATCTGCCAATTACGATTGCGCAAAGACTAGACGAGAAAGAGAGGGCACAGTGGCTTATTGACCGGGGTGCGGCAGTCTATCCCGCTGTTCGGAAGATGTTATCCAACCTTTGCTCCCCCGAGGACGAATGGTTCCTGTTTTACTTTCAAGCTGCCGGTACCAGCCTGCCTACAGAGCCCTGGATAAACGATGTTATTGATGGGTTGAATGAGGAGATAGCTAGGCAGGGGGCGGAGGAGAGAGGGTCATTGAACGAACGGGCGGCGGAGCTTATTATGAAGCTGAAGAATGGAAATGGCGTTTCCAGTGCGAGCCTGCGTACTTTGAACGATAGGAATGAGACGCCGCTTCAGGCTGCGACAAGGTATGGGCTGAACGAAATTATTCATCTGCTGCAGCCGCCGAAGCCCGTCAGACGGGAGCATTCATCGAGGTATAATTTAAGGAAGCGGGCACAGAGGTATAACTTGAGGAAGAGGGTGAAGAGGGACTCTTCCAAATAGATTATCGGTTCTGGTACCGCTACGTTACAAGTTTCAAGGCTGTTGGTTCACGTGTATTTGATATGCTAAATGCTATGCAGAGTTAGTTATTTACAATAGAATTTGCCAACCGCACCCGCAGTTGGTAGATAACGCCAGTCCGCCAATCGGCCAGCTCAAGAACTAAATAACCTGTCCCTGTTCATTAATTAAATATTCTTTGTCGTCTTGGCCGGGGTATCCGAGGGCGTTGACGTGCGCTCAACCTCAGGGTCAACCGCCTCAGTCGGAGGGCCAACGTAGTTCTTGTGTCCCCAGACCCAGTACCAAACCGCAGACATGGCGACGAAGCCGACGAACACAACGGAGGCGTAGTTCATGGATTCGAGGGTGACTTCCATGAGCGTGGGCATGCTGAAGAGGGGGATGGCGATGACAGTCCACACTGGTTTTGTTAGCAAGGCTACACGACAAAAAATGACAAGGATACATACGCAGGGCAACGATGTTGCAGAAGACGCCGAGGGCGCCGAGATCGAAGTTGCCGTGCTTGATGTCCTCGCGTTTTCGGAGGATCAGGGAGACGGCGATCGGGCAGGCGTAGCTGAGCGTGAGGAGGATGACACCAACACCGGAGAAGGCGTTGTACGCAGCGGTGGATCCGAAGTAGATCAAGCCAAAGAGCAGCTCGATAACCATGCCCAGCATCATGGCGTTGAGGGGAATGTCGAGCTTCTTGTTCACGGTGCGCCACCACTGGGATCCGGGAATGGCACCGTCACGAGCGAACGCCCATGTGCAGCGGGACGTCGCAGTAACACAGCCAATACCGCAAATGAGACCCAGGATGAGGAGCGGGAGGAGCAGCAGGAACGCTCCGACGGAGTTTCCAATGGCCGAGGCGAAGATGGCCGGGACGGGCTGGCCGGATGCAAGGTTGGCTAGGTAGGTCAAGTCGGGCATAACGAAGACGACCGGAATCAGGAAGACCAGACCGGCGATGAGGTTGATACAGATGGTTCCGACCATGGCCTTGGGCACTTGGACGGCCGGTTGGCGGACCTCCTCGCACATCCTATCTCTTTCAGCATTGTGCTTGCATATATCAGAGTCAACAACTTACGTGATGATCATTCCCGTGGACGAGGTCGCATAGGCAGCTTGCAAAAGGCCAATACAGAAAGACCAGCCATCGGGCCATCCGGTCTGGGGCTCAAAGTGGCCAAACGCCCATTTGGCGTTGCGTCTGCCCTCTCTGGCAAGAACCAGGAGACAGACGTCGATGGCGATAACACCCGCCAGGGTCCAGAAGATGGCAAAAGACTTGAATAGCATTAGCAAACGAGCACCAGTGGGGGCAAAGGGTTAAAAGGTTAATGCAGAAAGGCGCATTGGGAAATCTACCTCCAGCAAAGGGAGCCACCTATTTGCTAAAGCCGGGATCGCATGGCAAACAACGGTCACCGCAAGGAAGATCACATAGGTCTGCCAGGCGCCCCAGGTGTCCGTTAAGCCCATGCCTTCTTCCTTTCCGGGGAAGACATTCAGGCAGGCAATGAAGAGTTGGGTTGTCCCAAAGTTCACGGCGAGGGTGATCATGATCTGCCCTGCGACATAGGCCCAGCCGCAGACCCACGACGAGATACGACGACACCAGATGGGCGAGAGGACGAAGGTCTGATAGTAGACACCGCCAGCCGTGGGGAACACCGAGGTGATCTCCGCCAGCGAGGCCGCTACACACAGGATGATCAGGGATACGAGAACCCAGCCCCAGATGATATTCGCGGGACCGCCGCCGGCGAGGGCATAGTAGAAGGTGGTAGAGAGGCCGTAGGGGACGGAGGCGAGGATAAAGGACATGAACACGACGTTCCATGTGGATCGGTTGCGAGACAGCTCGGGGGTGTAGCCCAGGGTCTCCAGGGTCGCATCGGCAACATCGTGGTTCGAACCGGACTCTATGGCGCTTTCGTGGAGTGCTGCGGGGGGCCATTGGGACGCGTCTTTGGGGGCCATGGCTGCGGTGGACGAGTTGCTGTGGTGAGTGGCCGCGATGGTCGCTGTGGTGCTGTGGTGCTGTGGTGAGGTCGCTGTGGTCGCGTGGTCGCTGGCGCTGTGGTGAGGTTGCTTGGCTGCTGCGGGGGAAGTGTCGCTAGGGCTCCAGAAATGACAGACGGGGATGGCGCTATGGGGACTACCGCAGGGGCATCGTACAGCGTACAGTGTACAGGGCGAGTCGATCCGTGGATGAGCAGAGAGCGAGTGAAGGGCGGGAGGCTGAGGCTTTAAGAGTCGCCGCTGAAAAAACACACGAAAATTCCCAGAAAACCATCGGGCGCAGGCCAGAAGATTATGGCATTTAATTTGAATTCACATCCACCCATTAACTGCTTCTTATCTAATCCCGCCAATCGCTTCCCCTTTGGGCATAGCCTCTGCTACGGTGCCATGGGTGGGTGGTTTTATTCAGTTATCATTGGCTGGCGACCACGCGACCCAGATTTTACGGGCTGCAGTGACGTCGCTGCTTGTGGGTGGGGCGTATGTCACGTGCCCTGTCGCGCCGCAAGATTCCAAGATTCTTCCAAGATCTTCGCTTCAAGTTTCTCTGGCAGTTCTGCCTGCTGTGAAACGTTCGGAGGAACCTCGGCCCCCATCTCTCCCCATTGGCTGCTGCGCAATCGTCGTGTTCCAAAGTTCCATCGGTCGGCCTACCGATGTCCGGTGTTTTGCCCTGTTGTCCCGACCTTTTCGTAGGCTGGCCGGCCCACCTACCCCTGGCGGTCACCGTTGGGCGTTAGCGTTGCTGCAGTGCCTCTACAGCTGCATTCTCCCTCGAATGCTATCGAAATTCGAATTCTGTCACTTGCAAAATCAAATCTCTCAGTCCACATCATGGCCCACCCACCGTCGGTTTCCTTCGGCGGGCCGTGCCTTGCTGTTGCCAGTCCAGTCTCTGTATCGAGTATCTACTCCGGGACACTTTTCCCTGTTTGAGTTAAATAACGCAGATGAAACAATGGCTACTTGTCTGGAAGTGGTAATGTGCACGAGACTTGTTTCCGATTGCACTAAGCACTATCCCTTAACTAATCAAGCATTGATACGACATAGATCAACGGTTCGGCTCCGTACCGGGGACGGTTCATCAGTTGGAGTTTGGACAGGACGCATCAGTGAGCCGCGCGATCAGACTCATGCTTCACTATTCCTTGGGCGGTACATGGCAAACCTGTTTATCATCAGTGAAACAGCGACAGAACCGGCCCGGCGACAGTGACCGGCGGAGTCACTTACAATCTCCACATTGTTCCCACGTGGATCCCACACGAACGCTGCATAATAGTTGGCATGGTACTGCGTCCGCAGCCCGGGCTTGCCATTGCACTTCCCTCCAGCCGAGATCGCAGCTTCATGGAAGGCATCGACCGTTTTACGATCTAGTAAACCCTCGTATTCAATCGATCGATTTGCAATTGCAAGGGGTAGGATACATACCGTCCGCAGTAAATGCAAAGTGAAGATTCTGCGGCGTGTCGCTTTCTGTCTCGGAGATCCAAAAGTCTGGAACTGCGTCACCTAGTCCAACTGCGCCGGGGAAGCGCATTATCTCTTTGTATTTCATCGGTGCGAGGGCGCTTTTGTAGAAGCTGATCAGGCTCTCGAACTGCTCTGTCGGAGCGGTGATCCCGACGTGGTCGATCTTGCTGGATAAGTCCTTACTAGGATCGAACTCCATTTCTTCGATAGATATTGATTATCAGGTTGAATCAGAACTAGAAATACTACATTAAATCATTCACTTGACAGCACTCGTAGTTTATATAGAACCCAACGCGGGGAAGCACAGCTGAATACGAGATCCAAGAAACCCAGAGCGCGCCACCATTCAGATACGAGCGACGGTGAAGATTCATCTCTCTTGAGCATCTGCATCTGGCATAATCGCGATCCCATGAGGTCAATGACTTTCTCTCCCGTCGAATCAAGCGATCCCGTCCAAGACTGGCGCACTGCGAGTGGTGCGTATGGCTGGGCGAGTCTTGGCTTTACGAAAAACAACACGGTCGGGGCGGAATTATGATTAGTGATATTTTATTTGATTACTGATCGATGGATAATAATTGGATAGTTTTCTGAAGGGATTTGTGCTTCAGGTAAAAGCGATGAAAATTGGTGTTGCGGTTTAAAGTATGAGGGAGGCAAAAATATATATCGGACCACATTTGAATACTTCAACTCTTGCGACCTCCACTGAAGGATTGTTTAGATAAAATTTGATTCGGGTATCATTGTCCATAAAATCATACGAAATAATAAACACCAGTGAAACACCGCATCTCAAAAAGAGACAGTTCATGAGTGTCCGAAGCCAACGCCAACCGATTCATCCGTCGCTAGTAATAAAACAATGCACCCGGGACCCAGCAATTCAAAAGATAAATACGACTACTTAGATACCGGCCGTAGTATCTCCGATCGCATCACCCAGGTACCACTGTGCAAGTGTTTTGAACGCCTCATCATTCCCGTGGGTGAAGTCGAACATCTTGGTGTGACGCACAACCAGAGTGCCATTCGAGAAATAAAACTCCATAACCCTAGCTTTCAGTCCCAGCAGTGAGATGAACAGGACCTGAAGGGTTGGCAGGCTAAGTTAGCTATGGGACAGCAAGGCGGGCGAGAAAATCAAGGTGAAAAGAAAGAAAGCAAACAGGTACACACCGGAGAGACTGCGTGACGAATAAATCGAGACCTCCTCAGCTGCCAGAGCATAAGACGAAGAGCTGGGAGCAGTTCGCCGGCGAGAAGAGTAGATTTAGTGGGGACCAGGTTATTGAACGTGATGGCCTTGACGTGGGGATAGGTGGAACCCTCCAAATCAGCCAGGGCGAAGGAGCCGTAAGATGGTTGCTCATGTCGGCAGAGACCAGCAGATGGATAGTCCGCAGCGCTATAGGAGTAATTAGGATCTGAGATAACCGAGCGTCAACTGGAGGCTGAATTCTTACCATTTCGCAGCCCACTTGATATCCGTCTTTTGGCCGTAATGGAATGAGCAGCAGGATTGAATGTATGACCTTAGATGGCCACCTGTGATGTGCGCACGGTCATAAGGGCGGTAGAAGTCCGGATCGTAGAAGAAGGAGCCTGGTTTTGGGTCGTCGTCGATGCCATTAAAAACACCCCCAAGAGTGTCCTCATCGACTTCGGGGAGTTGGTCGGCTGGGAAGGGAGCAAAGAAAGCTGCTGCATGAGGTGAACCTTCGTCCAGCGATAAAGAATCAACACGAATATTGAGAGACTTGAGCTGCTGCAGATCAAGTTCGTTGACGCCGAGAGCGTTGATGTCCAAGGCGAGTTTTCTGATTCCGGCTCTCACCTCGCGGCGGGCAGGCGACTCGACAATCCTAGGCATGGTCGACCGCGTCACGGTGAGAGGATGGGTGTCTAGCGAAGAAACTCAAACCGACGAGGCTGCTTGGGCGATGGGTTTATATCTCTGGCGCCGTTGAAGTGACTGGGAGCAATGGATGACACCAGACCAAAACAAACTGGGCGCTTGGCGCCAGGTCATGGGGCAACAGCCAATCAGAGCTCGAGAACCGCCTCAGTTGCCGCCGTGATCACGTGTTTCCTAGCGCCAAAACAACTAAAAGTTATTTTTATAGTCCATATTCATCCATATCTAGTCAACACGCGCTCGTGGTCCACAATCCCAAAATAACACCAGGCAATCCCCAAGCGAATCGCCGGGTGGATGGTCTGACCAGTAATTGCTCCAGCGGCCCACAATTTACTGGTGGTACGGAGGGCATATCGGTATTCAGCAGAGGTCAAGAGTTTGTTAGGTGAAGGTTGACCTGGCATATCTATTTTAGAACCAATAAACCAGTGAAATTTAATTTGCTTCCTTTACCTTTGCTTTTTCGTAACACATCCTACCATATCGAATATTATAAGATTAACCACAACCCCACAATCATATTCGACCCTGGACGCTTTCACTATTGCCATCTCTCCCCTGTGTTACCACCGTCGTTCTTAATATCAACTTCGTGCTTTCCACCAACAACCCCTTCATACCAGCAATACTCTATATCTGAGAACGATGGCGGCCCTGCCAGTCAAACTGCCCAAAAACATTTCGGAATGGCAGGAACAAAGCGCCAAAATGGGTCTGACAGGCGAAACCATCCACGGAGCAAAACCCGGTTCTGCCTCCAAGTTCGAATACGACGACTTTTTACTGCTCCAAGTCATATGGGTGGAGCACAAAATCGAATATCTGAATAAGTTGCTGCCAGGAATGACTGAACATATCGAAAAGGCAAACCAGATGCTGAAAAGATATAAGTCATGGGGCGCCTACTGCCGCGGATTTGACGGTGGTAATATCAATGAAGGAACATTTGCGGTTGCACGCCACTATCAGCTAGAGGTCTGTAACACCGACGACTCTGCGGAACCAGATGCCTTGGTGACGCCCATCGCACGACGAACTCGAGGCCAGCTACATGAGGACATGGCCGCGATGAACATCGGCACGCCCACCAGAAGCAGCGGGGTCGCCGATTCAATGGAGGCCCAAGAACTGGGGTTGGTCATGGATGATGATGACTCTCTGCTTGATTACACTCCAAGTCCATTCCGTCCAATGACTCCAGTCCCGAAAGAAATGGCGAGCGTGCTCTACCCTCCATCCCTGGACGAACAGATTGTGAATTGTGCTTTAGTAATTTTCCTAAACGCACTGACCATCCATTTCGACATCAACAGTACCTGGACCCTTCATAGAAAGGCATTCAAAGCAGTATTTGATGGCGCTAGCTTCGAGGCCAGGGTCGATGGATATCTCAACCACTGCGGCAATCCCCGGGTTATTATCGAGGTGAAGCCCGCGAGTCGATCCAGCAAGGAATTTTCCATACAAGTCCAGGAAAGTGCCCAGGTAGTCGCCTGGATAAAAAGCGACGCCAACAAAGGCCATCACGGCAAAAGACTGTATGAACCCTTCTCCTTGTGTTGCACTGACCGAACTTCCAGTTCATGCTAATTGGAACACAGCCGCCTTCATCTCGCCCAGGACCGCCATGAGATCTATTTAACAATTGCTGAATATGACGAGGAGTATGTCAAGTACCTAAACGACAAGGATTCCCGCAGCGGTGCATCTTTCATGACGATGCACCGTTTTGGCCCGTTTGATACGCTTGATCGCCAGCACATACAAAAGGTGGGACCTATTTTGTTAGCTATATCTCTGTGGGCGGGATCGGATACGTGGAAACAATAAACTACTCTGATATGGGGCTGTAATTAGATACAGCGAGTTCTTCATAGAATAGCGTATTGCGAGCGAATACCATGATTTAAACTATTCGACTTCATTTGTGCAAACCAAGCCTTGACGCCTCAGCGGCGATAACATCAGGAATCTCCTCCTCCAGACTGCGCTCCTTCGGCGTCCACCCAAGCACTTTGCGTCCTCTCAGCGCCTTAGCACGCGAATTCAATCCCCAACTCGCCGCCTCAAAGCCAGCAGGTGTGCGAGTAGCCTCATCAAAAGACAGTTCCTTCACCGGCGGCTGCTCCTTAAGATATCCCAGCTTGTACGCCTGCTCGCCGACATACGGCGCAAGTTTACCCCAGACATGCTCGCCGTTTTCAGTTAAAAAGTACCCCTTCGCGCCCCAGATTTCAGCATCATCCTTCCTGGCCGGATCCAGCGCCGCCTCAACCAATGCACCAAACAACTCGCTTAGATCATAAACGTGGATATTGTTCCACCTCGCCAAGCCCTTCCCAATCTGTGGGACATACTTCTCCTTGAGAATAAAGGACGAAAGTTCATAAACCTGCCGGCCCCGAAGAGATACAGGTCCTCTTCCACGCCCGTAGATCGTCGGCGGGCAAACAATGACCGTCTTCACGGAATCAGCATGCTCAGAGCCCGTCTTGAGAACGATCTCATCGACATTACGATGGAATGCTGCAGACGGTAGATTAACGAGCTCATCAACACCAGAATCATCGTTGAAAACTTTCTCATCGGGCTCGCCGTAGACTTTGCGAACTTCAGAGTCGAAGTACGTCAGGATGCCTGTTCCACCGGTGTGCAGCCAGTATCCAGGGCGTTGAGGGGAGTGACCCTCGATTAGCCCTTTGGCGATAGCATTTGCAGCTCCGACATGATCAGATGAGTCCGCGGTATCTGGCACTTTCATTAGCAACCCTCACTTTGGACTCTCCGGGGGTAGAAGACATACGAAGTACAATATCCGCCCAAGCAGCTTCCTTCTCTATCGTCTTTGAGTCGTCCAGACCTCCTAGCACAATTCGAACGTTGGGGTATAGCTCCTTTACATACTTTGCCTTCTCCTCTGTGCGAATCAGCGCGGAGAATTCAAAGTCGCGGTGGTGCTGCTCTAGCAAGTGGAAGGCGTCGCCGCCGATGTAGCCGGTGATACCGGTGATGAAGAGTTTGGTGGGCATATTGTATGATGAAGATGGGTTATTTTACAGGAGTATTGCGAATATTTGCAGGATGAAGAGAAAGGGGGGATTTTATGTCGCTGCTATCGATGGTGGGGCTGGCAATGACTTCATCCGGTGCTGCTCTTACAAATCAACATTCTGCCCCTCTATCAATCAATGATTACACAGAGTTGTTGGAGGTTACCTGGATACCAAGTAAATTGCATGTTGCAATAAATAAAGGATGATTCAATTGAAAATGGCCTGTGTATTCCATGCATTTTGACATATTATGCCGGTACTGCGGAGCATCTTTGATATTTGTAGTTTTGCACCATATTCATGGGAATGTTGTCCTCTAATTACTGCATATATTGCCGGAATGAACTTCTCTATTGGCCTGGAGATTTTATATCGTTAGAAGGAGATCAGTAATATCAATCGCTATGCAGTGCGTGGAGTAGAATAGATCCCTCACTGGATAAATTTCCGTACGATTGAGGAATCGGCATGAAGGTTCGACGAGCATGGGCTGCAAGGTTGGCCTGCGTAAACTGGGGCTGATGATGGTTAGATAGAGCTGTCAACCGAGAAACATGATATCAACAGGCTTGATCGGTAATATTGCTGGTTGTAGGTAAGCGGTGCCTCAGGTACCAGACATCGGAACTAACCAGAAAGCAGAAAGGACTGCAATTGAATGCATTAAAAAAGCATAATCCTGTTAATTAGGAAATACCCATCAAATGATATCATATTCCGTTCTTTACACCCCATAGGAACCGGCGGCTGGCAGGGCACATTCACCAGCACCGCACCGTGCTGGGCCGACCGAGCCACCCCCACATAACCTGGGGTTTTCCCCGTGGAACACTGCAGCATTGATCTCCGGGCCCGTGACCGTTCCTAGTGTCTGTCCTCCTGCATGTGCAGAAGTGACCCAAACACGGAGTCCGGGACCGACTCCGACGGAGAGGTGACACACTCCGGCCCAGATGCCGGCCCTTCTATAAATACATCGCCACCTGCTGAACCGGCCATCGCCCGGACGCTGCATTCCTTGGAAATGAAGTAATGTTTTGGAGCTTGATTGTTGATGACGGCATGGGTAAATATAAGTAGCTATCTGGTTGTGTGGATAGTTGTGATTACAAATATAGTGGCAGTATAATTTATATACACCTAATTTTAGCCTTATAAAAACTTACTCGTAGAGATATCTTACAATGAGGCTATTTGCGTACGATAATGATAGGCAGTTTGTCCTTACTTTCGCCACTTTCCCTCTGGGTCCGGGTTCTGCAATTGAACATAGCATCAAAGTTCTCATCAACGCCAATAATGATGTCCATTATCTACCGAGGAAGCTTTAGCTCAGAATTTCTTTCTTAAGGATTTCATCTGGTTGGTTCAATTGCAGACATGCAGACCGTCTTCCGATTTGTAGAGTAAAATAAGCGCATGAGTATCTCTGCAAGGCTTTAGATAGGACCATGAGCGTAGAATGAGGATTGGATTATACCAAACAAAATTATAAAAGGAGAATATGATATTCATCCTAGTTGCTAACCTTTTAACCTTTGAATCATGAAGCCAAATAGAGTTGAATAGTAAATGTATTAATGCCATAAAATCAATATGCAAATAGAATAAATGATACATGCAAATAATGTAAACAACCAGTGCTATCTTAGTTTATGAAACAAACAAATCCCGCTAGTAATTCATATCCCATTAAGCTGTTCATAGCCGTCTCTCGACCAGACCAGACGCGTCTAAACCTGCAACTCGGTCACCTGTACCTGAGCCACGTTCATCTTCAGGTCACTCAGCTCCCCACTACCGGCATCAAAGCCCGCTGACACGGTAGTGTTGTCCTGGCTAACAGGCCCCCGGTGGGCAGGCGAGATCTGATGACCGGCAGCGAGTTCCTTCTTGTGATGCTCGGTGACGATGTCACGGACGGTGCGCTGGAAGTGGATGGGTCCCTTCTCCATCTCCGGGTGCAGCTCGCCGTTGACGAAGATGCCTGCGTTGAGGTTCTTTTGGGAGTGGGTGCAGAGGTATTTATCCTCAGACATGATTCGCTTGTACATGTCGCTGATGGTGGTGAATTGCTCGTCGCTGGCGTTGTTGTTGCGGTAGACTTCGTAGCGCATGACGCACTTGCCTGGGCTGATTGGGGTGAAGCGCTGCATGAAGAAGAAGTGGGGGCTGGGACTGTTAGTACTGGTTCAATCAACAGGCAATAATGGCATTGATAGACTTACGAGACATTGCAAGAGGCATTGGGCCAGAAGTAAGTGGTTGCAATGCGGAATCCCTTCTCGATCTGGTCCTGGCGCTGGGCACCGTAGTGCAGGATCTGGTTGTCTTTGGTCTTGACGTAGTACGAGTTCAGGTCGGCGATTGTGGGGATATCCGGGTGCGCGACTTGACAGTGGTAGCACTCGTTGTAGTTGTCGGCGAGGATCTTCCAGTTGAACTCGCCCTCCATGTCCCAGGTGTGGTCGAAGGAATAGTCCTCGAAGTTGTAGTGCTGGTAGCGGGGCTGCGTGTCGACGCCTTCAAAGTCGTCTTCCCAGGAGATCTCGGGCTTCTCGCCAGCATCCAAGTTGACCCAGATGAAGCCATTGCAGTCAATGTGGATGTGGATGGGCTTGAGACTGTTGCTCTCGTAGCCGCCAATGTTTTCATCCTGGTCCTTCATGATGACGTATTCATAGCCAGCGGTGCTGTAGCGAACCATGTCGCCAGCGTTGGGGACGCGGTGCTTGTGCGTCGTGAGGAGCCACTTGCGTGAGAAGATGGCTCGTCGCTCAAGCTCGTACATGTCCTCAGAGGTGTACCAGGAAGCAGGAAGAGCACGGACGGGCCTCTTGTCCTCCTTCTCCTCCTCCTTGGCTGCTGCCGGAGCAGGCTTCGAGGTTCCGAAGTAATTCCTGAGGAAAGACATTGCGAATGTGTAGAATAAACAAAAAGACGTTGGCAGTCTTAGTCTATGATAAAGAACAAGGAATAGAAGGTAGAAGACTTTTGGATCTGAATGATAGTCGAATACTCGCTGACCATCTGCCCTTCTATATAGTTATCTCTGCCAGCCACGCCACGATAGAGCACGGATGAGATCACCAGCACCCGCCTGACCCATCCCACCCCAGACGGTCGTCAGCCTTCCAACCCCGGACCGTTTACCTGACCCTTCCTCGCCCCGAGTACAATCTAATTGGCGATCCGACGGTGGTGATACCTGGCACCCGTCCACGTGATCGGCGATAGTCAGGGACCGGTTGGCTTAGGGTTTCGCGAACCCTCCTTATCGGACGCCGTGAAGAGTCCAGACCGAGAAGGCTTGTCCCGAAAGTGGATTCTAGACCGGCATGACACCGCCTGAATGTTTAGATTTACCGAAAATGGAAGTGTTTCCCATAACTTTCTTCAGCGTGGCGGCCAGAGTATCCGTTACACGTGCGGCCAACGAGCCGCAAGACGCGTTCGATGGCGGCACATGCTCAGCCGTGAAATGATACTTTGACGATAAGGGCTGACAGCAACGGGCCCGTGGAGGAGCCGGGGGAGTGGTTAGGCACAGGCGCCCCGGCCTAACCACCGGCTGCATCCCGGGTGCAGTTACGGGGACCATAACAGCATCATCTCTTTACAGCTACTCTAATGGTGATATCAGAGACAACGACAGACATCGACAGCTGCTACCGATTATAGGAAATGTGAATTAACCAGTAAATGTAAAAGGCAATTCCGTATTCCTATCAAACTGTTGGACGGCAGACACGGCTACGAGCCGACCACGTGAGCGCCTCCGGAAGTGGTAGTGTGTATATGATTCAACAATGACCACCTATTGACATTCCTTTCCGTGGTCACGCTCCCGACGAGTCTGTGCCGGTCTCCACATGTCATTACAAGCATGGCCAGCCCAAGGTTGAACTTTGGACCTGGGATGAGAATATTCGGATGACCCACCGGCTATGTCATTGAGCTGGCAAATAGTAGGCTTAGTACGGGATCAATAAGTCTTAATGCTAAAAAATTTAATGAATAGTGGAGGGATAAGGGTTCATATCATTCAGGAGTCAAATAGAATCACCAATGCTGGCCTAAACTGTTGTCCCGTGAGCATAGAGCTAGTAGTATAGGATAGATAAGCCTCAATCAGCAAGAATGATCCCAACCGCCAGGATGACGTAGCTATATATGGAAACACTATCCTCCGATACAAGCCAATAAATGCGCAGTGACTAATATCCAAAGGTGATCGCTACGATTCCGGAAAACCCCACAATACGAACGAGAACCCTCACTAATGATAGAAATGTCCAACAGATCAAACCTTGACCGTCCACTTCCACCGCCAATCCAACAACGCCCACCGCGACAAAGCCACACACGCCAAACCAACGACCAAAACAGCCGAATACAAGCCGATAAGAATCTGAGGCGTTGTCTTGGACAGCACCTCTCCACCAACAGGCACCGAAATCAGCACACCAAACGACGCAACCGCATAGACAGTACTATAGAATCGTCCATATTCCTCGGTCCGACACAGCTGGCCAGCACAGACGGGCACCAACGAGATCCAGCCGCCGGACCCGAAGCCGAAGATCGCGACGACGGCGTATAGAGTTGCTTCGCTTGCGGAACTGACAGGGAGCCAGACGGTCGCCATGACGATTAAGGTGAGGGTGACGAGGGAGAGGAGGATGTTGAAGCGGCCGACCAGGTCTGCAGCAAAGCCGGGGAGGATGCGGCCGAGCAGACTCATACTGTTCAGTAGAGTGACGGAATAGAACTGGACGTCTTTGGATAGGCCGGACAAGCGGACATACGTTGGGAGTAAAGCCGCGCAGCCGAAGATGATGAATTCGAAAATGAAAACAGCCATGGCAAGAAAGCTGAGACGTGCGGATTTGAAGGCAGCGACATCGATTGTGGCTCTGCGCATTGGGCTTGGAGGGAGGCGGCCTTTGACGAGGGCGATTCCGGCAGCGTAGCAGGCGAGTGCGATGAAGGAGATAATCCGGATTGACCACTTCCAGCCGTACATTGGGAACAGGTGGCGGAGCACGATAGGCAGGATTGCACCGCCTGCAGACGAGCCAGCCATGCAGAGGCCAGAGGCCAGAGCACGGCGTCGGAAGAACCAGTGGCTAAGGACTGATATTGAGACGGTCGTGACGACTGCTGCAGCAGAGCCGCTGAAGATACCCAGGCAGAGAATGAAGTGCCAGAACTTGGAGCATTCAGCGAGGAGGATATACGAAGCAAAGCTCGCAAGAGAACCAGATACCAGCAGCATTCTGGGCCCGTAGCGGTCAAACAGGGGCCCCACCTGCACACCGAAGAAAAGAGTTACAAAGAGCAGCATCGCTGTAATCCAGCCAATTTGGCTGACACTGTAGTGCGCGAGCTGGTTCTGACTGAGGAAATCCTGTACCGTCCCAACTACAACAGTCAGACCATGCAAGGGTATACTGAATAGCAGACTTACTGGCAGCCTGGAATCCGAATGACGGGAACATCATCAGGGCGGAGCCAAAGAGGCACATCCACGCCTCACGGCCTCCTTCAGGGTAGGCATGACTGACACCTTCAGTAGGCTCTCTGGTCGATGATTCATCAAGTTCAATGTTCTCGTGAACAACGGAAGTCAGGTTAGCCGTGCTGGTCATTGTTGCGATGCTGAAGAAAGAAAGAAGAAAGAATCCCCCGCTTCTCCAACAGTCCAAGACTCCAAGACTCTGGCTGACTCAACAGCCTGCAACCGGTGAATGGCGGACTAAGGATCCTTCTGATTGTTACAGGCTGTATTGTAACTTGAATAGCAAATGAAAAAAAGGTTTCAGGTTACAAAGGACTAAGAAAGTAGAAGACAGGACTTTGGATATAAATGGTATCCCAACTTGCTGAGTTTGGGCATTCCCTCAAAACATAAACTTCTGAAATTCACATCGAACATGGACGCTCCTAAAGATTTTGTCAACCTGCCGGCAGAGCTGAGGATTGAGATTGCAGAATATTTGTCTCGCGATACCCTGGCAGCATTCGCCCTAACATCCAAACACGCCTACGCAGTTGCCTGCCCGCTGATCAAAAAAGCTCAAGCGGCGGAGGAGCGTGAAGCAAAGGCAGATTTGATATACATATGGGAGTATCACAGAGCTCCAACCCGACCCAAGGGCGTATTTCTCTACGACTCGTGCCTTCACCCAAATGAGATCAACATCGAAGATACCGGTATACCCAAGTTGAGGATCCTAATAAAGGCCTGCGAGGCCGGTGATATTCAACAGGTCCAAGCTCTTCTGGACGAGGGTGTGTCACCTAACCTCCCAGAGTTTCTATCAAACCCTCTACACCGGCTTAGGGCGCCCATGGGATTTAGGAAGGAGTTCTATTACTATACCCCTTTGCAGGCCGCCACGCACTTCAACAGGACGGACGTTGTCAGGGCTCTTCTCGCCGCCGGGGCTAAGCCAAGTACCATATTTGAAAGTCTTGCCTATCTCTTCTGCATGGGACACCCAAACCAAGATACCCTGGATCTCCTAATCAACCACGGTTTTAATATCCATGTAACAAGATCGGACGGGCATACAGCGGATAACCTACTCCACTGGGCATGCAGGAATAGCTGTCCTGCAGTTGCGATTGGGAACCTGATCGATAACGGCGTAAACATTTGTGCGCCTAATCACGCCTCGGAATCTCCTATAGCCATTGCCATTGGGGCGTCAAGAGCCCGTGGCTCTCGCCGGTATTACGAAGTCATTCGAGAGCTCCTTAGCCGTGCGTCACATGAGGAACTCCGAGATTCATACGGGAACTATCCACTTCACCTAGCCGTTAGGTGCGATGATGAGAAAATTGTACGCATGATGCTTCAAGAGTTTGCAGCGGACCCAAACGTCCAAGATGTCAAGGGATTGACACCTCTGACGCTGGCACTGGAGAGCGAAAAGCTGAATTCGGATATAATAAGAGTCCTTCTAGAGGCGGGTGCCTCCCTGGATATTCTCCGTCAGAAATGCTGGGATTTTGAGAGATTCTGGCCGTCGTATGGAAAATGGCCGATCAGCCAAGAAACGCTTCGCATCTTGTTGGATGCGGTAGTACACCAATCTATACCAGAGCATCTTCCCCATCCTTTTGTTTGTCTAGCAGCCATTATGGGGGATGCTGGCATATTGGAATCAACACTGTCTCTGATTAAAAATGATAGCTACGCGCACCAGAGGAATAAGCAATATATACTCTCGGCATGTTCATATGCCCTGGACTGGAACCGTGGTACCTGCCTCAAGGTCCTGGCGCCTTATGTATTAGCATACGAGAAGGGAGCTGACCACGCTGCACGTATACTGTATTACTACCTGAAGCATGGTACTGACAAGGAAGTACGGGACTGGCTCTTTCGCAGCGAATGTGCAGTCTTTGATCTCCTAACATGGAAGGAATTTCTATGCGCTGCCATGCGCCACCAACCCCCACACATTCTATCAAAGCTTCTATCACGCAACCGGCGGCGACCGAATATCCCATTACTAATCGCTGTTCTGAGAGAGGCTGTAGAGATCGGATCAATCGAGTGTCTCGCCATCCTCCTTGAACACCGTTATTTCAAAGAACTCCTCCTAGCCGAGGAGTGTATAATACTCCACGCAGCCGAGAAAAGTCGCACCGAGGTCCTCAAGTTCCTCTATGATCGCTGCAGCAAGTCCAACGGCAAAGGGTTACCTTCAAAGGGCCGGTTAATCCAAATGGCCTGCAAGACCGGGAATCTGAGCAACGTGCGTTGGCTTCTGGAATCCGAGGTGGCCGTAGACATTTACGAAGGTTTAGAGCCAAGGTGTCCTAATATCCTCTTGGGTGCTGTTATTGGCGGCGATACAGAGATCGTGGAGCTACTCATCGCACATAATGCCGATGTAAACGAGAGGAGCGACAGCAGTGGCGAAACTGCTCTACATTTCGCAGTGTCGGGTGGACATGCCGATATAACGCGTCTCCTGCTAAGGGCAGGCGCGAATCCACACAAGCCCGACAAAAGAATGATCACTCCGCTATGTCAGGTCGTCAAGGAGCTGAATGAACGGGCCTCAAGCCGGATTTATAGACTTTGCAGTAGCGGAGAGGCAACGGTAACAGCTGAATGGTTCCGAATCGTCTTCGAGCCCCGAATCCAGTGTATCTGGGCATTGGTAGAACACGGTGCCGAATTGGACAAGGAATGGCTCGCTTCAACCCCGTTGTTTGGCGGGGATGGGCTTAAGGTACTGGAGTATTCTGAGGATGATGAAGATCTCGATGAGTTCGAGGGACCGAGACGCACATTTTACATCCGCAATATCGAGCCGGAGCCTTTAGATATATGGCTCCAGTATCTTAAGAAAGGCCCTGCAGCTCTGGATGCTGTGGATCAATTGGGTCGGACGCTTTTCATGTCTGCCGTCCTAGAGATGGATTTAGAGGAAGCGACGAAATGCAAACGTAGGGAATTGCTGGCATTACTGCATCTCTTGACCCTTGCTGGGTGTGATACCTCAAAGGCTGATAACGAGGGAAGGACTCCGCTGCATATTGCAACCGCTGCAGGGGACGATGAATTGGTGAAGCTTTTGTATGCTGCGAGGTGATCAGAGCGTGTTTACTGGCGTTGTTTAGAGTTATCAAATATATTCAGTTGTTCAATGGAGTTTCTTTATTATTGAATTAATCTCTTGTAAATGGCGCTGTAGTATAGTCTAAGCTGTATCTTGATGTTTTTACTCTTGGCCTGCCCTCCTCACTGCCTCCTCCCACGACTCCTGTATAGCCTTCCAATACTCAACTGGGCTTTTCCGCATATGCTCAACATGCCCACTCCCTTCAAATAGACGACAATCAGACTTCCACCCCTCCCTCCTCGCCTCCGCAACGTGGCGCTCGATATCCGTCCACAGGATAATCCGGTCCCCCTTCCCATAGAGATACAGCCTCCGTGCCTCCTTCGTCGACAGTTCCGGATTCTCAACCGCCTTGACACTCTCAAAACCAGCACTCTTCCGGCCCAAGATCCTCTCGATCACATTCATCACACACAAGAAAACGCCCCAGAGGCCCTGCGTCAGCGCAAACGGCCACGGGAACCACGACGCCGTCCCCAGCGCCATAGCCAGCGACAAGCGGCGCATGTTCGAGAACGTCAGATCCGTGCTCCCAGGCGTAGAATCCAGCGTGACAAGCTGGTGCGGGAATGCCCGGCCATACGTATTCTTATACGCATGCAACGTCGCCGCATACGCAATCCCGCCGGTATTCGACATAACATGAACAAGCACCGAGGCTGTATGTTCATCAGGATTCTTCGACGGAAACACCGCGTCCAGAACGGGCTTCATGGCCTCGGCGCGCTGCGGCATGCTCCGCCATAGCGCTTTGTAGATTGGAGACAGCACGGCAATCTGCTTCGATTGCGGGTACAGCGCGCGGAACCCGTCGGCGTACTTTGTGACGTTCTTGGGCTGTGCGTCGCCCCAGGCGAAGATTATCAGGACTTCTGGCTGGTTTGGGCGTTTTGTTTCTGCTTCTTTGTTCTCTGGTAGGCCTTCGCGGACGAAGATCTGGTCGGAGATGGCGGTGAAGCCTGGGAAGTATGGTGTTGTTGCCATGTTCTCTCTCTTTTTTTATATGGGTTGATGTTAAAGTCAGACCTGGTCTTCTGGAAGCTTTAGTTACCTTATATTGAGATTTCTTTGTCCTGGTTCCCAGCAGATCCTTTCAAGTCCCAACGGATTCGGTGTCGGTGTCAGCATCGAGATGGGAAATAAGCCCGTATGTCAGACCCACCGAACCAAGATCCAGCTGAACTAACAATTATTATTGGCCAGTTATTCAGGGCCAGGGGCTGTCAGATCAAATCGTTTGCATGTGAAAGTGAAGCTCTACTAATCATCAAGTGGCCGAGGTGCCCTAGCAGCCTAACGGTATTATAGAAACATCAACACTGTAGATTATACTCTAAAATATCAATAAACAAACTGATAATCAGCAGCAGCTCTCATTGTCATCATCACAGCAACCGAAGCAACCGCAGTCACCACAATCATCACAGCAATCGCAGTCACAGTCACAGCACTCATCCTCATCTCCCCCCTGTGATGGCATTGCAGGCGAAACGTAGGGCTCCGGCTCTGGCTCCGGACTGTATCCCCTGCTAGGCTCCGACTCATCCTCACTCGAGACATCCTCAACCTGCTGCTGCTCCTGCTCCTCCCGCCAACGCTCCCATGCAAATCCAGCACCAGCACCCAACGCCGCCCCGGCCGCAGCACCAGCCGCAACACCAGCCAGATCCCTCCGATGCTCATCCCTCTGGTCCTGCTGCTGCTGCTGCTGAGCCATCATCATCTGCTCTTGCTGCTGCTGCTGCCACATATAATTCTGATACTCCTGCCTCTGCATATCATTCATATACCTCATCTCCTCCATCTCAAGCCCCATCTGTCGCTCGCGCCTATCCTCACGTCTCTCCATCGCAGCCCGGTCCCGCTCATACTGCTTCTGCATAGCGGCATTGTGCTTCGCTGCGTCTTTATGCGCCCTTTCGTTCTGCTTCGCTAGATTCTTCTGCTGCGCTGCGGTCTGTTTGGCTATCTCCTTGCGTGTTTTCTCGGCTTGCTGCGCGAGTTGTTTTTTCTGTGCCGCGGACTGCGCGTTTAGCTGCTTCTGCATGGATTGGGCTATTTGGGCGGAGTTATTTGCCTGGCGCTGGGGTTGGGGTGGTGCTCGCTGTGGAGGATTATGGTGATGCTGGGCGCCGCGGGGCTGCACCGGGAGGGAGACGGGTCGAGGGGCCTGGTGAGGCTGTGGGTGATAGATGGGGGCGTGGGAAGCATGATGTGCGGGTTGGTATTGCATTTGCGGTGGTGCTCGGGGCTGCACTGCGCGGGTGCGTGCTGCTGCTGGCGGTTGGGGCTGGGAGTGGGAGCGTATATGGGTGTTGGCATTGACCGGTTTGCGCTGTGGAGGGGGCATTTTGAGTTGTGCTGTGAATTCAGCGAGGCTTTAGTGCGTAGTATGTAGTTCTATGAGAAGAGAGCTTATAAAGTAGTCAAATAATGGCAAGTAGCTGGCCTATACGCCTTATAAGTAAATCTCTACCAAGACAAGGCTCAATCTATGTCAAAACACAGCCCAGCTTAGCTACTCCCAATATCCAACCTGCATATATTTGCTATTCTCTCAGATACGAACAAAAAGTGAGTGCAATCCTTCAGGTGTTCGCGTGGCCCAGCGCTGCCCTAATCGGGAAATCCACGAGGCTGTCCACCATGCAGGGCCGAAAGGCTGGCCCTTGGCAACTTTCCCACAAACATTCCCTAGCTTCATCCACTTTTCCCGAACCACTTTTGCCAGCATGATTAGTCCAATTAGACTCTCATTTGCAAGGGCCTTGGTTAAATTTAGGTAGTCTAGATGGGCCTGGGGCTAAAGCCGGCGGCATGAACTAAGGAAACAGACCAAAGGCTGAAGAATATACCGGACCCTTGACGGCGTTCAAAGGGAATAGAGCCCGACTAGTTCCCGACCTTGGAAAGTGGTGAGGTGACTTTTGGCTTCCGTTTTGTGGCTTTGCAGAGTCTTCACGCCCATTAGTTGGACTTCCACCGGCCACCCTCCGAACCTTTAATAACAAGCCAAGAGAGGCTTGCATACGACTGGCTAACTATGGAAATACGCCAATATCCTGCAGCATTCTGAAAGGTAAAATATCCTCTACCGCCATGCAGCATAGCCCGTCTTCTAACTAGAAAGAGAAGCATTGCCGGTAGCCTCCAGTGCATTTCTGAAAGAACGGGTCCCGTTATATTTATAGGAAGAACGATAGGACTACTGCCGTCAGGAGCTGTTATTTGAGGAAACTGCGCCTCCATTAATGGAATACCAATATACTTCTTGCTAGACTCGTCACGAACCCTGGTGGCCAGACAGGGTTTGTGGCGCTGGCGGGGTATATCTCGGATTGTAGGATCGTAATGCTAATTGCGATCGCTATTGTATATCCCCCGACCATCTGTGCTTTTAGCGAGCACTAGTGGAGACACCATTACCGATCAACCTGATATGACTTGAGCGTCGTTGGTTTGAAAATTGTACTAGTAAATCGTTCTCCATTTTCCTGGTTGATTGCAATGTTTTCTAAGGAGTGTATATACGTAGAATTCCGAACGGGTATAGTAACGGGATACGACCTAACCTTGACGACACAGAAGGAAATATATTATTCTAAACAGAGTGGAGATCTAGGGCTATATAACATGCAATCTATACACAAACCCGCAAAAGCCAAGTCAGGCTAAGTCCCATGCTCATACGCACTCCGAGCCCTCAACTTCGGCCCCTTATAGAAGAACAACCACGGAATCGGCGCCATGACCACCGCTATAAACCCTAGCAGACTCGTCGCCCAGCCCACGCCCAGGGCATCATACATCTGGGGCACGAAGAGCGGAAAGGCAGTTGAAAGGGCGTACCGAGTTAAGGATGACGCGCCGCTGGCCGACGCTCCATATTTCGAGCCATACACGTCGAGCATGTAGAAGTTGCACGGGATATAGATGAGCATACTACCCAGGAAAGTGGCGCCCTGGGCGAGAATAGGTACGATCCAGTGGATGGAGGGGGTAGATGTCCAGGCGAAGACGAATAGGCCGGTTGGGAGGACGAGGGAGCCGAACATTGAAGTGTAGAGTTTTAGCTCTGGAGAAAAAGAGGCGGAGCCTTCGGTGTTGTTGTTCCTGATACGCAGAGAGGGGTTTCGCTGGACGAGGCGGTCGACGATGAAGAGGATGCAGGGGGCGAAGATACAGCCGACGACCATGCCGAGAAAGGAGAGGCCCTGGGCGCCTGGGGAAAAGTTATAAACGGAGGCGAAGACGCGGGGGCTGGCGACGACAAAGGTGTAGAGGAGGGCGAACTGGAAGCCGCAGTAGAGGCAGATGAAGCCGACGAGGGGTTCGGTGAACAGCATGTGCAGGGGCCGGACGATGGTGGATGTGATGAATTCTTTAAATAGCTGCATGGCTGTGCGTGTTTGGACTGGGAGGACGCCTTCGCCGCCGAGTTTCTCTGCTCTCCTGCGTAGGAGGATGGGCTTGTATGATTCCCGGATGAAGAGGGCTGGAGGGTGTAACACGGCGGCCATGATGAGCGGTGTCCATGCTGTCCAGCGCCAGCCTCGGGCTTCGACGACGAAAGATCCAATCAAAGGACCCATCGAGCTGCCGATTGTAGGCACGGCGTAGTATATCCCCAGAGGGATGACTCTTTGCGAGGGGTGCGTATAGTCGGTGATTGTGGCCGCGGCGACGGAAACCCCAGGGGCAGCAAACACGCCAGCGAGGAAGCGACATATAATCAGCGACGCAATGCCCTGGGATGAGCCCACGCCTATCGTGAAGAGATCAACCAGTGGCAGGGTCAGCAGGTAGACGAATTTGCGACCGAACGTTTCAGACAGCGGCGACGAGATCATAGGCCCGAAAGCCAGTCCCAGCGAGTACGCAGAGAGAGGCAGCAGAGAGACAGTCGTCGAGACATTGAACTGCTTCTGGACCTGCTCATGGCCCGGCGAGTAGATGGAGGCATTGACAGTCGTCGCGAACCCAATCAGGCCGATGACCGTGGTGGTCAGGGTCTTCCTGAGAGTAGACCAGTTCCGGGGATTGCCAGGGTCGTCGTCACTGTCCCATTCCTGCAGCCGTGCTCGAGCCTGGTCGTAGCCATCTGGAGTCTCGAGTTCCAACATCGTGAGAGTTGTCGCGCCGACATGTGTTGCTTCTGCGGGACAGTTGCAATAAAGGCTGACTCGGCGATGGGATGCAGACTCATCAACCAGCCGAGATTCCGACAGGCACGGAGTCAGGATCGAGTAACATCATTCGTAAACTCCACCGCACTGGCAGACGAACAGGCAGGATCGTCAAGCCTTTCTCGCGTCCTAGTCAGAATCGGAATGCCGGTCTATCGGTCCAGCTGCAAAGAAATGTGTGGGCCGGAATCTTCCGAGTACGGTAGCAAAGACTGCGGGGAATCAAGCCTGGCGTTGCGTGGGGTGCGGAAAAATATCCGTTTCCATGAATACTGTGATAGGCTTGGAGCTCATTGGGGTCCATGGAGCAGTGGATTGAGATGAAGAAACGGCTGAAATCGGTGGTATCGGTGTACGCTTACATTCGTCTGGTTCATTCGGATGAACCTGAGGCAGAACAATCAGCCGATCGAACCGGCTCCACATCTCACATACACCAGAGCCAGAATTGATAATTTCATTCAACTAAACTAACTGTCTATTCAATTCTACCTAGTAACGAAAGAAGAGTAACATGTCAATCACTTCCAGTGCGGTCAAACACTCCGCACAACATTGGGAACCCCTGCTCACCCCATTCGATCGCAAACACAAATGGGGAATTGAAACTTAGGGACTCCATGCGCGGCATATCACACTGGGGCAACGGACGCGGGGCCGGCGGGAAGTCATCAATTCTCGACGGATCGAAGACGACGGAAACACCCTCTAAAATCTGGTCTACTGCGACGTCCCCATCCGCGCCGACGTGTGGATATGTCTGAGGAAGAGGCATTCCTAATAATGGGAGGATGTCTTTCAGGTTATATCTCGCCTTGGTGTGGAACTGTGGCATAACGAATTCGCCGACCAAAGTCTTGGTAAAACCCTCAGTGCGGCAGGCTTGGATATAGGGATCATTGAGGAGATGTTCCACAGAATGGCCGTTCCGAGGCAGATATGCAAACAAGGAGCAGCTTGGGTGGCCAGGCGGCCCGAAGGGAAGGCGGACTGCTGTGTATTCCGCCTCATTCTTCACAAGCAACTGTTCGTTGGCACAGTGCATCATGTCAATCTGAGCGGTTGTACCATCCAAGAGATTGAAAGTAGATTTCCCGATCGCGCTGGGTGGAAACAAATGGTGGAACGGCAGCGAAATCATCACGGCCTTTGCTAGCACGACATGCGAGCTGGCAGAAGTCGCATCGCGGCTGGCGGCGAGGCTCTCAGGAGAAAGCTTCATGTCAATCGATCCGTTGGGATCCCCGGACATGAAGTATTTATCAATCTCGCTGATAGTATTTTCCAAGCTGCTCGGATCCCGAAAGACCATCATAGAACCATATCTGCTCACGGCGCGGGAAAACGGAAGGGAGAAGGCGAGACCGTTGAGGGCGAATATACCCTTCTTATAGGTAACGGTGGGAAACGATGGAAACATTCGTAGAAAGTAGTCGATATTTGTCGGCGGTTCCCCATACGCAAGGCGCCTGAGTATGCAGATGGCAGTCGCCATGGATATTGGCGACACAGCAGTGCCTCCTGGAGGGGGATTGCTAGACCACAGGAATTGCAGCAGTTGCCATGACATCAGGCTGACTTGGGGGATTGTAACGACTTCGTCAAATGCGATATCCATGACAATGAGACGGCTGGGACGTAAGAATGGTTATGTTGGATTTGATATTGTTTTGATAAAGAGTGATTGAACTGATAAAGGAGTGGAGATGTCTCAAGACGAAGGCCTCTACTATTTAAATGAAGAAATTCGCTCCTGCCATCGAAATAGGTCGAGGGAGTGCCTGCCATTTTGGTGAACAATACAAGAGCAGGACCAAGACGAAAGATCTAGAAGGTTAGCAGTGTAAACAGAAACAGCCAGACAGCTCACTCTAATCCGTCTCGCCATCTGCTTTCCTTCCTGATTTCCACCACCGCATCACAGCCTGGTAATAGAAGTATGTCTCGGCCGTCCCCCAGAGCCCAAGCAGCGTGTACAGCACTATTCTCACATTTTTGCTTATCCCCAGGTTTTCCAGAGTGAGCCGTGGGAGCTCTGGATTTCCCGTCTGGTCGGCTTTTTGAGTTGTGTTAGGGGCGGACTGCTTATCGAGATAGACCGACGTTGAGAATGCGGGGTTCCGCACGTGGGGGTGTGTCTGTGTGAGAAAAGGGACACGAGGGGAGAGATAGAGGGAGCGAGGTACTCTTGCCAGGGAAGCCATGTTGGGATATATCAGCAATGTTGATGGACAGAGTAGATGTTGCAGAGGAAGAATAAATATACAAACAAGAGGCACCGCCTGAGTCACATCGAGTCCGCTGACCCGTGATCTGCTACGTAATCATGGTATATCATGGGAATATTAACAGCTAAGAACACTAAGAATACTCTGTACTAACCTGGTTAATCAATAATCAGCACAGGATTAGCGGCTGTAATTCGAGCGCAGCATGCGGCCGTTTCCGGTGCCCTGTGCAGATAGCATACACAATCCGCTGTTATATATGCAAGTAAGAGATGAGCCACCGAGCTACACCAGCGGATGTCCGTTTGTTGATATCAATATACAGTAAGTTAGTTTTATATTATTATCACTGATAAGAAGTGTGTTGTTTGCAACTGGCTGATCGTCGTCGTCCACGAGGCGGCCGCATGTGGTGGAGCCAACCAGTCAGCGACTCTTTGTGGCCGCCCTGTTCGCGTATCCGCAACACAACCTGGATTCAGGATCACTTTAGCCCCAAGGTGGACCGTGGTTGATGGCTGTGAATCGCAGCCGTTTCATTCATCAGGTGACGTTCCTGTGAAGATCATCGAGTCCTCTCACTCCTGAGTCCGAACAGCCTCGTTGTCTGCTGTCATCATGGACAACCTCGCTGCCCAGGCTGGTTGACGCCTACGGGGCAAAATGTTCAAACCACGCACCCAAAAGCCCCTCCTCCCCTTTACTGTGCGGCGGCGGCTCTCGATTCTGGCTCTGGTTATTTTCCTGGTCTTCCTCTTCCATTCGCTGCCATCGAAGAAAGATCGCGTTGTCGCGGGAAAATGGCTGCCCGACTATGACGTCGAGGATGTCCCGCGATTCCTCCATCGCTCTCCTTTTCGAGTTTCTCCCGACTACGATTACGAGCGCAGGGTGTCCGAGGCGCTGCAGAAGATCGAGCGGGACTTTCTAGAAAACCACAGCGGCGATCGCTCAGCAGAAGAGCGCATCTGGCAGATCCGCCTGGGAAAGAGCCCGAAAGAAGAGCGCAGTGCCGACTCGATCAGGTTCAGCGACAGGAATAATGAATGGGAATACACAGTGAGTCACTTTAACATCCATCCTCGACGGTACTAACAAGACCAGCTCGTCGCAGATTCTCAGGCCGACCACTTCCTCACCACCGTGCTCTCCTCCGTCCCTGACTTGAAGAAGCTGTACGATTCCTACCCTCACCACGTTATCCGATCGGACTTGCTTCGCTACCTCCTGCTCTGGTACCACGGCGGCTACTACGCAGATACCGACGTATACCCTGCGAAATCCATAAAGGAATGCCCGTCCTTGCAACCCATATTCGCGGACCTCGATTCCGGAAACGGAAACATCTCGCTCGCGGTCGGGGTTGAAATCGACGAACCACACGCCTCGCCGCAGCTCATGCGCGACTGGCATTGGATCAGAACATACGGCCTGATCCAGTATACATTTTATGCGCCGCAGCGATTCAGCCCTCTCCTTCGCGAGGTTATTGTCCGGGTCCTGTCGCATACGCGACAGCATAATCAGCACAGCTTTCCACTCATTGGGCCCCGGTACAACGAGAAGACGATTCTCGAGGTCACCGGGCCTGGGGTCTTCACGGACGCGATCATCGATACCCTCTCCGATGCGCTACCAATGACGCACCCGTTAATCTCGCAATCAGTTCGGGCGGATGAGAAAATCGGCGACCTTGTCGCACAACCGTCGGGAGAGCTCTCGAGGCGTGTAACGTGGGCGCCATTCCACAAGATTAGTGAGCCGGTCTGCGTAGATGCGCAGGAGGCTGCGATCGGAAAGTCGATGGGGGGAGTCTGCGTTCTCCCGATAAATGCCTGGGGCAATGGCCAGCGGCATAGCGGTGCAGAGAGCTTTCGCAGCCAGCATGCCTGCATCAATCATCGGTTTGGAGGGACATGGAAGAAGGACTGGTGGCATCGCCATATCGGATAGACTGTATATTAGCTATAGAAATGAAAACATACTTGTACCAGTTATCAAATCAACAAACGAATTCAAACCGTCATCTTTTGTCTCCGTCTCCGTCCGCCAGTCCATGTGGGAACCGCCATGCTCGGCTTCGACCACGGGCCGCGGCGATAGTCGGCTGTCCAGTGCGGAGATGGAGATCCTGCACCAACTCCCCATACGAAGCAGCCGTTCGGCTCTTGACGGAAATGAGCAATCTCCCCACAAAGATTCGCCAAGTCAGACCAGTTTCCTGCTCAAATGGGAAGCTTGGTGCCGGTCAGGGGTCCCATTCCCTCGTCCTGCAGATCCTGGCCGCTCTTGCCTCGCACCCCTCAGCCTACAGCGCAACTCGCATGTGCTTGTTAGGCAGGCCGTTTTAAGATAAAAAGCTGGGGCCGCCGCTGTCGTCGCCGCGGATGTGCCGCTTTCTCCACAGTTATATTGACTGAATTGCAGCGACACACCATGGCTGAATACACATCCGAAGCAGACGTCGAGCTCGCCTACACCACCCTCCAGTCCACCTTCGCGTCTGGAAAGACGAAGGAAATCGCCTGGCGAAAATGGCAGCTCAAGCAGATCTGGTGGTTGCTTGAGGACAACGAGGCCCTGATCCAGGAGGCCCTGAAGAAGGATATGAACCGGCACCCGTTCGAGACGACCTTCACGGAAATCGGCAACGTCAAGACCGACCTGATCGAGCACCTGGGGAGCATCGACAAGTGGACTGCTGACCAGAAGCCCAATGCGGGGGCGCTGGGGTTCCTGCTCAGGCCGACGGTGCGCCCTGAGCCGTTGGGCGTGGCGCTGATTATTGGGCCTTGGAATTTCCCCTTCTCTCTTCTTCTCCAGCCGTTGATTGCGGCCCTTACGGCAGGCTGTGCGGTTCTGCTGAAGCCGTCTGAGGTCACGGCGAATACGCAGCAGTTGTTTGTGGACCTTATTCCGAAGTACCTTGATACCAGCGCTGTGCGCGTTGTTACCGGGGGAGCTGCGGAGACTGGCGCGTTGCTGCAGCGCAAGTATGATCACATCTTCTTTACTGGCTCTGTGCCAGTTGCCCGTCACATTGCTGCTGCTGCCGCGAAGCATCTCACCCCGACTGTGCTGGAGTTGGGAGGCCAGTGTCCGGCTATTGTGACCAGCTCGGCAGATGTTGAGGCTGCAGCGAGGGATATCGCCTGGATCAAGTACCTTAATGCTGGCCAGATTTGCCTCTCTGTTAACCACGTCTTCGCTCACCCGTCTGTGGAGAAGAAGCTCATTGAGCGGATGACCTTCTGGCTAAATAAGTACAACAAGGGTTCCGACATGACGCATATTGTGAACGACAAGAACTACGCCCGTCTTACTGGGCTTGCGGAAAAGACTGAGGGCACTGTTCAACACAGCGGAGAGGCTGATGCCAAAACGAGAAACCTGCCTCCTCAAATTGTTAGCAATGTAAAGCTGACGGATTCTCTTCTGTCGGAGGAGCTGTTTGGCACGATCTGTCCTGTTGTTACAGGCTCAACCCAGGACGCCATCAACTCGATTAACAGGTAGGTCCCCTATACCAGCTGCCATGCATCAATACTGACAGTTTAGTCTCCCCCGTCCTCTTGCTCTCTACGTCTTTGGCAGCGATCAGAAAGAAATCGATCATGGTAAGGCACTCGGCCCTCTTCGCCCAACTATGCTAACTCCGCAGTGATCAACTCGACACTCTCTGGCGGTGTCTGCGTCAACGGCGTGCTCGTGCACGTCATGGTCCCCGGCGCCCCGTTTGGTGGTGTCGGCGACTCCGGCCACGGCGCATACCACGGCGACTACGGCTTCAAATCCTTCACGCACTACCGCACGATCGCGCGCCCACGCCCGCTGTTCTTTAAGGCCACAAACTTCCTGCGCCCGCCGTACTCAGTGGATAATATCAAGAAGCTAGGCGTGCGCAACAGCGCGGGGATGCAGCGCAACTGGAGTCTGGAGAAGGAGCGGGCAGCAGTTAAACGAGGTCTGGTCATCGCAAAATCCCTACGCCTTGCCAAGTTCCTGGCGTACTTTGTTGTTTTTCTTGGATTGGCTGATGTTGGCTTAGATCGGCGTCTAGGGATCTTCAAGCCCGTGAGGGATTTCCTTGTTGGACTGAAGTCGTTCTTTTAGTCGCTACATATGAAGTGCTATATAATACGGTTATGTGGTTATCCACCGCTCGGGCTGCCGTGCTCGTTTTCCTATGTAAATGCTGAGGCTGAAGAAGTTTGATAAGATATCCACGATTGCTTTGTTACTAATTATGTACCGTACTTGCTATTACCATTCTCCACTCTATTTAAAGTTGATATTGCCGGCAGTAGTTGTTCTGACGCCGCCTCTGCTACTTCCTAAATAGTCCCTCGCCAGCCAGGGAAGGAACTGCCATCGTTCCTTCCTCAGTTGTAAGTTCATGTCAGTCGTTCTTTCCGTACTGATGGGCCTCCAAATTGGGAAGGTACTTAAGGTATGTACCTTCCTAATACGGATATACTCCATCGACATTAAGCCAACAAGAAGGCTCGTATACTGTGCAAATTTTGTACAGCCCGTCCCGGGTATAAAGTCGCCCTATGTCACCCGTCTTCCAACAGCTCGCCTTATATTCACCATCTCAAGAGGCATAAATCATCCTCCCATCGCTTGCGAGTTGGTCATCCTACGGCTCCCGAAATAACTACGCCTAAGCCCTCGTCTTCGGCACACCGAGATGACTTGACTCGCTAGATGATTATTCCCTGATCGGTGGATATGCGGTACTGTAGAAAATTGGCATGACTTGCTCTTGGTCTCGATCTAACAGTCTCCACTTTGCGGTGTCAACTGTATACCACTGGTGTGAGTTGTATCGTGATGTTATATACCTCCAACCTCATGACGGAATCCTAGAACTTGACACAGAGTACCGATTCACATAGAAATCCAAGAAGTAGAAAATTAACCCAAATAATGTATTTCCAGGCCAGTATTTCTATCCGAGCATATGCACTAAACTCCATCATTGATTGATAGGGAGCTGGGACGGAAGAAGCACAAGCAATTCAGTGGGATGATGAATGACTGGACAATCCTTGGGGGTTATGGCTGCTTTTGTAATGGTTATTCAAAGTATCTGAACGATTATAGACCTTGCCACACCCATCAACGAGACATGGGTACATTCCGGGCTCGATATGCATCTTATAGACATGTCGCTCGAGATCCGGCAGACGCCTGAACGTGCGCTTGTTGTAGGTGCAGCCTGTCCATCCGCATTCGGGGAGCTCAGGCTTATCTCTTCTAGGACGAACACCGCGGGATGTGTGCGATTGGGTATCGATGTGTTCTTTCTTGACATGCCGCTTAAGATCCCCCGTGCGGGCGAATGTTCCTGGGAAGCTGCAGTCTCTCCATTCGCATCGGGATGCCGCGTTGTTATCTCTGCTATAATGAACGCGTATCAGATGCTGTTTATCGTAGACAGGGGTCTCACTGGGTCACTCACTTTGCTCCAAGAGCTTCGGGTCCCTGGGTAGGTGCCTCCTCTGTAGGAGGAAATCTTTCCGAAACGAATCTAAACGGTTCGTGCTGGGGCATCATACTTGGGACACTTGATGGGGGAGCGCATGTTGTATATCCATTAGGCTGAAAGCTAGTGGTCTGGGTCGACTGATATTCCGGTACAACGTTGGCGTGCCAGGGCATGGAATTGTAGGTATGAAGCCACGAATAGGGAGCTGCTTGGATAGGGTCAAGCTGCATATCGTAATTACCGGTCATAGGGCCGGAATATGCAGAGCTTTCAACAGCATCCAGCGGCATAGAACGGGAAGGTAGGGCTGCTTCCGCAAGGTATTGCACCAGGCTTCCTGTGCACCTTAGATGGCAGCAATATCGGCCACGCTGGAGGCACTCACACGGAAGCTGTGACATGGTACTATACAAGAGGTCTCCCGGGGCGGAGATGGCAGGGGAACAGCGGAGGAAGGAGAGGAGCTCTGTTGACTCGGAGGTTCGCCAGGGGAGCGGCAGACTTTATAACGCCGGAAAAGTAGGCAATCAAACACAGCGGCTGAAAAATGAAGCTTAGCATGCAAGTATTCCATTTCGAACTCGAGTATAAGAACCAAGGGGACTTTTGAATTTTTCGCTGCTCCAATGCCGCCAGTCGCCCGACCATAGGCAGTTCAAGTTTGCCCAAACACGATCGACATACTATTATGATCAAACCTCCGTTTGGTCTTTCAGATTGGAGGCCTATGGTTGGAAGACTGGGAGGTCTCAGCTCAGGCGAAGGCGAAGGTTCCCTGAGGTCTACTACCTTTGCACCAGCGCGGCCCATATCAGGGATCTTGACTGGCCTCAGGAGGCCGCCCACCTCAGCTTGCTTAGATTGGAATTGCAATCAAACAGCTTCAAACATTTTTTCCGATTGCCGCGAGGGCTTGGAAGGATCATTTCTTGGTCCACAGATGCAAATCACAGCCTCCCACCGACCCTGATTCGCCCGGCAGCCTTACGGAAGGGGCCTAACCGCACGTTTCGCCGTCACCCCCAAACGGTAGCTATCTTTTCCCCCATCGCCTTGGCCCGCTTCGCCCAGAGTTTGCTGTGTAAAAGGGAGAGTCTCATACCCATTGGCCGCTATCAGGCGCTAAAAGTTAGTTTCGACGTCGAAACTAAGAGTTTGCTGTGTAAAAGGGAGTCTCATACCCATTGGCCGCTGTCATGCGCTAAAAGTTAGTTTTCGACGTCGAAACTAAGAGTTGGCGTCTGCCTTCGATTGCCATGCGCCAAGTCTCGGATGATTTAATGGACATCGTCGTGTTGCCGCCAAAGTAACTACGCAGCCCATTCATAACGGAACGGGACATATCCGGCTGTACTTTTGATAGAGCTATATTTTGGCGTGGAACCAACTGTGATTTTCATCTGTGGACCCAGAAATGAGCCTGCACGCCCCCGCTGGAATCCGTATCAGCCGTGTCCATTTCGACCACGCCAATCAATAAACACCGGCGTCCAGTGACACGAGAGCCTCCAGTTTTCCAGTACTGCTCTCGAAAGAAAGCCCATTTAGTATCATCTGTCGCCATTCTGCTAAAGAGAAAGATTCAGGTCAAGGTTATATGATACTTCAATGACAATGATATTCCTTCTACCCACTTCATCATCGTACATATAACACAGCCGCCCATATGAAACAGATCCGCAAGAAAACGACATCATAACTTGAGAATATCCCCCCGAACACTGCTATCCAGGGTAACCCTCCACAGCCGATACTCATTCAAAGCAAACATCTCCCCAGGTCGACCAAAGCACAGATTCGCCGAAACACCAGGGAGCCGAATCTTGCCTAGCAGCACACCGGCAGGGGACCAGACGTGCACCCCATCTCCGCAACCGCTGTACACATTCCCGTCTGTGTCGCACTTGATCCCATCCGGGATACCGTTGTCTGCGAAGGCGAAGACCCGGCGGTTGACGAGGAATGGCGCGTCGGAGTAGTATTTTATATCGAATGCATAACTACATCATATTAGCCATGTAATCCCTCACCCGATAGAGTGAATGAGGGAAGGAAAGGAATATACATAGTCGCCGCGCGCGCAAGACTCTTATCCCCATTCCCCCACTGCGCATCCGTATCCGTAACATAGACGATACTCTCATCAGGCGAAAACGCAATCCCATTCGGCTGTCCGATCCCATCCGCCATGGCACGCACATCACCAGTATCAGGATCAAACCGGTAGACCTGGTTGGGGAGTTGCGGTTCCGCTGCAAAGCCCTGGTCATATCCGTACGTAGGGTCCGTGAACCAGACACTACCGTCCGAGTGGACGACGAGGTCGTTTAATGAGTTGAAGCGGCGGCCGTGGAAGGTATCCAGGAGAGTTTTCGTTTTGTAGGGCGCTGTCGTGTTCATCCAGATTAGTGCTGAAGGGCGGGAGACGGTCCCCTGGGCGCAGAAGAGGATTCCGTCTTTGTAGTTGATTGCACCGTTGGCCATGGGGATGTCTGGGTGGATGAGTTCGCGCGTATATGCGCCGTTCCCGTTGTGCCTGATCTTTGAGACCTGGATCGGCTGGCCACCGGACTTTGTTTGGTAGTTTCCTGCTAAGAACAGATCGCCCGTGGACGGGATATAGACTGGGGCTTCATGGGCGAACGGGTATGAGGCATTCTCGACAATGAGGTCGATTTTGGGGTCTTGCGAGATGATACTGGCGAATGCAGGCTGGTTAGTTTGGAAGCTCGCGTTGGCGGCAAGGGCACCCAGGGCCAGGGGTACAAGGGCTGCGGTATATCTGAACGCCATTCTCTGCTGTAAGCTGAGTCAATTTAGAGAAGCTCAGGGGGGGAGGTCCGAAATTTAAGCACTATGCCAAGCCACTGTGCAAAGAAAGTGCCGCATTTATTGGCAAGCTGATCTTGTCTCTATCCAGATCTGGGATCGGAGCAAGACCGACAGTGTCGACGATGTTGTGACGTCGATCAGCCCGCGAGTCGCGGCATCTCCACAGTTCACTTAGGGTTGTACGAGCATAGAAACACCCAGTGCGGCCGGCTATTTTCAATATCTACCGACTGCTACAAGCAAGCATAATATGGTGGCATATATTATCGAAGTAATCCTAGAATTCCAATTCCGGTGAGACATAATACAATGTTTGTCGGTATTTGCGCAGTGAAGGCGAGGGGAACCGCTACATTCACAACAGGACTGGTAACACAATAAATATGGGAAGCCAAGGTCGCACAACGCTCCTGGATATAAATATCCGGGTTGCCCCAGCCCGGAGAAAGAGCTGGAAAATAATGATGAATTTTTCGCGCTCGAATATAGGTTCTGGCTCCGACATCAAGGCACCAGCGACGACTATTCTGTCGCCGGACAATGGACGATCCACGACTTCGGTTGACGAGAAGACTGATGAGCCGGAATATATTACTGGCCTGGCACTGGTTGCGTCGGTAGCATCTCTCACTCTGGCTATCTTCTTAATGCTTCTGGACACCTCGATTGTATCTACCGTAAGTATTCTGTCTTTCCTGCTTGAACCCACTAACCAACCAAGGCAATTCCCCAAATTACGACCAACTTCCATTCCCTTAATGATGTTGGCTGGTATGGAACGGCGTACTTGATGGCCGTGTTGGTATTCTCTCTATGCTATAGACTTTTCTAACAGAACTAGGTGCTCGGTCCAGCCTCTCAGCGGAAAGATGTATACGTACTTCAACAGCAAGGTCTGTTCATAATTCTGCTGCCCAACATGTAACTGACCATGCAGTGGACATTCCTCTCCTTCTTTACAATTTTCGAACTTGGGTCGACTATCTGTGGTGCGGCCGACTCGTCATACATGCTGATTGTCGGGCGTGCTATTGCTGGTATTGGATCGTCTGGCCTGCTTAATGGCGCTTTTACCATTCTTCACGCAAGCTTCCCGGCGCGGCGCCTTCCAGGTAAGACACACATGCTACTTGAATATTTTCCAGGGTTAACTGGGCAGCTTTAACCGGAATCCTGATGGGAATCACCCAGTTGGGCTCTCTTTCCGGCCCGTTAATAGGAGGAGCCCTCACGCAGCATGCATCATGGCGCTGGTGTAAGTCTACTCATTTGCACTACAGATTCCTGCTAACAATCTAGGCTTCTATATTAACCTCCCCTGCGCAGCCGCGATATATCCAGCCCTGTTCCTCATCCACATCCCCGACGGCCGTACAGCCACCTCCAAATCTCAATCCCTCACCACCTCCCTCCGTCATCTCGACATTCCCGGCTTCATCCTCTTCGGAGGGACAATGATCCAACTTCTCTGCGCTCTCAACTGGGGCGGAACCACCTACCCCTGGCACAGCTCCACAATCATCGGCCTCTTCTGCGGTACCGGGGGTACACTCCTCGTCTTCCTCCTCTGGGAGGTGCACACAGGCCCTCACGCACTGATCCCACTCGAGCTCGTTAAACGCCGCATCATCTGGTCCAGCTGTCTCAACTACGCATTCATGATCGGCTCCGCAATGTGTTTCACATACTACCTCCCAATGTACTTCCAAGCCGTGCGCGACGCATCCCCAACCAAGAGCGGCGTCGATCTCCTCCCCGCCATCGTAACGACAATCGTCTTCGCCATGCTCTCTGGAATCCTAGGTGCGCCCTTTTACACAAAACCCCTTCAATTCAGACAGGACAGCGCTAACATACTTAGTGGGTAAACTGGGCTACTACCTCCCCTTCGCAATCGCCAGCGGGGCCACGACAACAATCGGCGCCGCGCTCTTCACAACCCTAACCCCCGCAACCGCAACAAGGAACTGGGTCGGGTTCCAGCTGCTTCAAGGAACAGGGCGCGGACTGGGTGTGCAGATGCCGCTGATAGCCGTGCAGACCGCCGCGCCGCGCGAGATGCACTCTGTCGCGACGGGGCTGGTTGTGCTGGCGCAGAATGTCGGGCCTGCGATATTCCTGGGGGTTTGCCAGGTGGTTTTTAGTGGGGGGCTGGAGGGAGCGTTGGGGAGGTTTGCGCCTGGTGTTGATGGTGCCGTTGTTGAGGAGGCGGGCGCGAGGGGGTTACGGGGTGTTGTTGGGGAGGACTTGGAGGGGGTGCTGAGGGCGTATAATGAGGCGGTTGTGGATGTTTTTTATGTTTCTGTTGCGGCGGCGGCGGCTGCGTTGGTTTTTGCGTGTGGGATGGGGTGGGTTAGTGTTAAGGATGGAGAAAAGAACAGTAAAGTGTAGGAAGAATGTATACATTTCTTGAGGTTTTTTGTCTTTCGGTTGTATTATATATATTGGTGTGCAGGGAGATATGAAAAACGAAGAAGCACCCCATCTCACACCCGTGGACCCAATACATAAAATTGAACAAGCGACAAGATTGATTGTAAAATAGCAAATTGTTGCAAGTTGGCTGTCGGGTGTCGCTGCATATGACCCATTATGGCAAGCTGGAAAGGAACAACCCAAGACGGATTATCGTCCCCGCCAATCAGATTATAGTCTAAACATACATGTATTAGCACGTATATATCCAAGGGTAAATCAAAACTCCACGTCATTAAATCCCGCCGAAACCTCATCTCATGCACAACCACGCCCTTACCTTATCTACATATACATATATCGATAGTCGAGAACCAAAATGGGAACCATCCCAACCCTCGAAGAATGGCTATACCCAGTCGCCCCCGCCCCCGCCCGCCCACGCACAAAACCCATGCAAGTCCTCGCCCTGGGCATGTCCCGCTCAGGAACCGAATCCCTCCGGCGCGCCCTCATCACACTCGGCTACGACCACGTCTACCACGGCTTCGACATGAGCGAGTCGCGCCCCATGCAATGGAAGCAGTGGGCGTTACTCGGCCGTCGCAAATTCGGTCTCACCGGGACCTCGCATAAAGGCGACCCGCAGATCTCACGGGAGGACTTTGACCAGATTCTCGGACACTCCGAAGCTGTCACAGACCAGCCGTGCTCGATTTTTGCATCCGAGTTGATAAAGGCGTACCCCGAGGCGAAAGTCATCCTGAACCATCGCGATGTCGAGCCGTGGTATGAGAGTATCACGGCGCTGATTCTGCCTCAGGCGCGTGGGTTCTGGTACCATGTGCTCCCGTGGTTTCAGGCGGATATGTACTGGGCTGTGCAGTATACGGTGCATTGCTTTAATATGCATTTCTATGGGTCGCTGGAGCGGAATGGGAAGTGGGTGTATGAGCAGCATTCGGCGATGATTAGGGGGTCTGTTGAGCCCGAGAGGTTGCTTGTTTGGAGGGTTCAAGATGGGTGGGAGCCACTTTGCAGGTAGGCTTCTTGCTTTACCTTACTAGAGATTTTTCTTACTCGCACAGGTTTCTTGATAAGCCCATTCCGGCGGAGGAATTCCCGGCGGGAAACACGCTTGACACGACGAACCAGCGGTATGATAAGAATATGGTCTCAGTTGCCATTATTGCTGTTAGGAACTTTGCTATATTTGCAGTCTTGACGGGGATTGGTATTGCCTATTTTGCTGGATTACTTCGGCGTTCTGCGTAGAAGTAGTTAACTTATCTGCTTACTTGATGTGCTTGTAGTATATACGAAGCAGACGGCAAGGTTTATCCCACGGGGATTTTGCAGTAGAAACTATTGATATAACAGATAGGATTATCATTGCAAACAATACTAGGTATGGCAACATAAATCAACCCATTCAACAAGCAACACGCAGTCCGGACACCCAGCAACAACAACGCGAAAACCAAAAAGAACCAACAAATACAAACGACGTCTAGTTATAGGAGTCTAGTTACGGGGATACTCGCGCTGCAACCAGAGCTCATACTCGGTGCCCGCGCAGGCCTCGTCACTCGCACAAGCAGCAGAATCATAAGCAGCATAGGTATAGAACGCATCCTTCTTCTTCTGCAGGTCCTCCTCGCTGAGGTTAGCGTCCAGATTCTTGCTATCGTATCCAATATAGCCGATCACATCACCAGGGAAGTTCTCAGCATTGATAGCACCCTCGTTAGCGTAGAGCGCACTGGCGGTGTGGTCACTGTGGTCCCCAACAGAACCAAAGTCATCAATATAGTTCAGCGCATTAACGCGGTCAGGGTTGTAATCATTGATGATCCACGCCAGGGAATCAACGAGCTCATCGTTGGTGTAGCTGGTGCCAGAGTCATCGACAGTGCCGATGGTATCAATAGCGCCCTTCCACAACTTCTCCAAACTCTCGTTGCCTGTAGCCTCAAAACCGCTGCCGTCGTTGTTCCCGTCGGGGATGTGCATGAAGGCAACAGAGATATCGGTGTTGCGCAGGTTATACAAGGCCACGACCTTGTCGGGGACGCCGAGGTCGCTCTCGTCCCAGTCGTTGCCGACGCCCGCCATCTCGGCGTAAGCGGCCAGTGTGCCGGCCTGGCGGCTGGTCCAGTATTCTGAACCTTGACCTGCGTCGCCGGCAGTTACGAAGACGGTGCGGACTTCATTCTGCAGGTCAATGTCGTGGATGACTTGGGCGTTGATGAAGAGGAGGTCGTCGTCCTGGTGGGCGGCGAAGTTGAGGGCGCGGTCGGCGGCCGCGAGAGAGTCTGTGAGGACTAGAAGTCCGAGGGAGGTGACGAAGGGGCGGAAGTACATGATGGTGAATGGGTATCAAGAATAAGATAGGATGGTTATGCAGGGATTGAGTTTGATTGTATAAAACACCGTGGTATTGCTATCTACTTTATACCTTTCATGTCCTCTGGAAGCGGATTATTGACGTGTGTCAGGAATGAGTTAATGATGTGAAAATTGAACATTTTTCCGTCAATGGTCATATCTATATCAGATCATGGATGTCTTCAGTCTCATGTCAGTGTCAAATCAAGAACGGTGGAATTTCTGTCCCACGACGGCCCCTGTGGCTGCTGTTATCGGATATACCCCGGGTTCAACTCCATCCTCTCTGTTCTCGTCGGTCTTTGGCCCTTGTGATCGCAGGTGGAAAATGCCTGAACGTTGAAGTGCCAGCCGCCCTGAGGTATGTGGCATTTCTGAGACGCCAGTTCGCCGTTGCCAAACAACGGACGAAACACAATACAGAGAAGCTTGACAATGAATGAATTAGTGTTCCATTAGCTAATTCAGAACTTTCTTCTGAGATGTTTCGGTAATAGCGCTGGTGCGCGATGGTTCTAACTCAGGAAGCGTTGCTTGATAGGTAAGTGCCCAGGGCCGAGGAATGCAACAGCCACAGTAAAAGAAATACGCCAAGGTAGGTAGGAAAAAAGGATGAGGACACATTCGGGGAATATAACTCCTAAAATGGCCAATCAACTCGGTAAATACAGAATTGACGGTGAGAATCGGCTTGGATAGCCGGGGCTTCACCGCAGATATACGGCCGTGGCTGGGGATTGTCCGAGTATCCGGAAACTATCGCGTTAAAACGGATCCAACAGTAAAGGTAAAATTGAATATTCCAATAATTGCCGTTTTCAGGCGGATTATGTGAGCAGTTGTGGTGGGAAATGGCCGTCCACCGCGTGAGACAGCAAGACCTGTTTTCCAGAAAAACCAGAAAAACCAGAGAGAATCGTGAACTGCCAACACAACTTGAATGGAAACGATTTCCGATTCCCAAGGGACTGGAAGACTGGAAGTTCGGAACCGGGGATATGCCCCAGCAGCCGCCAGGAATGCGCCAGCCGCGGACATTCCAAACATACCCGATGCGTTCGCGCGCCCTCATAGAAACGGACAGTATCTGAACTTCACGATATGGTGACTCGTAACGCATTTGAACTTTGCTTGATAATCAAGTTTCCTGTGGCTGTATACGCAGAGAATAGGCATAGTATTAGGGCACTGTATTAACAATGATAGAAACACCCATCAAGGCACAGCGTCAATTTTTATTGTGAACGATAACTTCCGACGCTTGAATACCTCTCGCCGTTCCAAGATCACTTAACCCACCAAGAACCGCAGCCAAGAATGCACGGATCTGCCTCCTACTCTGCCAAAGAGGTAAACCTGTAATAGTGATAGCACCAAAAAATGCCCAAATAAAAGTAACCACAATCCAACCAGTAAAGAAGCGTTTCGAGAAGATATACCCCGTTCCATACATAGGGATTGGCCAAAGAATTGTCATAGAGATCGCGAGGAATAGCGCAGCACCGATCGCGATGTTTCGTGCCCTGAGGAGGTCAACGCGTTCTTCCCGCCCCGTAACCGTTATATCTCTCGCATCTGGTCTTTTAGAGCCCGATATTGCGCTATCATCAACCAGCTTGATTTCTTCAAACCTGGCGAAATCGTAGTTTTCGGGACGCAGGTACGTGATGAGCGGAGTGAGCACGATTGGCGCAGTCAGCGCGAGCATATTGCCGGCCACGCATGGATAAAAGTCCGAAAGCGTTGCGACGCTGATGGTGCCCTCGCGACGGTAGGCAACGCCAATCCAAGTCCCTATGCTTGCGATGGAGCTGAGGATGGGGACGAGCGTTACGGCGTACTTGCTCTGCTTGCGCCAGAAGAGCGTGCAGGCGCTGGGTATAACGGCTCCTTCTGAAATTAGTATCCCGTGCTTGATAGTGCATATTAGCGGAGAGAATTCTAACCATCGATGATAATTCCAATGGCAGTTACGATAAAGCTAACCGAGAAATTGGCATAGCAGAGGCCGACTGCCACGGAAGCAACCACGACGCTGTATACAACAACAGCGATATGCGAAACGAATATGAGTTCTTTGCCGGTAGCTGCTGGCTTTATGTATGCCCTGTAAAAGTCGTATGTGATTAAACTCGTAACGGCCACAGTCTCTGGTCTATTGTCAGCGAATAGTCCGTCTAGACGTTTGATATCTTACCTGAGCTTAAAGCACTAGTGATGGCCTGGAAGAGCATAAGGAGCACTGCGACAACGCCTCCTTTTCCGAGAATAACATAAGCCACATACGGCATTTGCAGGGCATTTGCTACGACGTTGGCTGACATTGGATCGGGATACGTGGGCCTGTGGATATCAGCTTTCATTACTAACTCGCATTCATGAGCTGGACACACCAGGAAGGGGTGTGCTCAAGCGCCGCCGCGCCGAGACCGAAGGTGGTCGAGATGCAGAATGGAATAGTGAACTGATATAAGCAGCATAAGCAACGGAGTACAGTGGAGTGGAGGTTACCTACCCAGCATAGAGCACCCAATAAATATCCAGCAACGGTGGATTTTGGATCGGCGGCAATCGCCTTCTGAAACAACCTATTCACGTTGTTAGGGCTACACCAGAATAAAGCCTTCTTGGACGTACTGGGAATCCACAGTCGCCGAAAACCCACCACCCAAGAACGTCAGCCCAACAAGCCCACCGTAGACACTTTGCATCGTGAGAAGATGGCCTTCCGCATTCCCAGCTACTGGTCGGATCTCAGAGGCAGTCATCAGAAGCTCCCACATTTTACCGGGCGAACCCACGTGGGATGAGCTTGCGTACATGACGAACATAGAAACGAGCATTATCGCGAAGAGAATAACCGTGTGAACTATGAAAACGTTAATCAACATAGCATAGGTCTTATGGGGAATTCCCTACCCCATTCTGTGAGAAACGTAGCCTTGATCCCACCGAAGAATGTATATATGCAGACACCCAAGGGAAACAAGAAGCAGACAGGAACCTGATGCATCCCCGTCGTCAAATGAAAGACGCTCGCACCACCAACGAGTAAGTTCACTGAGATGAAGATCTGGTATATTAAAGAATACACGGCTAGCACAATATGCCCCGGCGCGCCGTATCGATGCTTCACCAGCTCCAGAAAGGTATGCGCACTGGGAGCCTTGCGTTTAAGTTCGATCGCCAGGACCGCAAATGTAAGAATAGGGACGGAGCACCCGGCGCCAAACCAGAATGTTGCAGAAATGCCGTACAGGTAGCCAAAGTTGGTCGAGGAAAGGAGGGTCGCGCTCAGAGTCCACGAGGACACCACGGACGAAGCGATGAGCCCCGATCGCACGGAGCGTTTGGCTGTCAGGTACATCTCTGAGTCCTGTACTTCGGACATGTACTTCTTTAGGGCGTACGATGTCAGACTCATGAGAATCACAAAGAGCCCCCCTGGGTCATCAGTAGCTATGCGCGAAGGGTTGCTGGGTCCTTACCTAGCCCTATCACTATGCCATAACCAACACCCTGGTCGAAGATAGGGAAGAGTGCGTCTGTCAACATGTTGATCTGCCACAAATAGCCGTTGGTCAAGAGAAGCTCCGATTCTCCTTGACATTCCAGTACTGTATATGATCTTAATAATGCCCATCACTGCTTAACGATGCACGCCATATCAGGAGCAGTGGCATAAGCAGAACTAAAGTGACGCGATCATTGAAACGACTCCAACTCACAGAAACTGCGCCAACTGACTCGGTAGGTCTCCGAAATACCAGGCATTCTCCTTTGTTACTGGTGAAATGTTTCCGTTCTGACTCGCCTGAGACCGTGGGATCAAGCTCATTTACCGGTGCCCAGGATTGCTCATTTGCGTCTTCGGCCACTTACCAAACCCAGTACGCCTGCAAGCTTAAATTGGCTCGCAAAGTAGCTCTCCAACTATCACCAGGCTCTCTCAGACCTCAGTTCTGACCGTGATTACTTCCACAATGCAAAACTTCAAAGCTGAGCAAGCACGGGCCGCCGCATCGCAGCGATGGGAAACCGCCCAAAAGCCCACCGGCCCCGAAGCATGGATAAACCGCGCCCGGGAAGCATCTGAAATCCTCAAGATTGATGCAGTTGAGCGAGACGCCGCGGGAAAATCACCCTTTGCTGAAGTGCAGCTTCTCAAGGACGCCGGGTTGGTGAATTTGCTGGGCCCACACAAGTATGGAGGTGCTGGCGAGACCTGGCAAACTTCTTATAAGGTCACCACGGAAATCTCGAAGGCAGATGCGAGTATTGGACATTTACTTGGGAATCATTATTCGTGGTACGTTGGGCGTTCCAGCCAGTAGGAGTTTGAGCTTACATTCCAACTACGGTTCAGGTTCTGGAGCAGCCAGATTCTCGGAACACCGAAACAGGCTGAGAGATGGTTACGGGAGTTCACTGAAGGGAATTATTACCTGGGAGGTGCGGTGAATCCGCGCAACGCCGATATGGTGGTCGAGGATGCCGGCCTGGACCTTATCTTTAATGGAGAGAAGTTCTTCTCCACAGGTAGGATAACCATTTAACCGGACAGTGCTTGGCTGGAACGCTTATATTGCCTTAGGAGGCGTGGTTAGCGACATCACAGTCCTAGAAGGCGTGCTCAAGGACGGCACGCATGTGTTTGCTTACGTCCCTACCAAGCAGCCGGGAATCAGTTTCAAGGGGGATTGGGATGTTATTGGGCAGCGACTGACAGTGAGTTTAGCTCAGTCATGACGATAGTAAATATGAATTAACGTCTCTAATATGTCATTCCAGGAATCCGGTGGATGTGTAATCCGCAACGTCAGGATCCCTTGGTCTGAAGCTGCAGGCTTCGTTGACAAGACGTTGACACCAAGAGATGCATACCACGACTTTATCCTTCCCCCAGTGCAATTACAGTTCGCCGCTGTACACCTCGGTGCTGCCATTGGGGCGTTAGAATCGGCGGCAGAGTACACCAAGACAAGAACCCGGGCATGGCCGTATGGAGGAGACAACAAGGCCAAGGCAGCTGAAGAATGGGTAAGACACCATATAATGCATTATCTACCGAACCTTGAAGCTAATTGGGTAAAGTACATTCTGGAAGGATATGGTAGGCTGCAAGCTAAGGTTTGGGCCGCTGAAGCCTTGATTGACCGCACTGCCGAGAGGGTCTCGGAGGCCATCCATGCACCCCGACATGAACTAACGCAAGCTATACGTGGCAGGATTGCCGTTCGTAAGTTGCCCACTTATTTAACTGAGGGGAGATTGCTGACTTATCTGTAGAGGTCGCGGCTTCCAAGGCACACGTTATTGAGGTGACGCTGGAGACAGCCACCAAGGTGTTCGAGTACGTTGGTGCCAGTGGAAGCCTAAGCCGTTACGGTTTTGATAGATTCTGGAGGAATACTCGAGTTCATAGCCTTCATGACCCTATTGCTTACAAGTTCCGCGAGGTAGGCTCGTGGGCGTTGCTGAAGGAGGCGCCAGAGCCGAGTTGGTATACTTGAAGAAATGGACCTTCAGAGGCTCAATCAGGGGCTTCTATTTGGTTTTTTTTTTTTTTTTAAATTGCCCATATATTCAATGGGATTCGGCGAAACAGGATAAAAAGACCAAACTAGCTATCAGAAAACTAAACGCGCTGCACCTTGGTGATATTTCCTGTCTTAACGTCGTAGATATAACCGGTAATTGGTACATCAATAAGCAGAGGATGGTTCTCAAGCAGCTTGACATCGTCCACAATGCTAGCTTCCAGGTCTGTAAATGGCAAAAATGCAATATGGTCGGCATCCTGTCCAAGTTCAGATCGGACCTTTTGGCGAATTGACTCGTCGGAGAAAGTTAACATGCCACAGTCAGTCTGTGCACCCATTAGCGTAGCCCAGTAATGAACTTCGAGGGTATGTACATGGTGTACGAGCACAATCTCGCGTGTTCCAAGAAGCTGCTGAGAAATGATCAGGCTTCGAATGGCCTCAATAGCACGTCCTCCAGCATTCCGAATGACATGGGCATCGCCTTCTTGCAATCCTAGAGCTTTGGCGGGATCTTCAACATCGATAAGTATCATTACCCTAGTAGTACCAGAGCTGGGCCGTTTGAAATCACCAACCTAGTCTAGCATCCATGCAAGCAACAATCGCTACCTTGCTAAAAGCAATATTAGAATATATTCAGAAATATATAGTTTTATAACAATTTACCGAGCAGGAGGCAGCGCAAGGTCGCCCTTAGTAAAGGCCGCCGCATATTTTTCATTCGCGGCCTCAATCTCACGAGTCTGGGAAAAGACAAATGCCATGGTGGATTAAAATTGATCTTTCATCAATACTGGGATGCCTTTATCCCGGAATTTACGACCCATTTCTAAAGGATCAAGAGATGCTTGCGTCATTGGAGTCGAGAATGAGCATAGCAAAGCCAACGCAATTTTGATGGAGTCGCCACCCCATACTTATTATCATAGTGCAGAACCTAAAAATGGCAGTGTAGCTTGATAAATACTAGTAACGCCAGGAATAGCGCGGCTGCCTGCAGTGGGACTCTGTTCCTCAGAGACCAATATACTTTTGGACTAGAGTGATATAGTGGCATATTACAGACACCGCAAACCCCTGATAACAGAGAGAAGCAGGATCGATTTACGGGCACTAGTCAGAAACAGGTGTTAAGTGTTTGGCGGAGGCAATTTCCGCTAATCTTTATATACTACCGTTTTAGTCTAGTATTTGTCCTCGATCACTGCCACTCGCCTCCGTCTAACAAAGTCGCTAGCTTGGATCGCGTACATTAATAAATACACAAGATATCCAAACACCACACCAGAAATTTGACTTTAGCATTGATTGCCAAGCCCACTCGTTCCATGTCGCTGGCTCACCTCAACCATAGCCGACACTTTTCTTGAGATGCCCAGTAGTATAACAAAACTAGTTCTGACGAGGAAGCGAGGTAAGTCGCCGTTCCGCTGGTATCATTCCACCGAGAGGGTAATTTGGTACGACGGGTACTATGCTCAACTACTGTGTAAGCTACTGCTCTTCAAAAGGCTTGAGCTGGGGGTGTACGAACTAGGTATATTTTCTAGATTGTATTCCTCGGACTCAAGCAATGCATTAGGATCGCCAGTGTAGGAAAAGGTAATGTTTCGAGAGAACGAGGAGAAAAAGAAGTTGTTGGATATCACAGCTTGAGAGAGCAGGAAGTCAGAGAAAGCCGACGAGTGAAACATTGATGAGGGCCTTGCCTGGGCTATTAGGGAATAGCAAAGGGTGCCCACGAAGCCTCCTCTTGAAGTATGTCCATATCAGAAGGGCTGACGGAGGGAAGGTGGCGAGCAAAGTAATAAAGGCGATAATAGCTTCAGTAGACCAGGGCATTGGAAAGCTAGGTCAGACTGACGACTAAAATCATTAGCGACAAAATCAACTGCCACCGTGCCTGTCAAGACTATTTATACCCAGCCCTGGGGGAAACTCACCTCGACCAACAAGGGTCAAGACATAAGAATGGGCATGCGTGGCAGGTGCCGAAATTGACCAAAATTCGGCCTCAACCTGTAGCAGTGCCCGGGGCGCTCCATTTCAAAAAGTACATCGCACAGGCTACTTGAAGCAGTGTTCAGTTCAGTGACTATGATCTCGGGATCATGTCGTAATGCAGGCTGAGCCGCAGCGAGACGAAAGCACAGATTGGACTGAGCCAACAAGCATCTTTCTAGTGGGCCCTGGTTCCTGATTTCACTCGAGCTGGGGGGAAAGAAACCGCAATCCGGACTCAGCAAATCACGCCACAGGACAACTCCAGGCTCTTGGTCTGGGGCCCTTGACAGCCAGGTGAGACCGGCTTGGCCAGTCTGGTATCACCCAATAAGCATAAAGTACTACCAGGTGCTGCCAGCCTTGCTGATCTTGCGGTGGAAAAGACCACATTTCGGCGTTGACCAATGAGTGTCACAGTTGCAGGGATTGGGCTGTGTCTTCCACACCGGAGATAAAACCGCCAGCATCCCACGAGAGATGGAAGCATACTCTTCATAACTCGCAAAGGCCGTTCGGAGGCGGTACAAAAGCATCTTATTTTTGTATTTGCTACCACAGCTCCCCGACCGGTCTGTGCACGGACGAGCCCCTCTGATCGTTCAGTTTGGATTACTGTTGGTTCACAAACATGCCGGGGAAAGCGCCTCGAGTGGAATCTGCGGCATGGGATAGGTACAAGGAGGAGATTATCTCGCTTTATCGCGAGTCGAGCTTGAAGGACACCATGATCAAGATGGATGAAAAGCATGGCTTCCAAGCGAGGTATGTTTTAAACGTGTGAAGGTACACTTGCCCGTCCTGATGGAGTCCACAGTAAAAGTCAATACAGAGCAAGGCTCAAAGCCTGGAAAATTGGCAAACATGCTACTGCTGATGTTTGGGTGTTCATCAATGGCAGACTGAAAAAACGCACACGAGCAGGGAAGAAGACCGACGTCCTTCTATATGGAGAACTACAGCCTCCCCAGAAGGTGGCCAAGGAGATCGCAAGGAATGTCACCGTGGTTGACAGCCTTCGAGACTTGAGCGATGTTCCTACTCCGGCTGGCGTTTGTATTCAAACCCCTAGCCCTGTCAGTCCTATTGACAGCGGCGTTGTCAGTGTATCTCAGACAAAATCGATGTCGTATTCGGAGTTTGTGGGACTGTTGACCCCTTGGATAGGTAAGAACAACCCCATGCTTGACAGGACGTACTGACACATTCAGTCGGAACAGTGGCTGCCCATNGGCCTGGGTATCATCCGGGTCTAGCGACTCAGCTATATGAGATGTTTCACTCGTATAATATTAGCCCATGTTCAGAGTCCCTTCTGAAATCACTATCATCGGACCTTACCACGTATCTCGCCAACGAACGATTCACCGATGTACTCGAATATTGGAGCAAGGATCATACCAGTATTCGAGGTCTAGTGGGGATTTCGCATGTGGAACTTGCACAAGTTGCACAGGCAGTCCTTCTAATGGTGCAACTATTATTGTATGAAGCCAGCAACATGCACGATCAACTGGAACCCAGTACAGCAGTATCCATCCTTCAGAAACACTTCCCTTCGGCATTCAAAGGTATATGCGACTTGAAGACCTCATCGTCACATATGCTCCGCAGGGCCTTTCTTCGTGCGACTGTGGCAGGAGGCGATATAGACTGGACAGAATCATTGCTTAAGCAGGGTGTGCTCCCGTACTCCAATGCTCATCTCCTCGACATTGCGATTTCTACCAAAATTTCCGGTATAGTCACTCTCCTCTGGAAATTCGGCCTTGCAGATCATGTATCGTTGCAGAATCTTCGCAATATGAATACGGATGTACGCTTTGCTGTTCTAGGTGACTGGTTGCGATCTAAGTTGACTCGGCCGGTAATGGTTGACAGCGGATATTCTAGTCTGCCACAAATTTACTGTGGCATCGTGTTGGTTGAAGCAGCTTCACAGGGCAGAACGATCGAGGTCACGGTGCTGATAGGCCTCTGTGGAGGTGCCATAGACCGGCGATGGCTAGGCGCTGCTTTGCTGGCAGCAGCTGGATCTCGAAATCCTCACACGGCCGAACACTTAATCAACTCTGGTGCTGATATACAATACTCGGCTGACTTTGGGCTATTAAATTTATTAAATTTTGATCGGGACTTCCCTCGGCATGGAATGACACCGATCCAGATCGCTGCAGAGAATAATGACATGGACCTGGTAAAGCTGTTACTCGAACATGGAGCGAAGCCAAATCCAATTCGGACCGGGAGATCTGCAGACCCGGCTGGCTTAGCGCCTCTGCAATATGCAGCGCAGAATTGCAACTTTGAGATGGTTCTGGTCTTGCTGGATGCCGGAAGTCACCCAGATTCGGGTGTGGATGTAAACCAAGGGGGCACTGCATTGCAGATATCGATCCAACAGGATAACAAGGCGATTTACGGTCTTTTGTTGTCATCAGAGGCAGATATCAATGCCCGCCCTGCTAGCACCAACGGCCGCACTGCTATCCAAGCCGCGGCAGGGACTGGAAACATACCGCTTGCACGGATCCTCATTAGAAAAGGGGCGTTGCTCAACGCACCTGCTGGGTCGAATAGAGGTATGACTGCATTGCAGGCTGCTGCATTCGGCGGGCATTCCTCAATGGTAGGGTTTCTGGTTACAAATGGCGCTGATATCAATGCTGCTCCAGCAGCCTATGCAGGCATGACAGCTCTACGGGCAGCTGTGGCTGGTGGAAATCACGAAGTCGTGAAGGCTTTGATCCAGCTCGGGGCAGATGTGAAGTGTCTTGCTCCATGCTGGGACAGAGAACCCCCCTTTGTGGCAGCAGTGCAGCACAGAGACCTCGCAATGCTGGGAACATTGATTGCCCATGGTGCTGCACTTACCAATGATGAAGCTACCCAAGGTCTTGAAATCGGCATTCCGCATGTCTTTACACCTGTCACTCCTCTAGAAACCGCGGCTGAGATTGGGTGGCTGGAAGGAGCAAAGTACCTTTTGCATTGCGGTGCTAAGACCAGCTTCCGCCGCCCAGCAGATGATATATTTGGCTGCGTCACAGCTTTGGGCTGGGCCATCAAGAATCACGACAAGCCCATGCTGCAATTGCTACTGGAGAACGGTGCAGTCGCCAATTTCACGACCAGGGAGTTCTATCGATCCGTGATTCGTCACTCATTAGCGGAGGCAAGTGACGCTATGATCCTGAGGCTTCTGTTGCAGTATGATCCTGATCCGCAGAAATCTCTGGAAGACGGATTACTTCTACAGTATGCTGTGGAACAATTATACCCACACCTGGAAGTATATAAACTTCTATTTGAAGAAATGGCGGTCCTCCCGAAACCGATCTGGTTGGCGCACGCGCAGCTAGTCTGGGAATCCATACGTTCATGCTACGTTTTTAATAGAATGAACAGTGCTCTCTGTATTAGCATTGTTGATCTATTTTGGGAGGCCAGTGGAGATATTTCTGGGTGCTTTCAACCCACCAGAACGTGCCTTCAGGTGGCGCTTAGACAAGGTGACGAAGAGCTTGCAGAGTATTTATTGTCCCGTGGTGCGACTTCAGACGCCCCTGCAACAGAATACTCCGGAACACCCCTGCAGGAGGCTATTGCGAACGGATGCTATAGTCTCATACCAAATTTGCTCCGAAATGGGGCCGATGTCAACGCTTCTCCCTGCCTGAACCCATCACGAGCTATATCCGCACTCCAAGCTGCTGCGGATCGAGGCCTGGTGAACGTGGCTCGGATTCTATTAGAGGCCGGCGCGGATGTCACCGCATGCCATAATGGAAAGACTGCCATACAGCTCGCTGCACTTAGTGGCCGAACTGACATGGTGGCATTATTGCTACAATCACTACCGGTTGACAGCAAGTTGATCACCACCTGTTCAACTGCAGCATCTGAAGCGGAGTCAAAACATTATGTTGAACTTGCTGGGTGGCTGAGAGGGTATTTTGCTTGGAGAGCGCGCCCAACTATGGGGATATATGACAGCGTGTTAGATTTCATATCCTCTTCGGAGAATACGGAAAGGAGATTAGATTAGACATTGATCATACACGCTTTCTCTGCGTCGATTGACTAACAGATAGTACGCGTTGTCTAACGCTCGCCGTATATATACAGTAGTTATGACAAACCCACGGCGGCTCGTGACGTATTAAGCCTTATACTAAGGGTACTTTTGCGCAATATCACAGTGCGGCCTGGACGCCCTGAGGGTTTTTGAAGATATCCTTCGGGTCCAGATCTGCCTTTAACCCTTCCAGCCTGGGAAGATTACTGCCCCAGTATGCGCGCTGGGCACTAGGCATGTCAGGGTCCGGGCAGCCGAGATACGCACGTCCCGCGCTCTCCGGGACGGCATCAGTAAGGACGCCATAGAGACCGTCGGTGAAATCGGATTGCGTCTGCGAGATCGAACCCAGCGGATTCACCATGAAGAATTGGATCAAGAACAGCAGATCCCGGTGGCCATATGCAGTGGCATCGGTAGGAACAGAGTTAATAGCGCCGCCCTCGAGACTTATAGTGGCAAACCAAGTCAGGGAGCCAGCATTGTTGCTGTGAATGTATTCGAAGAACTCATCAATCGCGGAATCAGGAATCAGGGTGTCGGGCGTGAAGCCAAGCGACTTTGTATAGAACCACGTCGGGGTGTCGCCAACAATTTGGAGAATTGTGTCTTGCAGAGCATGCCCGATCATTCCCAGCCAGTCCTCCAGGACCAGGATCGTACCAGGCTCACTGATAGGGAATTTATTCTCCAAGTCCAACGAGTCAAACTCCTCCTTTGACCCGAAGAAGATGCCTTCCAGGATAATCTGCCCGTCAGCGATAATCAAATTGGTCTCGAATTTCCACGACAGATCCTCTTGCGCTACAAATGCCTGCCAATCTTTAAGCACCTGTGCCTTCTGCGCCGCAGTTCCAAGATTGAATCCGTACGAGAACTGAACAGCCAGTCCCGGCGCCGGTTGAGTGCGCACTTTGAACTCAGTCACAATCCCAAAACTCGCGGCCGCACCCTTAACAGCCCAAAAGACATCCTGGTTCTGAGCCTCTGACGCTCGCACGATACTTGAATTCGCCAACACCACTTCGACTTCTTGGACATGGTCCAGCGCCATCCCCCACTGGCGCATCGTCGGTCCCTGTCCGCCTACCGTTAAGTGGCCCCCGGCTTTGATACTAGGGCAGATTCCGTGCGCCATTGCTCTCTTTCCTGCACTGTAGAGTTTTGTGTCTATGTCGCCTAAGGTTATCCCCGGTCCGATTGTAGCGGTGTACGTCGAGTCGTCCATAGAGAATTGCGAAAAGTGCTTCATGTCGACTACTATCGCGCCGTCATCTCCTCCGAGGCCTAGAAAGCTGTTAACCACTCTCCCACAATGAAATTGTATCAAGGAAGAAGGAAGGTGTACCATAATTACCAAAACTGTGCCCTCCACTGCGCGCCTGAACCTTGTAGTCACGATCAGAGGCACATTTCACAATAGCAGCAATCTGCTCCGCGGACTGCGGGAAAGTCACTGCCGCTGGGGTAACAGGGAGATTCAGATTATACGCGTGGACTGCCGTGGACTGGTAAAGCAGCTGGTCTGAGAAGGCAACATGTGCTGAATTCCCACCGACGGCAGAAACCAGGCAGTCACGAGCATCAGCAATACTGGTGGTATTGCCCATAGCGAAACAAGGAAAATAGACTTCAGAGAGGGGAGATCACCCCATGGAGAAGGGGGAATCTGCACGCGCGACTGGAACGGGGCCCCCTTTTATGTGTCGTTATCCGAATAATAAGACATTGGCGTTATTCTGCAAGGGTCCTTGAGCCAAGGAGTGGCCGTCACAAATGGGCTGAGCATTGAAGGTGGATGCTACTTAGGCCGGGCCGAACCCCAGGGAGAATTCATATTGCTTGTCCTTCTTTGGTAGGAAACGGGGTGGCGCTGCCAGGTGGATATTGGTGTAACGCTCTGCCTCAGTGTGTTGACTGATAGCTCACACCAGGGTATTGGAATATTGGGCATGACAGCAAGACACGGTCCAAGTAGCAACCCCGCACGTGTTGTCAGGCAATCATAGGTCAATTATTGGAGCATTGTTTACTCTAGTAAACACGCTAACGTGCGGCCGTTGAGGGCTGAAACACCGGTGCCGCTAGTTGCATCAACTAAGGACAGCTTCACAACCCAGCCCATCAAAACCATATGAAAAATAAAATAGAAGATGATCAAAACAAAAATACACAGCGACTGAGATTTACATGTCGTCGCATAATACCACGAACCAGCCGCCGTCTTTGTTAAGGGAACTATAGCTGGGTACATCTGTTCGGCCTGTCGGTAGCATATTTCTAATGATATAGAATGAAACTCGAAATTTTGAAGCTTTCGATCATCGCTAGTAGATATAGAGGAGGGGGATGTAGTAGGAACTGCATGGCTGCTCGTGGCTGTTCGGTTAACTGTCCCTTTCTGCGCGTGCCTCGTTCATAGAGAGGACATGTGGGTATTGAATATATATCGTCTAGGAGCAGTGCCTCCCATCGCAGATCGGTTCCATTCTGGGTCATTCATTTTCCATGTTCTAGATGGGTTGCTACTGATACATATGATTGAGGCTTTAAATATACATATGGTATTGCTGATATACAATGCTTCGTTATCCCCAACAAGCCAGTTTCTCCTTCCGTGTGTAGAGGACGTCCTCATTGATCAAGGAGTTAAAAGTCTAATCGAATTAATGTCGCTTGGCGTCGGTAGAAGATCCATCGAGCTTGAAGTAACCAGGCTGAAGTAACTGAACAACACCTGTTGGATCATATCGCTCTGAGGAGGCATTCGGTCTATCGTCGTTCTCTTTCTGATAGCCAGCAATGACATCTTGAAACTCTCCCGCGTAATTCATGTATCGGAAGTGGTGATCCCATCCCTTTTCCTTCCCGTAATTTACTGTTCTTTCAATCGTCTCCTGCACAGCCTGTCGTATCCTTTGGCTATCAGCTTCACCAATCCAGCCAACTAACGATTCAAGTGAATCCGGCACCTACCCAGACCCCCTCCGCAGTGGATTGAAAGGATAGGTACAGTATAATTATATAACTAATTCCCATTCCAGTTCACTGGGCTCTTTCCAATAATTTGTTCCGCTGGTAACAAATCCAAGCTTTTGTAAAAGCCTCGCACTTCGCTGATTGTGTCGCTCTGTCTCGCCAATAAATCTCTTGACGCCCCTTTCATTGACTGCCCACTGTATAACCGCCTCGGATGCTTCTTTTGCAATCCCCCCACCCCAGAATGCCGGCGAAATACCGTATCTCAGCTCAACCATCTCCTGCCATGGTGGGAGAGGCGTGTCACCCTCTTCGCGGTCTGGGAGAGACGTCGTCGTTGCATCCCGGACCCCAGCATAGCCCACCCACTTAATCTCACGCAGGAGTTGCGAGTTCTGCCCCGCAAGACTCTGGAACTCATCTCCCTTGAGCACCAAGCAACGTGAAGTGCCTTCGGTAGTGTACTCATCGCGATCGCAGGACGCGCGCAGTCCTACAGCAAAATCACCCAGGCCCCGTCTCTTCCAAGACCGCTCAATATCACGCGTCTCGATCACTGCCCGAGTTTCATCGTCGCTCCAGTTGCGAGCCGGGAAATGGTCTCCAAAGGCCATTTGACAGAAGCTCTTGTCGGCATGTAAGCCTGCATAATGGGCGCGGTAGGTGGCCAAGGAGACGGCAATCGGGGTGGGCAAGAGCAGCAGTCTAGGTGTTAAAATGGCAAAGGGTTCAAAGGGGGTGTGAGATTGGGGAGACTCCATTGTCGACATGGTCCGTGTTGACTGATTAAATAAATGATGATGCCAGATTTGCTGTGGATTTAACGCCAACAGGCTGGATCTGACTAATTCTTAACTAACCAGAAGTGGCGGCATAACCACTCTGTATCGTCGTGGTATGGTTGATACAATATAACACCAGTACTGGAAAGTGCTGAGCATAAGGGTCGGGGATTACAATCTATTATTGTAGTATAACCTGATTTTTCTTATAGTAGGCTTAGCATCTCTTGTTCTTTAGGATTTGATACAAGGAGAGCTCGACTCAGGGAAACAGCTAACTGCATTATGACTCTGATTCTAGTAGAGACTGGCATCTTTCAGCTTCAGCATGTGTAAGACCCTCTGCGAGAACACCAAGGTATTCATGATGACAGGGCATTCGCCAATGGCGTTCAAGGATGTATGTCTAACGCGCCATCGCCGTGTATCCATCTCATGAACGTCTGCCAAGTACAAATACTGCGTCAACGGATTGGAGAGTCTCATTGTCGATAGCCGTATTGAAGTAATGACGACGAATGAAGCCATATAGGTAGGCTATTAGACAAGCAGGACCTCACCAAGAGGAAGAACGGCTAGATGGTTGCTATAGTGCATGTGTAGTGGGAAAAGCGTTTATCTATCCACACTATGCGAGTGCCGATGTCGGAACCTAGATAGCCGAATACAGCTGGATGAGAAGGTAATTTACACCATGGTGTCACCATTCAAATCCAATTGATCCCCAGGAGAGTTCGAAAATGATTGTATCGCCGCACAAATCTCCTTCATCAGGCCCCTCGCCGTCCCCGCAGACATCACGCCTTCTGAAGTGCACATCATCACGTCTAGAGAAGATTCTCTTGGGCTTGAGACAATCCACATCCCATTGGCAGGAATAAAATGCGCCCATCCCGAGAAAGTAGCCTTTGTTCCCGCTAGACGGAGACCGGCGCTGCGTTCTAGATTCTGGTGCTGAACGACGCAGGAAAAGGGGGTGTCAGCCGGCCAGTCGGTGCTCTGTCTGAAGATCTCTGAGGACCCAATGTAGTCGTAGGCCAGAGTGGAGACGCTTTGGTCTTGGACGTGCTGCAGCAGTTCGTAGGCTGTATATGACTCCTGGAGCGTTACCCACAAGGGGATAAAGTTCAGACACGCCCCGAGGACCTTGTCGATATTGGGGAGGGGCAGACTGCGTCCGTTTACAGTCTGGCCGAGAATGAGATCTGTTTGGGACGTGAGTCGAGCTAGTACGAACGCACAGGCAGCCTTGACGAGGCTGGCGGTGGTGATTCCCGCTGGTGCAGTGGGAAGTGGTATCTCTTTTGCGACGGAGACACGCCCGCCCGCTCGACCGGGCTGCGGGGCAGAGGGCCCAGTGGGGAGATTGAGACTGATGTTTGCAACTGATGATCCGTGAAGATAGTTACGCCAGAAGGCAAAGGCTTTGTCTGTGGTTCGGGATGCACGGAAATACATGTACGAAGAGAAATCCACCGCAACGCTGGTTCTCATACCGGAGTACTCGGCCGCTATATCGTCGAGCAACACGCGTATGGAAAGGCCATCATACTGCGCATGTGAAATACGAATGATAAAGACGTGCCTGGTGCTGCTGTTGGACACGAGGCTGAAGTGGAGCGGAGCCGAATTGACAATGGATGAAATCTGGCAATCGTCTTGGGAGAGATTGTCGCAGTACATCATGAGGTTTTCGTCCGTAGTAATATGTTGCAAAGGTCGATCTAGAGACTTGAGAATCACTTGTAACAGGCTTTTCCTCGTCCGAATAAACGCCGTGCGGAGGATAGCATGGTTTGCTATGACGGCCTTGCATGCAACGCGTAGCATATCTACATCGACTGGGCCTTCGATGTCATGGCATTGATATACTGGGGTCCACTGTGTGAGGAGGAAAGATTGACCATCTGTCACAGGCAAAACATCAGCGATGTTAGAAGCCTGGGACACAAGACCCAGGCGAATGGCTTCTTGAATAGCCGATTCTCGAGTCCCCACATCCACCAGGGAGAACGGTTCGGACGCATAGTCCTCGTCAACAGGCTCGGATTCTAGAGTGGCCAAGGTAGAAATCTTCGGATTCTGTAGAATGTCCGTCACGGCCAGGGCAAGTCCTTCCGCGCGAGCCCGGGCCGCCATATACATGGCATTGACAGAATCCCCACCTAGGTGGAAAAAGTTGTCGTCGATGCCAATTTCGTCCATGGGTACCCTGAGGACATCGGCCCAGATTACCTGGAGCTTTCTTTCTGCCTCCTTTCTCGGGGCGCGCTTCTTCTCCTCCATAGCCATGCGATATTCACTGCGCCTGGAGTCTGACATGGCTACAACCGCTTCTCGTAACGCTTTGCGGTCAACCTTGCCCGTCACCCCCTGGGGCAGTCTGGAAACGGGAATAATCAAAGAAGGAATCATGAATGCTGGGATGCGGTCACGGAGCTCAGCGGTTGCTGTGGCGCACCGTTTGCGAAATTCGGCAGACGAGGGTAAGAAGTAATTGTCTGGTATTTCCGCTTCATCCACAACACGATGAACGAATGCAGCCAGAGATGCGCTTGGCTGGGAGCCCGCAGACGGAATAACTTCTGCTACGACGTTGACAGCATCCTCGAATAGCTCCTGGACGTGCCACTCAACCTCGCCGAGTTCAATGCGCTGGCCCCGAAGCTTGACTTGAGTGTCTTTCCGGCCAACATAGCGCAGGGAGCCATCCAGGTTGTAGCAGAACAGATCTCCCGTTTTATATAAACGGCAAAGGGGGTCCCCAGGATCGCTGCAGCAGCCGAGGGAGCGATTGAGGTCGTCAAGCCAGGGGGGAGTCGGGATAAATGCTGCAGCAGTCTTCTCCGAATCTCCCATATACCCGAGTCCAACGTGAGGCCCATTCATCAACAGCTCACCCACCGCCCCAATTGGGACCAATTGGTCCGAGTTCTGCGGGTGTACCAGCCAAGAGCGCCCGCCCATGGCATATCCAATTGTGTTGGGGGTGGACTCTGGCTTGACATGGAAATTCTTATACGTGGACCCGGCCTCGGCTGGCCCGTAGGAATTCACCAAGTGCACTCGGTGTGCCCATTTGCGTATATCCTTAGCCTGCATAGATTCCCCACCCAGTAGTAGCACCTCCAGGGAGGGAAACTCGTCGGGATTCAAGGTGTAGGCAAAGGATGGGGTGAACAAAGTATGTGTCGGTCTTAGGGCCGCAGCAGCTTCGGCAATTCCGTTCAACCGTTGCTCATCTCGAGGTATACACACGCATCCTCCGGAAACCAAGACCCAGAGCTGCTCAACTGTTGCAACATCAAAGGCATAGGAGCAGAATTGAAGCCAGCGAGTGGACTGGTCAATCCCAATTCCCTTGATATTGGGAATCGCGGCAGCAAGAAACGTCGTGTGGTCAATTATAACGCCCTTTGGTTTGCCCGTGGAGCCAGACGTGAAGACTGTGTATAAAGGCCAGTCCGGCTGTGCCGCTGGGAGCTCCACCGTCTCATCAACTGTCCAGCGAGAATAATCGCCCGTTGACAGAACCACGTCTGGAGCCAGGTCGAGGGCGGCGCGGACCTGCGTTGGAGACGCTATGACCAATGAAGCTTGGGCTAACTGACAGTTTTCCTTTAATCGCTTGACTGGCTGAGATGGATCAAGTAACATAATGGCACCTCCACACTTTAGGACAGCAAGCATGGCCACTACTGCCCATCGTGACTTTTCAGTGTAAATGGGGACATAGCTTCGCGACTTGACTCCTCTCGCAACAAGATGCCTGGCTAGACCCGTGGATAGCTGATCCAGAGCGCCGTAGGTGAATTGGCCGTCCCAGGCATGCACGGCCGGCCGCTGGGAGAGTTCGGTGCAGGTTTGCAAGACCAGTGCGGTCACCGACGATTTGGTGTATGTCGGCAGAGGGTTCCATTGGATCAATTGTTCCAGGTCCTGGGGGCTAATAGCGCGCAGTTCGCGTACAGGCCGGCTATGGTCAGCCAGAATAAGGCACAGTGTGCCCTGCAAACTCCATAGAAGACGCTGCACCTCTTGCTGGGCGATTACTCGGGCGTCAAACTTGACCGAAACAGCCACTTGTTCAGGATCTGCTGTAAGCTGGCATGTTACCACGAGAGGGGAATTGGCAAACCCGCCGGCAACGGCTTCGGAGTCTACACGATTGACAAAAAGAGATCCTGCGGCTGATTCCCAGGGCGACTGGATGGTCAAGTGGTTTTGGAAGCTGCACGCAAGTTCCGATTCGGGACCAAAGGTTCGCATTCGCTGTAACCCAGTCTGCTCGTATGGCGTAATATGGGCGATTTGCTCTTGCTGGGCATTCAGGGCATGACTGATAATTTCCTGCGGGTGGATTTGAATACGCATCGGAACTGTGGCAATCGTTGGGCCAGCCATCTTGTCGATGCCACTGATATTGGCTGCTCGGCCCGTCAAAGTCAAGCCAAAGACAACATCGTTTGTGCCGGTATAGAAGCCCAGGACGAGGCCCCATGCTAATTGGATGGCAGTTGATATGGTGAAGCCTCTCTGGACCGCCTTTGGAATTTGCATCGGAAATTCAAGCTTATGGGTTGAGGCAGGCTTGAAGTTTGGAGACGGCAGCCGTGGGAATTGGGCCGCAGTAAGGCCGTTGAACTGCGAGCTCCAGAATGCCCTATCATCTTTGGTGTCCTGCACGTAGCGGATGAACTGATTATAAGGCGTGGCCATCATGCTGCCCCCTTGGTAGGCGGCCTCCAGTTGCTTTAGGTGTAGCTGCAGAACCCACCGGTCACAGATGCTGTGATGCATGATTAGTATTAGATACATTCTGCCGGACGCCGGGGCTTCCTCCACTATGCAGGAACGTAAGAGGGGTCTTCCAAGGCCAGTGTGAAGTCGCTCAGGTTGGTCAAGATATTCATCCTTGGATGTCGCAACGTCCCAGGCTGGAGAGCCGTCCAGGACCACCTGGAGGGTCTCGCCGCTGTTTGGCTGAACGAACCTGGTACGAAGAAGTTCGTGTTTCGCAACCACTGTCTCCCATGCCGTTTTGAGCCGTTGAATATCGATACCCGGCCGGATTTCATAGATGCTTTGGCTTATGTATGAGCCTGGGTTCTGCAGGGATAGCGCAAATAGGCCCTCTTGGAGGGCACTGCACGGATAGATGTCTTCGATCTGGCCGACAGGCACTCCACATTGCTTTGCAGCCGATTGGAGTATACTCCCTTTTGCTGATGTATCTACCAGCGCGAATGCATCCACTGTCTGATTGATAGCCGGCTCTGTCTGGGATGAGACAGTGGCCATTTCCCGGATGACCGGGTGTTGGAGGATATCGTTCACCGTCAGCCTGATACCTTTCTCTCGTGCCAGTCCCACCAATTTCAGGGCCTTTATCGAGTCGCCGCCCAGGTGGAAGAAATTTAGATTGACTCCCAGATCATGAGAAGGATGTTGAAGTATTTCGCCCACCAGGGTCATAAGTTGGGCCTCGACCTCGGATGATGGTGACACGAGATCCTCATTTGTTCTGATGAGATTGAGAAATTCCGACTGTGGCAGAGTATTCATTTCTCTTCGGATGCTCAATCGATCAATCTTCCCCGAGACAGTACGAGGAAAGCGACGGACCAGAATAAAAACGTTCGGCACCATATATCTGGGTATCAGTGACCGTATAGTTTCTGCTGCACGAGAGCCCTGGGCTTGGAATTCCACATTGCTTGGAGCGAACCACGGTGCGTCTTCTTTGCAAACTGTCTTGAAAGGCTGGTGGATGAAGGCCGCCAGTACTTGCTGATCCCCATTACCACGGGGTGTGATAGCCTCCACAACAACCTTCAGAGACTCGGGATAGCAGTTCTTCACGTGGAACTCAACTTCGCCCAGCTCCACTCGCTGTCCACGGATCTTCAGCTGGGTATCCTTTCGTCCCATGTACATTAAGCTGCCATCCGGAAGGAACCGCATCAAATCACCTGTTCGATACATGCGGCCTTTATCAGATTGACCCAGGGCAGTCCGCCACGGCGGCCTGGCGAGGAAGACGGCATCTGTTTTCTGGTGATCGTTAAGATACCCCTGGACGAGAGAGGGCCCTTCAATAAGTAGTTCCCCAACAGAGCCGATGGGTGCAAGCCGTGTGTGGTCCGTGGGATCTACGAGCCACATCTGACCATTTATGGGTCTACCTATACTTCCTGTGTTGCTGAAAGGCGTAATCCTCTCGGAGGTGCAGAATATCCCTATCCATTCAGTAAGCCCATAACATTGATACAGGGATACCTTCTCGGCCCATGTGAGGACGTGACCCTTCTGCAAAGGCTCTCCTCCCGTCATGACCATTCGAAGGCTGGGCACAGCCTCTGGCTGAATGGATCCGAGAACTGTTGGCGTCGTCAGGATGTGGCTCACTGCCATATCATTGATGGCATTCACCAAGCTGCTAATACTTGAACGGTCCTCGTCCGAGGGGATGCACACCGTACCACCGCCACTCAGAGTACAGTATGTCTCCATAATGGACATCCCGAAGGTATAAGACGCGAGCTGGAGGAATCGTGCATGCTCACTGAGATGCAAGGCGGGAGTCTGACTGGCAATACTGGCAAAGGCACCGTGGCTCACGACACACCCCTTGGGCTTGCCAGTACTTCCTGAGGTAAAGAGACAGTATGCCGCCGAGCTGACGTCCGGTAAATATGGGGAGAATGTGCCTGGCAGGGGGACATCCAGAATTGACGCCGCGGTAATAACAAGAGGCTTACTCACACTCCTTAGAAGATCGGCATAACAAGACGACGTCAGTACCAGCTTGGCTCCCACGGCCTTGACGATTTGCTCCAGCCGAGGGAGTGGCTGTGACGGTTCTAGGGGAACAACAGCAGCTCCTGTCTTGTGGACGCCGATAACAGCAATAACAGCCCAAATCGATTTCTCGAAACACACAGGAATGAACATATTTGGTCCAATTCCGGCGTTCTTTAGATAGTGTGCAGCCCGTGACGAAACCCTGTCCAGTTCTGCGAAGGTCATATGCCCATCCCAGGCACAAATTGCAGTTTTATCAGGCACACTTAGGGCTAATTCCTGCAGTCTATGCCACCAGGGAAGGGGTTCTTGTTCGTGGTGTCCATCGCCGCTCCAGACGTTCATCTGCTGGATATTGACATCACTGACTAGGCATAGTGCACTCAGTGGGTCATCAAGCTGGTGGCGTGCAAGTATTAAGCCTTGGTGGATGGCACTAGCCAGGTGTTTGGCCATAGAATGGCCGAGAAGGGTTTCCTTATACTCCAAAGAGATTCGGAGTTGATCATCCCCACGCCGTAAATGTAGGAAAATTCCACAGCTCTGCCACAGTTAAAATACATATCAAGTTTAGCATAGGGGTATGGACTATTACCGCAGGTGTTTCTTCGCTTGCGCTCACCGTGGATAGGGGAATGGCATCCAAAGACATACATTTTTCCAGCGCAACCCCAACGTTTGAGTTGGCTAGTCCCGGCTCCTTCACATGAGCCAGAGACCAGTTCTTCATATGGCACAATTCCCGAATGGTTGTTTCACTCGATAGAGGAATCACCAATAATTGTTGCGTGTCGGTGGTGGCGACTGCGTTTCCACGAACCCAGAGATGCACACACTCGGTCTCGGTGAAGCAGCGCAGTACGGCCGCCCACACTGCTACCGCATACACCCATGGCTGAATGTTTGTAATCTCTACAAGGTCACAGAGATCCACGGCTTCGATCTCTAATTTTTCTGTTCCCTCACAGGTTGATGTACCGACAGAACGATCGGAAAGCTGAGGAAACAAACAGGCCGTCGCCCCCATTGCCACTTTGGGGGCCTCCTGGTGTGCGTTCAAACCCATTGAGACAATGTCTACAAAGGACTGAGGGCAGACACTGGAAAAAGGATCGGGGTCTCTTCGTGTGGTCGATGGGCGTTATTTTTATGAGCGCTCTGCGACGTGCAAACAAATGGATATTGATAGCAGGCAAGCGTCTTCGGAAAATGACACACCTTTCCAAGACTAGGGTTACGTGGCTTTCTTCCAAGCTGTCCCCAACTCCTTGCATAAGTGACGGGTCCGTTTGTCAGCGGTGAAGGAGAATGCAATAGTTCTGCAGGACATATCCTACCAGTCACCGAACCTATCTTCTCAGCTCACCATCTGTATCTCCTTGCATCATCCCGGTGATTGCGCGTTCACCTGGAAACGCCATTTAGTATCGACATGAGACGCCCTGGCACTTTCTGGTTGAAATTCTAGCAAGCTACCTTTACAGCATAGAAAGATGACTGTTATAGACTTATTGGAACCTTGTGTTTTCCCATCACTTAACAGCACCGCCGCTGGGCCAGAGATATGGGGCAGTTTGGAGACACCAACGCCCTTCACCCTCAGGATACTCGAGCACTGCCGGGAAGTGGGATCGGAGCCTTCTATATTTCTATCAGCTATCTGGTCTGTTCTGCTGTCTGTTTACGTCGACACCAAAGTGGCAAAGATATGGTGGTCTGGGGGTCCAGGCAAACACCACACCGAGTCAGCTGGAAAGCAATGCATGGGATCGGGGTTGAGGTCCATCTCCCTGGCAGATAAAAGGACTTTCAAAGACCTTCTCCAGCGTCAGTTCTGGTCGAAGCAGCCTGCGTCCGATAATGACGATGTATCCAACACCGGGATCCTCATACTTGAAGCATCGGATCACACCCTCAATTGGGGCAGGGAGGTTGACCAGTTGAAAGTAAGTAAACCGTTGGGAACCTATCATCTACTATTCTCAGGCCCGGAGCTAATGATTTATTTGTACAGAACTGTGAAGTCCTTTTGAAGTTGCAGGCATGTTCCGGACAGAGCAGCCTCAGTTTATCCTATCGAACAAGCATATTGTCCGACTTCCACGCAGCCAGTCTGCTAGACACGGTCCAGCAAATCGCCAGCGCCGCAATTGAAAACCCAGAGCAGCCTTTAGCCGAATTGAGATTCATCGGCCAGCAAGACCTCACCAAAATAACGACCTGGAATGCCCATGAGATACGCGAGGCCGACTGTCCCATGCACGAGATCATCCATAGACGTGCGGTAGACCATCCACAGGCAATGGCCGTAGAAGCCTGGGATGGAAGGTTAACATATGCTGAGCTGGACCAGATGACATCTCACCTGGCTGCTCATCTAATGAAAGCCGGGGTCGGTCCTGGTACATTTGTGCCACTCTGCTTTGAAAAGTCGTTTTGGGCAGTCCTAGCGGCACTGGCGGTGAATAAGTCCGGCGCAGCATTCGTTCCTCTAGATCCGGAAATCCCTACTGAGCGTGCTGAAGCGATTATCAAGCAGACGGGTGCCAGGTTCATTCTAGCTTCCGATTTGCAAGCTGCTTCGCGGAGGAAAACTGGATATGTGGTCCTTGTTCCGTCAGAGTTGATGTCAAGACCAGGTATTGATGGTGCATTACTTCCAGATATTGCAAATCAACTAAACCTACCGGCATATTGTCTTTTCACATCCGGAAGCACAGGGACACCGAAGGGCTGCGTGGTCAGCCATGCATCGTTTGCCAGCGTTGTATACCATGGCCCACAATTGCAGATCCGCCCTGCTACTCGTGTTTTGCAATTCGCTTCTTTCAGCTTTGGTATCTCGCTGATCGAAGTCTACTGTACCTTGAGCTGTGGCGGAACTACCTGTATCCCTTCGGATACGCAGCGCTTGAACTCTCTAGCACAGGCAATCACCTCAATGAACGTTGAATGGGCAATAATGACACCTACCGCTCTCGATTCCCTCTCGCCCAGCGAGGTTCCAACCTTGGGAACCGTAATAGTTGGCGGCGAGCCAATACAGGCGGTTCAGGCTAACCTGTGGGCACCAGAAGTCCTCCTTTTCCAGGCATACGGCCTTACAGAGTGGGCTGGGATCCTTAGTGTATCCAACCCAATCCGACCATGCAACCCAGCGCCCAATGTTGGGTTCCCCGTGAATGGGAAAGCATGGCTTGTGGATCCAAATGACCGGACCAGACTTCAGCCCGTCGGAGCTGTTGCAGAACTCATGATTGAAGGCCCGACTCTGGCACAGGGTTACCTAAACAACCCAAAGAGCACCGCTGCCTCGTTTGTATTACCGCCATATGGCATGCAGGCTATTGGCGAGGTCAGCACTTCTCACAACAGACGGCTGTATGCCACTGGAGACCTAGTGCGGTACAATATAGACGGTAGCATTAGGCACATGGGCCGTAAGGATGGTCAGATCAAAATCCGCGGGCAGCGTATAGAGGTTACAGAAGTCGAGTTTGCTTTACGTCGGGTGCTCCCTCGTGCGAAACAGGCAATGGTTGCTAGGGTCCGGACTGCATCCAACGGCCTACTGTCTCTCGCAGCCTTCATATTGGAAGGCCAGGGAGATGAGGCCCCAAATATAACCGCGGGATCATCGGTTCTGGCAGATCCTAGTTCCGATTTCCTACAGCGGATCAGAGCTGCCAAGGAGAAGCTTGTGGATATTCTGCCGTCATATATGATACCTGCAATTTTCTTGCCTCTTCGTCACTCGCCGCGAACTGCCACTGGGAAGACAGACCGTCGCCGCTTGCAGAAAGAGGGAGATTCACTTTCCGTGGACCAGTGGAAGCAATACACAACGGAGCACACAGGAAATAACGAAGACCGGCCCCTATCTCGTACAGAGCAACGGATTTCACGGATATGGAGCAAGTTGTTTCGCTTGGATGCCGGTCAGATAAAGGCTAGCGACGACTTCCTTGCACTGGGTGGTGACTCGAGCGGTGCCATGAGACTTGTGGCAATGGCACGGGGCGAAGGTCTTATATTGACAATTGCCGACGTGTTGTCCTCTCCACGACTGGAGGATCTGGCGCAGAAAGCAACCATTTCTTCCGATCACTCAATTCCAAATGGTATATCCGATTCAGCAAACAGCCATCACGCGACTGGACAGTCTCTAGTGGAGGATTCCGTCCGACGAGTGTGCATTTCAAACGTCTGCAAACAGGGCACAGCACTCGCTGAACCTGTTGCCGACGTGCTTCCAGCGACAGCAACCCAACAGTTCTGGGCCAAGTACAGTGGCTTGGATTGCTTTACCTTCATGTTGGAAGGTGAAGTGGATCTTGATGCAATGCAAAATGCGTGTGACGCGGTGGTGGAAAGACATAGCATACTCCGCACTGTTCTCACTCGGACCAAGTATGGCATGTTTCAGGTAGTTCTAGAGAAGGCCGATATCCGCCTTCGCCATATAACTACTAACGACGCCATTTTGGATGTTTGCAACAGCATATGTGGCGACTCCGTCGTGGGTCACGCTTGTCAGTTGGACCAACTTCCAACCCAATTTATTCTGGTATCAGGGAGCAGGACGCGGCATGCGCTGATATTTCGCTTGTCGCAAACCCAGATAAACGCTTTCAGCCTTCCAATATTGTTCACCGACTTTGCAAGTGCCTATGACGGCCGTTCGCTACCCCCTGGACGCCATTTTGCCGACTATACACGTCACATCTTGCAACAGGACCAGACTTCCGGCTATGAATTCTGGCGAAAGTACTTGCAAGGCGCAACGTTGACGCCATTCGGCCCATTTACAGCGAGCGATTCGGGAACTGCAGCCAAGAAACTCTCGATCACCCTCAAGCTCCCATATGTACCAGAGGGTCCTGCCGGGGTCACAAGAGCCACCTTGATCAAGGCATGTTGGGCCCTGGTCCAGGCCCAGGTATCCAAGCAAACCGATATTGTCTTTGGACAGGCCGTCGGCGGTCGAAATATCTTGCCCCCCGAGCTTCAAAACATCGTCGGTGCGTGCCAAAATTACATCCCCATCCGTGTCCACCTGCAGGCCACGTGGACTCTCGATGAGTACCTTCACCACGTCCAGGAGCAATCCTTCAAAACAGTAAACTATGACGCCATGGAGATATCGAAGATTATCCAGAATAGCACCTCGTGGGACCCCGGCGCTTTCTTTCCATGTTACCATTCGCATATCAACAAGACTACCCGGCGCGAACTCCCATTCCAGAGGATCCTCAACACTTCACATCGGCGTTTCGCGAAACATGCCACACCCCCGACGACTGTGATTGTCTCAGGCCAGGATTCTAATCATACCGACCTTGGGGTGATAACTTCATCTCACACCATGAATGAAGAGCAGGCATCTTCTTTGTTGGAGCGGCTGGCCGATATGTTGCAGACATTTCAAAAGTGCCCTGAGATGCGCTTGGCCGGGCTTTTGGCCACGAAGAGCGATGGCTGGATTTGATAGAACTGAGTCGACTGTTATATAGGAACACACAAAGCAGACTAAGAATATGACGATCAATGATAGGGGATTTACGGGATTTCTCGAGGACATTAGACTACCTATGGGAGTGGGATGGGAGGCTGAAGCCGAACGTATTATTTCACCTGGCATAAATATACCCAGAGAAAGCCCTTGATCTTATCATTTTCGTTTCCATTGCTCCGTACTTTCAAGTGCTTTTCCGTGTATGTTGAGCCGTGATTGTATATTTTGGTAAATCACTCAAGGTGGTATGGCAACGTGTATACCGAAACGATCAATGTGTCTTTCGCTGGCAGATGGAGAATATTACACCATCTCAGCCAGTTCAGCACAACCCAGCATTCCACAGTGCAACATTCTCAGTCCCTTACCGGCAAGGAGACGCTCAGCCCGCCCCCCTCCCTTCTGCCCAACCTTTTCCCCAGGGCTCCCATAATCCCATCCTCTTCTCAAGCATCCATACGGTGATACGCGGCCATTCAAGCTAATATTTGAATAAGGACCGAAAACTAAAGGATTCACCACTATGACTGTCTCTGGAACGGAAAGCGATGCTGAAACCGTCGCATTGCGTCTGCTGCAGAATGTCCGCAAATCCAACTTGAGTTCACAGACCGGGGAGAGGGCTCCCAATGATATATCATCAATCTTGACCGATCTGAGGGAGTTAGAGGCCCTTGTAACCATTCCACAGATGTGGAACTACCAGGTTGCGACAGCATATCAGCGCAGCACGGGGCTATGCCTGCTGATGGACTGGAATATTCCCGAACATCTGTCCCGGGCAGGGGGAACCATGTCTTTGGACAAGCTGAGCAGCGTGACGGGCATTTCAAAGAATCTTCTGAGTAGGGATTGTATTGCATTCTCCAGGTCCTGCGCCTGAGCTGACTCCCACACAGGAGGGATAATGAGGGAAGCGGTATTATGGCACATTGTCGATGAACCGGCGCGAGAAGAATACCAACTCAATATCCGCTCCGAGCATTTGCTCAACAAGGGTCATGCTGCCCGTGTGCACCATCAGTATTTGAAAACAAAGATGCGCAGACATTGGAGCTATCACTGACGAGGGCCTAGTTGTGATGTTGGCTTCCGATCCAACGCATTTCTACCGGAGTATCTTTCGAAAGCCAACGGGCAGCAAGACGGTCCAGGTCCAGTCGCTTTTCAAATGGCCTTTCAGAGTATGTGCTAATGATATCTACTGTTGGATAAACCCATTCTTGAGCTGACCGCTGCAGCCGAGAGGCCATTTTATGAATCTCTGGCATGCGACAAGATCCGGGGTCCGCGATTCAACAGCTATCTCGAGGCAGCATCATTCGTTGATCAAAACCCCATCGAGCGATTCTTTCCATTCGAACAGTTGAAATCAGGGGCATTGGTGGTCGACGTTGGTGGTGGCAAGGGCCAGGTGTCCATGCGAGTTGCTCGCCAGTACCCGAATTTGTCGTTTATCGTCCAGGACCATGTTGTGAAAAGACCAGAAACGGCTGCAGCGGACGACCAAGAGGCTATATCACGAATTCAGTGGCAGCAGCATGACTTTTTCAACGAGCAGCCCGTGAAAGGGGCAGACGTCTATCTGATGAAAGCGGTCATTATGGATCAATCGATACCGTAAGCATCACGCACTTTGGAGAATCCCGGCCATAATCAAACTGACAGTAACAGTAACTCCCGGAGGTTGATCCAGAATATTGCAGATGCCATGGAACCGAACAAGTCAGTCCTTCTGATTGACGACGCCCTGGATCCAGGCTCCGACGGACAGCTTTCTGCCGCGGGGAATTTCATGAACACCCAGATGTTGACCTGCTTTGGCGCTCGCTGGAAGCTTATGGAGGAATGGGAGAGCATTATATACGGGGCTTGTAGTCGACTTGAGATTGTTGACCGTCGAACAGTGTCAAACGAGGCCGGCTGCAGGGCATTTTTCCGGCTCAACAAACGCAGCTAGTGTTCTATTATATCTTTCTGCTCGGTGTCTGTGAGTCGGCCGGTGATATACAGCAAGGTGAAATGAGATAGTCTAGGAGAATAAGCAGTACGAACAATCTCACTTGGATCATGTTATAATCGGGGGCACGAGATACTCTCCGTGGCTATATTGGCTCGCTTAGTACGTGGTATGATTGTATAATTACGAAAACCCACAAAAGGCCTAGCATAAAGTCATGTATAGGTATTAGCATGATACTAAACCTATCATCCGGTCATGTGTCTAAAGACTGGAAAGCTGGCGATATTATCAGAACTTGGGATGTAGAGTTACTATGAAGAAAGGAATGTTCCAAGGGCTACTTCTGATATACAGGCCTGACTATTAAACATCATGTAACTGACAGTTCATTCCAGTGAATTCATTGCCTCTACAGGTAGTCTTATATCAGGAATCTGCCAATATACATCCTTCGCTCTCCAGATAGTAAGTCATGCCGGAATTTCGAAGATTATTTGGGTGATGCTTCTAATTTACAGTGCCATCAGCGCTGAAAATCAAACTCCAATAGTGCACCAGGCAGCAAAAGTGGATATAACAGAAGGGTTTCAGAAATACCTCCAGGCGGGTTGCAGGGTCTCTACCTCATAGGTCCCGCTGCTTCATTTAACAGCTACTTGGGGCTGAGGTCGAGACTGGGCTCGCGGAGGAGCTTGTTACGCACCACCGCCGGTAACGCCATCGAGAGGGTTCGAACCGAGAACTGGGTTGAGGCCCGGGGAGTCGGTGTCTGGTTGAGCGTTCACAGTACCAGTGAAAAAAGCCAGAGCACAGGCTTGAATGATGAATTTGAGCTGCATACTGGGTTTCACGGATGGATGTGCAAAGATCAATGTACAGGTAAGACAGAGTTTGTTGATACCAAATCGGAGTGGTGTGAGGAAAATAGAGAAGCTGGTTATTCTGTTTGGCTTGAGGGGGCAACAGGGGGGTATATATCTTCCCACAACCCCAGTTACAATCAGTTGACCTCTCAGCAGGCAACTCAGATTTTCCCCCTTGATTTTGAGTTCGATGATATTCACGGCCTGTGAAACGAATGTAAACTATTCAAATCAAGTCTGACTCGTAGCGTAGGGATCTGCACAGGGTTACACAGATTATCAACAACTCTCCCCCACCAAAGGGCGCTAAGAGCATTAATAGATAAAAACAAGCAACTAGATTCCCTGTATAGAACCGCGTGATCTGATACGGCAGATCAGATGGCTCATATCAAGAACTCCAATACCCATGCCACACATGTGTCTATACCATTTCGAGCATGGGTCTCGCTTTTCCCGTGCTTTCAACCGAATCGTGAATGGCCTGTACGACCGATTCCCGGCTTGATCCCGTTGCTGACGAACAATTATGGATGTTGATTCTTGGATATGTACCCAAGACCGGATCCGTCTGACAGAGGCACATCAAACGCCGGAATGCAGCTCTAAGAGTACCATCTGGTACAGTTAACGCGAGCCCCCACCATACACTTTGCCAGCTACGCCTCTGGAGCCGGGGATTCTCAAGAGACATGTCTCTTTCGGGACGCTTGGGCCAGATGCCATTGGAATCTGTTACATCCAATCCAGCAGGGATGGCTCAAGAATTTGAAAATGGCAGCTGAAGGAATTATGGTGGATGCTGGCAGACAATGGCATATTCCAGCTTCGAAAGTCCAGCCTTTGCCTTCCGAGTGATTCGCTTGAAACGCTCTTTGGAAATTCGAAATTGAATCAATGCCAGCAACGCTATATACAGGAAAAGTTGCATTACCCTGGACAGCCATGCACCGGCGGGTATAAAGTGGAAGTAGAAAGTGATGTAAAATACAGAATCATGCCAGGGCGCTTTTCTTTGCCGATGCCGTAAATAATGATATAATTAGCCCGACCTGCCCATTAATACCGAGTCGGACTCGCAGGCAACTCGTGAGGTGTCGTGTTGGGAGGTAGCTCATGGGCCATTGTTGTCGGAGGCAGCTCATGAGCCATTGCATTGGGATTACCCTGTAGCTCTGCCCTGATAGCGTTATCGCCAAGCTCCGACCCATATAATCCGTTCTTTTCTTTCGATGTCGTGCTAAAATCCGAACTCATGAGAGGAGCGGTTTCCGCCTGTTGTCGCCGTCGACGCAACAAGAACCAAACCAGTGCAATGATGAGTGCCAGGCCAGCACACCCGCCGACGACGCCGCCCGCAATGGCGCCCGTGTTTGTAGAGGATTCGGATGCTGCGTAGGATCCTGATTGGGGTCGTGCTTCGGTTCCTGAATTTCTGGCGCCGGGCGAGCCTGGTACCGAGGTTGCGGTCGCATTGCCTACCCAGGGACATCGCAGTCAGCTCTTCATTCTCGTAGCCGAAGAGCAGGGTATATCTTTGCGTTCGATCTCACCTCTCGCGACGGGAACCAAGGCTTCATCGTCTTTGCCGGCCGGAAGCCCGTCAGCGCAGCCAATGCCCGTAGTACTCGACCCATTGTACTCCAGGCCCCCGGCGAGGAAGCCCCGCGTCGTGTTCAAACAGCAGAAGTAACTGTCCTCGGACTGGTACAGGTCCCAGGTCTTGTTGTTTGCGCAGTGCAGGTCTTCCTTGAGAAAGTCCACGCACCCTGACTCAGTCGGACAGCAGGTGTTATTGTCTCCGCAGTATGTGCCCCCGGGGCAGCAGTTATACCAGTCACCCCAGGGATTACCACACGTTTCCTGGTTTGCAGAGCACGACCCGTTTTTCCTAAGTGCATAGCCAGCAGGCGGGCCGTAGCTGCTGTCACCCATGGTTTCTAAGAGGCGCGAGGCGCTGGTCGTGGCATATAGGTCTGGCGGTCGTCAGGTGTCGGTGTGGTGAAGAAAGATGCGGAAAAAGAGGCTGGACAGCTGGACAGGTACACAAGGCAGAGACAGCGGCCAAAGGGGGCTGAGCACCACCCGAGGGATCGACTGCTGTTGCATGAAACAAATACGAGGTCAGCCCCGTCAACGACTCAAATCATCCCATCAAGATGACGGTGGAGAGCCAGCTGCGACGGGCAAGGCTGAGTGGCTGTAAAGAGCCCCCTCTCGCATTGGCATTAACCCAATGACAATCCACAGCTCGCATGAATTGAGGCGCATCCACAGGGACTTCGGTTGGGCAGCGCCGACAAGGTCGTTGTTTGGCTGTTTGCCGCACAGCCCCAGGGGCCAGGTGGATATCACCACGAAGGGGCTGAGAGTCTTGGTAAGAAAGATCTAACTTACTTTCCCTATTTCCTACAACATGTCAGGAGATCGCCTTTGCTGTCTCTTTCCAGCTAAAATTAACGTGACATTCGAGTAGGTCGTAATCGACACGCAAGGCTTTTATTTATATTCATCAACTCGCTCGCCTGCCCAGTCCATACTCTACATGTCTAGATGCAGTAGATATAGACCACCGCTAACAGAATCCCACGTTGGCTGGTCTTTCGTTGATAAGCGCCTCTGCTGTCGCATAGTCATGTCCGAATATCAGGCGAGCTGAGAACAACCTCTGCAGTCGGCGGATGAACTTCCCACTGTCCTTCCATTTCCGATAGTCTCTCAAAAGCCAGCCATGGGCGTGATCTAGCTCATAGTTTTCTCGGACATGGTACTGGTCGGTAGTCCAGATAAATGTCCCGTCCTGAGAAAGGTTAACCTGCATAATACAGAGTCCCGGTGTATGTCCTGGACAGTGATAGAGGGTAATCCCGGTGCACAGATCCAGCTGTGTATCGTTGAACGTTTGCCAGTTCAAAGTGTTATCCAACTTGAGATAGTCAGATCTGTTCGAGTAAGCCTGGGCTACCTTGTTCTCGTGTGAACTACATACAGGTACAGTCCACCATCCGAGTTGGTTCCAGCAGCCCAGCAAGCGTGCTTGAATTCTTCCTCATGTACGTATATCGGCACTCCGGTGTTCTGAAAGTGCTCCAGCCCGCCGGCATGGTCTAGATGCAAATGGCCCATAACAACCGCCCTCACATCTTTGATATCGTACCCGGCGGCCTTAATGGCAGTTGGTAGGTGATGGCATTCTTCGTATCGAGTCCGCGGGAATAGGTCCACTGCGTCTGCGCTCCATTGCTAATAGATCCGTTGTTAGTGAACTGTATGGCAAAAGGTGTGCCAAGCGCGTCTACCCTCTGTACGTCCTCAGCACTTCCCGTCTCAAATAGTATCAACCCCAACTCCGGATGGTTTATAAGTCCGGCAATCAGCATCAAGTCTGTCCGCTTGTGTGTGGGATTTGGATTGCTCGTCGAACTTCCATTCGCTCCGAGGAGAATCCTGTAGTGAGTTAACAGTGATATGGTACAAAAGAGTGGTACTCATACCATGCATCGTCCACGTTCAATGTGCCCAGGTTGAGGATATGCATTCTAGTCCCTGGCGGACAGGTGTATATAGGGAAACATGGTGCTGCCTGACGCTGGAGTGGTGCAGCCATGGTTGGAATGGCATTATTATTAGGGAGCAGATACAAAGCACCGCCAGTCGATATTTATCGGTCTCGATTTCACATTCACCAGTATTTTCTACAAAAGCAAGTTCCACGTCATCGGCCGATGTACCGGAATTACTCCAACATAAGCACCGAGGCTGGACAAGTCTACTTGATGTCCAGCCGAATCGCCCTGACACGGAGGGCATGATTCATGCCACAGTGGGTCTATCACCAAGCTCTCTCCACGCAGGCCTGCTCCACCGCTGGATGATCAGTTAATGGAAAGCTGGTTGAGTTACTGGCGGCTGGGATTCTGGGGTTTGGAGCTGCCCCGGACCCCAGATTTCCCCAGACTCCCCTTATCCCCTACTGTGCAACACATAACATCCTGACGATGGAATCAACAAGCAACAGGAAGCTCATCCGCCCGGGCAAGCATGTCACTCGGGCTTGCACTGGATGCCGCCAGCGCAAGACCAAGTGTGACGGTGCTCGGCCGCAATGCGCCAACTGCCGCATTCACAATCAGCAGTGTGTGATGCCGCAGGGCGTCGACAAGCGAACAGTCCCCTCGAAGGAGCGATATTCACGTCTTGAGCAGTATACCCAGTCCCTGGAATCGGTACTTTTGAGCAACGGCATCACACTACCGCCACGGATGGACATTTCTGCTTTGACTCCAGATTCGGGCGCTCTCAATCCCAATCCCGTGGTTCAGACTCCGGCCTCTCGAGATGACAGCTCCTGGGGTAGCATCTGTGACCCGCCCATCGAGGGATCTGACTCTGCCATTCCATCGCTCCTTCAAGATATGGAGAGCCCGGTTGATTTGCTGAGTGAACGATTTGGGTCACTGCAGCTGGCGGACGACGGCCAGGTTCGGTTCTTCGGCGCGACCTCCAACCTGCACATCCAGCACGTGGGATCCTTTTCGTTGGCAGACCCGAAGATCCGCTCGGTATACGGTAGTGAAGGGGATATCCTCCGACATGCTGGGGTTGGTGAGGCCGTGCCAGAGCAGCTGGAGGACCACCTCTTGCGTTTGTACTTTTGCTGGGAGAACCCGAATATCCCAGTCGTGGAACAAGACGTCTTTTACGCGCAGCGGGCAATGTACCGTGCAACTGGCCGACCATCCCATCTCTACTCCGAACTTTTGGCTAACACAATGTAAGAACCCGCCTGCCTACGACTTCGATGCCACAGGGTGCTGGTATTAACCGCTTGCAGGTGCGCAGTTGGAGCAGCTCTTACACGCCGACGGCCCTGTGGCCTCCCTGAATCCTTGGCCGAATTCTTTAGTACTCGAGCAAAGGCCCTTCTCGAAGTCGAGATGGACGCACCTAGCTTGTGCACAGTGCAGGCGCTGGTCATACTGAGCGGAGTCGAGGCATTGCTGACGAGGGATGCCCGAGGATGGCTCTATAGCGGTATTTAGGAGATATCCCTACAGATACAGCGACTAACAGAACTCCGTTTACTTTTCCAGGCATGGCGATGAGACTCGCAACAGACCTCGGGTTACACCTGGAGCCCTTGCAGTCTGCTCACGGAGAGGGTAGCAGTGCAAGCGAGATGAGGATTCGGAGGGTCGTCTTCTGGGGCGCATACATACATGATCGGTAGGCAATCCTGGTCTCGATACCATCTTGCTGGCAATTGCTGACCACTAGATACAGCATGTGGAGTTTCTATGTCGGCCGCCCCGAATCACTCGACGAGAAGCATATATTTGTCGAACCCTTGAAAGCATCTGATATCGTACAGGGTGCTACCTGCTGGCAGCGGTATATCGATGAAGATCATGATCTAGATCCAATATCATTGCCTGGACTGTTTGGGGAAGTCGCCCAGTACACAGTGTCATTGTGCCGCAGAATGTCGCATATCCGCCGAGCCTTGTGAGTACAGCAACACCGGGTCCCAACAAGACTTAAACAGCTAACTCCGGGCTCAAGATACAATTCTCTCCATCCGGGTAAAGCAGAGATTATGTCCTTGCACAGCACCGCCCGCGAGCTCAGGGCCAACTTGCTCTCTTGGGCAGAGACCCTCCCTCCGTCGCTCTCCCTACGAGACGACAAGGAACAACCTCTGCCACCCCATGTGTTACAGCTCCAGTGCGTATATCTCCTCTTTGCACGCGATTGGCAACTTACGCCCCCCATTAGCATGCAGTATCACGCTATCCTAGTCGTAATCGACAGGCCATTCACCTACGGGCGATATCAAGGACTGCCCGGACTGACTGCAGCAGATATCGAAGAATGCCACAAGGCATGTACAGACGCCGCCATATCAATTACCAAAACACTACAGGTCTTTCGTCATCGCCACGGAGCGCGGCAAATGAACATCCACACCGTTCATTTAATCTTCACCGCCGCGTTGGTACACATCCACAACGTCTTCTTTGCCCCAGCCGAGGATACACGTACAGCAGCACGTAGCCATTTTCGCATTAGTTGTCAGGTACTATTGGAAATTGGGCAGGCGTACAAGAATGCTCTCCGGGCACTAGAGATCGTTACATCTATCAAGTCGAAACTGGAAACAGCCCAGCGCCCGCGGCCTGGAAGTGACGGTGAATACAATGGTGGGCTGAACAAACGGGCGCGATTGGATGCGCACGGCTTACCGACACCAAGTGTAAGCGCTGGATCGGGTGCTGGAACAGAGCCTCTGGTAGCCCCGGCGATGGAGGGGCTTGACATGCTGGAGGAATGTTTAGACATACCGTCTTCTACAACGTTCCTGGCCACGGACAGCGGGTTCCCTGAGAGTTGGGGGTGGGTATCACCGCCTGGCTCGTTTTTCACGGGTAGTGAGTAGGAGAATTTAAATAGCAAGACTTTAGTATTGGATCTGGCTGCAGCGTAAAATCAAACTGTCACCGCTAGACGACCGCTCCTAAGCATGCACAGCTGGTGGTTATCCTGCTACCTCATATATTCTAGTCCTCACTCACTAGTGACAGTGAAAGCCGGCAGGAATCCGTACTCTTTAGGAATATTGCAATGATCTACTGGACAGTAGCGACAAAAGGGATTTGTCCCCCAGGGGATCACAGATGCTCGATCTTGTCAGGCCGTCTCCAAATGCGCACGGTTCTTCTGTCATGACTATTCAAGCACTGACTCATGCTGCCGTTCCTGATATCAATTGTCCAATTCCTAGATAGGTCTGCGCCGCATATTTATAAAGCTAGCTTTCTCTAACCCCGGAAGAGGGGGCTACACAGCCGCCCCGGTACTGCTCACAATGCCTGCCACCAGAATTAACCACAATTTCAAACATAAGGAGCTGAGTTACGATGCTACTCCCAACTATCAGCCCGCCATCAAGGTGTCAGTCTTCTTTAAAAAGCTAGAGGGTGTCACCTTTGAGACATTTTTCGAGCACTGGCAAACCGTTCATGCAGACCTTGCCATCGCCACGCAGGCCTTTCAGAACCACATCCTGCGCTATGCCCAGGTGAGATAACGAACAGGATAAGTCTAACTGTGGTTAACGCATATATAGCACCACCAAACCCCGGAAATGAAAGAGCGGGCACGCAGCCTTGGAGAGGGTGTTCTTGAATACGACGGATGTGCTCAACTGTGGGTGCGGACTTGGGACGACTGGTTGGCGTTTTATAACAGCAAAGAGTACGCGGCGGCATTGAGTGACGACTGTAACCTTTTTATGCAGCTGCCGATGACTTATATGATTGGATATGAGAACCTGGTAGTTGGGGATGCCTCCAGGGTTATTGGGGGGCAGGATGGGCTGAGCACGGGGAAGTGACTGGGCAGATGTACACAAGTCGAGGGCATGAGTCAGTCTATACTGTTGTCCCCTATATAAGATGCAGTTAGCCTACATTGGCTCCAATAAATATAATTCCAATCCAGAATTCCACCTCAGGTTCAAGGATAGCCCGCCAACCATGTCTAACACCTCAGTTTCCGCCCCTCGTCCCCTTGTGTGGCTTATCACAGGCTGCACTTCTGGGTTCGGCCAGTTGTTTGTCTCTGCGATTCTTGCACGGGGAGATAAGGTCATAGCCACAGCACGAAATACATCTTCCCTCGAGGAGTACGCGAATAGCCAGAACATACGACTCCTCCAGCTCGACGTGACAGATCCCCAGGATGCTTTAGACAGCAAAGCAGCCGCAGCTACGGAGTATTTCGGTAAAATTGACGTTCTCGTTAACAATGCAGGATACGTCTTATCAGGAGTCTGGGAAGAGGTCAGCCACGAGGAACTGCTTCACCAGTTTCGCACCAACTTCTTCGGGCACATCAATGTTACCCGGGCATTCCTGCCTCATATGCGTTTGCGGCAGTCGGGAACAATTGTATTTATGAGTAGCATCGCAGGCTGGCTGGGCGTTGCGGCAGGGGGCCCTTATTCTGCTTCAAAGTTTGCACTGGAAGGTATGGTCTTATAGTATACTCACGCCCCTATTGCTAACGCCTCCGTATACAGGAGCGGTAGAAAGCCTTGAAAAGGAGATTCTGCCTTTTGGAATAAACGTCCACCTCATAGAGCTCGGCCAGTTCCGTACGAATATCCTGGATGGTGGTCGTCGGAGGATTGCGCGTCAAAGCCCCGCCATAGATGATTACAATCCTGCAGTAAAGGTACTTGCAGATAGACATGCTGAGACAAATGGTAAACAACCTGGTGATCCCACCCAGGCTGTCGAGCGGATACTGGATGTTGTGAGAGGTGAAGGGTCGATGGCGGGCGTTGAGAGCATTCCCCTTCGAGTCGTTTTGGGATCAGATGCTCAGAGCATTATTCGCAATAAGTGTTTGGAAATGCTGGGACAACTAGATAGATTTTCTGAATTCTCGCGCAGCACAGACTTCCCAGACGCAGCGGAGGTCAAAGACTACAAGTAAAACAAGGCTCGTGGACATAATCAATGAATTTATCTACATTTTCTGTATTTTCTAGCTGCACACTATTTGAACAGTATACCCAGACGCCCGGCCGTCTTTCCTGTGGACATCAAATCGATCATAGTGTGGATATCATCCAGGCTGTCAAACGTAGTCAAATGGGACTTTATACCATGTTTGTGGCTGAATTCAATGGGCTCCCTCATACGCTGGGGGATGCCACTGCTCACCCCCTGGATCCGGTACTTCCCCAATAGGATATCGAGGGCATTGATAGAGAGATTGGACTTCGGGATCCCGACCACCATCATGAGCCCATTTATCCTAAATACCCTGTTAGCACCTTGCCGACAGGGGCTACCCATTCATGCAGTGGCTCACCTTAAAACGCTGGGAGCCGTGGTGTATGCGGCGTTCGATGCACTGAAGACAGTCGCCGCATGTGCTCCCCCATTTGTCAGGACGGTGAGTTTCTCTATATAGTCGCTGTCGCTGTGAGAATTGTATGTGATATCGGCGCCTAGCTCTCGCGCCGATTCCAGCTGGGCGTCTGATATATCAATGCCGATCACCTTGAGACCCATGGATTTGGCATATTGAATTGCTAGATAGTTGTCAGATCACTGGAACCGTCAATTGAAAACCCCAGTTTACCTAAATGCCCTAGCCCACCGCAACCGATTACCGCCAGCCATTGGCCAGGTTTAAGATCACACTGTTTGACGGCGTGGTATGCTGATGGACGTCAGTTGCCTTACACTACAAGAGGTGAGGCTGAATGGTGCCTACCTGTAATCCCGGCGCAGAATAGAGGTGCTGTCGCAGCCATGTCAATGTCCTCCGGCAGCACCATGGCGTTACGATAGTCCGCGACGGAGTACTCGGCAAAATGGCCGTGGGTTGTGAATCCGTGAAGACGGCCCGTACCCTCTTGGCAGAAGAGATTGTGCGTGTTGCAGCCTTCGCAGTCGTCTGGTTACACTCAACTAGTTGGCGTTACTGACCTCGCAGCAGGAGTCGATCAACATACAGCAGGCATAGCTGCATCCCAAGCAGCCGACTTTGTCGCCGACCTTGAATCCGGTCACCTTGCTTCCCATTGCCGTAACAATGCCGGTATTTTCATGGCCAAGAGTCACCTTGTCCATCGGTGGCTTCTCCGCAGTGTGCCCCCAGAATAGCATCTACATGCGTTAGCATTTTGTCACTTCGAGCAGCTAAAGGAAGGGAATGAGTACCAGATCGGAATGGCAGAGAGAGGCACAGACATTCTTAATTAAGATGTCGCGCTCCCCTATCTCTGGGATAGGGATGTCATTTACTTCTACCTTGTTCGTTGTCTTGTTCCGTTAGCAACACGCGATGGCCCTTCTATGGGTGTACATACCGTGTTGTATTGGGCCGCGCGCATCGTAACCGCCATTTTATCAGAGGGTGCAAAGATGTTTTCTTTGATCTGAGAAGAGTCCTGAAGTATAAGTATCTTGGATCTACCCGAGTGGAGTTATTGTCCAGGCATGCCATGAATCCATGCTAACTTCCGTGCCGCCATGCCCTGACTCAGATGCTCTGCACGGCGGTCATGACTCGTGTCATTTTGAATTGGCGTGGTAATACATCCAGTTGCCGACATGTACCGCAACTAAGTCAATCATGCTGTCGCTTGGTAATCACGGCTTACCGACCAGCTCGTAAGGGAATTCCATAGTGGTGCTAAAGCGACTTAAAGACATAGAACCCCCGTAGTGCAAATCATCTATTTCCGTCTTCAATTTACCTCTATCTACCCTTGTCTTGGTCTTCGCCCTATCATGGAGTTTCCCACACTCGCATCCCCTCTCAGGATTGGGGGACTCGATGTTAAACATCGCGTAGTCATGGCGCCTCTAACTCGCTGCCGCGCGGATGATGAACATGTCCCTCTACCTATCTCCCTTGAGTATTACGCGCAACGGGCAAGTGTCCCGGGCACCCTGCTCGTGAGCGAAGGCACCTTCATTTCCGCCCGGGCGGGTGGCATGAACAACGTCCCTGGAATCTGGAATGAGGCCCAAATTCGGGGCTGGAAAACAATTACCGACGCGGTGCATGCTCGAGGCAGCTACATATTCTGTCAACTCTGGGCATTGGGACGCGCCGCGATCCCAGAGATTCTTGCCAAAGACGGCAAAGACGTTATTTCGAGTGGGGATATTGCATTGATGCAGACGAGTGCCACTCCTCGTCCGCTTTCCAAGGAGGAAATCTGGGAATGGATTGGTGACTATGCAACAGCGGCTAGGAATGCGATTGCAGCCGGGTTCGACGGGGTTGAGATTCACGGCGCGAATGGCTATTTGTGTGATCAATTCCTGCAGGATACCTGCAATAACCGAGTCGATCGGTGGGGTGGGAGTGTTGAGAACCGGTCGCGATTCGGACTGGAGGTGGCCAAAGCCGTCTCGGCCGCGGTGGGATCGCATCGAACGGGTTATCGGATCAGTCCCTGGAGCACCTTCCAGGGAATGCGCATGCAGAACCTACAATCACAATTCACCCACCTGGTAGAAAACCTCCGCTTGCTGGACCTCGCCTACCTGCACGTGGTTGAGCCGCGCATATCGGGCGCTTCGACCGTCGAGGCAGAGGAAGAAGACCACACCTTCCTGCTGCAGGCCTATGGCTGCGACCGTGTGGTGATTCTTGCCGGGGGGTTCACTGCGGACTCTGCGGAACGGACAATCCAAGACTATCAGCATTCCCAGATCGCCATCGCGTTTGGCCGTCACTTCCTCTCTAACCCGGATCTCCCCTTCCGCCTCACCAAGGGCATAGAATTGAACCAGTACGACCGGCCCACCTTTTATACGCCTAAATCCCCAGTGGGATATGTCGATTATCCGTTCAGTGAATCATTCCTCAGTAGCACAGGTGTAGCTCTCAATTAAACGCGCCCTTGCTTTTTCGCTTTTCGGTACCTCAGTCTTTGCCGTAGATGGCCGGTATCATCTCCGGCAAGTAGTCTTGGAAAGGGGCCAGCACCGTCCAGTTTGAGAGTTTCCGGACGTGCTTTTCGAAGATTTGATTTAGTTGCACATTATCAGCGTGGGTGGAAACTGCATCCATGTCATCGTATGGCCAGTTAACAGTGACGTTCTGTGAGTACAGCTCAGAGAAGACAGCGAACGGATATTTATCAGGCTGCTCTATGAGCAGGTCGCGAACACGGGGCCTTCTATATTGTTAGATCACGGTGTCCTTGGTATATGGGTCATTTAGCGGCGTCACATACCAGGGAATATTGTCAATCCAGGCGGGGTGTGGAACGGTGATCTGGGTTGCAGTTGGCCGTAGCCAACGAGGCATCCCTTCGTAGTTGATATCTGTAGGTGATATTTGCCACTGTCCAAGGTAAGCTTGCATCAAGACAAATGGGGGGGGTGGACGTACTCGCATGGTGCGATACATTATGAACATAAAGCCTAGCTTCTGCGGAATCCCAACATGGGGGAACGTGGTGAGTACTTCTCCCAACACCCTGCTTGCAGGATGAGATTCTGGAGTATAGGGTCCCGGATGTAGGATGGCTTGTAAGGAGGGCTGCAACGGACCCAAGACGGTCTCGATATCATACCCCTTGGCTAGCATGGAGCGCCGTGAGTCGATGAAATCGAGCAGGATCTGATCCAATGGACATGTCGCGGATGTGTGCTTTGGTAAGACAGAGGAAATGGTCGCGCCAAATTGTGGTTGGTAGAGCGTTAAGTTGAGCGATGGCCAAACCGGTCTGATGGTACTGTTAGGCGGGGTCATTATAGGCTGTGGCAGGCTTTGAGAGACCTGCTGCATATGCTCGTCTGCAGACAACTTTAGTTTCCATCCTAACTTAGACCTAGCCCGAACACTAGATTCCTTACCTGGCGGTGGGATCGGATCTGAATGTTGCGTGCCTCCACTCTGGCCCAACGCTGTCGACGTCCCAGTAGACGAGACATGCATTTGACCCAGGGGCATGCTTGTAGAGCCCGCGAATGTTGTTGTCACATCTTGTGCCGGGTCAGGATGCGTGTAATCATGGGTATCAATCGCCCTAGCTGCTTCGCCTGACGCCTCCTGTTGGGTCCCATCGTAGACCGGTCTGGGCTCTTCGTCGGCTGCAGAGAAGAGGGTCAGCAAGACGGCCTATGAGGGCCAAGGATCATGGGCATCATACTCCGTGCAGGGGCCTCCTCGCTAATCCTAAGATCCGCGATCGGGCTTTCAGCTTCATCGACTGCCGCGCCATTATCGTCGTCATCACCATTGCCCCCCTCGGCCGCCCAATTGAGCGCGAATTGACCAATACTGTCGAGATATGACCTCAATTTCCGGTTCTCGTCGCGTAATGATTGGACCGACTTCATCAAGTTGCGCTCACGGACCGAGCAATCGGCCTTTGCACGAGCCAGGTCATCTTCTAGATCCTGAAGCCGGGACTTGACCCGCTGGCGGAGAGCGCGCTGGGTCTTGCGATCGAGATCGCGCTTATGCTGCGCCTGGTGCGCAGTCAGGGCCGAGACCTGCCTGTTCCGCCGGGAGCGAGTAATGGGAGTGCTGGAAGTCGGATTGGGCATGATTCAGGAACAAACGGTGATAAGTGATGCGAGGGGTTGAGAGTTGAGGTGGGGAGATGGTGTTGGTATGAGTTGGTGTTGAATGCCTGAGTCAGTAACACCTGAGTCATGACAGGGTGTGCACACATAACTTGTGTCCATGACTCATGCATTCTGGTGCATAATTATATACTCCATTGTCCAGTCCCAATTCCTATACTTTCTTGCAGAGAGCAACAAGCGATGCTAAACGAATATTGAATTATCGAAATATGGATTTGGAACGGCATCTGACCCAGCTCTTTATCAACAATACTGTGAGTCCTTCCTGGATCGAAGAATCAGCAGCCGATATATATAGTAACACAGCTCGGGTTAGTATGTGGACTGTCTAAACAAAAAGACGTAAGCTCCTGTTTCTAATTTCTATTTTATTATCGTCATAACCCGAATATAACAGCATCACGGTCCATAGCCCTGCTACCGGCGATCTTGTCAGTGACAAGATCCCTGTTGCGGGGGCAGACGATGTCGAGGCCGCCGTTCGTGCTGCCAACGACGCGTTCGCCCCAGATGCTGAGTGGCGCCGCATGTCCTTTCCTGACCGTCAGAAAATCCTCCTCCGTTTTGCCGACCTCCTGGAGGAGAACCAGGAAAGCCTGGCATATCTGACGCGGTTGACGCTCGGGGCCCCCTTCCTGCCATTTGGAAAGTCGGAGATTGGAACCGCCATTGGATGTTTTCGCTGTAAGTCAAGAGGTATGAACATGTTGCCTGATTCTTACCAGTCGTAAACAGACTACGCAGGATGGATCGATAAGTTCGGAGGACAATCATTCCCTGCCGATGATGGCTTCTACAAGATTGTCCGGAACGAGCCTCTTGGTGTCGTCGCTGGGTATGTGTGCTGGTTTCAGCATTCCACTAATGAAAGGAAGTAAAGACTGACCATGAGCACAGAATAATCCCGTGGAATGGACCTTTAGCTTCAGTTGGCCTTAAAGCGGCCCCAGCTTTAGCTGCAGGGAATGTCTTCATTCTCAAGCCCAGCGAAAAGACCCCCTTGATGGCAGCCGCACTAGGTAAGTTGGTGCTGGAGGCTGGTTTCCCCCCAGGCGTGTTTCAAGTACTGCTCGGCGATGGGAGCACAGGTGCACTCCTCGCAAGCCACATGGAGGTGGCCAAAGTGAGCTTCACCGGTAGCGTGGCCACGGGAAAAGCGGTGCAGGTTTTGGCTGCAAAGAGCAATCTTAAACGCTGTACCTTGGAGCTCGGTGGTAAGAGTCCAGCAGTCGTTTTTGACGATGCCGATCTCCCCAATGCCATTGAATGGTAAGTCACCAGAGGTTTGTTGAACGTACGCATTTGCTAAAGTCTCAGGTGCGTAAATGGCCTGACGAACAACTCCGGTCAGATCTGCTTTGCGGCGTCGCGCGTATACGTCCAAGAGGGTATTTATGACAGGTTCCTAGCTGCGTATCAGAAGGCCTTCGAGGCTAAACGTACAGTGACCGGGGATCCTAACGTTGCAGGGTCGGAGATCGGTCCTGTTGTTGACAAAGCCCAGTATGACCGTATATTGGGGATAGTTGATAATGCCAAAGAGGAAGGCCAGGGAACACTCCTAGTAGGAGGAAAGCCACTCTTCTCTAAGGTCGGCTATGCACCCTCGTCTGAAACGTTGGAAGATATATGCTAACGGATGTAGGGCTATTATGTTGAACCAGCCATTTTTACCGACACCAAGCCGGATGCGCCCATCTATAAAGAAGAGATATTTGGTCCTGTCGTGGTAATCAACAAATTCAAAACAGAAGAAGAAGTGCTTTCCCGGTCTAACGACAGCAAGTATGGACTGATGGCGGGCGTATTCACCCAGGATATCAATCGCGCGCTCCGTGTAAGCTCTGGGTTTGACTCCGGGGTGGTTGGAATCAACTGCATCAGTACAATCAATTTCTCGTGCCCGTTTGGGGGTACAAAGCAAAGCGGCTTGGGGCGGGAACTGGGGGTAAATGCCTTGCTGGCATATACTGAGCCCAAGACGGTGTTGATAAACATGAAGTACTAGTTAGGCTACAACTACAATACACTTGCAGTTTTAACTGTTGCACAACCAAACCATAGATGAATTGAAGAAGCCGGTAACAGGATATCATGAAAATACTTTCAGGCCAGTAACAAAAAACCATAGAGCTACTGCAAGGGACCGTCAAGTGGCCAACTCTGGGTCACTCGTCGCACTTGCCGTAGAACACGAACGGCAAGGCCTGAGTCATGGCCGATCAAGACACGCTGCGTATCTGACGAGGCAATGGAATCCTGTCCAGTTCGGCCCTCGGGTATAACCAGAGAAAGTTTCCTTGGACAGTACTCCCCGCACCCCACAATGGCTCGTTACTAGCCTGGAATTCCTTAAAAGGGATGACAATGCATCAGAAAATGACAGTCAATAGCACATCGAAGTATCAAAATGGCACCTCAGACTCTACGCATTGCATCGGCTTCGGGATCCGTTACAGATCGGCGACATGCCCTTGCTGACCTGGCCAAAGATGAAGACGTGCACTTCATTGTCGGTGACTGGATGTCTGAATACAACATGACAACCAGGGGTGGAGGAAAGGCGAAGGGCAGGGCCACATCATCATCTGAATTCGAGACATCCTTCATGGAGGCCATTGAGCCTGCATTGGGTGATATCGCAGAGCGCAAGATCAGAGTGGCCGTCAACGCAGGCGCGAGTGACACTAAGAAACTACACGATACCCTGACTGGGGTAATCCGGGCTAAAGGTCTGGATTTGAAGGTGGCGTGGATTGAAGGCGACGAAGTATCTGGCCTTTTTGAGCAGTCCGTCAAGTCAGGCAATGAGTTCAAGAACCTTACTACCGGTACAGTGAACCACTATGCGAGTATATCCCGGTGCTAACACGTAGACTGCAACAGGCCAAACCATATCCAACTGGGAGTTCACCCCCATCTATGCGCAAGCCTATCTCGGAGCATGGGGGATTGCAGAAGCACTCCACCAAGGCGCTGACATTGTGCTCTGTGGACGAGTCACTGATGCCTCTCCCACAATTGGGTGTGCTGCATTTTACTACAACTGGAAACGAGACGACTACGACAAACTGGCTCACGCATTCGTTGCAGGTCACTTTATCGAATGCTCAACCTATGTGACTGGAGGGAACTTCTCAGGGTTCAAATCCCTACCCAGTTCCTCCGTGGACCTGGCGTTTCCCATCGTTGAGATAAGCAACGACGGCCCATTCGTGGTTACGATGGAGAAAGGGAAGGATGGAATGGTGACTACTGAGACCTGCAAGGCACAGCTACTCTACGAGATCCAGGGCCCGATGTACTACAACCCCGACGTCGTTGCTGTGCTAGATGATATCAAGATTGAGCACGAGGGATCAAATAGAGTGTATGGAGCCCAGTTCTAATTAAATGTCTAGGTGCTAACCAAAGACCTAGCCGCGTCTCAAATGTCAAGAGTATCAAGCCACCGCCGACAACGAAGATCGGTGTCACTGCACACGGCGGGTTCCAAGCAGAGGTCCACTACTTTCTCTGCGGCCTCGATATCGACGAGAAGGCTGCCCTGCTGGAGCGACAAGTCCGACACCTCCTAGACGAATCCCAGTATCACACGCTGAAATTCCGCGTCAACGGCTCCTGCCCTTCGGATCCTACAAACCAGGACGCAGCCACTGTGGACCTGCGCATCTTTGCACAGTCTCGCTCGGAGGAAGCACTTTCCCAGGCAAATTTCTTCCGTCCATGCACCGATACGATTATGCAGAGCTATCCAGGAGCGACATTCGCGGTGGACGCTCGTCAGGCTGCCCCGAAACCGTACTATGAATACTTTGTTTCTATCTTCCCACAGGATCAGATACGGCATATTTGCCATCTACCATTCAAAGAAACGAGTACGGTAATTGAACCACCAAAGGACACTGTCCCGTTCCAGTACGACCAGCCGTCATATGAAACGAAGACACCATACAGTCTCGATGTGTTTGGTCCAACGACACGGGCACCACTAGGCTACGTGGTACATGCCCGCTCGGGTGACAAGGGGTCGGACTGCAATGTTGGCCTCTTTGTCCGTAACCAGGATGAATGGGACTGGCTACGATCTCTACTTACGGTGGAAAAGGTCCGGCAGTTGCTCGGCCGTGATGATGAAGGTCAGGGCATCTTTCGCTTCGAGCTGCCACATATCTGGGGTGAGTAATGAACAACCGTTAAGCACTAAGACAAATGCTAATGTTTGAATAGCCGTGCACTTCCTACTTAAGGACCATTTGGATCGTGGAGTCTCTTCCAGCTCGACATATGATGTCTTGGGAAAGAATCTGGCTGAATATCTGCGCTGTAAATGGGTCGATATCCCTGACAAATTTCTGGCGCGGGGTAGGATCTAGATATTACCTTGATAGGGCTATCGCCTGAAAATTTGTAAATAGCCCTGTCCCTCGCTGATATAGTTATCATATATACACACCTTCGATCGCCTACACAATTTAAACTGAGGAGAGCCAAAGCATTGTTATTAGACTCAGACACAAACAGCCCATCTATAATGGAGCACAAGTAGCTTGACCACTAGGAAAGGATATTATATGACATTGCGGGTGCGGTATTGCTTGTCCAATAGCTCATGGGAGAAGACAGTGGGACTTGATTGAATAATGCTCGAGTGGAAGTATTACCGTGTCGAATGATGGAAAAGGTCCAAATTAGAAGCCGATGACAGATGGTTGTATCTTATTTTTGTTTTGATTCTATACCCATAACACCCATCCTATACGAAGTAACTACTATCCTTTGGTATATCTCAACCCTATACTTGTCGCCATGAACTAGACGTGCTCAACCTGACCATCCCTACCGTCGGCCTTTACTTCAAACTCAACTGATGAGCGGGAGGTGGCGGATTGTGTGCCTTGTGGTGCTCTGTTCTTGACAAATATATAGTCGATTTCCTCCAGTGTCTTTCCACTGGTCTGATGTATGGTTAGATTATGCTAGGATAAGCTCGAGGAAAGCAAAGCCATACCTCTGGCAGCAAAAAGTACACAAAGGGTATACTCAATGCGATCATAATGCAGAACAGAAGGTAGATCTTCCAGCCGGTATTCTCAATGGCGGCAGGGGTCATATAGGCAATCACCTTAATGGAACAACCAGGTTAGCTGGGTTCCCTTATGCACTTAATGGCAAGCAGAAACAGGTCGACTCACGAAAGTCCAAAGCCATTCCGAGAAACATCCTACGGCTGCTCCCACATGGCGAAGGTTCAACGGCGTGATCTCCGGTGCATAGAGCCAAGGGACACTATTCCAGGACATGCCAAACGAGAACTCGTATATGACCAACATAGCAAGTGCTAGGCGAGACCAGGCCGGAGTGGCGAGCGCAATTGCGACTGTGAATAGCACCATCGTGATACCCAGCATGGTTGATCCATACATGAGTACTTTGCGTCGACCCAGCCGGTCCATCAGAAGCATCGGTGGGAATGTGCCAGCCCAAAAGGCAATTTGAATGAAGCCAGCAACTAAGCTGCTCGTTTCCCGAGTTAAACCCACGTTTGCCTCGAGGACAATGGTGACTGTCGATAGTGTCAGCGGCTTCACGACCCTTAGTGTGTTGTCCATACCGTAGAATGCAATGACGTTGATGCCAGTGAATTGCTGGAACAGCTGGATAAGGAAGCAGAGTACCAGCCTCCTTCCGTTCTTCATGCTGGTGTTGTCGAAGAAGATGCTACGGAAGCTGAGACTGGAGTCATTTTGCTCAAGGGAGACGGCATGTCCCATTTCATTGATGATGGAAACCACATCAGCATGATCATCGGGTTTATCAAGGATACGCGAAAGCGATTGAACAGCCTCCTCTCTCCGTCCCTTGGAATATAGCCATCTGCACGTGTTAGCCTTATAAGCGGTTGGGCAACAAGGTGTGCCGTTACCTGGGTGACTCCGGGATCAAAGGCATTAATAAAATGGTGACTATGGCGAATACATCCTGGAATGCGAGTGGAAAGCGCCAGACAACCTTTAGAAATCCATTAGAATCTCGGACCTGGGATATCGGAAAGACAAGCTGACATCTCCTGTCTGGGTACGGATCATGCCGTAGTCGAGCCAGTAGGCAACAACAGTACCGAACTGAGTAAAGTTAGTAATAAGGAAGGATATAACGCATCGAACGGTATTCGTACAATAACAATCGACATCTGAATGGCCAGAGACCGTCCTCGGACAGTGCTCTTCGACGTCTCAGAGACATACACTGGCACGGTCGACGTGTTTAGCCCTACCAATCCTTGTCAGTGTCTTTACTGGTGCACACGCCATTTTGGAGCACCGATACCATTCCCGATGCCAGATATTATCCTCCCTGCGATGAGCTGACCAGCACCAAAGGTACTCGCCTGGATGATGCCACCAACAATCATGGTGAGACATCCATATATGATTGTCCGCTTGCGGCCGAGGCGATTGCCCCAGATTGCAGCTATCAAACATCCTCCAAGGCACCCAATGTTAAAGAGAGCAACAATGGTTCCGAGGAAGCCAGATGTGGGATTTCCAATTGCTGAGAGAAAGCTTGGTTGCGAGACAAGGCCGCCGAGGACACCCTATGAGACGGTTAGCAAGAATTTGGATTCCGGATGATAGACCAGTAACAACCTGATCGTAGCCGAACAATAGATATGCACTGCCAGAGCTTGTGGCTATGGCAAGCCTCAATGCCCTTCCCCTAAGATTCAACATTTTGGAGCACGAGGTCATAGGGAAATGGATGGGCGTTGATATGGAAACAAAGATGTGTTTTATAGGTTTAGACTCGGCTCCCTTGCTCCATATAGGAGATGCGGGGGCTAGCCACCCCGGAATTTGATATGAGTGGACTAAAGAAGATTCCCCGCGGGGCCCCAGCCATTTAAATCCGTGAGGAGATGTAGTGTCGATCTCGGCTGTTTGGACAATTTGGACAAAGCCGGCTAAACGTCAGGGAGAGAACATGACACAGGCATTTGCCAGCGCGGTTTCTAGAATACTGTCCTGAAATTATATCCAACTGCCTCCTATATCTTATAGAACTACATAACCCGTTCTGCGTGCTCAGCTTCTGGCCCTTCTTTGCAATCACCGCGCATCTCCTCATCCAGGGAACTACCGTGTGCGTCACCCCGTGCAAAGAGCAGGTCAATATCCTCCAAGGTCTTTCCGGTAGTCTCTGGACACAGAAAATAAACAAAAGGGACGGCTAGAGCACAAGACAAAAGACACCACAGCCACAACTTCCAACCCACGGTCTGCAGACCTATTCCTCCCGCAAAAACTGTGATAAAGCAGAAGAGCCATTCACCAAACGCAGCAGCCGCGCCTCCAACATGGCGAAACCGAAGCGGAGCAATCTACAAGAGTCAGCGTTGTCATAGCCTCCGATCGTGCAAGTGGCAAGAAAGATACCTCAGGCCCATACAGCCAGCAGACTCCAATCCAACCGTATCCGAATATGAAATTGTACAGAAATGCCGCAGCAACTGCAGTCCACTGCGTGGCCAAGCTTGGCCTGGAGTTTCCGATCATTGCCACAAATACAGTCATACAGATTGTCAAGCCCACCGCCGAGTAAATCATGATTCTGCGTCGTCCAAACTTTTCGATTGTTCCGGGAAGAAAGAGTGAGCCAAGGGCGAAGGTCGTGTTCATCACTGCCGCTAGGAGCTGGGACATGAAAGGTGACAATCCAACCTGGCCAAATATAATGGTGCTGTAATATACGGAGAGGTTGATTCCTTGATTTTGGGGGCCAGTCAGTAGGTAGCGTGCATCAGATGGACTCACAGAAGCAGCTTACCCATCATTTGCTGCATACTCAGCAACAGGAATGCAACCCGGATGCGATGGCCAACACGGAGCACCGTTCTATCCCAAAACAAATCCAATACGTTGAAAGTTTTTGCTTCCTCCTCAAATTCAATAGACGCAATGATAGAACGCCTCGTACTCTGGACCGCCTCATCCGTGACTGAGCAATTATGCAAGCGAGCCAGGACCATGTCTGCCTCTTCATAGCGGCCTCGAGCGTAGTACCACCGCGGCGTGTCGGGGAGAAGGAAAATGCCAATACCAGACACCAGGGCAAATGCGGCCTGGAGTCCGATGGGGAAGCGCTGAAGGTCTCAGTTAAGGAACTTGAACAGAATTTATACCACGGAAACTCACCCAGGAAACTTGATTATCCATTCTTGTGAAGCCAAAGTCCACCCAGTACGCCACCGCGCACCCACCGACGAGGAAGATGCACTGCAGGCCGACCTCAGGGCCGCGCTGTTTGGTAGTGATGCTCATTTCAGCCTGTGATGGGTTAGAGTGTCAGTGGATAGAAATCAATTTCACTCTTTTAACTTGCCATATATGTTGGGACCGCGCAGGATATGAGCTATTCAGTACTAGCAAACCAACTCCGGGCGTACGTGATTGCTAGGCTTACCCCGATGCCGAATCCCTAGTATGAGGAGTTAGCTCCTTGTTCAGAATTCAGGACAGTGGACATCATACACAAACCACGCGACCTGTAATCATCTGAGCAACAGACCATGCAGAAGCCTGCAGACTCCCCCCGATAATAACAAGGACATCTCCAAGAAGGATGCAGCCACGTCGCCCAAGCGGCATGCCCATCACGGAAGTGAGCAGGGAGCAGACAGTAGCCGCGAGGGTATAGCTAGAAGCAATCATGGGGATAATGTATGCTCCAGTAGGGTTCTCGATAACGCGTCAGTGTATGTGCGTTTCTATCGGACCCTTCATGGCCTACTCACCCCAAGAGCATCCCTAAATGGCTTTGTTTCTTGGACGCCACCTAGAACGCCGGCATCATATCCATACATGCCAAATGCCTGGCGGGTAGTTAGAAACTGGCAATACGAATTGCAGGATGGCCGATAATATACCAAACAACACGATAGGCTCATGAGCCGGTAGAGCAGCTTACCCCGGGCAAATTCTAGGGTTAACATTGCGAAATAGAGTAAGACTATTAACAGAAGCTAAGAGTCAGATAGCAAAAGAACAAATGCAGCCGTAGTTGGCCACGCGAATATGAAATATTATATACTTCAGGCAGGCATTGTTTCGACTAGCTAATGGGAGATCCCCCAGAATCTGCAACTAGGGCCAGTATGGGGAAATTGAGCAAGTCCGGGGTACACTGTGGACCCAGATCCCTAGCAACATGACTCATGGCTGTTGACGTGGAATTGTAATCCCGCGGAGCCCTCAAGGCGACAATCGAATCAGGCCACTGTCCGGCCCTCGGTTGGGGAGGAGGGTTGTCCAGTGTAAAATCCCACCACTGGATATGATATAGAGCACCCGTCCTGCATTGCTGTTCGCGTCTCGCAGCCAAGCCAACATTGTCAACGTCGCAAAAATGCAGAGCCCTGAAGTTATTGTAATCGGCACGGGCCCTTCGGGGATCGCAATGGCCCATACCTTGAAACATAAGCTTGGGTTTGATGATTTCACAGTACGCAAACTGGTGTCCTTAGCTAGACAGATGGCTGACACAGCAACAGATGTATGACAAGTCGGATGGCCCTGGAGGTACATGGAGACTGAACACATACCCTGGAGTGCAAGTTGTCCATTCCAAAGCTCAGTCAGCATGCTAACCTCAGTGATAGGGGATGCGATGTCCCGACAATCCTGTACTCGTTTTCATTCAACCAGAATCCGAACTGGTCCAAAGAGTTATGCGAAGGCCCGGAAATTCTAGAATGCATGTTGCCCCATTGAGAGTGGACTGAGGAGCTTCTACTAATGCGAATTTTCTCATAGACATGGAATCGACCGTGGACAGGTTCGACCTGCGCAAACACATGCATTTCGGTATAGAATGTATATCGGCCTCCTGGAACCCACAGGGCTACTGGGATGTCCAACTCCGCGACACCCAGACTGGTATCGAATACACGCGGTCAGCGACGGTCTTCATATCCGCCGTAGGAGGAATCTCTAAGCCACGCGAGACAAAGTTCCCTGGAATGGAGAAGTTCAGCGGCGAGATCTTTCACACGGCCCGCTGGAATCACAACTACGACTACATGGGGAAGCGTCTAGCTGTTATCGGCAACGGATGCAGCGCTGCACAGGCTGTGCCGGCTGTCGCTCAGAAGGCTTCATTTGTCAAGCAGTACGCTCGCAGTGCACAGTGGTACCACGAGCGACCGAACCGGAATTTCACACCCTTTGAAAAATGGTGTTTCCGGAATATTCCTCTGTGGCAGCGATACCTCCGCCTGAAGCTGTTTCTTATGAGTGATGGCCTGGTTGCCACTTACATGCCAGGCCCAGCTGCCGAGAAGCTGCGTGCTAGGACAGAAGAGACCGCGCGACAGTATATCTATTCCCAGGCACCTCGCAAATATCACCAGTTTCTAGTCCCGGATTTCCCGCTCGGATGCAAACGACGTATCTTTGATCCAAACTATCTGGAAAGTCTCAATCGCAGCAATATAGAGCTGGCACCGGTTGGGATCGAGTCCATCGACGAGACCGGCATCATTGGCACCGACGGCCAGCGAGACGAGTTTGATGCCATTGTGCTTGCAACTGGATTCGATGTGCAGCAGTTCCTGGTCCCCATGCAGATATATGGGAAGAAGGGCAAGAGTTTGTCGGAGCAGTGGAAGGAAAGTCGCGGAGCGCAGGCTTACATGGGGACCTACGTGCACGGCTTTCCTAATTTCGCTATGCTGTAAGTTTATTTTTGAGATGCCCGTGAAAGCTATTCTAACGTCTCATACCTTGCAGCTTCGGACCTAACACTTTCCCCGCGCACAATTCCGTTCTATTCGCCTCCGAGGTCGAGGTAGAGTATGTCGCGAGAACACTCCTGGCACCAATCATTGATAAACGTATATCCTCCTTAGAGGTCAAGGCCACCGCGGAGAATCAATGGGTAAGTATTGTGCATTCGGAGCTCCGAGGAAGTGTATTCGAGGCAGGATGCTCGAATTGGTACATCAACAGGCACGGACGAAACTCCGCCTCCTGGCCAGGCTATGCTTCCACATATTGGAGGGAATCTCGAAGGTCGCACGCCAGAGCGTTCATTGAATCTTCCGGGTCTAAGCTCTGGCCTGTAAACACCCTCAAAAGATGGATTCGGAGTACGCGCAAGGAGACCTATGGAGTGCTGGCCCTGTTGCTTGCAGGACTATGGTGGAGGGGAAATTCCGTCTTCCTAAGCTCACTGCGTCAGTTCTATGGGGGATTGCATCGGTTTCTGGCGCAGTAGTGTATGCCCATAATCTCTAGTGTATAGTTAAATACCTACCGTTCGCATGGTAGAATCAAAACCACTCCTTTGGCTCTGTATATTTTGTCCTATATTAGCCAGTCCAACGTCCCCAGGCACTGTAATACGGGATGGATGAAGTTAGAATTTTTGCAAAATCGAGTTTCCCATCTGCAGGCAGTCAATAGGCCAGGAACATGAGTCATGTACGGCCGGGAATGTAAATCCTCGGAGGACAGGATGGAGACCCGTGGACAACAGTGCACAAATAATTGCCTTTTCCCAAGGGAGGCCGAGGGTTTTCCCAGTGGTGCATGACGTGCAGTAACTCAATCAATATATGAACCAGCAGTAGTACACTTCTGCGACCCGAGTGCCAGACATTCCACGTTAGGACGGAACAATGCTGCAACTTTGCTTGACCAGGACCTTCGCCAGGAGGGGCATAACGAGTCAGATATCTAAAATAACTAGAAATGCACCCCGATGTGGCCCTCAGTCGTTAAGGCCACCCGCTCTATTCATAAGACGTGATATCAGCACCAACCCCACCCGACAAGAGTCCTGCGAGGTGAAAGAGCAGTCTATACTCGGAAAGCTCTCCTTAGCTGGAAAGGTGACTGTTATTACAGGTAACCCCTTGGCGATCCCTTGATGAATGGTATGCGTACAGCTGACGACAAACGGATGTCCAGGTGGCGCCAGGGGCATAGGGCTTGCTCTCGCCGAGACGGTGGCCGCACTGGGGAGTGATGTGGCTATTTTGGACGTCCTTGAGCCAGAACGTCCATTGGCCGAAATTGAGAAGGGTTACAAGACTAATTTTAAGTATTATCGGTAAGTTAAGTTCCCCTTGAACTAATGCTGGAGTTCACTTCGCTAAAAGCCACAGAATGGACGTTACATCAAAGGATGACATGGATGCTGCCTTCAAAAACGTTGTCAACGATTTTGGACAAATAGACAGATGGTAAGGATACCTTTACGGGGACAGATGTGCGTCCACTAATGCTGAAGGCAGCATCACCTCCGCCGGGATTGCACTGGACAAGCCATTCCTTGAGCATACATGGGAAGAGTCTAGCCGCATCCTTGATATCAATGTAGGCACCACCGGAAGCAGAATATAACCATCTCGCACATTGTCCTCACAATCTTCATAGGTGCTCGGATCATTCTTCAGTGCGCAGCTGGCCGCAAAACAGATGGTGAAACAAGAAACCGGGGGAGCAATTGTTATGATAGCCTCGATTGCCGCACACTGTGCAATCCCTGCTCAACGCGTTTCCATCTATGGCGCATCCAAAGCGGCCATTAAGCTGCTTGGACAGACGATGGCCGTGGAGATGGCCCCTTTCAATATCCGAGTAAACACTCTTTCGCCAGGGTTTATTGCAACTAGCATGTCTCAGCAGTTCACTGAGATTCAGGATGTATTCCAAACGGTGCCTCCTATCCGGCGAATCGGACGTCCTGATGACTTGACTCTCGCGGTGGCGTATCTGCTCAGTGATGGGGCGTCGTATACAACTGGGGCGGATATAGCAGTCACCGGGGGGTTGCATAACGGACGAATTGATATATAAAGTTGTATACGTCTACTTATATATATCTCTAACAATGTCGGAACAATTATTATTGAATAAGGGAAGTCTTCGTAGGTTTTTGCGATCGCCAATGTAGAATCTCCCCCGTAGGTGTGACGGAGCTGAATCTGTACGAAGCGGAATTATTTCTGTTCTAGAAAGACAAATTCAGCTGAGGACTACGGTTTAACCTGAGAAAATCATGAAATGTATGTCTATATTCTCGCTGGATAAGTGATATAAATGATGGTCCACCCTCCATTCCTGCGCCTTATATACCCACCCTCTCTCAACAAACTATTTATGGGATAAGAAGAATGGAAGTCAGACGATTCCATTGATGATCCGACGCTCTATCGCTCAGGATATCATCCATTCCCCTTGCCAAAACCGAGACACCGCGCAATTGTCGCATGATATTCCAGCACTGATGAACCTTAAGGGCGGCCTTCCGGGTCTTGAATGTGTCGCAATCGCGAAGTCGGCGGTTGTATGCGATTGCAAGTACTAACAGCGCCACTGCCGGACCAGGGAGTAAGCCAGAGATGTCCAGGCTATAAACCTCCTCGAATAGATCGGTTACTTCAACGAGGTATTTGTCAAGCGTTGCAAGGTATTCTGTCATAAATCCGGGGCTAATCGAATCTGGCATGCCTTGAATATCTTCCCAGAGGGTGGCATATGAAATACCCAGGTATAGGAGCTTCAGCCAAGCACGGTGCAGATATATACTTCTCTCCCAAGGGGTTGGCGCCAATGATATTGGAAAGCTAGTCTGAGCTGCATACGGGAGTCGGTCATACCAGTTCTCAAGTTCTTCCAGACTTCGTTTGCCGAACAGGTCACCCGGCTTGGGGCATACGTGAATTCCTGGCTTATCGGGAGCTAATAGCAGGTTCTTCACCCTATTTGAGAAGCTAGAGAATTGCGATATGCAGCACAGCTTCGTCTTTTCTACAAACAGAATTGCCTGGGTGGTTTGCTTCTCAAGACTGCGGAGTACCTCGCAGTCATCAACGACAGCCCGCACTTCCGGAGCCAGTATCTCGAATTCGAAATCACATAGTGTGATAACTCCTAGTTCGGGTGCCTCGCCGACATGATGGTCCCCTTCGATAGTCATCATCGTGAGTAAATCTTCCGATGTTAGTCGCGCGTGGTTATACAGGCTCCACCGCGTTCTCCTCCAAACGCGCCGTTGGCGGAGACACATGGAAGAGAGATCAGGGCTCCTATGAAGGCCAATTGATACTGCCAGAGACAGAGCAATTCCGATTAAGTGACTCGCGTCCTTTTCCGTGTTTTGCACATCTTGCCAATGGACTAAGAGTAACAACGCCTGTACGGTGGCGAGACGGTCGTCCTCACATTCAACTTCCAGCAGTACCTATTCTTCGTCAGTAGACGTCAAAATAGTATTAATTTCGTGCACATACCTTTGCCCGTTGGAATAGAATTTCCCGCGCTCCCTCACGAGTGGTATATCCCTCCTGGTGGATGTGGCTCATGTCGACAAAGGCTGCACCCGCAAACATCACGGCGTGGAACAAGAGCAGGCTTATTGGGTTGATACCGTCGTTGTTTGCAATGGCCCGCAGGAAAAGATCTAAGTCCAACACAGGCACCTCGGGGTGGACCCAGAGGATATAGCTTTTCAGCAGTTCCGTGCGAAAGCGAGCGGTTGGAAGACATAACGCTCCCTTTGCCTCGACGTATGCGACATCGTCTGGCCCGAGTCGATCTGGTAGTTTCGTCACGTAGTCAGGAGTACTTGTCACCAGTGGACATGGGTCATGCTGCGGCCCAAGAAATTGATCAATAATGGACAAGTAATTGTCGAGGGGATAGGTCGTCGGGACAATATCAGGTGCAGCGCAACGGAACGTCTGCTCGCGCTCCGCAATTTGCAGCTGAGAGGCAAATAATTCTTCTAAGGTTGAACTTAGAATCCATTTCAGGTATATGTGCAGGAGAGCTTGTAAATCTAACTGTACCTTCGCAGTGTTTCATCGAAGGCGTGCGCCTCTTCGCCTGCGAGCGAGAGCTACCAGAAGTAGCAACTTTCTCCACGATGTTAGGAGTACCTACACTCTGGGAACATTGGTTCTGCCATCACAGTTCAAGTTTAATCTATCACATGTAGTACATGGGATTCCCCTGACACCGATATAGCAGCGTTCTTTCCGCTTCACGCAGTGACTACAGGCCCCAGACTGGGCTGTCCGAACACGTTTTGGTGAATGATGCATTGTGGCCTGTTGATCGAGAGGAACAACCCCGCGTTTTCTCCATTTTATTTTATTTATTTTAGGTTAGCTGTTCATCAATGCCCTGAGTCATGCTCAGCCAGTCATGCCATTTCGGGTTTTGAATTCCGCGGATTTTATAGTCCTCGGTCTCCAACTCCATCAGCGCTACTCTCGATGATTCCAAGGATCCTCAGCGGCCAGAAGGAGCTACCACTGCCAGGTTATGCTGGTTCCTTGTCGGTTCTTCGAGTGAGATGGCACCAGGATCACAGCTCCGAGGTTTAGAAGCAGGCTGTTCCCCTTTCTGGCGTGCGATATGCATGGGCAGTCGCTTCATAAAGGATGGAGGCCTTCTAGGACGCCCGAGTACCACGGCACCAGTGCGAATGTAATCATAGTTTTGCAACTTCAGCGTGGATGGACGTTCTGATCCAGGAGCACTGATCTCCTGTAAGAGATGCACATTGTCTTCCCAGCAGGAAGATTTACTTCCGTCTCCATGCTCACATTCCCCGAATGGAAACCCAGTCATACGCCAGAAATGGCAGCTAGAGAGTTTGCGTTCACCGGGTAGAAGCCCACCACCGTGTCTTTTATTTAGTTTTTCAATGCTGTGAATCGACGCTGCAAGCCAGTCGTTGCCCTTGGGCAGCTGGTTGCAGGGCGAATCGTATGCAGGCCCCTTTAAACCGCGAATCGCATCACCAAGGCCAGAGCAGAAAAGGCAGTGGAAGTGGTCTAACAGCGGGATCCACGGTAGTCCTGTCTTGTTGAGCTTACTCCTTTTCAAGTCACTTTTGCTGGAGTCAGTCATGATGTCCATGAACTCGTATCCATATATCTCAGTGCGACTGGGGCGTTGCAGGGTTATTCTGGAGAGATTGGTAGAAAACCCCAGTATCAGGTCCCGGACGCTTAATCGATCATCCTGGGATTCCTCAACGATGTAACTCCCACAGTCTCTAAGTGCCGCATATGTTGCTTCTGCGCCATCTGATGCGGGCTTTGAGAATGGAATATTAGGACGTCTAAACCTTTCCGGAATGCCCCGCCAGTATGTTACAAGCATTTCATGGAAGACACATATCAAAGGCACAAGCCAAGCCTTCGATTCCCCGACATCGTAAAGAACGATTTGCTCGGATGAGCTGCTGTTTAAGCATTTCAGGTAGTTCCGTGCAGCACTGAACCGCAGCGTGTTGATGGTTATATCAAATGTCAAACCTGCCTACCCTCCAAGCTGCATGGGTGCGGTTGATGTGGCCACAAATTGCAGGTTCGCCCCGGACAAGCTCCAGGTCGTCTGTTGGATCTTTGCATTCGACCACTGCACCGTCTGCAACTGGCCTGTTCCCAGTAGTGTAATGGCTTCTCCACACCAGCCAACGAGGGCCCTCTTTGACTTGAGGGCATCCAAGGTTTTGAACTTTAACCAGCTTCCCTTTATCGCCGAGAGCTCCTCTATCTTGATTTGGGACTCCTGCTTCGCCACTTCCAAGTGCCAGAGGATCGTTTTGTCGTCTATCAGCTTCACAGGAATGAGGGCCGTTGAGTATCCCACCAGTACCAGGCCTTCATCGACCAAGACCGGATACTCCACTGCTGCTATTTGCAGCATCAGGTGAAAGTCAGCCTGCAGGAACATGGACTCGCGACCCGAAAGAACGGTATCGGGCTGGACTGCGATCAAGCCACCCTCAAAAAGATCGAACCAACATTTCGTACTATCCAACGCCACTTGTGAAAGCTTTCGGAGTGTAGAGCAACTGCCGCTCACTTTGCATGTTGATAAACAAAGGGTGTTCGCCATCGGCTGGCGGAAGGTCAGGGAGAGCCAGAGCACCAGGTCCCACAGATGGGCCACTGATTCGTTAAACCACACGGCAATCTCGTTTTGGGAGGTCGTAAACTTCAGATCAGCATCCTCTGTGGCTGGTCAGAGCTGTTGACAACGTATTTTCATGACCGTAGCTCACCGTATTTAGCGCCGTCACGGTCCAGGGCGCTTATAATGTTCCCGACGAAGGCGATTCCATACTCTCCATATTTCTCTCGAATAATTCTTCGCCAGTTGTTATTTCAACAGAGTCATCTGACAGAGTCAATGTAATGCTCTTTAGTACAAATTCCAACCGCTGATCCCGTCGTATTCTCGCAATAACGGAAGGCAGCTCCCACAGTGTCCGTTGCGGCTGCTGACCAGCACGCCTTCTCGTCTGCGACTCGCTCTTCATTGAGGCCGTTGAATATCCGGAATCTGTCCAATGTTAACAAACTCACCAATTGTTTTCTGGCTGACGCACCTTTCGATAACTGACGGTGTTCTTTCGCGCGTCGAATGGCAAGTCTTCTCGCGAACAAAAGCAGTTTTGGATCCGTCGGCTCATAGGGAGGACTGCTGGCGTTGCATGGATCCATCTTGATATCACGGCGTTTCGGTGAGCCTTCTGCTTCTTCTTTGCCGGACTGGAGGAGGGGAGGGTTGATGAATGTTCAGATGAGGGGAAAGACATGCTTCAGCCTCGCGCGCCTGTCAGATTGGCATGCCACGAGCAACGATTATTGGATGCGACTGGTAGCAAGTCCTAGACGCGGTATTTTCTGGCAAATCACCGATGTGCAATGCGCATGAGCCTCGTATTATATTCCTGGTCAGAAAGTATGCTCCGTTGAGGGGAAGTTTTACTTGTACTGGAAGAAACAGTCCATTAATGGATAAACATATATATCTATATCCAAAACAAAAATACAAACTCGCTATAACACCAATGCATCGGACTCCATATCTTCACGAAACAGGTTATAATTTATAATCTAATATCAATCGGAATACACTCATCAACGACCCTCCACGCTCCAGTCTCCGGATCCTGTCGGTTCCGAGAGAACTGCAAGAACGCCTGGTCGGGGCTAACATTCCACCTCGCGACGTCTTCTTCCTTCGTAGGAGCCAGGATCCCAGCCCGAGGCCAGAACACACCGTATGGTTTGATACGCGCTTCCTCTGGCATACTAAACGTTGTACCCGTAATCGTAGATCCGGGAGATGGAGTAGAGAAGTCTTCATTGCCTACACTTGGAAATGAGATATGATTTGGACCATTCAGACCTGACTGAGTCTCAACTGGACTCGTGGCCCTCGGCAGCGTTAAAGGATAAGACATCGGATCGCGGCTGGTATTCAGTATACGGGCAAACATCTCCTCAACCATCATAACATTCTCCGCAAATGCCAGACCAAACGCATTCGGGTAGAATCCCTGTACCTGGGGCGCCGAGCGAAGCAAAGCCAGCGCGGCACGGCGCGTAACTGGCTCTGCGCAGCGCAGGGCAGTAAACCACAGCGGGAGCCCGACGCTGATGTCGAATGTAAAGGGCGGCTGGGTACCGTCTGGACGAACGGAGGCGTTGAGGGCGATGCGAGATTGTTCGACGATGGTTTGGAAGCTCTGTAGGCAGGCATCTGTTGTGCTTTTGAAGCGGGATACGCAGGTTGTGAGTATCACGACTAGGGATTCGTAGTGTGTGAGGAGTAGGGCGATGGCACTGGTTTCTTGGGGTGATAGGGCAGCCTTTGCCCGTAATGATTCGGCAAGTGTTGTGAATGATGTATGCCAGTTTTGGAGTTTCTCTGAGAGAGAGGTTTGCTGGAGTATCATCTCGGGGGGGACATGGTACGCATTCGTGGTGTCATGATGTTTTTCGCATTGTTCTTGGAACAGCTTGATATCAGCAGTGAGGATGAAGATAGGCTCGCGAGCAGCCTTGAGCGATGCGAACACCGGTGGCAATATCCTATCAACGTCTCGCATGAAAGACCCAGGCTCGATTTTATTCTGAGCATTGCCCAAGATACTCAGACGCGAGAAGATCGGGACAATCGCCTCTTCTAGCAACGATGCCTTGAATGCCGGCACAGTCCCACTGGCTATCTGTTCGCGTAACGATGTGATGAGGTGCACTCCCTGGCCATACAGTCGCATTGCCTCGAACGCGCCTCCCTGGAGCGCCTCAATGCATATAAATAATACACAGCTAATCAGGCCAACAAACACATCTACACTCCCGTTCTCGATTCGACGACGCACCGCAGATACCGAGCGCGAGTACCACCCCAGCGCATCCTGGTATTTAATCAACGGAGTACAGGGCTTATAGCTCTCAAACAACGAACTGATAGAAATAATAGCGTCCCAGACCGGCGGCTCAGCATGGCACACGCGCGGGACGATGGTGCTCCAGAAATCCGCATCAAGCCCACCGATCAACGGCGCGGCATGCTGGAAGTAGTACGCGAATGCGCGGCGCTCTTTCGTCGCCTTGTTCGGCACCATGGGTACTGGTGTTTCAATGACAGCCATCGAGGAAGCGGATGAGAAGGTCCCGTATGTTGTGCCTTCATACTCGCACAGGCGACCGCCTCTGATGCATCGGATACACCTCGGCTTCTCTTCGCCGCATTTGACTTTCCGAGCCCTGTAGAGAATATTTAATACGGAAGATCCTGGATTTGAATTGCTGTTGGGAGCCTACTTGCAAGTTTTGCACCCCCGCCTTGATTTCAGAGGCCCGACTGTGAGGCCCATCGGGCTCGCGGGGGACCTGGGCGCCATAAGGCCAGCGCATTAAACCACAAGGGTCACGAACGTCGTCAGATTATTTCATGTATTTCATGATTCGGTTGTGATGGCAGCCTGCTGACGAAGTTGCATGATTCAGGGGGATTGAGACGCGGTGGAGAATTTGCCACAGCCTCAACAGTCAACACATTCCAGACACCATTCCCCGTCAACAGCGTGGGGGCGAGATCTTGATATCGCCTCCTTAAGACACCAATTGATGGTGAAATTACTGCAGAGGATGCGTTTTACTGTATAACCAGCCTAGGACAAGAAACGGACTCGCTCTTTCACGAGTCAGCGTGGTAGGTCACGTGTGTATAAATACATAACATTTTATACAGATTATGCATTACAAGTTCGAAGAATATCCAGTCCATATACTCGGTAGAATACTAACGAACGACATAGATTATAACCAGGTATCTACAAAACAGCCATGATCACTTCTCACTCTTCATATACGCAGGCGGGGGTATGGCCGTCTCCCCCTCCTCACTCCCAACACTGGGCTCAGTCCTACTAGCAGGAACATGCTGGCCCTGCGCCAGCTCACCCATAAGCGTCTTCCCCTCATCAATGCGATGCGGCGGGATAAGCACATCATAATAGCGCGGCATCACAAATCCAAGCAGGATAAGGAGGAGGACGATATGCGCGACAATGAAGCCCGTGATCATGAGCGGGTCGTAGCGCAGCGTGTGGAACTCGGGATATGCGAAGGAGAAGATGATGGCCAGCACGGGGGCGCATACATATCGCAGGATTACGGGCCAGAAGACGGGGATGCGCCAGTTGTTTCCGCCGCCGATGATGCTGTTGAGGTCGCGCCGGATTTGGTTTCCCTGGTTTTGTTAGAAACTGCAGACAGGACAGTGGGTTAGGATGGTAAAGACATACCGAGTAGGCGGCGAGATACCAGAACTGGCTGAGGAAATAGTTCTTCCCCCAGAAGCTAGGAGCAGGGATAGATGGTCGATTAGAAATGAGTGTCGCGGTGATAGCGAAGAAGACATAGACGCCGAATCCAGCGCCCGCGCCAATAGCAGGGTCTTCGGTTCCATGGGCGACAGAGACACCGATAATCTGCCCGCCGAAGTAGGCGAAGTTGTAGACGATGAAAGCCCAGAGACCGGTCTGGTCAACGACGTCGGTCCAGCGGTAGATGGTGCTTGCGCTGACAACCTCGGACCAGACGACGAAGATGAGGCAGATGTTGTTGACCCAGCGGTCGATGCCGTCGAGGAGGTAGAAGCCAAACTCGGTGCAGTATGGGAGACACATGAGAAACGAAATGAGGGTGAGGATTGTCACGATTATAGGGCGAGAGAGCTTAACTTGCCCCGAGTCGATGATGAGGGTAGCGACGGCGTCCAGCATGACGAAGGCGGAACTGAACCCCAGCACGACGAGAGTGAAGAAGAGCAGGAAGGCCCAGAAGTTTGCGCCGGGCATGTGCAGGACTGCTTCAGGGAGAGTGAGGAAGCCGACGACGAAGGCGCCGAGTCGTTCACCATCCTGCGGCCATCTCCTGAGATAGCCCACGACGCCGAAGACGGCGAATGCGGCAAAGTTCTCGAACAGGACGTTGCTTCCGCAGATTAACAGAGCGTCCATGACTGCGTTGGAGTGCTTGGAGTTGTATGAGGCGTAGGAGGTGAAGTAGCCAAAGCCAATGCCGGTGGAGAAGAAGACTTGTCCTACAGCCGTCTGCCAGACTGTGCCGGACGCAAGCTGGTCACTTCTCCATGTTGCCCAGAGGAGTCGGACTCCTGCACTGGCATTCTCAAGGGAGAGAGACCGGCCAACGAAGATAATCGTGGTCACAATTGGGAGGCCCATCGTCCAGTAGACAACACGACCGGTCAGACCAACGCCGCGAAAGATGGAAATCCAGATCAAGAACCAGATGAACGCGCTCCATCCCACCGTCTCTCCCAGGAGGCCAACCCCAGGGTATTGCGTATACGACACAACCTCCTTATTATCAAAGCTCAGCGACCCTTCAACCGGATCGACATTGTGGACCACGTCGCCCATGTAGAATTCCTCAATTCTGCCCTCCCACGGCAAGGGACTGCGGAAGGAGTTTCGGAAGTAATTCATAATCCAGGCAAGATTGACCGTGAAGTACTGCGTGACGATAAAACTGACCAAGATGGGGCCGATTCCCACACCCTTCAAGCGGCGGTTGATGTTGTTGAATGCAATCACTGTTCCACCACGATAGGCCTGGCCGATGGAGATTTCGAGAATGAGCGCCGGAATCGCGACAAAGAAGATCGCCAACAGGTACGGGATGAACCACTGCAGCCCGTAGTTGTTGTATACGACCGAGGGGTACCGGATCAAGTTTCCCTGACCGGCGCAGCCTCCCATGGCGGCCAGCAGGAAGGCAGCGCGCGAGGGCCACTGGTCACGACCATCCTCCGACTGCGCGGGCGGAGGGAGAAGCCAGGCGACGGCCTTCCTGACGTACTGGACAAACACCATGGTGAGTCCGGAGAAGATAAAACTTAACTAAGTGTTATGCACATGGGGTAGGAGCACAGTTTAAGACCGATCCAGGTCAGCAATGAGAGGATCAAGCAGAAGAATCAAAAGCAGGGAAGTGACCCAGACCCCAGACGTGCTTGGCAGGACAGCTGGGTATTATATACGGCAGTGGCACCGCCAAGGGCTGGAGCTCCATCGTGGGACCGATTGCATGAGTTTGGCCTGTTAAGGCGGCGCTTGGGAGTTGCCCAGGTGGGGGTGAAAATTAGGGCAGGCTCGGCACGCGGCGAGAGATTTCACTGGAGCGAGTGCCAGCACTAAGACAGTGAAAACTCTGCTGGGACGGGGTGGTATTGGCTTGTTACATGGCTGGTTATCTGTGACGCCCGTTCACTCCTGCACTCTGCACTGCAGTCATGTTAATTCGGTTTTGTTCATTCGGGGACGCCGGAGCCAAGAGTCCGCCAAGAGTCCGCCCAGACGCCAAGAATGACGCAAGGAGAGCCGGAGTCGACGTTATCGTCCACTTCCGCTCAGCAACCACATGGGGTCCGCCGCATCGGGACTGTGTCTGTCAGTGTCTCTGTCGGTGTCTCTGGTTGCGCTGTCCAGCCAGCAGCTGTCTAGCTGTCTCAAGGTTCTGGAATCTGGCCGGAGTACTCGAGTGTTAACTTCATCCCTTACATACCACGCGAGAACTCAAACCTATATTACTGTCGGTTATACCCTCGAGCCCGCTTTCGTTGCTTTTTCTCAGCCCAATCCCCTCATGCGCCATTAATCAACATCTCGGCGCCATCAACTCGTTCGTGGTCACGCTCGCTCCTGTGATCCTGACGCCCGGCATGATCGATTCAGGTTAGCCATGCAGGGCCCAGCCCGACTAAGGAATCCTTGTTTCCCGCCGGTGGGGGCGCGTTTAATCACCCGATCCCTGTGGGTGGGAAGCTTGAACCTGCTCGGCGGTTGATAAATAAAATCAGCTAATAAAAGTTAAGTCGTGGTTGTCAGTCGCCCTTGCGTTATGCCGCCATGTGGGAGTCTTTGCCACCCCCTTGTATGCAAGCGAAGAGATAACGCCAGTGAGCCAGTGCGCCGGATTAGGCCTAGGTGTGCTGTCTGAGAGAGGCCAGACTCGGCGATGTCGGCAAGAATGGCTAAGGATAATTTAATTTCGAAGATATCACGCAATACAACCTAGCTTATTGCGCAATCATGTCCGAGGAATGACAGGCAAGGTAACAGAAGATCTATGGGTCATCGGACTAAATATAAATGCTTCTTACTATAAAAGTGGATCATGGATTGTCTCGCCCTACAGCCATCACACGATCATTCCTGGCTTTTTCGCTGAGGTATATTCTATCCGGTATATACTTCATGCACCTAGCAGGCAAAGAAATGGAGCTTCGATAAACACAGTCATGATTGTGCCTGACACATTCCAGGGGTGACTACGCAGGTAAACCATATGAAATATCTATCTTGACACCAATCAACCGGGGCGTCTCGATATTCTCGCTACACCGTTCAAAAGCCTTATGCGGCCGCTGCAGCCTGAATAAACAGGCATTCCCACTTATCCCAATAGTCACAGGCAGCGTCGCAGCCCTGGTAACGATACACAGAATACAAGTCCGATCAATGGCAGTGACAATCGCACTCTGTGCTGTCAAACAGAAGACTAGACCCACTGCCTTCAACTCCCACCAGCCGATATCGAAATGCAATGACAGATTATATCACCCAGAACCTACCTGGAAGCCAACTAAGATTATAATCGTCAGCATTTGATACAGGAGTTTGCTATTAACTGCGGGTTTTGTTTACTATCTGGTTAGTCCAGGACACTGCGCTTACAGGTTGTTGTTGCTGTGGTGGAGGCAGTACTATGAGTCGCTTAGACAGAGGGCGTTAGTCAGATTACATTATGTCTTTTATTTCAGAGATCAACTACTCTAATGATAACAGGAAGCGAATGTCACCAAAGATCCAGAACCAACCTCTCGCCAACACTGCGTGAAACACAGGGCATCATGACGCCATTCTCGCCCTTCTCCTCCAGCGACAAAACAGTATCTCTGTGCTCCGGAATGCCCTCGAGAACCGACACCTCGCACGTCCCACACGTGCCTTTCGAGCAGGTAGACATGATGCCGCACCCATTATCATTGAGGGTCTCGAGCAGGGTCTTCTCAGGATGGACAGTGACCGTCCGCCCACTGCGACTAAGGACGACATCGAAGGATCGATTCGGCAGGAAATTCTGGCTTGACAGCGCCTGGAACCTCTCAATATGCAGTTCGATAAGAGGATTACATTTGCAGACTTCTTCCAGAGACGAGAGCAGTCGTTCAGGGCCACAGCAGTATACTTGAACAGCCTCGTCCTGCACCTCAACAAATCTCTCAAGATTAAACCTGTTCCCCTCATCGCGAGCCCAGATATCCACAGGATGACTACGCACTAGGTCATCGAGATATGCCATTGTCTTCCGCGATCGACCGAGGTAGATTAACCGGTACGTCGCGCCCTGGCGCTTCGCCTGCTCGAGCATAGGCTTCAGCGGCGTGATTCCTATCCCTCCAGCAATAAAGACGTATCTGCTACTGTTCTTCAAGCGGAAATGGTTTCGCGGTTTGCGGACTGTTACTTCTGCGCCTTCGTGTAGATTCTCATGGAACCATCTCGATCCGCCTGAGCCGGTGTCTTCTCGGAGAATGGTGACCTTCCAATGGGTTTTGTCTTGGGGATCCGAACAGAGCGAGTACTGTCTATAGCCGTGCTCGCTGAGGATATCGATATGCGATCCCGGTTCCCAGTGCGGTATTGAACCCCCGGTCTTTGAACAGAGCATCACTTCTAGGATTTCCTCTGTTAGGAAGGACAGTTGTTTCACCACTGCCTGGATAGTCGCGTTTTCACTGGTATTCTGTCCCTGGGGTTTCGTCTTTTGAACTTGAACAGTCCTCGCCCAAGGACCGCTAGGAGGATCCCACGCAACAACCACCCTCTCAACGCCTCGACTGGGCCCAACCTTCTCATATACAATATCCTCGTACGGAGTAACAAGACGCAAATTCTGCAACCGCTCGCGCAAAACCCCGAATTCAGTCTTGAGGAGTAACCTCGCCAGCGGCGCCCCCAGACACGCATGGCTCCCGCGCCCGAATCCGAGATGCTGCTTGGAGAATTTGCGCTGCAGGCGCAGTTGCTCGGGGCATTCAAAGACAGACTCGTCTCGGCTTCCGGAGCTGTAAGCCAGGAATACGCGATCTCCTGGATTGAGGGTGCAAGAGCCGATTATCGTCTCCTTCTGGACGAGGCGGTACATGCCTGTTATCGCGGACTCGTAGCGGAGGAGTTCCTCGATGGCTTGAGCGGAGGCTGTTTTGTTCTCCGTTGCTGCGTCCCAGAGACCATTGTGTAGAAGATGGGAGAGTCCCATCGAGAGAACACTAGTCGTTGTTTCATGACCAGCAAGTAACAGCCCAGGTATCATAGACAGGTGCTCAAAGTCCGTCATCTGCACGCCCGCGTCTCGCTGGTCCCATATATAACTAACCAGGTCATCTCGTCGGTCGTACCTCCTCTCCTGAATAACCTCCGCAATATAGTCATGCAAATCCAGTACATCCTGGACCTGGCTCTCAATACTGGCGTCCTTCTTTGGAGCCGTAATACCCCCGAATAACGCCAAGCAGCGCCCAATCCACTCCCACCTGCTCGTATCAAGCCCCGCAATGGTAACAATCGACTTCAGCGGCAGAGGCAGCGCAAAAGCAGATTTAATTTCAACCTCCCCGTCCGCAACAAACCCATCGACAAGCTCATGCGCCAGATCACACATCAGCGGCCGGAACCGCTTTAGCTTCCGTGGAATGAAGAACCCGCTTACGGCGGAGCGTAGTCGGTCGTGGTCTGGGTTATCCCAGCCTAGTAATGTGCCGCCTTCGGGGACGCGGTTTGCGAACAGAGCCTTTACGGGTGGTGGGAAGGGTGGGACTGTGGTGTCTTTTGATGTGAATGTTTCTGGGTGTGAGAGGATGGACAGGATGTCGTCATATCGGGTTACGATGTAGCTATTCAGGGCCGGGCTGTATTCTATGGAGGACTGTTCTCGTTCATGTTTTAGATCTGCGAAGAGGGTTTGGGGGTTGGTGAATGGGCATGTTGTTGTCATTGTAGACTTTACTGTAGAGAATGGTTTGCAGATGAATAAAGTGTCTCCGGTAATTGGGTGCTGATATTAACTTAGGGCTGTATATAAATGCCACTGGAGTGGTTGATGTCAGGTGCGCCGGGATGTGGCCATCTTCCCGGTGGGCGAGGAACCACCAAGATTCTTCGATGTGGGCATGTGGGGGATTAAGCTGGGAATGCGTTTGAAATGAGACTAGCAAATAGGAATCATGTCATTGTTTCTGTTTACTTTGAATGTTGGTTTGTTGATCGTCGGTGGATTGGATGGGCGTGGTGGTGAAGATCTGGCTGTCTGGCCGCCGGCTGTCCTCCCAGCCCAGCGCCGGTGACATTTGGGCGTCAATTAGGCAGATCTTCTAGAAAGGTTCCTCTCCTGTCCTCGCGCTGCGCCGAGATGCAGGGGATGGTTAAGCTTTGCCAGGGCGTGGCCAAGTAAGGGGTATCTGGCTGGCTCGTGCTCGCTGCATGTTTCCAGATCTAAAGACGAATATTCTCGATGCAACTCAGCTTAGGAGTATATATGTTACTAGGAGTCTTGGAAAGTGGTGAGGATCAGCCGCGCTGTACTTAGTGCTGCGGTCACTTGGAGTCCAATATCGATGTGTCCAGTTACTGCATATATATCTGCACTCTATTATTCCGTTTTCTCGGAGACAGCTACGTGACTCATTGCTCAATTAAATGAGATGTTTACTAAATTGGTAACCCGGCTCGAGTATCGCCGCACGGAGGATATATTACTTGGGATACATATTTATTGCAGACATCCACTGAAGCAGACACCAGCCTGTCGAGTATAGCCTATGACGCCAACACCATACCCTCCAAAGCCACAAAACAACTCCATATCCTGAGCGCATGATACATTCACAGCCCTGCTGATAACAAGTCAACCAACACCCAGGTCCAACCCCCGCAATCCGATTCGACCAGACCCACAAACATCTCAGAAACCAACTGCAGCTTCAACCCCAGACCTCACTGGTCCTCCGCGCCAAGAGCCGAGAAAGCAGCCCGCGCCCTTGGCAGGCAGGGTTGCAGCGCGGGTTCGCTGGATGTGGAAAGCCCGAGGCAGCCACACGACCAGGATCTCATCCTGCCAAGGGAGGCCAATGAGCTGAGGCAAGATGATGGTGCTGGTTCTGGTGCTGTGCATGTCAGATCCTGCTGGGCGTGGTGGTGGGGGTTCGTTGTTGTTTCCAGCTGCTCGCAGGCTGCTTCAGATAGGATAAGACCAGTCGTATATTCTCGCCAGCCCCTGTTTCTGAGATTCCCCAGTTGAGATTCCCCAGTTGGGTCTCTTAACGATGGCTTGGTGTTGGTGCTGTCGCTCGCTACCAGGAGGGCGGGTCTCGCTTGCAGCAGAAGGTCAGTCAGTTATTACTGTGGAGACGCTGTGCCATGGGGAAACCCATCAAACCAAAGCAAGTGCAAACTCCCCGGAAATGGGAAATAATTTCCACTCTCTGTATTCTTCCCTTCTGTCTCTCGGGTTGTGCCGCTCTCCGTTTTCCACGTCATTCCAGCTCTATCCCAGTTCTCCTCCCCCTCCATCTCCATCCATCAGCCGCCACAATAATCCAATTCAAAAGCCACAACGCCCAAGAAGATCCTGAGATGCTTACTTGCGCCCCCTGAGCACCGATTCGCGGGCTATCCACCAACCGGGTGAATTGGTGAATTGTCCCGCGAGGCTGAGCCGGTTTGTCCGGATGCGAAATGAGCGGAACGCTATTATATTAGTCTATTATATTATCGCGTAATAACGGCTCGTTTAATTAAACGAGCCATGCCTTGCAATGCACGGGCTTAATTCTCCACACCTGCAGGTGCGCTTGGACTGACTCTCGCTGGCGCTGCTCGGGCGATTCTTGACTCAAAGCTCTGGAAATTGCACTGACGTCAGTGGATTATTCTATCTGAGTTGTAAAAAATAGTATCATGTGAAGGGGTGTTGGATGTATTAAAGCGTATAGTGTAGAGACGCCAGCTCAGTGATAGTCGTGATTGACAGGGCCATCGTAGCGATCAACGCGACCGTGGGCCAGACCATGTGGCATGCAGTTCGGGGAATTTGCCTGCCTGCCAGCTGTTCAACGGCTGCCAGATTGTCTGCGGCTCGATCGTGCTGATGGGGCTTTCTCCATGGGGTTACGATATGCAATCACTACGATTCAATATGGTATATGTGCAGGGCTCGCATTAAGCTAGTTCATCTAACCATATCCTGTCTAATAAGAGCTCTAGCACTATGGAAATACCGACAGTTGGTAGCTAGCTAGCAACATAAGAGAAATAAAATAAAAGTAAAAAATGGTTGCCCAATCTGAATCGAAAACATAGCGCGCAGTGCAGTTCTAAGGCTGCCAGCACGGTGGGTATAAAATTACCAGCATCTCATCTCATCTCATTCACCTCTCTGAACTGGAACGCGAGAGCTTACTCGTTGTGCTCAACTCGCTTCTCGTCCCCCTTGACCTCGCCAGACTCGTTGGTGCTGTCGCCGCTCTCGTACTTGGGCTGGATGTGGCCCGTGACGCTGTCGCGGCGGACGGCCTCCTCGACGTACTCGGGCTTGAGCTGGCCGTGCTTGTCGTAGCGGTATGGCTCCTTGATGGATAGCGAGACGGCGTTGAAGACGTTGGTGGATTTCTTGAAGATGGCGTCCATCTCCTCCAGCGATCGGTACCGGGTCTCGGGGAAGAAGAAGTACACGACGGGGAACATGAAGGCGTTACTATAAGATATTAGCACATGCACAGATAGAACTATATACCGGGGAGACGTACATGACAGCGAAGATAACGTAGGTCTGGTATTTGATATTCTCAAACGCAACGGGCGTGATCATGACGACCATGAAGTTGAAGATCCAGTTCGCAGACGTCGACAGCGCGTTGGTCGGCGCACGGATACGCAGAGGCACGATCTCAGCAGGATACAGCCAGGTCATACCGAGCCAGCCGATGGCGAAGAAGGTGTTGAAGACGAAGAGGAACACAGCCTGTCCGATACCAGCCTGCGTCTCGCCGAGGAAATCGCGCCGGTAGTCGCAGCCTGCGAGGACGGCCATGGAGACTGACATTCCCGCAGCCTGGGATGGTTAGCATGTATATATAAGCTATACAGGAAATGGATACATACACCGAAGAGCATCAGTGGACGACGTCCGACCTTTTCGATGATGAAGATGGGGATGAACGCGGCCATGAGGTATTCAGTTCCGTTGCAAGCAGCCATCAGCTTCGCGGTGTTACCACCACCGAGACCAATATCTGCGTACAAAACAGGAGCCTATATCCATCAAATTAGCAATAGTCGCGTGACGTGAGGGGCGCAACGGAGGGCAGTTGCTCACGTAGTAGGTGATCAGGTTAATTCCGGAAATCTGCTGGAACATCTGGTTGACATAGGCGAGCGCGACACGGTGGAATTCACGGTACTCGGACATGTCGAACAGACTGCGATAGGAGCCCTTGGACATCTCGACAACAGTCTCCTTGATCGACAGCAGTTCGTTCTGGATGTACGGGTCTTCGCGCGGCAATTCGTTGAGCAGCTCGAGAATCTCCACGGCCTCCTCGTCACGCCCTTGCATGACAAGCCACCGAGGCGACTCGGGGAGGTTCATAATAGACGTGAAGATGGTGATAGCAAAGCAGATCTGGAATGCAATTGGGAAGCGCCATGATACCTCGTGGTCGGGTAGGAAGGCGAAGCCTGGTAACTCATTAGTATCGCGACGAATGGGATAGAAAGCAACACTCACCGTAGTTGATCCAGTAACTCAGAGTAATTCCCGCAGTAATCAGCATACCCTCAATCATGACCAGCTTTCCACGATCGTGGGCCTTTGCAGATTCCGATTGCCATGTTGGTACAGTACTGGTGTTCATGCCGTTGCCAATTCCAGTCACAATGCGGCCAACAATCCATTGGGGCAGACTGTAGGACGTGCATTGCAAGATAGCGCCAATAGTCATAGTAGTGCAGCCGCAGAAAATAGTGCGACGACGACCAAGTGGGTTACCGACGAAAATGGTCAAGATAGCTCCGATGAAACATCCCAGGTTGTATGACGCGACAGCAATTCCTTGGTTGGTACTGCGCTGGCTTCTACAGCCAGGTCCATCTAGTTCTGTACAGGCCTCCGAATTGATCTCTGGAAAGTACTTGATGAAGGACGGCAGGTCCAGAAGACCACCTGTCACGCCCTGATCGTAACCGAAAAGCCTGGTCGGAGTCGTTAGTTTTGCGCGAAGCTGTTGCATTGGAAATAAAGCTCGCAACGTACAGGAAATCAAGACTACCCAGCGAACTGATGGCCAGGTTGAGGGACCTCCCCCGAAAACCGAAATACTTCTTCCCGAACATGTTGACGTTTGCGCAGGGCGAACGACAGCGACGATCAGACGTGGAGATGGAGCTTGAGAAATCGGGGGAAAATGACGAGCAGTCATATATATACGCAAACACATGCAGCACCGCCAGCTTTCGGCTAGACAAAACAGGCAGTCCCGGGCTCTAGTGAAACGCCTCCAGAAATCTCCAGGAGACCAGTGCATTTGGGGGGGCCAAGAGACCGGGGGAAGTGACGGGGATGGGGGCCACGTTCACTTGGCGGGCGTCAATGCCCAGTTTGAATGAAGCGCCTCCATGGGGAGCTCGCAAACAAAGGGCAAGGACAACGCTAACAGGCCAGAATGAATGCCTTGGCGGCCCACCAGAAGGAGTGAACTAATATGGCGCTGTCATTTATCCAGGCGAGCGGCCGCGGGTGGTGGGCAGGCCTCTGGTTCCTTCAAAGGCTTATTACGCCTTCAGTCACTGTCCCATTCACGTTGCACAGACGGGGCACAAGAGAATTTGCTAGGAAGGCACAGGGCGTCCATTGTGAAAGAATTGGAACGACCAGTGAAGGCTGACAGGACTGGACAAGGTTCTGCGTCTGGGAAATGGGCAAGGCCTCACCCACCAATCCCCGCGGCGCCAACCCGCAACCCTGGACGCCCTGGGGACATCAAGGCGCCTCATGCTGAAAGAATCCGAAAGTGACCGCGGTGGCTTCAAAGCCAAGCCGACGGTGGCTGAATGCAACCAATGTGTGACTCGCGAGCCTCGGAAACCGCCAGAAGGATTTGTGTCTCACGCCATGGGCCGACTGCCAGCAGCCCAGTTTCACGGCGTCATTTGGATACACGGAGAAAGAGACAAAGCTGGGCTGTTTCATCCGACACCAGCCGTGGCAAAGGTCGACACCAGCAGAGAAAGAGAGAGACAAAGACACAAAGAAGTGATGGAGTCATCGGGCCGCCAAGCCCTAATCCTTGTCGCCAAGATCGGAGTCAGGCAGCCAGCACTCGATGCAACCAGATCAGGCCATTCATTCGTACCATTCAAGGCCTGCTCGGGGCTTTTGGCGAAATCTACGATAGCCCGGGTCGGCTCAGCCGCGGCTGCGACGTTACCAGTGGGCCGGTATGGGAACTGGCCGACCTGAAGCCAGCCCGCGATATCCGGTTTCTTCCGGCGCCAAAGTTACAAGGTGGAATGTCCTCATCATGATGTGGAAGCAGAAGAACAATTGTAGCATTGGGCGCCTGGGGGCCACTATCCGCGCCCATACAGTATACTAACGCTGTAAGGGAGACATCTGGCAGTCTCCAGCAGAAACCCGATGTTGTTCAACCCAGATCCCTGCTGCTGACGACAACCGCAGCACGAAAGACATGGTTGAGTGACGGAAGCTCGGTCCATGCACCATTCCTTAAATAATAACTTTAGTGCTGTGCCGATCAAAGGTTTCTCACTCTTATACTTCCCCTCGGCATGTCCCGACAGATCTGGATGTCACCACTCCATATACGATGAAGTAGATCTGCCTGCCCGGAAACTAGCCTCGAACTGCCGGGAGCGACTGGCCAAGTATACGGCCCTTTAAGCGACTGGCCTATGGCAAGCAATACTAATGGCAAGGCCAGCCCGGTTACTCCTTCCTATCCAGGAATATGAATTTCGAGGGAAAGAGCAACCGGACTCCTTCCCTTTTTGCGCATGATACATTGAATTTTGTTCCCAAAACGGAAGGCACGGTTCATTCATCAATTTGTAGTACGGGAGCAGACTATCTGATATATCACCATTCACAGCATCAAACTTGCCTAAAAGCTCTTCATGGCAGCCAACCGATTCGCCGATGCCCGCTGAACCACACCAGTAGCAAGTCCCCCCGGCTCAAACATATGCGGCACTCCGGGGTAGACATGAAGCTCAACATTAACATTTGCCGCTGCAAGCTTTCCAGCATACGCAATACATTCGTCTCGGAAAATATCCAAACCGCCCACATCAATGTACAACGGTGGTAATCCCTCAAAGCTCGTAGCCCGTGCAGGCGCCGCGTAAGGCGAAACACCCTCCTTCCCGGCCTTATCACCGATATACGCCGTAGCCGCGGTGGTGTTATTATCGTAGGTCCACGTCGCAAAACGCGCAAGCTCCGGGTCCGGAACCGTATTCCGATCATCCAGCATCGGGTATGACAGGATCTGCTTGGCCAGCGGGGGATTAAGGGCACGATCGCGCGCCATTAGGGAAACAGCAGCGGCAAGGTTCCCGCCCGCGCTCTCGCCCTGGACTGCAATGCGCGAACGATCGATGCCGAATTCCTCGGCGTGCTCGTGGACCCACGTCAGCGCGGCATAGACGTCGTCGATCGCGGCGGGGAACTTGCTTTCTGGCGCGAGGCGGTAGTCGACCGTGAAGAAGGGCATCCCTGTCTCGTGGGCTCTGATGGCGCATACCTTGGCCCATTCTTGTCCGTCGCCGTGGATGAAGCCGCCTCCATGGGCGTGTACAATTGCTGGACCTGGAGGGGCTCCATCGACGCGCTCCGGTGCGACTTGGTATAGCGAGAATATGTGGCCGTCGGCTGAGGGGACTTTGTGGATGGTCGTTTTTATTCCGGGGATCTCAGGAATACCGCCTGTGAATGGGTCTAACATAGCTGCGAGGCCTGCTCGGAGGGCGAGTGCATCGTGCACGGGGGTTTTGAATGCAGAGGCAATCGCAGCAAGCGCTGGCTCTGCATCTTTGATATACTCAGTATCATAGCTTAGCGGCATGTTGGTAAAGTACAGGAAGTGTGAAGAGATTCAGAATCAACAACAGCAGATTCTACGGGCAAGGGCTCTTTATATAGCCCGTCTGGTTCGAACAACTCGTTTTCAGGCGCGCTGAGCTGAGGATGCGGGGTCCGCTATTGAGCCGCTTACATGGGGGCCAATTCCCATGAGCAGCTGAGACTCAGTATCCCACTAGTTCTTATTTGTTGGATCCCTCCCTTCCAAGCGCCAGTCTAAGCAATGCCTATTGGCTCTGAGGCTGTTCGCAACAAAAGTACGAGCACAGGTGCTGTTCCTATAGGGCAAAGTTGTTTACTCCTTAGGGCCAAAATAGCCGTTGGACTGGCTTATATGGATTACTGTATTGCAGCCAATAAGTATATCAGTAGCTAGATGGTATCGTCTTTAGGCCAGACTAAATAATACACCAGCTGTAGTCTATATAACGTATAACCGTCCCGTATCACCGCTAGACTTGTTGGTGGCTGTCCGCAATCACCTATATCGCCATCATACCCATTCTACCTCTACCACCAATCTTCTTGGGGCCCTATACTCTGGAAATGCTGACCGGCAGTTTCGTAGGCAGCGCGGTGTATTTCCGTAAATAGCGCTGACTGATTCATTGCTCATTGCCATATTCAAGTTGATCTGGCTACTCGCTTATTGATCTCTAAGTACCGAACATCGGGAGCATACTTTTACAGCGTATATAATGGTTGCGAAATGCTATATGCATTTCAGTTTATTTCTGATTTCTAAGCATTGTTATGTGTAAAGTGGACGACCTGCAATTTGGACTGATACAATATGTTTTCATCTGGACGGTTTCCAGAGAGAGTAGATTTATATAGTTTGAAGCTCCGAATGGCACAACACTAATGCGGCAAGGTGGTCCTGAGTCTTTTTGACTCTGCACAAGATTCTTTAGAAATACGTAAGCCAGCATTTTCTAATCCAGTCGAGCAGCCAGCTTCTCGATGAAAGCAGATTAGAGCATTGTTTAGCCATCACCTGGGCATGCCAGTCACGTGTCAGTCAAACACGTGATTCGGGATGGCTCCGACCAAAGTCCGCAAGATTCCGCGATGCTGGTCACTGTTTCACGACAGCGACCAGTCAGCCAACAAGCCAGACGCGGCTAGTGTGACGACAATGGGCCTCGAGCGACACAAGACGGCCGTCTCGCGGATCGCCTCGGCCATCCGCGGCTTCTACGAGCGCCGCGAACCCTTCCGGATAAACCACGGGTCGACAAACAGCACGCGACCGATCCGCCGCAAGAACCAGGTCGATATCAGCGACCTGCGCAATGTGCTGGGTGTTGATCCGGCGACCCGGACGGCCCTCGTCGAGCCCAATGTCCCCATGGACCGCCTTGTCGAGGCGACGCTGAAGCATGGGCTTGTGCCGCCGGTTGTGATGGAGTTCCCTGGGATAACTGCGGGTGGAGGGTATGCGGGGACGGCGGGGGAGAGCAGTAGTTTCCGGCATGGGTTTTTTGATCGCACGATTAACTACGTCGAGATGGTTATGGCGGATGGGACGGTTATGAAGGTTTCGGAGGCCGAGAATGCGGATTTGTTTCGCGGGGCTGCTGGGGCCGTTGGGACGCTGGGGGTTACGACCTTGATGGAGCTGCAGCTTGTTGAGGCGAAGAAGTTTGTCAAGGCGACGTATCACCCTCAGCGGAGTGTGCGGGACTCGGTGGTGAACGTGCATGCCGAGACCCTGAATGAGAGGAACGACTATGTTGATGGGATTGTGTATGGACCAGAACATGGTGTTGTTGTTGCGGGTGAGATGACGGATGATATGCCAGACACTGCAAAAGTGCAGACGTTCAGTCGGGCCTGGGATCCGTGGTACTATCTCCATGTCAAGGACAAGACGCGGACTGGGAACTCACCGGTGGTCGACTATATCCCGCTGGCCGAGTACCTGTTCCGGTATGACCGCGGTGGGTTCTGGGTTGGGCGGGCTGCGTTTGACTATTTCCATTTCCCGTTCAGCCGGGCAACGCGGTGGTTCCTTGACGATTTCCTGCACACGCGAATGCTGTACAAGGCTCTTCACGCGAGCGGGGAGTCGAGCCGGTTCGTCGTGCAGGATCTCGCCCTGCCGTACTCCAACGCCGAGGCGTTCATCGACCACACTAGCAAGAAACTGGGCATTTGGCCGCTGTGGCTGTGCCCGCTCAAGCAGAGCCCAGCGCCGACATTCCACCCGCACTCGAGTGTGGAAAGCCCCGGCTTCACGGCGGACCAGATGCTGAACATCGGCGTCTGGGGATTCGGACCGAAGGACCCAGAAGAGTTCATCACGGCCAACCGGGAACTCGAGCAAAGGTTACACCAGCTGGGCGGGATGAAGTGGTTCTACGCGCACACGTACTACGGTGAAGACGAGTTCTGGAACATGTACAACAAGGAGTGGTACGAGGGCTTGCGTCAGAAGTACAGCGCGACTACTCTTCCTAGTGTGTACGACAAGGTCAAGATCGACGTCGACGCAGACCGCAAGGAGCGCCAGGAGTCATGGAGCCGCAAGGCACGCGGCATCTGGCCGGTTGGAGGGCTGTGGGGGATTAAGAAGGCCATCGAGAGCAAGGAGTACCATATACATCGCAACTCCACCTGGAAGTGGAAGCAATAATCTGTATATAAAGTATATAAATGTATATTAGCTATATAGAACACGCATACCTGTTGGTTATTTTGAAAGCTGCGCTCTAATCGCATCCTTCACAGCCCCAGCCAGAGTAACTGTATCATCAGCCCCAATATCCTCATTATCGCGACGCTCATACAGCGTGCCACCCTCCGTCCAGATCCTCCTCAGCGTCAGGCCCGTCGCATCCGGCCGTCCCTTCTCCCACGCCTCCTTCTCAAGCTCCCTCAGCCGGTCCAGCGGCGTATACTCAACACTCCACTTCTCCCCGGTCTGTTTCTCAAATTCCGCCAGAATCTCATCCGGCGTCGTCGTGAACGAGTTGAGCTTGAGTGCTCGACCGCGCGCCTTGTCCCAGTGCGTCAGGGTATGCACGACGAATTTCCCAACACTGCATCCATCAGTAACCTGTAAACCACAAAGATAACAGAGAAATAGACATACTCCCCAACCGTAACCAAACTAATCTTCCCCTTCCCATCCCCAAGCAGCACCGCCCTCTTGTTCTTAACATCAAAGCTCCCACCCGGATACGCCGGATCGGCATTCGCACCCAAGAAAAAAGGAACATCGGCATACGGGCCCGTCACCACAAACGCATACTCCAGATCCTTAGTGGCGCGCAGTGCAGCGCGGACCTGCAGTTTCGCCTGGTGCGGTTTCTCAGACGCCGACGCGGGGCCGTACTCGATGTCGGTGCCGTACTCGGAGGGCAGGAAGCGGCGGATTTGCGGTGCTGAATCGGCCCATTCGATCACGTTTATTTGGGCGGTGATGACGCCGCGGCCGAGGGCTGAGATTACGGTGTCGATTCCTGTTCATAATTAATTTGAGTCTTGAGTCTTGGGTATGGATGTAATGGTGATTGGGTGGTAGTACCGTCAAATGCCTTCAAAACGTCATCTTTATTGGTAACATCGCCGACGAGAATTTCAACGCCCTTATCGCGGAGGACATTGATCTCTGTTTCCTTTGCAGAGAGGGTGTTTGGGCTGGTGAAGACGGCGATGCGATTGAAGGAGTCGCGGGCGTTGACGATGGCGGCGATGATGTACGACCCGATGGCGCCAGTGGCTCCGAAGACCAGGAGGTTTGATGTAGACATTTTGCAGTACTTGAATTGAATGAATGGATGCTGGAAGAAGTACAAAAGAGAGGGGGGGGATTTATTTACTTATAAATCAACCCCGCACCGGCTCATTTATGACGTGAATTGCGTGTCGGATGATTCCCGATATCCACAGTAAGTAATATAGTATTTACCAATCTAGGCTGGACAATCAAAAGACAGATCGTTCTATACACAGCTATACACAAAATAAAATAGACAAAGATTAAGAAGAAGCAAACTTCTTCAGGCTCTCCTCACTGCCATTCCAGACCTCAGAGTCACCACCAAACTTGTAAGTGTCGGCATTCTGCCAGAACGAGTGCGTCTCCCATCCCTTAGGAGGGCTACCAGGAGAGTCACTCCAGCGGGCAAGGACAAGAGGGTACTGTCCAAAGTCCCCGTTGTTACCGGTGCACTCGGTCCACCAGCTAGTGGTGGTGTAGATCATGGGGTAGCGACCCGCGGCAGCCTTGTAGGTCTCGCCAAACTCCTGGATCCAGGAGGACATGGCGGACGTGGAGAGGCCGTAGCAGCCGGCCTCGAGATCGAGCATGCCCGGCAGGGTCTGGCCATCGCCAGTCCAGCCGCCACCGTGGGCGACGAAGTACTCGGCCTGGGCCTTGCCGGAGCTGGAGCCGGGCTGGGCGAAGTGGTATCCGCCACGGATGAGCTTGGCATCAGTGGCGCCGGTGTAGTGCTTGCTGAAGGCAGGGTCGGTGTAGGTGGTGCCCTCGGTGGCCTGCTGCTGTCAGTTTGGTCTTGGTTAAATGGGGGTAGGACGTACCTTGATCATGACGAAGCGGGCGCCGGAGGCATAAGCACCAGAGTAGTCGACATCGGGCTGGTAGTGGGAGATGTCGAAACCCTGGACGGCGGCGTAGGCAGCGCCGGGGAGAGCAAGGAGAGAGACGAGCTTCATTGTGGTAGAAGTTGTTGCTGTTGTTTCTGTAGTAATAGAAGTAGTTTGTTGTATTGAGCTGTTGATGAAGGATGTCGGAAATCAGCACCCCTTTATACACGCAGCCCTCGATATCGAGGCTGACCTGACCTGATCAGGTCTCCTGCAAGCGATCAGGTCCGATCCCTCGTAAACTCGGTTCTTCAAACGACGATCTGTGTCGATCTTGATTATATTTGGATCTGCCCCACGGCCGAATCTCCAACAGCCTGTCAGAGCATCGCGTTGCCGAAGTGCCCCTGCTTGGGGTTACAAGCTCAGGCAATCTAAATTATGCAAGGACTGGATGAATTCATGTTTATGCAGCGCACCTGAGCCCCATAATGTCTCTGATTGGGGTTTGCTTGTCTAAATTAAGCACAAGGACCTGTGGGCTCAGGGCTCGTATTCCAGCGACTAGCAGAACACGGACACGAGAATGTGACACTGCGAAAGGCCGGACTGTTGTTTTGATTGCCAATACGAGAATTAGTTCGTTAGTCTGTTCTCTTTGCAGCCTTGTGCCCTGACTGTTCTCGGACAGCTGTGATGGTTGGAGTGGCCAATTACCGTGGATTTAACTCTGATCGACAGGACCATGCAGCAAGTATTTTGGGATACGAAGCTGGGTCCACGTTCTGCAGAATGATACTTGAATGGGCAATCCGACTATACAGAAAGATGGAGTGACTTCATCGGAGGCGAAACCAGCCATAGATCTTGGATGAGATCATATTGATGGAGCTGGAAAGCTTAATATAGAACATGATATCCAGTTTGAGGATATTTGGACAGCTGATACAACAGAGAAGGCCTCGTATTCTAACAGAAAAGAAAAGAGAAAGGAGATCTGCAATAACATCGGATCATGAATGCCTCTGATCGGATCTCCATGAAGGAGTACGAACTGCTAAAAATAACCAGTATTTGGCTCTTGTTTGGACCATCGCACCACAGTCCCATACTCGGGCATTCTCCTGCTATCTCAATGCCAGTCCAAATTCCTCAACCTCCTTGTCACCCATTAACCCCAGCCCCAGCAGCTCATTATCCACATCGTTATACTCACTGCCATACTTCCCACTCAGAAACGCCGCAACGAACAGCGCCGGAACAAGATCCGGGTTAAACCCGTTCTGCAGCTGTCCCAGAAGACTCTGAACGGCAACTTCAGCATCCACCTCCGTCTCCGTCCACGTCTCCCCAGGCGTCCACTTCCTCACAATATCATACACCTTGCGCTGCGAGAGAACCGTATCATGAACCCGAACAAGACGGTTCCTCGTCTCCTCAGCCTTTCCCAATGACGCAACAACCGCCTTGGCCACCGTACTCAACCGACTAACACTAAACCCATGAACACCCCCATCATGCAGCGCAACAGCACGCTTCTCGAAATCAACCACAAGCGGCATAGTGAACAGCATCTCCAAGAACCCACCAACTGCAAAGACCGTATACTCGATCTCACCCGCATCCGCCTTACTGGCTAGATACTCGTGGATCTCCACGGTCGGCGCATGGAAGGGGGGTTTCTTCCCCTCTGGGTCGGACGTCATAGCGCCGAACTCGGCGGGGATGAATCGTTTCACGCCCACCTGGATTGCTGCGTCGATGGCTGGCTTTTGGAGCGGGACTGCGGATGGCGAGACGGTTGAGATGACGATGTCGTGTCCTTGTAGGGCGGTTGTCAGGCTTGAGACGGAGGCGTAGTCGACCTGTCTGGCTGTGGCGCCGGCTGGTAGGTCTCCTAGCGAGATCACCGATCGGGTGAGGACTGTTACGGTATATTGGGCTTTGATAAGTTCAGTAAGGAGGACTGAGCCCAGGGCTCCTTTCTATGGGAAGTCAGTGCTGGGTATGCAGTGGACGGGGCGGGAATGACTTACGCCCAGCAGGGCGACTTTCTGGAATGTGGTCATTTTGATGCCTGGTGTATCGCTGGTACTGTTATGAGTCTTCAAAGTATTGAGAAGTCACGGAGGTATTTATATGCCACAGATCGTGGTGTATATGGTATCTCGTCAGCCACTGGCTGACGCTGAAATCCCTACCCAGATGCGAATGGCTCTGGCTGATATCAGCCACAATATGCATCTGAACCGGACTTAGACGGCTACATCAGTCGCTAATGTCCGGATTAACAGCAATGTAATGAGATGCTAAACTGCTACAACGAAGACCACACCTGGCTAGTCCAATACAATGGCTATGCTGCGCTGCGATTTAAACTGTCTGGTCGGAAAACTGACCGACTCCTCCCAAGCAGCCGATATGAAACTAAATCAAAAGAGGAAATTCACTCGTCATTTAGCGCATTTTCAGCGAAATTGCCGGATAGCCAATCATGCTGTCGGGGGAGGATCGTATTCGGGCCCCTCGCGCTCTGGCCGTCGTCGCCATCGGAGATATAAGCCACGAGCCTCTTGACAAATTGGGATTTGACTCTTCCACCTTGACTACAATATAGCTGAAAATGACATCCCGGAGTAGAGGAAGTCTTGCGTGTGAAAACTGTCGCCGAAGACGGATTAAAGTTCGTCATAACCACTGCCACTGCCACTGCGCTATACTGATATTGAAAGTGTAACCAACTACGCCCACGATGCTCCCAATGCGGGCGAGCCGGTCTTCAGTGCTCAGGATACAGAGACATACTCGATTTGCACTTCAAAGACCAAACTGCTACTATTACGGGCAAATTCCTGCCAGCCAAGAAGCCACCAACACCTACTGAAAACCCCCCAAGCTCAACAGGAGAAACTAATATCTCATACTCCTTGACGGTAATAACACCAGCCATGGACATCGAAGAAATGGCCTGGAGGTACTACTTCACCAACTTCAACATCACACGCCCCAACGCCAGCACCCCCGGTAAGCCCGAGCCGTACATCGCGACCTCCTCGTCCGGGACATGTAGCGTCACCTCAGTCGGCCTCGCTGCTCTCGCAACTGTCAGAAAAGATCCGCATATGATGCATCTCGCGCGACGGAAATACTCAGCCGCGTTACGCTATCTTGCCCGTGCAGTTACAGACCCCGTCGAGCTGGCAAAGGGGTCGACGACGAGTGCGAGCTTTAATTTGTCTATGTTTGAGGTACCAATATACTTTGTGACAGCGCCATTAGCCTGTTTATACTAATGAGATAGATGATAATATCCGATACCCCCTCCGCCGCATACTCCTGGCTGAAGCACATCCGGGGCACGGCGGCCCTACTGCGCGTCGTGCAACTGCCCAGCCCAAATATGCTTTTTGCGATGGTCGGCTGTTTGCAGGTTTCTTTTACTGTTGTACGTCACTGAAACCTTATCAATTGTTTACTTGTCTTTGACGGTATGGCTAATATCACAGGCCGTCGGATGTCTCATCGCCAACCAACCAGTCTCGCGATATGTAACGAGGCTGGTAAAATCTTTCCGAAAGGAGGAATGTGAAGAAATCGCGCCGATAATTGAGCTATTCATCATCCTCAGTTCGCTTGTCAATCTCTACATCGAGGCAGAGCGGGTCGATATCAGTGATGATGACGGCAACCATCTCAGCTCCGCTCTATCAGACATCGACGCAGACCTGATATCCTGGAAGAAACGCCTCCCACCGATATGGACAGGCGATCCAAACACCGGGAGCGCCATCCACAGCGGAAACCCACTCTGGATACCCAAGTTATGGGGATACTACCAGCTCTGCCGGATTCTGACGCAGCGGGTTATACTGGACCATACGGTTCAATCTACACAGAGACGGGAGGAATCGCTGGCTACGCTATCGGAGATGTCAGGCCATATATACGAGCTTGTCCCGATGATGCTGAGGAGGTCGTTCTGTCCTAACTCCGCCTATCCCGAGCAGTGCCTAGGATTAACCTCCGATGTGTTCTTCCTTGTTACCATTCTACAAGCCCTGATTAAACTGACGGACCGCCGTACCGTCGTCGACGAGTGGGCTGGCCCAGCACAGAAACAGCTCGGAGAGCGATTCAATCTGCTGAGAGCCTTTGTCGCGAGATTCCTACATTAAATATAAAAGGAAGAGGGGTACAGACATCTACTCTCATTATCGTCACGACATCAACTAATCACTAGGCGGGCTAGCTACCCAACATGCTCATACCGATTCGCCGGCGCCTCCTGGATATGAAACTCCGTCGTGCGCAAGATCCCCCTAGGCACCTGCGGCTGCGTCGACCCTGTAATCGGCGTCTCGCTGTCACTCCCACTGCTGATGTTTGTTGCGTTCTCGCGGTCCCTCCGCGACGACACCGTCCACGTCAGTGGATACTCGACGTAGTCCCGCCCCACGCTCGCGAAGGGGACGTATTGCTGGTGGTCGCTGTTGCCGGTCTGGGTCTTGATTGGCCTTGACTTTGATTTGGATTTGGAGTGTGCGGCGCGCATGGTGCCGTTTAGTTCGTGGGTTGTGGACTTGCTGCGCTTGCTGGAGCGGTGGCGGACGATGATGTTGAAGAGCGGTGTTAGGGCGGGGATGCAGGCGGCTAGGATGATGAGATATTGTTCGAGGGAGACCCAGATGGTCAGGTTGACGGTTTCCCAGCTGTAGTCTTTGTAGGAGGTAAGGCCGGGGAGGTGGGTTGTTTTGATGATTGCGGCGATCATGGCGCTGGCTTGGTTAGGATGAATGTAGCTATAGGGGATGGGGAGGCAAACATGATTCCGAGTGAGAGGACAACGGCCAGTCCGAGCTTGACCTTAATTGCCATCTGCAGTCTCCGGATTGTGAAGAGGGGGTATATCGCGAGGATGAGATCTGTGAATGCCGATACAGCTGATAGGCGTTAGCAAAGCCCAATTTACAACAGATTATAAACATACAACTCTGGAAAAAGGCATATTTCTCCTGCGACCCCTCAGGCCAGCAGTGCCCTTCCACCAAATCAAAGTTCCATAACTTCCTCGTCGGGGTGCACTGCGCATAGATCGAAATGATACCACCCAAGTTAATCAAACTCATGACCCCAATCAGCGTATACAGCAGTGCCTTATGGTTATTCACGCCCCCGATAATACGGATCAGAAACAGCGCAACGGACACCTTCCCAAAGTTCGTCGACGCAACGTGAAACCCCTGCGACAGAACCTGGTACTTCACTGCCGCTTCCTTCTGGTGCTGCGTGAGATGCACCATGTGGCGGCCGGCACCGAACGCGACGCTGATGACGACCAGGATCGTGTTGATGGTGGCCATGAGCAGGGCGAGGAGGATGAAGACATCGTCCCAGCCCCAGGAGCGGAGGATGCGCAGGCGCACCCACAGGCGCAGGGCCATGGCGATGATGCATACGCCTAGCAAGGGCCAGACGACGGCATGCAGGATCCAGCCGCGGCTGGCGTCTGCATCGGGGTCGGACATGGCTGGGGGGACGCCGACATCGAGACGGACTGGGCGTTGAAGAAAGCGCAACTCGCTGTGCGGGGATGCAGGACGATATAGCCAGCATGGAGGGCAGACGAAGATCAGTGGAAATTAACCGACCTGGAGTGGTGATGGCGACGGAGTTGATGGAGTTGATGGGGATTAGGCTGCATTCGGCGTTTCAGGGGGCGATAGTGGTCGTCGACTGATGAACCTAATCAAATCCCAGCTCGAAAAGGGCCTGATAAGCCCGATTGTTTCCTGTTCAGGCAGCTCATCAGGACGAGCTGAACCTGTTTTGACGTGCAGGCCCACATCGCAAACCCAGTTGTGTGGAAGGTTGGCCCAAGTGGAGGCCGGCAGATGGCTTACTTCTACAGGGCACTAATTGGATGCACTCTTCAGATCGGCGTGCCTAAAGCATTGGCCAAACTATCGCAAACTGTCTGGGCTCGCAAGAGGCTGCTTGACCTGCAGGTGCTTCACGACGAGCCCGCAATTCATCGCAGCTGGCGAAGATCACCGCGTCCAGGCCGTTAGAACCTCGGCCTCGTCTCCACACAGTCCCTGGTTCAAAGTCACAGGCTTACCGGCTGTTAATCTCCTCGATGCGACCTGAGTTCCGACGGACTGACGCTATTTAGTCTAGCCAGGCCTCCCATCTTCTCATGACTCGAATATCCCCGCGCGTGAACCCCGTTCAGGGTCTGCAGTGGACCATATTGAAACATTTGGGATATCTCATTTGCGATCCCCTAACGGCCCACAGGGGAAATTGAAGAGCCCACAGCAGAATAATGATCAGACCAGTTCATGTGGCGAGCCTAGGTGGAGATTGTAGATTAGGTCCCTCAGCCTCGGAGCCGCACGTGTATTCTTTCATCAGATGGAGTTGCACCAGTGGTTGAGTACAAGTCTCAATATTGCCAGTTGTCGCAACTGTATTTTCGACACTGTCGCCTGAATTTCCTTTTATGGTTTCCATTTCTGCCTCCCAACGTGATCCAAACCAGCTGACCCTCATGCTCTGGTCCCTTCAACTTGTGGGTCGAATCTTATGCCTCTCTCTTTCGAGTCTGGTCTTCTGTGCCACCTAGAGTAGTATTATCGGTGCTTCATAGTGGTAGCTGGCTGTGCATGTAGACTATGGGCTAAGAGATTATACGTCGTCTACAGTAGGACATGAATATTTTCAAACCAGTAATATCAATATACTCTTGTGCTTCACTATCAAAACTCCCAAAGCAGCTTACTCTCAAGACCGACATGTCGATTATTCGTTCAGTAATCGCCTAATAATAGAACATACGTCATCCAACTCAACTATAGTAAGGGATCTGCTCACTGGGGATCCGACTAGGACGACGACTCCCACTCCCATAACCCACCCCAGAGCTTCTCCGCCGCTCATCATGTCGTTGTCGATCCGCCTCCAGAGTCTGGGCGAATTTACTGCGCTTGCGAATCGCCGGACCCTTCCAGTAGAAGATATAAACCGGAATCATCACGAGCACCGCTATGCATCCTAGTAACGTGCTCGCCCACTGCAGGTGCAGTCTCCCGCCGATATTCTGGTACATCGGGGTGGAGTACATGGTGGCGATACCGGCCAGAAAGTCTCGCGCGAACCCGTTGCCGCCTGTGGCGGATGCAGAGTATGGCCCGTATGCGGCGACCATGTAGTCGATTGTTGCCATGTAGATGCCGTAGTTTGCCATGGCTATGAGGCAGGCGAAAATGCATGGTGCGATCCAGGGTGTATAGGCCGGGCCCATGGTTGTCCAGGCGAAGCCCAGCAAGCCAATTGGCTCGAGGGGGCAGATGAAGAGTAGCAACAGGAGACGGCGTTCAGGGAGACGGACTGCGTTGCCGTGCTTGTGTCGAAGGCTCATTTGGCGCCAGATATCAGGCAGGAATATGGCGTATGCGATTAAGTAGCCGATCAGGATAGAGCCGAATGTCATGCCAATGGCCAGGACAGTAAAGTTCCATTGCTCGAAGACAAGGGTGAATGAATTGGTGAAGACGAAGATCAGGGCATCAGAAAACCCAGAGAGAAGAGAAAGAAATAAAACAATGGGCTCGCGAATAAACATCTCGAAGGGTCGTCGCCACACGCGCAAGACCTCCTTTGCATCCATCCGAACGTCCTGCAGTTCATTCGGCCCCCAGACATCGTCGCCATTCTTCCTCCGACATTTGGCCTCGCGGTCTATCAATATTGTGGCCCTGGTCTCGGGCACCATGAAGAAATGCAGGGCCTGAGTGACACCACCCACAATCAACTGGATCCAAAACACCCAGGGCCAGGACAGATATTGACCGATAATGCCGCCAAAAAAGGGCCCAACCGTGGAGCCTCCCACGGAGGATAGAACAACAAATGCAACAGCAAACCCCTGGTCTTCTGCTTCCCACAGATCGGCAGTCATTCCAAGTGTCACTGAACCTCCAGCTGAACTGACACCCCCGAGGACTCGGCACACTACGATAGTGCCATAATTAGGAGCCACGGCGCACGGAATCTGCCAGATATTGACCAGGAACAGAGAAAGCTGCATGATAGGCCATCGACCGAATTCCTCACTCCAGGGAGCCCAGAGCTCACAGCCAAAGGCGTACGCAACAAGGAAGACGGCCTGGCCAACACGAGCAGCCTGTTCGCTGATGCCAAACTCTTCGACAAGGCCTGGAACGGCATTGGCATATACACCGGTGTTGAAGTTCATCGACATCTGCACAAGGAAGATAACAGACAAGATCATCCATTTCTTCCACCAGGGGAAGCAGAAGCCTAGCTTGTCATAACAGTCATCTTCAAGCAACTCCCGCTTGCCACCGCGGTGGAGGTCCTTTTTTTCTTCCTCCTTGGTGAGCTCAGTGGATATATCTTCCGCCTGGGCCTGAGTTGGATGGTCAGAGGAGGCCGCCTGGGTGGCCTGGGGACCAGCCCTGTCGTGTTTGTCTTTTTCAGCATTACTGGACCCCATCGTTCTAAGTGATACAAGTGATCGCAGGTATTGATAGAAACACTACTGTCCTAACAAAGAGAATAAATGACTCGCGGTTACATGATGTCAATATCAACTGTGGCAACTGCGTCATCGTCCCCGACTTGGACCTTACCCAGCTGCCCGGAATTGTCTAATGCGGAGTTCATAATTTTGTGATTGCGTTTGAGGGTATATTTATAGTGCATTTGTATATTCAACCAGGTATAACGTGTATCTTCGCTACGTTTTTGCACCCGTCTTAACGCCAGCAGTAGAGAAAGAAACCTCTACAAAGTCTTGCATCGACCGAGACCCGGAGTACATCGCAAAGATTGAGTACAATCTGTTATGTGATTTCCCTTCTCACGTAATTCATTAGATATCCAGGAATAGTGAAGCTGGTAGACCGGCCTATACAACGGCTGCCCTCAGTCTTTTCTGCGGCGCTTTTTGTCTGGTTGTTCGCCCTCTGGAGTGTCAACTGAGTCTCCTAATTCCTGATCTTCATCCCCTTCATCCTCTTCAATCTCTTCGTCTTCTTGACGGTCTTCCTCTTCTCTCTCATCCTCCTCCTCCTCTTCTTCCTCTTCTTCTTCTTCCTCCTCTTCTTCCTCCTCCTGATCAAGTATAGCGTCATCTACTGCCTCTTCATCACTCTCATCCTCTGCATCATCCTCTGCCTCTTGATCATCTTCCTTATCCTTGCTAACGTCCTTCCTCTTCCTCTTTGCCGCCGCTGTATTGCCCACAAACTGCTTCCCCTTCTTCGAACCCTCCACTTTCTTCTCCTCCGTTTCTTCCTTCTCGCCCTCGTCTAACTCCTCCCACGCCTTCTTAGGCAAATACCGCTTGCGAGTTCCATCGTCCTGTCTTGCCGTTCCAGAGCCTTCTTTGGTTTGCCACTCCTCACCAGTCCACTTATCAAGATTCTGCTGCTCCGGCCTCTTCTCCTCTTTTGATGTAGTATAGTCACCCCCGCGGGCCTTGTACTCCGAGGCCGTAAGTTGCGCCTATAGTTTTAGTTTACTGGTTCTGATATGGATTATCGACTGAATACCTTTCGTGCAGACCACTGACCCGGCTTTCCACCTTTGTCGCCCTGTTGGACTTCGTTCTTGACCTCTTCACGTAGCTCGGGATCTGTATAATTCTTTGGGTTTGAAGGCATTTTGGAGATGCAAAACAATCAGCCTAATGGGGGATAACACTGGTTATAAGTCTTGGTTGTTGAATTGATATCTATCATCATGACGGCTAGGGCAATGACATCACGATCCATAACCACTCTACCACGACATTCTACACTTGAACAGCTTATACCCTTTCGATAACCCCCTTAACTAACTCCGCAATCCTCTCCGAAACCCCCGACAACCGTGGAATATCATGTCCACCCCCATGGTCAAACTCCACCCGATCGGGGCAAAACTCCGCCAACTGAATCCCGGCAGGCCATCTCGGATCCTTACACCCATAAACATGCACAGTAGGTATCCCAATCCTCGCCCAGTCAGGAAACCCCGTAAAATCAAGCCCAAAGACATCCTCCCTCCCCGGCCGATTCCCGGGGTCCGGGTCATGGATAAGAGCATCCCCATTCCCATCCCATAGTCCAACCCCGCGCTTTACCAGCGTCGTGTCCGCGGCAAATGTACTCAGCTTCCCCGCTGTACCGTTTAGCAATACCCCCGTTTCTTTATTGATTTCCTCCGCGCGGTCGGATATATCCAGGCCCATATCCCTGAGTGCATAGAGCGGCACCCCGCCACATATAAACACCGCTGCACGGAAGGGGAATCCCTCCCCATCCTGGTCGTCATGGCCATCAAAAGCGTAATAAAGCGCCATCGTCGCAACAAGCGAACAGCCCTGCGAGAACCCCATAACTGCATCATACGGTCCATTCCTCTTCACGTATTCTCGGACCCAGTTATGTGCCTCTCGCAGCCCGGCGGGCGTGGGCTCGCGGTACCATGTGTATGTTGGGGAATCGCTGTAGATGGCTTTTATGCCCGGGGCCGGGGCGCTGGGGTGCGGGGCGGAGACGAAGTCGAAGGTGTAGGAAGGGGGGAGTTTGGAGCGGAATGCTGCTGTTGGGAGTTGGTTAGATTGAGATGTGCTGGGGGGATGGTGTGATGGAGGGTACCGGTTTGGGATTTGAAGATTGAGCCGCTGGTGCCGTGCCCGTGGAGGCAGAGGATTTTGGGCATTGTCTCGTCCTCTCTAGCTTTTGGGAGGAAATCTGGCTTGGCTGATTCTGGTGCGAGGGGCCGGTTATGTTATATCTGCTGTTGCAGCGTGCTAAGGCATTGTGGCATGTCGTTGGGAAATGTGTCTATATTTATCACATGTGGGCTTGTGCGACGTTGGAATCCAGGCCAGAACAAAAGTCCCTACCTCGTAATGCCCCTCAGCATATATAATAGAGAGCTCTACAATCTGACCGTCGGAATTTGGCAGCCGATCGGTGACCGAAATCATAAGGCGCAGGCAGTGATATGCCCCGACATTGCATTCTTGGGTCAATAAACATAATTAACACTTCATTTAACCAGCCACGGCATCAACACTTCCAAAGGCTCCGTGTCGTCCTGCGTACTTCCAGCAAAACCCGGAAACCCAGCTTCAACCACTTTCTCAGTCCAGTCCCGGTATCGATGAAAGCCACCAAAATAGAACTTCGTTGCCGGCTTGCGCCCTTCTATATTAATGCCAAAGATCCAGCCAGCCGCGTCCTTGAAGAGCGAACCCTCCGAGACCTGCTGGCACATCTCACTCCACCGCTCCTCAGCCCCAGGCAAGGCCTCCATGACATGGTCCTGTCTGGCATTCTCGCTATGCAGGATACAACCCATGATAAACTCGACTTCACGCTCAAGAATAACCGGAAAGTTCGCAAAGGCGGCCTGTGGACCGGAAACGATGAACATATTGGGGAATCCAGAGCATGCGACGCCGCCGTAGGCTGTTGGACCATTTGCCCAGTGCTCCTGGAGTGACTTGCCCTCTCGCCCGGTTATTTTTAGGCGCAGGTAGCTTCCTTCCACCGCGTCGAAACCAGTTGCGAGAATCAGAACATCGAGAGGGTATAGGGTGCTGGTGCCGTCTGACTCACGGATCCTGATTCCCTCGGGCACAATTTCGTCGATTGGCGTTTCGCGGAGGTCGACGATATCAACATTGTCGCGGTTAAAGATCTGGTAGTATCCGGAATCGCAAAGCGGGCGACGGGCGTACAGGTCCCAGGGTTTCAACGCCGCTGCCTTGCGTGGGTCTTTGACGGTTTGGTCGATTTTGCTACGGATGAACTTGCAGGCTTCTTCATTTGCATCGCGGTTGGTGGTAAGATCGCCAAATGCACTGAACATGAAGCCGAAGGGCCCGCTGTGATCCCACGCCTCTTGGAATGCTTGCTGGCGTTCCTCGGGCGTTGCTTCCATTGTTTTACGCGTTGACTCATGGATGCCGAATCCGGTTGCAGAGTCCTGGACTTCTTTCCATATCTTGTCGTAATTCTTATTAATGTCCTCGCGACGATCAGCGGGCATGGGGCCCTGGCCACTGGGGACTGAATACTGAGGATGTCGTTGGAACGACACAAGTTGGCCCACGTCTGGCGCGATCGCGGTCATGACTTGGATACCTGTAGATCCGTTCCCAATAATTCCAACAGTCTTACCCTCTAGTTTTACCGAGTTGTCCCATCTGGCTGTATGAACGGTCGCCCCAGCAAATGTATGGACTCCAGGGATATTAGGGTAGTTCGGTTTAGCCAGAATACCCAAGCAATTCACCAAGTAGCGACAATGTACAACAAGACCTCCCGAGCAAGTAACCACCCAAACACTGCGGTCGCTATCCCAAGCAGCAGTCTGCATCTCGGTATTGAATCGCATGTACTTCCGGAGGTCGTGTCGCTTGACGATATGTCGGATATACTCAAGTATCTCCGGCTGGTAGAGGTAGTGCCTATCCCATGGGTATGACTGAAGATCCTCTTTATCCCATGAATAACGGTACAGGTAGGATTCCGTGTCGCTCATGGCTCCTGGGTATTTGTTCCAGTACCACGTACCACCGACATCCCCACCCGCCTCGATGCACTGGACCTGAAGGCCAGTCCGGGCAAGTCGATATGTTGCGTATACTCCCCCCATGCCCGCGCCGACGACAAGCGCATCGACTATGCTTTCTGCCGCAGACCCCATTTTTTTATGCCTAGTATGTTGTTGATACAGGATTCAAGGTCTCTCGGGAATTGTATCGTACGAGATATGGCCTTTTGGTTGCGATGTTGAAACTGCGACAAGATAGTCCGCCTAAGGCGAGAGGGAACTCCTGAGAACTGCACTGTTTATGACGTTTCATGCGGGGTTGTCTTGGTGCTTCGACGGCCTCAGTCTGAGGATCTGAGTCGCTCCTTCTGCAGACAGGTGGCAGGTGAAGAGAGCGGGGAGGCCGAGGGTATGCAAGAGCCTGCATCGGCAACTGCAGTTGACATTGCGAGTCAGTTTCATCCCATGTAGGACAACCTGGGACGCCTAAAACAGCCATGCAAGCGACTGGGGGCTCCCCGCATGACTCCGAGCTTCTTCATGGTCGACCACAAGTGAGAAGAGCCATACGAGCGCGGGCGGGGGAGATATTACCACCCAGTTATAAACACCATGCTAAGTGTTTCACATATAATGGCAATCAAGCGGAGAATCGTCCTAACTTTTGAGGGGAGCGGGCAAGCCTTCATGCAGCATTGTTAGACAGCATTGACACGCGTCAGGAATACCGGGTTGGACAGCGCAATTGCATGTTGCCAAGCGACCTCTCTGCGCTCACTCCCAATCAGGCTGTATGACATGTGCCAATCTCTGTCGATCTGGGCCTTTGGCCTGTATGGAGGTGCCAAGTGCAGGTGGCATCGCGCCAACAGCGACAAGCATGATAATCCTGATATGTTCCCATGAGCGGAGTCTGTCTTCCATGCTGTGGTGTGCCTTTCGATCATCTCATCTACTCAACCCACATCTGATTCCACGTCTCCCAAAAGTTCAAGGTCGACGATTCATCCAAAAGTGCATCAACCATGCTATTCATATCCACGTTCGGGTCGAGGTCAATATTATTAAGAACGGGATGAGTAGTGATGTCGGTCGACTGATCCTGGGGAACAGCTACCCCTGGAGCGGAGGCAGAGACTGGAGCAGTAGCAGCTCCTGTAATCTCGCCAGCGGCTTCTGGGCAGATTTGCTGGATGGCCATAGCAAATATCCCGCGATAGATTGATGCAACTGTGTATACCTTCTGGAATTCCTCCATGACCATCATGCATGCGTTGAGCTTGTTCAGGCGGAGGCGTCGCGATAGAGGGTTGCCTGAGCGGCAGTTGAGGAGGTGTATTTGCATTGCAGGGATAAGGAGCGGTGGTCTGCAGGTGTCAGTTGGTCAGGCCACGATGATGGGAGTAAGGGCAATCTATCTCACGTCATAGGCAAGGCATATTCGAGGAGGCTTTCTTGAGCGAGGGTCTCTAGGACATCGTTTGTGCGCGACGCGGCAGCATCTGCTTTGGTACGTATTGTTTCTTGCCATTGCATCTGGTGGCCAGGGGATATGTCATCGGGTGGATCAGTTAAACATGGTCGGTAAAGAACGATAAGAATTGCTCTGTAAGGGTCAGTGAGATAGTTTGCTAATTGGTCGACTTGACATACTCATAATGTAGTTGAAGGTGGTGCAGGTAAAACCGGGTAGGGCCATTCCAGTTGGGGCACTTTTCTGGAGGCTTATTGCGCAAGATCTCTGCCTCGAGGGCCTCGATCTGTTCACGCGAGGGCTTTGGTCGCACTGTCTTGTAGCTCAATGTGAGGACAGAGCCAAGTAGCCTGCTTAGCTGTAGCAACATGATCCAGTATTCAGCCAGAACAGGCAAGTCATCAGGGATGAAGGCAGAATAAAGGGATTCCGGAATATCTTTGAAATCGTGATATATATCTACCACTGAGGGCATAGCAACGTCGCAATCATCGAGATCAATGCGTAGCGGTCGTCCGAGGGTTAAACTCAGCCAGCGGTCGCGAAGAAAGCACGTCCACCAGAGACGTCGCCAGAGATACCGCTGTTTGTCGGTGATGGCTGCATTGTATCGGGCAGCGTCAGGATTGCGATGTAGGCCGAGAATCTGGCAAAGGCTGATAGAGACCCCAGTCCAATACCAAGGCTGCGCATGCTCGTCGACCTCAGAGTGCCAAAAGCCTAGCATCAGGGAAGCCTGCAAAAGCACTGTCTTGTCTCGCTCGCCGCTATTATTGTACAGGCACTGTTCGTAAAGGTTAAATGTGCCCGTTATCAACCAGAAACGTAACTTGCCTTTGCGTGAGAGTACATGGCCGCCTTCATCGCCTTCCTCGAACCATACCCTTCTCTCTCGCAGATACCAGACGGGACAAACTGCGACCAAAGTTAGTAACGTGCTCCGGATTTGGGTTTGGTCGAGCCATACGTTTACGGCGACAAAGAACACACTCCACACGAGAAGTAGGTTATACTCGTGAAGTCGGCCTGCGTGGAAGAAGTACAATATCTGATCCGCTTCAATGATTGGCACAATAGGGTGTACATGGCGGAAGTACGCTTGAAGGAGGCATTCGCAAGCCTCACTGCTAGGAAGATTGAAGACGCCTTTACTCTTGAGATAGTTGCGGTCCTCCTCGCAGAGCGATTCGGTGACGCGTGTCGGAATTAGCAAATGACGTGCCAGAGACTCTCCGGAAGATAGCGACAGCGTAGATGTTAACCCGGTTTTGTCACCTAGCAGCATATTCGTTAGCTCCATCGTAGCTGTTACCAGAAAGTCCTTACCGGTGTAGAAGGGCACTTGTCCAACTCGTCCGGGGTTCCCCAAGGCGGCCGCTGCGATCTCGAGCCCATTGCGCTCCTCATCCTGGATATTATATCTCTCAGCATACCCATCAATGGCTGATGGCCCTGCTGAATGTCTCTGGAACGTCGGTGTAGAATTTGCTGTGGCGTCGGGGCGAGGAACGATTCCCCCAGTGTTCGCGTCAGCGCGACTAGGTGGACTGCTAGTAACAGCCCGCAGCGACTGCCGCATCAAGCCATTGTGGCGACTTGTTCGAGGTCTAGCTGGCTGGTTAGGTGTGAAGTTTCCCCAGTCTAAGAGGGCAGTCTTCTCACATTGAGGATGTGTCGTCCACTACACAATCGGCGTGGTCTTGGGCGCAGCGGATGCACGGCACGCCGGTAACGTTGATGCTACACCGGACCTTACGCGATCGACAAGAGTGACAGGCGATGGTGGATCGATAGCGCCGAGCTGACATGGCCGAAGAAGAATGTTTGTTGTTGTAGAAGGAAAGGAACTGACCGGGATGCCGCGGGAAGAAAACCTCGGAATGTCTGCCTGACTTTTGCCTGAACTGGGGCCTGAAGTCAGTGCCGGGCACCGGCCGATCTCTGCCGAGATTGAGCCGAGTCGCCCCAACTATCCATGATGCACCTTGAAATATGTTATTTTTGTCTGGTCAGATGAATCGAGATTTCTGTGCTAGCATAAGATTGTGTCGAGATCCTGTCTACTTTTTGGGACGTTCGGATGTCTGAAATGGACCGAAACGTTGGCGATTTACAACTGTCCACACTCTATATATATATATGACAAAGTGCCTGTCCACATTTACAAGGCATTCGCTAATTCAATATAACTTAGAAATAATAACAGGCCTTCCTCGATACAGGCTTTGATTTTTTCTTATTAATATTTACCTGGCACTGTAATCTCAACTCCAGAGGAGGCCTAATAAAAAAATACATCTTTCAATGCAGGTTCAGAAACAGAATATCTGATCCGACATCTTCGCAACAGCCCCAGGAGCCTGGAATCCCATAGCAACCAAAGCCTTCTTCGACGCATTCACCATCCCTGGCGGACCACAGAGCATCACCTTGCAGTCCGGCGCCGCAGCGGGCAATCTCTCCTTCATAACCTGTTCAGTAACGAACCCCTTTCCAAATGACCAGTTGTCCGGCGGCGTATCCAGCATATACCAGATCTTGAGGTTCTGGGGGTAAGCCTCCGCAAAGGCCTCCAGCTCTCGACGGAGCAGAATATCTTCTTCTGTCCTGTTCGCATAGATCAGACTCACTTCAGTCAGATCAGTGGGATCCTCGCAGATCGCTCGGATGAGCTGGTACATCGGTGTGATCCCGGTACCTCCTGCAATCATGCCAATTTTGTTACACAGACCCTTGGAGTACTTCATTGCACCCTTGGGGCCTCGGAATTGAACCTCGTCGCCAACCTCCAGATTCGCGAGATACTTCCCTGTCAGCAGGCCGTCGGGGTAGCATCTGATCACTAGCTCCAATAGACCCTTATCCAGGTTATTCGATGTTGGGGTGTATGATCTGGATACTGAAGTCCCGTCGATATTAGCCTTGATGGCTACGTGCTGGCCGATAGGAAGCCCAAGGACGTCCTGGGGGTTTGGCAACTGGAAGATGAATTTGTAGACACTCGGTGAAAGAGCATCTTTGCGAATGAGCGGGAGACTTTTGTATTCTTTTGCGTCAAGAAATCCTTTCACGAGGTGGGGATTCGTCCGAGCGACTTTGCGACACTTCATGTACGGAGGGTATTTTGTGAAGCCGGACTTGACCTTGGTGAATTCCGATAGTTTGCTGGCGAGCAACGAGCCGACGACAGTGAAAATGCCAGTTGCGGCTGCAAAACCCGTGTAGAAATCGCCCGGGGTAAATCGCGTGCTGGGAATTTTGATGTTTCGAAGCTCTGAGATGATTGACGGAGAGGTTGGTAATGTCGCATACAACCGACGACCAAAGTACAATGAAATAGCTGCTCCGCTGATATAGACTGTCGCGAGAGCTGTGGATCTGAGCAACCCCGAACGGTCCGTAGAAGGTGGTGCCGGAGGTGTAGGTTGAATTAAGCGGACTGCTTCTGGGCGAGCTCGTTTCTGTGCACCTCTTAGTGTGCCGATACGGTATGTTTGGAGGATCTCATCGGCGTCCTAAATCATTGATTCGCGTTAGTTTGAGAAATACGAACAGAGACTACACGGTACCCACCTCTGAATGACCGACATCTTCGTACGCTTCGGTCGCATCACTCCCAGCAGCTTCGATAAGAACATCGGCGCCTCCAGGGTGATCCCTAACATACGGGGTGATGTCGTATACTATACGTCAATTAGTGAACACTCCAATCACCCAAACTACTGGGATGGCACCCACGCAAGCTTACCATTTCCATTAACAACAACCCACAAGTTATCTCTGGTATTGTGACCAGCGACGTCGTGTGTAGTGTACTCTTTGATATCTGCCATTGCGAAACAAGTGTAAATGATCAAGGCAAGAAGAGCAAGAATTGTCCGGCCGTCGATGAGTAAACGCGAGAGCAGGATGAGCACAGTCTGGACTTATATAGCTGGCAGCTATCTTTAACACCAACAGCCAAATACTCCTTCAATCTTTTGTTGATCCACCTGTTGTCACCGCGCCAGCATATCCAATTTGTCGAAGCCGATTGGCCATTGGAATGCCGCGGGATCTCCACTGCTAACGGCCTTGACTGTTTCAGCCAATAGGAAGCACAGAATTGAGACACGGCATCGGCATTCCCGCGGCAGCTTTTCGGGATCCGCCCAGATGTGGACCATTTTATATTGACAGTGGAAGCTAATGCGTGCTGCGAGACGTTTATAAAGGCAGACAATGTCATTAAACTCAGTATTGCTGGTGCAGACTTTTCAAGATACGTTGGTCACTTGAATCATGTCAAGCCAGCAATTCTACCTCTTAGGAGAAGCGGCATCGTCCGCCAAAGCCATTGAAGTCGACACCAAGTCAAGTGTTGAACAGCTCAAGAACCTTGTCGCCGCCCACTTTGCCATTGTCGAGCCAAATGGTCAGTTGTAATTTCTTTCGCAGCGCGACTAGTACATGCTAACTTCACCAAGGAATCGGGTTCCAAGCAAACAATGAATACCTGATGGAAATCGCCGACATCGTTGCCGCCACAGAACCAATAGGCATTAGTATCGATGGCAGCGGTGTACGGGAACCCGAAGGCCCCAGCGGTCTTCCATACGTGGGTAACTACCTCGAGGTGTATCCCGACCACCTTGGCAACCACCAGCGCCTGTTCGACCGATACGGCCCAATCTTCAAGACGACCAACCTTGGCCGTATAACATATCAAACAAACGACCCTACAATCTCCGCGATCGTCTTCTCGGAGTCGGACTTCTTCTCTAAGAAAATCAACGAAGCACACCCACTCCATGCGCTCAAGACGCCTGCTGCTGGTGTCTTCTTAGGCGACACTGACACGCCCGAGTGGAAGGTAGCACATAAGTTCTTGCCGCCAGCCCTTGGACCTAAGGCAGTGCGACACTATGCGCCGACGATGCAGCGGACAGTTGAAGATGCGTTTACGGTATTCGACGCCCTTGACGAGGGTGACCAGGCATGGAACGTGTACCAGTATATGTTAAAACTGGGCTCTCAAGCCGTTGGGAAGTTGACGCTTGGACTGGACTTCCAACACTTCACAGAGCCCGGTGCGCCGGTTCATGAGATGGTACATGCCATTGCTGAGCTGCTATCACTTAATAAGGAGGTTACCTCCAAGGGTGACTGGTACGGCAAGTTGCCATTCGGAGCGCCCAAGAGGCTGCGGAACTTGAAGTCACGGATCGAGGAGATGGTGCAAGAGTCTATCAATAGCGCAGCACGAGGAGGAATTACCGACTTGCCGCTCCAGGAGGCAGCTCTGGAGGCTTCTAACATGGTTGGTATGTATTGCACCTTCTCTTCTGTCCTTTTAGAAAGAGCTAATGATGCTCTCCAGACTACGCTATCCGCGCTACAGATAACAAAGGCGAGAAACTACCAAAGGAGAGCCTAGTCTGGGCCCTCGTCGTGGCAACGGCAGCTGGATTCACCACAACCAGCTCTCTCCTCTCATGGCTGATATACGGTCTCGTCACATACCCGGGGATGCAGGAGCGACTCCTCCAAGAACTGGTCGACAACGGCATCACAGAAGACACCGAGCTCACGGCCGAAATCACGGACAAGCTCGTCTTCCAAGACAAATTCATCAAGGAAACACAGCGCAAACACAACCCATCCTTCCAGCCCGGCCGAACCGCAAAGGCCGACTTGGTTCTTCCTGGCGGCTACAAAATCCCGAAAGACTCGGTTGTTATTCCTGCGCTTCACCATATCCATAATAACCCTGAGATATGGGATAACCCGGCCCGATTCAACCCTGACCGCTGGGATACGCCTGAAGTGAAGGGGAGACATAAGGCGGCGTATATCCCGTTTGCGATGGGGCAGCGCATGTGCATTGGGTTTAACTTTGCGCTGCAGGAGGTGAAGATCTTCTTGCCGAAGCTGATCTATCGGTATAACTTTGTTCGAGAGGGGAATGGGCCGATTGAGTATGATCCCATGTTCCAGTTGATTCGACCGAACAACTTGTATGTGCGCGCTGAGCGGAGAGTCAAGTGGCCTCCGAAGTCTACGGAGTGAGGAGAAGAAGGGGATAGTTTGGATTATATAGAAGATACATGTAATATTGATAGAAATAGAACATCTTATCGTTTCATTCTTACATACTCCATTCCACAAAACCAAAAAAACAGGATTAGCCTAGAAGTACTGAAATTGTCGGTATAGCTGTGCAACCAATGTGAACAGCAGATACACTGCAATACTAGAGCTCAACTACATCCGACTCACAAGTAAGACATCAGCGGAGTAAGGCCCGAGCAACTGGATAAATCAATACTATTTTTTCCTTCACCGTGCAAAGAATTCGACTATGACGGACCGACGGTAGAAGCTTCCAGGTCCACCCTGGCAGCGTGCCGTTTCATTTCCGAGGATCCATAGGTACTACAGACACACCTGCCAACAAGACAACCAGCAATAATAATCCCTCACCCCTGTTCCGGAGCAGTCCCGAGGGACGAGTCGACACGGCATGCCGATACTCGGCATCGCGGTTCCGCGGGATGACGAGTGCCGGTCCACAGGGCATACCGCGGCAGGTTTATCGGCACAACGTTGCTGGTTGGATGTAGATTCGGGATCATGGATATCTCGGAAGTGACAAGCCTTATATATCCAGTGTTTTGCAGTAGCCGTGGCTTTTGATCTTCAAACAGACTTTGGACTTATTTTGCATCACCACCATACATACCATGCATCCAACCTGGTCACCACCAAATGACTACCAAAACCGCCCTGTCGCGGTTCTGGGTGCTGGAGTCCTTGGAAGGAGAATCGGTGAGTTTTCAAAATCTTTATTCTGAATACACCATTAACTCTACAGGCTGCATCTGGGCCTCTGCCGGCTACAACGTCCACCTGCGCGACCCCAGCCCCGAGCAGCTTACCGCTGGCATCGCCTATATCGACCAAGAAGTGTCAGCCTACGCAACCAAGACCGGTAGATCACCAGGCAAAGCACAACCATTCACAACTCTCGAAGATGCCGTAGAAACAGCGTGGCTGGTGATCGAGGCCGTCCCCGAGAAACTCCCACTCAAGATCTCGACCTTTGCTGAGTTATCGGCTTGCGCGCCGAAGGACTGTATCCTAGCTTCCAACTCCTCGTCATACAAATCATCGGAGATGCTGGATAAAGTTCCCGAGGAAGTCAAGCCGCGCATCTTGAATATGCACTACTATATGCCGCCGAAGTGCATGATCGTTGAACTGATGACGGACGGGTTCACCAGTGAGGAGATTTTCCCGTTCATGGTTGAGAGGTGTCGTGAGGGCGCGACAGCGCCTTATGTTGCAAGAAAGGAGTCGACGGGGTTTATATTCAATCGTCTTTGGGCGGCTGTGAAACGCGAAGTACTTACTATCCTGTCTGAGGGAGTGTCTGTGCCTGAAGAGATCGACGCTATGTGGGAGACTATGTTTATTGAAGGGCGTAGCTTGCCTTGTAAAATGATGGATCGTGAGTATTTTCTGATTCTCCTATCGTCTTTGCGGTTATTTTACTAACCATCGAATAGAGGTCGGTCTCGACACCGTCGCCTTCATCGAGCAGCACTACGTGTACGAACGCAGCCTATCCTCCGAAAAGACCGTCGACTACTTAACAACAAACTACATCGACCAGGGCAAACTCGGAAACAAATCGGCCAAGGGCGGCCTGTATCCTCCAACCCAACCAGAGACAAACGAGCACCGTATTCTAGCCCTGGACGTCGGACTTGCGGCATCAACTGCTACCACATCTGTCGGAACACCAGTGGGCCAGATCCTCTCCTTCACCCCGGATGGAACGCAGCACTCCGCACTAGTTGATCAGCAGCTTCTCCCAGACGGAATCACGGTGGATTACGGCACAAACCGTCTTTTCTGGACAAACATGGGTATTCCGGGGCGATTGGACGGGTCGGTATGCTCTGCCTCGCTAGATGGAAGCGACATCCGTACAGTCATTGAACCTGGGACGATAAACACACCTAAGCAACTCACCATCGACAGAGAGGCCAAAAAACTGTATTTCTCTGATCGAGAGGGGTGCGCGGTGTATCGGTGCAGCCTCGACGGGTCAGAGCTCGAAAGATTAGTCTCACGACCGCAGAAGACGGACAGCCCATCGGACGTGCGGGACTGGTGTGTTGGAATTGCCGTCTCAGGACAGTATAATAGGTTCTACTGGACGCAGAAGGGGGCACCGAAGAGCGGGAAGGGGAGGATATTCAGCGCGCCTATTGATGCGCCGCCTGGTGTCCTGGAGAACGGGTGTGATGATAGCGAACTGTGTATTTTAAGTGGACTCCCTGAGCCGATTGATCTGGAGGTTGACGAGGAGAGGGGCGAGCTGTACTGGACAGACCGGGGAGAGTTGCCTTTCGGCAATGCGCTGTACCGAGTCAAGCTAAGCGAAGAGGGGAGCCCAGTAGGAAAGCCCGAGATTGTCACGCGCGGCCTTCATGAGGCGATCGGATTGAGTGTCGAGAAGTCTGGCGATATTGTTTTGACCGACTTGGGTGGGAGTATCTATCGCTGTGACCGCAGTGGGAAGAAGGAGGTTTTGTATAGCGAGGATGGACGGGCCTTTACCGGTGTTCTTAGCATTTGATATATACAGATAAAATTGGGTAGCTGCAGATAAATGCCCCATATTGCATTATCGCAATGGGTCTGGTTAGAAATGTAATTCTCCTGGTAGCAATATCTCCGCATTCCACGTCTGATATCAAAGGCACAATAACGAGGCGAGAAGGGGTCTATACTTTTCAACTATATACAACAAATCATGAGAGTATCCACACAACTAATACACAAATCAAGAAACAAGATAAAGCTCCACCCCCCTCTCAAATGCTAGCTCCGCAACGCCAACATCCCTCCCCTGCTCCCACAACGACCATACTTCACTCAACACATCAAGCGTCAACTTACATTGCGCATAAGGATCCTCTTCAACAAGTGTCCTGAGCGTCCCCTCAATCATACCCCTCCACTCCGGATGTGCACGCATAACATCAACATCCGAACCCGCAATGACAAGCGGATACCGAATAGCATTGAACACCACTTCATCATCCTCGTCCATATCCGGAGCTGCACGGTTCAAGGCCTCGATTGCACCGACGATCCGGCCAATTACAACCTCATTCGACGTTGATTCGTTTCCACTTACTCCCACTCCAGGATGAGAGTTCCTCCTCACAGCAAGAATACCCGCAAACTGGTACGCCTCCCAAAGCTGCATCTGCGCCGCACTCCCCTCCTCACCAGGCCAGCACCAAAACCCGCTTTCGATATCCTGGTCCGGACTAAACCCAATACATGAGAACAAGTCAATCAGCGATCGCGGCAGGCCTGTGATCGGCTCAATTCCCCCTGTACTGACTGGACCAAGCCACGTGCGAGAGCTCCCCCGGCAGTGGTGGTACCAGATATGCATTGGTGGTGAGCGACGACCGGCGACGAAGGGCGGGAGGTCCATTATCCCGAGAGAACCGATTAGAGAGTGACAAGCTGGGTCGCGGGCGTGCAAGATACTGCTGTCGGGCGGGGAGTGGGTGAGGTGCTCGTAGAGGCCGTGGACGTGGAAAGTCCACGGTTTACCATGGAAGAACTAAACCAAAATGATCAGAAGCGTTAATAGCAACGGTGTAGTTTAGTATATTAGTAGTAGACATACACTAACGGTGCAAAGTAGATTCCCTGCAGCCAGAGTCCCCTGGCTCAGGACATCCGTGTGAGCCATTTCCGCACGGAAGCGCTGCAGGGCGATGTCGAAGTATTCTTCGAACTGGGCGTGTACTTCTGGCTCGAGGAGGGTTTGCAGGGCGACGCAGACTGCAGCGCAGGCTTTGGATTCCTGGCACCATATCTCGACCATTGTTTTGAATACATCTCGAGACTCTCGTATAGAAAGCAGGTCATGGTGGCCGGAGTGGAAAACTAAGCAATAAATATCGGGGTTAGTAGACGGGCTACTGCGAATCGTCAGAAGTATAGAACATACACTTCTGGAGCAGTTCACTGGCTTGCAGCTCTACATTTTCCGGTCCAGGTACAGGAGTAGACTGCTGTGGCCGGGGCTCACTAGAACCAGCGACAGTCTCAGATCCAGCAACAGACACCCTAGGGCTAGGGCTACTGTCAAGAGCACCCAAAACAGGCCGTTCAGCACCAGCAAAATGCCCACGCGACGCAATGCCCGCACCCCATCTCAAACGCACTTCATAGCCCTCACAGGGGGTACCGCGCCTCTCGCAATTGCGACAGCTGGGCCGGGCTCCATCGCACTTGCGCCGCCGCCGGCGACATGACCAGCAGCCCGTATACGAGCGTTGACGGGGAGCTGTCATGCGGGCCGCGATCAGGATCAATAATCAATTCATTCATCAATCCTTAATTCAAGCAGCGCTTCGACCTGCCGGGTGGTGGTTAGGGCAGGGGGGCGACCTGAGGAAGCTAAGCTTCTGACAGGTCAGAGAGTCAAGCATGCGGTTATTAGTATGGGGGCCAGAGAAGAATTATCCCGGCGGGGCGTGAGTCACGAATGAATTAGGATAATTAAGCTTGGATAACGGTCGCCAGGCACCAGTTCAACCAGCTCGCCACCTAAACTGGGGTTCCGCGGGCGCCGAGGCTGCAACTGCCTGAAGTGGCACCGCCGATCAGGATAAGCAAATCGGGGACCGCAATCAGCTAAACCGCCGGGATGCGGAGTGGGCTGTCAAAAGTGTTTGAGACCTAGTTTTAGTGTTCCGGCTGGTGGTTGGTGTTGGTGTTGCGTGCTGGATGGGTCCAGGGTCGACGATGTAAAACATGTGGAGCTGGCGGTGCAGACTGTCTCAAGTCTCAAGCTTTTTCTTAATTCTGTTGCCTGGACTCTCTCCATATGGTGGTCGACCGACGCGTATATTTTCAATGGAAGAGTTTAAATATACCAGTCATTTCCCTCTTTGACGGGTATTGGGGATTCCTGATCTCGGCATATAGAGACATGCGACCACGAACCCTAACGAGCGTCAAGAGCCTCAAGATTCAAGAGACGGATTCAAGCTCAACGGCATTGGACCCTGACGACCCGCCAATGACTGGCCAATAGAAATGTACTTCCAGCCCACGTGCATATTTGGCAGCGAGAAGGATTAACAGACTGGATTAGGGCTCCCCATCCTCAATACGAACCCTCCCCTCCGAAAGTGAAACAAAGTCAATACTGGCCCAAGATCCCCGATCTCATCACCTTCTACGGCGCTCTATTAATAGTCCTTCTATTTATCCGATACTTTGTCTCCCGCCTTCTTCGTCAGTGGCGCCGAAGAGAGACGCGGTCGTCGACGTTTACTGAGGAGGTGCCTGTTTTCATGGTAGAGAATGATATAAAGAAGTCAGCAGCTGGAAAGGGGGACGATTGACATTGTGTATGAAGAAATATGGGTTTATTTCGAACATTTGGGCGCGGTTGGAAAGGCGTTATGGGAGTAAAAGCTGGTGATCTGGTTTAACGTACAACTAGTCTTAACTATCAACTATTGATGGCACCAAAGTAAGAAAGAAAAATCATATATACTATATAGCTACCACTCATTTTGCCCCCGCGGAGTCAACCAGGCAGGTGCTCTCCCTGTAGCACAAGATGAAGTTTCGCTCGTCCGTAAAGCCAGTTAAACGTACACAACCCGTCCGGAGCTGTTGTTGGGGTTAGCAGGCGATTGGGAATTGTGGTCCATTTCAGAGAAGATATCAAGATTTCACCGGATGTCATAAAAATAAGCGTAGTTCGGTACAGCAGCGTCTCTGGATTGAGGAAAAGTCGTAAGTTGACACTCTTCTCCTTCCTCAGTAAGTCTCCATCACTCTTGCTCAGCCGGTTCAATCTTCTGGGCTCACGATATTGTGGTATCCCTACTGTCACTAAGCAGACAAGATAATGGTGCCGTCTTGCCCTGCACCATAAATTTACACTGATGCAACCAAACCGTGCAGACCGGTGGAGTATGTGGAGCCGCCCTGGCCCTCGGTCGGATGCATCGATGATGTCATTCAAAGACCCTGCGTGAAAACCATTCAGACCCTTACAGATATCAAATCGAGATCTGTCGACATACCTAGACGCAGATTAGCGTTCTCAGACTATTGGCTGTCATCTATCCATGGCGGGTGGTTTCGTACAGTACCATGAGCCCAGCAGTGCGTCCCACTCGCATTGACGATTATATAGCCCACTGACAAGCGCAGTCGTCCAAGTCCTGGTGCTCATCTCCTTCTTCCTGTTCCTTTCGCTCGCAGAATGGCTCTCAGCGAAGATCATCCGCGCCGGGATCATCGGGCACATCGCGGTCGGAATTATATACGGCAAGCCGCTGGCCGATATCCTCGAGCTTGAATGGCAGGAGACGTTTATCGCGCTGGGATATGTCGGGCTGATCCTGATTATTTTTGAAGGTATTCCTTCTAATATAATTCTTTCATAAAATACGACATTGATAGCTGATAACTTGACAGGCGGCCTCGGTGCTCGCATTGACTTGCTGAAGCAGAACTTCGTGCTCAGCATGGTCGGGGCAGCGACCGGCGTGCTTTTTCCGATCGGGCTTTCGTATCTTTTGTTATATTTAGGCTTTGGATATGGGCCTGTCGAGACGTTCATCATCGGCGCTGCTCTGTCGGCTACTTCGCTTGGTACGTGCCTCTAATGAAGCCTTTAGTACCATGACGCCTTTCAATACTAAACAGAGTAGGAACTACGTTCGCCGTTATATCATCCGCGTCGAAAACAGTAGACCTAGGCCAGACTCGCGTCGGGTCAGTTCTTGTCAGCGCAGCAGTCATCGACGATGTCGTCGGGCTCGTGATGTCCAGGTTTGTACCTTCACCACAACCACTGTCCACTACTTATAAGATCGACCAGCGTCATATCCGACCTGAGCAAACTGAATAGCGGCGCCAGCGTCAATCTCGGCTGGTTAATCGGCCGCCCGATCGTGGCATCAATTGGCATGGCAATCGTCACCCCAATCGTGACAAAGTACCTCTTCGCGCCTGTCTTTCGGCGGTACATCGAGAACCACTTCGCGCGGTACGATCACATCTCGAATATTGTCTTGATGGCGCTCGTTCTGTGCGCATTCATAAGTATCGCCGCCTTTACAGGGACATCGGTGCTCTTCGGGGCTTTTCTCGCGGGTACGTTCCTGACATACATACCAAGCAAACACCCCGAAGGACCGTTCGTCGTGATGAGTCGAGAAGAGGGCGAGAGGGAGGAGCATAAAAGTCCGACCTTTGTACATACCTTTGAGCGGTATCTGTTTGATGTGCAAAAGTATCTCATGGAGCCGCTGTTCTTTGCCAGTGTGGGCTTCGCCATTCCGTTTGTGCAGCTGTGGACGGGCAAGAGGATATGGCGGGGGATAGTGTTTACACTGTTGATGGTATTTGCCAAGGTATGTCATATTAAAGCTAGTTCAGCTGGGCAGCGTACTAATTGTTAGTTCATCGTTGGCATCTGCATACCTACCTGGCATGCTCTATCCGCAAAGTCCCGACGCCGCTCCCCCAACCATCCAGCTCCTAGCACAGATGAAACGGCAAGGGGAGAGACGCGAAACGAAAAGCAATCAAACTCAGCCACCACAACCGTGTGGCTCTCCGGCCTCCTACTCGGATCCGCGATGGTCGCGCGTGGGGAAATCGGACTCCTGATCATCGAAATCGGGTACAACGAGACCTCGTACGTGAGCGAGGACGGCTTCATCACGGGTGTCTGGGCGATTCTTCTCAATACCATCATTGGGCCGGTCGCCGTGGGAGTGCTGGTCAAGATTTACGGGAAACGCATTGGGAGAGGCCCATGGGGATTGCAGCTGCAGGCCGCGCAACAGACAGACCCTCAGTCTGCGGCTTAAAATAGCTCTTTCCAGCCGGTTCCGGTCCAGTTCCGACCGGTTCCACTGTCAGGAGGTGTTTGACCAGACTCTTGGGCCCCTGGTGTGGAGTGGGGACGATGTTGGGAGTTGCTGGCATCAACTAACTCCGGAGTTAGCTCCTGTTTAACTCCCATCTGTTGAACCGTGTTTGTTGGCGAGTTCAAACCCACTCTTCTAGGCAATTCTATTGGCTGTCTATGGCGATTGAAATTGCGGCTGTCATGAAAGAGACAAGGCTGAGGCTTTCACCGCATGGCAGCCAACAGCAGTGGAGCCTCGTGTTGCACAGCCTGATTGTACAACGCGCCATGGCATTGGGGGCCATTTTGTAGAGAGCAAAGAAGAAAACGAGAGAGCGTGCTTGTTTAAAAGGCTGGCGATGTCCGTGGTGTTGAGTTGTAAATAGTGACGCCTACACTGCTCTGATAATATAAAGCCCTAACTGCCATCTTACTGCGGACTCTCCGTACTCCGACAAGGTGCTTATTTCTTTTTCTTTAATCTGTTCATCCGTAATTGCAATCCCCCTAATCAACACTGCCTCATGTATCCACCTCTCTCTCAATCATATTTGAGACCCCTGCAGCACAGTCCAGAGTAACGCTCCCTGCAGTGCTCTGTCGGACTGAACCACCATGGCCACACAGCAGCAACAACCACGCTTTGTGCCACCGCGGTTCTACCGCCAGTACAACCTGCAGAACCGCCCTGCCCTGCCCCCTAAGACTGGCCCCTCGTCGCCAAAATCGCGATCGCGCGCTTCCACCTTCAGCAAGCCCAGCGAGACCACCGCCAGCACGAATGGCCAGCTTCAACCGCCATCAGCCCACCAGAGGAGTGTATCCATGACCTCGCCATCGAACAGCAGTATCAGCACCAGCGACAGCGACAGCAGCACCAGAACCCCTCCTACGCGCCCGGCCCTCAGCCTCATCCTGCCCAACCCGACCACCCCGCCAGACTCTCGCTCGCCTTCACAATCACACCTGCGATCGGCAAGCTACACCATCGGCCAGACCCAGGGCCATCTTACTCCGACATCCCAGCCCCAGCGCACAATCAGCGAGACCATGCACACCAGGAATCCAACCGTGCCCAGTATTATCACCACGCCGGTCTCGCCCACGGATGCAGACGGATCGCCTGGCGATACGCGCACGACCAGCAATACGAGCGACGCCCCAAAGCCTGCAGGGAGTCCCCGCACCAGAGGACCTTCGCTTAGCGCCGTTCGTGCTGTCACCAGAGAGACGCCCCTTCATTCGCATCCACGGTCTCCGAGCGAGAGCACAACAGCCAAAGAAAGCCCTCGTGAGACTGCGGAGGAGCAAGCCGGACCTGCTCCAACTGCAAACTCTGAATCTCCGCTAGTAAAGCCAGACTCTCCAGTCAGGTCGGAGTCATCAGCTAAGTCAGAGTCGAGCGAGACTTCCAAGACGACAACAAAGCAGGCTCCCCCACTGCCCAGCCAGCCAGCCCCTGAAGACATGGCGCCTGTGGCAGACCCGCCGCGCTCCAGGCCCTCCCAAATATTCAGCGAAAATTACTCTTCCAATACAACAAAATCCGAGGAAACGAACTACTCTCCATACCAAAATGCCAGTGCACAGCCCACGAGAAACTCCATCGCGACACCAACTGGAGTGCGGTCATCGATGCCCGAACCACCGACTCAATCGCACGTCCAAACCCGCAACTCGCGTCTCTCATTCACGACTCTCAAGTCGAATCTGAGCCTGAACACACTACTGCAGTCGCAGCCGTCGGGATACCAGGCATCAGCACCAACAGCGCCCTCCCAGTCCAGCGGAAGCACAACATCAACCTCGACCGCACCCTCGGCACCCCCTGTACCTCCTGCAATCCCTCTCCAGCGTCAGCCAGTATCTCCTCCATTATCACCACTACAATCAATACCAGTGCAGCCACAATTCCAGCCTCCGAATACCAATCCCGACCCAAATCCCCACGACGCATCCTCCCTCCTAGCCCTAACGCACCACGTCCACACCCAAACCTCGCAAGCCCGCCACCTCTTCACCGAACTCCAGCACTACCTCCCCTTCGTCGAGAAACAATGGATCCAATCCACAATCGGCGACACCGAGGCCGCCGCGCGCGACATCCTCCTCCTCACCGAGTCCATGCGCATCGACCAGGAAACAAATAACGGCAAACTGGGTCTCAAGACGCAGTTCCGGTGGATGATGCGGGATTCGAGACGGGCGAGGGAGCGGAGGGAAAGATTGGTTCTTTGCCATGCGAGTTTGGTAGCTGTGCTAGTGAGGCTTGAGGGTGTTAGGGCCAAGGTTCCTGAGGTGGGCTTCCCTGCGTCTTTTGGTGAGCCGGTTGGTATCGGAGCTAGTCCTACCTCTGTTCCTGTCGCCCCAGTTGAGATATCGGCGTCTTCTCCTGCGGTGCAGAAGGAGTTTGAGGACGAGATTCCGATTCACAGCCCTCCGCCTGTGAGCGCTCCTCCTCCTCCACCGAAACAACCCACTACCACTGCCACTGCCACTGTGAATGTCGAACACACCTCGCAGGTATATCCGCCTCCACCAACAGCAGCACCACCCCCGATTCCAGTCCAAATCGCAGTGCAAAGAAACTCCGACGATCTACCCTGGGAACTCCCAGTGCAGCTGCAAGACGCCGATAAGGAGCTGGTGGTAAACCTAGCGCAACCGCCACCTGTCCCACCGAAAGTGAAAATCGAGGAGCATGCACATTCAAATCCTGCTGCCAGCATCACCACTGCTACTCCTACTACTACTACTGACAACGCTAATGGAAATACGGGCTTCAATTCCGTCACCAACGGCTCCATCATCAGCGGTGCAGGCACCGAGACAGCGACAGGGACACCCAGAACCATGAGCCCCGTTAGTCCCGAGGGATCCACGAAACTCGATAATGAATTGCTGGATATGCTTGAGTGGCGGTGGAAGCAGGGGCGGGCCGCCTGATCTTATATTCGTATATTAGTTATACATCTTAATCTATACAGGGCAGGTTGCCTGAGGCCGCGACCTGCCCAAATGTCACCTATTTGCATGTTTAGCTATATGTCCCAGATCTTTGAGCCATCTATTGGATCCCTGCTCCCATGTAGACGCTACCTTCGTCTGTTAGCAAAATACTCCGTCTCATTAGACAAGAAATCTTGTGCAGGCTATCTACAGCAATTCGAACCTTTCCCTCGGCATTTCGGTAAGATGTGGGTCGTTTCTCCAAATCCAGAGCGGCACAGACACCCAAATCGGGGCTATTAGATATCTTCGGGGAAATTTGGCTATATCGATCGGTCTGCAAAGCAAGTATTGAGATGCCCAAGATATGGAGGGATCTCCCAGAATCGATGGGTCTCACCGGCCAAAGCGCGCATCTCGCGCCTGCCAACGCTGCCATTCTCGCAAGGTCCGATGCGACGCCACCGTGAATGGCTTCCCTTGCACGAACTGTCGCTTGGATGCCGTCTCATGCCAGGCTTTCTTGGGTACGAGAGACCGTCGGAAAGAGCTGGCGATGGCGCGTGCCCTCGCAATAGCAAATGGCACCGGGAAAGAGCTTCTGCCGTCTAGGGCTGCCTCTCGGCGTGCAGGCCGGGCTCGGATCTCAGAAGAGGACACTCACCCAGTCCCACTGGCGTACTCGCAATACCCATTTATACAGCCTGTTGCGATGGATAGACTGGAGCGCAGCAAATCCTTGCTCATAGAGACGCAGGATTGCCTAAGTTTACCGCAGAAATCCGAGGTAGATGCCTTCATCCGCCATTACTTCTTATATGTCCATCCGTTCGCTCCGCTATTTGACGAAGCAGCGTTCTGCAGGGCGTACCGCGATGCTCGGCCGGGCAGCACGCAGATCTCGCTCACCGTTTTCCGCGCGATGATGTTCTCAGCAAGCTGCGTAGGTGCAATCCCCTATCCTTCTGACTTAGTCAGCCTGACAGCGGATAGTTTGTCCCAGAGGAAGTGGTCAAGAGGTGTGGTTATGCCTCTCTGCTCGATGCCCGAGATGATCTGTATGAAAAAGCCAAGGTGCGTTGAGTATCACCACGGCGACCGATAATAACCCACCCTGCTCACGGATATAGCTATTGTATGAAAGTGGCGTTGAAGATGACCCGTTGGCTCTTTCAACAGCAGCGTTGTTGCTCACGTATTACTGCTCTGACTTTGAGGTATATGCCAACTCGGAATGGCTGCGCGTCGCGATCAAACAAGCAGGAATCGCGCAGGCGCGCCAGGCCGAATCCGAAGATCATCGAGCAACTGCTCGGGGGTCAGAATTGAAGCGAGTATGGTGGTGCTGCTTGATCAGGGACCGCATCATATCGCTTGGGATGCGGCGTCCGATTCAGATTACCGCTGCACACCTTGAGCTCTACCCGCCAATGCTGACGAGGAGGGACATGTACGACGAGATATTGCATTCCATAGTCTACAAAGAGGAAGTAAAGTCAGGGCTCTTCGAGCTGCTTGTTGGTCTGTGCCACCTTGTCACAATAATTACCGATTTGCTAGCAGTGGCCTACCCCGGGCCGCCGACAGATAATAAAATACCAGTCCGGCTGAATGACCTCAACGAACTCGACAATCTGAAGTCGTCGTTAATATTCTGGGAGCTGGACTGGATGACGCACATGGACGGGAAGAACTTCGGACTACATGCGTCCATCCCCCTTTTCGCCGGCCTACTCGGAATATACTACCAGTAAGTTCGCGAACAGCTCCAACTCAGGAACATGGCTGAAACAGCGGTAGATCAGCTCGGGTGGCACTTTGCAACCGTGTCTGCCTGGTACTGAACGAGATAGCGGACTACACGACTGGGAATATCCAGAAACTGGCGTTCTGTCGATCCGAGCTGGTAGCGGCCATTCGGTCAATAGCAGACAGCGTCAGAAGGCTCATGAGCATCAAGGCAATCGACAAGCTTCCTATCAGTGTGTAAGTTCTTTATCTTGTTTCTCGATATCTTGCTTGTCTTCGGGGGGTTGATATTATATACTGCATTCGCACATCCTCCCTTCACAGTCAGTAATGTGATTAGGGCCGCATATACAACGACCCCTTACATCCTACTGTCCATCGACTCGCAAACCTGCTGGCGAGATGTAGGGCAGAATCAAGACACGCTGGTTTTATTCTCCGCCGTCAACAGATCACTTGGCTTGCGGTATCACGTTACTAGGGTATCGAACCTGATTGCACGAGCACTATGGGTGTCCCGATTGCTCAAGGATACTCAGCCAGGGGTTCACAGAAAGCTTCAAACACAAGCAGACAGGAGCAATCATTGGAATATATTCACACTTCCACTACAGCAGTATAGCCGACTACTTCAGTACATCGATCATTCAATGTCAATCCCCCAAAACTCGGAACAAGAGACAGGGGTGCTATACGCAGCAGTGTCTAGGCCCTGGGAGTCGGTTCTGGAGCGTACCCCACCGCGACCTGATACCTCTCGTGCGGAACGAGAACTGACCCCAGTATGGATGGAAGCAATGGAGAATTTCTTCTGCGGACCCGGGAGGCTATTAAGCCTGCCGTCATCAAGTGCTGTAGAAGAGTCAGAAGCATCCTGCAGCACTGCGGTTTAGGAAGGCCCCATTCCATTTAGCAACATTGATCTTCCCGGCGCGATAGACGCGTGTCTGTCATTACTGAGTGAGTGAATATGACATGAACAGCTCACGCTGTGGAATAGTTTGGGGTTTCTTGTTTGTTTCTTATATCAATGTTTGTCGATTACGTGTTGTTAGTCTATCTAGATCCTAGCCTTTAAGTAATTCGCCTCCTGTACATCGCACCCACGAATTGGCAGAATCTGGGGGACCATAACGGCCGGGTGGACAGCTATACATACATGCTTATATACCGACATCCATTATCTGCCAAGCGGAGTTGGAACGATGGCATATTTATATCGAGACAATGATACCCATAGGTGATTAGTATTACTAATAGAGGAGTCCACTGGATCGAGACACTTTACTTCACATAAGCTCATTAGAAGTACGATTGTCTAAGCCCTGGGCGTATAAGCGACCTTCTCCCCCTCGACCAGAACCTGCGGCGTCACCAACAGCCCACCCTTCTCATCAGCGACTTTCAAAACCCTTGGTACAACACGAATCTCCGCAGTCCCTGAACCTCCCCAATCAAACTCAAACGAGCAAGGCTGTGAAAACAACCAGACTCCCAAATCCGCCGCCGAACACGCCAGCGTCTCCAGATGCGATGTGCGTTCTTCGGGCGTGAAGCTTGGGAAGCTGTACGGGTTGAATGCGGCTGTGAATTGACCGGCTAGGGATTCTGTTGCTTGGATAGGGGATTCTTCGGTTATGGATGTGGAGGGCTGGGTTTTGCTGTTTCTGTTGCTGCTGCTGTGCGTGGTTGTGTTGGACTGTGTCTGGGAGTAGAGGTGTGCTGTGAGCATGCGCCAGTTGAAGACTGCGGCTGAGCCTGTGATGAAGGTATTATTAGCATTATATCCAAGAAAAGGCAAGTAGAGTCAGAGTGGAAGGAGGTCAACGTACCACTACTGCCATCAACAACTGGCATATCCGCAAACGCCCTTGGGAGAAGCTCGCCGTTCCCATTGCCACCGGGTATGATTCCCCGTAAGATCGTCCTCACAAGGGCATACTTGATGGCCTGCCTCCGTATCTCCCGCTGGCCAAGCAACGTCTCAATCGGCGCAGGGAGGTCAGCCGAGTTATACACCGCCAGCCGGGCACTCTGCTCGCTGGATAAATGCGCAGGCGTAGAACCAGGGACATAATAGTTGTCAATATGCAGACCCGCCTGGTCGACCAGAGTAAGAATGCGTCTGCGGACGGTATCGTCATCAGCAGGTTCCGGCTGAGGGATGATATCGGCGAGTGGAAAAGCACCCGATTTCGATTTGGATTTCCTGTGTCGAGTTGCAGCGCCGGCGAATGTGTCGTCATCGATCTGTTTGGCCGGTTTGGCATTTCGTCGTCGGAAGAAGAGGAATGCCAGCAGGAGGGTGACTAGGGCTGTTCCGATGATGCTGCCGACGATTGCGCCTGCTAGCGCTCCGTTGCTGATCCCGTTGGAAGATTGAACCGATCGGAGAGCGGTTGTATCCTCATTTGCAACGCTAGAAGAGGGCGAGGCAGGACTTGAATCCGCAGATTTAACAGGTCGTGTCGCATCTTGTTGGGTTTTCGTCTCCTCGGGCAGGGTGCGGGTGACGGGGGTAGATAGGTTCGATATCCATGTTACATACTCCTCAACTGTCTTGGTGGAGACGATAAACCAGGTTGATGAAGCCGTTGAATCATTTGGTGGCGAGAGCGAAAGGACCGTGGTAGTCACAGGCCTATGCTGTTCATCGGTCGAGGTAATCAGCTCTAGGGTTTCTGTGTACCAGGTCGAATTTGAAGCCATGACGCCGGTCCACGCCAGGGAGATGGTAACAAGTTGAAAAGGAAAAGCCCAATACGACGCCAGAAAGGATATAAGGGGCTCACAAGGCTATAACAAACAAAGGAGCCGCAAGAGCGAAAAGGACGACAACAGACAAATGGCACTGCCAGTTGTGCCCCAAACGCAGCAATCACTCCCACTGCAGCCAAGGCGCTTCCTTCGCAACCCTTGTCAAGAGAGACAGTCAGAAACACCCAATTGGCCCAGTCTGATAGCCTTGCACAAACCTCTCCCACTTGGACTGATTCCATTGGCCGCGCCCGAAAAACAAACCATGTCGGATTACACCAGAGGCTGCGCCGCAGGGAGCTTGCACTGGTGTTGGCGCTCTATTGGCTGCTGTCGGTGCTTGCTCTGAGTCTGTGCCCCTGTTTCAATTAGTCGCTGGTCTTTGTCGCGAGACCTCGCGGCGCGTATTCCGTACTTATTTGTGCCGAGCCTCGCGATTTAATCTCCTTAAGTCCGTGGTGACTGGTGAGGCTGTCGCTCGATTATATCACTCGGCCTCATGGATGGCAGACAAGCGAACGGCCACTCCAGCAGCAGCAACTCAATGGCGAGTGCCAATGTGAGCTCCAGGTCGAGCGCGAGGTGGGAGGAGGAGCGATTCCCGGACATTGTGGTGGGGATTGATTTTGGAATGACGTGCACTGGTAGTATCCCAACCCACAGCCCTGCAAGTCTCCCTGCTAATAATACTGGTGGACAGGCGTCGCATACACGATCGGACCGGAATGGGGCCCTCCGAAGACAATCCAGCGCTGGCCTGGCAAACTGCTCAGCGAACTCGCGAACAAAGTCCCGACAATGCTGCTCTACGAGCCGGATGGAAAGACAGTCAAGGAATGGGGATTCGGCTGCGACTCCGCGGACGACGGCGCCGATATCAAGGAATTCTTCAAGCTGCACCTGGCAGTGCAGTCCGAGGGCGATGGGCCGGGCATCAGCAAACAGGAAGCGAGACGGTGGTTCAAGGATTACATCGCGTCGATCTACAGGCACGTCGTGACACATTTCGGCAATACAATCCCCGGGTTCGAGCGCATGCGCGTGGAGTTCATCTTTAGCGTGCCGACGACGTGGAAAGACGTGCGCATGATCGAGGAGATACGCACCCTTATCAATGCGGCCATTGGAGGGCCGCATCATTGGGCTTGTATAGGGCTGACCGAGGCCGAGGCGGCGGCGGTTTATGCTTGTCGCGACTACTACCGGACAAGTGATATCGTGCTGGTTTGCGACTCGGGGGGTGGGACGACGGTATTCTTAGTCTACCTCTATTTTCACAAACAGCTAACTGTAGTAGGATGTGAACGTCCTGAAACTGGCATCAGACCGCGGGCAGCCACTTCAGCTGGAGCAGCTGGGGAATGTCGAAGGTAATTCTATCCAACATGAAAGAATTCAGATATTAAACCAGTAGGACGCCCGATCGGATCCGTCTTCATCGACCGTGCAATCTACAAAATCATCGTCGAGCGCCTATCGAAAGTGAAAGACGAGCTGACGCAGACCCCGGAACATATCGCCTGGAAGATGCTCTCCGGCCCCTTCCAACGACTCAAATGCGCGTACGGCACTGAAGCAACGAAGACGCCGAGTCTGACCTTGGAGGTTCCCAGCTTGAAAATCCTAGGGGCTGATCTTCCGACTGCAGGAATTTATTCCGGACAGATGCGGCTTCAATGGTTTGTCTCTCTCGTTGCTGTATGTTGATATGCTAATTATGCAGGGAGTACATGAAGCACGCCTTCGACAAGAAGATAGGAGAGATGTGCCACTTACTCGATGGCCAGATACAGCAGATGGATACAAAGTATCCGCACACTCGAATAGTCAGTCTACCTCTTACAAAGGTAGATGTCGCTGACAATTCCAGTCATATCTCGTGCTATCCGGTGGCTTCGGGAGTTCACCATACGTCAGGGAGTGCCTGCACCAGCGATACGCCATCCCAGGCGTAGCAAAGCACCCGAACGTAATGGGCCTACAAGTCCTCATGGTCGAAGAACCGTACGTCCCCTATCATGTTTGGTAAAGCAAGCTAACAATACAGTCAACTCGCCGTCGTGCACGGGCTCGTCCTCGACCGCATACAGCAGCTCAGGCAAGGAGTCGTGATGTTCGGCTCGCGCTGCTCCCCTGTAAGCTATGGCATTATCTGCGACCTTCTCTACGACCCGGTTAAACATTTGGGTGAGAAGGTCCGTCGGGATCCACGCGACGATAATCTCTACGCGATTGACCAGGTGGAGTGGTTGATCATTCAGGTATTTCCCATACTCTACCACCACGTACAAATACTAACAGGCTAGGGCACCGCGGTCCCTCATACTGGAATATCCAAAGACTTCCAGCTGAAAATGAAACCCGGCGAAGAGGATTTGCCATGGAAAGTGCACATCGTGATGTCGTCGAATCCGCCGTACCAGCTCCCCCAGAGCTTGGGAGGTAAGGGCGTGCAGCATGTCTGCAGCCTGGACATCAACACCGACAATGTGGACCGAAAGATGAAGAACAGACGATGGTTCAATATGCGGCCGCGGTATTGGCGGGCGAACTTTGATGTCAAGGTCGTTGTGGGGGCGGCAGACCTCACGTTCCAGCTGTGGTCGAAGGACCAGAGGATCAGGAGTGGTGGGCATGAGCCGATTCGAGTGCAGTGGATGCCTGCGGAGGATGTGAATGGGATGGTAATTAATTGATTGGACTCTAATATCGGGTACTCTCCATATGGAGACCACTTCCATGTAGAATATCAATTTAATAAATATTAACATCTTAGTTCACAGGGCATTGGGTAGTTACTTTAGCTCCGATGAATGCTGGGTTCCTCATCTTTCTCAACTCCCAGTGGCGTCAGGGACACTAGCATTGCTGTACACACACTTCAGCTCCAGGCACACTATTAAACTTTTCATTTGAGCTTACGACTCAGTAGGTTAACATATGACCAAGAGGGTGTGGAGCCATCAACCTTAATATGAACTCATCATCAAGCATCAGTTTCGCGGTATACCAGGTGTATCTAGCATCATGGACATAACTACATGTGCAGAAGCTAGTCAGATATGGGTGTAGGAGTACTCATATAACATCCGCATTATCAAACAAAACCTTACTCTCGTCGGGGTCTACTCGGTATCCTCGTAATCCATCGGAGCGCATAGCCCTACGCCCCGGGGGCTTCTAGGTGCAACTTCATGGCCGGTGGTATCCCCGCTAGCTCGCGCGCCCTCCTTTCCTCTTCAATCCTCCTAGCATGCTGCTCCCTTGCCCCCGGAATCGTCCGACACGGAATACACTCGGACGTATTCCGCCCATCTTCCACAGCAGCCTCATCAAACTCCCAACAAGACCGACAAACGGCATACTGCTGCCCGAATATAGCAATCTGAGAGCCAGGTGTATACCGTCTAGAGCCATATATAGGGTCTGGTTCGATACCACAATCAACGCAGAACCGCTTGCGGACATCCTGGGAAAGAGAGAGTTTGGATCGCCTTTTCTTCACCATACTGTCGGCGAATTCCCCCCTCGGTCGGAGCCGCTTACAGGTTGCGCATGTGTAAAAGTTTAGCAGGCAGTCCAAGTCAGTGTACTCGAGTTTGAACAGCTCGCTTAGGGTGGGTGGGGGGATTATGGCGTAGAGGGCTGGGCACGATATTCGCATCCGCATACGATCAAGAGTGTCGAGATTTTGCGCTATTAGGTGGGTCAGTTCAGTTGGCAAGTCGAGGAGCCCTCGCATTGTTGAAGTGGCCATTCCTGAATCTTGAAAGGCAGATGGATCGCAGTGTTGGGAAGAACCTTTCCACATGGAGATGACTGTGGATGTCGTACTGGCAGAGAGGGTCTGCGGGGCAGAGATTCTGTTCAATGCAGTGCGATAATCCCTGTCAATCATGTGAGATGCAGGTGCAAGGTTATCATATACTGCAATAGACCATACGGACTACTCATTGCGGATGTATCTGCTTGACATGCTCTCTATCCCTCGGACCACGCAATAGAATCGCCTGCCAGCCAGTGGGCAGCACTTCGTCCTCAGTGTCTCGTCAAGACAGTATCGCCCACTCTGCGGAGAACAACGGCGTACTAGGAATTCCGGGCAAGAGAAAGTCGTTGGTAAAGGCTAGGTTGGTTAACTCCAGAGTAGCAGGGCTTATTTAAGATAATATTCCAAATGCTTTAGACAGTATAGAGGGTAGTAGTATATCAGGCAAAGACAATCTTGCTTGTCATTAGCAACCATCCTCCCCTTTTCCCTTTTAAGACTAAATATCTGTTGCATAACTGCGTTAATACGAGGCTCAGCCATGTTACCAAATTTGAGTGTCTACGACGTGCATACAATAGAGTTTGGTACTTTTGAAACAAAGAAATCCAATTAAGATTTGCCCCAGTCAACCTTTATCCTGCCCTCTGATTAGAGGACGATCACATTCCTGTTACGAAGTTGTTCCGCGATGACAATATGTCTCTTTGTGCTGGTTGTTCGTGTCGTCATTCACTTGATAGGCCGCTTCCTTTCTCCGTCCAGCATTCCACAGCGAACGGACATGTCCAACCGATCGAGAATCCTTCCATGGGTAGGTCTGGCCTGTCATTGCAAATCGCAGCCTTAGATTCGATCCTGTCAAAGTCTATTAAGGTCGAGTGTGAGCCTGGACTTCACACGGATTCCCCTCAAAAGACAGAACATTTCTCAACCTGCGTTGCCCGTCCATACTTTACGGGCAGATGGCCGACCGTCTTCATGGCGGATACTGCTCAGGATGAACTCGGCCAGTGTGCAGAAGGGCTACTCGTGGGCCCGCATGGGGTTTTGACTCTGACCTGGGGCCAGGGATTCGTGGTCGGCGCAATTGTCATCCTCTGTTGTGTGACGATATCGAATATGCGAAGAAAGGCGCTGCTGCATATATTGATCCTCACTGAGGTAATGCCAACATTTTCCAGTTTTCAAGGAAGGGGCTCATGATATCCAGCTAATTTTGGTGTCTCTCCACGGCTTATGGGTCTTTGTCCAGGGTGATGCATCTGGCTGGTATCTGAGCGCCACAGCAACGACCCTGTACATCTCATATAACCTGCACAGCATCATCAACTGGATGAAGGTGAAGCCCTTTCTATCTAGATGGGGCAGCCGGTTCTACATCGGCACAATTGTCCTGGTGATGCCCTACTGGATAGCATCGATGTATCTGAACTTTGCATACTTCAACAATCTGGGAACCGGTGTATTCGCCCACACAAGACCCTGGGAGGCGCTACTCCGTGAGCCTTGGTGGGTATTCACGGCGCTGTATCTCGTCTACGTTATTAAACGGTGTTACGGGTTCGGGGTATGGGAGTTGGTGCGCGCCAATGCACGCTTTTTCGTCCTCCTTGCTTCAATGGCAATCTCCATCGCCGTGATCATCGTGGATATCTTTGATATCTCTTTCTTTCCGGATACGGGGGGTAGGAACATCTACTGGCAGGCGAGTTTTCATTCCTATCTCAACTTCTGCCAGATCTAACATGCATACAGATCTCCATGGTTTTCAAATGTGTCGCTGATGTGGTCTTTCTTGATGACTTCAAGCACGTTCTCGATCGGCTTACCGCGAAGACAACGGGAAATTTCCTGGGTATACCTTCAGACGGACCCAATCCACCTGCGCAATTTCTCACAGGGAACGAAATCCTGATGAGTGGGACGCTGTCGTCAACGCAGCGGAGCGGTGGAGATGAGGAGTCATTGACGCATATAGAGGATCAGCAGGTGTATAGGCCTGTGATGCCACCAGGGAACGTTCATCTGAATCGTGGATTTACAGCCTTCGTCAAGGATTGACTGATCTTCAACAACCCACTGGACATTATACAAGGCGGGACCTTGAATAGATGATTTCTATTATTAATACTTGTAATATAAGTGTATTCTATGGTTCTATTTTTGAATATCTCATTCCGCCTTCTTAGAAGACTTCGTCCTCAATGCCATAAACAAAAAGACAAGCGCATACGAACTGAGGATAAAGATCACGACAATCGCCGCATCCCTCCATCCAAAGTACCAGTCCATGAGATTGATAGTCCGCAGGTAATCACTGCCTCTTGTATACGGACAAACCCGACACTCAGCCAACGCATCCGGATTTAGCAAATCCGCCCCTGAATCCTCCAGGTACGCACCTAGATAGTCGATGCATGTCGTATTACTAGGCGGGTTGAATACCGCGAGTTCGGTATCAGTGCATCTGACGTCCGCGTCAAATATCGTAAACGTGAGCATACCCCCAACCAGGTACGTCATGGGGTTGATCCAGTACGTCCAATATTTATAGAACGAGACGAGCTGGACATAGGGCACAAGAATACCGCAAAACGAGACCATGATGCCGATGATCAGCGGGTTTACAATAGCTGCAAAGACCGGATTCGGCGCATATGCAGCGATGAACTGCCCGATGCCCGTGTATAGGAATTCGTAGGCGAAGATCACGAAGAAGCTCGCGCCGGCTTTGCTGCTGTCTGAAGGGAACCCTACGGTGAAGTACCAACAGACGAAATACAGAACTGCGCATACGCAGAGGTATGGCATTTCCGAGATAATGAGGGAGGCGACGAAGGCCTTCCAGGAGTAGATTCGTGATTTCTTCTCCCGGGCGTCATATAGATTGCGCCTTTCGATAAAGAGAGGTTGGAGTTGGTTGATCACACCCGGTGCAACAAACATCCAGACGAAAATGGTGAATAGTTTCAGCTGCAGCTCGCTAACTGTCTCCCCGATATTCCAGTATGTGAAACCGTTAAATAGACCGAGACCAATATGCAGAAGAAGCTTATTGTTAATATACCCCGTATTCCGGAACAGGGCCAGGTTCATTCGCCGCAGGACGATCTTTGTTTGGTATAGCAGGGGCATTGCGTATTCAGAGCTATCTTCGTCAACTGCAGGCGGTCCCTTGGACTGTGCTGTACCAATGATACCCTCCAGTTCAGTCTTTGCTGATGCGCACTCGGGCGATTCGAGCCAGATGCGAGCCCAGTCTCTATCGGATTTATGCCCAGATACAACATCTATCATATGCTCCGCTGGATTTGTACCGACAGGACACGGCTCGCCGTTCCGACTGAAGTAGTCCTTCATAGTCTGGCATCCAGTGCCAATGTCGCCAAAATAAACCGTTTTCCCACCGCGCGTGAGGAGTAAAAGCCGGTCGAATTGCGAGAATAGCTGTGCTGACGGTTGATGAATGGTAACTAGCACCGCCTGCCCGACGTCCGCCAGCTTTCTGAGAAAGCGAACAGTGTTGAAGGCAGATTGTCCGTCAAGGCCCGACGTTGGCTCGTCTAGGAAGATGAGCGTCTTTGGCTTTGAGACCAGCTCGACGCCAATGGTAAGACGTTTTCTTTGCTCCACGTTGAGCCCGTTCCCTGTTCCTGGCTTGCCGACCAGACTGTCTGCTATATCGTGGAGTTCGAGCAGATCAATCACGACATCAACGTACTGCAATTTCTCTTCTGCTGGGGTATCACGGGATTGGCGAAGCAGCGCAGAGAACTCCAATGCCTCCCGAACGGTGGCGTAGGGCTCGTGCACATCGAGTTGCTCAACGTAGGCAGCGGAACGCTGGAACGATATGGGAAGAGGGTGTCCGTCGACCAGGATAGACCCTTCAATCTTCCCCTCGGTCTTCCTTTGGGCAAGAACATCTAGGAGTGTTGTTTTTCCCGCCCCTGATGAGCCCATGAGAGCCGTTAAGGTGCCAGGCTTCACCCATCCTCGCACATCATCCAAGAGGACCCGTGGACCAGAAGGCGTCTTGACGGTATATGTCAAGTCGCTCCATGTGAAGACAGATGTATTCCGAACAAGCTGCTTCTCGAGTTCATTTCCATCACCCACCTGCGACGATCCCTCGCCAGATGATGTATACTCGGTTCCCTTTTCCATAGTCTGTGATTCTTCATCCGCTTGAATCTTCTGGTGAACCGCCAGTCTCTCACGAGGAATAAGCAGCGATTCCCCAGACTCACTACTATCCTTCCACCTCATCACCCCAATGACAGTAATAGTCAGGTAAAACACCCACCACGCACACACAATACCAAAGTTCCGCCAGACATTCGCATGGCTATACGATAGAGACGAGAGATACTCATCCCCAGTCAGGGAGGTAGCCCCCTGCTGCGCGCCTCCAACTCCAGCACAGGACGCGTACTGGCTTACATCGGCATAGCCATCGCCATGAGGAATCAGGTTCGGCCCTGTGCACGGTAGCTGTTTGAGGTGGAACTCGTTGCCCATTAGCGCTTCGAAGCCATACGAGATCGGGTTGAGCCAGTAGATCCAGTGGAACCAGGGGTGCATCTGCGTCGCGTGGATCTGGTATCCGGCGTACATGGCCATGATACTAATGGTGTATCCGGAGATCTGGGCTGCGGTGTTGAAAGAGTTTAGGATTGCGCCGACGGCGCGGAAGAGAGCGCATGCGGCCATGTTTGTCACGAAGAGGATTATGAAGTATGTGAAAAATGCAGCTGGGGAGAAGGTTAGGCCGACCATGAAGTAGACAATTAGGGACCAGACGGTGACCTGGAGGAGGGTTAGGGGGATGTCGGATGCGACTTGGGCAACGCAGATGGCTGCGGGCTGGATATATCCAAAGGATTTATGCTTGAGGATAACAGGACGGCCGGTGAAGGAGTCTATAACCTCTGACATGGCTGTCATGCTGTTGTAGAGGACGGACCAGAAGAGGGCGCCTCCTTTTAAGAATATACCGGACGAGTCATTGGGGGCCATGTAGTACATTGAGCCAGCTACTAAGGCCTGGAGGAGATTTGCTCCCTGCTTCATTCCGAATGTGACCAGATCTCCCCCGATGATTTGGTATTGACGGAGCACGCATGCCCACACCTGCGAGGCAAAGCTGACAGTATAAGCGCCCTTGGAATACTTCTCTAGGGCAACGCTTTCCTGAAATTCAACTGTTCGATTGTACGCTATCTCTGTCGTCGGATACTCGTACTCGGCCACCATATCCTTGAATATTTCGGACTGTTGATAACGAGCCAGGATAGAAGTGGCGTCTCGAGGAAACATGCCCTCAAATCCAGGTCGAATGTGGCGTTCAGTAGGCACGGTGACACCAGTCAGAAAGTCTGCGACATTCGCACCGTCGTCGCAGATAAATCCTAGATCCTCGACAAAACTGCGTGCCTGTTCTCGCGGGCCATAGTATATTTGCTTTCCCTCGTCCAAGACCAGGACTTTGTCGAAAAGGTCATATATGTGATTTCCAGCCTGGTAAAGGGTAACGATAGTCGATAACCCGTAAACATCCGTCATGGCTCGTATAGCCTTTGCCCATTCCAGTGCATTACTGGCATCAAGCCCTCGGGTGCTATTATCCCAGCAGTAGGTAGAGGCCCGAGACGCAAGGCATTCCAGGATAGAAACTCGCTTCCTCTCGCCACCAGATACTCCACGGATATATTCATTTCCCACCTTCGTGTCGGCAGTATGTGAAATTCCAAGAGATTCAAGCAGAAACCGCGTGGCCTCGTTGTACTGCTCGTCTGAGGAGTCGACACCTCTAGGAAGATTCGCAGGGACTTTGGCTCGCGTCGCAAAGTTCATCGTGTCTCCGACGCGCAAAGTTGGAAAGAAAACCTCCTCTTCACTGTTCATGAGGATCTGCCCTCGATATTGCTTGGCTTCATCGGGTCCCATCGAGCCAAATCGTACATCTCCGCTGATCTCGTGGAAGCCTCTGCGATTATTCGAAAGAAGTTTCAGCAGTGTCGTGCATCCTGAGCCCGGGCGTCCTAGGACAAGCAACATCTCACCAGGCTTTACGCAGCCATGGCTTTGATGCAGGATGGTCTGCAGTGGCGGCTTTCGTCGCAGCTTGCGAAGACGACCCAGGAGGTCGAATTGGGATACACAGTTCTCGTTGATGGCAGCATCGGCGGCCCCAACCTTCACAGTCAGGTCTTTCCATGTAACCCCCAGTTTCCGCTCCTTGTATCCCGCCTCGAGATATCTCCGGTGCAGTTCCTCCACCTCGCCTGTTTTGTGCCATTGTTGATCCTCGCCCGTGTCGTCGACCGCCGATCCAGGCCGGGATGAGGGCGTTGCTTTGACGTCCATGACCGAATCGACGGCTGCTTTGCTGTAGAAGACATCGGGGAGACAGCCGATGAGGAAGTGGGCTGGGTTTATACGCGAGGTCCATTGCGGGTCTCAGGCAGCAGACATCAAATTTGAATGCTTCGGAAAATTGTAGAAAAACGCACGTCTCGGATTCTCGGACAGTGACAGCGCAGATCCACAATTAGTTGCCCATACCCACTATTCTTGCAGTCTCGTCCACTGGGTGGAAGCTGCCAAGATACGGAAAGTCCACTCGGACTGAAAACTCGGATCGATACGCTTTCTGGCAGTCTTCCGAACATCCGAAATCAGTATCATCATCACTGTCACATCAATGTCTGTATGAGGCGGTGATGTCTCCGAAGGGCCATCATACTCTATCAGGGCTGAACAGACCCGAGTTCGTCATCGGAAAGCCTCTTCCAGCAGTAAGCCCGGTATCCCAGTCCATATACGGCCAATATCCTAACTAGCGCTCCAGTGCGACCTCTGCCATTCTCGGAAAGTATGGGATCCTGTTTGAAGATATCTTCGTGGCTCATGTTGTCTTCAGGTAAAATGCGACAGGGAGCAGACATGCAATAATTGCGCTGCGGCAAAAGCACCATGCATTCGCTCGAGACAGCGACCTCCTCGTCGCGTATCGAAGTGAGTTTGTTCCTGTTCGGGGTGTTTATTGTTCTCTAATTCATACTGTTCTATGTCTTGATAGGCGCCAAAGAGCTGCCCCTATAAGTCGATCCACCTCTCCCAGCCAGGCCAATAACTTGTCTTCCGAGAGGCCACGGTGTAGTAGTTATCAGCCTGCCTTGTATTCACCCCACGCTGCTCACAAGGAAAGCCCTCCGGAGAGACTTGGTCGGACCTGTCCCTCGACACCAAGAGACACCCGCAAGCTGATATCTCTCCCTCTTGTTCCCGAGCCTTCCGACCAGACGGACAGTACAGGTAACCTACTGATCAGACAGGAGCTCGATTCCAACACGAATCTGTCCTCGGACCGAATCAATGTCCTGGAATCTGCACTCGCCCTGGTCCGCAAGTTTGTGGCAACTTCTGAGCGTGCTGATGCCGTACCTCACGAGCCAGGGATTGACAGTGACCTTCCCATCCCACAAGATGTGTCCATGGAGTTGTTCTACATGATGTTCAGCGGTCTGTTTTGCACCTGTCCTTGACATCTTGTATTTTGCTAATTCTCCCAGGCCAGGGCAGTGGTGGACCGGTCAGCTTGAATCATTGGCCTGACCACCTTCCCTTACAGACTTTGGAGCGAATGTGTCTTGCTCTTGTGAACCGGACTGTCGATGGTCAAATCGCCGTTCAGTACAAGGTCTGCGTGTTTTCTCGAGCAACAATGTTCGTAACTCGCTGGCTGCGGCTGTGTCCATCGGATGACCTTGCGCGCTGTCTTGTGAAGTCGAAGAAAAGCTATGCAGCTGCCTGTCTGCAATGCCTTCGGGAAGTCGACCTCACTGGAGGACAGAGCCTGCTCATGCTGCAGACCCTTCTCTCTGGAGTGAGCTATCTTATCGTTCATCAGCTGTATATTTCTAACACCCGCCAGGCCCACTTGGTTCAGCTTCTCGGTGATTCATCTAGATCCTGGTTTCTTACTGCGTGTGCCGCTCGTGCTTTGGTGGCGTTGGGCTATCACCAGTCCAGTAGAATTACTGCAGACACTAATGAAGGGTTTGAGATTCGTCACTGTGTCTTTTGGTGCTACTATTTTGATAAGACGTTAAGCATGCTTCTAGTTAGGCCCTCCTCTCTACCGGATATGCAGTTCGCCCCGGGGGACCTGGTGCATACCGACTCGGACGACCCCTTGACAATCAAAGTCAAGATCCTGGTCAGGCTCGCCCAGGTCCAAGATGCCTATTTGCCGTTCATCGTGGGACATAAACGAGCACAAGCGGGGCCTGCTTCAGCACGCCTCGATGCCCTCGAAACAGAGCTGCGGTATATTCATGAAGACGTTATCCAGGTACAGCGCCGCTCCTCTCTTTTTATACTCATCCTAACTTTGATTTAGTTTCGTCCGCAATGCACAAACACGCCCACTCTCATGATAGAATGGGACGCCCTCAATTTTACCTTCTATTCAATAGCCACGACGGTGCTTCGTTTGAATCCGTCATCCCTGCATGATCGTGGTAAGCGTGAGCAGTGCCTCCAGTATGCACGAGAAGCGCTTTGGTCTATGCAAGCATGCCAGAAACATCTCGATACAATTACCCATATTGCGACTGACTTTCTTTTCTGGTGTGTCCCTACTTTTTGCCTACTGTATCCATACTTACAGTTGGAATAGGACAGCACTGCTGTATCCCCTCACCCCGTTCTTCGTTGTATTCTGCAATGTGGTTGCCACTTCCAATGTGCACGATCTACGACTCCTTAATGAAGTAACCGCGACAATATCCAAAGTAAAAGAACAGTGTGCCTTTGGAATGAACCTCTACATCATGCTATCTGAACTGATTGCCATGTGCACTCAACTTCATGACGTGCAACCTGCACCATCACAACTAACCCTCCATGGCGATTCCTTGGTAGAGGCGTCTCCTCAAGCCGAACGAGCAGCAGAACCAGCCAGCCATACTAGTTTGATGTCAGACGGTCAACCCGTATCCTCCAGTTCCCACCCTATATCGCCAATGCCAGCCCTAGACCAATCCGCCACTGCCAGCGCCATTCTGGGCCAACAGCCGTTTTCGTCCACGACAGCTGAGGCCGAATCAGGGCATGCGTCTATCTGGGAGGAGGATCTCATGTCGGAGCTCTTCAATATTCAGCCGTCGGTTCAATGGTTTGATACGGACTATTATAATTTGTTCGGTATTCAGTAGACTAAGGGGGTAGTTTGGATAGTTAGAAAGCTCTTGGGTTTGTTATATATCTCGGATGTTGCTGTCCAGTTATTTAATGACACCACTATATATCTGCGGGCATCGTCGTATATAAACCCCATTTTGAGATGAACAACATTTATTTCATTCGGTTTATCCAGAATCCATTCAGCTGAGATTTGCGAGTTTATTTGGCTGTATTCGTCATTGCTTAGCTACAGGAACATATTTCCGACGGTTATTAAAAGCATTTGCCGATCCAGATGTCGATTCCCGATCCGCGGCTGATCAAGGCGGAGTTAATTAAACCTAGACCACAGCGTACTTGCACGGGCTCAGGGGTTACTTCTGCATCATTTCTGCATCATTGTGGTATTCATTGCTAGCCTGAGTATACCGAGTCCAAGGGTAATGATCAGATATCACGACGTCTCACACTGTAAAAGCCCGCGACCATGAGGAGTGACCACAGGATACAATATCTGGGACCAATAACCATAGAGTATAGGTAAAATGGAGACAATTGCCAAATGCAGGGTTGAGTCTTCCCCACGGGGCAAGGAACCCAAAACCGTTGGGAAAGAAGTGGCCATACCTGGATAGTACTGGCTCAAACTCTCGCCAGGAGGAGGAAATGAATGGGCTTAAACCTTCACCGGGAGGAGACTAATCCCCTGCCAACGAGACGGGGGGATTCAAAATAAACGCGGGCCAACCGTGGATGCTGCTGGTTTTGGGTTCACCACGCGACCCCCTCTCTTTGGTGTTTGCCACATAAGCAAGGTGACTCTGTACTCGTGCGCAAAGTGTTCTTTAAAATTTCCATCTTGATTTTATTCATCTCAGATATTACCTGGGAGAGACGCGATTCTGCACACCGAGAATGAGATGGGCTCGCAGTAATCAAGCCCTAAGGCAGGCGAGGATACAGGCCATTACCAAGAAGAGGCCATTATGCCAGTCAGTACACAGGCAGTCTGCAGGTTTGACTTGAATGAGCCGGTACGTTAAGACCCCGAATAAAGAACGATGCTGAGTCGAACAGCCTTTCATCTGATGTCAAGCTCCCTTGGCGAGCCCCCGAAGGGGCTTATTGGAGGGTATCAGGGCGACAGCACTGCTGTAAAGGCGATTATGGGCGCCCTGATAGGGATATCCCTATACAATACGGTTGAACTCACTACTCTCATATTTACGACTTTCCACCTCTACCGCGGACTCTACTTTTGGTCCCTCATACTGTCAACAACACTCGGTCTCATACCCAGCGGCATTGCGAACACACTGCATTATTTCAATATCGGCCCGCTATGGCTCGCAATGACGCTATCGAACATCGGGTTCTATTTTCTGGTCCCCATGCAATCGGTGGTCCTATACTCCCGGCTACATCTCGTCCTATACAACCAGCGAATTCTTCGACTTGCATTATATATGTTGATTGTCTCCGCCGTTGTCTTTTCCGTTTCAATAACGGTTGTATGCTACGGTTCCGCATTCGTACGCACCCCCGGCTGGAACGCAAGTTACACGATACTGGAACGACTGCAGGTAACCTGGTTCTGTGTGCAGGAATTCGTGCTCGCCGCTCTATACATCCGCGAGACAATCAAGCTTCTGCGCCTGAATCCGACACACAGCAGCCGCCGGAGAAAGATAATGTACGAACTGCTGGCTATTAATGTCGGCATTATCCTCATGGATGCTGCGGTCATTGTCATTGAGTTCCTGGGGCTATACTACCTGCAAGTCCTGGTGAAGTGTGCCATTTACAGCGCGAAATTGAAACTGGAGTTTGCTGTGCTGGGCAAACTTACAGCGATTGTGGAAGCGCCTCACCGCGACTTGGGGAGTGCTGATGTGAATGGTTTGTCTGGTCGGCCTGCGTCTGATCCGATCGCATATGCTCGCGATAGAGTGTCTTTAGCTGCAGCTCATGGATCGAAGGAATCTTAGATCAATATCACATTCTTGGCGGGAGTTATGTTCGATTTGAGTAATTGTTAATCGTATTAATTATACTTTCTGGTGCAGGCGGGGTTTCCCGACCAGGAAGTCGGGGTGATGTGATCGTGGCCAGAACATAAATCGAGCTGCCCCTCCTTCCTGGACCAACACCTCTTCTGTCCCCCATTTCTCTTCATATATTCCTTGAAAATGCCAGTCAACGTCGCGCTCATCGGAGGAGGTGAGTCAGACTCATCCAGGCGGTCGCATAAAGCTGACTGAATTAAGGAATCTGGGCACGCGAGGAGCACCTGGTACGTCACAGGCCCGGGTCTCTTTTTATCGCTAACAGCATCAGCCCGCTATTGAAGCGGCGGAGAATCTCGAGCTCACGGCCGTTTATTCACGCTCTCTCAAATCCGCCCAGTCGATCGTGGATATCGCCGCGCGACCTCTCGAGCTGTACTCGGACGATTCCGAGCGGGGCTATAAGGATATCCTCGCCAGATCTGATATCCAGGCCGTTGTCATTTCGTAACTCTCCTCCCCTGGTCTCCATCTTGCAAACATACTAACTGGGAAGGCTACCGATCTCGAGCCAGGTACCATACATCAAACAAGCCCTGCTGGCCGGGAAACACGTCCTGTCGGAGAAGCCTGTCGCGGAGAATGTTCAAGAGGCTGAAGAATTAATCCTATGGTATCGCTCTGAGATCAAGAATGCAACATGGGCAGTCGGGGAGAATTGCCGGTTCTTGAACAACTACGACTTCGCGGCCGAGCAGATCAAATCTCTTGGTAGGATCGTGGGATTCCAGGGCCGACAACAGGGATTCATTGAGAGGGACTGGAAATTCAACCGTAAATAAGGACCCCCCTCATTCACCTCAAGTATGCTAACTGGTCAGTCACCGAGTGGAGACGCAATCCTACGCATCAGGGTGGCTACATTCTTGATGGCGGCGTTCACTACATCGCAACCCTTCGAACACTTCTCGCTGCGCAGCCTGGGAATGAGATCGCTCGGGTCTCGGCTTTTACCAATCTCGTTCAACCATATCTTCCCCCGGTCGACACAGCGGACGCCATTCTGCGAACGAGATCAGGAGTTACGGGGACATTCCAGATTTCGCGGGGAACAAGTCTTAAGGCTGATGAATGGACTATCGCGTGCGAGAACGGGTATGTGACTGTACTGGTGGACAAGGTAATTGTGAGTCGCAATGGCCAGGAGGTTATTGAAAGTGTTCCAAACGAGAGGAGCGGTGTTCCCCCTGAAGTGCGGGCCTGGGGCAGGAGCCTTGTCAGTGGAAAGCTGAGCTGGGAGCAGGAGCCCGAGGCTGCCCTTGGGGATCTTGAACTGGTGAGTCACTGAAATAACACCAAGTCAGGCCGCTAATATTCCCAGATCGAGCTCATTCTGCGGAGTGGAGAACAGGAAGGGGCACCATTGGACTGCAAGTACCAGGCGGCACATAGTTAGTGAACGCAGTTAGGGAAAGATGGACAGAGACAATGAAATAGTTGGAGAATGACGTACTGTATAACCTATAGAATGAGCCTCCAGATCTCCACAGAGCTTGGCCTTCGATCCCTTTTGCGGGGTAATTGGAGGCGGACCATTCGTATATAAATCTCGTAGCGGTCATTTCCCGAGAATACACGGTTGACAAGTAATCTACTCGTTATTGCAATGTTTGACTCTTTGAAGCTCGACTGGAGGAGCCATGGCTGGGCCATTTTCTACTGTGGGATATCGGCCATTGGCGCCCTCTGCTATGGCTACGACAATACGTACTACAATGGCGTCCTGGCCATGCAGCAGTTCAAGAATGACTACGGCACGCACCGTGATGCAGACGGTAACCTTGCTCTGCCCTCCTCGTTCCAGTCCCTCACAGCCTCCGCAATCTATATCGGAGACCTGCTAGGCGCCATCATCGCCGCACCCATCAACGACCGCTGGGGCCGCAAGTCCACCTTCTGGTTCGCGTCATTCTGTATTCTTGTCGGTGGAGTTTGTCAAGTCGCCGATACCATCCACCACCAGGCCATCGTCGTTGTCGGCCGCATCCTCATCGGCCTGGGGGTTGGCCAATTCACGGTGACATCGCTGCTCTACATCGGCGAAGTGGCCCCCTCCAGCATCCGCGGCCCAGCCCTAATGATGTTCCAATTCCTGCAATCCTGCTCGCAGCTCGTCGCATCAGCTCTTAACCAGGGCACCGAGACAATCAACAACTCCCTCTCCTACCGGCTCCCCATGGGCGGCCTCGTCGTCCTCCCCTTGATAATGTTCGCCTTCCTCCCCTTCCTCCCCGAAACACCAAAGTGGTACATCTCGCAAGACCGCCCCGCAGACGCAGAACGCAGTCTCCGCCGTATCAACCGCAGCCAGGCACACTACAACCCAACGCCCGAACTAACAACCATCCAAACAGCCCACCAAATCGAATCCGAGCAAACAAAATCCTCCTCCTGGTCCTCCCTCCTAACAGACCCCATCGAACGCCGCAAACTCATCTTCTCCGCCGGCGCCATGTTCTCCCAGCAAATCTGCGGCATCCTCTTCTTCTACGTCTACGGCGTCGTCTTCATCCAAGAAATCGGCGTCGCAGACCCCTTTCTCGTCCAGCTCGCCATCAACATCGTACAGATCTTCGCCGTCGGCGCCTCAGTCATAACCGGAAACAAAGTCTCGCGGCGCTCAAACCTCCTAATCACAAACGGCATGATGCTAGCAGCATTCATCGTCATCGGCGCCATTGGAACCAGAGACCTCACATCAAAATCCCAAATCGTCATCGTGGTCTTCAGCTTCATCGTGGTGGTGGGATTCAATTTCGGACTTGGCCCACTGGCATATACAATCGCGCGCGAGATGGCAGTCGGCGTGAACCAGAATAAAATCATGAGTAGTTCGATCGTGGTCTTTTATTTCACGACGTGGCTTGTTTCGTTTACGGCGCCTTATATTTATTATGATGCGGGACTGGGACCGATGTTGGGGTTTGTTTATGCGGGTACCACTTGTTTGGCCCTTGCGTGGACTTGGTGGTGTGTTGGGGAGACGGCGGGGAGGTCGGGGTTGGAGATTTCGTTGTTTTTTAGGAATCGAGTTCCTGTTAGGGAGTGGAGGGGGTATGTTTTTGATAGTGACCAGGATGCCAGTGAGGGGGGGAGGGAGAAGGCGTCGTTGGAGAGGGAGGTGAAGCATGTTGAGCGGTCTGCTTGAATTTATAGATGAGTTGGTAAATATTAACAGTTAACTGTCTGCTATGGATTCCATAAATGTTCCTATCAAATTGCGATTTTGTACTTGAATACTAGGTATTAAATTTGCTGCATTGCCCCTCCATTCCCTGTCTCGTCACCGAAGATATACTAGGGTAATAAGCTTAATTGAGATACGGGGGTGTTTATATGAGATATATGTTAACTATATTAATTACGATGGAAATAGCCTATTTAATAAGCATATCCTATAATATATATTAATTTATTTAGATTATTAACCGAGCTAATTTAGATAGTACGAAGAATCTTTAGTACTACAGCACCATACGTATATGTTATTGCTAAGAGCGACGGCACGGTAAGAGTTGTTTTACAAAAACATAGTAATTCCCAACGAGAGACGAGATTGAGTATAAACATTGACACAAGAAAAGAAAAAGCAAAGTTTCATCACCAAGACCCCCTCTCCTCCCTCCGTATACCCGCCTGGTCATGCTCGGTCATCCTCCTCTCATACTCAACCGTAACATTATCCGTCCTGCGAATAGCACCTAGAGGATGTCCCGGTGTCCCATTCACATCATCCCTCAGGATACTCTCCTCGCTGCCCACGCCGGTGATAGTCAGATCCATCTTCCCTTGTTTCTTGGACGGCTTACTTCCCCGCCCGTACTCAGAATCATGCAGTTGCTGGCTTCCCTTGTATTTATTCTTGGACCCGCTGTACGAGGAGAGCTTGCGTTTTCCGAGGATTAGTTCTAGAACTGGTTGGAGGGTTGGGATGCAGGAGGCGATGATGACGACGTCCGATTCGACACTAATATTACTGTTAGCTACTGACTATCCATTAGCCTTGTTATTGGAGGGGGGCGTACTTGGTCCACAGAACGAGATCGGCAGTTCCGTAAGTGTAGTCCGATTTATCAGCGAGGCCTTTCAATTGTGTGCATTTGACGACGGCCATTGCAGAGGCACTTTTCTGTTAGTTTTGGGATTATTACTGGAGTGGAAGACATACATGGCTCCGAGTCCTAGAGCGGAACACAGTGCAAGTCGCTTGCGCAGGGACATGTGCAGCTTCATGAGTACAGTGGTCGGGTAGATTGCAAGGTACAAGTCGATAAAGGCAGAGTACGCTGGTTTGTTAGAAAAGCACAGTTCTACTTGATAGAAGACATACCTCCTGTAAACATAGCATAGTTGACCAGAATCCACACATCCTTACAGGTCGCCTTGCCCGCCATCACAAGGGATGTCTGCCAGAGCGCCTTGGGTGGGTCACACATCGTGAAGAGGATAATGATGCAGATGCCTGAGATAACGGCACCCAGGCCAGTCAACCCCCAGATGATTGTTTTGTGCAGGGTCTTTGGGTTGAGGATACGAATCAACATGGCCCCAACGGCGAGTTTCGGGGCCGAGAAGGAGATGATGCCGAAGAGGAAACTGAGTGAATTGAGAAAACTGGCTTGCTCGACGGTCTCCTGCTCGAGGACGTAGGCGTGTTTACCGTATCCGATGGCGATGTTGGCTGTTGTTATGGCACAGTACACAACGCCCATGAGCTGGACCGTCAGTATACCATTCAGTCAAGGTTTGCAAGTGCTATTACCATTGAAAAGGCAATCAGCCAGTCGTCGAGGCCGAAATTGCGAAGCATCCTCGCCCGGATGGTCATACGAGCTGAGACAACAACCAACGTGAAGCCAGTCAGTCCCCATAGTACCGCCAGGATCTTGGGACCTTTGTCGTCAGAAGGACTGCCCTTGCGCACCTCCATTTTGCAGGGTAAAAGCTTTGCAGGGTCAGGATCTGGGGATTCTGCAGAAAACAAGTGCTAAGGCGAGGAATCCACTGCAATATACGACCGGATCCTCAGCAGAAACGAACGCCCCTTGAAGAACTGCGTTCCTCACCCTGCCATGGCCACAACCCTAAGCGACCTGGCAGATAAAATGATACATTAACTGCCTCCGACATCTACACGGCCCAGACAGGCCGATCATCACAAGCCAGCGCCTGATCCCGTACGCTACGGGTGGGCCCCATTGCCCGTTGCGGCAGTGACAGTCCCGGGGGAAGCCCCCCAGTGGGTCGGAGCAATAACGGTCGCCTCCAGCAGACAAAAGAGGAGTGACAGGACGACCGGGGTGGCGAGCGGCTAGTGGGGCCGTCTAATAAGCTGCTGTTGAAGCTGCATCTCCGAGTCTTCGTGATTGGCAGCCGTGGCCCGTGCCTGTGTGCTTCGGCCTGTCAGTGGCGCCTGTGCATGTTTCTTCTCCGTGTCTTCCTTGGTCCTCGTTGGACTGTGTCAACTGCTCGGTGCACTCCGGTTGCATCGCGTTCCTCGGCATAGTCTAGCTGGTGCTCCGAGTGCTTGGATGACACCTGCAGCTAAACTTGGCGTTGTCCACCGTACGTTTGTCCCGGTGCCGCTGGGAGCAGTGCCCTTACAGCAAGGACTATTCTCCGGAACTGCCGGGCTGTCTTAGAATAGGTCCCGTCGTCACCAAAGAGAGTTCGGCTAGAGAGTCTGTCAGAGTCTTGGTGCAGACTCCCACGGCCCACCCATTATGCCGGGATATTAAGGACTCGAATCCTTCAGGAAGCGAGGTGCGAGAGCTCTTTGTTCCTACCGTTTCGTACTAATTCCTTCGCGGATCTTGCACAAGCCAGACCCCAATTCGACTGGAATCCTCCGTCGATATATCACTTACTTTCAAGATCCCCTTCCAACGAGACAAACTCAATATTGCCCCTTTTATACTTAGTCCAATGTGACAGCCACTCTCGGACGGATGCCGCTTCCATCTGGCCATCCCAAGAGCGCTTTTTCTGGCCTCCTGCGTGATGATCCCTGCACAATGGCCGCGGTATATTGCTTTAGCGTTCTTGGGGCGGCGCCACCATGCCCGGAAACCTGTTAGACTCTTCGAGACATGGGTGTGAAACGGTGGACCCAATGTGGCTTTAGCCGTTATCGACCCGTTGTTCATGCAGCGTTGTCCCGGTGGGAAGGTGAGCCATACCTGCTGTACCCCCACTATCTCTCCATACTGGAACTCTTCCCTCCTTTGTACTCCAATTCAGGGGAAAGAAGGACGATTGCTATATCAAGTCTGTCGGGGTCGACCGGGTCCTGTACTTCCTTCAACTCCTCATCCTGCCCCAGAATCCTCAATCTGTTTCGCAGCCCCCGTTTCCTCAAAATGACGCAAGATATCCAGAATACCCATGGCGACGATGTCACCGTCACCATCAAGACGGAGACAACCGTTCAAACAGACGAAGTTACCACTGGGAGCAGCTCGCCCGTTGCAAACGGTGTGGAGACGCCGAACGACTTCGACAACGGGGTTGCCATCCGGCCCAATGCTGCAGAAGACATTCCAGACCTGCTCAAGAAGGTCAGCTCACTCGGTGCGGAGTACGCTGGAAACACCGATGAGGACCTCCGCGCGGAGTACCTCGATGCTGCGCGGCATCTCGTCTACGCGCTCGAGACTCCCCGTGAGGCCATGATCAGATACTGCTGGTCTCAGGTACTTGGCTTCTATACTGACTATACTCGTAGCAACTGTACTAATGTATGCAGAGCACGCTCTACGCTGCTATCGAAACATGTGTCGACCTCGGCGTATTTCCCATTCTCTCCAAGGACGATACCCCCAAGACTGCAGAAGAGCTCGCAAAAGCCACCGGTGCTGAGCCTCTTGTTCTTTGTATGTCAACCACCCAATTCCACTTTCCTTGCTAACGTTTACAGCTCGACTTCTTAAACATCTCGGTACAATGGGCGTAATCGCCGAAGCCGGTGAGGACACCTACCGCCGCAACGGCTTCTCTACCTCCCTCGCCATGAAGCGATACAGCGATGCCTATCCCTGCATGTACGTTATATAGCCCTCACCCCAGCGAAGCCCAGCTAATAGATCCAGGACTGGATGCATAACAAGCGGTATCCTGGCCCTCCCCTCCCACCTCAAGAAAACCAACTATGCCAACCCCAGCAACGGCGTCAAGTCCGCCTTCCAAGACGGATTCCGCACCTCCTCGCACTTCTTCGAATTTCTCAAAGAGAACCCCGCCCACGCTGAGCAGTTTAATAACCACATGACGGCGTACCACCAGGGCCGTCCCAGCTGGATGGACGAGGGGTTCTTCCCTGTCCCGTCTCTGACGGAGGGATTGGATATCAGTGCTGACGACGTCCTGCTCGTCGATGTCGGTGGTGGCGTGGGACACGACCTCACTGAGTTCCGACGCAAGTGGCCCAACGTTCCTGGCCGGTTGGTTCTCGAGGATCTGCCTGAGGTGATCGACCAGGCCAAGGCGCAGAACCAGGCTACCGGATCCTTCATTGAGCCGGTCGTGCATGACTTCTTCACTGAGCAGCCCGTTAAAGGTACCCTTAACCCCTTTATGTCCGCTATACCGCCTAGATCGAGAACTAACAATCCAGGCGCCCGAGCATACTACATGCACTCCGTCCTACACGACTGGGCCGACGCCGACTGCCGACGCATCCTATCTAACCTTGCGCAGGCTATGAAGCCCGGGTACAGCAAGATCCTGATCAACGAGAACGTGATCCCGAGCACGAACGCGTACTGGGAGACGACGAGTCTGGATATCATCATGATGGCGGACTTTGCGTCGCAGGAGCGCACGGAGAAGCAGTGGCGCGAGCTGACTGCGTCTGTGGGGTTGAAGATTGTTAATATATGGACTCGACGGAGGGGGGTGGAGAGTTTGATTGAGTGTGAGCTTGCTTAGACGTTGGATGTTATTATTGAATGTTTAAGATCAATGTATTTATGTCGTTCGTCGTGATAATGTAGCTTCCTATACACTGCCGGCAGTCGAGCATTTGCAATCATCCAACCCTCCAGGGGCTATGGCGTAAACAATATATAATTCAATAATAACAGGCATTCAGGTATATAAGGCGTACAATCATTAAAGAATCAAACCCTCACCCTCTCACTCCCAATACTCAACGTCAGACTCCTTATACTCCCCTTCCTAGGAACCCCAGCACCCAAGAGACTCCCTACAGGCCCCGTCCTCGCCCACCGTCTCCTCAAAAACAGAAACGCACTGCCCGCAGCAGCAGTTATAATACCCAGCATTACAACCGCCCCAACAACACCAGACGCGGCATTCGATATCCCCTTGCGTCGGTCCTCATCCGCTTCCCGGCTTGGATAGTATGAATTCCGGAATGAAGAGCAGAATAATTTCTCTTTCGGACTGGGATTACAGATCTCGCACCATTCTTCGGCTGTATCGATTGAAACTCGGGACATTTCGCGTAGGAATTCCGTCCAGGGCAGAGATACCTCCTTCTGACCAAATAGTGGAAAGGCAGTGAGACGACTATCAGGACTCGACCCGTTGCGGAATAAAAAGCGGACTTTCAGATCTTCTTCGCTATTTGGGAATGCCGACAATTCCTCGTCTGTAAATATCTCGAGCGCCATGCTCGATGCATACACCGGTAACCCATAAAAGTTGGTCGATGCAGTGGTGAGATGGTGTAATCCGAAGAAGGCCAGCATTGGTTCGTATCCACCAGAGAAGAGAGAGAACTTGTTCGATCCCTTTGAGGCGATCGTCTCGTTAAGTCGAGCGGTTATAGCAGCTGAGAGGGTGCGGCCTGCGATGGCTTGCATGCGCCCGTCGATGTCTGCATTGAAACTCAAGGCTCTGTCAAGTTCATGTGTATCTGCCAACGTGCGCAACTGCATTAAATCATGTGCGCTCACAGCATCGCGCATAGACTCGTTATGGATCAGGCCGACGTTAATCAGGTCGAATATATCGTAGGCGTTTTCATACGAGAGGCTGGACTTGTTACTATACCCCGAGACATTGTGGAGCAAGGGCCAGAATTGCTCGTAGAAGGACCGCGTGGACCTGATCTTATCGATGTAGGTTGAGTTGTACGATAGCTCCTGATAGGATTTTGTTAAGCCCGCACACCCCTCTGCCCCGTTTAGCGATACTGAACCGGGGCTGTCGCTGGTCTCGGTGTTGATTATAGGGATTTGGGCTCCGCCTAGAGGGTTAGGGATGGATGACCCATTGTTTAGGGTTTCTGATGTTGTCTCGCCGAATGGTGGGTATAACCCTTGAAGGAAGGCAGTTGCGGCATTGACATGGATCTGCTGTGCAGGCGCAGAGGCGTAGATCTGTGAAGAAATGTATTTATCTTCTGAGATTCCGAGTATCCGCTTCGGCGAGCTGGGATTGATATAGAGATTGCGGTAGTCAGAGCCGACTTGCTGGTTCTGCTGGAATCCCAGGTTTGTCAATGCCGGATCAGGGTAGTGCTTTGATGTTCCTGCATTTATTATAATATAATCAGCACCTCAAGTGCACCGTATTCCAGATGGGCTGGCTTACGGTCGCCATTCTGAGTGAATACTGTGACTCCTAGAATTGTCTCCGCTGCTGTTGTAGATACCAACCAGACTATGAGGATGGCGAGCAATGGCATCTTGAGGCTGTGTCTATTAAGATGTCAGCAGCGTGGGCTAGGCTTTAAGAAAAATCCCATCAGAGAATCAGCACTGGGCATATTCCCTGTCATCTTCAGCCTCTAGCATGGGTCATTGACAGCCAAGACTTAGTGCCCGATCAAGTATCAGAATCCTTCATCCAGGATGTTCGTATATTACACCATCTGAATCCAGTAAACCAGTCAAATTTTATTATACAACCTCATTTTGAATCGCAATATGCTCTTGCGGACCATTTAATCATTCATGTACTGCATACTACTTTCTCATTTACTCTTCGGATTCGCGAGGCCTCTGGAGCTGTATACAGGTCTCAGTTTCGGCCCCAATTCGACGCCGATCCTTTAGGCATCACCATTTCGGGGTCTAATAATAGCTGTCTGCACTGCAAGCACGCTTATCAGAAGCTTGGGAACTTGGTCTGATCCTTCGTGGTTTCAGAGACGACATCTTCCCTGTTCTCAGCCTCACCAGCCAATTATGCGCCGAGAGATATATATCACACGAACCAATGCCAGAGCAGTCTATAAGGAATTCCCGCATTGAACTAACTGGTACTGACACTGACACTGAAACTGCACTGACAGCTCTTCAATGGCCATGTACTTATCACTCCTCCCTCCCCTTCCCCTTCTCCTCAAGCTCAGGAACACGCCACCCATTCAGGATGCCAACCCCAAAATTCAAATACGTCGCATAGCCCAACCATCCCGCATACGGCACAAACAGCCAAAACGCAACACGATCACTCTCCCACCAATTCCGCATCAGCGCCGCCACCGTCCCACCTAGCAGCAAGATATCCCCCGCCGCAAGCGCAGGTTTCCGCAGGCCAAAGAATAGAGGCATCCAGAAGTGATTGAGAACCAACTGCACTGTGTAGAGCGTTTGACCTGTTGCTCGTTCCGGATCTAGTGTTGTCCGTGTTGCGTGGTGCGCGGCGTATCCTGTGATTCCATACAGCAGGGTCCAGACGGGTGGGAAGAGCCAGGCCGGTGGGGAGAAGGGGGGCTGTTCGAGGCTGGCGTATTTTGGTTTTGTTCCATGGCCTGTTCGTTGTTAGTATGGAGGCTACCCTTAGTTGGGATGTCCGGGGCGTACGGTTCACTAGATAGCCTACCGCGGAGCCAGTCGCGACGGGGGTCAGCGTTGAGAGAAGGGGCGATTCGAAGATCGCCTGTGGGAGGGCGATGGACCATGGCATTTTGTCAGTTGCGTGAAAGTAGGATCCTGTAAGTTGGCGATGGAGGTGGAGGACATCTCGATCGATCGATCGAAACGGCGGGAAGTCAGTGACGTCATGCTGTATCAACAGCAAGTTTTCACCAAGCTGCCAAGTGGTTAATTTCGCTATTGTAGTTGATATTGGACGGAATATGATTACGTCTGGAGGCTATATCTTATAGAGCATTGGACATCTATAGAGTTGAATGTGTAGACTTAACGAGTTGTTAGACTATCTCGGGCTACAGTATACACGCAACTTCACCTGCTCAATAGCAGGTTTGCCCTCATCAGCTCCTAGGAAACTCTAAAAAATTGCATCCTCTTTGTAACAGCAGGACTATCCTTATATTGCAGACATGGGAGTATCTTGTCATGGTGGGAAAGGGCGCAGGTAGGTAGACGAATCTATGTTGAGACGATTGGCCACGGTACCTGATTTCGAATTAGTCGATACTGAAATAAAGTGCATAAAGATTATGACTCTTTACTTTCAGCCTGATATACTTCATTGCAGCCCATGAAGATATTCCCTCGGCCTACAGCGGCCTTGATCTCCTTCCCCGCACTCTCCAAGTCCGTCTCCAACGGCATCATACCTCCACTGAACATACAAAACACTCAGAGGAGTAACCAGCTACTATCCTCTACACAATTCCCGATAACATGCAGGCTCGCGAGACCAAGCCCTCTCAAGGCAACCCAACAGCGCCCAGCGCCAGTCTCTTTCGACTCGATGGGCGCAGCATCATCAGTACGTATCTCCTACCAGGTTCTCTAACAGCACCGGTTAATGGAAAGTCACCGGGGGCATCGGTTTCCTCGGTCTCACCGTCGCCCAATCCGTCCTCGAAAGCGGCGGCGACGCATACTGCCTGGACTACCTAGATAGCCCGCGACCAGAGATATGGAGTGAGCATCCTCCACCATAAACAGAAACCCCCAAGCAGCTAATAAAATCCAGGTCCCCTCGAAGGAACCGCAAACAAATACTCCGGCATCGTCAAATACCACAAATGCGACGTCACAACCCCCGACGACGTTACACAAGCCATCTCAGCCGTAGCCTCAACAGCCCGGCATCCCATCCGCGGCCTGGTCGCCTGCGCCGGCGTCTCAGACAAAGACCCCGCGACCGAATTCTCAGTCGACCGATTCCGGCGCCTCATGGACGTCAACGTCACAGGGACGTTTTTATGCGCGCAGGCCGTCGCGCGCGAGATGCGCAGCGCCAACGTCAGCGGGAGCATGGTTCTCGTTGCCAGTATGAGCGGGACGAATGTGAACAAGGGCGTTGATACAGCTGCGTATAACACGTCCAAGTCTGGGGTTCTGCAGCTGGCGCGATCTCTCGCTGCGGAGTGGGGATCGAGGCCTGGGATGCCGCTTATTAGGGTGAATACGTTGTCTCCGGGGTATATCCGGACGGCGGCGACGGAGGATACGTTGAAGATTCCTGGGATTGAGGAGCTTTGGAGTGGGGATAATATGTTGAATCGCTTGAGTACGGTTGATGAGTTTAGGGCGCCTGTGCTGTTTTTGCTGGGGGATGGGAGTAGTTTTATGACGGCGTCGGATTTGCGTGTTGATGGAGGGCATTGTGCTTGGTGATCATCCATTGATAAGGAACTTTCGAGCTCTACTACACACATAGGGTGACCTACCCATCCCATTCAATATATTTTACTATATAACAGTATAAATAGCTACTCCGTTATGGCTGATTTTGCGATAACGCCAAGGCCAGTCGCTCGTGTGACGGTATTGAACAGCTTCAAATATTACCGAGTTGAAAAAGCAATTAATTATGACAGCAATGCTTCTAGTATAAATCAGTATACTCGATTCTATCTTTCTTTGCCACATTTAATCATAATACCTGATTATATCTGCATGACGGTCTGTGATACGTAGATCCGGACCATGGAATGTCAATGGCTGGGCGAGACCGTCTGTGGCCTGCACCTGGTTACCGATATGCAGCGAGTTCTTTGTTCGCAGTGACAGAATGATGCCATTAGCGTAAACAAAGGAGCTAAAGCAGAACAGAATGACACAGCACAAAAAGGAAAAAAATGCCCAATTAAAGGCGGAAATGGCACACCCTTGCGCCAGGTAAGGAGGGACAACGACTGTCGGTGTGCCAGAGCTTTACAAAGAAACTCTGATCCCCACGCTTCCCTGGAAATTCCCTTTCTCTGTACCTTCAGCATATCCGAAGCTTTTGTCCATATCAGCCCCCCTCATGGCCCGTGCAACGCAGGTCGTGGGCGGTGCCCTTGCAGACGCTCTGCCAAACACCAGAAGACATTGGTTCGAGCAGCCTCATCTACTCAAGCTGAATCTGATCCTTTTTATCCCAATGCTATCGTCGACTGTAGTTGGCTACGATGGTGAGTTTTACTTCCCCCACCAGGTCCCCACTAACGAAGAATAAGGCACCCTGATGAACGGCCTCCAAAGCTTCCAACAATGGCAAGACTACTTCGGTAATCCGACCGGCGCCTTGCTGGGAACTATTGTTGCCGCGCAGCAAATAGGAGGGCTAATAGCTCTCCCCTTTTCAAGCGACCTCTGTGATCGTCTTGGGCGTAAGCCAGTTCTGCTTTGCGGAATCATCATCGCCTGCAGCGGGGCTGCGATTCAGGGTGCATCTGTTAATGTAGGAATGTTTATCTTTTCCCGCGTCGTTATTGGATTTGGTGGGATTTTCAGCTCCCAGCCCAGTCCCATGCTTATTGCTGAGCTGGCATATCCTACTCACAGAGGGAAATACACTTCTGCTTATTGGACTCTCTTCTACTTGGGTGGGTAACCTATTCACCATTTGAAGTTTGTCTGGAGAGCACCTCCTAATAGCCAGCAGGGTCGGTCCTCGCCTCGTGGTTTATATTCGGATGCCAGGACATCGCCAGCAACTGGTCCTGGCGCATCCCCTCTATCTTACAAGCCGCGTGTCCAGCGATCCAGCTCTTATTCCTCTGGTGGGTTCCCGAGTCTCCTCGCTGGCTCATAGCACAAGGCCGCACCGCCGAAGCTTCGGCAATCCTTCAAAAATATCACGACGGACAAACAGACCCATCCACTCCACCATCAGATCTAGTAACCCTCGAACTCACCGAAATAAGCAACGCCATCAAGCTCGAAAACGACGCCCAGCACACCGGCTGGACAGCTCTCCTCGCAACACCAGGGAACCGCAAACGCACCATCCTCACCATCTGCACCGGCGTCTTTTCAATCTGGGACGGCGTCACCATAGCAATCCTTTACCTCCCTCTAGTGCTCAGCTCCATCGGGGTTACATCTACACACACCCAAACCCTCATAAACGGCCTACTACAGGTCTTTAACCTCCTTGCAGCACTGACAGGCGCCTTTCTCGTTGACCGACTCGGCCGACGCTCGTTATTCCTCTGGGCCAGTGCAGGCATACTACTATCCTACATCGTCTGGACAGCCTGCGCAGCAGTAAACAGCGAAACAGGGTCTCAGCCGGCCGGGGTCGTGGTGATAGTCTGCGTGTTCACGCTGCTGTTCCACCACGACATCGCCTGGTCCCCGCTACTCATGAGCTATCCGACGGAGATATTCCCGTACTCGCTGCGGTCGAAGGGGCTGGCGGTTGTTATGGTCTCGATGTACGGGTCCTTGGTGATCACGTCGTACTGTCACCCGATTGGGCTGGAGGATCTGGGGTGGCGGTATTATATTATCTTCTGTGCGTTTATGGCGGGGATTCTAGGCACGGTTTATTTCTATTTTCCGGAGACGAAGGGCTTTTCTCTCGAGGAGATTAGGGTTATTTTTGATGGTGATGATGAGGAGAGCATCGACAACTTGGGCAGGTATAATTAGACATGCTGGGGCTGGTTTAACACGTGACTAGCATCATTGGTCTAGTGGTAGAATTCATCGTTGCCATCGATGAGGCCCGTGTTCGATTCACGGATGATGCATTCTTTTTATCTTTTTTTAAGATCTACAGTTGGAAGGACTACGGTAAACCTTGATCGTGGCCTGTAGCGCAAGGGAGCATATTTTCATGGGACTGAAGTAGTTCCAGGTTTTTATATACAATGTACTTCGTGATACAGTCAATATATACTTCACAGCTAATACAACAAGACCTCAACTCATTCCGTCCAGTAAGGGAATCATAACCGTAGGCTGGACCGGTCTAGCACTCGGGGAGAGGGTCGGTGTAGATACAGTAGTCGCTGGGTCCATCGCCGATCTCCTCGGGCTGCAATATATCATTAGCTTCCACTCTACAAACACTAGAGACCAAGAAGAGCCTGGGTAGGAAGGAGTGGCTTACCTCTTCATCGTTGTTGTCGGTGCCCTCGTACTCAGCACAGATGGTCTTGACATCAGTAGCGCAAGTCTCGCTGTCAATGGTGGCGGTGTCGCCGTAGTTGCTGTTGATGCCGACAAGGTACTTGCCGTCGGTAGCAGTGACGCCGTTTAGGACAATGTGGCGCTCAGACATCTCGTCACAGTTTCCGCAGGAGCGGTACAGCTTGCCAAAGTCGGTGACTGTGAAGTCGGAGACAGTGACGGTACCACCACCGTTGTGCTGGATGACCTTGTCCTCGGCGCCTGTGGCTCCACCGCCGACGACGTTGAAGGGACCGTCACCGGTCTTGAGGGAGAGGGCGTCTATCATTCAGTTAATAACAATTCATGCCATAGCCCAGTGTCGGGATAGTAGGGTTCAGTTGTAGATAGAAGGATGGGGGAACATACCCTCACAAACAGCCTCCCACCAAACGTTCTCGATAGTGCAAGAGCCCTCGCAGTGGACACCCTCGATCTGGTCAGTTCCGATAATGGCGTTCTTAAGAGTACCGCCGTCCTTGACGATGAAGACTGCATCAGAGTCGCCGCCTTCAGACTGGCCGGTACAGTCAACACCACGGCCGTAGGTCTTCATGCCACCGTCGAACTCCTCGCCAGAGATCTCATAGGGCTCGTCGAAGGTCTCGCTTCCTTGGGACTCGGGGATGGGGAAGTCGGCGCGCTTCACCATCTTGCTGCCGGGGTGGGAGCGGGCACCGTGCGTGGCCAGCACGCTGGTTGCCAGGGAGAGAATCAGGCTGTTTTTGATGAACATATTGAAGATTGAAGAGGATACTGGGGAATGAGATCAGAGGGGTTGTGTGCTGATGAAAGCAAGTCAACAACGAGGTGAGAAGGGCTCTTTATATACTTTTCCCTTCTCTACATTGACTTCGCATAGTACTCCCACCACGGAAATAATTCAAACTTTGCAGACGATCGGCAAGGACAGTCTCGCCTGATTCGTGGCCTCCAGGAGGAACTGTCAAAGTGATACAAGGTTCCAGCTCTGGGTCCTTGGCCAAAGAGCTTGAGAACACCGCACGCATTGTCTGAAACTCCGCCGATAGGTGCATTTGCAATCCCGAGTCAGTTCCCAATGCCTAGCTTGCTTGGCGTCTCAACTATCTTTATGCATGGCCGCTCTTCCCCACACTGCTAGCGGAGTCTGCTGTTTCTGTTGCCAGTTCCGGGAAAACGCCGACGGCAGGTTCAGTGCCAATGTACTCCGTAACAGAGACTAAATTGATGTTAATTTGACCCAGAATACGAGCCCGCATACCAAGGTTCGCGAGAACTATCTGCAAAAAGCCCTCGCGGCAGATGTCGCGGATTGTCTGTCATGCAGCCAAAGCTTCGGCGGATTCAATCTATCACCAGCGATCTACAGCTTCATTCCCATACTGGGCACGGCATTGTCTCGAACCATGATAGACAGTTAATCCGTCCCTACAGGGCTCTTCGTTATCTCCGACCACCGAAGCGGTCACTGATACGAAACACTGCTCGAAACCCCGAGAATGCAGGGGATTGGACCCAGTGGGCCCAGACCGGAGTTAGCGCTATCAATCTCAAACAGTCGCGTCCAGACCAGAGATTAATCACTGAATCAGGGCTTCCATCGTTTATTAAACCCCACCGAATCGGCGAATACGAGATGCCCTCGCTCAGCACTTGGAACGACCATCGTCCCTTGCTCTTGCAGAGAGGGCTTCTTCGGTAGCGCCTCCGAGCATCGCCACACGCCACCTGCGCCTCCTGAATTATATTAATCGGATGCCGCGGAAGCCACTATGCTGTGTTTCCATCAATATGAACCTCTGATCGGTGGTCTGACCGACAAATTCCATCCACTGTGCTTTCCGTCGCTGGAGGGACATAATTGGCTGAGGATCCTTGATAATTGTTGAGGACAAAAAGCCAACAACTACGGCAGAAGTGTGGACTGTCCATTCGAATATAGTGTTCTCCCCTGGTCCCCTGACCGCAATTGTGAGGTATTCAACCTAACATGGGGAGTGTTGAAGGAGTACGAGTCAGACTGGAGAATGGATTAATCAATTCAACAGGATGCGGTAGGAATTAATTACGGACGACGAGACGGTGCTTGGCCGGCAATCTGCAGTATTCATATACTGAAGCCCAGACAGGTATGTCGTCCAAGGCCAAGCCGGGGACAGCTACACCGCTACAACCATAGATGTACAGAGACCGGCTGTCTTTGATAGATATGTCGCCAAGTAATTCTTTTTGAAACCTTTGTTTTGTACCAACGGATATCCCGGGTCCTTCCGGATAGCTGCGCAGCTCCTCACCTTGTCGGGCCCCCTATAGCACCCCCATCTGCGGTGCAGTGGTTAGTTGAGATCCGCCTTCCTTGGGAGATTTTGAGTAGGAGCATGTCCCTCGATGACTTCGCGTCCACCCCAATATGAGAGCTGGGAGTTACAAAGTCAGTGATACGGCTATATTCAAACAGCGTGACTTTTACAACCAGTCAGTATATAGGGATACTGGCAATATTTATGGATTTACATAAAATAATTTCTATCTCGAGAGGTGTATTGGTACTATCATGCTTAGACATACACGAAAGCGCTGCTTATGCCATCGGAAATATGTTAATGATTTATACACCATTACATATACCGACCATTAAATTAACGAGGGTTTGGATGTTAACAAACAATGATTGAGTAGCACGGATTCCGCGTAATAAAGCATTTATTGCTTACCAGAAGCACCGAGATAATGATAACTCCGAATTGGCAGGCAGGTCTTCAGTAACCAGTACAAACTTTAATATGGCATGATGGAAGGTGGGCTTGAATAGGCGATGCGCTGGGATATATATTTCAGCAGTAGAATGTCACGCGTGGTTAGCGAAGTTATAAGAATAAACGGTTTCTGCTCCAAATAGTGCGTCCAAGCATACATATACCGTCCAATTTCCCGGCACTGATCGAGCTTATTTTCTCATCAATGAGTCGTGGTGATTCCTTGCAGCCTTCTTCAGTGCAGCGTAGGCTTCTCGGTGATGGATTCTTGCGGCTGAGCTTTGAGTGTTCTGGGCGTTTCTGGGCTGGCCTGGAACTCTCACCCTGGACCGCTCCTTATTGGCTGCATCGTAATGCTAAATCTAAAACAGGATTCGTCTCTCGCTAACGATCGCTGGTGGCTCCACCTGCAGTGGTGCCGGCATTGACACCATTCAGACGCCCCCTGTTGGCGCTGCGAACACTGTGTTGTACTCTCCACCCCTGGACTCTGGAGGCCTCGTTGTCGACTGCGCCATCGATCCGTTGCTGTTTACTGGTTGTGAAGATACGAATGTAACCCAGCATCTCCACTAGCGAAGGAAACTGTTTCAAATTGCCTGGGGCCATTCGGCGCCCCAAACAGACTTCTGGGGATAAATACCCCAGTTCCCCTGAAGTAGAAGCGTGAACAACAACTTCCACCATGATTTCGCCCCTAAAGATTTCGATTGTCCTATCAAGCGTCGCAGCAGTGCAGGCTGCCTACCACGCGACGGCTGGAGATTCAGAGGTCACCTACGCCCATCGCATCTACCATGACTTTCGCTCCTTGGATGATACGGGGAACCTCTACAAGAGCGAGCCCGCAAACATCACAAGTGATGAGGAATCATCTGCGGCTCCCATCCAGGAAGGGTACCTCTCGTCCGATGCATTTGTGAACGACTGGGGTATCCAGACTTGGGATTCACCAGCGGGAGAGGATACGCCTCTGCGAAAGCAGTACAGCAATGGCAATGTCTACATTAGTACGAAATCCTTAACAACAATCCCATATGGATATATACTGATACGTCTTAGAACGCGACGAGGAGACCTCAGCAACCCACCTGGTCCTCCGCGCATACCGCAATGAAGACTTCGTCTCCGCCGGCGAAATCGACAGCAAACTGTCCAATATTTTCCATGCGTCCATTCGCGTCCGTGCCAGAGTGCGCGGTGAATCCGGAGCCTGCGCCGGCATCTTCACCTACTTCGACGATGACAACGAGAGCGATATCGAGATCCTGACTCGGGATGAAACAAACCACATCCGTTACACTAACCAGCCCGGCCTAGACGACGCCGGGAATGAGATCCCCGAGGCTTCCACTGATGCTGTCATGAAGAATGGAGCTGTCTGGACGGAGTGGAATGACCACCGCTTGGACTGGACTCCTGAGCTTAGTGCTTGGTATTTGAACGGGGAGCAGGCTGTGACGAAGACGTATGGAATTCCGAAGAATCCGAGCTCTGTTATCCTGAATATGGTGAGTTGCATAAATCTATTTCTACCTTGCCTGGCTAACTCTGGCAGTGGAGTGATGGTGGCGTGTGGTCGGGAGAGTTGGATGTTGGATCTGCTGCGTATCTCGAAATCCAGTGGATCGAGGTGCTGTATAATACATCCGAATAGTGGCTCAAACTACGCCACTTCTACTTATAGCAGGACCTTCAGGCGTACTGTGGCTGCTCAACCTGACTTGGGTCTAACCAAGGAAGCCTGAGAGATATATGTTCTTTTACACTGCAATTGAAACCGTCCCCATAAGATTGCCCTTGCTCTAATTAACCTATCTCATAAGTAGACTTAGCCTTCAGGCATTCGGACGACTTGCTAGATAGTTCAAACGAACCTCAACAACAATTTACACATGCCCCTCCCATCCCTGATAACCAGAAAAAATGGAATACTTCTGGTACATTTCTAGTGCGTGGGAAACAGACTTTCCTCCACTCATCCGTACTTAAGCCAGGCAACGCTTTCGCATTTCTTTATACTGCATGGGTTCTGCTTTAATGCGTGGTAATTACTGATCTAAACCTCCCGGAGCTCAGCCGGTGCCCGGCTTGCGAGGGACGGCCTGCTTAATTACAGGGCTCAAGTACCACTGCGACAATCGGAAAAGTATCTGTGACAGTGTTTGTCAAATTTGTATTTATTGGCTTAACTCTGGAATTGCATGCTGTTCAGAAGTAATTCATGTAACTATTACTGTTACTGTATTTGTCTTATTGTTTCAACGATCTTTACAAGTTTGGTTTTGCAAAATTACACACGATGACTGGAATAGTGCTGACTGGCTATACCAGCATCTCTTTATATTCGGAGGATCAATCAGTCTGGCCCGACCTGCATTATTCCGGCTTGCTTATTAGAACAGACATGTAGCCAGTGCTTTCCCCATCTTGCACTTCTTGCATTCTACATCCTTGATCTGATTCCTGCCAACATGACCCTCCTCGGCTCCGTCGTCCGCCAGTTCGTCTCCATCCCCACGCTCCCCGCGTCCCTTAGCGTCAAAGGCCAGACCGTGTTCATCACAGGCGCCAACACAGGCCTGGGGCTAGCAGCCGCAAGAGAATGCGTCGGGCGAGGAGCAGCCAAAGTAATCCTCGCGGTCCGCAACCACACCAACGGCGACGCCGCCAAACGCTCCATCCAACAATCCCACCCATCCGCACCCGCCACAATCGACATCTGGGACGTGGACCTCCTCTCATTCGACTCGGTGCTGGCCATAGGCAAACGCGCGGCCCAACTTCCCCGCCTCGACATTGCGCTGCTCAACGCCGGCGTCTTCAAGTTCGCCTGGTCCACTTCGGCTAATGGCTACGAGACGGGCCTGCAGGTGAACCACCTGGCCACGGCGCTGCTGGCGCTGACACTGCTTCCCACGCTGAAGAAGACGGCCCAGGAGCTCGGCTCCCCGTCGCGACTTACCTTCACCTCGGCTGAGACGCACATGTTCACCAAGTTCGCCGAGCAGGCAGCCGAGAAACCGCTGGACCAGCTGAACAAGAAGGAGCTGTACAAGGATGCCATGGACCGGTATTGTGTAACGAAGCTGCTCAATGTGTTCTGGGCGAGGGAGTTGGCGGCGCGCACGTCTCGGGATGAGGTTATTGTCAACTACTTCAACCCTGGCGCGGTGGATACTGGGTGCGTCGTATATCCAATTCTTCTTGTTGGAAGTGTGGATGCTAACATCACCAGAATCCACCGTGATGGTAACCTTCTCATCCGGAAGTTCGACCGCTATGTTGGCCGCAGCGTCGAGCAGGGTGCTAGTCTCATGCTGAATGCTGCGGTCGTCAAGGGGGCTGAGAGCCATGGGGAATACATGAGCGAGGGGGCGATCAAGCCGTATGTTCCTATTCCCTTGTTCCGTCGTCGACCATTAGCTAACCGGCTTAGACCATCGGACCTCGTGCTCAGCGATGCTGGCGCTAAGCTGCAGAAGACACTTTGGAATGATACTGAGGCGGTGCTGAAGATGCATGTACCAGAGGGCATGGATAGTATTTTTAAGATATAGTGTGTTGTATGTAGAGGTCACTTCCATGTTTAGATATAGTAAAACTTTTTTACTATATTCATTACTGCTTAGGATGAGTTAACAAGGGGATAAAGTATATTTCATCGTATTCCATGTTCGTTTATCGAAACAATAACATGATATAACAAGCTCTCCTGAACAATACAAACACCGAGTACATTCTACTTTAACCATACTACAGAATATCATTCATCACTCCACAATCGTCCCAGCCATCTCAAAGTCCGTAGCTAAACATTCCCTACACTCGGCCCCTTCCCCTTGAGATTCGTCCTCTGGGCAGCCAGAGTCGTCAGTGCCGCAACACCCGCACACGCAATAGCCAACGCAAACGCCACATGCACGCCGTCCATCTCAGCCTGGATGATCCCGGGCACTTGCTTCGTCGTAAACACGGATCTAATCTGCGTCGCGCCAATATTAACCACGATTTGCGGATCAACAGTGGGAGCGGTGATGGGCAGTTTTCGCAGCAACGTGTTTGTATACGCAGCCCCCGCCGCGCCGACCAACAGTGCGCCCCCAATTGTCTGGGAGAATAGCATCAGCGCCGTCGAGGTGGTGATGTCCCCTGGCTCGCTAAGTGCCTGGCCCACGATGATGGGCAGCTGCACGCCTGCGCCAAAGCCTACGCCCGCAACAATCTGGTACCCGATCCAGTGCCCGGATGAGGAGTCGATGTCCAGCGTGTAGAGAAGGCCGGAGCCGACGGTGCTGAGAACGCCCGAGAGGAATAGCCAGGAGAGGTAGTGGCCGTTGACGGAGATGAGGCCGCCGGTTAGGATGGTTGTGATGACGAGACTGATGATTAGGGGGAGATTGCGCACGCCGCTCTGCGAGGCTGATACGCCGGACACGACTTGGAAGTAAATGGGGAGGTAGTACAACACTACGAACCAGCTACCGCCGAAGAAGAACATGAAGGCCATGCTGCTCCAGATGTAGCGCTTCTTGAAGAGACGCGGTGGGATGATGCTGCGCTCGCCCTGGAAGGCGGAGAGGATCATGAACAGGACGACGAGAAGAGCACCGCCGATGAGGGTGCCGATGACATCTGAGTTCTTCCAGGATTTGGTCTGTCCTCCCCACTGGATTTTGTTAGCAGATGTTGGTCTATAGGCGGGGAAGGCGTACTTGAAATACAAGCACATAGCAGACTATTGCTGCCATGACAATCAAGGTGCCAGGGAAATCCATCTGAAGAATCTTCTGCTTGAGGGAGGCTTTCTCTGTCGTGGCACGCTTGGGAGCCTTGAAGGTGAACAATATAATAGCCGCAGAGACACCTGGAAGATTAGCAGAGAAGAGCCATGGAGTATAGGGCACATACCACCAATTGGCAGGTTGATATAGAAGCACCTAACAGTTCAGTACTTGCATAAATGAAGGCAGACTAGAGTAGGGCAACACCTACCATCTCCAGGATACTTTCTCTGCAAAGACACCACCCAATAAAGGTCCTACCACCGATGCAATGCCATACGATGCACCCAGCAACCCAGTGTAAGCCGCACGCTTGCTCGGCGGCGCACAGAAAGCAATAATAGTGTACGCTCCGGAGCCTAAACCAGCAGCGCCCATCCCAGCAATGGCACGTCCAAAGATGAGCGCGGTGCTGTTGGGCGCGACACCGCACAGCAGACTACCAACCTCGAACACCACGATTGCCAGCATGAAGCCCGCCTTGAGCGGGAATACCTTGTAGATCTTGCCAAAGGTCGACTGAAAGCTTCCAATGGTGATGAAGAAGCCACTGGCGTACCAGCCCACGAGGTCCAGACCCTTGAACTCGTCCGTGATTTTGGGGATGGCGGTTGCCACGATTGTCTGGTCGAGGGAGACCTGAGAAGTTAGACTTGTCTATATTGAAAAAAGGGCGGGACTTACTAAGAACACACAGAGAATAAGGGCCAGGAGAATGAAGAGCATCCCGATGAACGAGTAGCCTTCTTGGGGCTCCTGCTCCTCGCTCTCGACCAGCGAGTTGTCCCTGCTGGGCTTCATCTCCCCTCTCACGGAGGACAGAGGGGACTGCGAGGCGTTCTTTTCGTCCGGCGTCGACGTGTCGGTCGAGGGCATGACTGATACCAGATGTATAGAAATTAAGAATGAAGATGGAATGGACGTCTCGTTTCGACAAGAGCAATAAAGGAAGATGCCAACAGCGGACTTTCTTTTCTTTTCTTTCTTCTTTTCTGTCTTTTTCGTTTTCGGCGTGAATCTATACATCGGAGGAGCAATCAGGGCCCCATCCGAGGGCATACATTCCGTAACGGGCCTAGACGATGCCCGGCCAAGACGGAGGTCAGCGAGCATCCGACACGCCGGCCGGAGGTCAACCAAGCTTCGGTCGATCACGGAGGTCACGACCATCCGCAGCACCGTGGACTGGGACAGAATCCCTGCTAGCGTCGTGGTAATGGCCTGTATCCAACTTACCTCATAATACCGATGATACGCCAGTGTACGGTTTTGGAGGGGTACAGTATACAAATGTAATCGTCGTTCAACAGAGCTTGCCTTGCTAAAGTCCCCGAGTCCCGAGATTCCTGCAAGGAATATTCAGTTCCACTAAGAGGTGTAGAAGTCGTGTCAGTTTCTTAGGAGTTATGAACATGGTTATGTATGCCTGAATAGGAGGATCAATAACATAACAAAGAATCGTATACTGAGCTGGTTCATGTATGCTCCGAGGTCATAAGTATAGATATCTACACATAATTCTTCTTTTTAATGGGATTATCCTTCTACGTACAGGCGCATTCTCGATATTATCCCGCAACCCGGCAATGAAGCCCGAGGCGGTACCCGAGTACTCCCATATAAGAAAGATAAACTATGTGCACGTTTCTAACTCCCTTCCCATACATACAAGCCATCGCAATGTCAGACATCGATATCACAGGCTTCGCTGCCATTGTCCAGCTCCGCCCGCTAACCATCGGCGGGGGCTTGGTGCTGGTACTTCTCTACGCACTGTACCTGCGCGCACTGCCCAAACCGCTGCCAGGCATACCCTACGACGTGAAGTCCTCGCAGCGCCTGCTCGGCGACATCCCTCACTTCTTCGCCCTCGAAAGAGCCGGACGCCGCATTATGGAGTTCTGGGCAGACCTGGCGCGCCGGCAGCAGTCGCCCATCACGCAGTACTTCGCGGGCCCTTTCACCAAGCCGGTCGTTGTCATTTCAGACTTCCGTGAGACCAAAGACCTGCTGATGCGCCGGGCGAAGCTGCTGGATCATGGCTCGCTCAACACGGGGCTGTGGTTTGGGGCCATCCCGCACCACTTTGTGGGTATGCCGTCGAGTGACCCGCGATATGCAAAGTCCAAGAGCTTGTCGAATGACTTGATGACGCCGAGCTTTCTTCACAATGTGAGTATACATGATGATTCCAGAAGATAAATACTTACGATACAGGTCTCGCTCCCCGCCTCGTATCAGAAGACCCTGAACTTCGTCCGGCTGTGGCAGCTCAAGGCCCGCATCGCCAACGAACAGCCCTTCACTGCCCTGGGCGACTTCAACTTCCTCACCGGCGATATAATATGTGCTGCTGCTCTGGGCATCCTCGACGAGGAAAGCGACACAGTCAAGCACTACAATCGCCTGGAGGCCAGTATTCTCCCCCGCGGCCTGCCCACCAAGAGAAACCAGATCTACAACTTCCCCGAGTACAAGGCCACGGGCATCCTCGAGGCCACGCACACCATCGCCGATAGCATCACAGGCGCTCGCACCGCATCCATGCCCAAGCTATACTGGTTCTTCACCAACTTACGCCCATCCGTCAGGAAAGCCCAGCGCGAGCGCACCCGCATCCTGCAGACATACATCAACCGCGCACACAACTCCATCACTGCTCAGAAAGACAAAACCGGCCCATCACACCGCGCAGCAGTCGACTCAATCGTATCCCGCGAGCTCACCTCCGCAAAGAAAGAAAACCGCCACCCCGCACTGTCCTCCCAGGAAATCCACGACTCACTCTTCGGATACATCCTAGGCGGCCAGAGCACCACACACAGCGTGCTCTCCTTCATGATCCGCCGACTCTCCGCACGGCAGGACATCCAAGGGAAGCTGCGCAAAGAGCTACAAACGCTCTACAGCGCCGCCACAGCCGCAAAGCGCAACCCGTCCATCGACGAATTCCTAGCCATGCGCGCCCCCTACCTTGACGCCGTGATTGAGGAGACTATGCGGCTGAACAGCACAGCACCCGTACTGATCCGTGAGGCCATGGAGGATCTCGATTTCCTCGGGTACACCATCCCGCGCGGCACAAACATCTTCTGCACGCTATGGGGGCCGTCGTACGATGAGCCTGCCTTTGCCGTGGACGAGAACCGGCGCAGTAAATCGTCGCAGGCGCACAAGGACGAGTCGCCTGCGGACTGGACGGGGAGTGGGTTTGCACCGGGTGAATTCCACCCGGAGCGCTGGCTGCGCAGGGACAGCGAGGGGAAGACGGTGTTTGATATCAAGAATGGGCCGGCGCTGGGGTTTGGCGCGGGCACGCGTGAGTGCTGGGGGAAGCGGCTGGCGTACCATGAGTTGAAGCTGATTAGCACGCTGCTGGTGTGGAATTTTGAGTTTCTGCCGCTGCCGCCGGATCTGGTGGATGAGGATGTCGTGGACTTTTTTGTGGCGAAGCCCAAGTCGTGCTTTGTGCGGGTGCGGGCTGTGAAGAGGAGTTAGGGCTTTATGTCTGTACATCTTGGCATCTTGACAGCAAATTCAGTCTATTTCCAAATTTCACGTCCTAATAGGTTATTCTAATACCAATGCTAATGCTATCTAATGCAATGCCTACTCCCGCGAGAGGATACCGTCCAGATCGTCCCTCATGGAATGGACGCGCGAGCGCAGGAACTGCTCCAGTGCGCCATGAAAAACATCGCCGCCATACCGGCGCCCAAACGCCTCGACCACCCGCTCCACCCGGCGCAGCTCGCTGAGCAGAAGATGCAGAATAAGCCGGCGCTCGTCCTCCCGGTGGATTGTGAACATGCCGATCTTTATAGGCGTCTCGAGGACCATGCTCTGTCCGGCCAGCGTGAAGGTGGACGCCGGCTGCGAGTCTGGTATGCTTTCTTGTATACCGTTCTTCTTACTGTTGCTGCTGGTGCTGGTGTCGTTCATTGCCGGGATAGGGGTGGAAGGGGGCGAGCGAGCGATGGCATCGTAGGAGTCGAGGATCTTGAGGATGATGAGCGCATTTGACATAGATGAGCTGCAACTCTGGGCGCAAGTGCACTGCAGCAATGTATATAGCGAGGTTATGGCCTGGCGGCCAGTGTCGAGTATTCGGTCAATAGTGACAATAGGAGGCACGACGCTGGGAACGGTGGTGCAGAACCTGAAAGGCATGGAGAGGCTTTGCAGCGTGGATGATGTGAGCTGCATACACGGTGCATTCTCATTGATCTGTCCGGTCTTCTCTGACGGTGGGAGTACGGAATGACATGTCGGCCTCTCGCTGGGCCTCTCGTTCACACCGTTAAGCGGGCTATGGGCGGTCGAGTTCAGATTCCACAGCCCCAGTTCGTCGTTGATCATCTGCTCGCTGAAGCCGTGGGCTTGAACTAGCTGGTCGAGGTCGTCGTGGTCGTTGGGAACATCATCGAACCTCAGGTCTTCGGAGAGAAAGTGGGACGAGAGCCCCACGTCAGGCATGTCATAGTTAAAGAAGACGTCCAGCGTGCTCTCGCTGCTGCGGTGTAACGGGTTTGTTGATGCAGTCGGCGCCGTCGCTGGGGCCATCGTTGCTGGAGTCGAGCTCTCGGTCTGGACGGCCACGGAAATGCTCCTGGCCACAGGATCCGGGCGTTTCTGGACAACTCCAACCTCGTCCTCGTTATTCCTGGCGGACTTCGGTGGCTTTCCCGTCCGCCGCGAGACGCTGTATACGCAGCGGATGCCGGCCTGGTGGCAGCGCTGGCAGGATGGCCGCTCGTGATTGCAGCGCACCTTGGACTTGGAGCAGCTGTCGCACGACAATCGGAACTTGGACGCGTAGCCCCTTTTCTGCTTGGTGCTGGGCGGGTGCTGCCAGCTCTCGAACTCCATCTCCATAGTGGTGTAAGTGCTACGAGATCTCTGATCTCCCTTATATAGCTAATAGCTCTATGAGCTTTTAGGCGGGGAGGTGCGGACTAAGTAAGATCTGCTCAGAGAGTCAACTATTACTAGGTGTTTATTAATTTGGGTGGCTTTTGGAAGTCAGCTCTTTCAGCCCCCAATCCGTATACTAGGGTTAGGTACGTGTATAAGAGGATCTTACGCAATGAGCCAGTGCTGTTGCGTCGCTCCAAGCCGCATGTTGGCGCTAGAATTGACAGCAGTATCTTCAGCGTTAAGCACCGGAGGGTGATTGGCTGGCGGGGGATATACTCCGGTCCAATGCGGTCGTACATGCAAGGCCCTTCCTTTTCCTGCCCTTGTATGGTTTTACTGACACTGCCGCGGAGACGATACGCAGGCCTGCGTCCTGAATTGAGGCTAATAGGAAATACGCCCCCTGCCGACGGCTGACGCTGCAACCGTCCATTACCGCCATTCGCTCCGTCGGGATCACACGATCCTGCTGCGCGGAGCATAACTAACAACCGAGAAAAAAGGATTGATTGTGGCAGTAAAAAGCATCTAGACCTTTCTCATTTATACACGAACATAACCACTAAGCCAAAACAGGGTCAGGCTATCAGTCTGGACTGCATACAGAATTTCTTCCCACTCGGGGCTATGAAGCTCCCGCTGTCACCAGCGTATTCGCATCAGGCATCACCCCGTTCACCTTCGCCTTCGCCTTTGCCTTTGCATTTGCTGGAGCGCTCGGTGGAGTCGATTCTACCAGATCCGTCACATTCACCCAAGCCATGAATCTGACCTCGTCAAGGAAGTACCGTGAAGTCGTACGAATATGCCACCCGATATACGCCGCAAGATAGTCATTGCAGTGCGCAAGCAGGTCGGGATAAGACTCCAAAATGCGGTGTATCTCATGAATTCTGCTTTCCACCGCATCCACCGTCTCCTGCAGACATCGTAGGGCGCTTGACCCCGTCGTGTTGGCGACATTGCAGATGTAGTTGATGCGCTCCGTCCCGCGGATGGTCTCCTTGTAGAAGGACAGGATGTCGTTGGTGAAGTCGATGACGTCGCACAGCGGCGACAGGGCCGGGAGGTACAGCTTGCGGTACTTGTGCTCGGGGAAGGTGTCGTTGGGGAAGATGGCGTGGGCGTATGTCTCTGCGAAGCCTGTCTTCACGCGGAGGTATCGTGGGAAACGGAGGGCGTTGGGGGGCACTGCCTCGCTGAAGTCGTTCTCCACGTTGGTGCCCTCAACAAACTCCAATGTAGTCTTGATGACCATGGACGAGCCGTAGGGGCCTAGATACTGGTCCGTGTTTTGCAGGAACCTGGCCTACTGTCAGTACAAGATACGACCGGCGGAGGGAGATCTTACTGTGCTAAGGAGTCGAGAAAGGGCGCTTTCTGCGGCAGTCCGCGCACCAGCCGGAGGGAAAACTCGGTCCCTGCATCGCCGAAGGTCATGTAATGCTCGTCGTAGATGATGACCAGGAGCGTAATGACCACGCAGTTGAAGCGAACCGCAAACGATGCTCGCGGGTACCACGACGCGATGCCTACGGCCTGTTTAGCATACTTGGCTGCCCGCGTCTTCAACTCCTCCGACCACGGCTGCTCCTCAATGTACTTGGCCAGCGCCGGCTCGATGTTACTGTCATAGTAGGGTTTGGGCAGGTGGAAGTCGATCTTTTCGAAAAACCGCGAGAGGATGGTGCCGTACTCGGAGAGAGACACCATGAATCGAACGTCGTCGGGTGCGATGCTGCCCATTATGATACTGTCTGTCGGCTCTTCTAAACAATATCTGTTGTAAGGGATTGTCTTTGATTCAGATGGTGGTAATTAAGTCTAGAAGAAAGCAGATGCTTTATCTACACAATCAGGCATACCTTTATCATACTCGCCGTCGCAAAATGGTTCGGGCGATGAATACCACCCTACCACGCTCAATGGGGTAATAAAAACTGCCTACCATAGTAGAAGAGAATACTAGAATAGGCTTGCGAGATTCCTTCACGGGAATCATCGGGTTTGACGCAGCGAGATTCCCGAACTCAACAATATTTATCAATATAGTGCATCTACTCTGACGGGGATTATGGTTACATTACCAAATTTAAATTACAGATACATTGACCGTTGTATTTTTGTAATACTCGACACGGGAATCACTGACCACGACTAAGGGCATATTTCCCGCGCCTGCTTACGGCTGGAAGTGTCAAAGGAGATGGTAGAATGATCGGAGAGCGAAATCTTGCCAGTTAAGGGCTGCTCTTGAAACCCACCGAGAAGGCCCGGATGGTCGATGTTGCTGAATACGGCCGTAATCCCGGGGATAGCCATATATTGACGCCGCTGTGGTTGACCTCATTCATTTTCCGTCAGACCGCTGAAGTCCACGTGCGTATAGCTGCTATCGGTTATTTGTATACCTCCACGGGTCCCTGTGACCGTCTGGAATCCAAGGTGGTAACTATGGCTTTAACAGACTTCTGGAATTCCTTCATGTCTCTTTTCTCTTTACAAAGCTTCGGCAACATGTCTCTGAGCCTGTTCGGCACGGCCCTCCTGCTTATCACTTTGGCCTTGGTGATCTCAAAGCTAGGCTCCCGGAATAAACCGCCTCTCCCCCCTGGACCAAAAGGGTGGCCTCTCATCGGACACCTGCGTGCAGCGGCGGTGGACAAGCATAAGTACTGGTACCAGTTAGGGCAGCAGTATGGCCCGCTGTCTTCGGTGAAGGTGGCCAACTTGACCTTCATCATCATCAACTCCCACGATGTCGCCCACGATCTCATCGTCAAGAGGTTCGCCAACTACAGCGGCCGGGCCCGGCTGCCATTTATCGAGCTCCTGGACGAGTCAGCACCCTGGACCAGCAAGCTGATCCTCACGCGGCAGTATGGCCCCGAATACCGCCTGCATCGACGCATGCTCGAGTCCGGAATGACCGCCACATATGCGGACCGTTTCCATGGCCTGATGGAGCTCGAGACCTGCCAACTGTTAAACGATCTGCTCGATGACAAGGACTGCCGCACTATCGGCATGAGCAGCGTCCTCCTCTTCAAGCACATCGAGCGCGTCCAGACCAGTTTCGTCATCGGGGGCACCTACGGCTTCCGCACCCCTCACCGTCTGGATCCCAACCTCGTCACAATTATCAAGAGTTCGCACGATTCCAACGACATCGCCGTGTCCCAGACCCTGCTCAACTTCTTTCCACTCCTCAAGTCTCTCCCCAAGTTTCTCTCCCCGTACTACAAGGCCGCAGCAAAGGTGCGCGACTACACCGCGCCCTGGGTCCACGGACACCTCATCACAGCCCTGGAACGCCCCGGATGGAATCTAGCCAAGCAGTCATACGCCATCGGCATGAAGGACGGCTCGACCCCGCGCGAAGTCGAGGTCAATCTCGAGTCCAACGTCTACGGCGGCGTCGAGACCTCCCCCCGTGAGCTCATGTGGGTTATCGTCGCCGCCATCACCCAGACAGCCTCCGTCCGCAAGGCCCAGGCCCAGCTAGACGAAGTCGTCGGCCCAAACCGCCTACCGAACTTCATCGACCGCCCTAAGCTGACCTACGTCGATGCCTTTCTGCGTGAGGTCATGCGCTGGCGGCCCATCATGGCGGACTCCATCCCCCACCGCGTCGAGAGCGATGACATCTACAATGGATTCCTGATCCCCGCCAACGCACTCATCATGCCGAACGCATGGCGCATCAATCGGGACACGAAGTACTTCGGCGACGACGTCGAGGAGTTCATCCCCGAGCGATGGTTCACGAACCGGGATGTGAAGAATGGCTCGCTCCGGCATGATCTACCCACGCCTGCCTTCGGGTACGGCCGTCGTACCTGTGCCGGGAAACGCATCGCCGAGGATGGCATGTATATGCAAATGGCGCGTCTGCTTTGGGCGTTTGAGTTCAGGGAGGTCGATGGTGAGCCTGTCGACCCGAGTGCTGATCTTCGCCATACCTTCACTGTGCCACCGGCGCCGTTTAAAGTGAAGCTTATGCCGCGGCGGACGTCAGTGCGGGATGTGGTCACGAAGGAGTGGCGGGAGTGTGAGACGGATGTGCCGAAGCTGCTGGGCGAGATGGACGAGAAGTATCTGAATATGAAGTCAGAGGATTAGCTGTGAAGGTGAGTTTTCATGGCGAACATATTCATCTTCTTGGGGTTTTCAAATATCTGCAATATCGTCCCATTTGCCTTGTTCATAAGAGATGGCAATGTGATGTTATAGGGCTACACTTTATCGAGCTGTAAAACGCACATAAGTGTTGTATGACCTTTTTCCTTCTCCTCATATTGAGAAAGTTTTGTGTTTCTGTACATGGTACCCATTCAATGTTGGGGTCAAGTTCATTGTCAACTCGTTTTGTCTTCATTGGGCCAGCCTTGGCATATTTTAAGCTTTCTGGGAGGTTCGTAATACTTGCTCACCCATACATAAACTATTCCTCACCAAAGACGTCATTATAGCCGTCTCATCGTCATTGTCTGTTAGATCCCCTGCTCAAAATTCCACAAGTTGGCCAGATCCCACTCGAAGTATTCTGACATCAATGGCGTGAACGAAGTAGCATCTAACGGTGGCATTGCATTATCGAAAAACATGGGTGTGTTGGACATGGTGAATAGATCGTCGTCGATTGTGCCAGATGGGTACAAAGGACGTGGCATATTGCTGGTGTGATGCTGGATGTTGTCTCCCAAAGCATGGGCTTCGAGGGATGAAGTTGTTGAATTGTCGCCATTGTTGATGACACTGGCAGAGTGTAACTTAAGACATTAAGTGTTAATGGATATAGTTTAATAAAAGTGGAATGGGCATGTGAAAAGGTACTTACCATGGAGCCACTTTGGTTTCCAGAGTTCTCCAATCCTGATAAGGCCTCCGGCACACAAGGCTCTTGCTCTGCGGTCTGAGATTGGTCTCGTTTATGGCCATATTCATCTCGAGCACGTTTTGCCGGCTTTGCAATATTACAGTTAGTCTTTTCGACTAGTTTCCTCGTAATATTTCCCAATTCTACGAATAGCCGAGCCGCGTTAGCCGTAGGTACGTTGACATGGAAAGCGGGTTCCGAAAGTAAGGAAATGACAATGTCCATGAGCTTTAGATCTGAGGGGGCCTCTGGATCCGCGGGATTCTGAAGCGTATTGGCGAAGAGAGTCAAAAGGTTGGAAAGAGGGTAGTAGAGAAGCATCCTAATATCTAGTCAGCACAGAGAAGTAGGAATAAAAGCCTCGCCATTTTTGGTTCGCATAAATATCAAGAAAGGTTAACAAACCAGAGACTGCTTTTATCAACCGCTCGAGTTTCAAAGTCGACTGACTTCAGAAGCTTAATAGACTGTCTTGCGGCGGCTAGACAAATTGCTTCACTTGCATACACCCGGGGATTGAGGTGTCGGTCATCTTGTAGGGTACTTTCATGTCGGCCATAATGGGTGCTGGTCCAAGAGCCATGGTGTATAGAAACGCGATGAATGATCGTGAGACAGTTGAAGTATGCAAAGTGCATCAGAATGGTTGGCAAGACCAAGTCTGCCGGACATTGCATGGGCTGTTCTGGCTGGATCTCCACTGGTAGTTTTTCTTTCCATTCTATAAGCGTCTTGTCCAATTCACCAACTAGTCTGAGCCGCTCCAAGGGCGATCTAGTTTGGCCTCGAGCTGAATAGAGCTTTGAATAGACACGACTCTCAAGGCGTGCTAGTTGCACACGATATCGAAACATGTCCACCCTAGTAGTTGTCCCATCTGCCTGTACTTTATGTGGGCACTGCTGAAGCGGCAGGTCAATACCGATATCATCATCATTCATCACAGAAGGGTGCCCCAGGCGCAAAGCAACGGTCTTGTCCATAGTGTAGACAACCCAAAATACATTTCTTCTTTGGATGACTTCAGCTTCGCTAATGCCCCGGTCTTTTAGATCCCGATGGAGACCGATTCCGTAGGACAAACGCCCGGCCGCTGCCACTAGGATATGGACGGCCTGCGGTTCTAGATGTACCTGATGCACAACAGCCTAGCAGACATCAGCATAACTCCAGAGGAACATTGAATGAAAGGTGGTAACTTACCATTCCAACTAAAGCCTGTACCGCCTCTAGGCTACCTTCTTCGAATATTAAATCGAGCAAGCAACCACTAGCATTGCGGAGGTACTTTTTCCAGACTTTACGCTCTGGATTGTCTGACGTATTGTTCTTATCGCGCACCTGGAGGAGCAGACAACCAAGACAGAGAACGATATTCAGCGAAGCATACCAAGCAAGTCCCTTCGGCGGATCTCCGGAGTACTGAAGTTCGTAGCTCCGGTCGAAAGCGGCCTTGTCGTACAATGGAGAAAGATTGTTATATGACGCGAAGAAATCTGCCGAGGTCAGTTTACTACTGTATTGGAACCAGTTTAGCCACGTACAATCAACGTAGCGGTCCGCAATATGTTTAGGCGGATAGGGTTCTCTCTCAGACGCGAAAAGCGGACGATAGAGTTCGGTGGCGGTCTTCTCGGGAGGAGTATGTACATCGGTTGCGAGAGTATGTATAAATCGTGATAATTCATCGGAGCCCGTTTTTTCAGCGATCCAATCAAGGCCCTGTGGTGAAAAGAGAGTCAATCCGGACGCGCCACCTAGAACAGGGATGATTAGTGTATGGCCCAAGGCAGAGAGTTTGACAAATGTACCGAAATATCGGGTCTTCCCTTCCCCACTGATCATAAGGGTTGACAATCGATCAATCAATTTCGTAGGACTTGCGAGAGGGGATTCGGACGCCACTGGTGAAGACGCTGCAACCGAGTTGCTCTGAGTGTCCAAGCCAGAGGCAGTGATGACCGACTCCATCCGCTTGATACGGCTCTCAATGTCGAGGAGGGAGGCGGATCTAGAAATTCTCAGTGTTTGTCAACAAGGCATCGGATGCATCAAGAGTCCAAGACCTTGTCGGCTGCCTCTTCTTGCGCTCAGCCAATGTCGTCGCACATGTTATCCCGCGATTGAGGCAATGGGCGCAGCTGTCACCGTTCTTTTCGCATTTGATCTGTAGAGATCATTGTCAGAGCCGGTGTCCCATAGCCACAGCTTTCTGCCAGGCCACATCGGCCCTACCTTCAGCCGTTTGCAGGCGTCGCATGAGGTGCGAATGTGTGAGTTGAAAGGAGAATGCGTGGGAGCTTCGGCGGGAGAGAAGCTGGAGCCGCTGCATGAGCTGCGTGAGCTGGGATCGGAATAGTGGTTCATGGTACACGAGACGGAACTCTCGCTGTCGGTACAGACGATCTTGGGCGGAATGGGAACGAGGCGGAGAATTGTGGATATCTGTCCCATCAGCCAACACTGACACTCCGGCAGGGCGCAGGATGACAGGCCACACTAGATTAGTCAGCGGCCACACCTACCTTCTGAGTATAGGTATATGTTGCACAAGATGGTCTCCGTGGTGCTGAATTGCGATTATCGGAGATACGGTGACTATACAGCAGACATGAGGGGAGAGTTAGCCGTTGCGGGGCACTTTTTACAGCAACCCATGCTGTTCGACTCTACGCAGGTGATTTCATATATAACCTACCAGCTCATATGAGATCCTGGAGCTTAAACAATCCATAAAATCATGCGTTACGGTGAGAGCGGTCATCAGTAGATCTAAAAAATTTGGCAGTACAGGGATCACGGCTCTAATGTTACACACTTGCCAATGCCGTTATGCTCTGCAGCTGCATCGAACGCTGCCTTCCAACTATCCAACGAGAAGATCTTAGTCTCCATCAAGTCCCTGCCTAGAGGGAATAGACCTCGCTCCAGCATCTTCACAAAGTGCACTATAGTGTCTCGTTCATACATCATCTTCCCTTTAGACGTATAAACCATTAGTGCCAGGCCACAGACTCGAAGGGACTTACTGTACCTTTCAGTGTGATATTGTTGATCATGATCTCTGGGACTCCAATATTACTTGTAGATCCCATCAAGCTGACCCTACCTCCACGACGCAAGGCTTTAATAGCACTCTTGGTATGTGTTGACGATGATGCAGTCGTAGGCGTAATGTCCAAAACGGCATCAGCAGCACCAAAAGCTCGTAGTGCATCTGCATCCTTATCTTCATCGCCAGTTATCTTAACTGTTTTGATACTCGCAGCAGGTGATCCTTTTCGAACATCCTTCACTAGCTTTGCCAGCTTCTCTTCGCTTCGTCCCATCGCAATCACTGACGCCCCCATTGCGGCCGCCAGTTGCACACCCAAGCTGCCATAGAACCCTGTCGCCGGGCAAATAACGATCCTTTCACCAGCCTCAAGCTTGATATCCCTCAAGCCACCAAACGGCACAAGAATATACGCCATGTAAATCAAGTCATGGACCGAGTATCCCAAATTATGACACAAAGCCGTCTGATCAAGCATAATGCAGTTCTCAAGCGGCACCTTGACATACTCTGCAAAAGTTCCATTCCGCCAAACTTCGTGCATTAGCTTTTTGCTGCCAGTACTGGACCCCTCGTAGATAGCTGACAGGAAAAAAGAATCTGGGTCATCGCGGGCCCAGATAACGCAATCAACATAGACAAGCTGTCCGGGTTTTAATGCCGTTGCATCATGTCCGACTGCGGCGATATGGCCAATAGCGCCAAAACCACCTACCAGCGGTGTCGAGAATGAGTTGGGACGCTTGCCCTCGTAGACATCGCGGTGGTAGGGTAGTACCCCGGCCGTGGCGATGCGGACAATCGCACTGCCGGTATCCGGCTGTGGGGTTGATAGTAGTTTGACTTGGAAGTCGGATCCAAGCTCTTCAAGTACGAGGGCGCGGTGATTTGGGGGCAAGGCAGTTTTCATAATTAAAAAATGATAATACAGTAGAAGTTGAGATGTCAATGATTGAAGAACCTCGTGGGACAAGACATTGAATGCTGACAAATTAAGACTTGGTAACTAAATCATTCCCCACCGCACTTCTAATAAGCTATTTGAATCGGGTATGGTGGGAACTATTTATACTTGCTTGACATTTTGACCACTCCACTTCGTGGCAGCAAGCCGAATGGTCTGGGAGTGGGAAGGCTATATGATCATTATTAATTTGACATATTAGACTAGCTCAAGACAGTCAAACCATCAGGCCCTGAGGGCAAGACTAGCCGAACATTCCATCGCAAATCCAAAGCAGCGGGCATACCATCCCTGCGACCAGTAGCTCAGTTCCATACAGTGCGGTGCCCCCTTTATCAAACTGCCGTCCGTCCTCTCACTCTTCGTAAACGCCGAGATACATTGCCTGACATGTTCTTCCGTTCCCACGAAGAAGCAGTCCTGCTCCACAATTGCAAACATCACCGGTGCTGTGACATGAGCAGCCCACTCACGCCATGTGGGCAGCCATACATCTCTCAGACTTGCAGCCTCCGCGACTGGCGTAGGATGATCAAGCCGCTTGCTCTGGTTCAGTATTCCAGGATCAACGGTCCCCGGTCGGAACATCATAGCGTCTTTGATCTCCAGAGGAAAGACATACCGATCCGGCGGTACATTTGGTTCACTCACTGGGTTCTCTCTGATCTCAGGTAGAGAGTGCTCCCCAAGACCAGATACAATGATGCCACCCAATGGATAAGAAGACTGTTCATCCTGCCCGTGCATGGCCGCGGCAATTACACAGCCCATAACTCCAAGGCTATGAGAGAGGAGCACAATGCAGTTGCAGCCATTGGGCTTGCCGATCTGGGACCATAGAGCCGGGAGAGCATATCGGTGCAACCAAGCACCTGTCTCTTGTGGAAAGCTTGAACCCTCGGGAATTGGTGAAAGGGGACTCGTGTTGCCGTAGCAGGGGCGGTCGATCGATACGAACGGGACGCCAAATGCCGTACTGTGGATTGCCGCGGTGTGCTTCGAATCGGCATCAAAATAGCTGCTGCTATAGGTGCCCCCATGAAGCCCGACAACTAGTGGGCGGTTCAGAATCGTGGACTGCAAAGGTGCTGTGCGGATACCAGCCAGAACGGTGCCGTTGGACAGGCTTAGCTTGAAGGGCTCCATTGTAGCTGTCGGTGCAATGGATCCTCGCAGGACAGGTTGGAACAGTCCGCGTACACTTATAAATTTTCAACAACTGAACCGAGCCCTAACTATATATTTTCCTGAACATGGAGCGAATCCACCGCCTAAATCCGCTTAATGCCGAACTACTATGACGTAGGGCTCCATACTATATTTAATGCCGTCTTGCATCTTACACTGTCCGTCTTACAATGCCTAGCTTACCATACTAGCTCTATTTAAGCTAGGCGCGATTCTACACATATACAGAGTCCCGATTCTGTCACAGTTTAGTATTTGAGTACTTGGGTGGTCGGTGTTTCCAAGGTCTCGTCGTCATAGCTCCACAACGTTGAGCGTCGGACAACGAGTTAACTCCGGCGAGTAAGCTGCCTCTAGCCAGATGCCATTGGGTTTTCTCACAAGGTGGGCTTTTCCCTTTGACATTTTAAGACAACGTGCCGCTCAAAAATAGGCCACTTTCAGCTATCGTTTATTTTTGCCATTTTGACAAGACGTTAACGGATTGAGTCGCCAAAATGAGAGCCCTTATTCTGAATACCAGCGACAAGTCTACGACTGTTCAGCAGGCACCTGACCCGAAACCAGGACCGAAGGAGATTCTCGTTCGTGTGCGCGCTGTAGCGCTGAACCATGTCGACTACATGAATACTGTCAATCCCCTTGCCGCCCAAGAAAAGCGTGTAATCGGATCCGATTTCGCAGGAGAGGTGGTTCAGGTCGGGGATGATCTGGCTAACCTTGAAGACCCGCGAACAAAAATTGGATCGCGCATTGCGGGATTTCTACAGGGTGGTAAGTGATTGCTATTCAAATACCAGGCCAATATGAGAAACTGGCTGACACCTAATAATAGCCAGCTCAGTCAATGACCGCCCAGGTGCATTCGCCGAGTATCTGGTCGTGGATTACGATCTTACCTGGCACATACCTGACGGAATCGCCTTCGAAGAAGCCGCAGGCGTTAGCTTATGCGGTGTCACTGCCGCGCAGGGTGTCTTTCAGCGGTTACAACTGCCAAGCCCGTTCTCAACGACAGAAGGCTTTTCCAGCGAAGATGAACCTATTAATGTGTTTATCTACGGTGCGTCGTCATCTGTCGGCTTCTACGCGGCACAACTTGTCAGACAATCTGAGAAGGTATCTGGTAAGAAGATACGACTTATCGGTGCAGCAAGCCCATCGAAGCATGCTCTCTTATACAATTCACCATGCTCATATGACTCCTTGGTTGATTATCGGGATTCTCAATGGCCAGAGGCCGTTCGCAAAGCAGGTGGAGGCGAGGGAGTTCATTATGCCATAGACGCTATTTCCCAAGGCATAGCAGTCGAGCAAACTGCCAGTATTATCAGGCCCGGTGGAAAGTTCGCCATCTTTCGGGCTCCAGCAGCCGGCGGGTTTGATATAACAAAACTCAAGACTAAGCCTGTCTTTGGCGCAGTCTGGGAAGCTCTTGGAGTAGAAGTGATATATCATGGTGGTAAGTATTACTCCACTTGTCAACCCGTTTTCTTGGTTGCTGATGCCGTCGACTTCCTAGGTATAACCATCCCTGCTAATGCTGAAGCACGAGCGTTTGCTGCCGCATTCTACCAGTATCTTGGCTCGGGAGTTGGGACGGCACAGATCAAGCTGCATCCAAGCCCTGTGCGGGTAATGCCTGGAGGACTTGAAAAAATCCCTACCGATGGATTTGCACTTCTCAGTGGTAGCTTCAAACGGGACAGTGAAGGCCAGAAAGATCATGATGATCATCTTAGGCCAATTAGTGGAGAGAAGATTGTTTACAAGCTGGTTTAATAGTTAAACTACATTTTTCAATCACCCTTCCTATTACAATTTAATTTGATATCCATGTCGGTGTTACCTGAAGGCATAATTGGAGCAGAAACCTCCTTAATATCATCGACCACTATCATGACTTCAATGTATCAGATCTAGGTCTTCAAGTGATATGATGATCAGGTAGGTCCTTAAACTAGGCCTTTGTGATCTTAGACTACCTGGCAGCTTAGTTGGGGCTCGATATTAGAAGTCTTAGCCAAATATCAAAATATAATAGCCGAATCATATCGCCATAGGATGTGTACAAGTGCTATCTCCGGCTTTTTCTCTCAGCCTTGACATAACTACATGGTATGCAGACATGTATCCTAAAATCCAGGAAACTCCTCCTCCGTCCACACTTTCCAAACTAGTCGCTCACCGCTGACAGTACCCGCTCTCATAATATCTAGCGCGGTTCTGGCCCTTTCCAGAAGCGTCTTTCCTTCGATGACATGTTGTTTGTTGGGCTCAACAGCGCCTTCTGCAAGTAGAGAGGGCATGATCTCAGGCTGGAGATGGTCACGCAGGAAGGTATTCTAAATTCTCACGTATTAGGTTTCTGACGGCAAAGTAATCAATATCCCAGGTAAGGCCACTTACGCTTTCATATGCATAAGCTGCAACACTATGCACTTTTACATCGGATGCCCAAGCCGCGTGCTCTGAAGGGTCAATGGCTAGCTCGAGGGTAGCCGCTGGTGTATCCCCTGACGGGCTGCTCACAACGACGGGTAGCAAAGCAGCAACGACGGATCCGGGCTGGTTTGCAATATTGGAAATAGGTAGTAGGGAACCGAACTTGGAGTCCACACAGTCAAAGACACGCACACCATCCGGATACTCAGAATTGTCGAGCACCTCGCGAATAGACTGAACAACTGTAGGATCTCGGTAGTCGAAAACGTGCTTTGCTCCATAGCCTCTGAGCCTGTCGTGGTGACGTGCAGAAGCAGTGGCAATTATATTTTTGTATCCCCAATATTTTAGTGCTTGCACTGCGTATTGGCCAACCGAAGTTGCTGCGCCCCAGATCAGGATTGGTACATTTTGTGTCTTCGCAGTGAGTCGTTCAGGACGGGGCCAAGGTAATTCAATACCCAGCTTTTCGGAAAGGGTGAAGAATGCTGTGCAAAAGTTGTTTGGCAGGGTAGCTGCGGCTTGTAGTGAGACCCCTTCCGGCACCTAGTTATCTTGTCAGTAATGGAGTAACTAGATAGAAAATTTGGGAATACCTTTGCAAACAAATGTTCAAGCGCCGTCACGTATATCTGCTGCGCCCTTTCCTTTTCGTTGTGGAAAAAGAAACCAAAGACCTTATCCCCAACTTTGAGGCGCTTGACGTCGTCCGCAGCTGCCACCACCGTGCCAGCCGCAGAATCACCGAAACTTTGAGGAAACTGAGCCATCAAACCTGCGTCAATTTGGTACACGTCCAGAGGAGCGGACGGTACCCATTCGACTCTGACCCTGACCTCGCCAGGCTGGATGACTGGAGTGGGCACAGAGCCAATGGTCAATGGCTGCTTAATGCCGTTGGCAATTACAGCTGGATGAGTAGACATTGCTAGTAGGCTTTCACGTATCGGAAGATATAAAACAAGTTCGCGACTGGCTTGTAGTACCCAGTACCGCAAGTGTGCATGGTGAGCTCTTATTTATAGCTAAGAGATGTAGACACCCTACTGAATCCTAAAGAATGAACCAAAGATGCCACCGTCTGTTCCACACTGCCATAGACAACGGACTTAAGCGCCGGTTGAAGCAAATGTTCTAAGATTGTATTTTTATTAACGTTTTTACAGTAGGGCGGACTTAAGAAACGCCAAGACCATGTCTCCGCGATTTGCCACTCTCCGATTGGCCGCAGTTCGCAATGGACCAATGGCTGCCGCGGTGTAAGCACCCCACGCATAATTTGCTCATTGATTTCTCATCATCGCGCCTGTTGTACTCTCACATTTTCCTTCCTGCCTTAACGACACCAAATGCAGCCGCAGCGGATCCAACAGCAGAGAGTAGCCCTTTCGCGCGAAGATGACTGGACCGGTGTGTCCAATCCAGTGACACGGCGCAGAGTGCAGAATCGCCTCAACCAGAGAGCCTATCGTGAGGGACCCATGAACCCCTTGTAGATTCGGGCGGGCTTGCTGACGGATGGCACTCGTTCTCATTACAGGGTCACGTCAACGAAAAGGTGGCAAAACGTCAAAAGAGACATCAGAGAATGACGGCAGCCATCCACTATCGAGCTCCCCCAGTCACGACAACCCGCGCTCACAGTCGGGTACGATTACATGTAGACTATCACAGGCGGAGCATCTCCACTGCACATTTGCGCCTCCCAATGTACACGAGCTGATGGCCAACTTTGAAAGTGGTGCTTTGCATAGTTACCTTAGCGGTTCGCCACAGACCGACAATCTCATTAGTCTAAGCAGAATCAACGTCCTCCGGGCAGCGTACCAGAACGCTATCGTTTTAGGTATGACCGCCGAATGGATGTGTCGGGATGATACAGTTTCTATACTCTGCGCCGAAGGTCCCCATGTCACCCGGACCCAAGGCAATATTCCCCCCAGTTTACTCCCAACTGCCTTGCAGCGTGAAACCCCCCATCATCCGTGGCTCGATGTCTTCCCATTCCCGCGCATGCGGGACAATCTCATCAAAGCGGGCGATCATCTTGATGATGATGAACTGTGTCATGATTTAACGGCTTTCTGGGATACACGCAGCAGCAATGCCACGCTGCTCGTGTGGGGAGAGCCCTGGGATCCGCAAAGCTGGGAGGTTACTGAAGACTTTGCTAAGAAGTGGGGTACCTTTCTTCAAGGCTGCCCTGAAATTCTGCGGTCGACGAATGCTTGGAGATCCAGGAGGGGAGATAGGCCTTTAGTGTGGAAACGCATATTTGGCCTGATGTGCGAAAGTTGACCTTTGGAAGAGATTCGTGGTTGCCGCGTATTCTAGTATCATTCATGTTTTGTCTATAACCAGCCCTAAAGCCATGTTAAGCCTCTGTCTAGCAGCGAGCCTAGAGTCTCTTGTTTTTATAAGTTCATGATTACTGATTCCGTCGTCTCGTCATTGAACTGCACCACATTTATAACAGCCCTATACAATGTTTGTATTTGCCACCTCTTGCGATTTATCTTGAACATCCATAAGAGAATACGCTCATGCGAACACATTTATATCATCTGTAAACGAGAGGTTGGACACCAGTCAATCTCCCCTCAACTGTATCGAGCACACCACTGAGGACGATGGACGAATTGGGTGATACTTGGTAACCAGCCTGTAGCGAATTGGTACAACCGAGAATGAAATATCTGGTCTGGACTACAGTTTGCAACTCCAAAGTGGCGTCACGCATCTGCTTACAGTTCTATCCCTATTGGTTAATATTGGTAGATGGGGACTGCATCCTGCTTACAATTTTACGCTGATTGGCTAAGCGAGCGACAGCGGGTCTGTGTTTACCGACGAAACAATCATCTCCCCTCGCCAGTGATCAACATATCTATCCGGAAGGGTGCCGTCCTGGCGTGGGAAAGTGAATAAAATATAACGGAGAATTGTGTTTATAGCGTCACTAAATTACAGGCCGGCAGCTCTGATGATGCTTTCGCCGATCACTGCGGCGCTCGGAGGGTTCTGACCCGTAACTAACTTGCCCTTTTCACCACTGGTGATAATCTTGATGCCAAAGGGACCGTCTGCCTTCTCGTAGATCGCTCCATGCTTGCGTAATTCCGTCTCCAGCAAGAATGGCATATCCTGTGTAAACTTCAGAATCTCCTCCTCCATGTCGGAGATACCAGTTATCTGCTGGCCAGCGACCAGGTACCCCCCATTGGATAGCCTGACATTGACCAGAGCGGCAGGGCCATGACACACAGCAGATACCACTTTACCAGCCTCATAGAACTCCCGTGCAAGAGTATGGGATGTTTCATCTCCCGCAAGATCAAACATTGCTAACAACGGTCGTGATAGGTTAGTCTGTGCGTTTCTTCTTCTTGCTCACCACAGATATTTATTTTATAGTAAGAAAAGCTAAACTTACGGCCGTGACCACCCACGTAGAAGATTCCTGCGAACTCGGATGCTTTACCTAGCAGTGAATCGAGCCTTGCAGTATTTTTCCAGACACTGGACTTGTCTTTTAGAAAGGCCACACATTCAGGATCCTCTTTGGTCGCCTCGATCGAATAGGGGTCTAGGGGTGCTTCGCCGCCGGCAGGGGACGAGACGACGATGTCGAAGACGGGTGCGAGCTTATTGTAGGGATGAACAAGTTCTGGAAGATACCATCCGGTGGGTGTGCCGCGACTTGGGAGGGTTCTCTGAGAAGAGAGGACGAAGAGGAACTTTTGCTTGGGAGACATGATTGTGTTTGGTTTCCACGGCTTCCAGCTTGACAGATTCACTTAGAAACTAAAGATGGGAAAAAAGGCCTGTGAGGCGCATATATTTATATGATTCTATACTCCCTGGAGTGTAAACCCAGTTGTAGTCCGGCTGTGGAGCTGCAATCCCTTCACTTCAGGAATAATCAGAATCCTATAGAGATATCGTAAGCTCACGGATATAGCGGAATTAAACCAGCAAGACGCCGAAATATGTCTGCATAAGTAGGTTAGCCCCTCACCCTTCGGACGGGAGTTGTAGGTTTTCAGACATCTCTTCTCTTTTCTCCTTCTGCTTGATAAACATTTCTCAAGAACCTCCCTTTCAGGGGTATTGTGCCTACCATGGATTACACAATAACCGTTGTCTTCCCTAACGACGCCGATGCCCAATACGATATCAATTACTACACCAACTCGCACATGAGATTGATTGAGAAACATTGGTCAAAGTATGGTCTCAAAGGCTGGTCCGTCACAAAGTATGTTCCATCTTTAGACGGTACAGCCCCTGTGTATGCATTTGGCAGCCAGGTCTATTGGGAGAATGAGGAGGGCATGAAGAACGCGTTCCAAAGTGCCGAGGTCGCGGAGATTATGCAAGATGTTTCTCGCTTCAGCAACAAGCAACCAATTTTCTTGGTTGGCCAGATAGCAAAGCCTGCCTTTGATTTGTGAAGATCCAGATCGAGGTATTTATTCAACAAGCGTTGCTATGATTTGCCATGGCTAATTCAGGTTGCCAAAATGGTCGACAGATTGCCTCGAATTTTGGTGACAAGGACGTCTGCTATCATGAGGTTGGCCATTGTACCACATCTCTATCTTGTTTGAGCATGAGTACCAACCCATTTTAGACTACTTCGAGTTTGGGTCATTGAATCCATAGTCGAAACAGCCTCCTATTTAGCTAGCCATATCTTTGCCGGTCGTCTCGAAATTGAGAAAGTCTTAAATTGCTAGGTCGACGAACGAAACTATGGAGCTGTCTTGATTATTAATGTTTTCATAGGACCGAAGCCGCTGAATCCGTAAAAAATCCCATTGCCATCGAAATAGCCCCGAGAATACATAGGATTTTGGCCAGGTTCGGATGCGTAGCAATTGCTGTCGGCGGAACTAGTAGGTTACAGCTTCATGTGGGACTCCAAGACAGTAATCGCTGGTGGAGAGGATGAACGAGGTCTAGCTAAATATGTAGGCGTATACATCTTCTCTATGGTGTTTGGTCCCGATTGCATATCTTTTCTATCAGACACCTTGCCAAGGGCCTTGTGGGCCCTGCCCACATGCCGAATGTGCACTTCGGATGCCCGCATATCGACAGATATTATGTTGTTACAACTCCTTTCTTCAAGGATACCAATAAATAATAGGAATGAGGATAATTATTAGCTAATGTACCCCACTCGAGGTCACTAAATGGGAGTAGGGAGACGCTTCCACCCTTGTTATCTGCACCTTCTCCTATTACCCCAGCTTCGCAGATAGTCAGTGTTATCGCGGAATGGATTATAATGGACGAAGTCTTCTCTGCTACTGGCGAGCAGATCTGCGATGATGCATCTATTCCATCATACCAATGCAGCCACTGCCAGCGACGGTTCGCTCGTGTTGACCATCTCTCGCGTCATGTCCGGACTCGTAAAGTCGCTTGACATCCAATGCTCTATATAATAACTGACCTCGCAAATAGACACACATGAGAAACCGTTTGCCTGCGGCGTTTGTGGAAAAGCATTTTCAAGAAAGTGAGTGATAGCAACCATAGAGACAGAATCAGAATCACTGACCATCTAGCGACCTCTTAAAGCGCCATGAATGCCGCCATGCATCGCGGCGGAGAATTCATCAGGCAAAGTCACCGTCCGGCCTTGCTCGACGCGTTTCCCAAGCATGTAGAGCATGCGCCGTATCCAAGGTCAAATGTGACGACGCCAAACCGTGCGCGCGGTGTGTGAAGAAGAATGTGCTCTGTGACTATGATTGGAATGCCAGTGTCGAATCGAGTGAACTAGATCAGCAAGACAGCATGGAAGATGTCCTGCTTGATAGTCAACCTAGAGCAGCTCAAGCGCCGATTGATCCAGCCATCGATAGCAGCCTCGGACTGAGCGCTCCTGCCGGACCCGCACGTCCGAGTGATGGTAGAATGATAACTGGCCAGCCCACCCCATCCTTGAGCTCTGGACCAGACAATAATGTTCATGATGCTTCCTTCACTCTTGACATGTGTGGCCTCCAGCCCGATGGGTCCGATACTGGCTTCACTGAAGCCACGTTGACCTATGCTGACTTCCTCAAGGACCTTCTCGGCTGGGATGGACAAGGTGACGGTGTACAAAAGGCTGCGTCTGGTGACGGTCAAGGGACCACCAATATTTGGGACCAGCATCTCAACATCGACCAAACTTTTGACGAGTTGCTGAACCTTCCTATGCCAGATTTTATGAGTCCGGCGGAGGAAGCGGGGCCATCTGCGTCTCTGGCCGGGCTGGATTGTAGTGGAACAAGACAGAAAACCTCTTTCGAGGAAAGGGCCTTTGCCGCCGGTGCACGAGCATTTGAGGGATCCTGGCTGAACTGGAGCCCGGATTCAATGCATCAACCATCCATAGACCAGGATGAGGCGAACCTGAGTCTGCCTCATGACTGGACCAAGGACAAGGACAGCCTGCGACGAGATCCTTCCTTCACTCAGCAGCCTCTGAGTATAGCCGATCGAGAGCGTGTCCTTTCGACTTTGTTGTTGTTCAGTGATAGGAGGCCTCTCATTCGTATTGCGACTACGTTCCCAGGAACACAGGAAATGGAAAGCTTGCTGCATGGCTTTCTGAGGCACCAACTCGCCGACACCCTCTCCTGGTTCCATGTGCCCACATTCAGTCTATCTCGCCTTCGGGACGAGCTCCTAGCAGCACTCGTCGCCTTTGGTGCAACTTTGGCTCATGTAGAGGTGATACAAAAGCTTGGTCATGCCATGGCCGACATTCTGAGGTACTCAGTCATTGAACAGGTATCCTCCCCCCCCAGTGGAATATCCTAAAAACACTAACAGTTCCGTAAGTGGCGTCGGGATAACTCTCTATCTCGCGATTTGCAGTTAATGCAAGCGTTACGTGAGTGCGGTGACAACCACTGGCGAAGTGCCAAGCTGACATCTTGCCAGATACTATCACCTTTCTAGGAGTTTATAGCGGAGACAGGTGCAAGATGGAAATAGCCGAGAGCACTTCACAGCCGCTGATCACGGTGGGTCAAAGAGCATTTCCGTTTATACACATTCCCTTATCGAATGGCAGGTACTTCGAAGAGCACGATGGCTGCTCAGTGACCATTATGTATCAATATTGCCCAGCAGCGAAGACGATGACGCGGCCAACCAGCGAAAGTGGGAAGCGTGGGTGGAACAAGAGAGCGTGAAACGGTAATCGGCGTACCTTTCAATTTATTTCGAAGGTGAAATCCGTTAATTTGTTTGATTTGGCTATAGACTCGTGTACCAAGTGTTTGTCCTTGACGCCAATATCTCCATGCTGAATCTCACCACACCTGTTATGCATTTCGACGAGATGCATGTTCCCATGCCTGAGACCGACGAGTTATGGTTTGCAGCAAGCGCTTCGGAATGGAGGACGAGGTATCTGAGCCGGCCGCGTCTCAGCTCTCAGCCAACACTCTGCGAAAATGTCCTACGCTTGCTGACAGATCGCGATCTCGTCCTGGGTGATGATCCACTGGGCTCGAGCCTGTATGTCTTACATGGAATGTGGAGAGTCATCTGGGAGCACCGCCGACTTCAAGATCTCGTCACGCTGGCCCTCGAGGACTGCCCCGTTACAGAATCTGTACCATCATCAGTAGGAGGCGGACAAAGGCTTGCCAAAGCTCTGACCAAGATGAGTGTCAGGATCCCTGAAACTCAAAACTCAGCCGGCATCAAAATGTCCGAGTTTGTTTTCCTATTAGAATTCCTGAGCATGACACTCCACGTCCCTATAAACTGTCTTCAAGCATTTGCAGGTAAAGATGGCCCCAAGGAGGCCCAGCGAGTCTGTTGCCTTCTGCAGGAATGGACGCCCACCAAAGAGGCCCGTCAGGCCATGTGGCACGGAGGCCAACTGATTCGCGCCGCCAGACAGCTCCCTGCAGAGAGAATGCAGGATATCAAGGTCGCTATCGTCTACCAGACCAGCTTGGCGTTCTGGGCATACGGGACTGTCCACATTGCGCGTAGGAAACGGGAGGGCTGCGCAACACCGACACTCTCCGATGCCACCCAGCTTACGAAGAAGCCCCTTGTGGCGCTAGACGGTGTGCTAACTTCGGAGGTGCGCAGATTTATATCTCTTGACGAGGGGACGCCTTACATCAGTGACAGTAACTGCCAGGATGGCGATTATGTGGACGAGAATAGGGTCAAGCTGCTGCTGAGGCCAAGCGAGACGATGGCCGGCACGATCCGCGTCCTGAGACCGCACAGACAAGGCTCTTACCCACCTTTAGCAGAGAGCTTCACACGGTTGATGAGTGAGATTGGTAGAGCTGCAAAGGCAATTGGAATGTGAATGTTTATCAACTGTAATACGCTGTTCATAACGATAAGGACAAATGTAGAATATCGCCCGTCGGTTCGCCCGAAACCGTCTGCGCTATAGACCGTGAATTCACTTCTACGGCAGTCAAATTCATTGCTTCCCCCCAGTAGCTCGGCACTCCAAAATAGAACATCGGAATATGCGCGGGTACACACCCGATGGCCGCCCTCTCGGCAACTCATGTGCAGTGACTCCCATATATATGCGGAGCCGTTGGAGTTTTCACCGGTCCATACACCCCCTGTCCGGTTAATCATGTCGAAAGAACAGACAATCGCCTCGGTTGAGCCCCTGCACGTTGGCCAATTCTTGTTCGTCAAGATTGTGACCAACCATGGTGTTGTAGGCTGGGGCGAAGGTGGTGTCTGGGGCCACATCGAAGCCGCAGCAACATCAGTGAAACGCTTTGCGGAATATCTCGTCGGTAAACCTGCCTTCTGCATAGAGCACCATTGGAATGTCATGCACCGGTTTAGTTACTTCCAAGGTCTGGCTATCAATGCTGCTATTTCCGCAATCGATATTGCCCTGTGGGATATTAAAGGCAAGGTGCTGGGCGTTCCGATCTACGAACTGCTCGGCGGGGCATGTCGCACCAAGGCCCGTGTCTATGGCCATATCTATGAGAAGACTATTGAAGGGGTACTGGCCGAGTGCAAGCGGAAGATGGATCTCGGGTATACTGCGTTTGGTCATATCAACCCGTTTCTAGACGAAGGGAATGACGAGGTCTACTTCAAGACCCATGTGAAAAAAATGCAAGATGCCGCGGAAAACGTACACAAGATGCGTGCCGTTGTTGGAGAGAAAGTCGATCTGTTGATTGAGTTACACCGCCGTTTGACCCCCGCTGAGGCCGTGACGTTCAGCAATATGATCAAGGTCGACACTCCGATGTTCGTCGAGGACCCTATTCGCCCGGAGAGTGCAGATGCTATAGCTCGGGTCGCTGACCGGATTGCGGTCCCTATCGCCACCGGGGAACGATTCTTTACCATCTATGAATTCCAGGCTCTGCTGTCTCGTCAGGCCTTGGAATATGTACGTGTAGACGTTGCTGTTTGTGGTGGTATTACAGGAGCCAAGAAGGTGAGTCTTCATTCACACATGAACCTGCCACCTTTATACAACCCTCTAACGGTTCATACCGGTAGGTTGCTGCCATGGCAGAAGCACATAACTGCCAGCTGGTGCCGCACAACCCTCTTTCGCCCGTTGGTCTCGCCGCGTGCCTGCAAGTCGCAGCCGCAATCCCGAACTTTGCGATCCAAGAGTACGCAACTGGGTTTGAGGCCGGGGTCTTCTCGTCCACGACCAGACACCTGGGAAGTGATATCGTTGACTACGTGCCTGAAGTGGTTGATGGGTTTGTGGGTATACCTTCGCGCCCGGGTCTCGGGGTTCAAGTGCTGGACAATGCGCAGGAGATCAGACCACCGTTTGTGCAGCCCATCCAGATGCGCCCTCATAAGGATGGCTTTGTCGTTGATCAGTAGTTCCTGAACTTCATATATATATATCTATTGTTTCAATGCCGTAGTACGGCGGAAAATCTACTTCCCATCCGAAATTTATCTGCAAACGACCGAATAAAATCGAAAAATAGAATAGTTTGATAATAGAACCTTGATTGTATCCATGCGTGTAAAGTAAACGTTGGCCTTCTAGACTACTGCTAAATCTAAGCCCTAATTGAATCTACTTATCAGCCGGGATGATGGGTAGAACCACATAGTTCAGTTGGTCAGGCCCAAAGTGGATATGATTCATCCCTCCAAATCTCTCATTTGATCTGACGCTTGAGTTAGTAAAAAGCTACTACCATTTACAGATCTGATGCATACCTTTCGGGGGATTCATGGGTGAAAATTCCAGCGCCCTGGGTATCCCCTCCACTGATCTCGAAGGATAACCGTTCGCCCCTTTGCAGAATAACCTGGGTGGGCCAGATCTCCACATCGACGGGGTATATCTCTCCCGGAATAACCGGCAGGACGTCTGTAGAGAAGTAGTCCCGGTGGGGACGCCACTCACGATGGCGCGGGTGGGCGTAGTTGATCTTTCGAAGGCTCACGCGCTGCCAGCCTTTGCTAATGGGCACAGGGTCACCAATTGAGCCGGTGTAGAAGACCTCCGTCCCATCTGCTGCGTAATGCCGGAGGGTCAAGAAGAGGTCGATGTCCTTGGGTACACCTCCCCCCGGGTGAGGCGTGACGGATACGTTTACGCGAGCAACAATGTGGCCGGTAATCTCGACCTCCTCCGTAAATGGCACTGTGGTGAAGCGCACGAAGGAGTTGTCTTCGGGAACGGTCAGCGCGGGATAGGACAGTCGTTTATGAGTCTGCACGCGGGGTTCTTGAGGCCCGAAGGTCAGATCCGGACTGACGAAGTACTTGGTGTACTGTGTCCGAGCGAGAGGCCACTCATTCTCCGCTCGTCGGTCGAAGGCTTGCCCGGACATGGCGGCTAGACTGTCATGGGCTACGCCTGATTTCCGCAGGACAAGGGTCACTTTTGGCTGTTGTCCCATGGTCCAGCCGTCGTAGTCGTTGTCTTTGAGGAATGCACTAAGGAAGCTTTTCTGCATTTCGACCTCGTTATCGGCATAGAAAGGGAGGTCATGACGACCAACGCCCAGGCGTAGGAATTTCAATGTAGAACCTGCGTTCAGGTACCCTTCGACGTTGCCACGGAGATGGACCACGATATTCCCCAGGTTTCCAACGGAGAGCAGCGGCACTTCGATGTCTTCAAGACTGTACTCTCTCGACGCGTAGTACTCGTCATCCCGGAAGAAATACTGCGCAGCCTCAACATCCTGGTCGTGCCGATTGCGGTCCAGTTCCTCCTGGCTGAGGTCTCCCTCAATTGTATCCGGGCCCCGTTGATTCTTCGACCTACCCGCCAAACCATACTGGTTTGACTTGACCTGGCGATCATGCCAGAACTTTAGGAACCTGGCCGTGAGAAGGCCCCCATGCCGGCATCGGTCGCGGTAGTAATCAGCCATGCCTTCATAGGGAATGCAGCAGGCGAGCCCTCGGGGTCTCCTTGCAGCCACTCTCCACTGCGACCCTGCAAAGTAACTAATGCCCAGTAACCCGATTTTCCCAGTCGACCAGGGCTGGTCTGCGGCCCATTCGATTACTTCCGCGAAGGCGTCCGTGGTTGATTTGGACATTGTGTCGCATACGCCGGGGGACTGGCCGATGCCTACCTCGTCGGCGCGCACGACAGCATATCCCTCGGCCGTCCAGAATTTGGCATCGGGAACTTCAAACGCAGAGTGTTCGCACTTGTGCTTTGGGTTCACGTCGTGAAATGAATGGGCTAGAAAACTAGACGAAAGGAATGTCAGCTATTTCGTACTATGATGTGGCAGTTGGGCTGGCCACCGTACTCTCCATATGGCGTGTCCTTCCCATAGGGACCATAGGTCAGCAATACTGGAGCGGGATTGCCGTCCTTTGGTCTGTAGACATTGAGCCGGACAAGTCCAGTATTGCTCTTTAGTTTGACGGTTACATTTTGCTCGAAGATGTAGGGAAAGTTGTCCTGGTCAATTGTTGAAATATCTCTGATCTGGTTCGGCATGATGACTCGCGAGTATGCTATTCTAGCCGCAAAACAGTAACAGAGCTGACACTTGTATTCTAAGATAACGCCAGTTTCTATTTCAAGGCATTTAATCAGAGGAAACGTCAGCGTGAGCCGGCCTGTACTTTGGGAGGGCGGCCCACGTTGTTGCCGATAGACGCATCGGGAATGTCATCGGGTGTAGTGAGGAGGGACCGCACCCGGAGAGTGCCAGATCACTGCCACGCGCTTCTCAGGTCAGCACGGCAAGACGGGCGTGTTTCAGCTAGTGCCAGTATGTATAATAACACATCGATCTTGTTACTAGGCTTGTGGTGGCGACGAGCGAAGCTCATCTTCAAACTGTTAGTACCAACCCGAAGCAAAGACGCCAGACGTGTCGGGTACAGCATAGGAACTACATACAAAATGATTGGCAAGCCATCACTGAGTTAAAAGCATGCTTGTCAAGAGGCTGACGCGATATCAGAACTTGCCCCCGTCCTCTTCCTATCGCACGGCACAGCAGCTTTGCTACAGGAAGATTCCCGAGTTCGTGACTACTGGAAAAAGCTCGGTCAAGACGCACTTGATCATGGAGTCAAGGGGGTCATTATAATGGTGTGTCGCAGGTTTATAGTTACTTGTATGTCTTCATCCAGGCTAATCGTCGAGCCAGGGCGCCCACTGGAATACAGCAGGGGACGACCACCGCAAGATACAGGTTGCCATGAATCCCAACCCGGACTTCATGCCGCTAATTGCGTCTGATCCGAAGCTTTCGGAGGGATTCAAACCAAACACGGACCTCAAAACCGGCCAGAGGGTCATCGACATGCTATGCAATGCCGGCGTCCACGCGGAGGCTGACACCAACTTCAGCTGGATGATTGACACCCAGATCGCGCTTGTTGGCATGTTTGGCGTCAAGACTCCCCCGACCACCATCATCTCTCAAAACTCCTATCGGGACCCCTTTTTCCACAGCCAACTTGGGCAGATCTTGCGGCCTTTGCGCAATGAGCGGTACCTGATCATCGGGTCGGGAGGGGGCACGCATAACCTATACCGCACCGAGTGGAAGTACTCCCTCGGCTGGAAGGATGTTTTTGCCATGGAAAGCCCGCCCGACGACAAGACACTCGAGTTCCGACAGTCCATTGAAGATGTCTTTTGCAAAAACGGTGCTGGTCCGAAGTTGAGGCGCGGACTCGCCCGGTTGATGAAGCATCCGTACTTCCGCGACGCTCATGGTACCGATGAGCACTATGTCTCTGCGTGCTTTGCTGCGGGGGCTGTGGGTGAGCGCGAGGACGAAGGCACCAAGACTGTTCTTGGAGCGGAGGTGTGGGAACTTGTACGTGCTGCTTCTACATCCAACTTGTTGAGGGCTGATTTGGTATCCAGCGCTCCCAGTGTGAGCAGCAGTATGTTATTGGGAAATGGCCAGCCTCGTGGAGGATTGCAGCGGCAGACCGTTAATGATGAAAGCATGTACATGTTTTTGATAGGACCGCGAGTACTCTTTTTCTTCCCTTTATCTGTAAACAAGTAATAGACGTAGTTTGCGAGTTGCCGGTGCCGAAGCGCCGCCCATCCCCAGCCGACGCCTATAAAAACACCCATATGCCGTTTCAACCGAGTTTAAAACAGGCCAATACAATCTGATACACCATGAGTACTCCTCGCGTGCTGATCCTAGGCGCTGGAAGCCTGGGAATTGTCCTGGGGGCCTTCCTCCACAAGTCCGGTACGGAAGTTGTCTGCGTCTGCCGCTCAAACTACGAAGCCGCAAAGAACCATGGGTTCAAGGTTAAGTCGACCGTGCTGGGAGCCTACACGTACCATCCCCAAGTCGTGAATTCCGTCCCAGAGGCCCGAGGACTGGCTGATAAACCATACGACTACATTGTCATTGCCACCAAAGCGTTCCCGGATGAAGACCCCTCGCCTGTTAAAGTGATCAGTGAAGCAGTATCGACAACGCAAACCACTATCGTGCTAGTCCAGAATGGCATCGGAATCGAAGAAGCCTACCGGAAACGCTTCCCTACAAACCTTATCATCTCCGCCGTGGCCTACATGCCTTCGACACGAGTTTTCAGCACCGAGGTTATTCAAACCGAAAGCCAACGTATTTTGACGGGTGCTTATCCGAGCCACTCAGCTTCAGCTGCTGGTGAGGCTGGAGATAGGATACGCAGGTTCACGGATATGCTCCGTGCTGGAGGGGCGCAGAGCGAGATTCACGCAGACATCCAGGTTGAACGGTGGAAGAAGCTGATTGGAAACGCCACCTGGAACCCAATCTGCGCTTTGTCTCGGTGTCGCGATGTGGAGCTCCTGAGGATTAGTGATATTTCGGGCGACTTCATTGAGGCCGCTATGTATGAGGTTGTGACTGTGGCTCGCACTCTGGGCTACGGTGACCAGGTCAACGAGGAGGTTGTCAAGGCCCAGATGCGACGGAGTGCTGTCCGACCAGATCCGGGTGTTCAGCCTAGCATGATGGCTGATATGCTTCACAATAGCAAGATGGAGGTTGAGGTTATTGTGGGCAATGTTGTGAGACTAGCAAGGAAGAATTGTGTTGCTGTACCGAGACTACAGACTCTGTATGTACTTGTTTCTGGTCTGAACTGGAGCATATCTCAGAAAACGAGGAGCGGATGACACCGCACACTCGATTACTTACAATTAGACGCTCGTGCCTATAGAAGATATATTACTGATTACTACACCTAGCCTTGGATTCCAATACAGGTCTGCAGTTTGCATAAACATACATGTCGAATTCCAGGTCCATTCTTACAGTATGCGCGCCAGTTCCTATCTCTCGCTGCCGTATAGAATCACCACTCGTTTGCTATCTGATACATCCCATAGCCTCTCGCATGCAGCCCTAACCGTCTGGGAACCATATACCCCCACTATCAGCATATGTTAGCCAGGTTACCACACCTAGTATAGATGATCTTTAGCATACCTGGAGCAGTTGGCAGCCGCTCAGCATCGTCCACATAAACGTGCGAATTGCTACTGTATCTCCGGCAATCCGGCTCCAGGCTGGGTTGACCACCGGAGCTCTGTAAGGCGGCACACGACGGTGGTCTGTCGGCCACGTCGGTGGGTTGTTAACTGGTTCGAGGCCTGTTGGCGAGCCATTGTGAGTAAGGAATTCTTCGCCCTCGGGGTCGGTGTCGGGTAGCTGTTGCTGCAAGGTTCTTGGTTCGTTGGATTCCCTGTTCTGGCTGATTGCGGCATCTGTTTGCGCTTCGCTTGTTCTGGTGGTGCTGGTGGTATAGGACATGGTGAGTTTTGGCTGGATGAACAAGGTGAGCTGAGGGACAGGTAAGAGTTAGTCCCCGGGGGACTTGTAGACCTCAATAGTGCAGGAGGTTCCTCGGCTCGGAACGGCCTGGGGCTCATCTATCCCGTGCCCCTCTGCGTGTATAGAAGATCAGGGCCTGAGGGGGGCCCCATACCCGAGAGGGGTTGTCGTTGCTCCCAGGAGTGGCCGTGCCATGTCCAGCCCGTGAGGACTTGCAGTGTGTCTCCCCAGGCCCTTCGGCTGCCCGAGCTACTTGGGGCGGGTCGTTGTGGTCCTTATCAAAGCCATCCGACTTCGCCATCGAAGGCATCCATGGAAGGCAAAAATGAGCGCACCAGAACGTTCCAGAGTCGAAATTGGCGCCATTGAAGGCCGCGCGCGCAATCTCCGAGGAAGGCAGCAGGAATTGCGATCATTGTTCGCCCATCTCACTGCCCACTCGGACAAGTTCGTGCAGGCAATCCGCACCGAAGAAGCATGTCTCCTTCACGAGGCTGAAGTTGCCGTGGCAGCAATGCTTCTTGATCTTCGCAAACACTACGAACGGCTGGATCTGAAGACAGAGCTGGCCACCGAGTACAAGTCGAAAAGGGGACAGAGTTGCCCAGAACGCCGCGTTGCAGCCCGCATCGTGTACATAATTCCAGAAACGGCTTTTCTCGCCTTCAGCGTATTCAGTGCATTGTGTGCGGCAATCGAGGCGGGCTCCTGCTGCGTCGTCGAAGTAAGTGCTCGTTCTCTAATGGTTGACCTGTTGCTAAGTTTCCTTTTTCCGTCCGTTTCAGCTGCCAACCACCGCGCAGAAGTCCGCTCAACTTGTCCGCCAGGCTATCACGGAATCACTAGACAAGGAGACCTTCGCAGTCGTGTCAAGGAGAGCCCCGCCCGACTTTCTAGCCCGCTGCCTTGTCGTGGACCAGCTCGGGCGACTCGGCAGCACCGACGATGTCCTCGGTCGCGTTGTGTCTGCCCCAGCAGCGCGCGCGGTTGCGTTGGTCGATCGCACCGCAGATGCAAAATTGGCTGCAAGGGAAGTGGTGGCCTCGCGACTGGCTTTCGGCGGTAGGAGTCACTGTGCGGTGGACCAGGTGTTTGTTAATGAGTTCGTGGCCGATGACTTCCTCGACGCAGTGGCTCACGAACTGTCGCAGTATGAGCAGGCTCGTGTGCTGGATAGCAAGGCAGTAGAGAAAAATAGAATGAGCCAATCGCGCAGATCAGCCAGGATGGAGAAGACTTCAGAAATGCAAGATGCTGAGAATGGCGTAAACCAGGGCACCTGCAAGTCTGTCTGGAGAGGTCAACTGGGCCTGGCGGTGGAAGTGGTCGACCGGTATGTATATCCAGTACGATATCATGTGCAATTTCTCAATGTCCACAGATCAAGTCGTCTTTTGAAATGCAAAACACGGGCACCTCTTATTGCAATCCACAGGGTCACCAGTCTCGACGATGCCATTGACCTGTGCGCCACGGAAGAAGAGGAACTTGGCCCAATCTACGTCTTTGCTGCTGGCCCAGAGGCAAACTACCTCTCCAAGTTCGTTGAAAGCACAGCGGCATTTTTGAACCATATACCAGCCCAGCTTCTGAGTAAGAGGATCAGTTATCTCAAGTGCAAGGACCATCCAAACTGACTGAACCAACTTCCACACAGTTGGGCCGTCGTTTCCTGTGGGATATCCGGTGCAGCTTGACCTCCGTTTCACACGAGACATGTTCGAGCATCCCAGCCCGGAGATTGCACCCGGCGAGCGATTCCATGCTATCTCGTGGACTCTTTTCTACGGGGAATCACCCGTCGGGGCCAAAATGCTGGCGACCATGTCGAAGCCGCTCAACCCGACGGGGCAGGCACCAGCAGGCGCTTGGGGCTTTTTTGACCAGGGTATTATCCTGGGCGCGGTCGTCTATCTGCTACCGTTGGTTGCTGCTTCTGTAGCAGGGACTGCCTACATGGGGGTTTTGGGGTATCGATATCTTACATAGTGACCAAGGTGTATTGCTTCTGAGCTTCGTAAATTGAGTATAAATTCTACCTATATTCTCTGAGTAATTTCACCACTATTAATTTGCCATCCAATTATATCTGGAAAGTCCAACACCCCGCGACACCGGGCTATCTCTTAGCGTTGAGGGGTTCAGGATGATACAATGATAAGGAAATATATACATGTGCAAATTGCCGTATATTATTGTCCGAAATATAATATATCCCGATACTTTAATCAGCTAGACATACTCGGTAGTACACAGCTGGTACTCCTAATGTACCCTACATTTATATTCCATTTGGGGCATGCGACTTCGGCTCCCCATGGTCCAGCTGGTGCAGACACTCCACAATACCCGGATACGCATAGCAGTAGTGTCTATGTCTCCAGATTTCCTCAGGCGATGGCTTCTTGTGCGCCTGACGTGTTATAGTTTGGATCCTCGAGGCACGAGGACGTCGCACGCGATCAAAGTCCTTGAGCAGCTCGGGCACGAGGGCACGGCTGATACCGGGCGTGCACAGAATCCGGAATCCTTCAGCGTCTTCAATAGCTTGGTTGCAGCCCTGGCCCTGATGCGGCGTCATCGCGTGGGCAGCGTCTCCGATGATGGCAACGCGGCCTTTAATGTAAGTGGGTAGGGGGTCCTGGTCGCGGAGTTGCCACACTTTGATATCCTCTGCGTTCCTGTTCATACATCTTAGTGCGAGAGCCCTGAATCACGTAGACATTTGGGTTTGTTTACCTGAGTACATCGAGAATGGCCGGCGAGAAACAGTTGAAGCATCTGAGCAGATCTTCGTGAGATCCTTCTGCAGACCATGACTCGGTGGTGGGGGATTGCAGAATCTCGTCCGGGGTGATACAGCCGACATTCAGGGTCTGGAAGTCGCGGCAGGGGTACATGATGACCGATCGATTCGTTCCGTCTGCGCTGAGATAGATATCCAAGCTTGCTTCGCGGGTCGAGTCCATCACTCGTAATTCTAGACCATGTTTCTCGAGAGCGTCCCTTGAAATGGTGAATCGGAATGCAGACGAGCCTGACGGACGAGCGGTACGAAAGTCTTCCTCCGCGACAACCAGCGGTCTCAGAATGGATTTGATTCCATCTGCTCCTAAGATGAGTGTAAGACAGTATCCTGGTGACATTGAATAGAGTAAAGGAATATCAGCCTACCTATCACAAGGTCAGACTCCAGCTTCCCCCCGTTATCAAGGAACACGTCCCCCGTCTGAACGTCAACGCCAGTGACTCTTGTTCCCCAGAGCATTTGAGCAGGCCGTCCTTGAATCTTGAGCGTCTCTGAAGGACATGTTGCAAGCCTAAGGAATTCGTTCCAAAGGTCCCCGCGGTGCTGAAACAGCCACTCTGCACCATACTGCTCGCGAAGAAAGCCCATACTCTCTTCCATGAGAACGTTCCCGTCTCGATCCATCGTCCTGGCCATGCCGCAAGCAATTGAACGACATCGGGCCTTGTCAAAGCCCAGCTCTTGAGCTATTTTGACTCCATTCGGGCCTAGGTTTATAGCAGCTCCCACCTCGTGGCCGCCCTCGAATTTCTCCACGAGGGTGACGGCGTGCTTCTCCCTCAGAACACGAGCTGCTAGTAAACCTGCAAGCCCTGCTCCCACGATAGTTACCTTTAGGTGGCCGTCCATTTTTGAAGTGATTATCCCCGCGAACGGTCGAGGGAGTTTAAGACCTGATGATCAACCGTCAATGATTGCCGCGGTGGCGGTGCAAAAGGTACAGCTTGACTGATCGGTTAAACTTCCCCTGTCGGCAATGTTGCATCAGGTCATTATCCGTCTGATTCTCGGATACGTTGGCAACATTGCCGAAACATTGCAAGTTGGGCCGAAGACATCGTCGGCTGGTGGCGGGCTCTATATCGGATACCCCACTGCGGGCAACCGAGATATCGGATCCTCCTGTTGCCGCGTGAGCTACATCCTTTTCTCTACTACTCAAAACTATGTACTAGTGACAGCTTCCAGACCCAACTGTCTCTTTTGATAAGGCTCATGATATTCCTCGTACTGTCGTACAGCCACTAGCATGTGGCCCAGGTGAGCTTCAATAGAAAGCCCTCAATTTCTTGGAGAGCTTTAAGCTTAATCAATCCTAGATAGCCAGCTTGGGGGCACTTATATATACTCTATAATTATGGCAGTCAAGTACTAGGCTGGACTCCCATCCCGGGAACAGACTCTCCCAGCTCTCCGCTCCCATCAACCACCACCGGGTCTATCGGCAGTAGAACATAAAGCATGCGCGCCCAACCGGGCCCCTCACGACCATCAGCTCCTGTAGTCATCGTAATATTCTTCCAGGCATGGCAAGTTCCCCTCTGAATCGCGATATCGCCCTTTTGCATCCGTCGAGTCTCCCCACTATCAAGAATCAACTCTACCTCTCCCTCAAGAACAACCCCGTAATTTAGCGACACGGTGCGGTGCATTGCACTTGTCACTCCAGGCCCGATGTCCACCACGCGGCAGACTGATCCTGTCGAGATGGCCAGGCCGGGATTTTCCTTTAGGTAGTTGCCGTAGATGCACAGGTCCGCGTCTTTTTGGAGGGATATCGGTAGACTGTTGGTTGCATACGCCAGGGAAAAGTATGCCCCCGGGACTGATGTTTGGGGCACTGCTTCTGAGACTGCTGTAGAGAATATCGCGGCTCCTTTGTTGTCGTGGGTGGTGATGAAGCGTTTGACATCCGGCAGCGCTTGAGGTAAGGGAGTCATTCTGGGCGATTTAGAAAGATTGCAGAAATTGAAGAATTGGTGTTGGATATCTTTCTAAATTTCTGTGGGAAAAGGGTGTTTTCATGCTAATTATTCTTCTTATTAGTCGGCTTTATAGGTCCTATCCAGGCACTGGGTCTGGACTCCCAGATCGGGCACGATGCCCTCACCTTCCCGACATTTCAGGTCTGTGAAGTTCCAAACTAACTTGTCATTCATTATCAAAAATATATTATATTTCATTAGAAAAACATGATAATAACCAAGGTTTTGATGTGAGGAACCGCCTCGGGATGTGGCGGAACAAGTTTTGCGGGGCCCCGAACTCTCCAGTCTACCTGGTAATCCCTCCAGGCTGTATCAGCCTTCGGATGCTTCTCCGTGAAATCAAGAGAATACTAATGTCATCTTCTATTTCTCCCCCGCGGCTCCCCCGCAGGGCTAAAAACCAACAAGTCTACGCCTGCGACCGGTGCAATGCAAGTTTCCGCCGCCAGGACCACCTGCACCGACACTACCGCGCGCACACCAAGCAACGGCCCTTTGCGTGTCCGGTGTGCTCCAAGGGCTTTGCTCGTCGGGACCTAATGGTCAGGCACAAGAAGAATCACAGTGGCAGTCCCAATATAAGGCGAGAATCCTTGGACTCATCCGCCAACGTCAAATATCGCGTTGCTCAGGCGTGCAGACGCTGTGCTTCGTCCAAGCTGAAGTGTACAGACCAGAAGCCGTGCCAGCGATGCCAGAATAAGAATATACCCTGTGAAACGACTGCTGTGCCTGATCCTTTTGTGGAGCATGGACCCTCTGGCGACAACAGCAATGCCCCATCCTCGTCTCCCGGCGGACAGCAGAACTCAACCACCAGCGAATCCACTATCGCTGGCATCCAACCCTTCTGTAATTCATTCAGTCTGCTTCCATTCGGCGGAGAGGACTGTAGTTTCAGCACTGGCGATACGCTCGACCTGAGCGATATGGATTTCTCGTTCCTGAACTCCATCAGCACCTTCACTGATATGGACAGCCCTTGCGTAGTCCCGCCGCCAAACGAAACCATGTCGCCCATCATGCCCATGCGATCACAGGTATACAAGCTCTCATCCGTTGTCCAAGGCTGGATGCCCCTGTCAACCGAGAACTCACACATGGAGCAAGCCCACCTCTCGATCAACGGAGAGGTTCCCGGCTTCACTCCGCAGACCGACACCACCAGTATACTGGTCCAACCCTTCCCTCACTTCGTACGCGACCGCGTCCTCAATATGGTTTTTATTGCATATTCGGATCGAAATCCTCGCATCGTCGAGTCATTTCCGAGTTCCGAGGTCCTCTTCAAGCTTGCAAACCGGTATATCACCCGCAAGAAGGTGAGACACATCAATGATCTGATCCATATTCCCACATTCGACTGGAATAGCTCACGGCCGGAGCTTATCGCCGCCATGATTGCGATGGGAGCCGTGGATAGTCCATCGGTCACACTGAGGAAATTCGGTTTTGCCCTGCAGTTGACGGTGCGGCGGGCGACGATGCAGCGAGTAGGTGAATTGCTCCCTATCTCAATGAGAGCCCCAAACTAAAGACTTTATCTTTATGCAGTATGAAGAGGACCACACAACAATGAGAGCACTAGACATGGCCCAGGCATTTCTCCTGCAGCAGTACATGGGCATCTTCAGCGGAATTTCACGCAAGATCGGCCTAGCAGAAAGCTGCTTCATGATAGTCCCCACAATCATCTCGCAGGCCCGGAGACTCCTCCTTCTAGACGCCGAGCCGTATTTTGACGCAGCTCTAGAGAGCGACTGTGTTGAAAGGCTGGACAGTATTTGGCGTCGCTGGTGTGAACAGGAATCTATGCGGAGGCTAATATATCACTCCTTCGTCCTCGACTGCCACACCTCTATCACCCGGAATACCAATCCCACTCTGTCGTATGCCAGCATGGACATACCTCTTCCCTGCCCCAAGCAACTCTGGCACGCAGAAACTGCAGCCATATGGAAGGATGGAGTTCTCAAGCTGTCCTCACCAGCGCCCCCACCGTCATTGAAGGAGCTGATCCAGGATCCCCAACTCCTGGGTACATGCAAAGACCGCGTCGACACCCCCTTTATGCAGTCCGTCTACCTCAGCGGGATGTGGTCCATGGTTCGAGAATACCGCCAGCTCAGCAGCATTGCCGCCGGGTCCAGCACATGGAACACGCTCGTGCTCTCATCCCGGCACGCAGAGCTGCAATCAGTCATGAAGCTTTTCCCCCTGAATAGTTGCAGCAGTGGTCCGCTAACTCCGGAAATCGCTTTCCTCTACAACCTGGTCTCGATGCACCTCCACGTCTCCTTCAACGATCTCCAACCATCAAGCGTGGGAGAGAGTTTCCGGGAGGAATTCAAGACCGCGGTTTACGCCGAGTCGTGGATGCAGGGGGCTGATTCGCGCTGTGCAATCTGGCAGGCTGGTCAGATCGTTCGGGCTGCAGAGGCTATGGATCGCGGGACACTCTGCGATGTTTACTCCATTGCGCTTCTACAGGCAGCCATTGTCTTGTTTGTGGCTGGTAGTTTCTCCTGCCGGCGCCATACGCAGACACCTGCCGTCCATACTAGTGCTACTGGTACTACAGCTACTACTTCTATTCCTGCAACGGCATTACAGGATGTCTCGTTGAATACATCGCAGACGCCGGAGTTGGACCTTTATCTTGCGTATGGGAATGGGACGCCGGGACTCACTGTTGATGCTGATAGATTCATTCCCCTGCATGATTGTAAGTCGGTTGCTGAGGTGTTGAAGCGGGTTATCGAGGGAAACTGGCAGCCGGACCTGCCACCCTGGGGAACGGATGAAGTTATCCGGGTGCTAGATGATTTGTGTACTGTATTTACCTGCCTTTAGTAAGGTTATATAGGAATACTTTGTCTCTCAGGGTGAAGGTTTATTCAGAATCTATTGTTTGACGAAAGCTTTAGAGAGCCTAATATCCTTTTTATGCCCCCCCTAATCATTCCTTCTGTGTACTGAGAAGCTGACAGAAAAATATCAATGAATATATAGCAGAAAGTCAGAAGTTAGACATGTCGGGCTATATATTAGAGTCACTCCAGCAATGGTAATCTCGCAAACGCCGCATCCGCTCCAACTAAGCCTTGAATACCAATATCCTCCCTTGTCAAGACCACCTCGTCAGTGCTAGTAAAAGCCTTTCCATCCATGACTTCCAAATAAGAGTGCGAAATGTCCATAAGATCACCCAAACCAGGCCACAACTTCCTATAATCATCCCTACTGATCTGTACAGCCGTCACCCGGATTCCCTTTGCCGTTCCAAATGCTTCAACTATGTCTCCAATAGCCATATATTCCATCACCGCAGCAACAGTCTTCCCACGCAGTGTCACCCTCTGGTTCTCCAGAATAGCACGAACAAACGACCCAGCATTAGTCCCCTCATCCCCCAGAAGAGGCAGCTTCGTCGCCGGGTCGACACTCACCAAAGTCACATACGTCTCACCACCACTTGGGTCAACTCCATGAATCTGAAAAGGATGAAAAACCGGAGCCATCATATTCCCCGCATACCACCCAAACCAGACGAAAGTCGTTTTCTCCAGCAATTCCGGCAAACTAGACCGGATATACCGATCCACCGCGTTCTTGCTCTCGTAGTACGGCACTACCACCTCCCCACCTGTATTCACCTTCGAGTCTGGCAACGTCGACCAGATATAGTGCTCTAATGTTGAAGTCTGCGCTGCCGCATTGGCTAGGTTGATTCCAAACTCGGTTTCGGACTCCATTGCCTTGTTAACACCCAGGGTGGGGAGGTTCTCGAAGAAATTAGTTACGGCAAAGATTGCGTGTGATCCGGCGAATGCGGCTTTTAAAGAGGTTGGGTTGGCCAGGTCGGCTTGGAGGACTTGGATGCCTTGCGAGGATAGGGCTTTTGCGGCGGGACTGGCTGGGTTGCGGGTTATGGTGCGGATGGTGTAGGGCTTGGGATCGGTGGTGGTGGTGGTGTTTGCAGCGAGGAGGGCTTTGAGCACGGAACCACCTTGTGTGCCTGTGCCGCCGACAACGGTTATTATTCTGGACATCTTGGAGGAATGACGTGAATGTTGAAATGGTTGTATATAGTAAGGTATGTGGTGAGGTATAGTGTGGATGGAGTGAACCTCCACGCCTTTATATAGCCTGCGAATATATTCATAAAAGCGGAATCCCGCATCGTATCCACATTTAATCGAAGTCTACTAGGTAAGTTATTTATTGAATGATTACGAACTTACTGCGGGATTCTCTTGCGGACGCGGGCAATTATGGATCTCCGCTTCCCGCCCGAACCAATCACAACATAGTATATCTATAGAGGTCGAGCTATATATAATGGTAAATCATCAGCTACAATGTTCACTCCGTTCCAAATCACTCATCTACTCCATCCTTGACAATATCATTTCAACCAAAATGACCATCACCGAGCTGCTCTGGCCCGTATTCAAATCAGACCCCCAGCTCCAAGCCGAATTCGCCGCCAAATCGCCCGAGATCTTCGCCCACTTCGTCGGCGTCGCGGGGTTGAAAGACTTCTTCCGCGGACAGGTCATCTTCGATAACGACGTACCAGTTGACAAGAGTAGCTGTCGGGGGGCTTTGATTCTTGGTTCGTGCCTAAACCCTTATCTTTTTGACTGTTTTCGGTTGGATGAACTAATAGGCAAATAAAGAATGGGATGATGTCTCTTCCATGCATGCGTTCTTCCCACACTCTGAGACATTCCGCTCGTTTATCAGTCTTGTAAAGCCATACGTCGCGGGCCCTGATATCCCGCAGTTATTCGAGGCTGTTGTTTCGGCTGTTCCGTGTGCGGAGACGGGTGTTACGCAGGTACTTAAAGTGTCGAAGGGGCCGGGGACAGAAACCGTATGGATCCGGCTTCAAGAGGTTATTGCAGAGCTTTATGGAAATGGGAAGCCGCTATTCGCGTGTGCTAATGGGGTCGAGAAGGAGGAAAGTGTGTTTTTGGGCATTGTTGGGTGGCGGAGAGTAGAGGACTATGAGCGGTCGAGGACAGTCAAGGCCATCACTGCACTCTTGAGGGAGTTGGGGAGTAGAGGAGAGGTCTTCAACGTCGTGGTACAGCTGGAGCGGATGGCTGTCTGAAGGCAGGGTGTAACCAAAGAAGTGGCGATTGAGTAATATATACAGATGCAGCATGATAATCTCAACTCAACATGATGAACCAGATCTATAAAGCCACCGCCGAGTTGGTATACGCGTTCACAGAATCCAGTCCCTGGCATGGAACAAGGAGTAACTTCTCAAACCGGTCTAGGCTTCTTGGTGTAGAAACAAGCCAACGGGCAAGGAAATTCTCGTATGTTATTATGCTACCGAAGGCTGTAGTACTCTGGTCACTCGTGGAGTCCCAGTCAGTGAGGGTTGTTGACAGTGGCAGTTTCGCTAATGTATGCAATCCGATGCAAACACCGTCTCGGAAGATTGAATTAACACCGTAGAGCATATAGACGATGATCGCTGTCCTGCGAATAGACTCTGCGATGATCCAGCTGTACCGGGTGTTAGGGGGCTCGGACTGTGAACGGACAACCAGTTTCAGCGCGGATGTCATCAAGATATCTTGCTGTTGCTCGGCCACCATTCGTTGAGTGATGTCGCCGTGGAAGAATCGGACTGTTTGATAGATAATCAACGCCTGCAATATGGCAAGGTCATCGAGTAGGCTAGTCGGGTCCTTCGGCTGCAGCAACCCGAGAACCTCAGCATCTATGATGCGGAATAACATCTCCCTATTCGTGTCGGATAGCATGCAAGACATGGAAGAAACACCCAAAGACGTCCGGATAGCCTGGGGCATAGATTTGCGGTATAAATCTCGGTGAATGAAGATTGTTTGTCCCTGCTGGGCGAGTTCTGGGAGGACGTGTTTTAGCTCGTCAATCACCCATTGCCATGACTGAGTGCTGCCTTGAATAGGCTGAACCTCTCCAAGCGAGCCCACGAACCTCGCTGTAGTTTCCAGTAGGCTCGGAGGCTCTGGGATCATCAGGTTCGACGCCAATCCTGGATCAGGAAATGGTGTGGATGGCTCGAGCAGGCCGGAGATATCGCCAGTTTCCATAAAGCCCATATCAGAGTCATTGATTATGCTCAGCAAGGATTCCAAAGTGTCGTCATGGATGGCTAGCTGAGCTATAGAGCTGTCGGACGCTGTTGAATGGTTGTCGCTTCTAGGCGGGCTAATCGGCGGATAGGCATATTGGCAGGTCTTCTTCGTCCTTTGACATGTATCGCAAGTAGGATAGGCCAAGTTGCATTTGCGACGGCCCTTATAGCAGGCATTACAGGCCTTGCGTCTCAGAGACATGGTGGTTGCGAGTTGGTGATGCTGACGTGAGGAGTTGGATGACTTGAATTGGCGGCTGGTCAGGGTATTACTAATCCTGTAAGATTTTAATATCAGGACTCAACAGGCGAGATATAGTTCTTGCGATTACATAGATTGGTCAGCTGACTAGCTGATAGTAATATAAATAAGACACGCGATAACTGATCAGGAATGAGGTCAATATTAAAACAAGTAATAGACTTTGAACATGAAGCCCTAGAGGCTCTTCATAGAAAGCCGGCCCAAGCCATTGTCCCCCTCCAATCACACCTCCATGCACGTCTTGACAACATTGATATTCGATCTTATTCCACTCCTTCTCGAGATTAGGCGCCAGTTCCTTCAGATGCCTCTTCAATTTGTCAACTATACTTGTATTGCCATATACTGTACTGTACCTGTATATCGGGCGAGTTTATTCATGTTAGCATACCTTGATAACAAACCTCGTCCGTCTACATTTGACCACGTTGATATCGTCACCCATGTCATGATATTGAATTTGAAAGTGGGGACCTGACAGGTCTTAATGAGTACCGATTTATCTATATCCACCAGGCCTGCTACTCGCTTCCGGTGGCATCCCACTAGGCGCTCCATGCTTCCCTATCAAACCCGGGGCACGATTCAACGTGTCGGGTGTGAATAGCTGCAGGCACATACGGTGCATGTAATACTCCAGCTCCTCAGGCCGCGCCTCCCGGATCTCGTGGCTGAGCTTCTCCAACATTTCTCTCTCAAGTTCATAGAGGTCGAACGGACGATGGAGCCTGTCCTTTTGCTGCCACCCGCGGGCCTTTAGCGTTGCCATGACGTTGCGCACGAAGTGCTGGCAGTTGCCGCGGAAGAGCCATGATGCTGGTCGATTTCACCCTGACCGCTACTCTTTCGCTGACGGACAAAGTTCCAGAGTACGAGTTGGACTTGGATAAGAGTCAATGGGGTTGACGTAGGTTCGACTGGGATAGAACTCACGGTTCAGCACAAATTCTTCGAAACTGAAGTACATGACTACCTCCTCTAGGCCCCTTTCTTGCACTATATTGAAATCCCTAGGGGAGAGAGTCTTCTTCCAAACACCTTCTCCCTGCTCTCCTGGAGTTCCCCAGACGTTCTCAAGGATTAGTTCGCCTTTGTATTCCTTCCGGAAGTTCATTCCGAAGATTTGGTAGTTTGGTCCCTCGTTTGGTCAGCTATTTCCAAGGTATTCGGCCAGGAGACGCCTAATCGCTCACCTGCTGATCAGCAGCCACAGGCCGAATATAGACGCCTCAGTGCGCCAACTGCTGCTGCACACCCGAAGAGAATCCATTAACAACCCGCCACGGGTTATACGCCACGCCGACAACCCAAGCACGCCGCTGATAAGAGCTGCTTCTAGGGATTGTCTGCTCGCGTCCATTCTCAACGCGATAGAAATTGATGATGTCCTTGCTATCGTCGCGACGCTGCGATGCTGCACCAAAAATATCGTATCGGCCGCCGGGGTCGGAGCATTTTCCGAACGTGTAGGGGGCTCGCGGGTCGACGTTATCGCGCCCTGGCCAGGCGAGTGCGCCTTCGACTTTGCGGTTGACCCTGCCGGCCTGTACGGGCTTTGGTTTCTGGCCTGGTGATGGTGCTGGTCCTGGCCGAGTTGTCTTGCTGGTGGAGTTGGTTACTTTGGACTGATCATTGCCCATGGTGCTTAGGGGTGCTCTGATAATAACTATAAGACTCCGTAAAAGCCACGGATCATTCAAGACTACTCAAGAATGAAATGAACTGGGCGGGGTTATATGTCAGTAGCTGGCGAGGCTGAGGCGAAGCAGATTGGTGTCTTTGCCCTGCTTGAATGAAGCAACGAGGCTGTTGAATTTGGCCCCTGCATGTCCTCCAAATCCACTTCAGCAATGCCACGATCGCTTATGGGGACAATGCGTCCAATCAAGAGAAGGGATTCGTCGTATACTCCAGAAAATCAAGCCCTGCAGACTAAAATCTGACTGGAAGTTTGTTCCTTGTCATTAATCCAACCGAAATACGCGCCATCGCCGCTGTCGAATAGATGTCAGGTTTGCTTTTGGCATTTCTTCCACACTGCATCCCAGATGCTCTAGCACAGCCTCGCCAAGCAAGTAGCCTATAACTTTTCAAGAGGCAGCGTTGGTTATTCTCAGACGTTGACTGATATAAAGAGCGCCACTCAGCCTTTTTCGCGTAGGAAACGTCTTCCCTCTCCCTTGGTGCCACATCGCAATGGACAATATATATCGTTTTAGAAATACCACAACCCGAATAATGCCAACCAAAGACACATTTCTCAGTGCGAAAGCCAGCATTTCCCAGCGTCTGGCCCGCCTGCTCCCTCTGCACTCTGCGGCGTGGAATGTGACGCAGCGCGCAATGAGCGAGATGGTGAATACCTCCGACCCAGAACAACAAGCGCAGCTTATCAAAGCGTGGAGGGACTCGACGATATCGCAGCTATCTCAAGTTGGAATCATAGTCTGTCGTCCAATATCTGAACTATCCTACTTAAAGTGCCCCCCCGGCCTTGTCTAGCTAACGGCGATCCGAAGAATAGGGCGCCATAATGACAGCCGCCGTGGTCGGTTCATTCACATGGGACGCGTTATCAACGATCGCTATAATCCCCATGACGATGATCCGCATCGCGTGGTATAACAGCCTTGTCCTCGCCGTGACCGCTGTTACACTCGGGATGCAGCAGAGCGTGTTTCTTATCCGCGTGGGGAGTACCTCAGACTCGGACGCTATCATCACAAACATGCTTAGTTCCCCCTCCCCGGGAGGCAGCGGACTGCGCATCCCGCGTTGGAGCCAAATGTTTATCTGGCAGGCGGCCGTGGGTCTATTAGAATGGAGCATCTACTTCTGGATGGGCGGGTATCTGGTCTTTATTTGGGACCTTACCCGTGTATCCCGAGAGGGGCAGACAGTTGCGGATCAGGTGGTACGTATGCTCTGGCCTGTATTGGACTTGGGTTGGTGTTTTTTTACTAACTGTGTCTTTCAGGTTGCGGGATGTTGCTTTGGCACGTTTGGCATTTTGTTTTTTGTGTATTTGTTGAGTATCTCCAGGCTGTGGTATAGTGTATCTGTGCACGACTCCCGCTGGGTACCATAGCGTTTCTTCAGGCTCTTGATGGTTATAGTAAATGACGAATGTGAACTAAACAAGTCTACATTTGGAGCCTATTCTAGGCATGATGCTAATGGCACATATGAGGCCTTGTGCTACGCCCTGGGATTCGGCGGGTGAGCTCCTCATAGAAGAATTAAGACACTATAACAGCAGCTCTGTCGCGGATTTCCTAGAGGGTCCTGATAATATTAGGAAAGCTAATAAGCTAGAATATATTTATAATATAAATAGCCTTGTCTAGGAGAGAGGAGGATAAGTTCTCGGCTGTTAAGCAGGCGGACAGGTATATCTAAGTATTATTATAGCTAAGTTAATTAACTATTGCTAGGTCTGTTATACATTGCTTACATAAAACATCCATTCTTAATCTGCCCGATTGGGCGTCAAAACATCAGCGCATTGTCCCACCTGCTGGCCCAGATAAAATCATCCTCTTTGTAGTTTAAGATATCCATAACATCACCCAAACCAGGCCACAATTTATTTCTATTTAGCCTCTAGGGCATTGACTGGAAATGGCCCAAAAGCTTCAACACACCGACTATGATATTGCCTGGATCTGCGCCCTGCCACTGGAGCTGGCAGCCGCGAAAAGTATGCTCGACGAGATCCATCCATCTCTTCCGCAAGCGCCATCTGATCAAAACTCCTACACACTCGGCAGAATCAGCGGTCATAATATAGTTCTTGTTTGTCTGCCATCCGGCACGTATGGAACAACATCTGCAGCCACCGTTCTCTCTCAGATGCTCTCGACATTCTCGTCCATCTCCTACGGTCTTATGGTCGGGATCGGCGGCGGCATACCTAGCAGGGACAGGGACATTCGTCTTGGTGATGTTGTTGTTAGCACGCCGTCTGGGATATCTGGCGGTGTGATCCAGTATGACCATGGCAAAGCGCTACCTGACAAGTCTTTTGAGACTACTGGCTCATTCAACCGGCCCCCGCCAGTGCTTTTAAGCGCCGTGTCTCAGATGCGCAGCAACCACATGGTCAATTGTCTAGAACTTCAAGCTACCATCGCAAAAGCACTACAGAGTCATAAATACATAAAGGAGCATTTCTCGCGGCCGGGAAGGGACTGGCTGTTCAACGCAGCGCATAAACACTGCACAGATGCCATAGATTGCTCAGCCTGTGACAAGACGCAGCTGGTGGATCGCCTACCACGGAGGTCTCATGAGCCGCGCATCCACTATGGCCTAATTGCATCGGGTAATCAGGTCATTAAGGATGCACAAACACGGGACCTTATTTCCCACCGTCTAGGAGGAAGAATCCTGTGCCTCGAGATGGAGGCTGCTGGCCTCATGAATCAACTACCTTGTCTGGTGATTCGCGGTATATGCGATTATTGTGACTCCCACAAGCAAGACGATTGGCACGGCTATGGAGCCTTATCTGCAGCTGCCTATGCCAAAGTCCTTCTTACTCTTGTCCCTGTGGGTGCCCGATTCGACAGGCCCTGGGTGGGATCGGAGGAACAAGCAAAGCACTACGAGTTTAATAATTCTGGCTCTGGCTCGCAGTTTAACGTCAATGGAGGATCACAAAGTAATAATACGGGTAACGGGAATCAATTCTTTGGTGGCTTTCACGGGCCGGTGTCGTTTGGCTGACCCTTTGGCGCATCTAGCGAGCCCTAGCCTGTGGATATAGGGTAATTCATGAACAAAACTATTTTCATTCCAACATCGATGCTCGTCCGTTCGTGGCAGTAGACGCCGTCCAATTTCCAGCGATGCAAAGGAAAAACACGGCGTCATGCACTTTGGCCAAAATTGACCGGACCAGTAAAGGTTACGCTGGCGAACTGGTTGCCGCTTCCTGTGTTGTTGTTCTGAGTTCCTCCAGTAGCATTGAATTGATTCCCCGGGCCACTGCTGGAGAACTTGTTGTATGGCCGTGTCTCTGATATGGACGGCTCCATCTTCGACAGCCTTTCCACCTCTGCCCGGAGTTGTTCCAGTTGCCCTTCCATGCTCCTCTTGGCCGTACTGCGGCTCGCCAGAGTACTGAGATCAGCCACCATCCCTATCGCCAATTGCTCAATCATGTTTCCGCCAGGTTTCTTTTTGACAGCTTGCCGATAAGCCTCGAGACGCCGGTCAGTGGGGGCCTGAGCAATGTCCACCAAAATCCTCTCGGAGAGTTTTGCTTTGGTGTTGAATGCTGTCAGTGCCTGAAGACAGGCCTTGATAGAGTCTCTATCCACTGGACCTTGGATGGATCGGAGAGCGCCTTGGACAGATTGCAGGGTCTGACCGACCCCGTGGAGGGATTCAGGAAGGTGGTTATCGTTTCTGATTGTCTTGTAGTTTCTCTCGGCGGTATCGACAGTGTCAATTGCTTCGGAAGCCAGGCGGTTGAATCTGGTGCTCGCCATACTTGAAATGAGGACCCGAATTCGTGGCATAGCATATCTCTCGCACTAATGAGTCTTTACGAAAGGCATTAAATAGCCGATATACATACAAAACGCATAGTTTCGGGCCGCGAGCTCTGTTTTGGGCTCTGTCGCTTTCGCTTTCTGCGCTCCCTCGGAAATTCGACCCCCCTGCACCATGACATCAGGCGCTGCATGTCAGGAAATAGTTCAATGTGTGATTCGTGAGAGATGAACCACAGCCTTTGGGCAGTTCGTTTCACATTTTTAAACCAATACGGTCAAAGAGAAATGTTTGCCTGAATCTCCAGATGACCAGGCGGGAGAACTGGTTCATGTAGGGAGTCACACCCCTGCTGAGCCTCGCATTTCCATCATGATGTGGCGATAACGATCCCAATAATTACGGTGTGGACGAAGCCTAACATGTTGTCCTTCAACCCTGTAATCCTCGCCACATGTTATTAGAAATGCCCGACGTCTAGCGGATTTGTTCATGTGTGAAACTCGAGAAATGAGTCACCTAATGTATATTTGCTCGCATTTCATACATATGTAGCTGGCTATTTCCGGTGTTGTTTGGAATGCCATCCATCAGCTCTTCTGCTCTGGCAACATCACTCCTCATGGCCCACGATACGCCGGATTTCAGCGCCTACCAGGGGAAGCAGAACAACAACACCGGTGGGGGCGCCCAGCTCAACAATAACAACTTCCATGGGACAGTGAACTTTGTTTCTGTGCAATCACAAGGACACCCTGGACCGCCTGAAGAAGGGATCCAACGGGCATATGAGTCCTTGGAGAAGCGGCCTGGGAACCAACTTCCAGCTACGCCGGATTATTTGCATCCCACTCAGTCTCTTGGTCGTCAAAAAATGTCCTCTGATGCGAAGACACATTCTGCTACAGCACTGGAAGACGAACTTCCTCGTTTTCCCCTTCCGCCCATCCCTGGCCCCGATCACTTTATTCCATTAGGGCCTGGGTTTGGGGAATCAGAGGAGCGGCAAGGCCTACTTCTAAATTCTCATAAATTAGAAATTATAGTGGGGCAAAGGGTTGTGCTAGCGTTTTCTAATACGCAGAAGAGACCGCCCCTTGTGCATGAGGCTGCTCAGTATTGGTTTGAGAAACATCAATACCGGGACACAAGGAAAGGGCTACGCTATTCTGGCGGAACTTTCACCGATGAAGGGCGACAGAGCATGCGAAGTGCCGCTCACTTTTCCTCTATCTCGCACGAGTCTCGCATGTTGGCACTACTGGAGACCATGCCGACGGATACCAGCCCTAAGGTCCAACCTGCCAACGTATATGAGTCCGAGATGCAGTCTATCACTTCACCTCCGCAAACTTCCGCGAGTATTGCACCCACGACTCCTAGCACAACCCCTGCCTCCCGTCATGATGAAATCTATAATCATACTCTCTCCCCATCCCCCGTTGGAAAGCATTCCGTGCGTGGACCGGGAAGAGTATGTGAATATGAAGGTGGCTGGAAAAAGCAATCGAAACCTGCCGCAAGAGCGTCGCAATGTAATTCAACACAGAGTCCTCGACAGTCGGATGCACCCTCGACCCCAGGTGCCTCAGTAATGAACAAGCGTGCCAGAAAGTCAACCGATAACAAGGTGCGGCAGATTCTCATGGCAGCAATGCTCAAACCTCAGAGAAACCCTGGTACTGTATGTCTCACGCCGGCACATCCAAGAGAGGGCTCTTACAACATATACTATCGTGGAGAGAATGCCGCCAGTAGCAGCAAGCTGTGCTATCCGAAGCAAGTTCCCGTTTTGCAGATTCAATGCAAAAACATAATCATTATCAAGAGGCTTGTTTTGGCTGAATTCACGGACCGCACGCAAACTCTTGAATGTGATATATGTGGCCACAATCACAAGGATTGGATTGCCGCCCTGGATGCGGATATCAAAGCTAGTGTTCAGGCTTGGGCAAAGCTCCTGGAGACAGCGATTGAAACTTCCCAAGTTCCCAAGATTGGCTTTTCGCAGGACACACATAGATGGAGGAAATGGGCCAGTGAAACAAGCGAATTGCGCCTGTTGAAGGGGTCATGCGAAGAGGAAAAGATCAAGCCCACCATCAAAGGTAGAGGAAGGTGACAGACGCTTAGAACTGCGGTTCCAGGGCGTAAAATTAATGGATACAGGACAGTGCGAATTATTATCAATCATCCAGGTAAAAATTCTCTGCTGGTATATTTGACGTTGGTACGATTTCTTTCGCGGCGCATGGGTGTGATATAAAAGCAATAAAAATACGTTTTTTTCCTTGTAATATTATAGTGCTGTAGTTTCAATGTATATATATACTTTCAAGATTATAGAGAGCAGCTTACTTGTCACTAACAGAATGTATGTCAATATATATTCAAGCATGATATAAGAACCTCTTCTCGCATTACCCGCGGTTCCTCACTCAACTGGATTTCTGCTGCCCATCAGACACCTGTCGCGCCTGGTGGTGATTCTGCTTCGGTTTGTGTTGGGGGACGATATAATGAATCTTGGCCAAGGCCAGCCCCTCTTTTGCTGGCCTTTTCTCTTTCTTATATCCCCCCTCAGCTGCTCAAGGAATACAATTATTATGCTGGGATACACGACTCTCTACTCCAGAACCCCTCGCTCTTTCCTCTTCGCTGTCGTCGCCAATGTCGGTCCCGGCGGCGCCAGCCGCTCCCTTGCCGTGGCCTGCCGCCAGTACCATGATGAATACAACTCACAGATATCCTGGGGACGAGTGTACTGTATGGTAACTGATATCCTTGCGCTGACCGAAATTCTCTCGGATCCCGCAAACGGCGCGCCGCTGGAGGCTGAGAGGGCGCTCGCGGAGGACTGGTATCGTCGGTCTCAGGACGACGAGCCTCCAATTCATGAGCGGCCCAGCGTGTCCGACACCGCGCAGGCCCCGTTCGTGCCCTGGTACAAGCGGCGGGAGCCAGGGCAACAACAGCCCCCGCTGCCGTGGCGCGATGATGCACCAAGCAAGTTTCCCTTCACCGCGACGTGTGTTTTGCTGGCGTTATTGCGTGATACTCGTGATAACCGCACCCGCCCTAGTGATGTCCAGTTTCAGCCGCTATCGACGCTGTTCCGGGCTGACTATATTGAGTATGGCCTGGTTATTCTCGACATCTCTGACCTCGCCAGCGGGGTCAAGTACGGCATTGTTGCGTTCCCCATGAACTATATGGCCGAGGTTGAATACCGCGGCGAGATGATCGGCTGGGATCCAGTCGAAGATCCCCAGCCGGAAAAGGAACCTGATGTTGTACTCATGAGCCCGCGGCCTCGAGAGCTGTTGTCAATCTCGCAGTGGGTATCAAAGTATTACTACTCGTCGGGCCTGGAAGAGGCGTCTTGCATCCTCAAACTAGAGGAGATGCCGGTGGCTGGTGCAGTAGCCTTGGATTGTACGTCTGTTCACCGGGATAATTTGTGGGAAGTGGAATGCTCCTCCAGCAGTGCAGTTTTGCAATTCCGGTTGCCCTGCTCCTGTGGAATAAACGGTCAGAACAGGTATTGGCGAGAAATAGAAATGTTCGTCTAGGACCGTTTGGATGGTTGGCCAACATTGTGACGATGTTTGCAATCTTGGTCACGATCATGTATTGCTTTCCTGCCCGGCTTCCTGTGACAGGCGGGAACATGAGTAATTACCCTGCTAATTCTGTATTCTAGACTACACTTCTGCTGTTGTTGGGGCCATGGCCATCTTCGCGGTGATTAACTGGTTTATCCACGCGAACCGCAGCTTCCAGGGGCCCCGACTGCAGGGCGGGTTCCTGCATTGGGTTGTACGAGGGAAAGCATCAATTACTTGTAGATATCTGAAAGAGATAATTGGCTAGGCGTATAGTGTTCTACTTTATGTTTATAACTCGGGCATGTTGAGTAATCACAAAGTTCCTCGGATGGCGCTCGCCTCCCAACCAATCAGATGCTCGTCGACCGGGGGGCAAGTTGTCCAACCTTTGATGACCTCGGACGCCCCCGCTTGTTAAATGACTCTGGGGGCCTTTGGGGATTTCTTCTGAGTGATTGTGGGATTTGGAGACATTTGGGGTTATATAAAGTCGGCCTCAGCTGTGTAGAAGGATGGGCGAGAAGTGATTGTGATCTCGCAATGCTCGTCAAGTCCGATTACCCCATCGTTGCACTGCATTCTGGGCTATAAATGACGCGGCCTTGCCTACTTACATTCCAGGATATTCTCAATATGGTGCAACTGGAGGAAGACCCCGAGGCTGGTATACACGGTACCATGAAAGTCTTACAGTCATCGCCTGCCGATGCGCTCGAGAATGCACTCGGGACTACTGCAGAGAAACCCAGACGCAGTGAAACCTGGAATTGGGATGACGATCCGAGCAATCCTTACAACTGGCCGACAAGTCAAAAGGCTCTGCAAGTGGTGATGATTGGTTGGGCGGGTTTTACCACGTTGGTTCTTCCTTCGGCGCAGTGTAGATTGCTTGGAATCTGACATATAATGCAGAACCGTTGGAGTATCCATCCTATCGCCTGCTCACTCGCAGTTCATGGAGGAGTTTGGTGTCAGCAGCACCGTCGCTATATTACCCTTGTCACTTTACGTCTTCGCCCTTGCCCTTGGTCCCATCGTGGGAGGGCCTCTTTCTGAGACTGTTGGGAGATACCCGGTCTACATAGGAGCAATGGGCCTGGGCACCTTGTTTACTCTGGGTGCTGGGCTATGTCCCACATTTTCTGGCCTTTGTGTCTTGCGTTTCTTGACTGGGTTCTGCTACGCACCAACTCTGGCGATTGCGGCCGGGACTCTCAATGAGACGTTCACGCCAGTCAACCGCGCCCTTCCCTCGGCTATCTTCATTCTTACGCCCTTTTTGGGTCCTGGTCTGGGGTTCAGTGCTTCTAGTAACAAGTTCTGTCCAAGCTATCTTGCTGACGATTTCCTAGGCCTGTTATTGGAAGCTTCATTGTCAATCGGAAAGGCTGGCGATGGACGCAGTGGACAATGATCTTCTTTGCTATCCTCACTGGCATCACAATTGCAATTGCCAACGAGACTTTCCACCCTGTCATCAAGCGTCGTCATGCCAAAGAACTCGGACTAGAGCTTCCCCCGTCGGCCCCTCTCTCTTCGAAGCTGCGCCTCTTTGTAACTATTTCTCTCCTCCGCCCCATCCACATGCTCCTAACCGAACCCATCGTTGGCTTCGTTTGCCTTTACGTTGCTTGTGAATTTGCGACACTCTTCTCGTTCTTCGCAGCCTTCCCATTGATCTTCCAGGGTATCTATCATTTCAATATCGAGTCCTCCGGCCTCGTCTTCTTGGCCATTGTCGTCGGATGTCTACTAGGAACTGTGACAGTCATATTATGCAACGTCTTCCTTTACCTTACAAAAGTCGCAAAACATCCAGATGGACAAGTACCACCGGAATACCGCCTCTATCCAGCACTAATAGGTAGTGTTGGACTGCCGATCGGACTGTTCTGGTTTGCCTGGACTGCTAGAGCTGATATCTCCTGGGCAAGTTCCGTCGTTGCAATTGCCGTGTTTGCATGGGGAAATCTCTGTGTCTTTGTGAGCACAACGCAATATCTGGTTGATACTTATCATGGTCTCACTGTCGCAAGTGCCATGAGCGCCAATGGTTTGGCACGTTATGGACTCGGGGCTGCGTTTCCTCTTTTTACCATTCAAAGTGCGTATCTTCCTTTGATCATGACAGGGAAAATATTTATCCTGACACGTCTTGTAGTGTACACCAAGCTTGGTGCAGGGTGGGCATCTAGCCTGCTAGGGTTTATTGCAGTGGCACTTTTGCCCGTTCCGTGGGTCTTTGTCAAGTATGGAAAGAGGTTGAGAGCTTTGAGTAACTATGAGACTGCCAAGTGAGAGTAAATCAGCGTATTATATGCTTTTCTTTTGTGGTATGGGATGATCAGTCAAGAAGACGGACGATAACAAATCACTCCGGGATCTTCTCGGCCAGCCTCGGCATTTCTTACTTGTTCACTAAGAACGCCGAGATCGCATCATCCAGATTCCCAATCATGTTGCTGTAGGAGTATATGAAGCTTATTTCCAGCCTTGTGTAACCTGTAACCCTTATACTAAGTTAGTAGCATTACTCCATCATTCCTAACCATGCTGTTCTTCGGCGCAGGCCCCTCCTACAACCCCGACAGAGATATTCCCAACCTATCCGACAAAACCATCCTGGTGACAGGAGGCAACAACGGCCTCGGAAAAGAATGCATCAAGCAACTAGCAAAGCACAGCCCCGCGAAACTCTACATGGGCGCGCGCAGCCTCACGAAAGCCCAAGAAGCAGTCTCTGAAATCAAATCCGCCGTCCCTCTCGCCGAAATCCACATCCTCGAAATTGACCTCGCCTCATTCTCCTCCATCAAAGCTGCCGCAGCCCAATTTCTCTCTGAAAATGAGCATCTCGATGTCCTGGTAAACAACGCTGGCGTTTTTGGCTCCCCACCCGGTCTGACCGAAGACGGATACGAAATCCAATTCGGCACGAACTATATGGGCTCAGCACTCCTCACACGCCTACTCCTCCCGATCCTCGAAGCAACTGCCAGAACGCCTGGCTCTGGCCCTGCTAAAGACAGAGACGTCCGTATCATAAACATCAGCTCTGAGATCTACCGCGCAGCCCCGAAAGGCGGTGTTCTACTCGACCGTATGACGAGCCCGCTGGCCGACCTCAGCACTGTCGCCCGGTACGGGCAGTCAAAGCTCGCGAACATATACTTCACGCAGTCCTACGCTTCCCGGTACCCGCATATCAAATCTGTGGCACTGCATCCGGGTCTGGTGAAGACGAATATCGGCGGGGGCATGACAGCGAACCCGATCTTGGGGTTTGTTTTCGGTCTGTTTACGAGAGTTGCTGCGGTTGATATTCCTACTGGTGCGTTGAACCAGTTATGGGCCAGTACTGCAAACTCGCAAGAAGTAAAGAGCGGGGCGTATTATGTTCCTTTTTTCAAAGAAGTGGGCAGGACGGGGAGTTTGGGGGATGAGAGGATGGCGGAGGAATTATGGCTGTGGACGGAGAGGGAGTTTGCTGAGCGAGGGTTTTAGCTTAGATACTCCAGACTTTCTAACTATATAAATACCATATAATAGTATATTTCTTATTATTACTACCCTCTGGTAGACCTACCAGCGTAACATCTTGCCCACTGACGTACTAGAATCGAAATAGTGTCTTGCGAACAAAGTCTGCCTCCGGGTTATTTGGTGGCCATATCTTGGGACTTAATTATGGTATATTTTCCTACTTAGGTTGCCTCATGCGATAGAAGAAACTGGGATTCAAGCTTTGCTCGGATCAGCGTATAACCGTCCCAACACACCACCATTCGAGAGTCTATCAAGCCCCTTTGCAATGTCGGTAAAAGGGATTTCCTCCATCAGAGGATTGATCTTTCCCTTGGCGATAAGCTCAAGCACCTCTTCAACTTCTCCAACAGACAACCCCGCGGATAAAAAGGTGCAGCTGCAATTTCTAACTAAAAAAGAGGGCGACGGGCGCGGATATCATTAGAGTAGGCAAGGGCAAGAAGCCGCGATGGCGTGGGTACAGAATATAGAAGAATAGAAGAGGAGAAAGAAGAAATTAAGAAGAGAGAGGATTAGGAACAGCAAGAACAGTCCTTATATACTCAGGGTAATAATAATACAGCATACAGGGTGACTATCCCCAAAGGGGTAAAACTAACCTCAACAGGGAATTCACAGGTCCTCGCTTTACAGTACATATCACCTCTTTTTAGAGTTTCTCTTGTCAATCAGCCTTTACAAGTGCCACCTTCAGCCTCTCATCTGTTAAAGGCCCTCACTTCCTAAAAAAGAGAAAGACATCAGCTTACAATGTCCGCTTTGAAAATTACACAATCCAAGAATTCACTGATGAGAAAATTGATGCACCAAAACCTGTATCACAGTTGTCCAGCTCTATATTTCCTACCCTGAGAACATGCCACCAGCTACTCCAGTCCAGGTGCTGCGCGGGTTCGAAAAGGTGACCATACCAGCCGGTGAACAGAGACAAGTCCGGTTTTCGCTTCAACGTCGCGATCTCAGCTACTGGGACACCACGGCGCGGAATTGGAGGATACCCGAGGGCAAGATCAAAATCAGTGCTGGGTTTAGCTCTCGTGATTTGCGTACTTTCTCTTTTGCCCAGCTTGTGTAATACATCCTTCTCGATGTTGACATGTATAGTAGTAGAGTTACAACTATCTAGATTGACCTGTCGCTAGTTTAAATATTAGTATGACTTGCCCTTTATACAAGATCTATTTGAAAATTTAGAATCTCTGGTCTTAACTGGACGTCCATTCTGCGTAAGAATTAATATTAATCTCTTCTAGAGCAGTTCATAGTGATTGATATTCAGTGCTTTAAATTAAAGATCCACTTTTCCATTTTGCATTCTAATTTTGTTGGCCAATCAGAAAGCGCTCAGTACGCGTATTTGGCAGGTGTCCGAACCAATCATGAGCCGCTCGTTCCGCGTATACTTGGTATGTAACTGATTGAGGTTTGTAGTCTTCTCATTCTTAAACACGCCGATACTTGGATGCCTGGAAGCATCCACGACGAGGAGCAATAAGAGTCATAATGTAACCATGGCTGTTCTTCAATTGTCCTTGTTCCTTGTGCACGAACCATTTCTCTCATACTCGCTGCACATCAAGGTCATACCATGGGTGCAACAGGGTACTTCCCCTACGAGCCGAGCAGCGTAGGCGCCATTCTTGCAATGTTGCTGTTTGGAGGGAGTGCCATATTCCACACGATTCAAATGACCAGGACCAGAACATGGTTTTTCACTGCCTTCCTCGTCGGCGCATATAGTGAGTTCCTCGTACATTTTCCAGAGTACAACTCAGTCATTACAGATGGACTGACCAGCGGCTTTAATTAGTGATGACACTAGGTTACATCTGCCGATTGATGTCAGCGCGTAAACCTGACAGTCTCGTTCCCTACATCTTGCAGTCAATGTTCATTATTCTCCCTCCGTCTCTCTACGCCGCCACTATCTACATGACATACGGCCGGATTGTCACATATATCGGCAAACCACATCTGTCAACCATTAGTCCGCAGAAAGTAACCAAGGTCTTTGTTACCGGAGATGTAGCAGCTTTCCTTCTCCAGCTAGCCGGCGGTGGGATGCAGACAATCAACAGCATGCGCAGTCTCGGCGAAAAGATCCTCATCGTCGGTCTCTTCGTGCAGCTTCTCTTCTTCGGATTCTTCTTATACGTCTCTGGGAGTTTCCAGCTCCGGTTGCGGGACTGTGGATACGGCTGGTCTGGTGGTGGTCAGTGGCGCCGGCTACTTCATATTCTCTTCCTGGTGTCTGCTTTGGTTATTGTGCGGTGTGTTTTTCGCATTATTGAGTATATTCAAGGGACGGGTGGGTATCTGTACTCGCATGAGGTGTATATGTATATCTTCGATTCTGTTCCGATGTTCTTCGTGCAGGCTGTCTTTCACTTTTACCATCCGGGGAACATTTTTATTGGGAAGACGCTGGAGGATGAACATCACATTCTGCGAGAGGTGTGATTAGAGATTGTATATAGTTTAAGGAAATATTTGAGTGGGTAGAACAGGTTTATAGATAGCGTGATAGAAAATAATAGATATAATGAATTCCTCTAAATTTACTAGTTAACTTGTAATTCAGAAGCCAGGGCTGAGGTAGGTGGTCAAGTTGTATAAAGTTCACAATTAAGCTCGCTGAGTCAGACAGCACAAGGCAACCATAAATCTTATTCTTCTGTGCCACCGGGAGATCTCTAATCGTTCCTTCGCAGTTACTCTCAATTAAAGATGGGCCCCCCACGGAAACCACACAGGAAGTCGAGGAAAGGCTGCATCGAGTGCAAGCGTCGCCATATTAAGGTACCCTCCCCCTGCCACTGACGGATTAAGCGTTTGTTAACTGGCAGTAGTGTGATGAAAGCCAGCCAAAGTGTGTCAATTGCAATGTGTCGGCGCGACACTGTTCTTATGAAGACCTGGTGTCCGAGGCGCGCGCTTTCATTCCAGCATCGTTACCAAAGAGGACCAGGTCCAGGCCGCAAGCTGAACGTGCCTCACCCTTGGTTACTTGCCCAGCAAGCTCGTCCAGCTCTACCGGTACTCCGCCTGCTGACAGCCCGCCACTGAACAAGCTGCATCTAGAGCTTTTCCACCACTTCTTCAGCCATATTCTGGCCTTCTTCTGTCTGGATAGTCATCTATCTTCTGGCCTCTCCTCTCTAGAAATGACACAATGCATCTTCACCGCCCCCTTTCTGATGAATGAGATCCTGGGATTTGCCGCCTTGCACCTTAGCATTGTGCGCCCTCTGCAGCAGAGCTTCTACCGACACCATGCAGCCGGGCTGCAGACCCACGCACTGACAGAATTCAACAGCGCCAACATGGATGTCACCCCGGAAACTTGCCTCCCCATGTTTCTCTTCTCCTCAATCCTGGCCCTCCATATGCTCAGCGAAAAGCTTCTCTTTCGAACTGGCGGCTTTGACACATTCCTCAACGAGTTTGTCCAGTCTCTGAGGCTGCATCGCGGCGTCCGCGCAGTGACAGCTCAATCCTGGCCTCTATTGCTACAGTCACCGCTCAAGTCTCTGCTTGAGGCAGAAGGCAACGCGCTAACGAGGAATGAGGGTGGTTGTGGCAATGAATGCGCGGCATTGATGGACCTCTTAGATTCTTCGGACTCCATGAATACGTCGGTTCGAAATACCTACAGGGAGACAATCAAACATCTCCAGAGTGCCTTTGATGGAAGCCACCAGCACCCCTCCAGATTCTCTGCAGTCGGACCGGTCATCTCCTGGCCTGTCATTATTCCACCGAGGTATATCGATCTGCTAGAAGAGCGCACCCCCGAAGCCCTGGTTATTCTCGCTTACTTTGGCGCTCTGTTGTACCTTCACCGGGAGATGTGGATATTTGGCGATAGCGGGGCTTATATCATTACCTCCATCAAGGATTATTTAGGCCCTGACTGGGAGAGTTGGTTACGCTGGCCTAGCGAATTCGTTCAGCCGTGGGCTGAAAATGCTTGAGTACTGGTAGATGTTTCCACTTGATATAAAACGTAATAACATCAAGAGATGAGGAGCCCGATTAATCTCAATTCTCGCCCGAAGCCTCCTCGACACCACCACTCTTACCGCTTCAAATACCCCTAGCTCAATAATTGCGGCACGCGGCCTCGAAGCGCTGAATAACAGCCCGCCGATTTTTTTGCCCCATCGGTGAATTCTCTGCCAAATACTTTCCTTCCAAAATGCGCGCCTGGAGTATACGTTTCCGCGTTTTGGAGTGTGTTGCTGTATACAGACTTTTCATCGCGCCTTGCGCCGGATACGCAACTAGGCCCAACGCCGCTACAATTCACGAGTCAGTTAGTTGAAGGAATACCTATACGGCTACGGGTACTCACCTGAAGACACTTTAGTAGTCATCCCCAGAGTCCCCTTCGCAAACCCTTTTACTACACCCCTCGCCCCCTCCAGCTGGCCACCCTGGTAGGGCTGCATGACGAGATCACTAAATCCGTCCGCCATACCATGCACAAAGTTCTTTCCTCCGACAGTAGCGCCGGATTTCCAGTCCTGGACGTTCCCGTGTTCTTTTACCTCGTCGCCGTATAATCGCGGTACGGCTCGGAGGCCCTCGCTCGCGGCCAGGGGGATGTCTACTAGCATGCCTTTGGACCAGTAGCCAAACACCTTACCTAGGCTTTTGGCTGAGCTTCCCATTGCGGTGCCTGTTGTTTTCAGCATTGACTGCTTGTATCCTGCTGGACTTGAAGTTGCGTCTGCGTCTGTTTCTGACGCAACACTAAGGGATCGAGGGCTAGATATGTCGGAGAGAAGGTCCGGATGGCTTTGTGGGGAGCGACGAAATTCTTTATACGGACGATAGGCAATATCCCCAGTCGCTTTGAGGATATTACGGCTCGTACCTAGCAGTGAGGCAGCGGTTGCTGTGGCGGGATCCCATCGTCGGTTCTGGATGAGGACAGGGTGTGTTTGGTAGCTGCTGCACGTTAGTGGTATTCCATGCTAGGATAATCAGAGTACATACGGCTGGAGGTCACTCAGCTTCAAGCGATGATGGTCTAACAGAATTGCTGCGGCGACTTTCGATAAATAGATGGGACGTTTGGTGCCTTTCCCCCACTGCCAGACGGCGGCCTCGGAATCTAGTACGTCGCATGCCATGGTATTCACTGGGAGATTCCGATGGAAGGAGGCGACTGCGGCGGATACACCGTTTTCATGGCTCATTCGCTTAGCAACATCCCGCGCTGCCGACTGCGCCGTAGGTTGAAGACAGAAACGAATGGCGTCGGCCAGCTTATGCGTAGTAAGAGACTTATATGGGATAGGCTTTGGGCCTAGACCGCGGGATGCGACCATTTCACCCCAGAAGAGCTGACTGATGGCTGCGTTAGTTGTAGAATAAACTATCAAGGGGGATAACGGACTCGCCAAAGAACGGAATGATCGTGGTTGATTTCCCAAAACGTAACCCACATGCGGTGGTTCCTGCGCCTCCGTGGTGGACAACAGCGGCTACATGCTGGAACAGCCACTCGTGTGGACAGTCGCCGAGGTAGAATATTTGATCGTTGGATGAAGGTTCACCAAGGTTGCTCCAGCCACGAGAGACGATTGCTCGGATTCCGAGAGACTTCACAGCGTTGACTATTATCGTCGTCATCGCAGCCGGGTCGTCGATTACAATACTACCGAAGCCAATGTATACCGGCGTACTTCCATTCCGAAGGAATGAATCTAGCTCGGCAGGAGGTGTATAGGAAGGGGGAGAGCGGAAGAAAAAACCGCAGACATCAATATTCGATTTCCAGTCAGACGGTTTGGGGGCGAGACTCGGGGACCAGCAGTAGGTAAAGGGCACCTTTAGGGTCTCTGTCAAACCAGGCCCTTCAGTAGTCGGTATAGGCTCGAGATCGAGTGAATCCCTCCAGCGATTGATGATATCTCCAAGGCTAGCCTTCAGGTCAGCGTATTGTCGAGGAAGATTAGGTTCTACTACCCTTGCCATGTCATCCACTCAACAATCCCGTATGAAAGATGGTTCGCCATTTTTGGTTCGGTGGTTGAGTACTTGAGGTTCGCTAGGGGATGCGGAAAGGCTCTGGTACTTGTCCAAGGCATAGTAAACATCAGGTGGAGGGGAATCGACAAAGCCTGTGCACAATGGACATGGGCAAAGCTCGGTGGGTTCGCGATTATCGCATCCGCTACAAAGGGCGTCCTCGTAACTGGATCATCGCTTATACAGGAATTCCAACAACCCTGAAGCATTTCCGCAACCATGGCACGCTTGCGTTGGATATCACCGCCCTGTAGGCTTTGCATCTGGGGTATCAGCCCGGGATTCTTTACCATATAAGCCATGAGCTCTGAAGGATCCCCGCCGATGGGATAAAACTCGAGGCCGGAATCACGAACAAACGACTCGAATACACCATGTGTTGCCAGTCTCACTCGGTGGCCATGAAGCTGAAGCTCATTCCCCAGCGCGATAAAGGGCTGGACATCGCCGCGGCTGCCGACAACTTGAATGACGATATTTAGTTGAAGTTTGCAAGAAGTATTCTCCAGGGAATAAGGTGGTGGTGGCGAAGAGGGCGGCTCCTGGTGTTGAATCGGGATCAGTTTTGAGAGTGTCCTGCAGAGCTTGGAGTCAAGGTCGATATTAATCCGTCCATCATCTGTTACGAATTAATTATATAAGACGCGACGAGGCTTGCGTGGATGATGGGTACCTTGAACCTGTGGCCCGTCAAGCAAAGTCGGATTTTCCATGCTGGGCTCCAGCATGCTATACTTTGGGAGCTGATCAGCCTCCATGATGCTCTAGACCGAATTTGCCGCGATCAGAACCAAGAGCGAGGGCTGAAAGTCATTTATAACTATATCTGCGACCGAGAAATCGCTAGTTCGTATACTGAGAGCACACATGGGAAGTTCCCCTTAATGTCAAGATGAAAGAAAAGGGACAAATACAGGGGAGGGGAAAGCAGTGGGTGAATTTAGCATCTGGTACGAGTACGAGAAACTACCTTGCTGATACCACTGAGCTTCAGGCAAGGCTGGTTGAATACTCATTGTCAACGACCCACATCATCATTCGCGATGGACAAATCCTATTTTTATGCTGTTACGGTGCAGCCAATGAGCAGCGCCCGGATATCGACGATGTTGTCCGGGCTGCGCAAATACGCGGACTGCCGGCGTCATGATTGGCTCAAATAGTTTTTCGCCGCCAATGGGGCAGCACACCCAATTCATGTTGACCACAGTCAAGCTCATACCAGCTGGTTAGTAGTCAGCACCTCTAGTCTCTTTTGGGTCTCAGAAACACAAGGCAATGGAATATTCATCCTGCCCCTGCAAGCCTTCACTTGCTGCCTGAGGCATTAACATCTGATGGATCGGAACGATCAGCCAGACTGGAACTCGCCAAATTCTACAAGGATGGAATGTCTTCGATTAATGCCCATCCCCAGCTGATAAATAGAAAATTGATCTCTTGATCTGGTCAGGCCTCCCCACCGGCTCTCGTTGTATATGCAGGTAACTATCGACACAACCGCTGCCGGACGATGTTACACAACAACAACAATTGCACAAGAGGCTACTGCCATCGGGTGACCCGCCTGGCAGTCTGCAGAGTGCAGAGCTGTTTCTGCATCTTAATTCTCCGATCCTCCTTCAGTCCCAGTGTTGATGCCGCACCGACCCCCTTATCCCTGCCTGCCCTTGTGGTGTTACATGACGGACAGGACGGCATCCTTGGCTAGTTTATTTATGAGTTGCCATTGGCTGTTAATACATTAATCAGCCAATGGGAGTGCATATCGCAAGTACCCGTATTTACGGTACACAGATACACAATCCACCGCGTGCTCCACTCAGCAGGAACTGAAAAAGTTGATCGCAGGAGCAACAGCTTGGAATGCAGGCACGCGAGAGGAATGCTCACCCCAGCGCGTGTAACATCCAGGCTCCTTTCCCAGGAGAATTGCTTTTTTCTCATCCCGAATTTCTGTTTTCCTTCTTTCATCTTTCCACAATTCGCCAACGACACGACGCGACGATTGCATTGCCTGTCGGTGCATCGGCCATTTGCTATGAGGGATGACATCCGCTGAGAGATTGGTTATTGGGGTCGGGGTTCTGGGGGTGTTTGTTATTGCTGTATGCAGTGTCCCAGCAGTATGGGGTCTCTGGGTGAGGGTTGCGAAGACGGCGCGGTATGGGCCGATTCGCTTGGAGGATTCGTCGGAGCCGGCACACACGGAGTATATCGATGAAGATGGAGAGGCGACGGAGTATTCAGTGGCCGAGTTTGAGAAGGCAGAGAAGTGGCAGAAATGGGGTATTGTCTTGCTCTCTTTCACCGGGTTCGGGGTATCGTTGGCACAGGCAGTTGTGGCTACTTGTATACCAGAGCAGGAGAAGAGACACTTTATCGCGCCGTCGTGGGTGCAGATGGTTGGATGGGTGAGTTTTCCAGCTTGCGTTATGAAAAAATTAACTAATTAGTGGTGGTAGACTGTGATGTGCCTTCAACCGGTCTCGATACTCTCGGAAAAGTCGTGTGTGAAACGATATTACCTCGGGATTTATTCTTTCTGGACCAGCTTCCTTTCTCTCCTAGTTATAGCTTCTCAAGTCGTAATTCTCTGGAGTAATGGGTACCAAATCGACATCAGCCACGCCTTTACGGCACTCTTCTCGACCCAAATCCTCGTCGCCAGTCTCCGGGCAGTGGTCTGCATTCTCATTCCCCGACGGCCAACTGTCTATTTCGAAGGCCGAGAAGTCGACCAAGAGTTTAATGTCAGTGCGTATAACCGCTTCACCTACGGCTGGGCCACGAGCATTCTTCACTTTGCATCTCGGAATAAGGGACTGGGTGTCGAAGACCTGCCCAAACTACCATTCGCTGCTAGAGCAGAGACCGTGCGTAGACGACTAGCACAGTTTCAGGGGGCCCGTAAGCTCTGGGTTGCATTGGCAGTTCGACATGCCCGGGCCCTTATAGTCCAAGGCCTTCTAAGCCTCGTGGTCTGTGTCCTTGGTTTCGGTCCGCAGGTGGCTCTTTTCAAGATTCTCAAGACACTCGAAGACGACTCTGTTCTTTCTAAGCACTCTCCGGAGGCCTGGATGTGGGTTGGTGGACTTGGGATGTTCCTGGCGCTGACGTCGAGTATCGAGTCGTGGCTTTGGTGGCTGATTTATTCAGACCTCTGGATTCCGATCTACGAGGGTCTCTCAGGACTAGTATTTGCCAAGTCTATGCGGTGCAAGGATATCAATTCTCCCAAGGCGAAATCCACACACGATCTGGAAGACTGGGAGGACGAAGACGAAGAAGAAGAAGGAGAAGAGCAGGAGAGGAACCGTCAGAGCATTATCAACCTTGCGGCTGTGGACTCGAAGCGCATAGCTGACTTCGTCACATTCTGCTATCTCATCCCTTCTTGCGTCCTTCGGTTGGCGATCTCTGGTTTCTTTCTTGTGAGCCTCATCGGCTGGCCGAGTCTGTTGGCTGGGATTGGAGGGGCGATTCTACTCACACCAGTCAATTCATGGCTCACTAGACGATACGCTGCAGCCCAGGAGGAGTTTATGAAAGCCAGCGATAAGCGAACCAGTGCCGTAACTGAAGTATTGCAGGGAATCCGGCAGATCAAGTTCGGTGCCCTGGAGCAGCAGTGGCAGGACCGGATCAAGGAGAAACGCAAGCTTGAGCTGAATCTCCTGTGGAGGACATCGGTGTATACAACGGGCATGGTATCTGTGTGGATCATGGGGCCGTTGCTTCTCTCTGCTGTTTCCTTGACGGTTTATGCCGTTACTCGAGGAGAACTCTCTCCTTCTGTCGCTTTCACGGCTTTATCCATCTTTGGCTCACTCGAGTCGTCTCTCGCCAGTCTACCGGATCTCCTCTCCAAAGCAATGGAAGCAAAGGTCAGTACTGACCGCATCGACAGCTATCTCTCCTCGCCAGAGAAGGTCTCGAATACAGCGGACGTCGACACGATCACGTTCAAAAACGCAACAGTTGCCTGGCCATCTGAAGACGCCCAAGAGGACACCTGGGAAGGCGATCGCTTCGTCCTCCGACACGTCTCCCTGCAATTCCCTTCCAAAGGACTGACCGCAATCGTGGGCAAAACAGGATCTGGCAAGAGTCTTCTTCTCGCCTCGATCTTAGGCGAATGCGATGTCCTGTCTGGATCAGTGGAAGTCCCTCGCGCACCACCGCTATCGCAACGATTCGACCACCTGGCGACACGAGCGAACTGGATCCTCGACACAGCGATCGCCTACGTAGCACAGAACCCATGGATGGAGAACGCGACAATCAAAGAGAACATCCTATTCGGTCTACCGTACGACCGACAGCGGTACCGCCAGACACTCTTCGCCTCCGGCTTGGAAAAAGACATGACGATGCTGCCGGAGGGCGATCTTACAGATATCGGAGCAAATGGAATCAACCTGAGTGGTGGGCAACGATGGCGTATCTCTTTTGCTAGAGCACTGTATTCTCGCGCTGGAATTTTGATTATGGATGATATCTTCAGCGCGCTGGACGCGGAGACTGGACGACATGTCTACGAACATGCACTCACTGGAGAGCTGGGACAGGGCCGGACGAGGATACTGGTCACTCACCATGCGGGACTGTGTCTTCCGCGTACTGACTATTGTGTTATACTTGAAAATGGCTTCGTCAATCACGCCGGCACCGTCGAGCAGCTTCAAGCCTCTGGGGAACTGGCGGATCTTATGGTAAAGGTCGATAACCGCGAGCAAAACGAACAGCCCGCTCAAGAGGTTCCTAAGAGGAAGCGCTCTTCCGCTGCTAGTGGTGGGCGACGGTCGTCTGTGTTCAGTATGCAGACGATCAAGAAGTTTATGCAAGAGGAGACGCGAGAGACTGGCTCGATCTCTTTGAAGGTATATGGGGCGTACATGAACAGGGGCAATCGTCTGTGGTGGTGGATCCTGGCGTTCCTGGCATACGCGGCTTTTACGACGCTTCTCATCGGCAGGGTAAGTTCTATCATCCCAGTTCCGTTGTCTTTGCTAATTTGGTAGTCCTGGTGGGTGAGTGTGTGGACTTCCAGTACGAGCGATCAGCCCAAACCGGCAAGCCCTATCAACATCAACAGTGACCTCATGTACTATCTCACTGTCTACGTGGGTATCTCCGTTGCTGCATGTCTGGTCGGCACACTGCGATGTCTGGCCCTTGCTATCGCCTTTATCAAGTCATCACGCCAACTCTTCGACGACCTCCTGGCCACGGTCCTTCGCGCTCCCCTCCGCTGGCTCGACACTGTGCCTCTAGGCCGCATCCTCAACCGCTTTACCTCGGATATTTATCTCCTCGATTGGCGTCTGGGCTACGACATCGGGCATCTAAGCTATAAAGCGCTCGAGCTGCTCGGCATTCTGGTGGCAGGGACAACCGTATCGCCCTGGCTGCTGCTTCTCGCCTGCGTGCTACTCGCCCTCTGCGTCCGTCTATGCCAGGACTATCTCGGTGCCGTCCGCGAAGTTAAACGCCTCGAGAGTACCGCAAAAAGCCCTGTGATGGAGAAATTCGGCTCCAGCCTGTCCGGCCTCGCCACGATCCGCGCCTTCAACAAAGCAGACACCTACATCCAGGAGATGTATAGCCTGATTAACAACCACGCCCAGGCATCCTGGTATCTCTGGCTCTTCAACCGCTGGCTCGGATTCTGGATGGCACTTGTCGGCGCGCTCTTCTCTACAATGACCGCCGCGCTGGTCGTGTATATGCCTGGTGCCTCTGCCGCACTGGCTGGATTTGCTATGAGTTTTGCCTTGCAATATAACTACGCCGTCGCAATGGGTCTTCGGTTTTATGCGAATGTTGAAATCGATATGAACGCCACCGAACGGGTTCTTGAGTACACCAACATCGAAACCGAGAGTCAAGACGGATACAACCCGCCAGCATCCTGGCCAACTCGCGGGAAAATCGAAGTCGAGGACCTTGAAGTTGGCTACGCTCCTGACCTCCCGGCCGTCCTAAACGGAGTCAGCTTCACAGTTGACAATAACCAGCGCGTCGGCGTGGTAGGTCGCACAGGTGCAGGGAAGTCCTCACTAACCCTAGCCCTCTTCCGCTTCCTCGAGTCACGACGAGGCCGAATTATCATCGACGGCCTCGATATCTCTCAACTCAAACTACAAGAGCTCCGCAGTCGACTGGCAATTATCCCTCAAGACCCGATCCTATTCTCCGGAACGATCCGGTCGAACCTGGACCCGTTCAACGAACACAGTGATCTAGAGCTGTATAACGCGTTAGAGCGCGTCCATCTCCTGCATTTCGAGGATACATCGACTCTTGCCTCACAGCTGAGCTCGTCCTCTCAGAGCTCGCTCCAGAGTCCGAGTCTGACGAGGTGCAATGATCTATTAAGCGGGAGCAGCACATTAGCTTCCTCGTCCTCGTCCACTGCACCGCCTAAACCAACTGGTTTCTTTGCGTCGCTTTCCTCGCCTATCACGTCTGGCGGGTTGAATCTCTCCCACGGCCAACGACAGCTCCTGTGTCTGGCTCGTGCTATTATCTCGAGACCGAAGATTATGGTGCTGGACGAGGCGACGTCGGCTGTGGATATGGAAACCGACGCACTGATTCAACAGTCGATCCGGAGCGAGTTCGGGCGGAGTGATTCGAGTTTACTGGTTATCGCGCATCGACTCAGTACGATCGCGGACTTTGATCGGATTCTTGTGCTTGATGCTGGGAAGGTTGTTGAATGGGGTGCTCCCAGGGAGCTTTTAGAGATTGAAGGGGGTGTTTTTAGGGGGTTGGTTGAGAAGAGTGGTGAGAAGGCAGCTGTGGAAAGGGTTATTCTTGGTGACAGGGTGAATAAGAATTGATGTAGGAGCATTTCAGCTGTTTAGCTAGCGGGCGTTATGATATTTGACGATGATAGTACGGCCGGGTGGTAATAGTGAGTGTCTTGCATTGCGAGTTTGAATGAAATTGTCCCCCCACTATATCGATTCACTAATCCATTCATACTGTTGTTTCGTGTCTTTGCAAGATATAAACAGACAATAGACTTTGTTCAGCAACGGTAAAGAATACAACAGCCAAGGATACATTGCTATATCATCCCTTCCCCCAAGGAACATGGAGCAGTCTCAGTTCACTCCAATCCAACATGCCAGCCCTAACCTACGAAGACCCATCCCACCGCACAATCCACCACATCTCCCAAACCCTCTCAGCCTCCGGCATCGGCTGCATCCTCTGGGACGAGCACCTCCTCCGCACATACGCCTGCAACATCACCTTCGCAGCAACAGACTACAAGTTCATCGTCGAAGACCACGACCTCATAACCGCCTACCGCGTCCTCCGCTGGTCCCCAGACTGCATCTACAACCCCTGCCCAGGCACCTATCCCTGCCCGGTACGTTATCTCGAAGATAAAGTCCAATTCGACCACGATGCACACCGAAGAGGGCCTCTCCCACCGCACAAACACAGCTCCCACATCCACCCCTTCCCCGAACTCCATTTACATATACGGGATGCTTCGAATAGCAATAACCCCTACCCTACTGTGCTCGCGCTCTATCGGAAATTGGACTTCTTTCCCACGCCGCTTGCGGGCGGTACCCCGCCGGATATCAAACCGGGATACTGGGGTAGGGCGACGAGTCTGGGACGGCTTATCTATGCGCATGAAGTCGGGCCACGACCTACGTCGTCTCGTGGGGGTAGATTCCCTGATTCCCTATGGGGTGTGCTTATCCCGTCTCCTATGTATCTGGTTGAGATTCTGATCGGGCTGGGGATACGCGATTGTCGCATCCCGGGTGCTCGGTCGATATGGACCCGGTGGCTGATGTATCTACGGGAAGCGTACGTAGAGCACGGGCGGGGCTTGGACGTGTGGGACGAGAGGGCTTTTCTTCCGGAGGTGTTGAGGCCTGTGTGGCGGTATGCGAGTGATAGTGAGATTTCGAGACTGCAGGAGCCGATTATGGGGGTTTGGAGGGATTTGGCGTGGACGCTTGTTGGGGTTGATGTTGAGCGGGCGAAGAGGACGGGGCATTTGGCGTTTCAGGATTGGATGGTTCGGCAGTGGGATAGGGAGACGGTAGTTAGTCTCCAGGACGATGGCGAGAGAGAGTACGGGGAGTGTGGTCAGTTTGAGGAGTATAGGAAGTACTTGGTAGTATACTATATAATTTGCGGATATATATATCCTCGATCAAGATTTTATACAGCAACAATCCTCTCATACAACGCACCCTGATCAATAGTACAACGACAACAATATCATATTTCTTCCATATTAGAATAAAAAAGTATAAAATAAAAAAATATTAATTAGTTAATGACTCACCACTGATGCCCCATGATCGATCGGGAGTTCGGGTGAGACCGGGTTCTTCCTATTTAAGCCGCATCTATACGCATCAAAATCCATCTTCCATAACAAATATTTAACCTAACATGACAAACGTTATTCAATCCAGGCCCTATCTCACGGGCGCCCTGTCTCTAATCACACTAGGCAGTATAGCAGCCTACCTGACCAAGCGACGCCTGAACACATCATGTCCTCGCGTCCCAATACACCAACTCCCAACATCAAGCGCATGTCGCAACCTTCTCGACACAGGAGAGGAGATCGCTAATCGCTCTCCAATTGGAATCGATAAGTCAGTTTTACTATCGACATGGCCCAGCACAGACCGCAAAACACACTGGGTCCCGCACTTCGTCGCACTACAAGTCGACATCCCAATTTCGCAACTAGAGAAATACGATGCCCGAAAATACGGTGTTGAAGGTGACAAGCCCAGCACTTATCAACTGAGCCAGAAACTCTTTGCTGCCTTTTTAGATGCACGGAGTCGCGGTCCCGAGGCGTGGGTCTTGGACGAACCCACGCCACCGTCTTTAACGCCGGGAAGTCTATTATTCGGAAAGGGGAACGATATCGGTGCGTTTATGCTAGGGAGTTGGAGCTCAATATCCAAAACTCCTCTAGAGTCCCAGAACCTCCCATCAGCAGGACCGAAGCCGGTCACCGAGTTCCCGTCAAACAAAGACGCCGTATTCAATTGCGACACCGATACAGCTGGCACGGTATTCTACTGGAGAGTCCCGACCGGCCTCATCAACGCCGTCAATAGTCCAGCCTCGTACGGCATCCCATGGCGGTTCATGGACGGCGGATTCCAGGAATTCATCGTGGAGCGGGGTCCGGATGACACGGCGAGGGTGTCGTATGTCACTATAGAATGTTCGAATCTGTATCCTGGCGGTCAAAGGAGGGACTTTAAGATGATGCCAAGGCTCTTATATGAGCTTCATGTATTATATGGGCAGATCTTGCTGTTCAAGACTCTGCGGCAGCTTGGGTAGGCTTGTTTTGATAGTTGAAGATAATCTCATCTCAGTATAATTCTGCCGATAAAATAGACCCACTGTGGTGGCACGAGAGAGCGAAGAGTATAGTAATCCTTAGCGAGTAGATAGATGCAGTTCGAAGTTTTGGGTAGAATATGTGCCCCTGTGGGCGAATGGCAATGCTCATTTTCACCTGTTGACACCCCATCTGTCACTAAGAGAGATCTTGTTCGAGTCCGGGCAAGGATTTCTTTTTGTTCCAATCAATTTTGGACTAGTGCAAGTAACCATATTCTAATTTTAAAACTCAAGGCATTATATTTTAATAATGACTTATTTTTGCGTAATTGTATACTGGCCAATGTGCTGCAATGTATAGACATAACCGACCCATATCTGGCAAGCCGTGAACTTCCAGCAATGCGTAAAATTGTCGACACTTGGTAAGGGCTATTGGAAACCGGTGCTGGAGCAGACGTGCTAATACAGCCAGTGAGTGGCCATATATTTGCAAGACCAGCCAGTCTGGGTCGATGTTTCCTGTCATACTGTGGACTTCCCGGATAAATATTAAATAACTGGGCTATGGACAATTGATTTACGGGAGCCAGACAGAATGCACAACTTCCCAGCGTGCACTTCCCTGGCCTTCCACCAGCAAAGGTTTCGGTATTTGCATTCAACAAGTCCATCGGTGTCAGCGATAGGTGGCGTGGAAGCAGTTCAAACATTGATTTGCCCCTGCACCGCCTCTGCCAAGGAGTGCCTGGCTCTCAGATCAAGTGAGTGGAGCTGATGCAAGAAGAGTTTGATAGACGACCTTGGCTGTTTGTTCTTTGATCGTTCTCCCGGGTGAATCAGCAAGATCAGTCGTCTCGAGTCAGTCCAGACTCGCAAGCCGATACGCCCTCGAGAAAGCCAGCTGCAGTCATCCATGCCTGAAGGAAGCGAGGGGCGTCTTACGAGTAGGGGATATTACTTTTTCTGTCATACTACGAGTGACCAGACGACTAGGATGCTCGTCCAGCGCGGCCAGTTGCCCGGGAATCCATGATCCATCCCCCTCGGGCACGCCGTCCGTGGGATGAGATCTCACCACTCATGGACGAGTCAAGCAAACGTTTCAGACGATGGTGCATGATTTGCGCATGGCAAGCAGGCCCACTGGACAGGCAACGCCGCTGAACAGGAAGCGATCATCAAGTTAGTGTGACGGACACGGGGGATGGACCAGAACATGCAAGGAAGCCGCGAGGTGCATGCGTCTCAGATTGTAGCGTGGCAGAGACGTCCCAACATGGAGACGACACGCGACTCGCCGAGCACGCAGAGATTGACTTCCAGAACACACGCCGAAGATGGGCTGCCACAAGAGCTCGTCTCAGCGCTGGCCAGACACCGATGCTGCTCCCACGTGCAGACATACTTGAATATGATGGAGGCTTGACGAAAACTCGACGTCTGGGCAAGAGGCAACGCCCCCACGTAATAATTTAAGAACTCGAGAGCTCTCAGAGTGAGAGAAAGTATGCGATCGGGTGCCCAGATGCCCAGGCTGTGCTAGCGGGACCTCATTGGCTGCCAAGACTCCTGGTCCGGCGTTTCTACGCTTGGCGGCAGTTCAGCCAATAAGGACCCGGGCAGGCAGAGAGCTGCTGGCCACAAGCTCAGGAACGTGCTCGTTGCGGCTGTTCGATTGGCTGCTGGCAGCTCTCGGCGCCAAGTCCGCTCCTCTGGAATATCAAACTCAGACTCGAGCCTTCGAGACCCTCCACGGTTGCCCCATGCGGCCGTCGAGCCAATGTCTGCGGCCGCAGCTGTCACGTTCTGCCCACTCGAGATGAACCCTCTTGGCATGCAACGTCTGGTGGTCATGGACGCCGCCGCGTGGTTGATCAGGGTTTCATACTTAACCACTCTCTGTCCGACCTGAGCTTCTTTCCTCAAGCAGCTCCTCAATTCTCTACCCACCCCAGTTGATCTCAAGTCCTACCAAGGCCACCGCTGTCATGGACGCTGGACAAGAACTTACTGGGCAAGCCCTCACGGCCAAGTATGACTGGATCCTGGCCCTCACCTCGATCGCCTTCGTGTTCAGTTGTGCTAGCAACGGTGCCAACGATGTCGCCAACTCGTACGCCACTTCGGTCGCAGCGCGCACCCTGAAGATGTGGCACGTCGGTATCATGGCCGCCTGCACCGAGTTCATCGGTGCTGTGGCCCTGGGTAGCCGGGTCACCGACACCATCAAGTCTGGCATCATCACCCCGGACCGTTTCGAAAATGCCGCCAACCCTGGGACCTTCATGCTTGCCATGGGCTGCGCTGAGGTGGGCTCTGGTGCCTGGCTGACTACGGCCACCTTCCTCGGATGGCCTGTCTCCACGACCCAGTCTATCGTCGGTGCATTGGTCGGTGTTGGCTTTGCTACCCAGGCCGATATCACCTGGGAGTGGACCAAGGGAAGTGTCTCTCAAACCGCCGCATCCTGGGGTATCGCCCCTGGCATTGCATGTGGCTTCTCTGCCATCATCTTCGGCACCCTCAAGTACAGCGTCCTCGAGCGCAGTGACCCGTTCAAGTGGGCGATGCGACTGATCCCCTTGTACATTGCCCTAACCGGTGGCGTCCTCGCCCTCTTCATCACCATCGAAGCCCCAACCGCCCCTGATATCGAAGAGTTCGGTGCGGGCAAGGCCGTTGGTATTATTCTCGGCTGCTTCTTCGGCTGTATGGCCGTCGGCTACGCCTTCTTCATCCCCTACTTCCACCGCCGCCTCGTCAAGATGGACTCCCGCATCCGCTTCTACCATCTCCCCCTCGGCCCCCTCCTCTGGATGGAAAACCCCCCCCTCTACCGTCCTTATCAAGGCGAATGGACCATCACAAACCACTACGAAGACGCCTACGGTAACGTCCAAGCTGGCTCCAAAGACAACAACAAACACGCCCCCGAGCACCCAGACGAAAAGAAGCCCAAGGACACCGACATCGAACGCGACCCTGAATCTGTCGCCTCCAGCCCCGAAATCCAGCCTAAGAAACACATCGTCGAACCCGAGGAGCGCTTCCTCGACCCCGTCCGCGACCTCTCCTGGGCTAACCCCCGCAAGTGGTGGGGATACCTCAAGTACGGCCTCCTGCAGGGTGTCACCCGCGATGTCATCACGCACGACTCCGCGCTCCTCCGCGACATCCACTCCCGCGCGAAACGCTACGACGACCGCATCGAACACATGTGGACATACTGCCAAGTTGTCTCGGCCATTATGATGTCCATCGCTCACGGTTCCAACGATGTCGCCAACGCCGTCGGACCCTGGGCTGGTTCGTACAACACTTTCCGCACGGGAGAGGTCAACACCGAGGCCGGTACCCCTGTCTGGTTCCTCGTCATCGCTGGTTTGTTGCTCGGTGCTGGCTTCTGGGTCTATGGATTCCATATCATGAGGGCGCTAGGAAACAAGATCACGCAGATGTCGCCAACGCGTGGGTTCTCGACGGAATTGGGTGCTGCCATTACCGTGCTGCTTGCCTCGAGGTTGGGATTGCCAGTTTCCACGACCCAGTGTTTGACCGGTTCGGCTGTCGGCGTTGCTCTGATGAATTATGATCTTGCCGCCATTAACTGGCGCCAGATTGCGTTTATCTTTTCCGGCTGGGTGTTGACTCTCCCTTGTGCTGGGTTGATTTCTGGCCTGCTTTGCTTGATGGCCTTGAACACGCCTCATTTTTAGGATACTTTCCTTTCTCTTTTTCTTTTCCTTTTTATTCTGTATAGGGTTGGATGAATGGTGCTGTTAGACTATACCCAAAAATAATTTGATGCTACATACTTGCATTCCTGACATTGTCATGGTCGACGAACCTCTTTACGTTAGACACCTAGTTCTTAATACTGCTATTATACCCTTAGATAAGACATTCTCTTCAGCATATCACTGCGCTCTCTTCCTAGTTGTTTCGTCGTTGGTTTCTCCCTTCGACTTCCTAAACAGTATATAGAGCTGTTTAAACCAGCTATTCACTTTTCTCAACACTGGTCAAGCCATTCCAATCAGTGTTACGTTGATTCCCTTCCCCTCCAGATGTGGCTTGTGACGTGTCAAACAGTAAGCAGAGCCATGCGAGGCTATGCACTGCACACCAAGCCTCCTTTTTCAGCCTTGCGCTCATTCGTATTCTTAATAACGTCGACCGTCCCACTCTTTCCCATCATCCACCTGGCCCAGCTAAGCCATCTCCGTCGCCATCATGGCCGAAGCATTTGGCGTTGCGGCCGGTGCTTTCAGCGTCGTCGCACTGGTGGGGCATATCATCCAAAGCATCGAAAAGCTTCGAGCGCTGCGAAGCTTTATCAAAACCATACCTGATGAGTTGCAAGGTTTGATTGATGATATTGAACTTGTCCAGGGCGTTTTGAAAACAACCACGCTGGATATGCTGCAGGTTGCCGATATTCCATCTATAGAGCGGCGATTGAATACCTTCCAAACTGATCTGGAAGGGCTTATATCCAATATCCAAAAATATCAGTCTTCTACTGGTCGACGGATGGGGGCTATTAAATTGTTTATGAAGAAGGAGGAGATTGTTGCCCAGAGGAGGAATTTGGAGAATATCAGGAATACATTAGGGTCACTGCAATGGACATACTGCTGGTTAGTGTAGTCACTTTCAAGGTTTCTTGCTTCTTTTGCAAACTTCTGGTTGGAGCCTTACGAGATATAGTATCGCCCTACGAGAATTAGGTCCGATAATACGCATGCAGAAGCCCGATGGAGGAAAAGGCGACACGGTACCCTACGAAGAGCCGGCCGAGAATAAACAGATATTCAGGCAGTAAGTAGTATCGAACACCATGCATGGGTGTCCATGCTAATCATGATAACCCGACAGTCGACATAAATCAAAGAATGCAGAATCACAAGCCGTAAAAAGAATCACCTGGGAATTACGATTTCGCACACCACTATTTGTTATTGACAAGATCTGGTCTCTACAGGCAAAGCGTTGCTACTCCGGCTGGAACTTCAACTTCCGAACACACAATGTTGTGCCTGGTGATGCACCAATACTCGATGCCTGTTGGGATGGCGACATTGAAGAAATACAGAGACTCTTTTCAGCTGGACTAGCGTCGGCGTATGATTGCGACATGGACGGGGTCAGTGGATTACAAGTAGGTTCTCCAGCATTATATCTAAATACTTGCTAATCGGACACAGTGTGCTGCTTTAAACCATAATCTTGAGGTTTGCCAGTTCCTTCTCGAGAATGGCGCAGATCCAGATCATGCGGACCGTTGGAACAAGTGTGTCTTTCCCATTGATGAATGTTTCTCTGCTGCTCACAAATGGCCAGCACTCCGCTCAATTACTTAAACGACCGCGCACCTGATTTGATCGAGAAGATTCCCCTAGCAATTGAATTATACCGACTTTTGATTAACGCTTCAGTTGACTCAGTGGATCCATTTGAAGACCTCAGAACTGAATACTCGAAATATTGGCTCGATGGATTCCGAGGCCCCTCCGAGGTCCTTGTCATGATGCAGCAGTACACCTTCGCAGACTACACCAGCCTCCCCCTCCAGACACGCTTCAATCGGACAATGGCTCTGAATAGCCTTTGTGCGACCCCCGATATATTGGAAATCGCTATGGGGGGGTCTATCGAGCCCGACTCATATCGCTTGAAAGATGAATATGATGATACTCTTCTCCACAAGTTGGCCGAATGTATGGGATCAGACCTGTCAAAGGATGAAAAGGATGCCACACATAAATGGCGACGACTGCTTCGAGATGCCATCGCTGCATCCGCCGATTTAAATAAACTGATAGAGCCCGATACCTACGGCAGAACACCGCTCGTCTCATTTTTGGATCACTTTATTTGGAACGGGAAAGCAATCAGACGAGCTCAGTATGACTTCAATCCTGCTCTTCGTACCTGGGTATCTGAGTTAAGGTCCGCCGGTGTTGATATGGAGGCCTACGGTGCAAAAGAGAGCGCTTTCGTCGAGGAATTTGGGTTAGGGTATAAAGCATATGTCGGGCCCCTTAGATCCAGGTCAATTATTTACAGATACAAAGATGAAGATTTATTTCTGTTTCATCTTTGGAAGCTTTCATATGGTCCTGAGCCTGAGGACTGGGCGGCCTGGGTAATGAACCCAATTGACGAGCTGGTGGGAGAATTCTGGGAGATGGTGGAAAGGGAGGAAGAAGTTATGCCTGGGACTTGGGTTGAGTGACATGTATTTCAATTTAAAGCGTGATTGCATAGCGTAGAAGGAGCATTTCTTAACCTATATATACCCTTTTGCTAGAATTCCATTCACTATACAATGTGAAGACTCTTTTTGCTATTCATATGTATACTTCCGGAAGCACCTCCAGGTAGGAATTTGGACATTAGTTTGCTCCAATTAGGAAATGTATGCATGGCGTTCAACCATCCAAAAGCAACCTCAACTTCCAGAAGAACTGGGTCAAATAAAAAAGCCCAGTCTGGCCATGCACAACCATCCAAGCTGGCTGTGCAACTTTTGAAGCACTTCCCAGAACCCGATATAGTCATCCTGGTCAGCAAGCCGAAGCAGTGTTTCATGGATGGTGTTGAGGTTAATAGTCAGCTGTTCCAGATTCGGCGTGAGATAGAGATAACTTCCAAATGATCTCGTTTCAATACTCGTGAAGCCTAGTGTCAATCTTTCTATAGCGTTGGGCGGTCTCGTCTCTTTGAGGTGGAGGCCTGATGTGACCACCCCGTGTGGAACAACGAGCTCTTTCAGCTTCGGGAGATATTGGTAATGGTTGTCGACGCCTATGCATTCGTCGCATTTCTCCGTGTGTGTTTCGCCGATAGTAAGGGTGTTTAGATTCTGGGATGCAAGTCGACGAGGGGCTGTGATTCCGTCATCATAGTTCGCCGTTGCATGCCGGAAAAGGCGTCGAATAAACTCGTCGAGCCATCTGTATTGTAAATGGGGGGCGGACTAGATTCGGACAATATGCTGCCACCAGTGCAGTTAGTGTTCTCATATATAGGTCGTAGAACTTGTCTCGATAACTAGTCGGGGACTGGATCTTGTCGGAGCTAGAACAGTCTTCGCCGACTAGCAAAAAGATCTGATATATGAAATGTTCGGAAATCTCTAGCCCTGCATCATCAAGTGCCGTCCGGGGCTAGGAGAGATTTTCTTCAGACAAAGTGGTAAGCTCCTCGTAAACGTCATCGTAGATATGTGGAGCAACCAAGTTTGGGTTCTCGTCTGTCAAAACAAGAAATCGCACATGCTTTGCAATCTCGGGATTATTGTACAGAGTTCGAAGGAAGCCCCAGAGGCCCTTAATCTGGGTTTCTTTACTGTGGAGCCTGTAGTGAGCGTATAGGAATGGCGTGTATGCTCGGTTCCAGTGCCGGTTGACAACGCATAGCTGATGGGGGACATTTCCGAAGAAATTCGGATCTGTTGGCGGGTCGCATTCTACCAGCTGGTAGAGGACCAGTCGAAGTATCTCTATAGGAAGCTGACCAGCAACAGAAGTGGTGACTTGAATGTATGCTTCATTGTAATCAGTGTCTGTGGTTTGGTTCATCTCGCTGGTGGACTCGTAAAGGACTGGGACAAGCAGCTGTACATCAATGAAAGAATTGGCCAGGGGCTCATATTTAAACAGTAACACCCAGTGAGTATAGTGAGTATTCACTATCCTACTCTTAATCACAACTACATTCACATAACCATTCACTCCATCAATCAAATCGTATACCGGAAGAAACTCGCATAATCCCCCCTCTCCCTCTCTGCCAGCCTCTCAGCCTCTGAATACTCCTCGGGGCGTTTATACTCTCGATCCCTCCTCGCATTCTCCCTCCGCAGGTAAATAGTCATGATGGTGCATAGCACCGTACTCATCGTCAGACATCCAATCAGGGTTCCATGCCCAACCCGATAATGCGGTTTATCCTGGGAGCGGTAGATGAAACTGGACAGTACACCACCTAGATTCCCGCATCCAACGTGCATCGCTATGCCGACACTGCGCTTGAAGGAGCCCCCGATGTTGTTCCCATTCCAGGCGACGCCTTGCGGGACATTTGGGTAGATTCCGGTGGCGGCGAAGAAGGTCCCTGCGTATTTGACACCGTTGTTTGAGGAGGAGATTAGCATTATAAAGCCGATTATCCTGCTAAGTCAGTAAATCAAGCCATTTCTTGGGGAGGAAGGAACGTACGCAACGACGTTGAAGAAAATCATCGACAGCCCACGCGAGCCCTGGCGATCTGCAAGAAATCCTCCACCGATACAGAAAACACAGGCAACAACGTATGGAGGGACCGTCATGAGTTGGGCCTTTTCATTCTCGTATCCCAGCGAGGAGACGATAGTCGGAAGGAACAGCGAGAAGGAGTAAAGTGGCGTGTAGATTCCCACGGTGATAAACATATGCACCCAGATCTTCCAGTCCTTCACGGCGTGCCAGAAATACTTCATGTCGTATTCGTCTGCGAGCGAGCTGCGGTCTTCTTCGAGTCGGCGCGCTACTTCGGCTTTTTCGGACGCTGTTAGGAACTTTGCTGTGTCGGGGTAGTCGTTCATTACCACGAAGGCGACAATAGCTGGTTGTATTAGCATTTCACTATCAACTGTATAAGCTGAGACGTACCAACGACAAAGGTAACGAGACCTTCAATAATAAAGATCCAGGCCCAGCCCCCTTTGCCACCGATGCCGTCCATCTCGCCAATACCTCGAGCGAGAAGACCACCGAATGCACCGGCGGCTGTGGCAGCGGAGAAGAATATCGCCATGCGAAGGCCGCATTCATGTCGTTTGTACCACATCGTTATACTGCCCTGTTAGTAACGGTGCCAAACAAGATAGAGAATACATACTAGAAGGTTACACCAGGGAAGAGACCACCCTCGGCAATACCCAACGCCGCTCGCGCACCTAGTAGACCGGCATAGTTATGCACCAGCCCCATGAGAGAGCATACAATGCCCCATGCAAGCATGATTGTAGGGATCCAGAGGGCTGGTCGAGAGCGCTTCATCATGATGTTCGAGGGGATCTCGGCTGCGACGTAGAAGGGGAAGAATATAGCAAGGGCGACCTAATACATTAGTACAGGGCGGTCACTATCTGGTGAACATACATTGTAGTCAAGTCCTGACATGCCCAGGTCATCTTCTAGTCCGGCAAGTCGTGCGTTTCCGATATTGGTGCGGTCCAGGAAGCTCAGTCTGAAAGGTCAGTCAAGATACCTGATAAGGGAAAAGATCATACAAATAGAGGAAGGCCAGCCATGGAATCAAGACAAAATCGATCTTTCTAATCAATTTCTTGGTGGCAGCTGCATCGTAGGAATTGGATCCGCTTTCGATCTCGCCGCTGCTTCCGCTGTCGACAATGACTTTCTTGTCGTCCATTTTGTTCGATTTTGACAGAAGTTATTGAAAGGATATGAAACATTCTCAACTGACGGGGTTCGACTTTTATAAGATCCACAGTCTTCCCCGCCTCCGCAATATCAACTCCGGACCCTACTGTCATACGGTGGATCTATCCAGCTGCACCTATTACAACCAGAGATCTGTCATCATCATCCAGTTATCCAGCCGTCCAGAACTTGGCGAGCTATGAATGGTTATCCTTAAGATTAGGCTCAAGGGAAGAACAGGAATGGCACCCTTGTTACCAAGACTGTGGACAACGGAATGCCTTCCTCCCATCCCCCAATCCCAGCAAATCACCACCACCATTTCTTCCAACCCAAGCCCGCCAAGCTCAAACATCCTCCCAGCGTCGCACGGCGTCCCGGATCCAAGAACCCAAAGCAGCCTGGCTGAACTCTCCTGCGCTGCTCCTAGCCAATTGAAGCCGGCCCGGCCGTTCTAGATACCCTTGGCGCCTGGCACGGCAATCTCGCCTGCCGTGGGGATGACGAGGCCAGGAGGATTACGCTGCAGGTATCGTTATCTCTGCTCAGCTGTGGCTTGCTTCTACGGTGTTGAGTGTGCGAAAGGGGGTATTCCCCCGTGCTGCTTCCTTTGCTCCAGTGGGGACCCCGGACGGAGGGATTTGGATGTGCTTGGCGCCGAGCTGGGCTTATATGGATTGGGCGGTGGTGTCAAGAAGTGTGGTTTTTGCTTTATCGTACCATACTCTGAGATCTGTGTGTTGAAACTGGTGACGGGATCAGATCTAGTTGGAGCGAAGTTACTCCAGTAGGCGGGGCTTGAAGTTGACGAACCGCTGTTGTAAATAGCACAAGAGCCTCTCCACCGCTACCCTCTTCTCGAGCCCATCTTTCTCATTGTCTCTTGGCAAGATGGTGACATCCTTGGCAGATCTGCGTTCTCTGGGGTTCGTGCTCTCTCTTTCCACCGAGAACTACACACGGGCACGGCCGAGAGTATCAACCACGGCCGACAAGTCTGCAACAACGGCCGAGAACTACACTTTATGTATAGAACGGATTCCAGATAAAGACTTCGCTGAAACTGTACCCTTTAATAACCTAGATCAGGATTTACAAATTTACCCGCATTGTTTGGATGTTTTCTGAACGTTTATTAGGCGCGTTCCAAGACTTCCAAGATCTAACCAAAAATGTCACTATATAGACACAAGCATATAATCCGAGACAGTATATACAGGGATAAAAGGGATAATACAAAAAAATGGCGAGTGGTATCATGAAGCACGCCAAGGCAACAGATCAACCCTTTGCCAGCAAAAGGGATAAAACATTCACTCTAGCACATAAAACACATAAAACACTTTTCATCGACATGACGCAATCGAAACACAGGCTTCATACGGGTCCTCGGTGTGCATTAAACGAGGCAAATCCTTGCGAAACTCGTGCATGAACTTGACGCAGTGGCCACCGCGGTACAGCAGGCCACGACAGGACACCTGCAGCGCGTATTGGAATAACTGCGGGTTCTCCGTGGAATTTTTAAACTTCTGCACCCTGTCTTCGACACGGGCGAGATAGTGCACGCAGTTCAGGCACTCCCCGGCCTCGTCTTCCGACATGATGGGGTCGGGTTTGGGCCGCGCGTTCATCAGAGCTGGGTCGGTTAGCGGTGTTGCTGGGCCAGGGGGGGAGCGGGCGTACCATAAATGGAAATTAGGAATATTACAGTGAGTAGGGAGATGGTGAGGGAGGGCAGTTTGAGTCTCATGGTGATGCTGGGGGGATTCAATCCAGACTCAAGACAGTCAGGGAGACGCGCCAGCTGGACTCACCTCCTGCTCTAACCACATCGGGCTAGTGTCTCTTATTAATAGATGGACCGTCTGTATAACCTCACTTTCGACAACTACGGAAATACGCAAATACCCGATAGGCTTATCTGTGGGAAAGTATTGAAAATGTTAAAAATGGAAAGAGGTGTCGGTCGCTCCTTCCGCGTCAGTTCTTCCCATCTATCAACACAACAGCCATCTCCCACTCACTCACTGTCACCCACTCACGATCACCAATTACTCAATTATCCAGCTACTCAGCTTCACCACGCTCTTTAATCATATTTTCATCATTAGTTCTGATAATCCAATCGACATATTTCCTCTGCCGTCTTACCATGTTGAGTACTCTGCAAGCAGAGCCCACGAAGAAGGTGCACTCCGGGTCAGATTCTACACGGGTTTGGCGCCTCACCTCTACAACGAATGGAACGACGAAGTCCAGCCTGTATTATGACCCGACGAATCTCGAAGATCTTGTGGAGGTCATTCGCCAGGTCCTCACTAACAACGGATCTCTCGACGAAGTGATCGAAGGACAGACCAACGAATCCCACAATAACCCAGAAACTGACAACAAAATTGACCCTGAACCTGCTCCTGAAGACAACCCAATAATACCCTCTGCTGTCGACTCTGCGTCCGATCCTCCTGGTGCTGATCTTGGAGACCCTGATGGTAACTCCGCCGACTCTCACTATATCCACAAACTAATTGTATCTAGACGACACCTTGGCCTACGTTCGGGTGCCGCACAGTCTTCTAGGGCTCTCTAGACAGCGTCTATCCCTAGACACAAAACCATTCCAAGTTTACGATGCAAAAGCCGGTCGTATCAAGTCTTCTGTTTTCCATGTGGAGAAGCACAACCCACCGAATTCTGGTATCACGAGCGATGTTCCTGACAGGACAGACCAGTCATCGGCAATTTCACCACGCACTCTAGAAGTATCCCCTCTTCGAAGGACTGCGTTGCTTCCCGATGGTGGCAGTATCCGGCCCACCAAAGACCCCGTCGTTTCCAGTGCGTCCGATTACAGCCGCAAATCGCAGTCACAAGGGTCGTCGCCTCCCACTTCTGTGGCCTCCATGGTCTCTGGTCAGGCAAAACCAGAACCAGGTACAACTCCTGGGTGTAGGGGTTCGAAAAAGAGGAAACAGCGACCAACAAATAAAGCAAAAGACGGCTCGTCCACATCGGCAAAGAAAGTGAAACTTGCGACGACTTTACTGGACCACGATCCAGTGCCCGATATACTCAGCGACAGTATATGGATTCGTCTTGGGTTTAGGAGACGACCCCAGTGTGACTTTATGGAGCCTTCGCCTGTGGCAGAAGCAAATCCGTTCGTCAACCACGAAGCAGTTCGTCATTTAAGAGACTTGTTGGATGGGAAGAGACCACCGTCAGACCTTTATGTTCCAAAGACCTCAGAAGAGAAACCACCAAAAACTATACGGAAGCCCGCGGTAGACAGTGTGCCAAATGGTTTGTCCAATGGCTTGCCAGAAGGCTACCATGAGGGCTTGCCAGTATCAATTCCTGACCAGTCCAACCCGCCGCCGTGGGAGAATGCCTTTTTGCCAGACAAGACAAACCCGCCAAAACCCCCAGCGCCGACAAAGGTATCCTCGTCGTCGAACCAGGACGTGTATGTTGACGCTCCGAGTGTAAAGCCACCGTCGTCATCGCCAGCGTGGGCGATAGAGCCGGATGATTCAGGGAGCAAGAAGGCGTATTTACCACCGGGGGCCTTTGCTCATCCTTTGTCTCCCACTCCGGATTCCGAGGCTAAAAAACATACTGTCCCTTTGTGTTCGAACTTCCTCGACCTTCCGAAAAACAATCTAAGCGTCAGGGGAATTGTGAGCTTAGGGAAGTGTTCGTTATGCGAACGTCCCCTAGATGAACTGCGGTATTCGCGCTGGGAGCAGGATGACGGGCCAGAGCACCAAGAAGACGGCCAGATGAATCGAAATCAAACGCAGACTACGCTGGCCGAGGCGGGAGGTCGAGGCCCGATATTCTGGTCACGACACCACAGATATGGCTATGATGACCCGGTGATCTCCAGCTGTGCAGGGTGTTCAGGCACTTGGCACAGACAATGTACTGAGCGCTATATGAAACTTCAGGGACCAGCTGGCAAGAAACTTGAATGCCCAGCATGTGGCGATCAGTGGCTTTGATTTTGCTGGTGTATGATTCTTTAGTTAGATGTTAGCTTATCGCTGTTACAAGTAGGTACAATTCATAATAGGCATTATTAATTGGCCAGGGTATACTCTCCTAGTAACAATTTAAGTTTATAATCTTCTGTGATCCCTGCACTGTCTCCGTGTCTGCCCCTCCATGCACAGCCTCAGTCTCACTCCTCCTTCAGCCCAGCTTATCCTCACTTCGAAGCAGTGTCAAAATGGCAAACGATCCCATCCTTATTGTCGGTGCAGGCATAATAGGCCTTACCCTCGGCCAAGCCCTGAAAAAGGTTCCCCCAGTTCCATCCAGTCCCATCCAACCCAACTAACCCCCACCGTCAGCGAAATATCCCATTCAAAATCTACGAACGAGACCCCTCCCTCGCAAGCCGCTCCCAAGGCTGGGCCATAACCCTCCACTGGGCCCTGCAATACCTCCCCGCCCTCCTCCCACCGGAGACCCTAAGCGCAATCGAAGACGGCCAGGTTGACCCAGAGGTTGCAAAGAACGACACGGGCAATTTCCTCTTCCTCGACCTCAGCACGGGGGATGTGAAATGGCGTATCCCGCCGAATAAACGGTGGCGGGTGAATCGTGAGAAACTGCGCAGAGCTCTTTCGTTGGGGATCGAGGAGCATGTCGAGTGGGGTGTTAGGGTTGAAGACGTTCACGTCACAAATAAGCTGGGAGCAGAAGGAGAAGGAGAAGCACGTCTTATCTACAGCAGACGCAGTCCAGATACAACTGCCCCTGGAGAACTATGCGGAACTGAACAAAGTCCCCCCGGAAAACTCATAATTGGCACCGAAGGCGCACGCTCCACGATCCGGCAGTTCCTCTGTCCGACGACATACAAGAATACCCGTCTCCCCGTGCGATTCACGGGGGTTATTACATCCTTCACAGCCGAGGAGATTGCACCACTGCGCGCAATGGATCCGCTACTCTTCCAGGGCTGTCATCCGGAAACGGGTGTATATTTGTGGTTTTCCATGCTTGATACACCGACAGAGGATGAGATTAGCAGTGGCAGTGGTAGATACAAAGTGCAACTCGGCATCTCCTGGCATGTTAAATCCCCTAACGATGAAGTCCCGTCGTCAAATGCAGATAGGTTGGCGAATATGAAGCGCCGGGCTGAAGAGTTCGTTCCGTTCCTGTATGACACTATCCAGCGTATACCGGAGGGCACGGAGGTTGTGGAGGTTACCCTGGCAGATTGGGGGTGCCCGGTCTGGGATAATAGGGAGGGTAGGGTTACACTTGCTGGGGATGCGGCGCATGCGATGACTATGTGTATGTCCCCCATCCTTTTTTAAGATCTTAGGTTTGTTTTCTGTGGATGCTAACTGGTATAGATCGCGGGGAGGCGTGCAACCATGGTATTCTCGATGCAGTGCACCTTGTTGAAGCTATTGAGAAGGTCTATGCTGGCAAAAATTCCAAAGATGCAATAGATGAGTACGAAGCTGAAATGCGAGAGCGGGCACAGGCCGCTGTGTTGCTGAGTCGACAGGCTTGTCTGGATGCTCACGATTGGGAATCGCTTAATGAGAATTCGGCGATTTTGAAGAGGAGGGCGCTTAAATAGATATACTGCCTCTTTAACTATCTATCTACAACTGGTGAATAGATATACAATAAATGAAAGTCAAATGCATAAGAAGGGAAGTGAACACAGGAAAGATATAACCAAAGAATGAACGTCGAGACACCAATTAATGTTGCTATCATCGGCGACGACAATAAAACAGAACTAGGAACAGTCTAAAGAAGAGCACCTAGGACGGCAGCAACAACACCAGCACCACCAACTTGGAGACGACCAGCTCCAGAGCTGCCAGTCTCACTCGCCGCAGAGCCAGACCCAGTAGCAGTAACAGTGCCCGTACCCGCAGTACCAGCCTGGCTCATCATCGAGCTACAGGTGCCAGTAGGCTGGGTAGTTGAAGTCGTACTCGCCGACCCACTAAAGTCACAAGCCGACGCAGCGCCCTGCTCGCTGTAATACTTGTTCAGTGCCCAGTTAAGCTGCTGCTTGGGCTGGCACATCCCGTACGCGCCATAGGAGCCCGTGGTGCCGTTCGCAGAGACACCGGTGCACTCAGTCATCCCGCAGACGACGGAGAAGAGGTCTGCGTAGTCGGTGGCCTTGACGGAGGAGTCGACCACGCAGGCGTTTGCGGCGTCCATGCAGCTGCACAGGTCTGTGTTTGGGGTTGGAGGGAGCGGGGAGGCGGTTGCAAGCCAGGTTCCGGAACTCACAGGGGGACAGGATTGTAGGGCTGTGTTTGTTGGTGTGTATGAGGCCTTGTTTGTTCCGGTTGCTGAGACAGCGTTGATCTGGCTGGAGTAGTAGCTGTAGTCGGCGAGCTTGGAGACGCTGGTGCTGTCGACGACGGAGACGAGACCTATCTCGTTAGCATATCATCATAAACAGTGTAGAGAGAGAGTACCATAGTCATTCGCCTCCTGGAAGTACATATAAACAATACCCCCAGACCAGACATCATTCATCTGAGTACCAAACAACGCATCAATCTCGGTGAACTTCCTGGGCGTAACATCATTGCATCCATACTCCGCAAAGAAGACAGGAACCGAATAATCCTGAAACTCCTCTGTGCGATCCTTATAACCACTCGCCGAGTAACTACTATCCCCACACCAGGAATAGATGTTATACCCCCAGAAATCAATCCCATCCTCTTCATCACCACAGTTAAAGTAATCCGCCATGGCCTCGCGGATGCTCTTATCGTCGTTCGTCGCATAGCCCACACCCAGACCAGAGCGGTAGTTCTTACTCTTGATATAAGCCTTCATGTCCCGCACTGCAGCCTTAACAAAGGCACTCGCGTCCGTCGTCGCAACCGTGTTCGACACTTCATTGCCCGCAAAGAACCCCAGCGTGTTCGTATACCCGGCCATCTCATCAATGACGCTCGTGTACCGCGTATAAAGCGCCGTTTCCCAACGCGGATCATTGCGGTTGATGCTGTCCGATGGGTCCGAGAGATCGGCGATCACGTAGATCCCTGCGTCGGCGAGCAGCGACATGCACTCCTTGTGGTCGGCTGTTGGGTCGATGGCGTACACGCGGATGGTGTTGGTGTTTAGGTCTTGCAGGATGGGCACGTCGCGCTTGCACGCGGTTGAGTCGGACAGCGGGTCTTTGTAGTCTGTGTCTGAGCTGGACGACGTGCTGTTTGCCGAGTAGTCCTCTGCTAGGGTTAGTGCTGTATATCGAGTGGGTTGGGTTGATTGTGGGCGTACGTTGGTATGCGACGCCGCGGATGTAGCTGGTCTCTGTTAGTAGTGATCTAGCATGTCAGGTTGATGGGATTACAATTGAGTGTTGTTGCTGGAGTAGAAAAATTTAGAGCCCTACAGGCATCAGTATAGACCTTCATAGAGTATCCGTCATCAGTACCTTGATAACAATAGGGTCGACATCGGCCACAGCCTGGCCAACAAGGCCCGCGGCAGCAGCAGCGAGCGCGAGCTTCATGTTGTTATTTCTAACGAGCGACAGTGTTTAGACTAATTAAGCATCTCTCTAGCAAATCCAGGCAGGCAGAAAATACACATATATACCGTATAATATAAAGCGCCGCTGACGCGTCCCGACCACATGCCACAACGGCAATTAAAACCGAGTGGGCCAATTCAGCAATCTCCGAGGACTCTATTTCTGGATCATATCATGTAAAAGACAGTATTAGAACTGGAGTGGACTGGTCTGGAGTCTGGAACTAAGACTAGGACTAGGACTAGGGTGGATTAAACTAAGCCACCCGTAAAACCGAGCGATATAACGCGCCAAACAGAAAGCAGAAGCTGAGGGAAAGGACAGTCTAGTGGAACCGCAAAATAAATAGCATGTAGGTAAATCGGAGTTTAAGACGGCTCCACAGCTTTTTATCAAATTCAAAACCTTCAGTTATCATTCATTTCGGAAATCATGCGAGACGCTGGGACGATACGCTGGGGCCGTCGTGCGTTGATGGCGGCCTCGAAGCCGCGGATGGTGTCCAGGGGACGCTCCAGTCGGGGACGAGTTGGGTTCGACCGGTCTGGGTCGCCTTATTCAGTCCGTCAGCATGGATCAGGAACATCGTGGAGGGAAGCACATACTTATCACCTTGCCTTGTCGGTCGAGGTGCTGAATACCGCCGAGCGACACGGACGGGGCTGTCGGCGGTTAGGAGTTATTCCACTGTTTCAGAGACCACTCAGGGGACATACCGAGCTCGTCGGACTTTCCGGAAATCGAGTTCGGGGAAGTCTTTGTGTTGTCGCTCTGGCTGGACCCAGACGACGCTAGAGAAGGCGGCATTTTGTCGGTGGACTGTAATCTGTCACAGCAGGTGTCTTCTCTGTTGTCTCTTGTCTGAAATCTGGACGGCCATCGCAACGAGCATAAGCCAGCAGGATATAAGTCCGGCGCTCACGACCACCTTCTGATCGCGACATGGCAGGCCGTCTGCATCGGGAGCGATCCGTGCGTCTGACGCGGCCGGAACAGGCACAAGCAGTGTCCGTTGGTTCGTTTCGGCCGGCGAGCGCCAAGCTTCGACTAATGCAGCGACAAGAGGCTTAGCCGGCGGTTTGTGCCCAATGACGAATATCATCTGGGTCACCGCCGCGCAAGCCATTATGACCGAGTCAGAACCAAATGCAACCATTATGGCTAGTCTAGGCAGCCATATTCAACATGGATCGGCAGTCGGCGTTGTCGCACCGGTGATTGTTGGCCATCCGGATTGGGGGGTCGGACGCACACGGACGAATACGCGGCTGGAATGTGCAGGTGGCAGGTTGACAGCACCGGAAATGGAAATTGCCACAACAAGGAGATACCAGAGAGTGAGACTTAACATCATTTTGACACAAATGTCACCACAATTGTGCCCTGTTGCCCCGACCGTTGTGGATGGTGGCGTGTTGCGATGATGTTGGGGCATCCCCACCCGTCAGGAAATCATTACCGGGCAGTCAACCTATTGACATTCACCTGTTTGCTTGTTCGAAATCGCAAGCGTCCCCATCGACATCGAAATACGATCCAGCCAGTCCAGCGGCCGATCGTCTCCTGCGAATGGGCCTTCGATTGTGGCGTTTGGTACCGGAATGCGGCCCCAAGCACCTCCGTCTTCGCTGCGACCGGCAACGCCAATGCGCTTCTTATCTGCCTCCAGCAACACGACAAGCTGGTCAAGCAGCGCGACACCAGCACTCAACCCTTGAAGACACCGGCTGACGACAGCCCGCACGTGCGCAACCTCCCGTCGTCCACCGGGGTCACTCTTCTTCTCCTCCATCTCACTCGCCTCGTGCTCCCCAGACGCCGACGCAAGCTGGTGCTGTAGGTTTCGCTGAATCTCGCGGCTCCTCTGGATCCGCTCAACAAGCTCCTCTCTCGACACATCACCGGCGCCTTTTTTGCCCTCAATGATAGCCGTGGCATCTGCCCAAAACCCCGGCCCCAGGCTTATCTCATTAAACACCAAATCCAGAACCCGTCCAATCCAACTCCCCTTCCCAGCCCGAAACTCAAGTGCACTCGCCTCCTCATTCGCCTCGCGCCAGTCATCTCCACCAAGGAACGAGGGCTGTCGACGCACAAACGCATCGGCCAGCAAAAACGACCGGATAGTCACCAACATCGTCCTCGCAAACCCAGCTGCATGGGCCCTCGCACCCCGCAGCTTCACCAATCCGCCAATGCCCCCACTATGAACGAGCCACGAGTGTGGTGTCAGCGGATCCAGCATCTCGAACACGCCGAGCATAACTGCTGTTGCTAGCGTAACATCCGCTGTCCTCGTTTTCTGGTTCGCAACTAAGCGCGCCAGAGAGCGCAGTGCGCCGCCGTATGCGTAGCGGCTGTGGTCGATTATGGACGGGTCCCCGTGTTTCACGCCTAGGTACCACAGGTTCAGCACGCGCATTGCGCACTCGACCGGCTCAGTTTGCGCGAGCTGGTGGTGGCGGATGAACTCGAGCCAGTTTGGGTCGAGGCGGGGTGCGAAGTGGGTGAAGGTTAGCGGGAAGGTAGTCATGATCACGTATTCGAAGACTTCTTTGGCTTGTAGGTCGAGCGCTTTGCGGGTGAGATTGGGCGCGAGCGATGAGTCGATTGGTATGCTTGCGCGGGAGCGGGCTCGGACCAGGGAGGTAGAGGACGAGGACGAACTGGAGGACGGCTCTGCTTTATCGGGGTTTACAAATGCTCGCGCGTCGATGAAGTCGCTCGTACTGGGGGTTCGGTTGTAGAACTTCAGGACCCTGCGGTAGCCCGGGCAGCGGACCCCGCGTGTTTGACAGCGGACGCATTCTGGGTGGGTGCGATCACACTAACTGGTCAGTACGGACGAGAATTTCTTCGACAGCCGGGGACGAGAGAGTCAGGGCGAGAAAGGAGGAGTTGAAGAGCTCACTTTGACGCGACGCTGGAGACACTCGCGACAGCTGCTGCTGCGCGGGATGCCAACCATCGGGTGTGGAACCGCTGGACAGGATGGAGTCGTGAAGGTACGTAACAAGTAACAACAGGTCCCAAAAGTCCGGGGAATTGAGTCAGGGATGAACCATGGCGTGAGACCCCGCTGGACAGGAGCGAGGGGTGGAAGAAGCCAGAGTCAGCCTCTGAACACGAGGCCGCTGATCGACTCGCCAAGCCCGCCTCGTCCAACAGGCATCAACTTCAGCTTGGACGTAGTATACACCATGCTGGTAGGGTGTGTTTCTAGAGTAGAGGGGTAATGATGTAACCTGTGCACTCCTTGCAGCGGCCATCCAAGCACAGTGGACGAGGAAAGTGCTCAGTATGCTACACGAGTCATAACTCGTTCCTCACGCCAGCGGCCATTTTTCCTTTTTCCTTCGTCCTTTTTTTTTTCTTTTGCAGAGAGCGCCCGAGGGTCCTTCTCGAACAGGAAAGAGCTTAAGCGCCCGGCGATCAGACGGTCAGTCAGGCCAGCGTCGTTCGCCGTTCGCTGTTCGCTGTCAGAGCACTGCTTCTCCGCGTATCGAACATTCGAATCACAATCCCCGCCGAGTTCCCGTCTTAATTAGGCTAGCTAAGGATACGTCAAGCGCTGTCGAGCCGAGGATGGGAGTGGTACTTTGGCAGCATCCGAAACGGTCGTGGTGCATTAGTCCAGCTCGCGGCGGTCGCGGCAATCAAGATGACACCAGTAACTAATCTAGATTTATCCAGAGTTCAGAGTTAGCTGTGTGATAGAAGAGTTTCGCAGAGTCTCAGGGAAAAGGTACCGAAGTTTATCAAGTGGTCGAAGTACTTCTGTTGGGTCTCTGGGTCAATCTCCCGCGCGATCGTCGCAGTGCATTCCACGTTGATTGCGGAGGCGTCGGCGATAATTCTGGATGTTTCGAGGGTCAGGGATCGCATGAGCATGCGGAGAGCAGAGAGATGTGACGAGTCACTCCGGCTCGACTGGAATTTGAATGCACGAATTTGTTGCTCTCAGTTGTAAGGAGGAGAGTTGCACAACGGGTGACGGTCGATCAGTTGACTGACAGGTGGGCTCTGCTGCAGATTCTCCATCTTCTCAACACTTAATCCAGCAATAACGCTCACCATCCAAAACGGCGCAGTCAACGTGCATTCGGGGACCAACTCGAATGGACTAGACTCTGTCCCTAACGGCCGGCCTGCATGGACTGATACCGGGACTTAAGTCTTTGTTCTTCTTCCCTGCTCTCTTCTCCTCCCCACACCCTTTCATCAACACCACGGCATTGATTGTCTTCTCTAAACTCTCATTGTTTATCGCTGTTTGCTCATCAGATCCAAATGGGGGACCAACACGTCGAACCTGATACTCAGCACATTGAGCCTGATGTGCGTTCACCTATCGCGTGGCGCTTCCCTCGCTAACACAACACAGACCTTCAGCGACAAAGATTCCAGCTACCAGGGATCGTGAGTGCTGCAGTCCATCGGCTGACCATTGCTGACTCTCGCAGGTTGGGCGATGCCAGTTACACAACCAGTATCACCTCGAGTGCGATGAACTACACGTTTGTCTTCCCCTTCTCTTGCCACTAACGGTGCTGACGGCTCCAGTTATGAGGTACTTTTGCACGATTGACCACCTAAACATTCGCTAAATCCTCCAGAACGGCCGCCGATACCATTCATACCATGAGGGAGAATACGTCCTGGTATGCACCTTGTCGCCTAGCCAAATACCCGACTGACAGACCAGCCCAACGATGAACAAGAACAAGACCGACTTGACCTGGTCAGTGTGCCATCGATTACCGTGAGCGAAATTAACAACAGCAGAGCCACCACATCTATCGCGTGCTATTGAAAGGCGAACTCACCCGTGCACCCATCAAGAACCCCTCGCGCGTGCTGGATATCGGAACAGGAACGGGAATCTGGGCGATTGACTTTGCAGAGTGAGACCTTGTTGCCATTGGGAAGTCCTTGCTAACACGCTGTAGTGAGCACCCCGCGTCAGAAGTTATCGGAAATGACCTCAGCCCTATCCAGCCCTCGTGGTACGCTTGACAATTCTGCAATATAATGCATACTGACAACATGTACAGGATACCCCCCAATTGCCGTTTCGAGGTCGACGACTTCGAGCAAGTCTGGTCCTACAGCCAACCCTTTGATTTCATCCACGGCCGCGAGCTCGAAGGCTTCATCCGCGACCACGACCACGTATTCCGCGAGGCCTTTCGCAACCTGAAGCCAGGAGGCTACTTTGAGATTTGCTCTATGGCCGTCAACGTATTCTCCGACGACGGCACACACCTCAACGCTCCAAACCTGATGGAGGGCGTCAAGAACATCCACCTGGCTTCGGAGAAGTTCGGCAAGGACATGAATACGGCATCTACGTGGAAGGGACGGTTGGAGCGGGCAGGATTCGCCAATGTCGTGGCCGAGAATTACAAGGTATTACACACTGACCCATGAGCCACGATGCATACGTTAACAAGACAACCATAGCTCCCGCAAAGCCCCTGGGCCAAGGACCCCAAAATGAAAGAACTCGGTCGCTACCACCAAGTCAATGTATTCGAGGCGCTCCAGCCATACTGCTCCGCACTGTTCACTCGAGTTCTCGGCTGGGAGCACGCCGAGGTAGAGAAGCTGGTTGCAGGTATGCGCAAAGAGCTGAAGGACTTGTCGATCCACCCGTACACCAATGTAAGTATTGTTTATGGGCAGAAGCCGTTGGATACGACAGCCTGATGGTGGTTGCAATCAGTGACTAGTGGGATGAAATTTAAGCGATTTCAGAAATACCAGTTATTCATAGCTTAGCAGTAATGATAGATGCGGCGTTGTTTGTTATCATCTTGCAAGGTGGCATCCACCTAGTGACAACAATATACCTAGTACAAGTCACAAGTACAAGGAAAGAGGACGTGTCTCGTGACCCAGTACCTCTGTTTCATTTTGCTTTATTTCTGTTAAATCTCCTTCGCTTTTTGGTCTACATTCCCAATGAGATCCTTAACTGTAATCCGTTCTCCTTACTGAGAGCAGTCGTGTCTATTAGAACATGATGTCAAATTTTCCAGCGTCTTTCATCAATTGGCAAGGTGGCCGAGCGGTCTAAGGCGCGCGGTTAAGGCTTCCTAACTCGGATCCCCTCTCTTGATCTCATCAAGTTTCCGCGTCATTAATTTGGCGTGGGTTCGAATCCCACCCTTGTCATTCTTTTTTTAGTTTTTCTTGTTATTTTTCATAATTCGAGTTGATGGGCTTGTGGTATTTTTTGATCAGTTCTGGTTGTTTGTATTTTCAACGTTTATTTATTTCTCTTATTTCAATATGTATTTGGACAGTTAGACTGTTTTGCGGGGTTTTGTTCTTGTTCGATTGACGCGTGAATATATATATATTTATAACTCGAACTACTCTTAAATAGCTCCACAGCATACTCTCTCCCTCCCATTATTAGCATATCGAAGTGGCAGCATGTTATCATTCGACATTACAAAACCCCTCGAGGTTTCGGGCTGCCTTTCCACTGCATTATATGCAATTTAGCAGATATCTCCATTCTTCGACGTATCCCATGGCTTAGGGCTGATGTCCGCTCCTCGCTTACTCTGACGCCGTATCAAGCGTCGAATAGAATCTTTGATTCTCGATGATACATCGACGCAGACCTCGTATTCAGATGTCTAATCCCTGCAACAGATGCAGCTGCGTGCTTGAGTGCGTGTGCTGCGCTGTCAAACCTGTTTTGTACCCGGGGTAATGCCCTGGCAATGCAAGGGTGATCGAGGCAGCCGTTCAGGTCTCTGCATCGTCTCAACAGTCACGCCGAGCAAGGTCTTGGTTCCTCGTATTCTTGATGATCCTGCTCCACCCTCCGAGAATTTATTGTTGCTCGTAATTCATTTCATCATGTTGATGTTGCCAGCCAACCACGAGGAACTGCAAGGCATCTCAACCTCAAACGAGATGACTGATATCACCCTGACTCGTCGAAGAGATCCAATCTTGGAGCTGAGAGATGTGATTGCAAGATGCAAACCCCGAGTGGACTGGCGGTGAATCAGAATGCCATCTCATATGCAGTGGAACAAACAGTGATCCACACATGTGCATGATCAGATTCAGCATCTCCCCGAGCTTTCCGGCCCCTCCACCTGTTCCCTGCTTCAATTTTTGTTCCATGAATCCCCCCTCGGAAAGTTAATTTGCAAATGAAACAATCTTCGCCATATTCATACTAATAATCGCCCTGAAAGAAAGAGTGCAGAAGCATGGCAATTATCCGCCCAAGACACACCGTCGAGGCACCCGCAACAAACCTCCTCTCGTATATATTCGACTCACCATACAAGAACGAAGATGAAGGCGCGTGGCCGGATTCAGAACCTCTCCTGGTCCCTGCATCATCAAAGCAAGAAACTGGCAGAATCTCAGGATACACAATAACCCAGCTCGCGTCCCTGACCAAACGCATTGGCAACGGCCTGCACCAGCTCGAAACATCAGGGAAACGCGCAATGGTCTACGGCGATGCGAATTTCCATTTCCCGCTTGCTGTATTAGGCGTTATTGCCTCCGGCGCAGCATGCAATGTCCTCCCGCCCTGTCCGGTGTATTATCTGGTTGAGCGGTTGCGGCAGTTAGAATGCGACACCGTCCTTTTCGCACCGGGGGATATTGACACTGTCTACGCGGCAGCAAAAGAACTCGGAATTCCGACAGAGAGACTGTTCGTCGTCGACGAAGCACTTACCGGAAATGGGAACTATGGCATTGATCGCGTCAGACACTGGAGCTATCTCCTCGATACACCGGGAGGAGATACATACAAATGGCCCAATCTCTCACCCAGCGAGTCAAAATCAACCACAGCCCTGCTGCTGTTTACATCTGGGTACACCCCCCACCCTAAGCCCCAGTCTCTGAAAGTTTATCTGAAACTGTTAATACTGATAGGCCAGGCTGTAGAACAACAGGCGCCTCCAAACTCGCCGAGCGCTCGCACTACGCTCTCATCGGCAACATCCTCGCGACGCTTCACCACTACACGCTCCGCCCACGCCTGCGCGAGATAATCTTCTGCAACTATAAATTCTGCGGTATGGGCTTCCTCACCCTCGGGTTGCTGATTCCGCTGAAGGCGCGGTACAAGTGCGTCTTCCCCTTTCCTCTGGAGCCTGGTGCGGGTGCGCAGAGCTTCGTTGAGTCGATTAAACGGTGGAAACCGAGCTGGGTCATGGCGCCGAAGCATCTCATGCGGGAGACTTTGGCGATGCAGGACGTCACTAGGGAGGATCTGGCGAGTGTACATCATGTTCTTACCGGCGGGGCGATTATCCCTTGGGAGCTTGTGGCTGAATGGCAGGGAAGGTTTGGAAGCCAGGTGCAGAGTACATATGGGATGACGGAGTATGTGAAACCTAGTCTTGTGATTGACTTTGTGAGATTCTAATATACAGAACAGAGCTGGTTTCTACACCATCCCTGATCCGACGATGCCAGTTGAGGACGCCACGACGGGGGTTTTGTTACCAAGCGTGGAAGCCAAGATCGTTGACGAGGAGGGTAATGTACTGCCCCGGAATGAGAAAGGGAATGTTTACACCCGGACTCCGTTTGTCATGGAGGGGTACCTTAATGATCCAGTGAATACGGCGCAGACCATCATGGAGGATGGATGGGTTAGGACCGGGGATATTGGGTGGGCTGACGAGGAGGGAAGATTCTATATTGTTGGCCGGCGGAAGGCATGTCTCATAATTGAGTGTAGCCTTGTGCGATATAATACTGACAGGACTAGGACCTCTTCAAAATCAAAGGCAACAATGTCACCGCAGCCGAGATTGAGACGGCGATATTGCGGAATCAAGAGATTAAGGATGTGGCTGTTATCCCCGTCGTTCTGTAAGACAGACTCTTCTCTACCCGGCCCAGCAACTAATATAAACGTTTCATCAAGACCCGGAGACGAAGAACCAGCTCCACGGGGCTACATTGTCAAGAAAGAGCATTCAAAATTAACAGCAGACGAACTAATATTATGGATGCAGCGGGAACTGCCTCCACGCATGCAACTAGTCGCAGGGGCTGCATTCATTGATACGATTCCCATCTCCAGCGTGAGTTGCAATGCTTCCTCAGATGGAATGCTACTGACAGCTGCTTAGGTCGGGAATAGCAAGGTTGACCGCCAGAAACTGTGTGATCTTGCAGCGAGCGAGATGCAGAATTGAGTTAAGCGTTGGGATATGGGCAAATACCGGCAGGGCAATAATCTACTGTGTACGGCCTTGCCTGAGCCAGGGGTTAGCCGAATATCCATTCGTCCGGACGAAGTGGTCATCCTGGGATGGCATCGAGTCACCGACCCCTTGTCCCTGCTGGCACCCCTGGGATGAAGTAGTCTAAGTCTTGTTAGACTCAGCGGAGGCGAGTCGACCGCACAGTTCTCTCCACAACTGTCAGGTTGTATTGACGGTTCTGGATCGACGTCGACTCGGATACATCCGCGGCATAATGGTCGAGCGTATCCAGATTGAAGGGCATACGTCGCCTATATAAGTATCCTGTGATGCTTCACCGAACCCTAGGCTGCTCAGCAACCAACATAACAATTATCAAGAATAAACAGGCACAAACAACCAACTCCTACCGAAGAAACCGAGGCAGTCACCGCTAGACTGCGAGGCTGCTAGTGGTCCCAGTAATAGTGGAGAAATAGACAGGGCTGTTTCAGCCAAATTGAAGGATTCCGCTAATATCCACTGTGGGGAGAAAATTCGGCACTTTGCCTTCACATGCACAAATATCGGAGACCAAGGAATAAAGGATTTAGAGTTACTTGAATCGGTCTCAATGGATTGGTCTCGTCGCTATCGTGGTGTTGACTGCAGTAACGACAGTAGATTGCGTGTGGATACAGCATATACAAGTCAAAGACAAAGTCAACCTCAAAGTCAAAGTAAAGTAGACTCATGAAACGTATTATATTAGATTAGATTGATTATACGTGCCCCCTCCCATTCGGCGACCAGGCATCCGACCTGGTCTGCGTCACCTCAAATGTCCGATGAATCCCCCCCATCCCCTGCTCAGCACTCGACCTCCCTGCCCCTATTAGCGAATGCGTCCTACTCTGCCCCCTCTGCTGCTGCTGATGCTGCTGCTCCGACGTGAGCCTCTCCTCGCTGCTATTATCGCTATCCCCGCGCCACCGCGTTCCCAAACCCGTATCCACATCGCCGTCTTCATCCGAATCCCGCCTCGTCTGGATAGTCGTCACCGTCGTCGCCAGCTTATCCGGGCGCAGACGATCAGCGCCCGCATCATCCAGCGAGCCCAGCGGGAACGGCCGCTCGTGGTTCGAGATTCCTAGCCCGCCGGGTCGTCGGGACCCAGAGCGTGCAGAGCGCCCGGGGAAGGGAGACTGGTTGTAGCTGGGGTCGTTTGTAGAGCCCATCCAGTGTCTGAGCAGAGGGCGTAGGGTTGCGAGACTTCCGGCTGTGATACCGAGGCCGGCTTCGATGTTGGACCAGATGGCGATTTCGACGGTTGCGTCTGCACTTGTTAGCTTTACGATATCAAATGGTTACAGTAAACGTACAGAGGAAATCAGGGTCGCGGAATGTTTTCACGAATGGAATACGGACGATGACGGCGGAGGAGGCACTATAAAATTAGTTAAACAAAATACCAGGGAGAAGAGAAGAGAGACATACATGCAGGCCATGCCCAGGATACCAACAACAGCAAATTTGGTATTCTTGCGCATATGCAGCTTGCGCACGATGAAGATGGGCAGAATGCCAACCGTAAAGTCCGTCAGCGCCGCAATGGCACTGTAGACGTAGGTCATTGTAATGACAATCTCAATGCTGATGCAGGTGCCCTTGATATTCGGGTCCATGGCAGTGCGCGTCCAGAAGTACTCGAGCGGCTTGCACTGCAGCAGCATGATGAACATAAAGAGCAGGCCGGTCAGCACGGTGAGGGCCATCACGGTCGAGAGGATCCAGATATGAAGGCGCTTGACGGTGATGCGCATCAGGAAGATGCAGACGGAGATTTTGCATCCGATAGAGGCGAAGCAGTAGGCGATTTCACACAGCCACCAGTACTGGATTCATTAGTTTATTGTGAGATATAGATTGATACAGATTCAAGTACCTCCATCGCTGTTACGCGCTGATGGGCCGTGAGCGCGGCGAATCTGTGCCCTGTCCCGTACCGGGCGCCCCCGATCATGCACCCAGAAAACATCAGATAGCATATCTAGATAGAGATATTAGCATCCGGATGTTCCGGTTTTAACAGAGCTAAGCCTACCATTGCAATGACCATCGTTGCATCATCCCACCCAAAGGCCTTGATGAGGAAGCCCCGAACATAAATACGCAGCAGGACAGCCACGCAGGCGATAGACATAAAGACAGACGCGACCGCCGTGACAGCCGTCGCCCGACGGGCACCATCGCTATCGTCCATTCTGTCGACAGCGGGAGTTCATGTCATGACAGGACGAAGACCCCGGGAGGCGGCGGATGGATCCTATATAACGGCGTGCAAACCGCAACGGCGTTAAGTGTCAAATCTTAAATGCCCAGAAGCAGCGCTCCGAGGAAAATAGCAAAACCTAATAGCAGATGAACCACTCGATAGCCCTGGCAGTGTTGCCGGATGCAGTTTAAAGCGAGAGAAAGCGGTGGTGATCGCGGTAATGACACGGCACAGTCACCACAGTGGCTGCCCCAGAAGCAGGTTTCTTCGGGGATTATTATTGGCAACAGACGCTGATAGACTCGTGCTGCCCCAGATGTTCCATTCTTCAGGCAAATGTCCTGTGGATCGCACCGGTCGTTGCCAGCCCTGATTAGCCTGCGCCGGTCCACTTGGTGCTCGCGGCTCGTACTCCCAGTTCCCACTGCACAAGAACAAGATTGGACGCACAGGGACTCTCTGGACTCCGCTCCGGCTGCTGGCGAGCAGCAAAGTGCCGAATTTGACATTTCGATGGCGAAGATCCAGGGAGTTTGTTGCCCAATCTGCTCCCAAGATCTGCGAGTGCTATCTGATCTCGATCGTTGGAGAAGCAGTTTTCGAGCTTCGCATCGGTATTCGTCTGGTTTGAGATCTTGTATTCCTGTAGCTGGAGCTGTTTCATCTCTTTCGAACCACGGTTGAGTGAAATGGCCGCCACCGTGCAGCCGGAAGCCCATCCCTGACAGGGTTCTCGACCGAGCATGCCAGCGGCCAGCCAGTACACTAGGCAGCGTTGGGAAAGTGAAGGCTCGCTGCTCCACTCTCTGTCAGCGGAAAACCAGGTTATTTAACCCTGTCTGGCGGATCACCGTAGACGCGGGACAGGCCTGCATACTCTGGACCCAGCGGACAGGCAGGACGGTGGACTCCCACGTGAGATCCTGCACGATTGTTGGCTGGAAGCTTGAGGCCTTCCACAAATATCTTCTTGGGAATCCACAGAGGCTCCGAGGAGATGGTTGGGAGAGCAGAGGGGAGAAGAGAAAAAACGAGTCAGCACAGATGCCATTACTAACCCCTGTCCACTCCTCGCGTGGAGTCCACAGCAGTTCGCCTTTCAAACATCGAACTAGTCGTGTGCGGTCTTCGAACCTTTGCTCATTCCAGCTCGCCGTCTTCAAGCCCAAATTCTGGTACGTGGCTTGCCTCGGTCACTAAGATTTGCTGGTCAGTTGTCAGCAAAGGTATTCCGGCTCATCTTCGGCAAGACACTATTGCCACGATTGTCGCGATTATCATGATTACCAGAGATCGACACTTCTCCAAACTGGAAATGTGTTCCGGGTGGCCCTAATGCCAATTCTAGCATGAATAGTTCGTTGCTTGCGCGGCTCCTGCCCGACCCGATGCCTGAAGGCCAGAGGCTGATCAGTGAGTACGATGCGTCTAGCAGGAGCAGCGAATCCTGAATGACAATTGGAGCTCACAGATCGATTGCCCTTTTGAACTCGGCTCGTGTATAGTTAACGCGTTAATAGACAAGAGTTCGTCTGGAGAACGCCTCAACGAAGCCTTCTTTGACCTTCCACGATCATATCATGCACTTGGCTTCGCAGAATATCTGGAAATTGCAAACTCCCCGCTCCATCCAGATCTCAAGGGGCAACACGAGAATCCACTCGGTGTACGTCCGAGAGTGATCCATATTATATCTCCGAAGTCGCCTGAGCCATGGAACATTCATCTGTATACTTTGCTGGCTTTTACTTGGCAGGATCCGATCCCATTCCCCTCGGTCCTAGAGAAGATGGAATGAGGTCGATCTGGCCCGGGGAGGAGATCTACGGTGGAGATGAAGGGGAAAGCTACTTCAGAATACGAGGTGGGCCGAAGGGAACAAATTTTGCAGGACTTTCTCGACGTCTCCGTGATCCGTGCTGATCCGATTCAACGAAACTGCTTGTCTAAATGGGTTAAATAGGGATGAACGGCTCTGGATCGGCACAGGGGTCACAGAACGGGGAAGTGCTCGAGAGTGTTGGGCCTGGCTTCTATACGCAGCTATAGACTCTGCAGAAATAACTGCCGAGTTTGAGATTGGCAATATTGATAAACTGAGAACTAGCTAGGAGAGCTAAGTTCAAGTAACTACTCAGACGGGCGTAGCACTCCGATAATTATATCCACCATGAATGGAGATAATCAGAAGCAGTATACTATCATTTCGCATGCTTACGAATATAGTAACGTGTTACAGGCACGGACTTGTACAGGAAACGATAAACCGACCTCACTGAACGGCGGTACCGGCTCCCTATCAAAATAGCCTGTCAAATCCGTTGGATCGCTGTCCCGTTGCTGAAGGGGAATCTGGCCGTCTGGAAACCCTGATATCATTTTTTTCCACTTGAGATCCTCGACATCCAGTCCAGCCCCAAGATCCATCCACGTTGTGACCAGAAACGCCCTCCCGTGGACGCCACAATCACGGAGGCTGAATTGATACTCGGCATCGCAGTCTGGACAGCTCAGGTGCTCGGATGTGTGATCGATACCATGACTGAAGCCCCAGCCTTCAGTGGTCGTAGTGGTATCTCCACCTTCAGGAGCGTCACCCACACTAGTATGCTTACAAACTTCCCTTTAATAGACAATTCCCTCGAACGCATTACTACACCAAAGATATAGACCTACATATCTACCGAAAACAGCGCCGGATCAAGCGCAAACGACTCCTGCTGGCGCTCGTACTCGGCCTCACAAACCGTACAATCAGGCCCCCAATTAACAACCCCGTCACGCATACCCGCCGAACGACTCGCACTGGCACTGCGACTCGCACTCTCCAGCCGTTCAGCACTCTGCCGACTCGATGGCCCCGGAGCCACCGTCACCGACTGAGCCCAAGGATATACATCTCCCGAACTAAACGCCGAAGGCGCATTCCCTGCCAAATCAGCGGGATCAGGGATGCCGGAGAGATCGAGGCCCTTTGCGCGGCCGATGCGGCGGATGAAGCTCTCGCTTATTTGGAAAGCGCGGTGGGAGGAGGGGTCGTTCTTTGCGAGAGTATGTAGCCAGCGGAGTGCCTTTTTGGATGCCGCGAGGATGATCTCTGGTGTTTGATTCTCGGAGACTGTGATTGTGGGGCTTTTACCGTCTTGTCCGGCTTGGTTGGCTTCGCCATCACCGTGGGCTTTTAGGAATGGGACGGGTCCGATGGAGAGTTGGATGAGGAGGACGGTTAGGGCTTGCATGAGGAAGTGGAGGATGCACCACCAGGGGGTTGTTTGGAGAAGCCATTCTGTGCTTGGGGCTTTTGGGAGGATGGAAATGAGGGAGAGGGCGGACTGGACGCAGGTTCTTGCGGTGTCGTTGCCGAAGCGGGAGCGTGTGAAGTGGATGTTTGTGCCGTCGTTCATGTCTGGGCGTGTGAGGCAGGGCCTGCTGAGGATTATCTGGGAGCTGTAGTAGGCGAGTGCGAGGCTGACTTGGTAGCGGTTATCGGGGGACAGAGCTGGGGTGTCGTGGGAGTTTGTGAAGGCGTAGGAGGGATGGAGGCTGGACAGCCATGTTTGGAGCTTTTCTTGGTAAGGGCGGATTCCGCTCTGGCCACTGATGCTGTCTTTGACGGTGGTTAGACTGTATATCGTGGTGACGGCCGCGTGGGTGATCATGGAGAGGTCGACCAGGTGGAAGAAGTAGAGGGACTGGGTTGGGCTGATTGTTTGGAACCACCTGGTTCGCGCTTCGAGCTGGGAATCGCTGGCGTAGATAGTCCACTGGAGGCGCTCCTCACGCAGGACAGTATTTCCTAGGAGCTCCTCCAGTTCAGGAACGTGGAACATGCTGTCGTCGTATGGTACTGGCGGATATAGAGATACAGACCGGTAATCGACGCATGAGGAGCGTCCAGTCATACCGGCCAGCAGGTGTTCCAAGGAGAAAATGCACCACCAGATACGGGTACGCGTCTCCTTCGAAACAGGGTCTATCTGGTCACCCAGTGCACGCAGATTCAGACCCAGGGAGGTAGCGGAGCGGGCAGCACGTCCGTTTGTCTGCCATGATCTACAACATCAGAAAGGTGATTGCTGTGCCTGGAAGAGCATACCGATTTATTTGACCAGCAGCCATATAGTAGATAGCTAGCAGCAGATCAAACTGGACCTGGTGCAAGTCTGCATGGTCAAGAACCAGATTATGAGAAGTATTAAGAGAGATAGCTCTCGAGAGAAAGAGGTGGTCGTCCACATCCTTGCCAGTGACAGGCTCCGCTAACTGGTAATGCTTCGAGCTGACAGCGAATACAAGATTGAGAACAGCAAGCCATTTCTGCGTGGGCTGAGCAGAGCCACTGTAAGCGTAGTTAAACTGAGATTCAAACAAAGGCTTATTGATAAGCGGAAAAGAAGGCGCTATTGATTCAAAAAAGATGTTTACAAGACGGGCAGCCCATGGTCTCGGGGGTAGCAGCCGTGGCTCGACAGGGAGTGAATCGGCTATATGGAGAAAGTCAACATGATAGCTCATGGATGCAACGGGTCCTTCCTCTGCAGGCGGTGCGAGATGGCGCGATTTATGGTTCAACTTGGCAGCTTCAGTGTCCAGCTTCTGCATCCACGCAATCTCTGACTCCTTCCCTATATACCCGGCTGCTCGACTCTGAAGACTTCGATTCGGATCTTCAGTTAGGGTATCTACCCCGTGCAGAGAACCTACCGAGCTAACGGAATCGGAATACGCTGACCATCGTCTCGAGTTCTCGGGAACAGCCTGGATGGGCTTGCAGTCAGTTAGGGCAAACCAGCAAGGACAACAAGCATACCTCAATTGCCTCCTTAAAACCCATTTCCGCCGCACTCTGTGTACTCTCTCTACTCTGCTCACTCTGCCTATTCTGCTCATCGCCTGGAAAACCCAACTCCTGGCTCTCAGCCTGTCTCGACCGAGTTCGTATAGAGGACAGCAGCTGGCCCAGCTGCACTACATTGCCCCCATCAAAGGCGTCCACAATATCATATAACAGCTGATGCAACGAGCTAAGCTCCTGCTCAGCATGTCTCTGAGCAAGCTTCCTCCTCCTATCCAGTCCCCTATCAAAAATACACTCGGTGCCGATTTCATTGCACTTATTGCACGGCTGGCCGCCTCCGCACTACGCAAGTTAACCAATGTTCCACCACATTGGGGCCCAGAATCAGTGCACGTACTTTCGACTTGCGCGCCTTACACGCCGTACAAGCATTCGAGCGCTTTGTCCGTTTCGGCAGAGGCCCCGTCGACCTCTGGGGATCATCAGGGGGGAAGGGGGCGAGAACACGCAGGGACCGGTGGGTAGCGGGTGACGTCATACTCTGTTCTTGCTCCTGGATGGCCAAAAAGGGCGGTTGAAAGAGCCGGGAGCAATAACGGGTCCAGATTGCTTTTCTTCATTATATAGGAAGACACTGTACTCTGTTTATACGGCAATGATATTTGTTTCATTGTGGTGATGTCAGATTGCAGACGTGATATCCCGCGTCGTGGGCTGACTCGCTGAACCCCGCACGCTGGCTGTTCAGATGGGCTGACATGACTTCAGAGGCGCGGGGGAGGATACGTCGACTGCTCTCGACCCCTACCGAGCCTCGTACATTGGGTTCCTGGTAGAGCATAACAATACAGAGTATAAAAAACGTAAATAGTTATGCCGCGGCGGAGTCTTGGCACTTGGCGGGGACCTTGGGGTGAGGACCTTGCAAGCTCATTTATTTTTGTTTAAAAAAGAGGAACCGGTGAAAATGGAGATTGACAAAATGCAGGCTGTGTGGTCTCTCCTGCTTGTGATCGTCTGTGTGGTGGCAGCAAAAGCGCAGGAGGTCGCCGCCGCACAAGGACAAGGTCAATGGCAGGACATCACGCAGGTCGTCGTCTCGAACATCACAGTCGTTGAAGCACCGAGTGCCAGACAGGAGGAGGAATATTCTCGATTACAGAATTGATTACAGAGGTCGACTGGGACATGGAACGCAAATCACCCGCGTCACCGGCTGCTCATGGCGCTGTACGGGTTCACTCGGTACAAGGAGCGCAACCTGGCTGAGGTGAAGCGATGGAGGGATATGTATAAGAATGTCCCGAAGAGCCAGCAGAAGCTCGTGGAAAAGACTATTGGATATACTCGTAAGTTGAACACGGTCGAGCATCTGTTTGAGGACAATGACAGGATTGCGGCGGATATTGTGCGACACGGCCTTGAATTCTACGATATACCCCGAAAAGAGCTGGACGAGTTTATCAAGGACATGCAGAAGGAGAAAAAAGGACCTGACCGCACGAGCGTTGTCCAGGGAATGAAGCACTTTGTGCGCGACTGGTCGGAGGAAGGACTGTTCGAGCGTGAAGACGCATTCAAATGCATACTCGACAATCTTGCGAAAATGGACCGTTCAGAGGACAAGCCAATCCGAGTATTGGCCCCAGGAGCTGGAGCAGGACGATTAGGATATGAAATCGATGCTCTAGGAGGTATATTCCCTGTACCCTGTCTACCGGTGATGTCTCCGCTAACTGTTCAGGCTTCGAGGTAACAATCAACGAATGGTCGATGTATATGAACCTCGTCCATCGATATGCAGTTCAAATAGCCTCGCCAAATAGTCTTTCTTACTACCCTTATATCGACTGGTGGTCGCATCAGGCAACGACGTCCGACATGCAGCGCGCTGTGCATTTTCCCGACTGGATTCCGTCTGCTTCGAGGGTCGTCATGGTAGAGGGCGACTTCACCACGCTTTTCTCAGACTCGGAATCAGGTTCCTACGATGTCATTGTATCTTTATTCTTTATAGACACCGCGCGGAACCTGATGGCGTACCTGGAGAACATCCACCGGCTGTTAAAGCCCGGCGGGACGTGGATTAATCTCGGACCATTGTTATACGGAACTGGGCCATGGCTGCAGCTTTCCCTGGACGAGATTGTCAAAGTCAGCGAGGCATTGGGTTTCGAATTTGACGTGGACGAAGCAGGCCCAGATGTATGCGGGACGCCAACAGCAGGAGAAGGACTGGATGGGAAGGTCAGGAGTCTGTACGTGCCCTACGCCCAGAACCCAAAGGGGCTGAGCCGGAATGCATACGATGCCCAATTCTGGCGAGCGACAAAGCGATAGAAGGGTTGCATAGACTAGTGTAGCTGAATAGACAAACCCCGCCAATGATGGACTTAAACTCTTGTTCCCTTGCCTTAAGTTAACGCTACTGAACAGAATCAGGATATGATCTGTCGATGCATCGGATTAGGCGTCCCACGCGCGGCAATCACTTAAGAATGCAACACTTAAGACTGCAGGGATCCTTGAGAATGCAAGGACACGTGAAGGTGAGACTGGCATTTTCCTTATTTGCCACGGGCTCGCCTGGCCTTTTTGTGCGACGACCCCCATCCCACTTCGCTGCACCTAGACAGCATCATGGACGCCAAACGAGAAACCACCGGCCTCACGCACGATGTCTCCGACCTGAACTATGCATTGGAGGGAGATCAGAAGCCGGTGCGCTCGCTGCTGCGTCGCATCGATTGGCGCATACTGCCCATCATGTTCCTGACCTATTTCCTGCAATTCCTCGACAAAGTGTGCTTGAACGTGAGTCTAAAATTCAACGCTGGCATTCCAATCTTGACTGGGTAGTATGCAAATGTCATGGGCCTCCAAACAGACCTGGGGATGTCGGGGAATGACTTCTCGTGGCTCGCGACGGCCTTCTTCATCGCCTACGCTGTGGCAGAGGTTCCACAAGGTATTTCCCTTATTCTACCCAGAACGCGACTCCGCTCATAGAAATAGGGTATCTCCTCCAGAAATTCCCCATCACACGAGTCCTCGGCTGCAATGTCTTCCTTTGGGGCGTTCTTCTCTGCTGCTCCGCCGCTGCACAGAACTACGGAGGGTTGATGGCTCTACGAGTCCTCCTCGGCATAACAGAAGCAGTCGTCGGTATGTCCATCCAACAATCAAAACAATATAAAATACTAATAGACAGCCCCCGCGCTTACAATGTACACAAGCCTCTGGTACACCCGACGCGAATCTACCCCCCGCTTCGGCCTCTGGTACTGCGGCGTCGGCGTCGGCCAGATAATCGGCGGACTGGTCTCCTTTGGCGCACAGCACGCACCAGCATCGCTCTCCCTCACCGGCTGGAGGGTAATGTTCCTTGTCATCGGACTGGTTAATATCCTCGCCGCGGCGCTCATCCTCGTCTTCCTCCCTCTCTCCCTCGAAACGGCCCGCTTCCTCTCCGCAGACGAGAAAACAACCATATCCGCCCGTCTCAAGGCAGACTCTGCCAACGTTGCGCCGAAACAATTCCACGTCGCTTCGCTCTGGGTCGTCCTGACTGATATCCAAACGTGGCTGCTGCTCCTGATCACGATCCTTTCGACCCTGCCCTCGGGTCTGATCGTCGCTTTCTCGTCGATGGTTATCAAGAACTACGGGTATACCGCGAAGCAGAGCGCGCTGCTGAATATGCCTTCGGGGACTGTGAGCATTGTCTGCATCATCTTGTCGACCTATGCCATTGCAAAGGGGTATCCGCGGTGGCTGACGCTGAACATCCTCTTTGTCGCGACGCTGTTGGGGGCCTGTCTTATGAGCTTTATGCCCCAGAGCAATAAGGCTGGGTGTTTGGTGGGGATCTATTTGGTTAATGCGGTATACCTCTCGAATTGTGGATAAGTGGTTACAGTACTGATATGCGTATAGACAGTCGCACCCCTCGGTATAATCCTGGCCTGGATCGCAGGGAATTTCAAGGGCTACACTGGCAAAGTCTCCGGGGCGGCGCTCATCTCTGCTGGATTCAGTGTTGCGAATATCATCGGGCCGCAGACGTTTCAGGCCAGAGATGCTCCTGAGTATGTCTTCATTGTTCACCTAAGTGGATGGAAGAGAAGCTGATGATATAACAGTTACATACCCGCAAAAGTAACCATTGTAGCCATTAACGCGGCTGCGATTGTTGCTGCGATTACGCTGCGGGTTGTATATGGTATGAGGAACAGCAAGGCTGAGGATCTGGGTCTTCCGGCTAGGAGTTCCATGGAGAAGAGACTTACGAAGGACGAGGGAGAGGACCTGTACCCGGGATTCAGATATGTGTATTAGCCGTGGCGTAACTGAGATGTGCGCAGTTTAGGGGCCGTTCCATATCCTTTGAAGATGGTCCTTCTGCAGCAATGAAAATGGAGAACTTGGACACTGTTTCAGTGGTTCCTGCTCCCTCACGGCATACATCGAGCTACCCAATAAAATGCCCCTATCTGTGAGGAACATCATGTGGAGGGTTGTCTTAGGAATCCGCAAGGGACGCACCAATTCAAGACAAGATAATCGTTCATGTAGTACAACCCATTCTTGCCTCCAAATGAATGCAGACCCACTCCTCGAAAGGCAAAGTCGGTCTCCCTACTTTTTTGGAGGTTAGGGCTGATGCCGGCACCATATCTACCGCCATGGTCGTTTCTATGGGTGGTGCAACTGAACCAAAGGAGATCATGATATTCCGGTGGATTGTTTCTTCGGGCGACATCCCATGATTGACGTAGAGATGGACTATATCGACGTAGGTTGCACCACAAAATAATGCAAGGAAGATGAAGATTCTTGATTTCTCCCGGGCAATCTGACATACCCCTGTTGTATAGGCGCTAGGGTTTCCAGTGTGGGAACTGTGACCTTCAGCTATGGCATACATTCCTTGCAGTTGCGTGAAACAACTGTCCATCGCATGACATAAATAGAGGCGACCCCATGGCAGGCCCGGAAAGATACCCAAGTTACCCTCAATTCCGATACCATGTGGAACTTTGGACTTGTCCCTATGGCATTGACGCTTGGCCTTCTTGCTCGCGCAGAAGCCCAGGCGTCCGACGCTCCCACACTCCCATCAAAGGATCCATTCTACACGCCAGAAGCTGCAGACTGGGCTGACAGAGAGCTCGGCGAAGTTCTCGATTCTCGCCAGGTAAACATCGATATCTCTGCTATACCCGCCATTGGCGAATATGAGGCCTTCCAACTGCTCTACGTTACCTCGGATCTCAACAAAGAAAAGACGACATCCGTTACTACCATCGTTGTCCCGCAGGGAGCCAACATGAGTCGCATTCTGTCCTACCAAATTGCCTACGATGCACCAGATGTCAACTGCTCTCCTTCGTACGGGCTACAGCCGGGCGCCAATGCGGCTGCGACGCCGTTTACTCGCGACCAAATGAATTTGATAGCCGGCATTCTGGAAGATGACGGACCACCACCGGTGCTGAATATGGCCGACTATGAAGGATCAAATGCCCCCTTCACCGTGGGGCCTCAGAGCGCTTACCAGACCCTGGATTCGATCCGTGCCGCGACAGACTCTGGAAATATCACGGGGATTGACCCCGCTGCCGAAACTGTCTTGTTTGGATACTCCGGCGGCGGTTACGCCTCTGAATGGGCTGTCGAGCTGCATCAAACATACCAGGAAAACCCCGTTAATATTATTGGCGCGGCGATTGGCGGACCCCCGACGAACATCATACAAACCTACAAGAATGTGAATACGAAGTATTCACCCTTGAATGTTTGGGCCATGCTCGGCGTGATGAACGCAATACCCGAAATCAACAAGACCATGGACGAAGATCTCAGACAAGCGCATAAGACGCAATTCCTCAGCCGCCGCCAGCGCTGTAGCGAGGTTGAGCTCCCGCCCATGAAAACATATGCCAATATCAACTGGTGGTTTAAGCACGGGAACTCCTTCTTGACCACGTTCGAGCGCGAGCTTACAGAGATTGGCGTCCTGGGAAACCACATCACAGCAGAAACCGCTCCAAAATTCCCTCTCTACATCTTCCAGGGCGGAATAGATTTTGTCACTGCCCCGTATAGTGACACTGTAGCCCTGAAGGACAAGTTTTGCGAGGCGGGCACCCCGGTGACGATGTACAAGTGGAAGTTGAGGGACCACATCCCTACCTCCATCTGCGGTTCTCCATGGGCCATGCAGTGGATCAGAAAGGTTTTCAATCGCCAGGAGCTCGAGGATAGCTGCAATGGGCCTATCAACGAGGTTCCGCTTTCGCTCTCGGGGAAATGCCCTCCCCCTGTTTAGGTTGTCAGATTGTTCGCAGATTGGAATAGCAGGATTGCGTGGAGGTGAAGTTATGAAACAGGGGAAGGAGGGTATCCAAATATTTTATTTCGTATAACTTAACTTACTAGATCGTAAAGTACGAGGCTACTCCCTTGATTTTTGAGCGCAGATGCATGTGGAATAATGCGGTATAAAGCGTGCATAACCCCGCTCTCCCCCACCAACCTCAACCTCACTTCACCATCTTCATCAAAGTCAGCGTTTAAACGACCCAGTCCAGTTACCATAAAGCAAACCATAAAACACAAGACAGAATGGCTGCCGCACTCACAAAATTCAAACTAATCTTCCACGTCCCCCCCACGTCCCTCGAACCCGTCAAAAGCGCCGTCTTCGCCGCAGGTGCAGGCCGATATCCAGGTCCAGGGAGTTACACAGAATGCTGCTGGGTGGCGTCTGGAACGGGCCAGTTTCGGCCAGGGGATGCAGCGAACCCGGCTATTGGCAGTGTTGGGGCGTTGGAGAAGATTGAGGAGTTGAGGGTTGAGACGTTGTGTGTTGGGGAGGATGTTGCGAGGAGGGCGGTTGAGGCTTTGAAGAAGTGAGTTGCTTTTCTTCTTGTCTCGTAGTGTATCATCTGGCGTAGTTAATGGGGACAGGCGAAGGATTAAACTGGTGTAAGTATGGAGACTGATATGTGTAGGGCGCATCCGTATGAGGAGCCTTCATATGGGGTGATTCGGTTGGAGAACTTCTGATTAGGAATATTTCCTGTCAGAGAGAATGGACTACTTCATTTTACCAGACCATGAAAATGTACTTCCACTACATGGAAATGGCCCCTAGGAAGGCTTCGAGTGCTGGAAACGACATGATATAGGAAGACCAGTATGCATCTTATTTCACACCATTGGAATCCACCGCCCTCAAAGAATCCATAAAATGGCCAATAACACGTTTTCTATCCAAGTCCTCCGGTGGTTTATCCTCCCAGAAGTCCAGCCGTCGCTGTATTGCAGAAACAACCCCATCGCGATCGAGATTCATGACTTGCATTAGTTCCATAATCCACAACAGTCGTTTAACATACCACGCCTTTCTCTCACGATTTGTAGTTCTTGTTTTTCGTCGTGCATATTCGTGTTCCATCCATATGACATATTCCGCGATAGGTGTCAACAATGAAGGCGCAAGTCCCACCTCGTCGTAGTGGTAGACAAACGTATCACTTTCATAATCAACTTTTATGCATGGCTATAGGGCATCAGCTTGAATTACAAGACAGTCGGACTAGGTTGGTACTTACTCGTGATACGCGGTTTGAACTCTCCTCAAACGCCTTTAATCTGTCATCAAATACTGTCCTCAGCAATATCATCCATTTCGTCCTCAGAGTCTCAAAACTGTCGGATGTCCATGTGCACATCTTATTGTTCAAATCCTCGATAAGTTCTTCTTCCTCGTCTAGAATCTCGGAGGAATCGTCCCGCACAAACGCACTGAATGTATAGGCTCTTTTGTGACAGCAAACATGAGTGATCCCAATCTTCTGGGTCCATGTTGCGCGAAGAAGTGATGAAAGCACTTTCCGGGACTCCTCAAGCCCTCGCCTTTCTTCGACCACAGACAGGAATTCGAACCCCCACACAAAGGGGACCGGACATCTACTAGAGAATGCGGACTCCCTGAAAAAGACATCGAAAATGGAAGAGACACAGCAGCCCTCAGGAGAACAGGGACACTCGCAATTGCCCGATGAGAAGATGTCAGCTTTTTCGCTCACGCAAATATTAATGCATTCCATTACATTCCAGCGATTACTGCCAAAGTTCTTCAAGTCGGCCATCAAGTGTAACAGAAAAGGCTGCCCGCGTGAATCAACATGATTGACATTTGTACCTCTATCGAGTAAAAGTTGGAACAGCCTAGTATCCAGGTACTCAACCAGCGAAAATATGGGTGTTTGACCTGCACTGTTGGGCTGGTTGAATCCAGTGAAGCCACAACGGACAAGGGCCTCAGCTTCCTCACGATTAAAGACATAATGTAACAGGTTATTGTTTTCAGTCCTTGTAATGTCATTGTAGAAAAGGACGTTATCCACATTGTCGCAAAGCTCAACAAGGGAAATGAAATGTGCCCTCGTCTCCTTGGGGTAGTGGAACAACCGCACAACCTCCGCCAGCGACGTGTAAACGTGGTGTTGGAATTCCTCTGGACTGCAGTGAGGTCGAATTGTTTCCAGTGTGTCGAGTACTAGATCCCAGCGCTTCCGCCTAGATGCGTAAACGAAGAAACTTTTACCTTCACTGTCTGTGATGGAAATGTTCGCCCCGTGAGCAATGAGAAATTGAACAACTTCAGTATTGCCCAACGCCCCGGCATACATCAAGGGGGTTGCACCCCACTTATCCTGAACGTCGACATCGTGGCAACCCTCATATAGAATGCTTATGAGCTCCAAGCTTGGGGCAGCTAGATGAAGGGGCGTTTGGCCGAGAAAGTTCTTCTCGTTAGCAGCAGTTGTTGGCCGTGAAACGAGCGACAGCACTGTCTGAACGGACCTTTGGAGAACAGCCTGGTGCAGGGGGGTTAGACCACCGAAGCCTATCCGTTCGTCAGCCAGAACATACAATTAGAGGCGTTTTGACTCCTCACCGGCGCCTGTATCATTATTGGCTATCCTAGCTAGAGATCTGATATAAAAAATGTCGTTGGTTTTACTGAAAGCCCGGAAATAATGCAGGCTCAGCCCTGGCCAGTTCTCAAATACTGGAGAATCAGCCCCGTCAGGGTCAAACCCATGTTTAAGAGCTGCATCAAGTAAGGGCTCCCGATCCAAAGGCCCATATCGACACAGTATGTATTCCATCAGGAAGCTTTGAGCATTTTAAGATTCTATTAGTAGTCGGACAGTTTGCGGCTTCGCATAGGGGTAACTTACTTCAAACCCTGGTTCTCAAGACTCATGCCGAGTTCAGATATGAAAAAGTCTAACAATTGAAGGAATGCTCTCATATCATACCGGTAACCAATGACGGAAAAGAGCTCCTGGCCGTTGTCAGACGAGTACGTCGACACCGCGTCAGATACAGTGTACGTACCTGCACATAGTCCCCGCCAGCAGGGTTGACGTGGTTCTTCAATGACGGATCAGCCCTGTATAGCTCTAGAAACCTTTTTTTTACGTCCTGTAGCTCCAGTAGGCCATGACGAAAGCACCTTAGTGTCTCGAACCCTGGGGATGTGTACCTGACGGTTCTTTGCACACTCAGTGCTGGCCTTAGAGAATATTTGCCCTCGCCGGAGATCAGTTCAAGCCCGGTGATAACAGTCAATGGGATGCCATATTGGGTGAGGGCAATTCGTAAGTTCCAGCGGTATCGCCGAGCCGAGCATTGTGCATTATCACAATATCTCCAGATAGTTGAGAATGGTGTATATTGGAAACCCCAGAAGCGCCCTGAACTGCTCTCGGTTGTATGGCACGAGCAATGACAGTGTTTCACGCTGCATGACTGCCTTCTGATGGGATGTATCGTTTTTGTTATATCTGTGGTTGTGCCTAGGTTTGATTCTGTTGGCTTCGTGACGACAATGACATTCGATTGTTCTCCCTCGTCTACAGACTCTGTCTCAGTGATACGGCCGCTACTATGTGTCTCTGTTGCTGCAATTTGACTGGGAACGGTTTGATGAAGGACTAATATGAAGGAGCTACTAGAGTCAGTATAAGTAAAACTCCCAGCCTTGCACGACTGATGCTCACCACGTCAAGTCAGCAATAACCCCCGTAATCCTCTCTTTCGCGATATTAAGGTCTTTCTTTATTTCTGGAGGTTTCACGAGAGTTTTCCACTTTTTGCTTCTTTCAGCCTGCGCTCGAGAAATTGTCTCCGCGACTCTCTGGAAAATAGCATCAACTCTGCTATATTCCAACTGGCAGTTCCTAATCGCAATATCCACAACAGGATGCCCTTCGTACGATTGCAGAGGCACAAGCACGTTTTGCAAAAACACCAAACGGCGAACCAGAAACTCAATCTCGTCTCCAGCCTTGTGCTGGTTGTAATCACGGATCTCTTTCAGGCGGCTGATATTCCCAGTAATCTGGACGATGAACGCTGCTACCCCGATGCCAGCGGAGACGACGCCGACGACTTCCGCCATGATAGAACAACGAGACAAATAAAGATAATAAGAGGTAGATGCGATGTTGAAGGAGAGAAAGATGTCAAAGGTGGACAGGGGCGACTCGACACCTGCGACGGGTTCAGCCTCGTCAACAGCACCGCCTCAGCCATAACCAATGGAATCGGACGAGGCTGCAGCGTCATGCAGGTATCGCAGCGAGTCAATGGAGAACACGTCAAGTAGCAAATACTATAAGAGGCTAAGCGCTCAGTATTCAAAGCCTCGAGGCTGTTTTGCTGCTTGTAGCTCTCTGGCTGAGAGGGCGAACATAGCTGATACGATCGTGGGCATTTCTTATGGTAAGCTATATGGAGTTTAGTCACGAAACATCTTATATTCAAATTCGTATACAGAGCTCATTCTTGTCTGGTAAATACATCTTTCCGATATCCCAATTCAAACCCAACCCGCTCAACATTCCTCGCACTGGTCCCAGTCGGCCAAGTAGTAACAGTAGCAATGTCAATTCCCTCCTTCTTCGCCTCATCGAGCCTTGCCCTCAATAACGCCGTCTGCACGCCCTTACCCCGGTACCCAGGGACCGTACTATCAATATACAACTCGGCAACTCGACCTGCAGGCGTGGTGATTAGAGCCATTCCCGCAGCCCCGGCAATCTGTCCATTTATGCGAGCAAGGTAGAGACGCGTATCCCCGCGGCGAGTAGCAGCACTGGCTAGAGCTTGGAACAGATCGACTTGTTCAGGTGTAGAGTTGTATCCGAAGCCCGCGACAGACGTTTCAATAAAGAGTTGGTATTCCTCCGCAGAGACGTGCGTTATGCATATCTCCTCACCATTTTCCTCTCCTTCATATTCTGGTAAAGACAAGACGTAGACATTCATCTCCGCGCAGATAGTCCATTCTCTCCTCTCCAAAGCGTCCCGTGCAGTCTGATGCGCGAACGGACAGAGGTTGATCTCTGGGGATACCCCAATCCTGCTGTAAAGAAGTCCGATAGCGTCGAGATCCTCCCCAGAGACGGGCCCATTCATACCAAACCCAGCAACATGATTCAGTTTCCGTCCGAAAGATGGTTTTGTGACAGCTGCGACGCCGCCGCCAATGGATTCTGCTATGAATTTCTCGGATGGGAATAGTGTTTGCACAGCTTGGATTTGCGCCTTGATGAACTGGATTTCGGCAGTCTCGACGAGGTGGGCTGTTGCGGGGGATATTGTTGCCATTTTAGCGAAATAATATATGGGAGGAGTAGAATTATTTTGGATCGTATTTTATGTTCCTTAGTGTGGCGTTGGGCTTTTATACAGGAGCTGCTGCCTCGTATTTGCTCCATTCGTGACTCACTTCACTTTAGTACCGGAGTTGTGTTCTCTCTCCGGGTGGATAATAGTAAACACTTTATTGACGACAATTATAGAATCATTAAAAATAAAGATAAATATACTATTAATCATAGATAATATATAACTATAAAAGCAATATATATCTTCTCTAAAGCCTCACCAAACGCCCTGGCCAAACAAGAAGAAAGCAAACACCAGAATTCAAAACGTATCAGGGTATAATCTAGAAGACCAAAAAACAAAAACAGGCTAGAATAGGATAGAATCTAATTTTCAAGTTGAGCCCTCGCCTCCGCGCAGGCCTTCCGAATCGCACACTCCGCCAGCCGCTGCAAATCCGCCATAAAGCTCTCCACAAGACGCACCTGCACCGTGAAAGATTCCGGCGCCTGCTGCCAGAGATGCTCGCGGAGATGCGTGAGGGCCGACCGCAAGAGATTCAGGTCTGTGGCGCTGGAGACCTCGAGCGGGTTCATGAGGATGTTGGAGAAGACGTGGATTGTCGAGACGGTTATTTCGGGGAGGCAGAACCTACCACATTGTTAGTTATTCTGGACCTGAGATAAAGTGGTTGACCGGGATGGGTGTAGCCTACGTACATGAGATGATGCCCTAAGAGATGCCGCTTCCCGTCGAGGAATTTCTTCAGTAGAGAGCGGCCAGCGCTGATACTAATCGCGAGACTTGACCCGGCGGTGCGTGTATCCTGATTCAAGACCCATGCCGTGCAGCGACTGCTCGTTTGATGAATCGCGCTCGTGCAGTAGTGGTATTGCATTCTGAAGAGGAAGTCCGCCATGATAGAGTCTGGGTAGCCGTCGGACGAGAATTCAGGGACTGTCGACCACCATTCTTCCAGTGTGTTGTCGAGAGTTCGGATCGTGGCAAGCAGCTCGGCGTCGCTTTTGTTCAGGGCTGGGACGCAGTAGAGTCCGCGGTAGATTTCTGCTTGGACGATGCAGAGGCGGATCATGGTGATGAAGACTGCTGGGTCGTGGCCGTCAACGCCGTCGGGGGAGGGCAGGGTGAGGTCGCAGCTCGTTGTGTCGAAGAGAGGCGGGAGACCAGTGCGCAGGCCGAGAATTTTATCGAATATGAAGCTGATCCAGAAGAGGTTGCGGACGTGGAACTTTGCGAGAAGGGGGTCTCCGTCTCCATCGGTGGGCTTAGGGCAGGTGTTGCCCTTGAGGTGAAAGACGTATCGAGCTGCGGATGAGAGCAGCATTTCTATCCTCAGGATATCGGCAGATACAGCCTGACAGCAGAAGGACTGGCCAGAGGTTAATATAAGCAGGAGGCAGGAGCTGGAGCACCTGGAAACTTACCAGCATGAGGATGGCCTGCAGCCCATCCAGCGTAACCGACTCTGAAATGACCTCGGGCAGCAGATCATACACTTCTTGGGCAAACTTGTCAGTGTACGTGATGGTATTTTCCGTCCCAGCGCCTGAAGCAAACGAACTAAACGCCATAAAAGCAAAGATGCAGGACCTGGCGCTGGCAGGGCCCGGCGAAATATCGGATAATTCATGGTTGTAAGCCGCGCGGATGGTGTACTCGAAACACTTTTCGTTGATAACCGGAAACAGGCGATGTGAGAGAGTCTTTTGATGATTCTCCAGCACCTGCCGGAGAAGCCTGATGTCAGGCAGTGGCAGGCGTTGGGGATTAGCATGAGGGATGGATTGACTCGGCAATGTACGATACCAGTCGAGAGTGACTTCTGCGCCAGTGCGAGCCTTGATCCACTCGATCCCAGCAGCAGAAAACACAGGAAGGCCATTGAATCCACCGATATTCCCCAGGGATTGCCCGGCGAAGCAGATAGTCGCTCCAAACCCCTGAGGTGCCACGGCCTGTGGACCAGGAGTGGGGTATGGAGACCGAGAGGAGTCCTGAACTTGTTCTACGAGACGATATTAGAGCAGTTAATAATTTGTACTGCAAGGGAACCAACCTTGTTCGACTGGTGTGCTCACGGCCGATGCAGGGGGCGTCCTGGCTACAGTTAGCACCAGACATACGGCAGGCCGAGAGCTGCAGCTGGAAGCCGAAATCTCGGGCCGTAAATAGGCTATAATGGACTAACTTGAGCTTCGTGTTCGGCGTCTTGCACGACCGCAGGTCTTCGTTGCGGACATACGTGCAAGGGATGCCGTGGTGGTGGCACCAATCACACCGGGGCAACGCGCCGTCGCATTTAATCTCGAGAATGTCAGCATTGCCTTGAACCGGCATGTACCGAAGATCCGGATATAGGATCCGTGTTTAAAAGGCTAGGAAGATCTACCTTCTTCCTATAGCACGAGTCGCAAGCATACACACGGCGGCGCCGCTTGGGGCGCTCACCGGAGATACTGGGTGGCATAATGGACAAGAATATAATGGCCTGCAGAGTTACACAACAAGAACATCCGGATATATTGAAGAGAGGATCCGTCTTCGTGGCCGTTGGACGATCAGGCACCGGAGAACGGGCGACGGAGCAATTCACATTCCAGCACACTCCGGTTATGGCAGACCGGCCAGCCAAGTTCCGGCCTGCCAGTGAATTACAGCCAATAAGCAGTGGCAATCAGTGGCAATCACTGGGGCTGCTGTATTTCCGCTGAGTCATCGGAGTTAGATTATGATTTATGCGCGGATGCGCAGTCTTGGGATCCGATCAGCCACTGCCATCTTGGATCTGGATCTGAGCCTCAGCCGGATCGGAGGGTGCCTGGCTTCCGGATCCACGATTGTTCTAGATTTCCATTTGCAGACATTGCGTATTTATCCATGATGTCTGTGGGAATGCCTGACTAAGCGGGGCTGCCCTACACGGAGGTTGAACTGAATTCCGGTCCTGACAGGAAAAGCATTATGAACCATTGAATTAATTATTGAGTGCCATGTCAGATAGTTCCGAACCGATAAATTAGTTTTCAGTAATCTGAATGTCTCGGGGGTGCACGTTCCGGACAATGTAGTTATATATCCTGCTCCCCCTACGTAGAATGGAGAAAAGTAAACCACACCCAACTAATAATCATCATCAAGATGTCTCATCACGATGAGTCACTCGACACGGACTCGTTCTCGTCCAAGGACAGCCTCAAGGGAACAGAGTCTATCCAACGATCTCCTATGAACCTGATCAGCCCCTCCGAAACAAACAACCTACACCGTATCGCCACAACCCAATCACGACGACGGTCGAGCATCCACGCAAACACTTATACAAACAATGCATTTGCGGAAAATGACCCGGCACTGGACCCCCAGACTGCAGAGTTCAACCTGGAGCGGTGGCTCAAAGCTGCCATGGTTGATGCTGAAGGACGCGGCCTGTCAACACCACAAGGAGGAATTCTCTTCAGAGACTTGAACGTATCCGGGTCTGGAGCTGCACTACAGCTACAGGACACCGTCGGCTCAATGCTGTCTGCGCCTTTGCGGATACCTGAATTGCTTCGGCAGAGACGCTCGCCGGCTCGTCGGATCTTGAATAGCTTCAACGGCGTGATGAAGACGGGAGAGCTGTTGCTTGTGCTTGGACGCCCGGGCGCTGGCTGCAGTACTCTGCTCAAGACGATATGTGGTGAGACCAAAGGCCTGGATATCGACTCATCCAGCTCTCTGCATTACAACGGGGTATCGCAAAAGCGGATGATGAAGGAGTTCAAAGGCGAGGTCGTCTACAACCAAGAGGTACGTCACCTAATAAGATTAAACACGATATACTAATAATTAGGTTGATAAACATTTCCCCCATCTCACCGTCGGACAAACCCTCGAATTCGCAGCTGCTGCCCGTACACCGCAGCACCGCATGCGCGACATGACCCGCGACGAGTTCGCCAAATACACCACCCAGGTCGTGATGGCCGTCTTCGGTTTGAGCCATACATACAATACCAAGGTCGGCAATGACTTTGTACGCGGCGTGTCCGGAGGTGAGCGCAAACGAGTCAGTATTGCAGAAATGGCACTGGCTGCGACGCCGTTTGGGGCCTGGGATAACTCCAGTCGTGGACTTGACTCGGCCACTGCGTTGAAGTTTGTGCAAGCGTTGAGACTTCTCGCAGATCTGGCCGGGACTGCGCATGCTGTTGCCATTTACCAGGCTAGTCAGAGTATATATGAAGTCTTTGACAAGGTGACGATCCTGTACGAGGGTCGTCAGATCTTCTTCGGGCCAACTTCAAAAGCAAAGGCCTTTTTCGAACGACAGGGCTGGGAGTGTCCTTCTCGCCAGACGACTGGGGATTTCCTTACGTCCGTTACAAATCCCCAAGAGCGCCGTGCTCGCGAGGATATGAAGGGCGTTGTCCCCCAGACCCCGGAAGACTTTGAACGATACTGGATCCAGTCTCCTGAGTATAAGGAACTCCTCCAAGAAATGGAAGACTTCGAGACAGTCCATCCTCCAGGCAACGACGATGCAGCAGCGACTGGATTCCGAGAGGTCAAGGAAAAGACACAGTCCAAGAACTCGCGAGCAGCCTCTCCATACCTGCTCAGTGTGCCCATGCAGATTAAGCTGAACACGAAGCGCGCATACCAACGCGTCTGGAACGATAAGTCCTCGACGCTGTCCACAGTTATTGGAAACATCATCATGGCGCTCATCATCGGCTCCGTCTTCTACGATCCCCCAGACACGACAGCAGGGTTCATGTCGAAAGGGGCCACGCTCTTCTTTGCCGTATTGTTGAATGCCCTAACAGCCATGTCCGAAATCACCAGTCTCTACGCCCAACGTCCCATCGTCGAAAAGCACGCCTCGTACGCATTCTACCACCCAGCAACCGAAGCAATAGCCGGCGTCGTCAGCGATATCCCCGTGAAATTCATCCTCGCCGTCGCGTTCAACATCATCCTATACTTCCTCTCCGGCCTACGCAGAGAACCCTCCCAGTTCTTCATCTACTTCCTCATCACATTCATCATCATGTTCGTAATGAGCGCCGTCTTCCGCACAATGGCCGCGGTAACCAAGACCGCCGCCCAAGCCATGGGTCTCGCGGGGGTCCTCATCCTCGCCCTCATCGTCTACACGGGCTACGTCCTCCCCGTCCCGTCAATGCACCCCTGGTTCGAATGGATCCACTACCTGAACCCAATCTACTACGCCTTTGAAATCCTCATCGCGAATGAATTCCACGGCCGCGACTTTCCATGCGATAGCTTCGTCCCGTCCTACGCTGATCTCTCCGGCGATAACTTCATCTGCTCGCAGCTGGGCTCTGTCCCCGGTGCGCAGACCGTCAGTGGCGATGCCTATATCCTCTTCAACTACAGCTACAGCTACAGCCATGTATGGCGGAACTTTGGCATCCTGATTGCCTTCCTCGTCGGGTTCATGGCCATCTACTTTGTCGCGTCGGAACTTAACTCCTCCACCACAAGTACGGCCGAAGCGCTCGTCTTCCGGCGGGGACATGAACCCGAGTATATGCGTCCTGGATACGTAAAGCCCGCAGCTGATGAAGAAAACGCCGTGGAACTGGGCTCCGTCAAGCCGTCTAGAGAGGAATCCAAAGAGGACCTACCTCTGCCGCCTCAACAAGATATCTTCACCTGGCGGGATATCTGCTACGACATTGAAATCAAGGGCGAGCCACGGCGGTTACTAGACCACGTCTCTGGCTGGGTGAAGCCGGGTACATTAACCGCGTTAATGGGCGTTAGTGGAGCGGGTAAGACGACGTTACTCGATGTGCTCGCCCACCGGACAACAATGGGCGTTATCACCGGCGATATGTTCGTCAACGGCAAAGGCCTCGATGCCAGTTTCCAGCGGAAGACGGGGTATGTGCAGCAGCAAGATCTGCATCTGCAGACGGCGACGGTGCGTGAGTCGCTCCGGTTTAGTGCGTTGCTGAGGCAGCCGCCGGATGTCTCGACCCAAGAGAAGTATGACTATGTGGAGGATGTGATTCAGATGCTGGGGATGCAGGACTTTGCGGAGGCGATTGTTGGTATCCCTGGGGAGGGATTGAATGTTGAGCAGAGGAAGTTGTTGACTATTGGGGTGGAATTGGCTGCGAAGCCCAAGTTGTTGCTGTTCTTGGATGAACCTACCAGGTACGTCTATTCCGACGGTGGATATGGAGATACTAACAGATGTAGTGGTCTTGATTCTCAGAGTTCGTGGGCCATTTGTTCATTCCTCCGCAAACTGGCAGACAGTGGACAGGCCGTTCTCTGCACGATCCACCAGCCCAGTGCCATTCTGTTCCAGGAATTCGACCAGCTCCTGTTCCTTGCAAAGGGTGGCAGGACAGTATACTTTGGCCCGATTGGAAACAACTCCAGAACGCTGCTCGACTACTTCGAGTCCAATGGCGGACGCAAATGCGATGAATCCGAGAACCCAGCAGAGTACATGATTGAAGTCGTCAACGCAAAGACCAACGACAAGGGAACAGACTGGTTTGACGTCTGGAAGCAGAGTCCCGAGAGTCAAGGCGTCCAGGACGAAATCAACCGCATCCACGAGGAAAAGAGCGCTGTCCAGCAGGAAGACGACCAGGCCATGAGCCACGCCGAGTTCGCGATGCCCTTCTGGTTCCAGGTCTACGTCGTCACGTACCGAGTGTTCCAGCAGTACTGGCGCATGCCGGAGTATATCATCTCGAAATGGGGCCTTGCCATCATGGCCGGTCTGTTCATTGGGTTCTCGTTCTACGATGCGAAGACTTCTCTCGCTGGTATGCAGACGGTCATCTTCTCGCTGTTCATGATTTGCTCCATCTTCGCCTCGCTGGTGAACCAGGTATGTCTACTAAACCGTTTTCCGGTTCTCCATCTAATAGTAGCAGATAATGCCCCTCTTCGTAACCCAGCGCTCGCTCTACGAAGTCCGCGAACGCCCCAGCAAAGCCTACTCCTGGAAAGCGTTCCTCATCGCCAACATCGCCGTCGAAATCCCCTACCAGATAATCATGGGCATCTTGACATACGCCTGCTACTACTACCCCGTCGTCGGGGCCAGCCAGTCCTCCGACCGGCAAGGCCTCGTCCTCCTCTTCGCAATCCAATTCTACATCTACGCCAGCACATTTGCACAGATGTGCATCGCCGCCATGCCCGACGCCGAGACCGCAAGCCCCATCGTCGTCCTGCTATTTTCAATGACCTTGACCTTCTGCGGCGTGATGCAAGTCCCCTCCGCGCTGCCCGGGTTCTGGATCTTCATGTACCGCGCCTCACCCTTCACGTACTGGATTAGCGGGATGGCGTCGACACAGGTGCATGATCGCGAGGTCATCTGCTCCTCGAATGAACTGTCTGTGTTTAACCCGCCCTCGAACCAGACGTGCCAGGAGTATATGGCGGAGTATATGAGTCTGGCTGGGGGAAAGCTGCAGAACCCGGATGCGACGGCGGACTGTGCGTTCTGTTCTCTGAATGTGGCGGATGAGTATCTTGCCGGCAGTGAGATTTACTGGGGGGACCGATGGCGCAATTTTGGGCTCATCTGGGTCTATGTTGTGTTTAATATTGCGATGGCGACGGTCTTGTATTATATGTTCCGGGTGAGGAAGTGGGATTTGGCGAGTTTGAAGAAGAGATTTGGGAAGAGTTCATAATTTTTAATGTTGTCATCTATTTTGCATAGAGTATTGTTATTAGCGTATCATTAATTATTTAACCAATAGACTACATTAAATGTGCATCCAGTCGGGGACCCAATGCGGAAGCCCACGTGAAACTCGTATAAGATCAATTTCAATTTCTTCACATTTCTATTCTTCCCCCACTCAAGTTGATATCCAGGATGTCTTCCCAAAACATCTACGACAATTCCACCTTTTTCTCTGCCTACGGGACCCTCCCCCGCTCGCAGCTCGGGCTACCAGGTGCCCCGGAATGGCCCGCCCTGCAGGCCATGGTACTCGGCGACGCAGCCCAATCACTACAAGGACACCGCGTTCTTGATCTCGGATGCGGGTATGGCTGGTTCACGCGCTGGGCCCGAGACAGCGGGGCCCATGTGAAGGGGGTCGATATTTCAGAGAAGATGATTTCGCGAGCAAGGGAGTCAGAGGCCAATTCGAATTCGTCTACAGGGGAGATAAAGTATGAAGTGGCGGATATCGAGTCGATTACCTTCAAAGGAGAACGGGAAGGGTATGATCTGGTTTACAGCTCGCTGACACTGCACTATATCGAGGATTTGAGTCGACTCTATCGCGAGATCCATACCGCGCTTAGGAAAGGAGGCAAGTTTGTCTTCTCGGTTGAGCACCCGATATGCTCTGCGCCTGTTAATCCAGGGCCGGACTGGAAATCTATACAGGGAGAAGGCCAAGAACACAAGATATGGCCCTTGAACGGGTACAGCGACGAAGGGTGGCGGGTCACAAGCTGGCTTGGTGTCGACGGGGTGAGGAAGTACCATCGGACGGTGGAAACATATGTCCAGCTTCTTTTGAAGAATGGCTTTGCTTTGACGGGGTTCAGGGACTGGGCGCCCTCTTTGGAGGACGTTGCAGAGCATCCTGAGTGGAAGGACGAGAGACATCGGCCTTATTTCTTGTTGATCAGTGCAGAAGCGACCTAAATATTGGATAGACGTTACTGCCCCTGGTGGAGAGGATATATTCATGAATCAATAAACCCCCGAAGTCTCTGTTTGAGAAAAACCAATCTAGTCATGACGCAGAATTGCCAACTTGTTGACATATACCTCAAACTGTATCAGTTTCCCAGCTACGATGCAGCTGCCCATTGAGGCCTGGTAAAGCTGCAACTTTATACAGGGAGACGTGTTGTGGCGTGGTATAAACATAAAGACACGAACTAGTTGAAGGAGACAGGAGAAAGGGGTTGCCATCAGCCGTGTAAGTTAAACGAGTCCCAAGACTATCCACTTGTCTTACCTGACTCGCTATGATATACACCATTCGCAGACAGCTTCACCGAGAGAACCGACGATCTATACCGACATCAAATCTGTATACCTTATGAGCACCCGGGAGCGACAAACCCGAATCGCGAGAGGATACGAGGTAACACCTGCAGATACTATGTATAGGACAATGATTGACCCGAAGCGGAGATGACTCCGTCATCCTAGGCCAGACAGAAACAAAACAGGGTCCACGAGTCATGGACAGCATTGGCATTCATGACGAAACGCGTATTCGGCCTGAGGCCCAGCCAAGAAAGGGACCAGCGGAGGCGTGACAGAAAGAGTAATTCACCGGAGACAGTGTCTGACTTGGCTCGGCTAATTGGATTTATACTGTCTGATTGGAGGTTTAACTCCAGCAGGACTGGCGATCTGCAGTGCCACGAGTTTCGTCACGATCTTGGCGTGTGGGATAAACAGCCGACGAGATGTATAAAGGCCTTCTCGCGGACAGACGGATTTTCGTTTCACAGCAGTCAGCAATCTATCACAATGGTATCCAACTACTTTATTACGGCAGCGCTGGCACTCGCCGCTACAGCCTCTGCCCAGTGTGGCTCCGGCACCCCCGATGCCACCGTCGACGGCGAAGAAGGCGCCTACACTGCGTCCGTGGGTGGCAGCGAGGTCTACTCCGGCGACGACTACTACGCTGCAATCACTGCCGGGCTTGACGGGATCAGCTCCGGCCAGCGCCTGTCCATCATTGCCTCCGGCTCGATTGGCTCGAACGTGATCGATATCGACAGCGGCAAGATCTTCGAAGGCTGCGGCACCATCGACGTCCAGGAGAACAGTGGCCGTGGGAATATCCGGTCGCTGGGCACGACGGATGTTCAGATCCCATACCTCTCTCTCACTGGCGCCCCGTACTTCGGTCTGCACTTTTACGGGGTCAGCGGTCTTTCCCTGGGCGAGATCACGATGAACCTGAGCGGAGGAATCGGTATCCGCTTTGAACGCGACGAAGCTGCCAACACTGATGTGTCGATGGATGTTATCAATGTTACTGGCGCAGGTAGCCACGCTGTCGAGACCTGGAACATCGACGGCCTCACCATCAACCAGGTCATCGCCAGGGACGTCGGCGAGTGCGGCCTGCTCATCCAGGCCACGACAAACGCGCAGATCGGAACTGTTGACGCCGAGAACGTTGCTGCAGGCACCGGATACGCAGCCTTCCGTATGGCGAACCAGAACGGCAGACTGGCAGACGGCAGCTACGAAACCAACGTGTTTGTGGAGAACGTCATCGCGACGGGCGGAGGCCGTGGAGTGTTCTGTGTGTCCGAGTCTGGCGGTGTTGAGATTGCCAACGTCGAGATCTCCGACACGGAGAACAACTCGATCCTCATTGAGAACTGCTACGGGGTGTCGATTCTGGGGGGGACTGTCACTGGGGGTGGCGAGATCCGCATCTCTGCTCGCGACGAGTTTGAGATTACCAGCGATGTCTCGATCTCGCTCGAGGCCAACGGCGTCACTGTTGCTGAGAATCCCTGTGGAGAGAATATCACTTGGGATATCAGCGGTGATGCCACTCTTGACGTCTGCTCGGCGTGATAGACTATATACAGTCTACACTATAGCTCTGCTATGTACAACGTGTTTATTTAAATCAATTGTCATTCCCTATCTTTCTCTATTATATACTAGGAACAGAGTGTCTCAATCTGAGACTCTTGGCTGATATATCTCCGACAACTGGCGTAACAGTTGGATTATATGACTGGGGAGACTTAGGGCTGGCCGTGAATGAGTTATAACGATGGTATTCAACTAAGTCATTGATAATTACTTCCCCTTGCCCTCTGCATGCTTTCTCTCCTTCCACTCTGCTGCAATATCCTCCCACTGCTTGATCTCGTTCTCCCTCAGATCACCAGGGAAGAAGGTCCCCAGCATGCTCTTCCCCAGCTTCTCGTACTTCTTCTCAACCTCCATGAGGGCCTGCATCACCTTGACTTCTCCTACAACCTCTACAAAGTCCAGGGGCACTCCATAAGCTGCAGGGGTTCTCTTCCATCCGGCAACAAAGATATTCTGCAGCATCCCAAGCCCCCCGACTGCAATCAGATACCAGGTCCCGGTGTCAACTCCAGATGCTGTAATCAGCAGAACAACCCATGCAATGCCCAGAGCAATCGTCACCAGCTGCGCCCAGACTGTGATCGTCGGTTTATCAATCATCGAGAACCCCGTCGCCAGATCCTCCAGGTCCAGCCCATACCCATCACTCACGATCGCAATGGCATGCTGCGCCCCATTGCCCCTGGTCAGCACAAAATTCTTCTTCGTCCGCGTATCCAGACTGCGACACGCCCACTTCTCGACCCTCCACTGGTTCATCGCCCCCGTCACATAACACAGCCCCGTCGCGGCCCCCGTAATCATCAACACCCCCCAGTCCCCATTAAGTCCCGCCGGTATACTCGCAATCCCCAGCTGCACAAGCGTCACCACCAACCCACTCCAAAACAGCAAATCCTTCCCGGGAACCCCATGCTTCAGCGTCCGACTCGGCTTGTAGATACTAACCACCAGCCCCGCCTGACTCGGCCGCGGCACTGTAACCCCATCATCGGGGTACTTCTCCGTCTCGCGCGCCTGGTCGAACTTCCACCGCGCATCTAGTAGCGAGTCCGTCTTTTCCCGCGTCGCCTTGTGCATCCAGTAGTCGTAGTCGCGCATCATCCGCCCAAGAACCCAGCTGTTGTTGCCGCGCACGTACCCGTTCTTCCCGTTTATCAGCGAGCACCCTGTATCCGCGTCGGGCATGAGTCTGTACTCGCCCAGCGCCGAGCATACGGCCGAGGTTGCGTACGACACCCATCCTAGTCAGTCAGAACAAGTTCAAGAAAGTCAGGTATATTTATTTATTTTGTGTACCGAATGAAAAAGCGACAGGGGTCAGCCAGCCGCCGACTAACTGGGCCAGGGCGCGGTTGACGAGATCGCCGCCGATGAGCAGCAGGATGGTGAATGCGTAGTTTGAGGGCGTGGACCATTCGTCGCGGAAACTGGCGGCGGGGGCGCCCGGGTCGAAGTCGCGCTGGAGGAGATTGAGGAGGCGTGTGGGGGGCATTTTCTATTATTATTTATGGCTGGATGCGATGGTGGTGGTGGTTATATGTTATTGTGGAGCTGAACTGCAGAGAGGGACGACGTCTCACGCGACAAAAGAGTTACTGGGAGAGCAACAGTTTAAGAATGATTTCAGAGTGTTTTGAGAGTGGAGCTGTCAGCCTGAGTTCAGCTGGCCCAGCACTAGTTACTAGTCCAGGATCACTCAGCCTGCAGGATCTGGGCTGCAACAGAATTGGGGGAAAGCTGAACACGCGCTGGCCAATCTGACAACAGCCTTGATTCCTGCAAGGGTTTAGTGACTTGGCATGAACATTTTCATTAATCAAGACTAAGGTAGACGTGAATATAAATCCCTTTGATAAGGTTATTGCGTGCGACATCGAAGCACCCCACACCCATTATCCTCGTGAATAATCAATTAGGGTTCCGACTTAATAAAGCTCTTAGTGTCGCATAACGCCTTTATCGCAGGATTTACTGCTATCTGATGAGGAGCAGCTTATCCGCGATAATCACTTTATTCCAGGTATACGCACTAGGCTACATTAAATTCGCGGCAATATCATCTAGTTCAGAGTCCCTGCACATTACCAGGGCGGGACACAGCGCTCTGTCCGTTATTTGGTACGACGCTGTCTCCACAGCATGATTCCTCGTGCCCTCTTCAGTGGATACAGAACTGGCTACCCGTGTTTTGGCTCTAAATACTGGCGTGTCTATGTGTCGGGCATGACTGCTTGTGTTCAGATAGATGGCAAGTGATCTCTAAAGAACATTCAACGACATGAGAGGCAGTGGTCTGATGGCCAGTAACAAGAAGACAATCGCGTCATCTGAACCCTTAACGGCGAGTATTCGTGGCATGCCCTACTTGATCTACCCAGACGGAAGGTCACGCCTGCAGACGTGGTCATGTTATGGTACAGCATCTACGTTTACGCATTGTGCCACTGCTTTTGGCCGGTAAGGGTGAAAGTAGATTCGGACCGTGACTGGGTCGAGTCGCTACTGTAGTACAAAGCCCTGCCTCGGCTGAGATAGAGCATCGGCGGGTTTACAGACACCGTTGGAATTAATGCAGCTACCGTATCGTTCTGAGGATCATACTCTATCTGCTTTGCAGGCGGGACCATGAGAAGCGGTTGTGCAATATTCTCCTACGTTGTCTGTTATGTCTATGTCTATGACTGGATATTGATTTTTACTCTAGGATCATATGCAGGTGAATCGGTTCAAAATACTCCGACATCATGAGCTGTAGCGCACAGGTTTGGTAGTGTGATACATGATAAGGATCACATTTAAGTACTCAGCGCCCTCACATTCGTTTGATTATCTACGGATATTACGGCCAGCCTAATAGGCGGGATTATCCTTTATTACAATGGTCTTCTCAATATGGCGAAAGCAGCCGAAGACGGTCCTTACTGACAAGATAATCCCACTACGGGTGTGGGACGATTCGCCCTCCCTTCGTTATATGGCCTTCGACTTCACCATGCAGTTCAATGACGTGCTGGATCCATCCAAACTCGAGGCTGGGCTAGACCAGTTGATAGACACCGGAGAGTGGAGGCAGCTCGGGGCTCGGCTTCGTGCCAATGTACGTGATATAGACCTAACGTGCCGAATGAGTTAAACAGTGATTCAGCGCAGTGGCCATCTCGAGTACCATCTCCCCGTGCGCTATGACGCATCTCGGCCGGCATTTCGCTTTACGACAGCTAAACACTGCATGAGTATTCAGAATCATATATTGGGCTCCCGCTTGCCACGGCCAGGAGATGATACATACTTATATCCTTCTCCTGAAGAGTTTAAGCCGTTGCTACGTCACCCGAAGTCTCCTCGCTGGATATCAGACTGGATATACTCTGACGCTCCGCAGTTACATATCCACGTTGTAGTATTCCAGGATGTCACTCTGGTCACCATCACCCATTTGCACGTGTTATTCGATGCCATGTCGCGAGCTGCATTCATCAAAGCCTGGGCGGCTGCTGTAGGTGACAGAGTTCAAGACATTCCTCGCTGTATCCCGATGGACCAAGACCCGTTCGCCGCAGTAGGGAATGACAAGGCCAGTGCCAGGAACTACGTTTACCACGAGCAGCTTCTTTCCTGGCCCGCTCTGGTAATCTTCTTCCTTCGGCTGCTTTTCGAACTACTGTGGCACTGGGGAGCCGAAGAGCACACTTTCCGATTACCAGGACGATGCGTGGATCGAATGCGCGACGCCACGCTATCTAGTCTCACGCCAGTCAGCGACAAATCCATACCAGCCCACGCACCTTTCGTCAGCGAGAGCGATATAATTCTTTCCTGGTGGGCGCGGACGATGGTCAAGGCACTAAACGTCTCGCCGTCTCGCAATATATTGATCATGAACGTAGTCAATGTCATAACCCTCTTCGCAGACCGGATTCCGTCCGACGCCGTTTGTCTAGGGAATGCAGGATCTCTCGCTAATACCATGTTTACTGCTGCACAGGCTATCGATGATGAGGGTTTGGCCTACATCTCGTCCAAGCTCCGGCAGGACCTTGTCAAGCATAGAAAACTAGAGCAAGTGGATGCCTTGGTCTCTATCCAGAAACACTCCGTCGCGAAGATAGTCTCGTGGCTGGTTGGAGGCGGAAATGTACTATTCCTGCCATGTTCGAACCACCACAAAGGCCGTTATTTCGAAGTGGATTTTTCTGCTGCGTTGGTTGAGCCGGTTACTGGCGATGAAAGTTCCAATAGAGGAAAACCATCCTTCGTCAACGACGCCTATTATTGCTCGGTATATCCGACAAGGAACTTCCTCCGGGTCCTTGGGAAGGATGCAAACGGGGACTGGTGGCTCGCATCTAATACTCGAGTCTCTGCTTGGCCTGTTATTCAGAAGGAGTTGATGGCGTTGGTGGACTATCGAGAGGAGTGCTAAGTGTTTAATATAAGGAACCATATCCTCAGCACCTCGTATACAAATATCCACTAGGCAACAATATCCTAAACAGGTAACAATCTCTATGCAGATCCTCATTAGCCCGATAGTGGAGCGTTCTTCGTATTTAACCTGGCCCATCCCATTCTGATAAATATTTCCCATTCTCATCTTCCCACTACCCGTCGAAGCGTCATTTGGAACTTTCGCCCTCATTCATTAGCATATCAGTTACAGCAACAATGCCCTCAGAGCCCAAACCAGAAGAACTAGCCGCCATCTGGCGAGATATCCTCCAGAACGACACAAAAAGCTGGGTCCTGTTCGAGCACGGGACCTGCGTTATCCTCATGGAGCCCTCTGGCGACCTGGCCACACAAGCAACGGAGCTTCTGTCACAATGGGGTCCCGTCCAGGTTGCGACCCCGTCTGCCGATTTTGAGTGTATGGAGCTGGATGGTGAGCCTGTCTCTGGCTGGATTGTGACCGGGCACCATCCTGATGTGCTGAACTATGTCCTTCCTGAGGATGCGGAGCGTGTGGGATCGGGGGACCTGCAGGTTGGGTTGCTTGGGAGGTCTAATCGGGATGCTGATGGTACTGAGTTAAGGGTTATTCATGTTGAGGATAATCGTCCTAGGGTTTGATTTACAGATGATGTAGCGAATAATTCAGTCTATTTGATATCATATAAATTATCTAACCCTCAATGTATTCATTAAAGATCGTCTTGAAATTCATCATTGCCGCCATCTTCAATCATTCAGCACCCCGCGATATGATGGCACTGTCGCTATAGCGCTGGGGGCTCCATATGCCAGGCGACGCTGCGGCTCCCTTCATCCTCCAAGATACCACTCTCATCCGGAGGAAGTGGCAGTCCCAGGCTGGCAAGATATTGATCTATCTCTTCATACCCATAGTTATCACGAAGACACCGGCGTGCCAGCATGCGGACGTTCTCGCCATTGTTCGATTCCGCATTTATATTTGCCCCCTTGCTAACCAGATATTGAAGGGCCGCAATCGGCGTTGAAGGAGTGCTTCGCGCACTGTTTACGCAGTAATATAGAGCTGTCAGGCCCTCTGCATCTTGAGCTTCGATATTGGCGCCGCTGTCCACCAGGATTGCCATCATCCATGGGTTCCACATCCCAGCCGCGCGATGTAAGGCAGTTGCACCTCCGCCATCGCGCAGTGCATGTTTAATACCTGGATGGTTTGCAAGGATATAGAGAACTTGGAGCTCTTTGCTTCCTGGTAGGGGGTATTTTTCTTTATAGCTGTCGGATGTGGAAACATGCAGTAGACATAGACCGTCGTCGTCCCTTTCATTTGGGTCTGCCCCTCGCGTGAGGAGAAGTCTAACAACCGCGCTACAACCTGTGCGAACCGCTCTATTGATAGCGGTATCTCCTTGCTTGTCTCTGTGGTTCAAGTTGCTGCCCTTGTCGAGCAAAAAGCGCACTGCAGACGTCCGCCCCTTTCCTGCTGCCACCATCAATGGAGTCTCGCCCTGTTGGTTTGTCTGGTTAATATCATAGCCCTTTGCATGTAGCTGCTCCAGTACTGTCACATGTCCGTTGGATGCAGCATGGTGCAGGGCTGGGTCGCAGGATTTATTCGTTGATATAGGGCTGGCACCCGCTCCACCGAACCGCGCAAGTACCGACTTCCATCCATTACTGGCAGCCATGATGATCGAGCTGCGCCCCTTATGGTCTTCGCTGTTTGGATTGGCCCCTCTTTGCAAAAGCAGAGCTACCACAGCGTCATGACCTTGGCATGCCGCATGATGCAGTGGCGTCTGCCCGTATTCGTCCGTGACATCAATATCTGCACCGCGGTCCAGCAGCATCCGCACAATCTCGACACTACCAGCGTTGGCTGCTGCTTGGAGTGACGTTCCAAACAGACCATTCTGCCAGCGCGATGGGCTCTTTTCGATAAACAGAGTGCGGATGTTGCCCAGCTGGAGCCCTCTCCTGCTTTCACCCGCCCTTGGATCAAGCCTGGGGGGTCCACCCTCCCTCTGGACATCTGCTCCAGCGTCCAGAAGCTGCTGGACAATTGCTTCATGGCGCTGTGACGCTGCTGCTTGTAGAGCAGTCCCAAACCTGCCGCTCTCCTGGTTAACATCGGCGCCATTCTCTAACAAGATCCGTACAACCTCCTTGGAGCCCGCAAAGGCAGCGCCCTGAAGTGCAGTGCCGTACCTGCCGGATATTTCATTAACGTCGGCTCGCATATTTACCAGCGTCTTGACGATATCGACCCGGCCAAATAGCGAGGCAACCTGTAATACAGATGGCATTCGTCGCCCCCTCACTGCCAGACCGGCGTTGTACTTGAGGAGGATTCTGGTAACGGGCTCGTGCCCAGCGAAGATTGCACCGTGTAATGCAGTAATCCCCATCTGTGAATCACGTTCCCCATCCCGCGAACCAAAAGAGGAGATATATGAAGTCTCTGGGTCGCTGACGCCTCCGCTGTTAGCTGACTCTCTATCGGCTTCTGGGTTGACGATATCATCATTTGAATCTTCATCATGGGGCTCTTCACGCTCGGCTTGCCTAGTGTTCGATACCTCAGAAGAGGCATCAGAGTCGCTATCGCTGGCATAGGGATTGTCAACGGACTCGGAATCCAATTCCCCTTGGTTGACCTCAGATATGCTGCCCATCTCCAAAGGTCCCTCATACATGTACGGCCTGAAGTCAGGATAATCAGCCAACACATTTATGTCTGCGCCATATTGCAATAACATCGTCACCATGTCGCAGTTCCCCTCGAGTGCCGCACGCAATAAAGCTGGCCCTGTCATTTCCGCACGCAAATAGCTCTTTGTCTCCCTCAAAAGAAAGTTTAAGAGCTCTGTATTGCCCTTTATACAGGTCGATGTTATTGCTTCGGAGGTTATCCTCGCGCCACGCTCCACCAGAAACTGCACTATTGTGGCGTGGCCCCCTTTCGTTGCAGCAGATAGGGCTTTACTCTGGTCTCGCAGACTGATACCTTCACCGAGGAGCAGCTGAACGATGCTTATGTGCCCAAATGCAGCTGCAGACTCCAATGCAGCTGGTATTTCGGGGCAGTAAGTCGACCGGATAACCCTGCTCAGCAACAGCTGGAAGACACTTTCGTGTCCATTCCGCGCAGCCCGCTCGAGGGGACACTGGTATAGAACGCGGTGATTTTCTCGGTCCTTAGTGCCACTGAGCATGTTGCACAGATCCGATAATCCCCATCCTATGCCGTCTTTTGGGTCTGCGCCACGGTCCAGCAAAGCTCTGGTTAGTTGTTCATCTCCACTCTCTGCAGCTCGCTCAAGAGCAGCGTTTAGAGCCTGACTTGGATAGTCGAGACCTTCACTTTTCTTAACCAGGAAGGATAGCAAGTCGAGGTGGTTTCCTGCTGCGGCTGCCTCGATTGGGGTTCGGAAGCCGCTGACATCAGTATTTATACTGGCACCATGCTCGAGAAGGTATTCGGCGACATCACGATGCCCTCCAAAACAGGCGACTTGTAAAGCAGCACCGACCTTCGCCCCGTTTTCGAGCAGCATTTTCACTGCATCTAAATGGCCAGCGCCAGATGCAGCCTGCAGCGCTGTGCCAAATGAACCGCCTTCAATATTTGGGTCCGCCCCTTTATCGAGGCATAGCTTGATAATTTTCAAGAAACCATCTCGCGCAGCGGCCTGTAGAGGCGTAGCATATGTCCCTGCCACCAGGTTGGGGTTGGCATCGTTATCCAAAAGCAGCTTCACAATATCAGAGTTTCCCGAGCGAGCAGCAGCCTGAAGGGGCGTGCCGTAAACCCCAGCTTGAATGTTGACCCCAGCCCCGTTATCAACTAAGAATTTCACAAAGCTGTAATGGGACTGGCGGCATGCTGCAGCGAGAGGAGTCCCGTAAGTCCCATTTTCGCTATCCACGTCGGCACCGGCTCTAAGTAACGTAGTTGCAATGGGAATACTTCCAGACACTGCCGCTGCTTGCAGACAACTGCCATAGCGACCTCCTTCGCTGTTCACGTCCAGTAGCTTTGAAGCTACCAGTTCCTCCACGACCTCTTTATGCCCTGCCCGAGCGGCTGCGTGGATGGCTGGGCCGAAGCCCGACTTTTTGAGATTCATATCGAGCGTCCTATCCAAGGACAACTGTACTGTTTCCTCGGCTCTCCTCTCTGCTGAGATAAACCTATTGGGTAACATCTGTTGGTTGTCCAGGATGTATTTCACAGTTTTTCTTACTCCTTCGGCAATGGCGACAGTTGGTGCCGTCTCATAGATCGTTTCATAGGCGCCTCCGGGTGCATTAATGTCAGCGCCTGAAGCCAGAAGCTCTTTGACCACATGCAGATGGCCTCGGAGTGATGCAGCCTGAAGGGCTGTTCCGAACTGGCCACCCTCGGCCTCAATATCGACACCATTTCCCAGTATCTGGCGGAGAATGCTCAGGTGGCCGTGCAGGGCTGCTGCCTGGAGAGCTGTTCCAAACCGCCGGCCTTGAATCCTTGCATTGGCCCCTTGGTCGAGTAGGAACTGAACAATATGGCCATATCCCGCGCAGGATGCACGAATCAGAGCCGTCTCTTCGTATTTATCCTTTGCATCAATATCGGCCCGCCCGTTCAATAGCTCCTTCGCAACTTCGAGGTGGCCATATTGACATGCCAGATGTAGCCCGGTTGCCCCCATTGAATTTTCAGCCCTGAAAAGCGCTGGCTCTATCTGGCGGTACCGTGCAACAACCTCGACGATGCCAAATGCACATCCCGCAAAGAACGACGTCTCCGGTGAGCTGAGGGCTTGCATAATCTTGTCTTTGAATGGGTCGTTCCAGTCCAAGATATCACAAACGACCCTCAGCTTTTCCAGCCAGTCAGTAAACCACTGCTGCATGCCGCCATCTGCCAGGCATAGATCCCGTATCGCATCTTCGATCGTTACGGTGGGACGATTTGGGCCAGCTTTCTCGACATGAGACACCCAGTACAGGATTGAATAGCAGTAAAGGGACTCGCGTTTCAGAGATAAAGGCGCGGGAATTGTGACTGCCTGGGTGATTTCCCGAAGGCAAACATCAGCAGCAGTGGCATTTCTGCTATGTACACTGAACTCGGCTTTGTCTTCGAAGAAGTCTTTGACGGAGGTGTGGATGAATCTGAAGGTGTCCAGACCCTCGTCAACCATGACAAGATTCATGCAGCTCTGGATGATGATCTCCTCTGATATATCGGATTTGACGTGCTTAGCTAGCGCAACTCGCAGCTCGCCACGGCCTAAAGGGACTACGGTGCACAGCAGCCAGTGGATCATCGTGACTGCGGTCTCGCGCATCTTCTGGCCTCCTTGCCTTATCTTGCTATATATTGCAGAGTAGACTCCAGATAGTTCGTCTGGGGCCTCACAGACTCGTTGCAGGGCATCCTCTTCAAATGTCGTTTGCGTCGGGTCGTTCAACAGGTCAGCTTGCAGTTTGATCCACAGAAACCTGGATTGATCAGCTCAAGTTTATCGACAGTGAAATGTGAGATATCTTACATTCCTTGTGCACCGTCGATGAGAGCCCTTGCCAGCCGTTCCTCAAACTTGCTGGAAATGGGTATCATGCGCAGCTTCATGTCCTCTGCGCATTCGTTCGCCTTGAGCCAGGCGAAGCTGTTGATATCGGTCTTGTTCTGCCCTGCGTCGATGGTATAAGAGTTGTCCAGAGCTCTGACGTGAGTTGATATTTCGAGACTCGGTCTGCTAGAGATCAGTATCTTGACCACCCGCTTGCCATGCGGTTCCAGCAGACCGAGCACGATCTGGAATAGCTCTTTCTGCTGCGCTGGGGTGCATTCGTCCACCGCGTCCACGAATATCAGTGTCGTCTGCTCCTCTACCAGCTGCATAAGCAGATTCCTCGTGTCAGGGAATGCCAGCACTTCCATCCCGTAGCCCTGGTCCTGCATATCTTGGTATTTCTGAACCACGGCCCCGCGAAGAGGCTTTCCAGGTCCTGTCCGGGATAGTTGCTTTATTATATTGCGTGCCAACGACTCGGGCTCGTCGTCTGGGATGGCTGCATTCCGGGAGCAGTATATATACGCCAACGGGCTTGCCTGGAGGGCTGTTTGGTTCGCTCGGACGCTGTCAATAATCAGGGACCTATCAAGCATGATTAGTACATTTCCTGAGCAGCAGAGGATGATTTGTTCACATCAGTGTGCTTTTTCCGGTCCCCGCTGGTCGTGTTAGCATACGATATTCGGCGCCTTATTTGAAAGGTACTTACCCTGCCCTTGTAGCCACAGAACTGACGACTCTGCCGACGTCCTCCACTGCTTATACTGAGGCTGATCGAATACCCACAGCCCGGTGCCTTTCATGCGGTTCACTCGCAAGCTTTGGTGATACTTGTCGTACGAGACACGAGAAAGCCAATTGAGGATTTGCGTCTCCTCCTGGACTGTGCTGTTCAGCGCAACTCTGCAACAACAGGTCGGTATAAATACCCTTAAGGTTCCTGACGAGGTCTATCATGCCATCATGTATTTCTTGTATTGGATCTTGAAACTCCTCTAGTGCCTTTCGCAATGCTGTCTGTGTACTCTGGACATCTCCGAGCTGGGTTTGAGTTCTACTCGCGGTATCTCGTTGACCTGCATTCAGTCAGCCTTGAACAGTTATAAAGTGCTATCCATACGCTCAGCATCGACAAGACGTCCAAGGTCATCGACAACTGTGTGCTGCGACCGAACCTCGTCAATCAGCTCCTTCAGCTGGGCCGGCGTCCAGACACTGTCAAAGAGGCGTCCTAGTCAGTCAATATCTGCAGCTTTCTGTATAATAGATTTCCGCACGTACTCCCTATGCCCTTCTCATGATACGTCTTCAGCTTTGCTATAAACGTCAAAGCGCGAGAGTACATTCGCACCAGTTCTCCCTTTAACGTTTTACTGATCTGAGAGTCGTCTCCCAGATAGAGGTTCTCAAAAACGGTATATCGGGGAACGAGCACTGCCAGCACCTGTAGTCCTTCCTGTGCAAGACTGTCATGCTCAAAGTAATTGACAGCAATCTACACACCCTCATATCAGCCATCGACCCAGGAAGATACCGATATCCTACCTGAAGACCCAATCCGACCGCCGCCCACGGGATAGCCAGATGCGTAGGATCCAGCGCCGCGATAGAATCACCGAGTTTCTTGAAATGCGCAACCCTGTCGACGACTCTGTTGAAGAGATCGTGTAGCTCTCCTTTCGTCCCGTCTCTCTTCCGGTATGTCCACCGCTTCTGCTTGCTCAGTCTCTCCTTCTCCTTTGCGCTTTCAAGAACATCGTCGAGGACGTTTAGCTTGTTCGCGGCGTGGCCCCATATCAGCGCTCTGTCGGATTCATCGAGTTCTCTAATCGCCTCAGCCCAGAGGTCTGTTTCGGGTGCGTCTAGTCAAGCGGTAGCAATTAGCAAGAGTTCACGCCTTGTATTCGTCCCAGATTCTTTACTATGCTGAGCCATATCCCTCTCCCTCTCGATCGCTAGCACCGGCAGATGGCTCAGATTCAGACCATCAAGGTCTGTGAAGGTGTGAGGATCTGAATGAAAGCAGAGGGGTTGAGCTGAGCCTCGATTCAGCCCCGCGGCTGGTTCGCGTTCTGCAGCGCTGACATTGCTTGCCAGCGTGTCTTGGCCCCTGTCGGCCATTCTCGAATGAGATACGGCGAATATCCATTGATTGGGGGCGATGCATTTAGTTGCAGCTTGGGGTGGCGCAGCCCACTGATCCTCCTATCAAACATCTCTGCAGCAGCCACCAGCTAACTGTCGTAAATACCTAGAGCCAGCCCGGGAGCTGCATTGCGCAACGGTTATGGTTCGGATTTTATACACATGCTGCTCTCAGTGGAGGACGACAACATTCACAGCATGAGATACGTTGGAAGTACATTATCTATAACAAATAAATACATACCATCGAGCTCTCCAACATAAACTACTGAACCCTGGAGATTTTGAATCCCCCCGGAATCCTCGTCTGGAACTTGCTCTCAGGGTCGTACTTCTTCGCAACCCTGTGCATATGCTCAACGCTTTCTTCTCCATAACTGCCTAACGGATCCTGCGAGAAATCCGCATAGTTCAGATATCTCAGCTGATTGTCGGCACCAATACTCTCCGAATACTGTTCCAGCTCTGCAACCATCTCGTGCATACGCGCCGACGCGACTGCAAAATCAGACTGGTTGGTGTATACGAATATCCCAGCAGTCCAGAGCACGGCGTCTCCGTCTCGCAGAGTCTCTGCGAACATGTTGCCGCCTCTCTTCTCGCTGATGTCTGCGAAGAAGGAGGGGAGGGGCTGGAAGAATATAATGCTGTAGAAGCTCTTCTTTCCGATGGACTCTTGCACGTCCGCGGCGAACCTGCTGTGTGCTGATGCCGCGTAGTTGAGCATCTTTGCGTCGTTTTTGAATGTGAGAGTTGTTTGCAGGGCCCTAGCTAATTAGTATATTTGGGTTTTGCTTTGAAGGGGGACATACCATGCATCCCCTGGGAGAGTCGAGTTCCGGGCTGCCTCATAGAGGTGGCCGACGTTCTGCTCGAATGGCTTCGTCTGGGGAATCTTCCTAAACTTGTCAAAGCCAGTGCTGTTCTGTTCGCCCTGAATATTGACCTCAATCGTGGCCAGGATATCCTCGCCCTCGACATGCGCCAGAATCGCAATCAGCGCATCATCATCATGCTGCTGCTGCTTGTCCGTGAAGTCAACAATCGCATCCACAAACTGCCCCGTATACTTCGTGCTGATACTCCTCTGCCCCCTGGCAAGCTTCGTATCCGGCAACGCCTCCATGTCATACCGGGTAACAACCCCAAAGTTACTCCCACCACCCTTCAACGCCCTCCACAGATCCGCATTCTCATTCTTATTCGCATTCACAATCGTCCCATTCGCAAGCGCAACCTCAAAGTTGGCAATGGCATCACATCCAAACCCTTCCTTGGCCATGTAATACGTTGACCCGCCACCAAGCAAGAACCCGCCCACGCCAACATCGCCATCGCGCCCACCAGTGGCAACAACACCGTACTTATGCAGCGAGGCATAAACATCCTGCCACTTCGCTCCGGGGCCGATACTCGCGATGTTTGTCTTTGCATTGTATGATGTGCCGTTAAGATACTTCAGGTCGATCGTTACCCCGTTTTCGATGTTATTCGAGTCGCCGAGGTTATGCCCGCCTGCGCGGACGGCAATGTGCCAGTCTCCGCCGCTGCTGACTGGGTCCGAGGCGTCGCCGTCCAGGAGAGCTGTCAAGGCGGTTGAGACTTCCTGTGTGCTGTGTGGTTGCACGAGACAGTAGGGGTGTCGTCGGGGGTTTAGGGCCCAGTAGCTCTGGATGCGTGGTTCATAGGATGTGTTGGTCGGGAGGACGACTCTATCCCCTAGGCCGGCTGCGATGAGGGCGTCGCACTGGGATGTTAGATTGGTTAAGTAAGCCAAGGGAGGTTACGAACAGGAGGGTAACCGGTGCCAGCCCATGGAAGAGTGGCAGCAACGGGGCTGCTTAACGCTGTGAGTACTGTGGCTGTGAGAGCCATGTTGGGTAGGCTTTGTATCATGATGTTGGTGAAGATATTGAGCTGAACCTCTACTTCTTCCCAGGATGCAGCATCTTTATAGACATCTTTATAGACAGACAACATGGTCGCCTATATGCTATACACGCCTTTTTTGTAATCTCCCTATTCAGAAAGAAGCCTTGCCAAGCAGCCGATCAGTGGAGCCCTCGCCCGCACAAAGAACCAGTCGACGTCAGCCCCGCCAGCCGCAGCTGAGCACATTGGGGGCCATTGGGGGCCGCCGGGTTCCTCGGGCCCGACGGCCTGCGCCCCTGGAGGGGTTTTTATCAACACGCCCAGACTTCCTCCATCCTGTCTGGCACAGTCACCACTGCCCAGAATCTGCCGAGAGACGCTGTGGAGCGCTAGACATCGTCATGACGGGGATCGCCATGGAACAACGCAAACGCCACTGCTGGGAATGTCTCCGCCGGTCGCTGGTCTGCGACTTCACGGAGCCCGAGTGCAAGCGGTGTATTAAAAGCGGGACTCAGTGTCCTGGATATGGCGAGAAGGAGCCCTTGAGGCTTAACTGGCTTGCTCCGGGCAAGGTCAAGTCGCGGACTCGGGCTCGTAAAACGAAGACCAGCGGGCATGGCAGCAAGGAGCCCATGATTACGATCAATGAACGCGCGAAAAACCCCGATTTCCTAATTATCCCTCGGAGTTGCTTCAAGGTTAATGCTGACGCCATCTTTGATGCGGTCGATTACTGCAAGTCGTCCCTATACCCCACGTGTCAGAGCTTTGCTGACAGGTGCAGATAACTCCGCAATGTACCCCTTTCTGGTAGAGAATATGGTCGGCAATCATCCGGGAGTTTACAAGATCCAGCCGGCTCATATACACGCGGGCGTAGCGCGGCCGGACTATCTCCGCCTGGAAATTGTCTGCATGTCGTTGAATCATCGAATTCACAGCGCGAAGGATCCGTCTTATGCCCAGTCTCTAGCGCCCACTTATTATCATTTCCGAGGCTTGATTCTGCACTCGCTTAATGCGACAATCGCCAATGAGAAGGCTCGAAAGAAGAATATCAATTTCCTGATGGCGGGAATACTGTGCCTCCTGCTAGCCGATGTATGCCCCATACCACTGGAACCAAATGACCTCACATTTTGACCCATACAGGCCCACCAAGGAATATTATTTCACTGGCGATTCCACCTGCAAGGGATCCAGCAGCTCATCGCGCTCCGTGGGGGTTTGCGGGCCCTAGCCGGTCCAGGCGTCGAGCCTCTCCTCCTCTGCTATGCATAGTATGTCCATATCCCCGAGCAAAACAAGCAGAAGAGATCCGCCTAACTGTGCAGCGTCACTGTCCTCGGCGACACATCCTCGCCCGCTGACGATCTCACTATGAGCACCACCCTCCTCGCCGAGCTGGACACCATCCTGGAGGACTACGGCGACAAGCCCTACACCTTCTACCCCTTCCCAATCCCCCTTTTCACAGCCACCGTCAAGATCAACCACCTGCGAGCCCGCGCCGCAGCCCTCCGCCCAATCATTCCACCCACAGAGGACCTCAAAACCGAAGCCACCGAAGTCCTAACCACAATCCAAACCTTCAACCCTACATCCTTCGCCGAATCCCGCCCCCCAAAATACCGCCCAGACTGGATCCTCCTCGCCCAAACTATCCAATCCGCCGTCGCAATCTACTGCATCGCATCCCTGCAAAGCGTCGATATCCTACCCTACAGCGCCCCCCTGCAGGCCGCAAAGGCCTCCCACCGCCAAACTCTTTACGCCCTCCTCTCAAAGTCCCTCCCAGCCTCCCGCTTCGGCACCTCCGTCCTCTGGGCCCTCGTCGTGCTCGGCGTCGACGCCGTGCATGATACCCCCAGTATGCGCTCCTTCGTGAGCCAGAGTCTAGGCCCCCTGTCTCGCAGGCAGGGCTCGTATGTCCCGCTCTTGGCGAGGGACTTCCTCGAGCGGTTCTGGGCGAGTGGGCGCACGGACTGGGATGGGTGTTTTGATCGTCCGTATGCACTTGCCATGCAGTGGACTGTTAATCGGCATGGGTTGCGGTAGTGAAGGAAGACGGTTTATAGAGTCCTCATGCCAAGATTTGGTAGAATGTTTGTGTACATCTGATCATGACGATACCGTCAAGTATGACCACTGTGATGTCGGGGCTTTGCCTTGTTAGATGAGTGTTTATGATTTACAGCTATGTTATATTGTTTCTCTCGTGTAGACTCTAGCTTTATACTGTAGGCGCTTTCTTCCATCTTGTGATTTTCTGGATCATTTGAGCATAGTAAACTATCATGATGAGATATACACTGTGATCGGCGTTCCTATTTCCTATCTTGATTAGCGTGTTTACTTATAAACATCTTCTCGACGACCATCTCAACTGTTTCGATATCACGGAACTGCAGATTGTAATGGATGAACTAATTAGCAGTTATAGAACCTCAAAATAACAGCTATTTACAAATGCAATTGGTGCCAAATTATAAAGTAAACATATAAATGCATCCCAATGCAATAATTCCTACGTTTAATATATATTTTCGTCTGGGCACACCTTGGTTTCTTTGTATATGCAGCCAATTTGGTTTGGACCTGAAAAAAACCTTAGTTGGATGTAGTACCGTCTTACAACAGATTAAAGGCATCATAGCCAGGCAGCAAGATATAGAGTACACGAACAGTACCCCAGTTACCAACAACCAGCCACGCGCCACTTGAGGCTAGTCCAGGATCAGCATCCTCCCCTCTTTTCAAACCTGAAGGGTATAATGGGCTCGAGCCTCGCATCGCTGCACCGTTTTCCAGGTAGGAACTCTAAATACGTAATTCTGGAGCGAACGACGCGCCCATAGCCCAGCCTCGTTTCAAAAAGGACGATAGCTCCTTTGACAGTCGGACTGTGGCCTTTCACGGATTGGTTGAAATAGAGCAAGACGGCCGTACCTCCTCTAAGAAGTAGGGGAGTAACAAATACACAAACGGATGCTTTGTTCAGTTGGTCACCATCTTGTTGGTTATGCCCGGGCAAATATCCAGAGCATCGTCTGGGTGTCGTTGTGGTCTCAGCCTTTCGCCTACCTACGGGGCGGTGCAATAAGACTCGGCGCATGTTTCAGCCTCGTGGAAGCGAGTAAGCATAGCCTTGGGCCGGAGAGTTGATGTAGTCTCGGGGTCCGAGGACTTAAGTACTAGCCATATATACCGCAGCAGCTTACTTCTTTCCCAGCCTAATTCTGCTGCATCGTCAAGATCGCTATACCTGTCGTTCTTTTATAATTTCCTTAACCTACACTCTAAGCCGCCTGAGGTGCATACGCATGCGTAGCTTATCCGAGATTGTTATCGAATCCCTCTTTCAAGTCCGAATCCACTGAATATCTCTTTGTGGCTGAACTACCTGGAGTTGTGGCCCAGATATGACCACAAAAGATACACCAACAGCTACACCCAGAATCCCTCCAGCGCACACAGAATTCCTGATCGGCTGGATATGCGTTCTCCAAAAAGAATATCGTGCCGCCGCTAGCATTCTAGACGAAAGGTACGACACCACCGGCTTGGTGCGCGGCCAGGGAGACAGGAACCAATATATCATGGGCCGAGTCGGCGAGCATAGCGTGTCAATCAATGTACCACCAGCAGGGAGTTACGGCCAGCTCCACGCATCCCGGATTGCGCTGGACATGAAGAGTACTTTCCCCAGGATGCGATTTGTGCTGTTAGTTGGGATTGCGGGTGGAGTGCCTTTCCTGAAACAACATATTCGGCTTGGGGATGTTGTGCTGGGGACAAAGGTTGTGCCTTACGCGACGGGCAAGGAGACTGATGATGCGTTTGAACGAACTGGATTGGTAAAGGTGCCGCCCAGGGAACTTTTAGGCACATTAACGTTCCTGGATGAGCGTATTTGGTCGGGGGATCTTGTTCTCTCCAAGTCTATCGAGAGGGTTCGAACCAAAGCCGGCAGAAGTGCGGCTGACTTTGTTCGGCCGCCGGATGATCGATTGTATAGAAACAGCTACATCCATAAAGACTCTGATTGTGACTGTCTGCAACCTGGATTACAACAGGAGAACCTATGCCCGCCTGACGACCGTGAGGCAGGGTCGGTCCGAATATTCCAAGGAGGCATTGGGTCCGATAACATTGTCATGAAGAATGCTGCCAGCCGCGACGAGATAGCCCGCCGAGAGGACATTCTGTGTTTCGAGATGGAAGCTACCGGAGTAATGGATGTCACGCCTTGCCTCTCTATCCGAGGAATTTCAGACTACGCAGATGGACACAAAAACGACGACTGGCATTTGTATGCCGCTCTCGCGGCAGCAACATGTGCTCGGGAGTTATTGCTATCACTTCCGCCGCAGGCTATAGCGCAATTCCCTATGACCCTTTCCGGGGACCAGGTGGATCGGTATATCACAGGGGCTGTTAGCAACCCAAATCGCTTTTCCGGCAGCGACATCGAGAGGCTGAGGCAAACCCGGGAGAATCTAATGGAGCGCCACACCTTCCTCGAGGAGCTCGTGAGGACGGAACTTCGCAAGATGAAAAAGGAGAAAGCAAAGGATGATCTGCAAAGGGTACGGCGCAGGACGGAGAGATTTCAGTCATTCCAAAAGGATTTGAGAGTACACTTGGAAGACTTGAGCCGCCTTGTGAAACAGCGTGATGATTTACTCTTCAGTCAAGACCCGGTCGTCCGAGAAGAATACAAGCAACTGGACACTCAGGTGCGAAGGGACGAAGAAGCCATGGCGCAGTTGGCCCAGGATAGTCTACAGGCTACAGGCAGTCTGCTCAAGAGATGGGGGGCAGTTTTCAGTTCACCGCAGTTGACCTCTGCTGGTACAACATTGGGAAACAGTGGTGAATACATAAGGAATATCACATGGTTGTTAGGGCCCGGTCTCTTGTTCCCAACTGTCGCTACGTGGCGATGGCTGGAATTAAGAGTATTCAACAATGGCCCTCCGAGGTTAGGCAATGAAGCAGAGGTGCAATCTATGCTGACCTTTGTATAATGGAATGTATGGCTAGCTTTCGGGTGACATACACCAATTCTCGAGTGAGAGAAATAAAGTAGGTAATAAACAATAGAAATGTTTCTCCGTGCAACGATGTTGGTTTGTTGAATCCGTATCCATAACCATCGAGCTGGAATTCAACAAGCAGAAGATTCGACTTTCAGAAAACCATTGCGCGCCATTCTGAAGCTTCCTTGGAGTTTTGTGTTATCTTGCGGTGCTTGCTTAGCCATGCCAGAAATAGTCAAGCAACAGGTCGTTGCCTGCCTCAGCAGCCGGATATGGAACTATCAGACATCGTCCACGGTGCCCTTCCTCAGTTCAATTGAAAAAAAAGGAAAACAAGCCTCTAAGCCATTCGGGAATCTGTTCTTCGCCACCCTGTGAATTGAGATAATTCGTGTATGCCTAGCTCTGATTGCTTGCTGCTGATGGAACAGCCTTGTACAGACTCATCATTATCACAGCCGGATAATAACTGCTGATTTATGGGCAATGTTACATTAATAGATGAATTGTCAAAGAAGTTAGTAGACGAAGAAACTTAGAAGAGCTAGTTTAGCTGCGAGTTTGGTGCGATACAGGCTGTTTTATAGTAAGGATGCATCCAGTTCTGACGGTGTCAAAGAACCCCTGCAGAAGCTATACCTGGTATCCTCTCCAAGCCACTTCTGACGACACATATCACAGCGAGGAATTTGTATACCCCCGTAATCAAAGAAACTAAAATCCGTAATATCGGGAACACTGAGACTCAGTCCCATGTATACCATGCAGTGGACACCCCCTAACACTCTTCTTCCTCGTGCCCCAAATATCAGAAGTGGCAGCCCATAGCAATCGAGGAGCAACCGCAAAGTATTTCTGCGCTTTGGCCTTTTGAATTAACTTTTCCACGGCCTGTATCTCGTTCCCTTGATCTTGGTAAGGTCGCATGATCAGACAAAGGAATTCCAGCCCATCAAGTTTCTTCAGAGCCCTGGCAATAACACTCCATCCAGGCAGGGGCAGACATTCATACCGAGACAGATATACACTCCGATTTTCCGGTAAGAATTCGAGGGAAAGGGTTCGGAAGGAGCTTAGGCGCTCTTTGGGCATATATTTGCAAAGCTCGGTGAGGGTGTAGGGGTGTTTGATGTAGAAACTGTTCTGCTGGTAGAGCATGTCGATTGTTTCGTAGTATCTGTATACCACGAGCATTAGAGTGAGTTTTATGTGCTAGTGAGTTATCCAAGACGTACACGCGCTTACAGCTTCTCAGCATATTCATCACCCTTGTCTGTCTCTGTCTTGGAGGGATGTAGGTGCGCCGCTTTATGGCGTTTTTGTTGGGCGGTTTTTGACGAGGGTGGCACTTGAAATGGTCTTCTCTACATTTGTCGCAAAGGTCACCGCTGCGAGTCTTCTCGTACTGGTGCTCCTCCGGGAGTTTGCATAGAAAGCTACGGAACCTGCAGTAGCATCCGTGCACCCAGGAAAGATGGATGGTTGTCGGTGCGACGAAGATATCTTTGTAGATTATGAGTCGTATCTCTGGAGGGAGACGGAAGAGGGGTGATTCCTCCTGGCTGAGAGGTTCCTGCGGCTGTTCTGTGTGTTTTGGGTGAGCCATTTTTCTGTTTTGAGTAGAGGTGCGCTTTCGTTTTGCCATCTTGCTGATTTTGGAGTGTGGTGAGATGACTTGAGACGAGGGATGAGCGGTTCAGTGCCGGAAGCAAGGCACTAGATGTTTAAATTGACAGATAAATAAATTTAAAGTTACAAAGCAGGCGTGCCACCTATACAAAGGGTATCATGAGAGTGGCTTGATAAACCCAAAACAGCAAAGGCCTCAATTTTCACGAATACGCTGGTCAACACGGAAAGTACCTGCACGGGACATTGCTTCTCTGATGAGCTTCTGAACTATAAGTAATCATGGCAAACTCACTGCTCGTGGTAACCTGGTTGAAGACCCAGCCCGCCTCTAGGACCCCGGGATCGTCAATAGGCGAGGACGGTAGGGATGGAAATGCTTCATGGCTGATTTGAATGAGTGGCATATCTCCGGCAGTTGGTAATTCGAATCGACTTAACGTTTCTACTGTTAAGAATATCAGGATATAACCCTTTAGGTACAGTCGAGAACCGAACCTTGTCTTCGGTGGCGTGACCGCTTGTAGCATTTGAGAATACCCCATAATGAAAGCATGAATGTAGGTATTGATATGCACATGGTGATGAATGAGACCACCTCTTCTATCGACCAGCCCATATTGGCAAGCAGTGGGGCGATTGTATACCTCAGTATTGGTGGAATTATGAGGCACTAATGATACCAAGTTGATAACTCTTGGATATACTAGGGCGGAAAAGAGACAATAAAAGTGTGGCGAAAAGACTATCGGAGCCGGGGTAGGCATTGATATAAGTCTCAATGTGCCTCGACTGCACCGCTGACAGGAAGGTGGCACGCGAAGGCCTAAGCGCTCGATGTTCGTGTCATCCTGGTGGCCCTGGTTGGGCATAACCACAGGAATGCAATGGTTTAATCGTCAAGGTCAGTCCCGCTTTACCCTGAGGTTGGCGCTGCATTAACGTTAGGCAACAGGGCGGGAACTGACCTGCGTTACTTCTTCAGGAGCATCGAACGACCAGACGTTTTGGTCCTTGAAGAGTGTCAAGCTAGACCGCCGAAGAGGCATTGAAGTAATCATCCAAAGGCCCAGATCGCCGTGGCTGTGCTGTCAAGACAACCACCTATAGGCTCAACAACCACACTAAGGAAACAGCATCAAGCGGTGAGACTGTCCACCCCGCTGGATGCCGCTTCCAGCTCGTATGGCCGAGCCTCACGAACGCCTCAAGCATGCAGGGGTCTGCGCCCTGATCATCGTAATTTCAACCTTCAGACTCACCAGACACGTGGGGAGGCCGAGAGGAGGTTCGAGACTCTCTTCTAGACTCTGTTCTAGACCGGGACAGTCCTCGACTTGACGGTCTGGACCTTTCCTAATCTCATTGTCATTAAAGGCATGTTTTCTTTTGCGAGGCTCTGTTGCTACGGACTGGGGAGCAAAAGCCTTCGCGGGGATCGAGATTGGGCAGGGCAGGCGAGAGCAGGCCTGGACTCTTGGTTTTATCTAGCCGCAGCGTCTAGCTTTACATGATAGAACTATCAGCTCCAGCTGTGCGAGTACAGTAGTTTATTGATGTTGATATCCCCGTGGTTTATGCCGACAATGAGGCCCGGACCGTCCCGCCCGCAAACGGAGGGTCAACTCGACACCACGACCCTATATTATACACCGAAAATTTAAACCGTCAAGAAACATCTATAGGTTAAATATACCACAGAATTGAATCTATAATTCGGGTTGCTGCGGCTTGTCTCGCCATGACTCATGCTGGTGTGGGTCATGTTGATTACACAGCAACTGTCAGCAGGACATTCTTCAATCTTTTTCTCGTCTCTTATATGCATCTTCTCAGTCCATTCTGTATTTCTAGACCACACAATGTCACCCAAAACCTTCATCGTCACCGGTGCCTCGAGGGGTAGGAACCCAATTATATTCTGAACCCCATTAACTAACCACAATGCAGGCATTGGTCTGGCAGCCTCCAAATTCCTGCTGACAGCCCCTCAATCCCACAATGTGGTCGTGATCGCCCGTAGCGCTGAGCCCCTCCAGAAACTCAAAGAGCAGTACCCAAAGCAGGTCGAAGTGCTGACTGGCGATCTCGCCGATCTATCCCTCGGCCAGACAGCGGTCGATCTAGCCCTCCAGTCATTCGGACGTCTAGATGGATTAGTTCTGAACCACGGCGTGCTCGGCCAGGTGGATAACATTGCCGTGGCCGATATAGAACAGTGGAAGCACGGATTCGATGTTAATTTCTTCAGCCTGGTGGCTTTCGTACGTTACCAAACAACTCAACTGAAATGGAAAGTGGCGTTAACATGATACCTTCCAGGTGAAAGCCGCACTCCCCGCGCTCCGCGAATCCAAGGGCCGGATTGTCTTCACTTCATCCGGAGCCTCTGTCTCAGCATTCAAGGGATGGGGTATGTACGGCTCAAGCAAGGCGGCCATGAACCACCTCGCTCTGAGTCTCGGGGAGGAAGAGCCCGAGGTGACGTCCTTGGCGATTGAGCCGGGCTTGGTCGACACGGAGATGCAGCGCGAGATTCGTGAGGACCGCGTTACTACTATGGACCCGCAGTTCCATTCGTTCTTCACTTCGACTCATAAAGGTGGGGGTTTACTCAAACCTGAACAGCCTGGTCATGTTATTGCGAAGACTGTTATTGGGGCGGAGAATTCGTTGAGTGGGAAATTTTTCTCGTAAGTTGTGCTTTATCATTCCAGCCCTTTACTTCTATGACTGACGGGGAATAGATGGAATGATAAAGCTCTGGAAGCTTTTCAATAGACTATCAAGTCTGTACATAGGCAAGTATATATCGCTAAGATGTTATCAATAAAACTAGAGGTAGATCGAGCACCTCCGTCCGTGGAATGCGTAGGAAAATTATAAATTGAGGGAAACGATTAACCTCCCTCATTTGTTTGAGATTGAGGTCGGCTTATGCAGTAAAAGCGCGGTGTTGAATAGCTTGGTATCATTTATACAGTTATGCTAATTCTCGCAATACGCGATTAGTATCCATCTCGAGGTTTCCCTCCCTCAACCTGGCCACTCGCTACTCCAAGCTCGCGCAGCATACCGCCACCCAAGACACCCACGTCCGTGATAATCGAAACCATATCGAAGCCCTGTTGAGCGCGGTTCTGCGCGTCTGTGCCATCGGTACCTGCTGGCCGTTAGAAAACCACCACTTCCATAACCCAGAAACGCTGGATGGAAAAACGTACAGAAAATCGCCGCCTTCTTGCCAGCAGACTTGGCCGCTTTCAGGATCCGCTGGATAGCAGCCTCGTGCTCTGGTCCACTGCGCTGGACACCTATTTGCTTTGCGAGATCGAAGGGACCTACAACGGATTAATCGAATGTCCTGGTATAAATAAGTTCAACCATTTAGACTCACCAATCAGCACACCATCCAACCCCGGCACCGCAGCAATCTTCTCAACGCTCTCCAAGCCAGACTTCGACTCGATCTGCACAAAGACAGCGGTCTGGTCATCCGCCGCCGCATCGTATTGCGGACCGGAGACATCCGGGAATGAATGCAGCGCGAACATCGGCCCGTACCCTCGCGATCCTGTTGGGGGGTACTTGCAGTACTGCACGATCTTGGCAGCGTCCTCCTAGACTACTAGTCAACGACTCATATTCTCTTACACTAGCATCGGTGGGAGAAAGTCTGGCTGACGCACCTCGGAGTGACACATAGGAGTCACAATTCCATGCGCGCCAGCATCAAGGGCACGCTTGATCAACCACTCTTCACCCCAAGGAACACGGACAAGCGGGCTTGCGCCTTCGGAAGCGACAGCATTCGTTAACTACATAGCATAGTGTTAGTTTCCAACCACATAAACTCCTAAAACCATAGGGGACAAACTTCATAGTAATCCCGATCGGTAATCAGACCGTGCTCGGCATCGACCAGGACCCAGCTGAATCGGTTTGCGTGTTGCGCTGTAGAGCGGAGGATTGTCTTTGCGACGCCGGAGCCGGGGAGACTGGGATGCCATTAGCTTCATAATACACAGCCATCTTCGAGGAGGCGTACGTGAGCCAGAAACCGTATGCGGTCGATGTCGTCTGCAGGGCAGACTTGATAGCAGTGGTGACAGCCATGGTTGTATCTCAATCTTGACGGACGTGTACAAAGGATGGAATGTATGTGGATAGAAACTCGAAGAGTGGGATGACAGAATGACAGGAGGGGAAGATGCAGTGACACGCAGTGAAGACAGAAGACAGAAGACAGTGAGGATGGCGGGGGGGAGTTCCCCGCAGTCACTGTTGACTCCTCGGTCGCTCGGCCTTTCTCCGAATCGCTCTCGGCAAAATACCCCCCGAACAAACCGGAAAAGCGGCCGGTTTGCTGCCGTTCGGAAAAGCGGGTGCCGATGTTTATATATTGGACTTTTCCGGCATCGAATCGGATACTGCGGCGGGTATCTCCATTGCTATCCGGTCTATGACTTTATACTTATGAGCATCAACCAAAGAAAGCTGGACCATGAATCTACATATCGCTTTCAAATGGACCAAGAAATTGAAAAGGGCAAGATCCAGGAGAGTATTATTGGGCGTTCTCTTATTTCCCTGCAAGTACGTATCCTACTAACACACAGCAACGCAACATACCAACTCCAAACAATGAACTACTCTCAACACCAGACTCGGGTAGAATGAAGTAAGTCGTCACTGCTTCGGCGAAATCCCAAACTCCTCATTCTCCGCAATCTTCGGCACCGCACTCGTCGTCTTATTCCTCTCATTCTCCTGCACAACACCCTTCGTACCCTCCAGCTCAAGGTTATACTCCGCATTCTCACTAAGCACATACTCCTCCTTATCGATATGGCGGAACATAAAGTAGAAGATGACCGTGAGGATGCCGCCAGCAATGGCAGGCCCGCCCAGGTCCCACGTGAGATAGGGGTCGCGGATAACAGACGAGCAGGCAAGGCCGATTGCATACGCGAAGGCGGTGTTGAGCAGGTTGATTGCGGAGACGAGGCCGCGCATGTTCTTGGGGGCGCGCGAGTATGCGATTCCGTAGGCTGGGACGTTGACGAAAAGTTCCGAGATACCGCCGATGGCGTACGGGATTGCGATCCACTGTTACCAGTTTGTTAGCTGTCTAGACATCCCTGTTTTGGGGGTGGGGAGAGGCGTACCCAGATGGTTATCGGGGCGACGAGGGAAACGCCGTCCTCGTCAACGCAGGTTTCAGACGAGCCGTATTTACCGCACGGACCGAGCTTGTACGCGTAGTAGTTGATAACTGTATATCCGACACCCGCAAGGGAAGACATAGCCAGACCGGTGGTGATACGAGCAACAGGGCCATAGTGAATATGGAAACGGCGCAGGGCTGGGTACAGGATGTAGTTGAGGATAGGTGCAAAGACGATAATGCTGAGCGGGTTGAAGTTGCTGATGAGATCATTGGGCACGCCATTCGTCTCGAGCATTGTGGATAGGAAACTGGCAGCCTGACCGAGACCGTTGTCGTTGATGTATTGGATTGGGAAGAAGCAGAAGATTCCGGTTGCTTGGAATGTGCGACGCACGTCCTCGACGAACTGGTCGTCCCACCGGGTTCGGATGTTTTGGCCTTTTGCTGCGATGACGGATGGTTTCGCGGCATCCCAGAAGCCGTGGCGGCCGATGCGGAAGATACCTCCTCCTCTGAGGCAGATGCTCAGGACGCGGACGACGTTGGGAAGGTCGCTGCCGCCGGGAGGGAAGAGGACAAGGCGCTTGCGAAGGTAGAACTGCGTGGATTAGTACTGATTCAGTAATATCGGGAATCGCCATACCAGGACGAGAGGAAGCGGGATGTACAGGAACAGCGGCAGGATGAACGCCAGCCACCATCCAATGTACTTCTCGGCGTATGTGGTGGCAACCTGCATGAAGCCGCCAATATTAATGAGGAGGTAGAACCACAACATGGCGCGCTCAGAGGTGGCTTCAGGGTCGACAATAACCCTCTCGCCGCCCTTCAGCACCTTGATCTTAGCCCTCTCACGAGGCATCTGGTCGAGCAGCAGGGGCGAGACATTAGGCTTGAACATAGCTGCGGTTGTTAACATCCAACCACCTTCAACTACAAAAAGGCGACATACCTGCACCAACCGACAGCATATATAACGAGACAAAGTACGGCGCTTTTGCACCGCCGTTCGCCAGCAGAGTGGGCGCGCCCGCCCCGACCATGAGGACGTGGGCGGCACCGAAAACAAGAACACCATAGCAGATCATCCTGAAGCGACCGGTATGCGCATCAGAGAAGTATCCAAATATCATGGGCAGGGCATAGGCCAGCATGCTGAACGACTGGTTCACGGCATTGGCCTTGACGGTGCCCATGCCCAAAGCACCGGCGGTCTGCTGGGTCCCGCGAGGAGGGGCTCCGTATCCATTACCACCAGGAGGCAAGGGGCGATTGACAAAGTTCGAGATGAGGCCGGTGACACCCAGATAGGACGCGCGCTCCGAGAACTCGGCGATGCAGATGAGGTAGGCGACGATGGGGAGATTGCCAGGGACGCGGCGCAGGGTCTTCAACTCCTCCTCGGTGGGATATTCGTGGTCATCTGTGGACAGAGAAGCGTCCTCAACAGCAGGGACACTGGCGACTTTCTCGTTGGGCTCGTTGGCAGCTGCAGGCAAGGTCAGTATCTATCCGATTTGAAGATAAACTGGGCAATTCGCACCCATGGTGAGGGACTCGGGCTCAGACACAACAAACACCAAAGCTCAAGAGAGATCGCGATGAGGGAGCAAGAGGAAACGATCGTCGCTGGACAGCGCGCATCTTAAATACAGCAAGCCGATCTGGTCGACACGATCCAGGAGCAGCATCGCGTGCTCTGTAAAATGTAACCCTCTGTGTTGGTGCTGGCGATGGCGTCCAGGAACAGCCAATTGCTGCGCGCGGAATGAAACAAGTGAAAGAAGATAAGGGGAGGCTTATCACGCAATCTGCCTCCACGCAATCACAGTCGCCAGAAAACGACACACAGCGAAAGGATTCACCTTGGCCAACCAAGCATCCATGATAAGCACGCTAAGCACGCTAAGCACCCTCTAGCTTCTGGGCAGTTGGCAGTTCAGATGTTCGAAGGCTGGAAGGCAAATTGATTTCCCTTCTGTTGTCCTTTAACTCTTATATTAACTCTCATATTAACACAACTCCTACTAAGCCAACCCAAAGGCCATCCCAACCACGCCGTCTCATCCTGCTCGCACCCCCAGTCGGAGTAGCCGTCGCAGCGTCAGGCCCAGTTTCAGACGCAGTCTCTTTCGGATCCGAACTTTCAGTCTGCGAAGCACTGGCCGCCCCAGTAACCTTCCCTGCCCTCACTGTCACTGGCGACAGCTGCGTGACCATTTCACTATCCGTCGCCTTTTGCCATCTCCCTCCTGACATCCAGCTACAAAAGGCAGTGGAGGTCCCGTCAAGCGAGCACGTAATGCTTCGAAGACGTGTCGGGTCTTCTGTCCATGCGTCCACCACGGTAACGTTGTCGCCGTTCACGATGTAGCTCAGGTTTGTCGATCCCTCTACACGGCACGATACGGGTTCCATGCCTTTTGGGCAACTGAGAGAGTAGTAGTTGCTGATGCATCCTAAATTGGTGTTAGCAAGACATCGGACATCGGATGATCCATACTGGGAGTGCTCACGTTGCCGACGATCGAGGCTTGGAGGGAGGGACGCCCCCCAAAGTCAGGGAAGTACATCGTAGTGATGCTGCTCTCTGCGAATACAAAGCTGGCCATGGCCGGGAAAATAAGGCGTCTGAGGGTCATCTCGGGAATGGCCTAGACTGTGAGGTTGTTGGCAGAACGCTCACGCAGATAACAGAGGAAGAGTGGAAGGAGGCCGAGCCGGTAAATAAAGACTAGGAAACCGATTCCAACAGCCAAGATCAATTGAAATAACACTGCCGATCGGTTTGGGCACACAGCTTTTATGATTGGGTGTGATGGTCGTTCCACGATGCGGCGCTGCTTGCCTGCATATTGGCGCGACGGCTAATCCACGGCCCACGAAGTTGAAAAGGGGGCACCGAGATCAGGTCGATATATGCTGAGATAAAGAGAGAACGATACTATTCCACGGGCGCAAACACAGTGTCAGATCGGATACTCGATATGGTTAATCTTGAGTGTCAGATCTCCCGGCATTCGATCGATGGCACGGGGGAGTTCATTACAGAGCCGCCGGCGTGGATCGCGTTAAGAAACAGTTCAGATTAGACCAAAGATCACCTTCAGCAGCACCAATCAGCCTTCAGAAGCTGTCACGAAGTCGAACCCTTGGCGGACTAACTTGGGGCCCTTTGAGTTTTCCTTTTTAGTCTGGTCGGAACTGCCCGCCAGACTGCGGCGCAGCAGGATATTTATCCTTCATCCACCCCCAGCTTTTTATTTTGTTCTCGCCAGCGGGGTTTATATTCGCGGGCACAATGTTGCTCAATTTTGCCCTCCTTCCGGCACTCGCCTCGCTGGCTTGTGCAGAATCGACGGTCACCTCGATGTTGGCCGCAGGCATCAGCGGTCGCCAGGTGGATGCATCCATCATAAACAACGTAAGTAACATAATATAAGTCGTCCCTTTGTTTGCAGTTGAATTGACATGGAAAGGACGCCACGGCGACAACCTATTCTCTCAACTGCCACCGTCCAACAGACCACCAGCATTGCGCTCTCGGTATCACCAATAATGTTACGGCCGTCCTAGCTGGCGACATCATTACGTGGTGGAATAACCCGAAGGAAGAACCGTGGGTGTTGTCACATATCATACTCTGATATTTGGCCGTCTTGTTGGTACTAACAGAGTTCAGGACTATGACAATGGAATGCACCCCAGCCGGAACGACCAGGGCCACCTGCACCCGGACAATGGGAGCCGGTGGATATGGGAAGCCCGGTACTGAAAGCTTCGTTATCAGTACAAGTATATCGTACATGCCGGTTACCATAACTGCCGGGAGCGTTACTCCTGCGGAAACTTCTGCGTCTCAGACTGCAACGGGGAGTGAAGCGCAGCCCACAGGCACAGATTCCGACGCCGACAGCTCAGACGCCACCCCGACCGGTGGTGTGCCCAGGGCTACCGGTGCTGCGGGCGCTGGGGTTGCTCTTGGTGCGGTCGCTGCAGTAATTGGTGTTGTTCTATAACCTGAGTGTTTTGGGACGGAGAGAAAATGGCGTGGACATTGCGATGGCCGTATGTTGAATAGACGTTGACCAGATAATAGAAGACTTATATCGGAAAGAATCGCCAACCTTGAATATTCCTTTGACATGCCTGTTTGGGTGCTTGAGTCTTTGAATTTTGGTGGTCTAGGTATGACCTTGTGAATGCTGACGCGAGGTAGATTGATATCGACGACCATGAATATTTTCCCAACTCCTTCTTAAGCTCATGAAGGGCTTTTCATAGACCGAATGGAAATCTATCTCTTGAGCTTGAACGATCATGAAACCAGCTGATGGGGATAACACACAGGCCATATCGAACGCTACCGCTGACCACGGCTTGCCGGAAGAAATCCATTCACACCAACTGGAAGCTGAATAACTATCCTTCTAAGACAGCCTAAAGCCATGTTGGATATAGTCGTTCCTAGCAGCCTCCCAACAAACAGTCTGAGATATCGGAATGGACGATGTTTCCGTGCATTCAAAGCGGTTCAGCTCAATATCCTATTAGAAGGGATGTATTCAATGCTCGGTGCAGTCGATACTATTTGGAAAAACGACGCCTCTTCGGAGGGGGAAGGTACAGATGGTCGTGTCTGACTGAACGGATGACTGTCTTCGACCCGCAAGCTCTGCTCCCCCATTTCCCTCCGTCAGACTTGCGAGACTTCCATCAGAAATGCCTAGGAGTGCTCCATCGCCACCGCTCCCTGTTGTATTTAGGCTTCGAAGCAAACCTTGAGGACTAATCCGAGGTCTATCGCTGGGTCTGCCTTATCCCATAGAGCAACGGCCAGTTCGCTCCAGCACCTACCAGGAGGCCATTCGAAGTAATCTTGTACGAGCGAGGCCACCAGAGCATGACCCCTGACAGTCGAGACAACAGCACGACACAAGAAAGGGGAAGCAAACGGACCTGAAGGGCAGTCCAGGTTGCAACCTTAGGTAGATTCTGGTCGTTCACCGAATCGACCGTGCTCATACTCGCGTCGTGCTCGTGTCATGCCAATGCCATGATCATGGCGAGCGAGTATCATGTATGGCCCAAGTGGTTTCAGACAATCTGAAACCTCTCCCCGTGTGCCTGTTCTCGGTGACACATGTTCGCCAATATCCTGTTCTCAGGATAACCGTGTTGTCAGGAGGGATATGAGCTAGAGGCGTCTGCTTTGGACTCAGTCCGGGTCTAGGGAGGCGGTCGATGGAAGGCTACTGCTGCGAGGACGGGTTGCGCTCTTTGTTTAGGACATCCCTCATGCGTTTGGGTGCCTTGGGACAAAATTGCGGTCGTCGCTCGCGTTGAGACTCTGCGTTAGGTCTGCCAGGATTCGTGGGGGTGCCGAGGTTGTGCTTCCGTCAAGGACATCTATTTCAGGCCCTTGGGCACGCGTCAGATGGCATGGTGGTACACAAAGGTTGCAATATGAAATGGCATGATTAACATTGTGATTGTACACCATTCAACAGAGCCTCGGCTCGTCTATCCTCTTTGCCAGAGGGAACATGAACACGGAGCCTCCCGGCCCAAACGGGCAGCCTGAGCACCGGCACTCGCGTAAAGCAAGCTCAGGCGTCCTGCGTGGGATATGATGAGGTTCTAGATAGCTACATGAGGTCTATTGGGGTCTGCTTGGTGAAATTGCCCCGGCCATTCAGCCATTCGGCCCCCCGTCTATGTTTTGAGAATTACAAGGCGCTGTTTCTGATACTGTTCGAGAGCGCGAGCACTCGATCGGGTAAAAGCTCTCAACCAACACAGGAACGGGGGATCCGCAGGGAGACGTGCGGCATGCAACGCTCTGCCACTCCAGGTGTGATGTAGATCCGGATATAGGATGGTATCAATGATAGGTGAGGCGAAGCGCGAGAAGGAGCAGCGATCTTTCGTATGTTTGCTCGAGCTCCCTGCCAATGCCAATGTGAACATCCCTGATTCAACTTGCTATACTCTGCAGATCCACGGATAAACCCCAATCGGTGCCGCGCATGGTCCACCAGCGACCAGCGTGTACTTTCGTTAGGCCCCTTTCAACCACAAAGGTCAACTGGAAATATCCGGAATTAACAGAGCAGTCGCCGCTCTCTCTATCATGCTAGTAGCAGCACGTGCAATCATCCCAATATAGTTCAGGCTACGTTCGGAGATACAGGATAGTGCTGTTCTAGCCACCACAGTGGAGCCATCACACACTGGGACTTTGGCTTCGGACCCGGCGGTGGGTCCGATGCTACATGGGGGCCGTTTATCTCACTGCTTGCCCAGCTGTTGGGCCCGTTGGTGTCTTCTGGCTTCCGAACGGCTGTTGGTTCGCTAATTACTGTTCTTCTAGGTTTCCAGCACCAAATGGTCACACTGCTGGTGCCATTGAGCTTCACACTGGGAGGCAGACGGGAGGCCTCAACAGGATGGGACCAGACAATGCTTCGTTCCGCATCCAGCCCTGTTCTATTTGTGTCGGCCTCCCCAGTGACTGGCATGCTAGTCCGATTAAGGCGCTGACGATGTTTTTGCCGAAGTATACCCAGCCACGAGCGGCTCAGTTCGCCCTACAGGGGTTACCACGGGCTCCTCTTCGGTGCACTCCATGCCCACACCTCGATGGTGTGCACAGCCATAACGGACACCATCAATTGTTCTATTTACAGCTTCCAGCAACGACAATAGTCGCGGGTAAAAGGGTAAAAGGGGGATTAAGGGTAGACTACGCTCAGACAACCTCTAATGACAAGCGTCAATCTGTTTGGTCTCTTATCCCGATTCGGAAGGAGTAGGAAGTAAGGTTGACTTATGGCCTTCTGGCAATATCCGAACTGAATGGGGTCCACTCTCAACGCGTCTCGAGGTCTGTCCGTGGTCCGACTAAGGTGGCCGGTTGGGTTTGGCAATAATGACTCGTCGTGCACCTCTTCACTGACTCCTCAGCCTGCATTGCCTTGAGTTATTGCAAGGCCCACAGTGAAAACACGGCTTGAAGGATCCTTGTATAAATGATGTTCCTATCCCGTATATTGCACACCGGCGAATAACTGCTTGGTGATGAACTGCGACAGTGTTGGTCATCACCGCGTCAGTTGGGTACGACTTCGTCACCATTGGTCATGAACCGTGTCAGGGTTGAGTGAATCGGTTGGAAATTGCGTTCTTCATTAGGGAACTGCAGGCGCTTGTTAGAGTGAGCAGGCGAGCGGATCGTCAGGGCTGTCTGGGGCTTCAGCTCAAGCCAGATTTGAGTCCTCAAGACAATAGGATTTTCATCGGTAACTTGTTAAAGCCAATGGGCATGGTTCGTTTCAAGCAGGTGGGACTTGGAGACAGGAGGCTCATCGATTGTCGACGTTGAACCAGCCCATTGGATATGCCGTCTAGATGGTCGGGAGAACTGCGGTAGCACGACCGGTGTGGAGTTGACGTCTACTGTCGGGATTTGAGATAACTTTAAAATTGGATTTGGAATGGGATTTTCCAGTGAAAGTTCCCAGGGATTTGTTATATTTCGACCCACGTTGACCCATCGCGGTGGAGTGAGTGTCCAGGTCGATGAGGCCAACAAGACCGTCAGTTTTTCAAAACACCAAAATATTAATTTCAAGGTCTGGCTCGCCGACTGGCTTTGGCTTTCCAAGTTCCAGATTCACCAACATCACCAACAGAAACAGCCCCGCTGATCTCTTCATTCTCTCCAACTCGGCTTCGCGCCTTGCCCACCAACCCCGGCCAACTGCGGTCTACACCGTACCTCCTTGCCAAACGTACTTCTCTAGGGTCGTTGAACCCCCCGACTAGGGCCAGTCTCCATCTCCACTGCCAGTCTGCCACACGCGTCTGCCGAGGCGCCGACTCCAACACGGACCAAGCTGGGGATGGAAGGTGCGCAGCTCCTCATCGGCCCCGGACTGCCACCACTGTTGCCGACATCCGGTGAATTTCCCCCGCCCAGCCCACGATCACACCCTCTGGTGCCTGGTCGCCTGGCTGCCTGGCGGTTTGAAGCTCCGCTTTTGCGGCGAGTCGACAGAAGGATGGAAGTAGCAGGCCACGGTCATTCAGTTCCAGGTTCCAAGGGAAAGTAACCTCCACCCAGGGGCGTGGCCAACTGGATGAAATTAGTACGTAGCCGGCGAACAGACCGCCCGCTGAGCCCGCCGCGGTGCCGCCATCAACGATCGGCCGCGCGATTGAATCAAATCGATAGACGGCACGGGTCCGCACGGCAGTGACAGTCCTCCGGCATTTCCGTTTGGCATGCAAGCCGGCGTACGATACTTTGCTATGCGGTAGCTGAGTACAGGCACCGTGGGTCGACTGACACGGTGAAGGATATATTCATGTCGCGACTTCAGAGTCAGGCCCCGTGCAGAATTTGTCATGCCTCGGTTGAGGATAGTTCGCAACAATTCGCGAGCACAACGACCTGGACTGGCGGATGCACCGAAAATGATACGATGGACTAGCGCCGGAATTGCCGTTTCTGTGGGAGCTCCGATTGGTTTGGGAGATACTGCCGGATGCGGTTAAGCTACTGCGTATCGCTAATCTTTGCAGACATTGCGGCTCCATGTTGGGACCTGGACATATAAGGCGTCCCATCGGGCCATCACGTACTATATTAACTGCTGAGTTGGTGCTGAGCGGCTGAGTGGTGCAGATCGGATATGCACGGGAGAACGAGGCGTTGTATCGGAGTGGTCTCCGGCGACCATCTGGCTGCCAGGTGCGGAGGAGGGCCTGACGACGGACTGACGAACGGACCAGGAGGTGTTGGATGGCATTGTTCTGCTGGTATGGCGCAGCTTCGTGAGGCTGTACCCGGGAAGTATGGTGGGTGTTTCCAAAGTCCGGACATCTGCAGCTGTACAGTCTCCGGGATGAGTAGGCTCCGACTCGGAGGAGACGCCGGAGACGAGTGCAAGTCCGGAACGTCCATGGTGCAGCTCGTATATTCGTCTGGGTAAGCAATTTGTGGCTTACGCGCTGTGATTGGCTGTTCCAGAGTAAGCCAATTGCAAATTCTCCAGATTTGCAAAACCCAATACGGCGGAGCGGGCTGGTGGGTCCGGGCAGGGAGGAACCCCATTGGCCAACCGGATCCGGGCGACGAGTGGGAGATCAGCCCTGGAAAGAAAAGAAAACAAAATGACAAATGGACGCTGGGGAGAGTCCGGGCTCCCCGAGGGGGCCATTTTGCAAGACTGCAGGTGGTACAACTAGCAGAGCGTCTCCCTGTCAGCCATGGCCAGTTCTGCTCGTAAATTCTCATCTGAAGCTCAGTTCTGCAGAGCCCAGCAACTGTCGTCCGTAAGCCAGCTCGCCATGCATCCGTCCTCGAACACGCCGCATTCTTCTGCAGCGCGGCCGAAGCCCAAGCGGGTGATCACCGAGGCTCGCAAGATTCAGAACAGGGAAGCACAGCGCGCGTATCGTAAGTGCTCAAAGTTGACTCCAGCCCTCGTTGATGTTACTCGATCCTGCCTTAGGCTCGGTCAACGTCCGAACAGCACCACTGACTGCAGCCAACAACAGGCCAGCGCCAGAAGGAGCGCCAGAGAGCTCAGCGAGAGCTGCACGAGCACCGCAACCCTAGCGCTTACCATCACTTGCGGCCTCACCCGCCGCCTGTGGAGCAATCCCCAGAGCCGACCCCCGGCTTGCATGCTGCTGCTGCCGCTGCTGCTTATCCGCCGTCGTTGAGATTTCCTGTTCAGGGTTTTGATGGCGAGATCTTAACCCCGTCAACTAATGCCCATCCTCACCATCTCTCCGTTCCTGCGGCAGGGCCCGACCCGCTACAGAGCTATCCACATCCTCTGACTGACACTACCCCGGACGGTTCGACCTCCATGAGCCTCCATGAGCCGCATCGGCCCTCGCAGCCGTATCCCGGTTCCATCCAGCCGGGTCTCGATGCGCAGGGCGTCTTCCCCGATCTCGATGCCCTCTTCCCGCCGTCCGGTTCAGATCTCGATTCCCACGTGTCCAGCATCGACGAGTTCCTTGGCCCGATAGACGATGACCTCTTGCTCTCCTTTCAGGGAACCCCGGATTACAACCCTAACAGCTATCCTACCTCACCCATCCCACCAGCACCGGCAACGGGGGCCCCCCTCCCATCTCAAGCCGCACCCTCACCGCGCGCTTCACCCTCCCCCGAGATCCCAGTCGACCCTGAACTCGACGCCGAAGCAGAGCCAGACCCCGACTGTCCAGCACCACCACCGCCGCCACAATCCCAACCTCGACCGCAGTCAAATCAATCAAAAAACGACCCCCCAAACCTCAACAAACCCCCAGACTCCAGTCGCAACCCCAATCCCAATTCGAACTCGCATACAGAACCAGATACGAACAACCTAGCAGACCCCTACATCAACAAACTCAACACCCTGCGCACCTTTTTTTTAACCGGAACAATGTACAACGCGGAATGCCTGGGCATGAGCGTGGAGCAGTTCTTCGGCCTGAACTGCACCTCCCTGGGGTCCCCCTGGTACCAGGAGATACAGTCAGCAGCCACAGACCCGAAATCCCTGCTGGCGGACGTTATCGCAGCGAACCCGTTCATCCCGACGCATTTGCGCCCTACCCTGCCTCAGATCCTTATCCAGCACCATCCGATCTTCGACCTGATCCCGATGGCGGACCTGCGCTCGCGCGCGATCATCCTCAGCGCGACCCTGCCGCATCTGGTGGATATGGCGGATTTGAAGATGGATATTATTGATGGTGGGCTGGTTTGTAAACCTGGGGCTGGTAGTGGGCAGCCGTGGGACTTGAGGAGCTGGGAGGTGTCGCCGTGGTTTTGGAAGAAGTGGAAGTTGCTGCTGGATGGAGAGGGAGGTGGTTTGTGGGATGAGTGACGCTTTGGCAGGCTTGTTTCGTTTTTGTTATGTATTTGTTTTGCGTTCTATGCGACGGCGGCGTGAAGCGTGATATACTTTTTATACTTTTTACTATATACATATCATTTATAAACTGATTTAGAGCCTAGATTCCTTGTTAATATACGAACAACAGCTTCTCATCCTCAATCTTTCCAGTCTCGGCTTCTTTGACGACGCATGTCCAGCAGAAACCTTTATGTACAGGAAGGAGGCAACACTTGAACCCCCGAGCATAAGCAATGCTGACTCCTGTCAAGCGCACCATCCATGACGACCCAGACCGTAGTACCATCGGTCGGTCTGCTGTGCTCAGGAGCTCCTCCCAACAGTCAATTGAGACAAACTCTGCGCCGCTGGCTGCAATAGATGGATCATGGCCGCATTGTCTACCATGGGCTCCGCAGACCTTGAGGTTGGGGGAAGAGGCCAACGATTCGAGAATATTCAGGTCAGCAACCCATTCTGCCTGGTCATACATGGAGATTCTCGTCTCCAGATTATACGCCTCCATGCCCCTGAATGCAGAAGGGCCGCGGACCCTCAGAGGTCCCTCCCAGCCCGTAAAGGACATGTGTAAAGAGGAACCGTCGAACACACCTCCAGCCTGGCTGCCATCGAATTGGTTGTGGTTCACGATATGCCACCTCTCGACATCATGCTCCCTGACAAGCGGCTGCTCCGGTGCAAATAATAAAGCAATACCTGGTTTTCCTACATTTCCGATAGCGTGTGCCACAGCGCATGAGGCCATGTTCTGTGGTGGAATGGGATCGCTCAGTATCCGTTGGGCAATGAATAAAGAATTTCCACTTGAGATAGCCATCACTTTATCCATCTCGTCCACATCAGCTGATAGCGTGCCGGATTCAAACTGGAGGATTGACGCAAATGCTTGCTGGCGGGTAAGGGGGCTGGGATATATCTTGTCTGTTATGATTCCATCACGCGCGAGAGAGGCGGCTGTATACTTCTGGTTCTCTAGTTCTTCCACCACTATACCTGCCCAGCTCCAGGACCGTGGTGGCTGCTTTATAACGCTCATTGGCACTGTGAGGTGCGGTAGCTCACGCTTGTAATGCTCAATGACCCGACCCAGTGCTAGCAGAGAGAAGTGCTGGTCTGGACGATGAGTCGCGAGAAAGTCATCTATCCCTTGCATGACGATACCCAGGTCCAAGCACCCATAGCCAGCCAGTTCCTGGAGCACCGGAAGAGGGACCGTTGACCGTGGTATACATTCATGTGCTATTGGGGGTCTATCACGCCTTGCGTATATACCAGCCAGGCCCGGACTCCCAAGCACCAGGTCCCATATTACCAGTGTAGCCGACTTGGGTTCGTCTCGTAGGAAGCTATGGAAAGACTGGCGGTACAATCTGTCGTTGACTGACTCTGGCAAATCACTGGAATAGTATGGCCCCGACATGGAACCAAACTGGAGGCCATCCATCTCAGAAGACACAAACATCCAGTCCTCGTCATCTGGTATTCTGATACTTTCAGTTTCACACATCTCGGACTCATATTCGCTCCTACTTCGCTTTCCGCTGGTAGCACTCTTTGTCGATGATAGCCATGTATAGCCCCATTTGTTGTCTTCTCTGCGGAAGCGAATGATACATCCCTCTGAAGGCGAGCCATGCGATTCCCAGATCCGCTGAAGAACCTGCACTCGGTCCCTCGTTGTCTTTATTGCTCCCAAGGTAAATGTCAAATCCGCAACCCCAAAGAACGGAGGGTCAGAAGTATGCTTTTTGTTCCCTATCCAGGAGGTAGCGGAATTCGCGCCGTATCGAATAAGCTGTAGTGCCTTTGCTCGTTCCTCTTCAGCTCCAGACAAATAAAGCTCGCTGCCTCCTATCAACAGAGACAGGAGATGGAGATGGTTCATCACAGTTCCAAGCTCGGGTAGTTCCTCCTTTGGTATATTCCACACGGGTTCGCCGATATCCATATTCGCAATTTCAGGGTTTACTATCCAGTCTAGGCAAGCTGAGCCGCTCTGTAATTTCTTCAATGTGTCCTGGTACACGTCGAAACTGAACCTCCAGATACACTGCAGAATATCAGCAGCCGCAGAAAGGTTGTCCAAGCTGTCCAGCGAGGCCCCTAATATCAACGCTTGAAACTCGGGAAATGACAATTTCTTGGAGTCCCGCAAGGATGACCGCTTGCGTTGAACGGTTCCATAGTAGCGCAGGCTGGATAGAGGCAGCGACCAGTAGACGCCGTCCTGGTTGCCATTCGGGTCCTCATCGTAGGCAATGGAGAGGGTTGCAACTCCACTTGGGGCAATGAGGACATCCTTTTGGAAGACGTGCTTTTCTTTGGGTCCAAGAATCACCAAATCGGGATACAGGTGCCAGGAAGTAAGACCGAGCAGGACACCTCCGTCGAGTAGGCGCTGGGGCTTCCCCGAGACCAAGTTGTCCAGCGCTAATAGTGCAGTACGGAAGCTGTGGAGTACACTCCCATATACCATCTTCTTGCCAGATGCTGAGATCGTCATGCCATCCGGGGTCACTTGAGTCTGGATTGCCACCGACAGGTTATTGGCAATTAGCTCGACGCGCTTTTGCTGCTGCTTGACCGAGCTGTTATCTGCGACCTGGAGCCAAGAACGAGCGCTGGCATCCCAGGACTGCAAGCTAGACCAGTCCGTCTCGTAGAGCGCTGCCTGCTGAGCGAAGAAATTACTGGCCTTGTCCCGCTCCATGACCTGGTGCTTGATTTCCTGGCGCCGCTCGTCGACAAGCTCAACCCAGATGGCGGTTGCTTCCTGTGGAGACCATATTCGCGCCAGCATACAGGCAAGAAGATGCATCAGCAGTGCACAGCTTCCGCTAGTAGCGCCAGCCCAGATGGTGGTGGTATCAAGACCCAAATGGGGTCCGAAAACTCCATCTGCGATGCTCTTCGACGGAGCCCCAGTTTTATCTAGCTCAGATGCAATCTCACTAGCACGGGTACCATACGCTTTCAGCAGGGACGGCACCTCAGGAAGAACCTTTTCGAATAGAATGCCGAGTCGCCGGGCGAGGATATGGAAAGAGCCCTCCTCTGCCAATTCGCGCCGCTGCCTGGAGAGAGACTCTCCAAGCGGCAGCAGCTCGGCTGGGGCCTCGCACTTGAACAAGGAGAAATCGAAATTGGCGTGGAAAAGAGAGAAGTTGGCCTCAGGGTTGAGCTGGACCGCACTAGCCGCGACTCGCTGTATTGATGTCATTTCGCACGTAGCTTGGGGCACAGCCCAGATATGAAGGAGCACCGCCTGGTCTTAAATGCGTATTCATCTTGTTCATAGCTGGGCGCGTAGCGAAACACGTGGACCAATGATGCTGTACATGATATGCAGCTGCCGCGCCGTCTGTTCGCGATACAGCCTTGTCTTGGCCTGGAAGTTTGTAGTGCTTGATGACTTTTGGTAGAGCTCACTTTTCCCCGCGTACAAAGAAGCAAAATTACCGTGGCAGACACTTCAATTACTGCAATTATTCTGCCCTTGTGGTGATTATATCAAGCTGGGTGAGACACCCTGGCAGGGGTGATCTGATTCATTCTATTTATGGGACTCTTTATAATACAGATGAGTTTCTCGGGGTCGGCGTACTTGGACGGCAGTCAGTTGACAATACTTTCAAGCCATGCGCTTGATGTACTAAGAAGAACCTATCATGTGAATATAAGTGGAATAGAAGTCTTAAATTAGACTTGCTTTGTCATAGAATAAGTGTACAGTTATATCTTATTAAGTCTAGTTTATTAGACAATACTCGTTAACTAGAATCTAGCTGGCTGGTATCCTGAATACTAAGACTATTATAACTTAATACTCTACTATTAAGGAAAGCCCAAGTAGCCTAGGCCAGTCCAGGATATTCCACTATACACGTTGATATTCAGTACACAATTAAAGATAAGTGCAAAAATTACCAACAGGCTCAAGGTTAGTTCAGATGCCGCCAGAACGAGGCTGAGAAGACGCAGCCTTGCCATTTTGCATTTATGGTTGGCTCTCACTTGTCGGCCTCAGCCTTGCTATTAGAAGGAAGAAATATTTAAGTTAAAGCTTTGAATTTCCCATTTTCTTTCTCTTTTTTTGTCTGCTGCCGGATGAACTCACCCCGCAAAGGATACTAACTTCACAAAAACTCTTCTAAAACATTATCCGCAGGCTCTAAATATGGTTCAGAATGATGCGCCTGAGCCACTCCGACTACACAATCGCCTGGATCTGTGCGCTCCCACTGGAGATGGCCGTGGCCAAGGCGATGCTGGATGAGATCCATCCAGCCTTGCCCACGCGGCCCAGCGACCAAAACACCTACGTGCTAGGGACGATCCGATCGCACCATGTTGTAGTTTCCTGCTTGCCGTCCGGTGTCTATGGAACAACATCAGCAGCGACCGTGGCTGCGCAGCTACTGTCAACGTTTCCCGCGATCCAGTTCGGGCTCATGGTTGGCATCGGCGGCGGGGCGCCAACAACAGCAAACGATATCCGGCTGGGTGATGTCGTCGTCAGCACGCCGCAGGGTACGCTGGGGGGTGTCGTGCAGTATGACTTTGGTAAGACCGTCCAGGAGGGCGTGTTCCAACGAACAGGCGCATTGAACCGCCCGCCACAGATCCTCCTGACGGCCGTTTCGAAGCTGAGGGCGGACTATCTCGTACAAGCGAGCCAGGTTCCGTATCTGCTTGCTGAGATGCTGGTGCGCTATCCCCATATGCAGAGCGGGTTTTCATCGCCAGGGCCCGAGAATGATGTCCTTTTTGATGCCACCTACGATCATCCGGACCCTGACAGATCGTGCCATGCATGCGACGCCAGCCGTGTAGTGTCTCGGCCCTCGCGAACAGGACTTGGCCCAGTGATCCATTACGGGGTTATTGCGTCTGGAAACCAAGTGATGAAGCACGGAGCCACCCGCGACCAACTGGCGAAGGAGCTCGGCGTCTTGTGTTTCGAGATGGAGGCAGCGGGCCTCACGGACAGCCTACCGTGCCTGGTAATCCGAGGGATATGTGACTACTCGGACTCACACAAGAACAAGGACTGGCAGGGGTACGCTGCGGCAGCTGCAGCAGCCTGGACAAAGGCATTACTTGCAGTCATTCATCCCAGCCAGGTCACGGCGCCTCTGGGCCGCGCGCCCCGCCAGCATACCTGGATGATCCCGTTTGAGCGAAATCAAGACTTTGTTGGGCGGGCAACACACCTGGGGCAGCTCATGCTGAGTATCCATCCAAACACAGACCCAGAGTGCTGCCAGAAGACTGCCATAGTTGGGCTTGGGGGGGTGGGAAAGACGCAAATCGCCCTCGAGGCTGCCTATCGCCTGCACGATCTTGATCCGGAGTGTTCCATCTACTGGGTGCCGGCGATTGATTCCACCAGTTTTGAACAGGCCTACCGTGCTATTGCTCGGGACCTTCGCATCGGCGGAAAGGCAGATGACAAGGAAGACATTAAACCGCTGGTGAAAACGGCCCTCAACCAGGACACCAGCCATCGCTGGCTCATGGTCGTGGACAGCGCCGACGATCCAGAACTGATGTTTAGTCGCGGCGCGACTGGCAAGAATGAGGTCGCAGAGCCTCTTGCTTCGTATCTGCCATTCGGAAAGAAAGGCTCAATTCTGTTCACGACGCGGAATGAGATTGTCGCAAGGAGAGCAGCAAAGAGAAACCTGGTCAAGGTAGAGCCGATGGATGCCACTGAAGCCCAGAGCTTGCTGGAGGCCAAACTGGACGCCTCATTGATGGTTGACGCGAGCAGCACATTACGCTTGCTGGACCTTCTCACCAACCTGCCCCTTGCCATATTGCAAGCCGCGGCCTACATGAATGAAACGGGCAAAACGGTCTCGGAATACCTGGAGATCTACGAGTCGGACGATATGGAGATGATCTATCTGTTGAGCCGGGAGTTCGAAGACTGGGGCCGTTATGACACAGCCCATAATCCCATTGCCACGACTTGGTTGATTTCATTCCTCCAAATCTCCAAACGTAACAGCCTGGCTGCCGACTACCTTTGCCTCATGTCATTCCTCGCCGAGCAGGACATCCCAGGCTCGTTATTGCCCCGGGATGGGAGGGCCAGGATGGCAGACGCGGCCGCGACTCTCAAAGCATATGCATTCATTACCGAACGGAAGCAGTCAGATTCCTATGATATCCACCGCCTGGTACAGGTGTCAGTGCGGTATTGGCTGAAAGAAAGAGACGAATGGGGGGTATGGGCGACCAAGGCAGTGCAGCACCTTGCTACGATCTTCCCTGATCCCGACCATGAGAATCAAGACATATGGTCTAGATACCTTCCGCACGCTCAGCACGTTCTTGACTTTAGGAAGGACGCCAGTGATGCCGCGATGGAGTGCACGTTGCTGTCCAAGGTCGGGTTCGCGTCTCAATTTCAGGGGAAATACAAGCAGGCGACAAGCCTGCACTGCACCGCACTGGACCTGAGAAGAGCAACCCTTGGAGAGAGGCACCCGTTGACCATGAGCAGTATGAGCGACGCCGCGGCAACAATGCGCAGCGAGGGTAAATACCGACAGGCGGAAGAACTGCATCGAGAGACCCTTGAGTTGCGCAACCAGGTACTCGGGGAGAAGCACCCGGATACACTGACCAGTATGAATCACCTCGCCATCGTACTTGACGACCAGGGAAAATATCAAGAGTCAGAGCAGATCCACCGACAAACAGTTGAGTTGATGCAACAGGTGCTCGGCAGGGAGCATCCAGAGACATTGGCGAGCATGAACTGCCTCGCTAGTGTAGTCTACAGCCAGGGACGCTACAAAGAGGCCGAGAAGGGATACCGGGAGACACTCAGGCTGCGGGACAAGGTCCTTGGAAAAGAGCATCCTGACCGGCTGCGGACGATGAACAACCTTGGCCTCGTGTTAGATGACCAAGCAGAGTACGAAGAAGCGGAAGAGATCCACCGACAGAACCTGCAGATTATATCGAAAGTACTGGGCAAGACTAACCCCATGACGCTCGGAAGCATGAACAACCTGGCCCGGGTACTCAACCGGCAAGGCAAATATGCAGAGGCAGAGCAGATGCATCGCGAAGCCATCACCCTCAAGGAAGAAGTGTTTGGCAACGAAAATCCGTCCACGCTGAGAAGTAGAAGCAACCTGGCCGTTGTGCTGTTCAGGCAGGGGAAATATACAGAAGCTGCGGACTTGCATTCGGAAACTTTAGGGCTGCGGCGGGAGGTCCTTGGAAACGAGCATCCGGAGACACTTGTCAGTATGAATGGTCTTGCCGATGTATTCCTTCGCCAGGGGAGGTATCATGAGGCAGAACAGCTCTATCGACAGACTGTTGAGATTCGTGAACGTGTTCTTGGGAAGCAACACCCACTCACCCTTGAAAGTGTGGATAACCTTGTCGCTGCCCTAGAGAGCCAGAAGCACGAAGAGGCGGAGCAACCTCAGCCAGCCTGAGGGTAAAGTATAAATACCTATAAATGCTGCGAACAAGCGGTACTGAGTACTGAGAGCAAGAAATCGCCTTCGCCGTGTCGAGCCCTAAAACGCTGGGCACGTAACACGTTGATGGTACCTTGCAGGCTCTTTCGCTTAATACCGCTTCAAAGATATGAACATAGCCAGACCATCGGCACAGGCCGCCTTCCAACCGGACTCCAGCCGTACAATAGGCCAGAGAATTTCAGTCCGTTTGTCAGCTTTCCAAGTCGTGCAATGGGGCGAGCAGGGTTGCAGCACCACATGGTCAACAGCTCCCTGCGCATGCAGCGCAACCGCAATTAACTGATTCGCCGCAATCAACTCTCCGAGATCTTACAGGCACAGACCCCTCAAGACGAAGTGGGCCGGAGATGTCTGGGCAATCCCCAAGGTTCTCAAGCATCCTTGGCAGCTCCAGGGACTGGTCTTGGCGGTTGGTGATGCGGACCGCATCGTCCTGTGATATCGCGCGATAGACCCTGTTCTTTGGTGGAGATAGCTGTGGGTGCATCCTGACGCGAGATTGCAGTCTCTTTCGACGATTCAGCTCGGATAATAACCTCTTTGGGGGTTGACATCTCGTGTACACTGCCCTGTTTCCTGTCTCGCAGCCTGGGGACCCTGGGGGATGCCAAGGACTCCGCCCAGAAATGAAGGAGAATGGGCTGAGATAGCGTGGGATGCAATGCGAGTGTCGGAGACGAAGTGAAGTCTCTGCTGGGCTGGTTGGTGCTATAAATTGCTGGTCCTGCCACCTCTACCATGCCGGTGCCTTTCCTTCCCAGCACCTCCACTGCCACCTGTGATTTATTCCCGTTCAACTAAAGGCTACACACCATGAAGTTCTCTATCCTCGCTCTTCTGGCCCTGTCAGCCTGTGCGGTCGCCCAAGAGACCGAGTCCACCTCTGAGTCTCTCGCGCCCAGCCCTACCGAGTCCGTTGGCTGTGAACCTCACGGCGACCACTGGTACAGCCTAATCCATCCCTGCTTTATAGAGCCCTTACTAACAGTCCCAGGCACTGCGACGCACCTGCAACATCCACCGCTGACAGCGAGTCCACCTCCGAAAGCCTCGCTCCCAGCCCTACCGAGTCAATCGGCTGCGAACCCCACGGTGACCACTGGCACTGCGACGCTCCCGCCACAACCACTTCAGACTCTGACTCCGATTCTTCCTCCGCTACGTCCAGCGCTGATGCCGAATCCTCCGAGTCCATCGCGCCCAGCCCTACCGAGTCCGTCGGCTGCGAGCCCCACGGCGACCACTGGCACTGCGATGCTCCCCGTGAGACTGACGCTTCGTCGACCGAGGAGGCTGGTGCTGAGGAAACCGGTGGTGAGCCCGAGGATGCCGCTGGTATTGTCTCCGTGCAGCTCTCTGCTGTTGTCGTGATGGCTGTTGGTGCCGCTGCTGTCTTGCTCTAGGCGTTCGGCTTTCATAGAGTGGGTTTCTGGATGTAAATATGGATATGGATATGTATTTATGACATAGGAGGTGGAATGGATTCTCTAATGGTATGGTTAATAAAATGGTCTTGCTTTATTTGGATTTCTTCTCCCTTATTGCTTGTTTCCATTAGAACCTTAGAGCCCTATAGACCGATCATGATCCAGCTGTAAATGACTCTTTGATGGAATGGTGTTGATCTAGTTTGCTCAACATTTCGTAGGTGATACCCAATATACTAACCATATAATGGAATCTACACTTCAACATCCTTCTTCCCAACCTCCCTAACAATCCCAGCCTTCCTATCCTTCCTCAACTGCCTCGCATAAGAAACGCCAAACCCATGCTGAAACACCTCCTTGATCTCCTCCAGCGTCAACCCAGATACCTCCGGATAGAAGAAATAAATCAAGATATACCCAATCCCACAAATAGCGGCATAGAACCCAAACGCCCCGCTGGGGGTAATCCCCTTCATCATACTCAGGAACGTACTCGAGACAATGATATTCGAGGCCCAGCAACAGCAGGTAAGCCACATTGTGCCCATCGCACGGACTTCCATGGGGAAGAAGTCCGTGTTCATCCAGGCGGTGTTACCCATTGAAACGCCGTAGAAGAAGACGAACCAGATGATGAAGATGAGCACGACAATCGCGGCGGGACTGACGGTGTCTGTCTCCAGCGCGAGGGTGTTTGTGTCGACGGGGATGAAGTGGAATGCCGCCGCGACGGCGATAAGACCGGCTGACATGCCCCAGGATGTTAGGAGGACGATGCGGCGGCGGCCGATGGGGTCGACAGTCATCATGTTGACCCAGGTCATGACGAAGTTTGTTCCTGCGACGACGAGGCCAACGGCGACGGGGTCGGAGAAGCCGACGAGGTCGAACAGCGTTGCCGAGTAGTACATGAGAGTGTTGAATCCGGACATCTGCGCGATGACTGCGAACGTGCAGCCGCAGACGAGGGCGCGGAAGTAGGCTGGGTTGGTATGGAGCAGCTTGATCTTGGACCAGCGCGTTGCGTCCTTGTTTAGTTCTTTGGACTCGTCGCAGGCAGCGATGATGAGACGGACTTTGGATTGGATTTGCTCGTCTGACGCGCCTTTGTAGATTTTCCGTATTACGGCTTCTGCTTCTTCAGGTTTGTCGTGGTAGACGAGCTGACGGGGGGATTCGGGACAGAAGGGGAGTAGGCATGCCAGGATGATCGAGGGGAGACCCCCAAGGCCGACCATATATCTCCATCCATGTGGAACGTGTGCAAAGGCCGCGCCGATTCCGTAGGAGAGGACTTGCCCGCCGGTGATGGACATGTTATTCAGGCCGATCAGACGTCCCCGGACCTTTGTAGGTGCTATTTCGGCGATGTACATAGGCACAACCATCGAGGCAGATCCAACTCCGAATCCAACAATCAGGCGGCCAACTGACATTTGCGCAATGGTGTATGCTGCTCCCTGCAGGACTGCGCCGACGGTGAAGAGCACGCAGCCAACATAGATAGCAGGCTTTCTCCCAAACTGTTCTCAATCAGCATGGGCCCGACAACCAGTACAAATAAAGTACCTTATCAGCAGTAAGTCCAGCAATAATCGCGCCGATAAATGAGCCACCAGAGCAGAGACTGGTAATTAGCTGTTTCTCATTCTCCGACACAGGTCGGCCGTCGAGATCGTTTCCTAGGTAGACCAGGACCGCAGAGATGATGCCAGTGTCATAGCCGAACAGGCTACCGGCGATGGACGCCGTAAATGACACGAGCCAGACAAACCAGCTGGTAGCAATATCTTCAATGCTATTGTCGGCTGGGGAATGACTGTCATATTCGAGATGGACTGGGGCAGTCTTCTCGTCGTCTTGAAGGGCGGCCATGATAGAAATGGGCCAAACGCGGGTGCGGCCTAGATCAAAGAGAAGTCTGGGTCGCTATGGGAAATGTGATTGAAGCAGGAATGGTTGTGGGGAGACGGGGCTTTATATCCGATGGCACTCTCTGCAGTCGTACCAGCCAGTGAGCAGGGACGACATAGAAAGAGGCGATTCTGTCCGTCCACTAGTCGACCCCGGATCGGCAACTCTAATGGCTTTGTCTGGGGTATTGCGGGGAAATGCGTGGCCTGCCCAATCCAGTCATTTTCCCCGTGTTCAGTTCTGGGAAAAGAAGATTGCCCCGGCCCTGGGCTGGCGCGGCCTGCCATTTCCGTGCCGAGGCCGTCAAAAACCGCTGCGATGTGCTAGTATTTATCTTCGTGTAGTGTTTACGCCTTAAGTGCGAATTTTGTTAGGAAAGACGATTCTTGGTACGGAGCTCCAGATGCAAAGCGAGAATGGATGGAATGCAGCTCGATCAGCAATATGTCCCAACAGGCAGTGAAAACCGCCTCATGATAAGGAGAAGCGGTTTTTGATTAACGCTTGGGTTAATCTTGCGGGAGATCAAATCCGACCTTCGCTGTCTAGAGCTAAGCCGACCAGAGTCGAGCATATGCCGATAAGAAATGTAGAAAGCGGAATGCTGCTAGTTGCTCTGCAGCATCCTAGCCGTGTTTCTCAGATTAAGTCCAGTTTGCTTGTTATCGAGCTACTCCGTAACATGATGAGTTATTTGCCACGGCAGATTCAAACAGTGGAACAACACAAAATACAATCTGTGAATCCCGTCGTAATGTCGTATGGTTACACGTAATTGTCATCCGTCCAATGTACTACCTGGTTACTCCTGGAATGCCTGTTGTGCTGGTGCAATATATATATATGTAGTTCGCTACACTCGATCCTCACCCCGCCATCGGAAAGGCAAATGACGAACAACAGAAAGCTGAAAACATGGCCAGCCTTGCCAAGTGTGAAATGCAATAGCAATACTACTATCTTCAGTTCTTCACAGCTCCGCCTCTTCGAAAGAAACCGGTCAGACTCTGGGTTTCCTAACTGGGTTAGACCAACTAAGACAGGCAGCTGTCTCCGATTGGCTGGTTGATCCGCGCCCCAATTTGGAAGGAGCGCGTTATTCAGGCATTTCTATCCGAGCATCATCTCAACTGCTCATCTCAACTGCTATGGACGTGGTATCATTGACACAGATCAATGGGTAGTAATGCGGCATGTCCACCCCAGCACTGGCAAAAGTTACCTGCACCAGCTGCAGATACGTTCTTCCATCCCCCCGCTGTCCTTCCGATGCTGACTCCCCAGTACAGAACGGCATCTAAAATGTAAATGTGATTCACCAAGACCACAGATTTCTGACGCTGACAGGATAGGCGATGATAACCACGACGTGTGCCAGACCTGTCAAAGAACTGGAGAGATCTGCAAGCGCATCCCCAACAAGCTCCGGTTCAGACATGGCTCCAGTGCAAGATACGACTCTTCCTTTGGGAAAGACCAAGTGTGGCTGCGTACTAACAAAAGAAGTTTGACACTCCTGCCTCCTTATAGAAGTAAGCTCACTAGACATAGGGAAATTCGACTTTGTTGATGAGTCGGTCGCGGTGATCACGAGCTACAACCGTGGAACCGTTAGAGATGTCGATTTCGACGGCGCAATCTCCCCTGGTCAAGAGCCTGGATCGTCCTTTGGACATATATCAGTCCCTTCCACTCCAAGCGTAACAAACATTAGTGAGCTGGGTCCAGGACTCCATACCAATCCATCAATACTCCGATCCTGTAGTGATTCCGTGCACGATGACACGGGTACAAGCATCAAGTCCAAGTCACACCTCGAAGCGATGCTCATCCGCTACTTCGTCGAGGAACTCAGTAAGTGGTTTGATGTATGTGATCCAGATAGACACTTCGCTAGGACTATCCCGCAGCGTGCTCGAAGTTACCCTTCACTTCTCCATGCCATCTTAACCGCATCGGCCCGGCATATTACCAGTATTGGAAAACATAGGAACCCCAGCGGGGGATTCACTTGGAAGGGTGCACTTATTCCTGACCTACGTGATGACACTGCTCTACATTATCACAACCGCTGCATCAAGGAACTCCAGAGCTTGAGCGGCGATGTCGAGCAAATACACAACGAGAATCTTCTGGCGGCCGCGATTGTGCTTCGATTCTACGAAGAAATCGACTCCCCTTTCGAAGGCAACAATGATAACGGCGTCCTTCTTCGCGTCCTTAATATAATTGTTAGCACACAGCTACCAACATCTGATGCATTTCCTTGCAGCTTGGCCGAAATGTACCATTCCAAAGTACCGTCTGGGTCACGGCCGCAGTATACACAAGCCGGCGGACTTCGCCGAGCGTGTTTCTGTGTTGCGTTCCGACAAGAGCTATACAAATCCTTCATGAATCAACGCCCCTTTACCATTCCATTGAGCCGATGGAATTCGTTCCGCACGTTTGCCCCCGCAGGTGACGGCACGTGGGCCGATAGGGCCATTCTTTTCTGCGCCGATGTTCTAGAGTACTGTTACGGGAGTAGCGAAACGAGCAATCGCCCGAGTACAGACAAGGACCTCTGGCAGAATCTCTCTCAATACGTGGAGGTCTTATCTCGCCGACTTCCTCCATCTTTTGAGCCAATCTATACCAGAGAGCACGAGATATTTCCCGAGATTTGGTTCATGGATGGTTGCCAGGCCACCGTAGCAGCGCATATTGAACTTGCGAAAATGCTGCTGGTTGCGTTTGATCCTAGTCCGCCGAAATTTGGACAGGGCCAAATGGCTGCAATGAAAGGGCTGATGAAGATGATGCGGGTAACTGTGCTGCGGGTGTGTGGGATTGCGTTGCACAACCGGGCTTCTCCATCAGTGTTCGTTGATGCCACCATGGCTATTTCGGCATGTGGAGAGTATATTACTGATGAAGAAGGGAGATGCGCATTAATGGAGGTCCTGAGAATCGCGGAGTCCGAGTATGCGTGGCCTACCCGGGTCGTCACTGAGAAGTTGCGCAGGGCCTGGGAGGAATAAGTTCTTCCAGAATTAGACTACGCGGCAACTGTTTGCGATTACCAAGGAATAACTATTCAAAAGGACAATTTACAAATATTGCTCCCTTCTCCAAATCTTCAGCGGCAATGGCCCTGGCAACAAATTCGTCACCTCAACGCGATCCTGCTCCCAATCTGGCCCCGGCAGGGCAAATTCATACCGATGCACAAGACTCGCCACCAAAACAGTCTGCTCCAAATAGCTAATATTTCGTCCAATGCAGCCCCTTGAGCCAGCACTAAATGGCACGAAACTCGATTGAATATCCTTGCGTTTCTCACCGAGCCACCTTTCAGGAATATACTTTTCCGCTTCCGGGAATGCTTCTTCGTCTCGGTGCGCGACGTACGAGGACATTGATACAGTGGTGTCCCCGGGGACAAACTCGCCAAGGATGTATACTCCGTCTGAGGGAGTGCGGCGCGGCAGGTTATAGCTGAATGGTGGAGTTATGCGAAGGCTTTCGTCAAGACAGGCTCGGAGGTATGGCAGGCTCTTGACCTTTTCATATGGCGCAATTACATCCGCGGCCTCAAGAGCGTCGTCAACTTCTTCCCGAAGACGCACAAGACATCTCGGGCTCCGAAGGAGCCAGTATATCACATTATTCAATGCAATCGCCGTCGTGGCTGACCCAGCATCGAGTATCACCGCAGTCTCGGCTGCGATCTCACCCCACTCCAGATTCAACGACTGCCCGTTTTTACCGTGGAGCAGGTATTTAAATATATCGTCTAGCTTCTCGGCTGCGAAATACCGCTTCAGTCGCTTGCTCACGTAGTGGTGAACGATATCATTCCAGCCATCCGTCAGTTTCCAGAGCTTTCGGTAAGAAGGTATCAGTCGCGTTATGAATCGGCTGTTAAAATAATACCATTGATCCGCAAACGCAATCCTCGTATGCGCAATCTTACTCGCATGCAAGCAGTCTCGGTAGCTGGCTGTATATACACCCCTCCTATCTACCGTCTTAGCAGCAACATCATCATTCCCTGCAGCGAGAAGCCCCAACTTCTCCGAAAGCGCAATGTCTGCAATAGCATCAATCGTGAAGAAATTCGACCAGGCCCTGAAATCAAAGTTCAAGTCTTTCGAATCCGGTATACGCCCTTTCTCCAAGGGCACCGTGCAATGCCGATCACAGGCGTCAATCAAATCCGCCACAGCACGCGCAACCTTACCCTCCCACCCCAGCACATTCCCCGCCGAAAATGCCGCTGCCAGCATCTTCCTCTTCCGCGTATGCTCGGCCTTGTCAATCACATTTCCCAGGTTGAAATGCGTCGTCTTCTCCGTCTGGTAGAATGCGTCTTTCACGCACTTCGTGCCGTGCCCGTAGATATCGGCGTATGCGTCTGGGTGCCCGTAGGAGAGAGAGTTGGGGCCGATCCGAATGACTGGATGTGCTTTGTGCATTTGCCACAATTTGGCGGAGCGGATTCCGCCGCGCCATGTTTCGAGACACCAGGCGAGGTTTGTAACGGCGCAGAGGGGGCTATAGGGAGGGTATTTGTTTAAGCCTTTGGGGTTGAGTAGATAGGTAACTAGGGGTTTTAGGAGGAAGATGGCGAGTGTTAATAGCAAACTGAGGGCGTACATCTTGGATTCTTGGCCAACGAGATACAATTTAAAAGGTAGAGTTGTGAGATTATATTATGGAGAGTCCACAAGGATTCGTGTTTCTTATATCATGAGTGTGTTGGCCAGATATGGACTTGATTCAGCGATCGCTACTTTCCCTATACAGCTGGATCATTTACGAAAACTTGAAATACTGCGAGAAACAATGACTTCCTCGGAATCGTATTGCTTGAAATCCTGTAGCAGAATTACCTGTTTGAGCCATGGCCAAGATAGGCAATTTCTGAGTTGGAGATGGCCGAGTGGGCAGGTCGCGCCGAAAATTTCCCTGCTGGCAAGGGTCGGTATCGGGATATTGTATCGTACCCCTGCTATGGAATTTCCATGGATTCTCATATTCCCTGAGATAGGCTTAGATAGCCGACGCTTATTTACCGAATTTATGAAAGTGGTGGACTCGAGTACTTGACATCTACATAACCAGCCTCACGGGCAGGGTATTGGTTTGTAGGTAGACTCTCAGCATAATTCTAAATACTTACAGACTCGACTATCATAGCAAGGTAAACCTCATTATACATCATTATTAGCACAGGACCACGCAGCCGACCCGCCGCTCTGATCGTAAGAATCTCTAATGCCAACAATAGAACCGTAGGTCCCACCAACAGTAAGGAAACACCCAACCGCAATAATAAAACAGCTCCAGGCGGCCTTTACCAACCACCAGACTGATTTTCCACCGGGACCCGTACCCCAGTTATCATAGAGCCACATGCAGCCCATGGGTTGGAAGATGAGCGAGGTTGCGAATAGGGCACCGACTAGGGAGACAAGGCCGCTGAATACGGGAATCCCACTGGCGATTATGTAGGCGATTAGTGAGACGGTGAATGTGGAGCCCAGCCATGTCACCCAGTGGATCGTGGTGTGGTTTGTGAGATGTTTGGAGCCGCGGAGAATACGGACCAGAATGTGTTTGGCGGGTAACTATGGAACTGTTAGTGGTGGAGCTGATGAAGATCTAATGACAGGATTTGGGAGCTGAGGACTCACATGAAGTAGCACTACTTCTGAAACAATCAGGCCAGGTAAGGCAATCCCATAACAAATTTTCTTGATGAGTATTCCTGCTGAGCCAAGCGCTGGGGATGCAACGTGTGATCCACAGTAAAGATATACAACTGTTCCGCAGACAATATAAACAATAGTAATAATGCTCTGACTCACAGCCAGCGACCGATTATAGAACCGTGGGTCTTTCATTTCGGCGACGATGTTAAAGAAAGCTGGAGTCCCAGCATAACTCAAACACACGGTTGAGATGGCGCTCATGGCCTCGGTAAAGGTTGGACTGCCAAACAATTTGTAGTCGCGCTCAGGGATGATACCATCTATTGCAGGAGGATGACCTTGAACTCCAACAGCAATGGTGACAATAGACACTGACGAGCTGTTAGAATAGAAGTGCCACAAGTGCTCATGACTTACCAGAAAGAATGATGCAAAATGTACCCACCCAAGCAAGCCAACTCATGCGGGCGAGGGTTTGGATGCTTGAAAGGACGAACCCAATTATTGCAGCAATAACCACGTAAATCGCAGTACATATTGCATGCGAGGATAGCGCGTTGAGAGCAATCGAGATACTCAACATTGCTGAACCAGACACAAAGATCCAGACTTTAGGATGTTAACACCAGACCTAGGTAGTATTGCAGGGAGAATTTCTTACACAGACTATACGCAGCACCCAGTAGCTCGAAGCCAACACGGCCAAACAACATCCTCCCGACATCATCGATGCCATATACTTCTGGATGGCGGAGTTTAAAGACACCGACCATCCAGTTCGACCAACCCGTCATGAAGGAAATGGCGAGAACAATGATGATCCCCGGTATTATACCAAGAGTATCGAAGACCTGGGGAATGGAGAGCACGCCGAGTCCCATCTGGGTCTTCAACATCAAGGCCGTAGTTCCCTTCCACCCGACCTTATCAACGTTAGAGCGGCCTTCAACGAAGCCTTTCGTAACTCACATCGCGGTAGTTAACGCCGCCCTCTTGGATCTCTCCGAAAACGGCATCTTCCTGTATCGTCTTCTTGTCGAGCCCCTTACCAGCATTCGATTGGGCCGGGGTGATTATATTCTCGGGATCGGTTTCACCTGCCATTTCCGCCATGATTGCAGAAACCATGAACTCTGGCGAATGCACTGGCTGGGCGATAACGGACTGAAAAAATGAATGCGATGGTCATTGCGGGAGCTCTGCCCCGATGACCGGCGTTGGAGGCCAAGTATGCCCCGTATATTACCGCTTGGGGAAAGGCTGGCCAGTCTGGGGTGCGGGTCCGGCCAAACTCCGGAGTTCTACCTCAAGGTTTCGATGGGAGAGGAGCGGTTCATAGCGAATATTCACAGAATTGGTGAGATTTTACCATATGATCGACCCTAATACTCGTGAGATCGTACGACTTGGATGTCGTATACGTCCGGCGCTTGCTCGCGTGTCGTTCTGCTGAGAGGCGATCATTTGCACCGATGTGGGGGCCGCGACATAACTGACTCGTTCAGGGATTCGTCTCAGAAGGAAGTACTTCTTTTGAAGAGCAACATATTTCATGTTTCTACCAATGCATATAAATAAATCGAAGATCGTGACAATCCTTAGGGAGAGACTTTATCTGCTAAATGCTTGCCGTTCGGGGAGGAAATCCGGGATTGATTCTCCGAAGTGACCTGTTGTCAAAAAAAAAACGAAGGATCAGACTATGCCGAGAAAAGTAGAGTCTTCAGAGCTTAATTTTATCCTAACGAGCAAGAAGAAACGCCTAGGGAAGATGCCAGTAGACTGGGGGCGACATTAGCAAAGCGGTGGAATAACGGGGGATACGCAATATAGCAGCATTATCATTCCACTTGGACGAGGCAGTGATATACCGTACTGATAGAAGTGCGATACTTGCTTAGTTGATATTGGCCATCGAGTATTACTGGTCTTCCCAGCAGCCCGGCATGCGTACCGGTCCCAGGAACGATGCATACTTCCCCGAGTCTTGCTGTATCAAGAAAATAACGGCTCAGCTATCGGCGGGCATATCATCACGACCAATACGACAATGAGTCAAGGCAGAATTCCAGGAAGCTGGAGAAGTCAATCCGCCCTCAGGGATGACATTCGTAGCCACCACCGACGACAAGGAATAGCAGGCCGCCAACCCCGTTCCTGGAGTTGTTCCCGATATCTGACACTCTATAAAGAATGAGTCTGCGACACGCCAACCTTTCGGGCTCATTACCAATATTATTCAGGTCGTCGTGGAGCCTTTTTGTACAACGTATGTCACTTTTATAATGGAGATACCGGGGCCAATTGCATATAACATTAAGCCTTCTGCGAGCATGCCGGAGGGTTTGACGAGGTATGGAACGTTCTCACTCCAGAGCTGGATCATGTGCTTGGCGACAAGGGGGGGAAGATTACGGAGTACTGGAATTAAACAGTGAATACTGTCTCTTAACGCGCTGGTGCTTATTGACGTGTTGCTGGAGGTAGTCGTCCCAATAAATTAGCTGCATTGAATCCCTGGGGCGAACCGCCATTCTGATTGTACCATGATATGGGCTTCCATGAGATTCCTTTTCCTCCAGAAATCCAATATTAATAATCCATGCCTGACTGAGTCATACTCGTCGTCTGAAAATCTGAGTGAGTCACACTGGTCGTTTGGAATAACTTTTGGTGTACATACCTCGTATAATCCAGTCCGAGATCCGACTCGGGTTGCATCCATGGTGCCCAGCCTTGGCGGTGTTGGAGAGGGGAAGGTGGTGGATTTCTTGCTTATAAATATTCATAAAGATTGCTTGTATCTAGAAGTTGTTTAGAGATCTCAACATCATTACTTTTGACCCTACTCCCTAAGGAATATAACAAAGTGCCGATAACCAGGTCAACGCCTTGAAGATGTCGTCTGCAGAAACGGTGGTTATCGCTGGTGCGGGCAATATTGGCCAGTATCTAGTCGAGGAGCTCATTGATGATGCCAAATACCGCGTCGCTGTCATTTCACGCAGCAGCCGGCCATATCTCGATGCTCTTGGAGTGGATGTCCGAATCGTAAATGAGTACAGTCGCGAGTCCGTACTCCCAATCTTGGACTCTCTCCCCAAGACTAGGGCCCTGATATCGACGCTGAGCTCCGACGATCCCACGGTATACACGCCGCTGCATGAAGCATTACTGTCTGCTTGTCGTGATTCGAAAACCTGCAAACGTTTCATACCGAGTGAGTTTCTCGGAAACACCAGAGACTATGAAACTATTCCACGCCCGATCTATCGCGCCCGTAGGGACTTCCGCGCAACCCTGACCAGCCAGAAAGACGTTACTTTCACGTTCGTCAATCTTGGTTGGTTGGCCGATTACTTTGTTCAAGCACCTGGCTCACACAAGACGTACATCCGCCCATTTCCACAGGGTTGGCCCATTGATTTGGAAAAGCGGACTGTTCGCGTCATTGGCACGGGTGACGAACCTATAGGTTGGACCGCGACAAGAGATATGGCCAGGGCCGTTGTTGCGTTGATCCCCCATGATGACTGGCCAGAATATACTTGGGTCTATGGCGAGCTGGGCACATGGAATCAGGCAATCCAAACAATCGAGAAGTTTTACGGAATCGAACTGCAGGTATTTTCTGGGGCACTCCCTCCTCCCATCTGCAGCCTCCACTGACGCGGCGACAGCGAGAGTATGTCAGCAAAGAGTCCATATCGGCCCGCCTCTCCAATGAAAACGAGCCTGACAAGTGGTATTCGGCCACTATCGACGAGTGGTCACTCGTGGGTGCGACGGCAGTGCCCCGCCAGGAAGCCGATCAGCAACGGGAAAAGTACTTCAAAGACGTTGGTTTCCGTGACATCGAAGCGCTCCTGCTTAGCTCGCAGCATGTGCCAGTTGTTTGAAGGAAATGGGCTTGCGCTGACAAATATGATGTTCTCTTGTCGCAACTCGCGATCCTTATCAGTACCCAAGTATCCATAACCCCTCACGATCAACCACCCCGCTTTGGGTGGGCTGTTCTGTGTTTATGAAATCCTTCCAACTCCGCAGAACTGTACACATCACTCTGGAAATGTTTCCTGCGCCGTAGTCAAAGTTAATCTGCCACTGGTCCAATGGGATCGCAATCAAGAGGGGTGGCTTCAGCTCGCTCGGTTGGTCTGTTGTCAGCAGGCAGACGAGTAACTATTCATTGGCCTGGAAAGCACGATCATTAAATGTGGCGAGGGCTTGTCTCCTACTCCTTTGGGCAGGGGACAAAGATAGAACTCGGTCGCCATAACGCGCTGAGACTGAGAGACGCTACAACAACCAGTGCACCGCATTGGCCGCAGAAACACGTAGTATATCGATCGCAATCGGGGTCTGACCGTTGGTTGCTCGCACTTGGCATGAACATGTGGGGGCAATCCCAGAAAGGTGTTTGCAAGATGCGATCGATCCTCCAGCTTCTGCTCCAGGACCAATATGGATCACAGCGCGAGAAAACACCTCAACGTGGTCATGCGGCATCACGTGCTGGCTGTTGTTGTTTCTTGTTGTTTTCCCTTCTTCCCCTCCCCCTCCTTCCTATCGCGCTTCTGACAACCGATCGGCAATACGGACCCCTTTGGTTCCATCGGATTGCATCATCAAGTGGATGATGACCACCCAATTTGACGGCCTACTATCGAACTAGTGCATGTCGCCTTGATGGGACTTTTGTTTGAGCCCGAACATCGCCGACGCGTCGGCACCATTGCTTGGAATTTCGGCGGCTCTCACACCATTTCCTCAGCCACAGCGCTCGTCAAAGCGCGCTGATCAATCTCTCAGCTTCGCCACACGCCGGCCCACTTGGTGAGACGCACTGATAGTGACAGCCTTGGCTCGTGAATCTTGCCCAGGGAATCCATGGTTCAGCTCACGTCAAAATGCCTTCCGGACGGACTTCTATCACTGTCAGGCGGAGTTTGGAGATCGATCCAAGGTCTGATCGAACCAGATTTGTGGGCCCACGGGGACTCCCGGCGAAACTGCGCCGTGCGTCATGCAGCTAAGGCACTGTGCTGTTCACTCATCGGTTCCTATTTCACTTAGTTCCAATCGAAGAACCAATAGTTAGCTATCACATGTCTTCGAAGCCGTGGCAACTCAACTTATCCGTCTCTATCTGCCTGGACGGGAAAGGAAGGAGCCCTCATTGTTGTCTGTTGGAGACTTGCACTGAACCTTGGTGCCTCATCCCGCTCCCCAATATGGCCCATAGCCTTAATTATTGAACGATAGTGCTGTGATGGCAATGCAGGTGCCTTGCTCGTGACGCGTTTGTGCCTTGGGGGTGCTGGCATAAGCTCATTCATTGGCGGGCCTTTGTCGGCCCCAGCGTAGACGCACCCCTCCATGCAAGCCTCCACGAGGGGTTCGACGTTCATGGAGGGCGACTAAACTTTATGGGAAGGCGGCTGAATGCAGCAATGTGAAGCAGTTGGTACAGCATAGCCGAGCTGCAGCATGCGGGTGCGGAACTGGAACTGGAATTTTATTCGAACTGTTACTTAAGGGCGAACGTTCCCACGATTATGAGCATGCCTGTCAAAACTATCTGATTTTTAATCATTTACTTGAATTTTGTATACCCTGTATATATTACAACATCCCATTCCGCAGAATAATGTCGCAACCTACTTCGTCAAATGGCCATCTCGATACCAGCCCTTGGGTGGACGACCCCATTGCTATCGTCGGCATGGGATTGCGTCTTCCGGGCTCTATCCGCACTCCTCAGCAATACTGGGACTTCCTGGCCAACAAGGGCAGCGGTCGTACCCGGGTTCCTGCTGATCGTTACAACGTGGATGCTTTCTTCGGGCCAAAGGGAAAGCCGGGCCATACTTGCACAGAATACGGCTACTTCCTTGACGTCGACCTCGCTGCAGCGGACAGCTCGTTCTGGTCTATGCCACCCAAGGAGCTGGAACTCCTTGACCCCCAACAGCGGTTAATGATGGAAGTGGTTTACGAATGTCTAGAGAGCAGCGGGACAGCATCTTACAGGGGCAAAGACATCGGATGCTATGTAGGCGTGCTTGGCGAAGATTGGATGGACATACAAACCCGAGATCCGCACCATCAAGGAATGCATCGTGTTGGGGGTTATGGCGACTTCGCTATTGCCAACCGCGTATCGAAAGAACTCGGCCTTACCGGCCCAAGTATGACTATTCGAACAGCTTGCTCCTCTTCCCTAATGGCCCTGCACTCCGCGTGCCAAGCGCTATACGTGGAAGAGTGCTCATCAGCCGTCGTTGGTGGCTGCAATTTGATTCTTTCACCACGCATGACAGTAACAATGTCCGAACACCGTGTGATTTCGCCAACAGGTACTTGTCGGTCATTCGACGCCAACGCAAACGGCTATGCGCGAGGCGAGGCCGTCAACGCTATACATATAAAGCGGCTGTCGCATGCTCTGCGCGACGGGGACCCCATCCGCTCTGTTATTCGCTCGGTATGCATCAACTCGGATGGACACAGGTCTCCTCTGTTTATTCCGAGCCCAGAAAGCCACGAGCTTCTCATTCGCCGAAGTCACCAGCTGGCGGGTATAACGGACGTTTCTCAAACTGCCATGGTTGAATGTCATGGAACGGGGACGATGGTGGGCGATGTACTGGAGGGCAACGCAGTGGCCAATGTATTTGGGGAGCTTGGTGGGGTTCTGATCGGATCGGTATGTGAAAAGAATTTTGTTTAGAACTTTCCATAAACGCTAACTGACTCGGCAGGTGAAACCCAACATTGGGCACAGTGAGGGAGCGTCAGGCCTGAGTAGTATTATCAAGATGGTGCTAGCGCTCGAGCATCAGAGAATCCCGCCAAATATTAACTTTACAACTCCCAATCCCAAGAGTAACGTTATTCGCTTGTTGTTCCAGGGATGTTCATCAGCTAACGCGGATAAAGTTCCGTTCGGGCCGGCCCGCCTCCGGATCCCTGTGGAGTGCGAACCATGGCCAAAAGGCAAAGCAGAGCGAGTTGGGCTCAACGGATTTGGCATTGGAGGAGCAAATGGACATGTAGGTTGGTCGTGAATACTGGTGATTCATATTAACATTATTCCAGGTTCTGCTCGAGTCTGCGAGGTCCGTCGTTGGAAAACCCCAACCCGGCGCTTCTAATTCCGAGGACCCCCAGCTACTTGTGTTCTCGGCAACTCACCCCGAGACCGTGAAGCGCAACATTGCGGGGAGCTTAGATTATCTAGCCGCCAATCCAGGTCGAGTTTCTGATGCCAGTTATACTCTCGGATGTCACCGCCAAGTTCTCCCGAATCGCGCTTTTGCAGTCGGTTCCGTTGGCTCTTGGGATATCTCTCCTGTCCAGAAGGGAGGGCCCGCGCCGGACCTGATTTGGGTTTTCACTGGACAAGGAGCCCAGTATCCTGGGATGGGGCGGGAAGTAATTACCTGCAATGCTATTGCAAGGAACACTATCCAAAACTTGGATAACGTGTTGGATACTATTGAACCCGGGCGCAACTGGTCCATTTACAGTTAGATTTCCTGTTAAGCCTGCGAGTCGTACAACGATTGCTAACTATCCTTACAGATGAGTTGACTCTACCAGAATCTCCCTCAAAACTCTCTCAATCCGAATACTCCCAACCCTGCTGCGCCGCTCTTCAAATCGCCCTTGTGGACGTGTTGAAATCCCTCAATGTGAAGCCTTCAGCGGTGGTGGGCCACTCCGCCGGTGAGATAGTTGCGGCCTATGCTGCCGGGGTGCTGACCGCTGCCGAGGCAATCACTGTTTCATACTACAGAGGCCAGGCCGCAGGTGGTGTTTCAAAATCTGGAGGCATGATGGCTGTTAGTTTGGGCCGAGAGCAAGTCTCTCCTCTATTGACTGATGGGGTCATTGTTGCATGCGAGAACAGCCCCAGAAGTGTGACTCTTAGCGGCGATTCCTCAGAGTTGGATGCAATTGCTCTTGAAATACAAAATCGCCATCCAGACATCTCGATCAAACGTTTGGCTGTGAATCGTGCCTACCATTCGGGTAAGTTTAATCCCTTTCGCTTGTATAAAAAGCCGCTAACCCCTTTCGAAAGCGCATATGAAAGAGGCAGAAGATGGATACTTGAATCGCCTTGCGTTTCTTGAAAGACTGGACAATGAGAAGCAGTTATCAGCCGTTTTCGTATCTTCAGTAACAGGAAAGCCTGTTCAAAGCGCTGCCAAGTTTGGACCCGACTACTGGTGTCGTAACTTTACCTCCCCAGTACTATTCTATTCGGCAGTTAGCACCATTCTCGCGAGTGGCTTATCGAATCCCACATTTATTGAAGTGGGACCGCACTCTGCACTCTCTGGAGCACTCCATGATATCGCGTCAGAGACGGGATCAGTCCCGTACATTCCAACACTTGTACGGGGAACTCACGCATACGCTTCTGTTCTCCGCACAGCTGGGCGGTTGTTCCAGTCCACAAGCGTTGAGCTGTCTACCTTGTGCCGAGGAACTACTTTAGGGGATCTCCCGCCCTACCAATGGCAATATGATGGCCGCTTCTGGTCTGAATCGAGGGTTTCCCGGAACTCGCGATTCCGTCAATTTCCTCATCACGATATCCTGGGATCGAAAATTCCTGACGGCAATGACACCGAGCCTCTGTGGCGGTCTCTGGTTTACCTTGAGAACGTTCCTTGGCTTCGGGATCATGTCGTCGATGACAAGATTGTTTTCCCTCGAGGGTCCTATATTCCCATGGTGGGTGAAGCTATCCGCCAGCTTACGGGAGATAATGATTTCTCTCTCCGGCACGTAACGTTCATCGAAGAGCCCACACTTCACGATAGTCAGCCCATGGAGATTTTAACGCAGTTTCGACCATCTCCAACTTCGGAATGGTATGACTTTACCATCACTAGCCAATTTGAAGGCACATGGACAAAGCTATGCACTGGCCAGGCTAGAGGAGGGCGACACTTTCTTCAAGATATTACCCGTTCGACCCCGGGACCTCGGAAAGTGAAAGCAGAAGCATTTAACCGTTCCATTAAGAGAGCTGGAGCAAATTATGGGCCCCGGTTCCGTGTCATGGACCAAATTTCCACCAGCGTCACGGCACCAGAAGCGACCGCCGAGGTCATGGACGTTCGCGAAAAGATGGATAGCACTTACACCATTCATCCCTGTACCGTAAGCTCCATACTCCAGTTGTTTAATGTCGCCAAGGCGGAAGGTCGGAGTTTTAATCGTCTGGCTGTGCCGACGTATATTGGTGAACTCTACGTGCGCTCCTCGTCTGGTCCAATTGCGGTCCAGTCCACCGTCACGGATACTAAAGGGGGCACTTTCTTCGGTGACATCGCGGGGTTCTGTGAAAGTGAGCTAGTGTTTGCTTTCCGCAGAGTTGGCCTCTCTCAAACGGAAAAACGAAATGATCGTGGCCCTGACCCTCACGCCGGTGCCCGACTAGTATGGCAGCCAGACATTGACCAGGTGGATGTCAATGGCCTCATACGTCCAACTCCCGGAATGTCCGATAGCCTTGCCCTCGTCGAAGAACTGGCATTGGCCTGCATTATCGAGAGTGGAAAGCAGTCCTGCAGTGACTTGTCTGCGCCACATTATACCAAATACCACCAATGGCTGAGCCAGCAACGACAACGCGCAGAGCAAGGTGAATATGAAAGTGTTTCCTCGTGTAAGGATGTTGCTTCGATGACATCTCTGGACCGAACCCGTCATATCGATCGCCTACATGAGAGAGCGCTTCAAACTAACGGTAGACACGTCGCCACAGCCATAATGCGTATCTACCATGAAACCGGTGCGATGTTTAACGGACATGCCGATTCCTTGAGCCTGCTAATGAAGGACAACCTTCTTACGGCAGTCTACGGGTTTAAGCTGTGTGAATTTGGCGATTTCTTCCGTGTCCTATCCCACAACAGGCCATGCATGCGAGTTTTAGAGATTGGGGCAGGGACTGGTGGCGCGACGGCTACTATTCTACGTGCGATGCATGGACCACACAATGAACGCCTCTATGAACGTTATGTATACACAGATATCTCGCCTGGATTCTTTGACGGCGCTCAAGAACGCTTCAGCGTTTACGATGGCATCGATTACCGCCCACTTGATATCACCGCCGATGTAGCCGCGCAAGGATTTGATGGCTCCTACGATCTTATAATCGCGTCGAATGTTCTCCATGCAACCCCGAATCTCCAGCAAACGCTCTCAAACGTGAAATCATTGCTTAGACCGAATGGCAAACTCTTCCTACAAGAACTGGCACCTGTCACCAAATGGATTAACTATATCATGGGCACCTTGCCTGGCTGGTGGCTCAGTACCGACGACCGCCCATGGGAACCCTATGTATCACCGGAAAGATGGGACGCAGAGCTTCGCGCTGCTGGGTTTACAGGAACAGATTCTGTGGTCCACGATGGCCACATGAACGCTCATATCATCTCGTCCGTTCCAGAAAACTCAGTCGAGACAAGAAGACGTGTCACTGTCCTCTACGAGAGAACTTCCGATGATCTGAACCTTTTCGTTTCCATCCTTCGTGCACGTGGGTTCACGATCGATCTCCGACATCTAGGAGACGAACTACCTGCAGATCAGGCGGTCATATCTTTGCTAGAGTTGGATTCTCCCCAACTTCACTTGCTAAGCGAAAGAAAATACTTGGACCTCCGCAATATGATCCTTTCTTTGGATGCAACTCCAATGCTGTGGGTGACTCGGCCGTCTCAGGTGGGCTGCTCAGACCCACGGTACGCGGCAACGCTCGGCCTCTTGCGGACTGCTCGCAGAGAGCTTGGGGTGACAATAGCCACGCTTGAGCTGGATTCTCTAGATGAGAAGGCATTCCAGGTCGCGTCCCTCGTTGTTGATCGTGTCCTTCACCTTAGTACCGACTCGTCATTTGATCCGGTGCTCGAATACATCTACACGCAAGAAACCTTGATGGTTGGCAAATTCTACCCCGCTATTGTTAGTGAAGAACTACTAGAGATCAAAAAGCCCGGAGCCGAAAAGGCAGATGCAGCGGTACTGCGGATTGGAAATCCTGAGAGAGTCGACACGCTACACTGGGAACGCAAGCCAGTGGAAAGGTTTACATCCCTGCAGGATTGGGTGGAGGTCCAGACACATGCCGTTGGCATTAGCTCAATCGATCTCAAGGTGGCCGATGGCACGCGTGATGCTCCCTTTGGCGAGGGGTGTGCTGGAATTGTGCAATGTGTTGGGCCTGGTGTTAGAAACCTTCGTGTTGGCGATCGCGTCATGGTGTTGGCAGCTGGGTCTGGGGCACTCGCCACGCGGTTTGTCGCTAGTGAGAGGCTGTGTACTCGGATGGCTCGCGGCTTGAGTTGGGCTGAGGCAGCTACAATTCCATATCCCTTTGCCACTGCTATGTACTCGCTAATTGACGTTGCGAGACTGAAATCTGGTGATGTGCGTGCTCTTAACCCAACTTCGAACGCAGCTAAACTAATATTTCCAGGCCATCCTCATTCACTCCGCCTGTGAGGGAGTTGGATTAGCTGCCATCCAGATTTCCCGAATCATTGGAGCCGAGGTATGTTTTGATATCTGAATCCTGAGGTGCATGTGTACTAACGGCCTAGGTCTACTGCACTGTCGGGAATGATACGGAAGTCGACTTCTTGGTGCAACTGGGAATCCCAAAACAGCGCATCTATAGCTTCCGGGACAGCACATTCGCCCAAAGCCTCATGGTTGTCACTGAAGACCGTGGAGTCGATGTCGTACTGAATTCCTTGACTGGAGATCTGCTCCATGCCTCATGGCAATGCGTAGCGGAATTCGGCGTGATGGTGGATCTAGGGAAGCGCTCTCTCAGCAGGGGCCAGCTGGATATTGATTTCTCTGAGGGAAACCGCGCGTTTGCAGCAGTTGATCTAGCTCAGATCAGCGCGAAGCGTCCGGAGATAATACAGGGGTGAGTTTTCGCCTGCTTCAAATCTGTGGATTCGGGTTAATCAAAAGATAGATTGCTCCGAAGGTGCATGCACCATTATGCGTTGGGCGAACTAAGCCCCCTTCCATTACTAGAATTCCCAGCTGAAGAGATTCAATCTGCTTTCCGTCACATGCAAAATGAGAATACGGGGCAAGTCGCCGTCATCATGCCGGAAGAAGCGTCGTCGCTGCCCGTCGCCGCGCACCGCAGAACGCCCTCTTTCCGGACCGATGGTATCCACTTGATCGTTGGAGGATTAGGTGGTCTAGGACGTTCCGTAAGCTCATGGATGGCACTCCACGGTGCCCGGCATTTTATTTTCTTCTCCCCGTCGGCGGCAAATAAAGAGGGAGATGACTATGTCTTGGAACTGCGTGCTCAGGGTTGTCAAGTTGATCTTGTCTCTGGTGATGTGAGTAAGGAACAGGACGTTGATGCTCTCATCCAGAGTATACCCGAAGGGCGCCCCATCGCCGGCATTATGCAGGCGTCCATGGCGCTCGAAGTTACATCTCTTGACAGCATGTCCTTCGAGCAATGGCAAATATCGTTTGCACCGAAGGTCCAGGGAACGTGGAATCTACATAACAATCTGCTGAAATACCGCCGCCGCACCGACTACTTTGTACTTTTCAGTTCTTTAGCCGGCCTCATCGGCCAAACTGGGCATGCTAACTATGCTGCTGGAAATGCTTTCTTGGATTCTTTTGTTCAGTATCGGCATTCAATGGGTCTTCCTTGCTCCGCACTCAATATCGGTGTCATGGAAGATGTTGGGTACGTTAGTAACCAGCAACATATCATCGACCATTTCCTCGCGACCTCCGCACATACTCTTCACGAACAAGACCTTCTCGATACGATTCAACTCGCCATTGACAACTCACTGCCCTCTCCAACGGAGCAGAATCAGACGAACGGGTGGCAATCATACGTCTCGCAGGGCCAAATCTGTATCGGTCTCCGCAGCAATAGTCCCTTGGACTCCCCAGCAAACCGTATATCATGGAGACGCGACCCACGAATGGCCCTCTACCACAATCTCAACAAGGCAGACAAGGAGACATCCTCAAGCGCAGCTAACAGTAGCAATGATAGGGCCCTTGAGAAATTCCTTGAACAAATCAAGCATGATCCTGAAATCCTCGCGAAGGAGGAATCAGCCAATCTGTTAGGCACAGAAATTGGCAAAGCCCTATACAACCTTATGTTGCGTGATCACTCGGACTTGGATCTGGACATCCCTCTGTCATCCCTGGGTGCAGATTCGCTGTTGGCTATCAAATTAAAGGACTGGTTCCGGAGAATGATTGGAGTTGATATCACCGTTGTACAGATTCTGAGCAGTGGAAGCTTACGAGAGTTGGGTCGGACGGCTGCTCAGAGCATGGTGGCAAACTTTAAGGACTGAACAGCGACAGGTAGCTATTGGAATTGAGAGCTCTTGCCAAGATCTAAATCGAAACAATGCAGCAATCAGACCGTTTAAATTCTTAAAAGAAGCTGTGCCCACTACGAAGCTTGACCCTAGTCTATCTCCTTATGCTGTTGGCCGGATTTTCCTCCGGCACGTCCAGAGCGAAGTCACAAAATATCCATCCCTTCGCTTTCAAGTCATTCACAACTATACGGCGGTATTATATTTGTCAATAACCTAAACAATTAATATGGCACTCCATTGGTCAACTGGCCGATGGCCCAACTCTGGGACGCCGAGAGAGGCAGTGCTCGCGGAACCACTCAATCTCAAGCCATCATTTCGTCACCTCCTGCAGATGCGCATATCAGATCAGGCGATGACAGCTGGTAGCTCTCTTGCCAGCTTCACATTGGCGGGATTTAGCAGGATGCTGTCATTGACATCTCCGATCCGGAGGCCGTTGTCTCAACCATGGATCGCCACCAGATTATTCGATGGAAAACAAGACACAGCCACGATCTGGGATATCACGAAGGGTCTGGGGGCTATTCTACTACTCTTTGCTTTTGATGAAGTAATGAGGTGGTATGATAGCTATTTCTTATAGATTCCAATTTCTAGCAACATGCCTTTTCTTTGCTCAAGACTGCCTCCGTTCGCGTATACACAAGCCAACAACAATGTCTGACAAAGATGGAAACGAGTCATGGACTGATGACATATTATCATCCGAACCACCATCTGAAGAGGAATCCCTTGTCGTCGGTAACAAATTCGCCTTCTCACCAGGCCAACTCAACAAGCTTCTGAACCCGAAGTCCGTCCATGCCTTCTATACATTAGGTGGCCTAAAGGGCCTTGAATATGGACTACAGACAAACCTCGCCGCTGGCTTATCAACAACAGAGACTATTCTGCCTCGATATGTCACGATAGACGAAGCCAGGCAGGTAGCCTGGTCAAATAAAGCGATCGCCACCTCCTCGCATATTCAGGGGAGTATTCCCCTACCATCGCAGCCATCGAAAGACTCCGTCCAGTTCACCGACCGAACGCGGATATTCGGTACAAATGCACTTCCCTCTGCGCCGAAGAAAAAATTCCTCCGTCTCGTATGGGACGCATATAACGACAAGATTATCATCCTCCTCACCATCGCCGCGGTCGTCTCCCTTGCCCTCGGTATCTATGAAGCCGCATCGGGTCAGTCCCAGGTTGACTGGATTGAAGGGGTGGCAGTGTGCGTTGCGATTGCGATCGTGGTTTCTGTTACGGCAGGCAATGACTGGCAGAAACAAAGGCAATTTGGAAAGCTGAACAAGAGGGTATATACATTCCCTCCGACAGGGCAAGATTGATAGATGAAGCTGACTAGGACAGAAACTCGACCGCGAAGTTAGGGTTATCCGCGATGGACAAACAATCCGAGTTCATATCACTGAGCTCACCGTCGGGGACGTCGTGCATCTGGAGCCTGGGGACTCGGCGCCTGCTGATGGAGTTGTGATCACAAACCATGAGATTAAATGCGATGAGTCCACTGCTACCGGGGAGTCAGACCAGGTTGAAAAGGTCAGCGGTTACAAGGCCTGGGAGAGGCTCCAGGTTGGGCCACTCGAAATGGACGTGGATCCGTTTATTATCTCTGGGAGCAAGGTGCTTGAAGGGCTAGGAACATATGTTGTTACCAGTGTCGGGCCTCATTCAACATATGGGCGGATTATGGTCTCACTGGGGGCTGAGACAGATCCCACGCCGTTGCAGGTGAAGCTTGCGCGATTGGCGAACTGGATAGGATGGTTTGGGCTGGGGTATGACCTTCTTATACTTCTATACTGAGTTATGGACTATACTAAACAGCACTAGTTCGGCCTTACTTCTGTTCACCGTCCTGTTCATCCGGTTTCTCGTCCAGCTATCCGGTATCTATCAAAACGATAGTCCGGCTGTTAAAGGTCAACACTTTATGGACATCCTAATCGTTGCAGTCACCGTCATAGTAGTAGCAATTCCAGGTATGGAATTCCCACCCAGCTCCCACTATGACCACTAACAAGTGTAGAGGGCCTCCCACTGGCCGTTACCCTGGCGCTCGCCTTCGCAACGGCGCGCATGCTGAAAGAAAACAACCTCGTCCGGTTGCTCCGTGCATGCGAGACCATGGGCAACGCGACAGTAATATGCTCCGACAAGACAGGGACGCTAACTCAGAACAAAATGTCCGTCGTTGTGGGATTTCTCGGCACTAGCGAAGTGTTCGGTCGACGGCCATCCGATATATTAGAGCCGTCGTCGACGACCGTCTCAGACGCTGTTGCAAGGTTCCCTTCTCAGGTCAAGCAGCTTCTCGTCCATAGTTTAGCCTTGAACACCACGGCATTCGAAGAGAAGCGCGATACAGGGACGGAATTCGTTGGGAATAAAACCGAAATTGCGTTGCTACAGCTTGCATGTGAGCAGCTAGGTATGAGCTTGTCTGAGGTACAAAGGGAGAACCATGTAGAGCATGTCTACCCTTTTGACTCGTCGCGAAAAGCCATGGCGGTGGTATACCGATTGCCGGCTGGGTATCGGATTCTCGTCAAAGGTGCCCCTGAGCTTCTCCTTAACACTGCTACACGAATGGTGCAATCTGCCGTATCAAACGAGACAGGAATACCCACCGGCCCGATCCTAGACGAGGACCGCCGGTATATTTCCAGAACGATAGACGCCTACGCTAAGGACTCCCTTCGAACAATCGGAATTGCATATCGCGACCTTCCCTCTTGGCCACCGACAAACAAAACTGAACATCCCAGCTTCGGCGAGATCCTAGAGGACATGGCTTGGATAGGGGCATTTGGGATTCATGATCCACTCCGGCCAGAAGTCACAGAGGCTATTTGGAACTGCCACTCAGCTGGAGTACAGGTCAAAATGGTTACGGGTACTTTCTAGAACCTCCCACTATACTTTAAACAATGGTAACGGAAGCAGGAGACAATATCAACACCGCGCTCTCTATTGCCGAGGCGTGCGGTATCAAGACCGACGAAGGCATGGCGATGGAAGGCCCCGAGTTAAGGAAGCTCGATCAGGAGCAATTGGATCAGGTTGTGCCTAAGCTACAGGTCCTAGCCAGATCTTCACCGACTGACAAGGAGCTTCTTGTGAAGCATCTTAAACGACTTGGAGAGATTGTTGCGGTCACTGGTGATGGCACCAATGATGGACCTGCCCTGAAATCTGCGGATGTTGGGTTCTCAATGGGCATGAGTGGCACTGAAGTGGCGAGGGAGGCCAGTTCCATTATTCTCCTGGATGACAATTTTAGATCCATCGTCACTGCTATTTCCTGGGGAAGGGCCGTCAATGATGCCGTGGCCAAGTTTCTTCAGGTACGCGCTTTTCTTTTTGAAGTTATATCAGACACTAACGAAGCAGTTCCAAATCACCGTCAATATCACTGCGGTTCTGCTCACTGTGATAACAGCAATATACAACAGCAGAAACGAGAGTGTCTTCAAGGCCGTCCAGCTTCTGTGGCTTAATCTGATCATGGACACGTTCGCTGCCCTAGCTCTGTGAGATCTTCCTTCTCTCGACTAGTCTACTCAGAAACTAATGGTTTAGGGCCACCGATCCCCCAACGGCGGACATCCTCAAACGCCCCCCAACTCCCCGTCACGCCTCGTTATTCACCGTTACCATGTGGAAGATGATTCTTGGTCAGTCCATATACAAGCTGACTATCTGCTTCGTTCTTTATTTCTCCGGAAACACGATACTGGATCTCGATAAACACTCTCCCCATGAAATGCTCGAACTCGACACGATCATCTTCAATACCTTCGTCTGGATGCAAATATTCAACGAACTCAATTGCCGGCGCTTAGACAACAAGTTCAACGTCCTTGAAGGCATCCATCGTAATAGGTGGTTCCTTTTTATCAATGTCCTCATGGTTGGTGGCCAGATATTAATTATCTTCGTCGGGGGCGCAGCATTCGGTGTCACAAGGTTAAGTGCGGGGCAGTGGGGGATTTGTCTGGGATTTGCGGCGCTCTGTATCCCATGGGCAGCTATCCTCAAGTTCATTCCTGATCAGTACGTGGGTGTCTTGATTCGCTGGTTTTCGAAGGCCGTCAGGGCTGTTTGGAAGCCAATGGCAAAGGCATATACAGCGGCAGCATACGGGGTGAGGAGGTGTATCAGGCCGGCAAGTGCGAGGCGGCGAAATGGAAAGGCTCGTGTTATAGACGAAGAGACCCCTGCTGTCACCGTACAATAGGTGGTATTGAGTTGGTGCTGTCCAGTTGCCCTTTGCACACTTCAAATATAGCCATATCATCTGCCTTCTCTGCATCAACTCCATTCCATCAATCAGAAAATAATATAACACAACATTGACGGTATCAATAAATTACCAGTTGACTTATTTCCCATGGTAGCCTGGTATCTTGACGATGACGGTGCACCGCTCTGCAGCTGCGCCCTCGTGTGCCTCAGATGGCACGGACTGTTCGAGCCCATAATCTACCCGACGCCCAAAGTCCTCTACGGCTTTCCACCAAGGGGGTGGATTTCATTGATGGGCTCGTTCAGGCTAGAGGCGTCTAGCCCGCATAATATATCCCGACGAATAATGATTCGCATGTTGGAATTCCATTCCACTGTCGGCAACGCCGCGAATACCAGAGAGCCTCGGTCGAAATCTCGCAGCCGTTGTGTTCAGCAGAACTGCTATTGGGTTCTTTCAAATCTTGCTGATTCAAATCGAGACAGGGTAATGGCTGACTGGGAATCTCCTGCCTTTTTCCGAAGCATGCTATGAAAACCTCCATAAGCCCTTTACCTCTATTGGTAACGCAACAAAGTACATGCCTCGTTTAGAAATATAGAAGATGCAACCTCATTGAATCCACAGCTTTTTCGCATTCTCAATTGAACTAATCACGCGAAAGGGATATCTGTCTTGGGATTCAACAATGGGGTGGGTATACAGCAAAAGAACGGATAACGCGGGCCTGGGAGGTTCGATTGACAGGCAATCAAACTGTTGGAAACAAGTCACCGGTCGTCTTTTGCCTTTAGCTACTTAACTTAACAGGAATGCACTTCGATGGTGTCATGTCCCTGCCAGAAGATGGTGGAGAGCAATCAACCCTGCACCAGCCACCAAGTCTCATCAGCAGCCACGCCCTATTTTACCCCTTCCCCAATAGTGCTGACTTGCCATGTCTTTTGAGAATGTCCAATGTATAATAGCTCTCTCTAAGAATGGGCAGGGTGCAACTCTACCCATAATCTCCCGACTCGGCAGCCCAACCTTGCTGTGTACGTCCTGCTCCAATCTGCTTCTCTACAACTGGTTGTCATTCATTTAAATATAGTTTTATTTCTCCAATAGCCAGTTGAGTTCTTCCAGTAACAAATGTATAACGTGCTAGATGTAACCCGCGCGCATTCCCAGACGCAGCCAAACTAGGGCACCTTCACATATCCCCGACACCCGCACAAGCAAAAGCCAAGGCACGAAATAGAACGTGTCTAGGCCCGGCCTAACAATTTCAAACAAAGCATAATAATGATCACATAGCCTTCCCGTCGCAGTACTTGACCCTATTGAGCCAAGTTGCGGCCGCGAACTGTCCCTCTCGGCGTCATGAGACATTCCGATTGAGACCGGGATCGCTTTGCCGAAGCAAGGAAAGGAGGGATTCCCTGTTTCGGGGGACCAGGACTGTCGAATAATGATATAAGGCGTGCTGCCGGATCTCTCGTCGAGTAATAGGAGGTTTCTCGGTCTTTGTGGCTGGAATGCTGCACAGCGTGGAGGAATGCGCACATACCAATACCACCTCGCGTCGCCAACTATCAACAATTCCTGGAGCATGGCGCGTTTTTTCCCTAGTATAAATTGAGGTAGCTGCCAATCCGTAAAAAAAGCGAGAAGAAAAAGAGAGAAACAAGCTCTCTTAGTCTGTATACCCAATCGCCTTTGCTGGCATCGTTAATTGTCCGACAACTATGAAGCTCCCCAAGATCTTCACTGCCTTAGGGCTTCTTCTCACCCCTGTCCTCTGCGACAACACGCTGAACATTGTCGCGCATCCAGACGATGACCTCCTCTTTCTGAACCCCGATATCCTGCACGATATCAGCAACGGTTACACCTTGCGAACGGTATACCTAACATCCGGAGATGCTGGTCTGGACTGGACATACTGGACCAGTCGACAGGCAGGAGTCCTGGCAGCATACGCACAAATGGCCGGCGTCCAGAGCGTCTGGGATGAAGGCAGTATTGAATACGAAGAGAACTATGTGGCACTCTACACGCTCCACGACAAACCAGAAGTCTCGCTAGCGTTCCTGCATCTTCCGGACGGAAGCATCGACGGAAATGGGTTCGATCGGACAGACCACGAGAGCTTGGAGAAGCTATGGAAGAATGAAATTGATCGAATCTACGCCATTGATGAGTCCGGAACCACGTACACGAGAGACGAGCTGATCGACACGCTTCGCTTCATTATTAACGAGTTCCACCCGGACAGCGTGAACTCGTTGGATTACCTGCATGACTTTGGGACTGGAGACCACAGCGATCACACCTCCACTGGGCTGTTCACGAATGAAGCGGCCATTGCGGCGACGGAATATCCTGGCACTGTCATCGCCTATGAAGGGTATCCGATTAAGAACGAAGCGCCTAACGTTGATGGGGAGGACCTGGAGAGGAAGAAGGCTGCGTTCTATACGTATGCGGGCTATGACCCTGATGTTTGTGTCAGTGATCAGGATTGCAGTGGAACGGAATACGAAGCTTGGTTGCCGAGATTGTACACTGCGAACTAGGCGCAACAAGCTGGCTTCCATCGCCTGAAGAAAGCCTGAGACCACGGGATGAGAGGTGGGCAGCATGCTGCCACGGGGAATACGTACTGAGTGCTTACATATCACTTCAACATGATACATTAATTATATATCGAAGTGCCCTGCATACATGTTAAAATGGCAATTTCGATAGCATCCGATTGCCTAGGTTGAGTTCACAAGCAATGGCGGGGTAGGATATAGCGTAGGGCTACAGTGGAGCTGTGGACATCTAACCTCCCGCGGGCTGAAGAATTTTTCGTCATCGATTTTAGTACGCTTGTGATGTTTGATAGATGGGCTAACTCGATTGCGGAGGATAACCGGTGACAGTATCGTAGTCCATTCGTATAATTGCAGTGCACTTGAAATGACGCGCGTGGAGAGCGTGCGCATCGTGCGGTCCTGCCACGCTCGCTGTGTGACATGCCTAGCCACATGGACAATTCACCGGGATTACCCCCCTCCCCCCCCCATCCGACCTCGCGAGGTCGCGAGCCTTTGCACTGTTCAGGCCACAAGAGCTTGGTGGATCGGTTGTTGGACGTGTCGTCGGACAATTCTGAGTCTCCAACGATCATCCGCAAATATGATCCACGAAAGCGACGTTTTGACGAAAAGTCCCCACTGACTCAATGCCGTCCGTCGGCATTCAAAGCGGGAAAAGCAAAATTGCCACCCATCAGGCGTGCATCCCCGAATAGGCAGCCCACTAGTTCCCTCGCTGTGCCCAATATCCAGGAATGAATGGGCACTCCCAGCCTCATTCCAACTTTAGAGCAGGCTGTTCCGATTTGAGATGGTGTTCCGCAGCTAAACGTGCCGGTTCTGGCGCTGGTGCTGGCACATTTTCGGCATGATTTGTTGATTTGCACCTGTGACGATGGTGGATCCCTGACCAATATCATCGCTAAAGGGATCAATTTGAACCGCTATCAGTGCCTAAGATATGCACGGAATTCTGTTTTGAGCATAGTGCATGTTGTGTCGGGCCCGGGTGGGAACTCTTGAGGGGGATTCAAGCTATCGGGGTGTGACCTTCCGCACTATGCACGTAAATCTGCCATGCTATGGGTTGCAGCGAGTCCTGCTCTTTGCCGGCTAAATATCATGCCAACCCCAGTGTCCGGGATCCTGGATAGCTGAAGCGGGAGCTCAATGAAAGCCGGGCGCTCCAGTGCGGGAGATGCTACGGCCGTGAGGCTACGACGTGTCTTACTGAATACCCGGATCAAGGGATTTCATGGTACGTGCATTGCTTGGGGCCCAATCAGCCATTCTCTTGGATGCCCGCACCCATCTGATTTGTCCAAAGAGGGATTATCCGTTAAAGTATATGCATACCCAGAGTCGACATTCGTTGCGCTCGGACGGCAACGCTTCTTTCTTGGGGCAGAATCCAATGACTGCTGCCATCGCTGAGCCACGCCCACCTCGGATTCGCGGCCTGCGAAAAGGGAACAGATGACAGCTATGATGACATTGTCGTCCCCGATGCTATTCATTTCCCCCACCTGCCCACCAAGGTATTCATCTGAGATATCTGTCTTAGACATCTGTCCCTGTCATCTTGGTCCTGAACAAAGTGTCTGGCAAAGGGCCATCGCACGGTCCTGGGAGATAGAAAGTAACCATACCGGGTACAGCACTATCTTTCTCCCCACCTTGGCGCTATAGAGACCAAATGCTAATATGACCGATGCCAACCTAGACCTCGCCCCATTGGCTGTGTCCATTTCTACCCCGCCTCCAACCGCTGAGCCGCGAACTTGCTGCAGAAAAGCTCAAGAGCACATGCTGTAGAGTCAGATGTGTAACAACGTTCGGGGGCGCTTTGGGGTCTGCGGCCACGAGGCAACCGTGTATATCGCGCGGTGTCGGCCCGCGATACAGAACCGGGTGATCTGTCCTCCAAGTCAGCGCGTCGACGTTTGGGATTGGCAAGAGGATAAGGATAATGACACATGCCCATCCTGCAGGGGAGACACACCACCGGAGACTCCGTGACGGGGTAACAAGGGTGGGGAGGGAGGCTGTGAATGATGCTGGGAGCATTCAAGAGGCGTCATAGCTTGGATTTTGCAACCGTCCAGACTGTTTTCTCATTTCCATGACAAGCTTCTGCTCTTTTCTCATTTCAGAGACAATCTCCTGTTCCGAGCGTCCGCCCCAAGTGAGTGATGCTGTTTGGGACCTCGCCTTTTCATTTGATCTGTCACGTTGGATGAATATCCTGCTGTTTATTAGCCAAGTCTTTATTTAGTTCAATACCCAGTTAACGCACCATTCGCTGCCCTGTCGGCTAGCGAAATAGACCTGATGGGCTATTCGCTTCACATCATTTGGAGACAAGGCTTCTCTGACGTTAAGATCAAAAATAAACCACCGGTTTATCGGCAGGCTGGAGTCAAAGTCTGCTGGGATGTGGACATGGTCGTAAAGAGCCGGGCGGGGAATGGCGTGGAACTTCCGGCCGAGGATGTCCCGACAGACGGCCTCCCCGAGCGCAATATGGCGACACTGGGGGTGTCCCGGGATATCAGACACACAAACATAAACAATGATTCGCATTGGATGCGTCATAGTATCAATGGTGATGGGTTGTGGACAGAATTAGGGATATTAGAAGAACCGGGGGAGCCGAGAGAGACGGGGAAGGGAGAAATGCCTTTGTTTGCCCCATAGCAAACAAAAGGACCGCGGAGGGGGCCGCTGGTCACCAGGGCCGGAGCCCGGATAAATACAGACCGGTCGGACGTGTCATATGGGGAGGCGACTGTGCTCGCAGGCTCAGACTCGGTCGTCTCATTCGGTGCTTCTCCAGTGCTGGAATTCCATCGACAACAGCCCTGGCAGAAACAGGCCGCGTTTAAGTAGTCAAGCTTCAGGATCTGGTCGGGGCTCTCCCTGAGATCCCCGCGCACTGCAGTCGCACTAAATTTCCCGGACCCTCTTTTAGTGGGTGTTTAACGCTGGACGATGCGCTGGGAATCCTTTGGCGTCCAAGGTTCAAAAGTACCTGACCCGGCGGAACAAAGTACCAGTACCTTGGTTCGCATACCATTTCGCGTGCTGGCCATGTACTGGTACATCTCGTCGAATGGCAGCCTTGAAGCTAATAATGAACCTCGCTGAGTTGTCACCACAATCCCACGACTCATCACCTTCGGGCGGCGGGTACTTTTTCTCCAGTCTTGGTCGTGATATTATCGATATTAATATTACTCCGTACATATAGTGAACAACCATTACCAAACACAAGCGGCCAAATAAGTACGCCTTTTACAGGTCCATTATCCCCTCCTTCAGTACCGCTTGCTATGTCCCATTGCCTTTCCCCTCGGTCCAGCCACAGTCCCCATCAACACTGGGTCTCAGATTAGCATAATTCAGCCTCAACATGAGAGAAAGCTCACCATCCCAATACGTGAAAGAGCTCGAATAATTCCCCCGGAAGTATCTATGGTGGTCATCATGCCAATCCGCGCCACCCCAGAGCGGAATTAGGCGTCGCAAGCTCCACGGGAAATCGTACCCCGAATGCGCATCGATAGCCTGCAACTGACGCAGGGCCATCCAGGCCAACACCGTTATCAGATGCACATTGTCCGTTACATAACCCAGAAGAAGCGGGGGGCAGATCGTGCCGAGACCCAGGAAGAACGTCTCCGCAGGGCTAGCATACTCGGCAGTCAAGCCGAATGGCGCGGCATACTGGTGGTGGACGCGGTGGATGGAACGATAAAGTGGGCCCCAGTGCATGGCTCGATGCAGCCAGTAATGGTATGTGTCTTCAACGATGAAAAAGAGCGCGATTTGCGCAGCGATTACCGAGAGCTTGGGGAAGGGAAGTGCGTAATGGACACGGCAGAGTTCCATCATCGGGTGGAAGAGGACTATTAACGGCAGCTCGACAATAAAATGAATTGCTATGATGTACTTGAAGCAGCTCCATTGGTCGTTAACTGACGGCGGTGCCTTGTGGTCTTGTATCTTGAAGCGACGGAAGATGTTGGGCAGGGCGTCGGCGATGACCCATGGCAGGCAACGGCCGAAGTAAATAAGCTCATGGGCAAGGAAGGTGATTATTCCTGTCGATTATGAGTATTAATTTTTGCTAATTGAATTTTACTTACCAGTTGCGAAGACATCGTTGTTCCAGAAGGCGTAGTGCGCCCACCACAGCTGCTCCGGCCAGGAGAGAGTGGGATCTTGGTTGGCGACATTGACAAGATCAGGGTAGGACATCGGTTCGGAAGGAAGAGTAATGTTGGCCATTGTAACACACTGCCATTCCACCTCTACCTCTCACGGAATTTCCTTTTCTGTGATATTTGTACTCCTGTGCGGTCTCTGATGTCGAGGAAATCCCGGATGGTCTGATCAAAACACGCCACCCCGGATCCTTACTCTGCCACAGTTTTACCAAACATTCATTAATTAATATGTTTTAAGGGGTCAGTTCAAGTACGAGACGGGATCTACATTATCCGATCGCGGTTCTATGCAACTGCCTAGCTTGATATTGAGATGTTCGGTCCCAGCCTCCGCACGCTACTCTCTATTTGTATTCACACAGTCATTCCATTCCAGACCATAATAGTCCACACCATGCAGTGTTCCATATCCTCCTTGTGCACCAGATTAGATCTATAGGCGGCTTTTTGCTATACCCAGAATCGTAGCTGCCGCCACCCCGAAATACGAAGAGCTCAAATAGCAGTAGAACAGGCAGTAGACAGGGTATTTTCACAACATATCAGTTTTAATATCTCACCTAGTAAAATAGTATCAGACATTCCTAGTTATCAGATATATCGTTGTGTTGCGCTGAATGTTGCAAGATTCTTACATGTGAACTCTTCGAATATATATGTTCTAACATTGCAAAATGTAGAGGGAATTCCTAGCTCATAGACAGCTTTTTGCATTAATAGTTTTTGCCAACACAAACTGGGCCGTCTCAACGACATTGAGGAATGAATAAACAGTTGAGGCATCGAAGATGCCCCTAGGCCCTGGAATTTCTATGCTAGGCTCTGGGGCCATTGATGGACTGATCCGTCGGCATTTCCAATTTCTCAAACGAGCGCACCGCATACTCCTGTCCACGAACCATCAGCCTCTCCGAAGAAGCGTCCAAGGAGAGTTCTATGTCGCTCCGAGAGGGCAATTCTCCTCCCTCTGGTCCCAACAAAGACTTGATCTCAAATCCCCTTCCCCATACAAACTCCTCGCTCCTCGCACTAACCTCCCCACCACTCTTTACTACAGGCTTCGTCTCCCCAGCAGGTCGAACAAGAATTTGACTCTGACGAAGCGCGATATAGGTCCCGCCAATTGCACCGATAAATGTTCGGGTTACTTCTCTTTCCTCGCCCTCCTGCAGCTGCATTGAGCCTATCTCACTTTCGAGAACGAATGCCAACAACCTCGAGTGTCCCTCTACTTGACGGAAAGATAGCTCTCTCCATACCTCCTCATACTCCCTAGTTGGCGCACCAGGGATATCAGGCCGGGGCATAACGCCCACCTCTAAATCGTCCCCGTTTGGAAGGGGTGAGAAGGTACCGCAATCAGCCACACCGAATGCGTTTCGCGAGTCGAGCTCGTGGGTGAAGAGAACCTCATCTGCCATACTGTGTCAGCCTACTGTATCTGACTGGAGGCTTGAGGAGATCGCGTACTTGAACCTTGGTCTTGCAGCCGCTCCCCCGCTATCGCCCAGTCGATCGTGCCGGTGGCGCGGTCAACTCGGAGGTCAACGTACCAGTTTCCCACCGACATGACGAGGGTGTCTGTGTTCTCGAAAGCCGCCTCGGGCGGCCATCGCAGGGAAACTCTTGTCGAGAGGCGGCAATTTGACATTGCTTGAGGGACAGGTTTGAGGTGTAGTTGAAGAGATTCGCCCCACTAGGGATTCCGTTGTAAGTTCATGAACACATGATCTTGTCTTTCAACGTTGCCAACTTCCAGTCTCCAACAGGACGTTTCTCTTATCAACTTCCCCGCACGAACCTCGCTTCGGTCAGAATATATCGATAGTTATTGGCTGCTGTTCGTACTCCAACTTTCGGTCTCCTCGAGTTTCCCCTTTGGGATCGTAGAGGACTCGGTACTTGGGATGCTTATCATAACTGTTTCTCTAATTTGCCTATATAACCCAACATGCGTTCACGCGTTGATTACCCAAGTGTACAAGGACCATCAGAATGTTGACTCTTTATCTAGCAGTTGGCTTTGTGATAACCCTTTTCCTCGTTAACCTAAGTCGCTCGCCCATCACAAAGCTTCCAGGGCCATGGTATACCACGGTCACTAGCTTGGTTCTAAAGTACCAAGAGTTCACTTCGAATAGACGCCTCTACATCCATGGCCTTCACTTGAAATACGGGCCTACCGTTCGCATAGCACCCAATGAGGTTTCGTTCGCCAACCTGGAGGCGATGAGGGAGATCTACGCGTCTGGTGGGAGCGGATACGATAAAACAGAGTTGTATGACCTGTTTCGGCAGTTCGGAATCAAGTACGCAACAAGCATAATTATGTACAATGTTGATGGAAAGTAGCTAACTCAATTAGGACCATGTTCTCAACTCTTGAAAAGCACAGTGTATGCTTATGTTTGCCCCCACCTCTTGCTAACACCCGAAGACTGACTGCATTCAGCATAGCCAACGTAAACGTGAGCTCGCAGATCGGTACGCCATGACCAACATCTTGCGTGAGGAGCACGTAGCCGCTATTACGGACCGAGCGAAGGCTTTCGTCTCCAGATGCGCTGCCTCGTTTCAAAGCGTGGATGTTTACGTACGTCTTCTACGTTCATCCTCTAGGACAATCGTTAATGACAACTCAGGTGTGGCTACACTGCTACGCCCTAGATGGTGTGACAAACTTCATGTTCAGCCCAGGTGGCTTGCAGTCGCTCGACTCAGAGAACGACTTCGAAATAATGGAGGAGCTTACTTACCATCAGAGCCTGCAGAGTTAGTTGTCTTCTCCGTGGCATCTTTTGCTAGACTGATGGGTTCACAGAAAATCTCCTGCACTATTACCTTCCCACTTTAGCTCCCTACTTCCCATCTGGGTTGGTCCCGCGTCGTGCACCTATAACCAACGAGTACGTCCTGAAAATGGCTGCCCAACAACAGCCTTCCCAGCATAGCCTTGTAGCCAAACTCGCCCGGAAAGACTCTCCACTCAATCACGCACAGATCTCAGCAGAGTGCAAGGACCACATGGCCGCGGGGATCGATACAACAGGTGACGGGCTGTGTTTTCTGATGTGGGAGCTTTCCCAACCGCAAAATTTCTCCTTTCAAGAGCGACTATTTGAGGAATTACGGACCACAGATCCAAATTTACCGCTGGATAAGTTGCCATACCTTGACGCAGTCGTCAAGGAGGGTTTACGCTGTGCACCGCCAATCCCAATGTCTTTCCCGCGGTACGTGCCCATCGGAGGACGGACGATAAATGGGTATTTCGTCCCCGAGAAGACAATTGTGAGCTGTCAACCATACACGGTGCACAGACTCGACGAGGACGTTTTCCCCGAGCCCGACAAATTTAATCCAGACCGGTGGATGGGTGAGAAGGGCGCAGCTGAACGGAACCGGCTGTTTTTTGCTTTTTCAACCGGTGGCAGGGGTTGTACGGGGCGGAAGTGAGTTGTCTCCTTTTCTTTATTCTTTGAAAATTACGTTTGCGACGGAGGTGTTGGCCTTTTTATTTAGCTTCTTGCTTTATGCATGGCGCTGATTATGGACGAATTGATGCAGCCTGGCGACAGTGGAAATGAAGGTACTTCTTCGCGAGGTGTACTCCCGGTTTCGTACTACGGTGGCGGATGATATGGATGGGTGTATGGATATTGACGACCAAATTATTTCAGCCCGGCCGCTGAGCCAAACTTGTAAGCTGAGGTTTGATGAGAGGTAGCCGAGAGCATGCTAGTGGGGCAGATAGTGGGCCTAAATTCTCACTGTCATTTATGGATGCGGATTCTGAAAGGCAGGGCCCGACACAATAACTTCAACAGCCCAGTCTATTTGGAAGATTGGCACTCAACTCCAACGCCTCCAGTGACCCCTTCACAAATAACAACACCATCCTCACCATTTGGCGTAGCGAGATCTATATTTTTCAACTCAATGCCCTCACATACTGCATTCGGCGAACAAATTAACTCCGCAACCAAATCTCCCTCGGCGCCAGACGACGTGCCCGACACATTCTCAAAGACAATATCTGTCACGTTCACATGGGATGGGTGGCTCGCGCACTCGTCTGAGGGAATATTGAAGTAACACTGGTCTAGAAGGATTGGATAGTCCGTATTTTCGATGTGGATGTTTTTGTATGTAATGTTGTTGATACGGCCGTAGCCGACACCTTCGCCGGCCCAGGCTTTGAGGCGCGCGCCGTTCTATTCGGTATTAGTCTCCAGCCGCACAAATAATATATTCCTTTCTAATTGGATTTGTTATAAATGCTTACCTCTCCGTTAAGAAGTGTAACGTTCTCAATATAAGCGTGCTCGATAATATCTAGGACACCCGGATACTGTCCGATACTGCCCATGGATACCCCGTGGGTGTTATTGCACCACAGATTCTGGACGAATATATTGGATGTATTGGGCTTTGGGGAGAAACAGTCATCTCCGACGTCAATGCGGGTGTTAGTTACCGATAGCCCGTTGACATTGAGGGAGTCGAATCCGTCTGTGTTTTTGGGTTCGGCCTGGAGTTCAGGGTCAGTCGAGTCCTAGCACGTTTTCAGCATCAACCAAACACGTACTGAGGCATTTGTGGAAAACGCGTTGATATAAACATTGTCAAAAGAGACATCATTGCTGTTGACGAAGAAATTGGTCCAGCAAGGCGAGTTAAGTTGCGTGATCCCCTCAACAGACAGACGCGTGATATTCTCCGCTACGAAGAGAATGGGCCGATAGTATTCATTGTCGGGGTCCTTCAATCAATTAGTTGTTAAATCTCTGTCAACTAAGAAGATGAAATTAAAGCATACCAGAATCGACTGCCCAGCGAACCCATTATACCAGCGCTGACCGTTCCCATTCAACGTCCCGCTGCCGAAGATGCTGACATCGCGCCCTCCCCATCGCCAAAACGTAATCGACTTTTGGAAGTCATACCAGAAGTAGTTTTCTTGCCAGTACGGCACATCATCCGTGAACTAATGAGCCGGCGCCCAAGTCAGCAAGCCACCCGTGAAATCCGGAATGATTAACAACAAGCGTTGTTATTAGGAAGCGTACCTTCAGCTCTCCATCCAATTGCACTTCAATATTATCCAAAAATGTCAGGTCGAGTTTCCTGCCAATAACGTATTTCTCGCCCTTCTTGAGGAGGAGTCTTCCGCCATGGTTTGCCCGACGAATACCCCAGAGGAAATCGGCCGAAATGTCGTCAGTATCGTTGTGCGAGGGTCGGATAGTCACCGTTCGTCTATCAGGGTGCTTTGGGTGATGGGCACCGATTCTTCTGAGCCCAGCTTGATCGTTCACGGGATATACGTTTGCGCCTGGAGGTTGGTGGGCGGGGGAATCGAAGACGAGGCCACTGACGGTGGTTGCGCAGAGCGCGAAGAGGGAGAGGAGCTTCATCGTTCAATAGCTGCTGCACAGATAACTTTGAGAGCTGTCATCCCAGTAAAGAGAAAGAAGGAGAGCATTGTTTATATAGGGAGATTAAGCTTCCCAAGGTCCAATCCGCGCATATTGGCCTTGCAATTTCTCCGCCTGTAAGGAGTCTTCATAAGTTCCGGAGAGCTTTTAGTTCAGTAGATCGGATAAGGGAATTGACTAGTCTCCAGGCTCGGAAAAGGAAACACGGTAATTGCTGGTGGGTTTGATGAGAATTGGAGATTGTTCCCCGGGTGTGGCTGATGATGATCTTCTCCAAGATTCTTCGCTTTCATTTGCCATATTTCTCCGGCCGACAAGGCTGAAGTTCCACCAATCAGATCAGCTTCCAGCATCTTATGAAGACCGCATGAAATATGCATGAATTAATGATTATATATGAGCCTGAGCTGAGTGAGAGCTATGTACGCCGCCAAAATGGCTTCGTTACCGACCGAACATAAACAAGAAGATAGACCATGAGGTAGTTCGATATCACAAACGCCACGAAAATACCAAAGTAGGGCCAAATCTTGGATGAATCGAGGCCAATTCCCGATAAGTACTACCATATCTGTTAGCAACGCGCCGAACGTAAGATAGAAAGAAATGGAAGGGGATCTCACATCATCACCATAGCTGTACTCGCAGTACCCGCACTCTCCCTGGCCATTTGGGTTAGAGAGATATCCAACACCGTGCTCGGCAAGCCATGGTCCTGCATATTCACCGCACGTCATATTAGGAGGGCTTTCGAAAAGGATTAATTCGCCCTCGTTGCAGACGACAGGCACACCACCAAGGACAGAGGCCAGAACTCCCCCAATCCAGTAGGTAAATGGCGTGACGTAGTACATGGTGTATGCCCAGAACGCAGGCATGTTTTGATGCGGTTGCAGAATACCGTTGAATAACTCGCACATGATAATAAAGAATGGCATCAGGGTTGCTGCTACCATCGAATCGGCACTGCGGTATCTTTGGTTAGCATGGAACTCGTCCGGCATTTCATTAAACTAAGCCACTCACCTCAAAGCAGCAATCCACTGGCCCCAGGATGTAGCAAACAAAAAGAAGAGGAAAAACATTAGGAATGTGTATCCCGCGGCAAACCCCAATGGAAGGCCAACAGTGAAATAGTACAGGATGAAGAAGACCACTGCACTAATGATCGCGTATGGGATCTCAGACACAATCTGTGCAGTGCAAAATGCGACCCAGCCGTATGCTCCGCTTGGGCCTTCCCGGGCCTTCCACAAGTCACGATTCATGATAAATCTCATGGAGATGGCGTTTATGAATTCGGGGACTAACATCAGTACTAAGAAGCACGAGAAAGCTTTAGATTGTAGGTCTGTTGTGCTGTTTCCGATCTGTAGGTAGGTGAGACCATTGACCAATGCGTGAAGGAACGAGGCATAGAGTCGAGAGTATGGATACTCTGGGCTTCTCCAGAATTGCCGCATTGTTCTCTGGGTCAGGAATAAAACTTGACGAGAGATCGGGGGTATGTTTTGCCTTTTATTCACATCAAAGTCTCCGGTCTCCGCTTTGTGTGCCCTGATTTCAGAGATCTCTTGCTGAACCTTTTTAGCTTCGACCGACTCGCCCCAGATGGCAGCCCAGTCTAGACTGTTTGAAGTCTTTTTTGTGCCACCAACAACAACCTCAATGATATAATCCGCGGCATTGGTGACATTATCCGTTTTTTGTCCGTTTTTCATAAAATACTCGAAGACGGAACGGCCACCTTCTCCCACTTCTCCGAAGTAATAGGTCTTACCGCCAGGGCTCAGGGCCAAAACTCTATCAAAGAGTTCAAACTGCTCTTGGTTTGCCTGATGAATGGTGCAAAGAATAGCTAGTCCTTGGTCAGCAAGGCGTCTTAGCAGTGCACAAATACTCGACGCAGCTTGGCTATCTAAACCACTCGTGGGCTCGTCCAGGAACAATAGCATCTCGGGTCTTGCGCATAGCTCAACACCGATAGTGACACGTTTTTTCTTCTCGATGTCTAATGAGCCGATGATCGCGTTTTGCAGGTCTGCCAAGTCTAATGTCGTCAGAACCGTGGTCGCATAGTCCAGCTTCTCATAATCAGGAACAGTTGAATCTTGGCGAAGCAGCGCAGAGAACTCGAAAGCTTCACGGATAGTGCTGCTCTCGTCGTGGATGTCCATCTGTTCACAATAGCCGATTCGAGTTTTGAATGAAGAGTCAATGGGTTTCCCATCGACATACATTGTTCCCGTTATTTCGCCAGAGCTTTGCCTCTGGGTGAGCGCAGTCAATACTAGAAAATAGTTAGAATATGACCATCTGTAGTACAGTTCAGCCTCACTTACATGTTGATTTCCCAGCTCCAGAAGCTCCCACTAAAGCAGTCAATGTTCCGGGCCGACAATATCCGCTGACGCCATCTAGTAGCTTGCGTTTCTCCTTCCCAACATCGACGAAAAGCTCCAGGTTATCCCATGTGAAGGTAGATTTGGTAGCAGTAAGAACCTGTGAAGTCTTGCCGTCGAGGCTAGACGGGACCGGTGCCGTTTTATCAACCTGCACAGGGCAACTTTCCTCATCACTGACGTTCGTAGATGTCTTTGACCAGGTTCGAGATTTTTTGTACTCGATTGGCCCAGCATTGCCAGGCTCCCACTCCATAATCTCGCTAAGAACGCAAGTACCAGCAACGAAAGCTACGGTGAAAAGGCAAAGTATTCCAAAGTTCCGCCAAACGTGGCTGAAATAGAACCCGTACTTCTCCGCAAGGTAAACATCACCGTTGACGATAGTTGTGCCGATTTGACTGCCCGCGTAACCGCACGTCTGGTAGGCAATATCTGTGTATCCTGGTCCTGAAGGGACGACAGAACCTTCAGCGCAGGTGAAATTGGTGTTATGGAATTCGGCAGCCATCATCGATTCATATGTGTATAGCGCCGGTGTAATATACTAACCACATATTAGCCTTCTTCTGGAAACCTTGAGGGGAATTACATACCGCAATCCATCCAACCCAGGGAACATCGGCGATCATCTTGTCCACCGAGAGTACATATCCTCCAAACACAACACAAAGCATAACAACGAATCCGGTATAACGAAGCGCTACCTCAAAATTTGACGAGGCGGCGGCGAATAATCGGAATTGAGCTGTGAGGCATATTGTACACATATAGATGAATAATAAGTCAATGAAGAATGATCCAGCCTAAGACAATATTATTAGCAAATAAACGTGCATTCATCGCGGTAGTACTGACATCAGATTTGAGGCCAGCTAAGAAATAGACCACAATCAAGTAAAGGAAACTGAGAATTGCAGCTATAAAGATATCTGCAATTACTCGTGCCAGACACACTGCACTGGGCCGAACAAACGCAAACTTCTTTTGGCGATTGAGGATATCCCGCCCTTGCATCGCTTCCTCCAGTTCAGACATTTGAAGCCAGGCGAGAAGAATGGATGAATAGAAGAGCACACCGCCGCGAGAGTACATTCCATCCGTCGACTGGGGTTGATCATAGAACATGGAACCGATAAGAAGTCCGTAAATCACACATGAGAGAAGTTTGATGTAGAGTGGGGATAAGTGGCCTTTGATCTGCCAAATCTGACGCTTTGCACACAACACCACTTGCCGAAAGAGGGAGATGGTATATGGGGATTTGGAGGAGGCGAATCGAGATTTGTCGGTCTGAATAGCCTTCTTAAATTCGTCCAAGCTTCCATGATCCGTATCAGCTTGGGACGCTGGACGACATTTTCTACCAGATCCTTCATCACCGTATGCAAGCACTTGCCGCTGTATTTTCGAGAAGGCAATGCTGTTTCGAAAAGTTTGTTCGAGTTCGATCGGACCCTTTGGGGCGCGGTGTTCCCAGCCCGCTTTAAACCTCCTTCTTTCCGGAACGGTAATGCTGGACAAGAAATCAGACACTGTCTGCATTTCACCACATTCGTAGCCTAATTCTTGGAAATATGCCTTGGCTTCGCGTGCGGGCCCTTGATAGAGCATCCGACCTTCGTCAATAAGCAGGACCGTATCGACTAAGTCGTAAATAGCATCAGATGCTTGATACAATGTCATCAGCGTCGCTTTGCCGCAGGTGTCAGTCATGATCCGCAAACTTCGTGCATAGTCCAGAGCAGATGAGGCGTCAAGCCCCCTCGTTGAGTTATCCCAGCACATTACTGAGGAATCGGTCGCCAGGGACTCGATGATCGAAATCCGTTTTCGTTCGCCTCCTGAAACTCCCCGGATGTATTCGTTTCCAACCAAGGTGTCCATAGTATGTGACATCCCAAACACTCTCCCATAAATTTCCAGGTAGCGAGGTATTTTGTCATGATATCTTTTTGGGGTTTTACTCTGGAGCGCAAACTCTAGTGTTTGTCGAACGTTGAGGGTGGGAAAGTGAACATCATTTTCCGGAACATAGGCAACCTGACCACGATAGTACTTTTTAACATCCTCTAAGCTGAGGCCTGAGTAATCGATGGAACCTGTCACTCCCAGAAATGATGAGTGGTGGCCGGCAATCGTCCGCAGAAAGGTTGTGCAGCCTGCGCCTGGCCTCCCTAGAACGCTATATAGCATGTCAATCCACGTGTTATAAGGTCCATTTTAGGCTTGCGGACTTACAGCATAATCTCGCCACTCCGAACTACCCCATCGAAATCCCGAATCAGATGGCGCCCGCTCTGAGGCTTGGGTTTTCGCACCCAGGGCTTGATCGTCCATTCGTATACATCCTGGAAGGTGAGAGTGCGCCACAAAGCGGTTCCCAGCGTCTTGACATTGACATGCTCCCCTCCAGCCCCCCATGTGGAGAGCGACTGAAAACAAACTCCCACGCTTGGCCTTTTTCTTCCGTCTTGATGTTCCGCTTCTAGGAACCTGTCAAACGAAGAATGTGGCTCCGAGTAGTCACGACCCTTCTCGGTGAGGGTGCGATGTATCTCCGCAATAGCATTCTCATCCTCGTAACTTAAATGGACCTGTGGGGAGGATGGTCTGTCTGTCGGGCTCCCAGCTTCTTGCGAAGATGTGAGAGCGGTATTGCCTTGCGTCAGAGAGCGAAGGCGAGCAGGCATGTTACGTTATTCTGACCAGATGGAACTGGGAAATAACCAAATGTTGTCAACTGAAGTGCATCTGATCGTCGTGTATGCGTTGTGTTGACCACAGAGTAGGAAGGGGGATCCCAGTTTATATGCGAACTTCAGGCAGACCGCTCGGAAGCCAAGCTATATAGTGATATCCAGTCGCGAGATCAATCAGGAAGCCAAGAAACACAAAGCGTGACAAGATCCGGAGTGACTCAGAAGATCGACAACGTTTATCGATCATTAAGACGGTCGAGCCATTTCAATGCACGCAATGACCTTCAATCATTATATTCCAGTGGAGACGCCACTTGGGCCACAATGTGTTGCAGACACATGCTAAGGGCTTCAAGTGAGCACTGATTGGCGCTGTACAGAATACGGTGAAAAAGGAAATTTCAAGCATTTGGCGTATGAACTTCCCACTATGGCAGGTCGCGGGAGAAGATCCGAACTTCTGGGGCTTGGGTCGCTCTCGCGGACCATGGAAGAAGCGGAGATGTGAGCGAAGCATGATGCTGGAGGAGGAGGATGACTTGGAATCCTGATTGGTAATTGCTGAGCAGCAGAGTGGCCACCACAGATCACAGACCCACTGTTCTCTTGCAGCTGTGCCTGTCCACGCGGCTATCCCCCAATATCTGGTAGTCGACAGTGTGGAAAGGTGATTTGGTTAAGGTATTGTATAGATATCGATGGCTGCCATACAGAATAGCAGCTGTGGCAAGCCAGTGTTAAAAAATCTCCGAGATGCATAGAAGACTTTCCAGATGGAGCACCATGCCACCAAGCCAAAGCACATCATTGTGAAGTGTGTCTAACGGGCGCCCTTTTCCTCTTTTTTCGTTTTTTTTTTTTTTTGTGCTTCTCGCAATTGGCGCATTGAGCGCCGCCAAACCGAAAGAGGAGAAAAAATCGCCGACCCGTGACGGCGAAGAGGCCCAACAGTCTCCGTGGACTCTCGGCCTGAGCTCTCAGCGGCGGAAGCTCCGAAATACTGCCAGCCAATTGGGGCCTGTGCCGGGTTTCCCACGCTTCCCGCGGGCCCCGACTTAATAGCTCAGCTCTGTATAGGGCGGAGACTCAATGCATCTGATATATGCTACTTTGCTGCCTAGTTATCGGAGATCGTAGCCGCACGCCTACCGGTCATCATTATGTTGTTCTCGTACAAGGCTGGAATTTAATTACTTGGGATGGTTTGAAATTGCCGCTAGAGGCAGACATTGGAGCCACTGACAGAAAGAAATTCCTATGGTCTACCATCCGGGGCTATCCAAGATGGAGGCCGGATTTATCGAGATGAGATGTTATATGCAGAGTAGGTGATGATCCGAAGGTCTGAGCAGGAATATACACTGCTCTTAAAATCCCACCTGGGGTTCTTCCATTACATAAAGACATCACTGCGTCATGAAACCAACCCTTATCATTGCGGTCCACTATAGGAGAAAATCCGATTCAACCCAGCCGGACTGCCATGGGCGCCAATAGAAAGAAGGCTTGGGAGAACAAACACTGTGATTCTAACGCGATGCTCAACGGTCCGGATATAATTCAAACTACGAGGTGGTTTCAATGGCCCTTTCGAGGAGGTAGTTCAGTTCAGTGTGATATATCGCTGGAGAAAACCAGTTGTTTCACTCGGCCAATGCAAGAAAGTCTGGATCCCAAAGGTCGGGCATCCTATAGTAAGACGTATCAAACATGCTGTTGAAGTCGAGTGGCGAAAAATCAGCGGCGTTGTTGGTCAGCATTGAGAGAGGGTCAAACGATATTTCAGAAGTGGAAGACGCGAAGTCTGGTGTGTGTATGGCAGACGGTCCGACATCAGATAATTCGCCCTCGGGCCGCACTTGTAATCCCTCATTAGACAAGCCTCCGATAACTCGATGGCAAATTTGCACTGTCTGTAATGCATCTCGTTCGATTTTTTTCAGAGGATCTTCCCCGTTCAGTCGAGCCTTCACAGAGGCTAGGGCCATACTCATGAACACGAAAGCTTTGCATCCACTTCCTTTTGGAGATATTCGACTGCGAAAGTTGTCCCGAGTCCGTTCAAGTACACGCAACAGGACTTCTCGTTGTGATCGCACAATGTCATTTAGAGAGCCACCTTGAGTTGAGGGTGCTGAGTTTGAGCCTGATTCGGTAACCTGTAGAGATATCTCCACACAAATGACAATAGCAGCATGTACGCACTCATCACGGAACATGCCACCGCCGATATGCCCTAGGCAAGGGGTCCGAGATGACTGAAAGTCAGGAATTTGGGTTTCAAATTGTGTAAGCATTTCCAGGGCCGACTCCAGGCAGACTTTGCGTGAGTAGGAGTATTTGGGCGACATGGATATACTTAGTGAAAAAGGCCGATGCAGAAGGAGAAGGGATCTTTTCATTAGAAATAACATAAATGACCTGGAAAAGGATGGAATTCCGTCGGCAACCGGGGTAAGAAAGGGAACCAGAGCCTCGTTCATGAACCGTACAAGCTCCTCACTAAGTGCCAGCGCTTCATCATATGGCAATGTAAACCTCAAGCTATTCACGGCCTTGGCGATGCGCACCCGCAACCGGAACGAGCGAGCGAGCATGGTTTGAAAACTGCACTGGGTCGAAATTGCTTTCTCTTTTCCCATTGGGGTCTCTAACATATCTTCTGTTAAATCCGAATCATCCAAGTTCGACGGCATATCACAGTCATATTGGTCTGTGTCAATTGATGGTGGGATGCCGACATCTATAGATGCTTGCAGGTCGAGCTCCAAGATAGTAGCCCATAACCGACGACGCATCTCTGCCCAGAAGGGGGTCATTTTGCTAAACCGTGTGGGATCCCTGTGCATCCCCATTATGGTAGCTGAATGGATGAGAGAGCCCGAGCTGAGCCACACAACATCCCCATCAACGGCCAGCGACTGGCGCGCAATCATCAAAAGACACTGTATCTGCAAGATGTCAAATTTTGCCGTTGCGCTCACGAAAAGGGATCCGATCCAAGATTGGACACCGAGGACCCAACCCACAGCAACATCATGCAGGGTGTCTTTTCCGTTAACTGTGGTCGAAGAGCTAATAAAACAGCTGCCTGCAGCCATCAGGGCCAAGAGCTTAGCAATGAAAATGGTGTCAGGTGTCTCAGATGAAGCCCAGTATGCCTCGTATTCTTTAAGAAAGCTGGGTATGTGTAGGATGCGATAGGTAGTCTCGAAGGTCGATAGATATAGATTTAGTAGTTCATCCGCAATATTCCGAGGCGGAAGCATATCTTTAAGCGAGGACGGTGTCCCTTGCTTAACGCGTTCCTGGTCCTGTATTTCCCGGGATCTCAACTCGAATCTGAAATCCTTCATCTTCCGGTACTCTGAGCCCTCGGCTTTGAGATCCTTCTTACGGCCTTGGAGAAATGCCATCACATCATTGAGCTACCGCTGTTAGTTCGCAATCGTTATCTTTTTACTGGATGGTTCTTACAAAAGTGATTGTTAGCTCTCCAGTAGAGCGTCCGCGATAACGCGTCCTACCATTCCTACCGCGGAAGCACGCTCTGCCAGACAGGTTCATCACTTGATCCGAGATCCCATCTGCAGCCGTCCTAATTGGAAACTCCGGAATGCAGTCATATCCAGAGACTTCTGGGGGTTGTGTCGAGCCCCCTCTGACAAGCGCCTGTTCCAACATCTGCACACGATTTCGCAGCTCGTGGAGCTCGTCCGGCCGTCCCCGGGGTTTGGTTACGCGATTCCTCGAGTCAAAAACGTAAAGCCCGCTTCCTCCAGAACTGGCACCGTCACTCGGCACGTGCCTATGGTCTGATGGCGAGCTTTCCATCGTTGACCCAGAAGCTGCACTCTGAGATGGCTTGGGTGCGGAAAAGAGACATAGATCAGGCGTTTTGGACTTCACGCACTGTCCGCAGGGAAGCGATCGGTCACACTTCAATTTTCGGCGCCGGCATATTGTACACGATAGTGCTGGTCTGCGCCGGCGAGCCGCTGATGATTGAGTATGACTATCCTCCATATTTGATTCTTCTTTTATCTTTAACCAGGCTGGTGATCACGGTGGCCGGGGGTTATGAATTGAAACAGAAACGGAGTGAGATTCGGGGGATAGACAGGAGCACGGCTGCAATGATTAATTATATCAAGGAAAGGGAAAGGAGTAGGAACTCCCACCCAGGGTGCATCAGGTATTTATTAAATTAATCAGCTAAGTATTGTAATATACGTAGTGAAGGGCGCGCCCGCAGGATGAATACAGCGAATCTGCAAATGAGATGTTGTCGTTGCCTGTCGCTGTCCGAAAAGTCCGTCTCGGAGTTACCACATCCGTCCAATTCCGAGTCGGAGATAGCGGATGAGCCATGACAGAAAAGCACCGTCATCCGCCCCTGCCATTCACACTCGAGTCCACATCCACGCGTGGTGGCTTGACTCAGATCAGGAACAGTCGCACAGATGAGACATCCCCTGGTCTTTGTGGGCGACGGACTTGTCAGGCCCTCGGGACGACGACCGGGAATTGATTTAGTTAACTAACTACATCCCGGTGTCTGACAAAGATGAGCTTCTCACATGAAGGGAATGTCAGCTTAGTTACTGTCCAAGATGCCAACGCAATATTTTCCCAACATCATACTCGCTTTCCTTTCCCATTTAGAGGCTGAGACATGTCAACAATCCTCCTTGTCGGCGTATTTCTCTTCGCCGACGAAAAGATACCTTTATCTTCCGCGTTGAAAAATGCACTATATTTTTCCACAATCGCGTCCAGCGTGGTCACATCAATCCTCTACCCCCCCAGTTCTTTGACAATTGTTGTCTATGCCAATGCGTTCTTCTCGATCGCTTTCGCTCTTCGCGCTGTTGAACTGCTCGTCGTCAATCAGCCTTGCCAGTTGAAACGACTGCAAAGAATACATGCGGGTTCTACTTCACCTCCGGTGTATATTTGGCGGCCCATGCCACCAGTGTTGAGTTTCGCACGGCTCGTGTATGTCTGCGATCTGCTTCTCAACCCACGAGGTATCGGCTGGGCGCACGGCTCAAGGAAGTACCTGCCGCGATTGGAGGAACTGAACGTCAGGCCTGCAACTGAAAATGAGAATGGATTTTTTTTGGAGAAAAGGGAACATTTGGAGAACCCCAAATTCATTCTGAAAGATCCGACCGAAAACCGGGTCATGTTCCTAGCGAGAGAAACCTTAAAGCTCATCATCGCCTATGTCGTCTACGACACCTACAGAACGTTCTTCGGGCGTAACTATACTCAATTCTGCGCTGGTTTCCATTTTTTGCTGAATTCATCCAAGCTCCATCATGTCGTTATACAGTATCTAGGTCTTGAGATCCGAACGTCTCCTGAAACAAGTGTGAAATTTGTGCACCGGTTTCTCCTCCCCCCAGCGTGCTGGGCAGCCTGTTGGGCCTTCATCGATGGTATCCGTGCCACCGTCGCCCTATTCTCCGTGGGTGGGCTGTATATTGTTTCTCCATCTCTAGCGGCAGACACTTGGATGTACCCAGATGTCTTCGGTTCATTGCGAGATTTGTTTCGCTTTCGACTAAAAGGTAACCATACTCTTCAGCGAGGCTATCAAAAGAAAACCCAAGCTCTAACAACTAGGATAGACATCTGGGGCAAACTTTGGCATGATCTCTGTCGGCGTGCGTTAATTAGCAGTTCCACAGCTGTTGTTCCACTGCAGATACCTCTTGCTCTGCGCAGAGCCCTGATAGGAGTTTTCTCCTTCATAATATCAGGCTTCGTACATGCTGCTGGGACGTATGCTGTTAATAGGGACGCCCACGCCGTATTCATGATGATCGTCTTTTTCATACTCCTACCCATCTGTATTGTTGTGCAAGAATTGGTATCAAGGCACGTCCTTGAACGATATATCCCCAATTGGTGGATCGCGAGGGCTCTTTTTAGGGTTCTGGATGCGGCGTTCGTTCTCTTGTGGGGCTACCATACGGCGCCTTGGTTTTTCAGGTATAGCATGATCCCAGAGTCGTTGGCATCTATTCCTATACCTGAAACCTGGAGCATTTGGTAGCCGTCAAGATACAGTTTGATATATACCCGTAAGTCAAGACCACGCAAATATTTAATAGTGAAAGTATCATTATAGCTATATACAAAAGCCCAAACATGAAATTCGTGAACACGTTGACAAAGTCACCATCCTTCTACCCTCCTCATTTGCAGATGCATTCCTTCAACTGGCTTTGTCGTGACTGCACCTGCAATATGAATCTCCTGTTTGGGATCCTGCATCGCAAACTCAAACCTCCCGACAACTCCGGCAACCGCACACCTTAACTCTGCGCGAGCAAAGTCCTTCCCAATACAACTCCGCTGGCCATGCAAGAACGTAATCTGCGCGTAATTTGTCGAGGCGCCACCGTTATTGTTAACCCGCTTCTCGCCAGTCGCAGGATCCGTATCAACCCAACGTTCCGGCCGGAACACTTCGCCATCATCTCCCCAGAATTCAGGAGAGCGGTTAATAGCGTAGGGACATAGGACCACCAATGCTCCTTTAGGTACGGCTTTCCCGGCGATGGTAGTATCCCGGACTGCTTCACGGATGGTAGCAGGGACAGTTGGGTAGAGCCGAAGGACTTCCTGGCAGACGCCGTTGAGAAGTGGAAGGGATTCCAGGTCGGCGTAGGTGACTGGGTGTGTGGCTGACGGGATAGCGGAACGAATTTCAGCGCGCAGGCGTTCTTGAATCTCTGGGTGGAGTGTGAGCAGGTAGCAGGCCCAGGTGAGGGCGCTTGCAGTGGTTTCGTGCTACACTTGTTAGAATTTACACGGCATATAAAGGGTGGAGACGTACACCGGCTGCAAGAAAAGTGAGCATCTGGTCCACTAGCTCATCGTCGGTAAAGTCGCCGCTTATCATCATGGAGCCAAGAATATCAGCCTCGAGTTCAGCGGCTGTGGCCTTTGTGGCAGTCATCGCGGCTCTCTTCTCAAGGACAATCCCCTTGCAAAGATCGCGCAGGTAGCCAACCTCATCATCAACAACCTTGTTCAAACGCCAGGGAATGTGTTTGGCAAACCACTGGGGGAGGATGAAGTTGACGGCTAGGAAGGCCATTTTCTCTTTGCTTGGTTCTAAAATAGCGAGGAAGCTATCGGCGACCTTGTTCTCGGAGTTTTGGAGGGAGCGGAAGTCCCGTCCCATTGCAGCAGGGCCAATGATATCCAGTGTTAGGCGGCTATACAATTAGATTCTGTCAAGATATCAATGGCAGGTAGAAATACCTGGCCCAGACACTCATTTCCACCTTTCCCCATCCACTCCCTGGACTGGTACCCTCCATTGGATGCAAATCGGCTTCTTTTCCTAACTCCTCCAACAGTTGATCTGTTTTGTCCCACATAAGGCTATACAATGCGCGAACATTCTTCACATTGAACGACGGCATCAGCGCTCGGCGTTGTTTCTTGTGAGCTGGCCCCTCGGATAAGATCAAGCCAAACCCAATTATACGGGCCAGGAACTCGCGAGCTCGCCATGGCTTTTCGAAATCATAGGTGTTGGTGCTCATGACATCGAGAAGGGCCTGGTGGGTTGTCGGCAGAAGCTGACTCTTGTTGAGAAGGTCCCTAAAGTGGATGAGGCCATCGTTGGGCACAGTCTTCATCCATTCAAGAGGAAGGCGGCCTCGAGGGTTATCGAAGACAAAGCGGCCCATGTTGAAGTGGCCCTATTTGTATAAGTATATCTTGACAAACTGGTCCGTGAGGAACGCATACCGGAGCGCGGGGAAGATGACGCAAAGGGTTTAGGAAGAACGGCCATATCAGCCAGTTGTAGATCACTAGGAGGGCCAGGTTGACAGCGGCTGCGCCCAGTGCGACGGTTCGGAAAGGTGCATCCGTGAAAACGGAGCGCTGGAGGAGGAACGCCTCCACCAGAGTCAGGGCGAGAGTGGAAAGCATGCTGCTTAATCGCTCATCTCACTCAGTTTGGAAATAATGCTGGATGGTGGATTATGGGGGCAACCTCGGCTGATATAGTATGTAAATTTATGCAGGCGGCAGGATAACGACAGAATGATGGCATGACGAACGTGAAGGGCCTCGAGATGGTTGGGGAGATAAAGTTGAGATGGTGAGTTTCATGTGAAGAACCTCAAGTGATCGTCGTCGCAACCCTTTCCTAATGAGGAAAATCCACCACAACTTCCCCATATTGTGGCTTCAGCATGGAGAATTCAACCTCAAGACCCTCCCTATCCCTTGGAACCTCATGTGCATGCCTCGGCTCGTTGCGCCACTGGCAATTACACGAATTTCCAATTCCAATATAAAACGAACATCATGCAATTTGATCATGGCATCTAAACTTCCCCCCAGTGTCTTTGCGCCTGCGCTGCCTTCGTCATGTCTCTATCGTTCGAACACCTCTCGCTTGTCCTTGGACAATGGCTGCAGCCTGTCATTCAGCAGCTCCCACCATCGCTGCAGAATATTCTGCTGAATCCACTCGCTCCGAAAGCGTTTCTAGTGGTCCTCGCTCTTGCTCTTCTGCGCCTGACGAACCGCGCGCTCACTAGCTGGTCGCTGAACAATGGCGAGAGCGTTGGGAAGTGGAACGCCGACCGCGAACTTGTCCTCCTTACTGGAGGCTGTAGCGGTATCGGCAAGCAGATGGTGCTTGATTTGGCGAAGACGGGAACTCGGGTCGTGATTCTCGATATCCAGGAACCGACCTTTTCTCTGCGTGTGTTCTTAACCAAACCCCTCGAAAAAAAGAGTGGTTCAGTTACTAATTAAGTTAACCAGCTTCCGGTGTCACTTTCTACAAAGCCGATATCACCTCCTCTACCAGTATCGCCGAAGTCGCAGAAAAGATCCGCGCAACCCAGGGCGACCCCACGATCCTCATCAACAACGCGGGCGTTGGCCATGATGGCACGATTCTTGAGAAACCAGAGGCCAAGATCCGGCAATCCTTCGAGGTTAATACCGTCTCGCATTTCCTGATGGTGCGCGAGTTCCTACCCAGCATGATCGCAAAGAACCATGGCCATATAATCACGATCGCCTCCATGGCTAGTTTCATTGGTCTCGGAGACATGGTGGAGTACAGCTGTACCAAGGCGAGCGCACTCGCATTCCACGAGGGGTTGCGCCAGGAGCTGCGCCTCTGGTATAAGGCTCCCAAGGTTCGGACTACGTATGTTTTTCCAACCCCAGTTTTCGTGCTAGAGCTACAGCTAACTTGATGGCGCAGTATTGTACACCCACTTTGGGTTCGCACGCCCATGATCCAGGTCCTGACCGACGCGGGTTCGGAATTCAAGCAGCCAATCCTCACACCCGAAATGGTGTCTGAAGCAGTTGTGAAGCAGGTTGTTTCCCAGCGCAGTGGACAGATTATCCTGCCGTCGTACTACACGCCGCTCAGCATGTTGCGCGCGTTGCCCAACTGGTTCCAGGAATTCGTGCGAGGAGTGGGATCCAGAGATTTCATCAAGCTGCGCGAGTGGCAGCAGAAGCAGCTGAAGGAGCAGTAGCCTGTTATATTACAACTAGAGTGTATGCGCTTTTTCATTTTTATAAATTGTATCTATTATGATGTTATGAGAGGTCAAGATAGACAGGTTTCTACTAGTTCGCAATTTCACACTATACTTTTACTTGCATTAGGTTGCGTCTCATTTATTTCTCTAGGTCGGCCATATATATATATAGAATCGCAGTAAGTCAACTCTGTCAGCATATAATTCAATTAGAAAGACGGCCTAATACCACTAGTGGGGTTTTTAGTCGAATGGTAATTTGACTATTTCGATAGACTCGTCGTCGAAAGACTGCAAGAACAAAAAAGCATACATTCCTAGTAAAACATCTTAAAACATCATGATAGTGGTATTTGGGTATAAGTCATATGCACATCAATCAACGTAAGCACTACGGCGTTGATCTCGTCCATCTGGCTCGGCCATACACGCCTGTCGTATACCCGCGATCAGTTCTTCTCCAGCACCTCCCTAATAAACTTCTGGGCCCTCGCGCCCTGCTGTGTTTCTCTCTTGTCACCGAGATATAAATTGTAGACCGGCGCAACATGACCCTCGCCTTTGCCAATACAAAAGTCGACGCTGCCCTTGAAGCTGCCGCGCAACTTCGCGACGAAATCCTCGATGACTGGGAATAGAATCTCGCGCTCGCCAGCACACACAAGGATCTTGCGAATGGGTAACTTAGCAAACCATTCTGGCGGCGCAGTTGAAAGGTCAGTGTAGAAATCGTTTGGCGCGTCGCCGATATACCCTGATCCCCAGATCGACCCAACAACTGGGGTGATCAGGTCGCCGCGTGAGTCGACAACGCGGTCGCTGTGGTCGGGTTGCAAGTGCGTCCAGGGGGCAATCATAACTGCCCCAGCCAGGCGGGAGTTTTTGCCGAGTTTGATGGCATCAATTTCAGGGTGAGGGTGCGCCAGATGCGACAGGACACCGCAGACCAGGTTGCCTCCTGCAGAGTCGCCACCAAGCAACACATTGCCTATAGGGTGGCGCTTCTCGATAAGCACGTAGCGCAAAGCCTCGACGGCCTGTCGCAATTGCGTGGGATAGGTTGCCACGGGTGCCAGAGTGTAGGTCAGTGCAAATATTCCAAGCGATTGGCCACTGCGTTCACAGTCGGCGACAATGTTGGCGAAGAATTTGAAGTAGCCGATATTTGCAGGGAGAGCAAAGCCACCGCCTTGTTAATCGTCAGGAATCGCGCCTCTTGAAAGAGAACGGAGGAACCCACCATGATACCAGACTAGAATGTTCTTCGCGCCAGGATCACCAATCCAATGGCCCATTGCGCCATGGTCAAGTTTCACTGTCAGGGGCTTCTGTCGCACAGAGCGGATATAGCGGTTGTACACAAGGTTGCTCGTCGGGAGGACGTATCTAGAGGCGTTAGCAAACAACTACTGCGACACCAGCAAAGCACACATACTGCATCTGAGCCACCGTCAAACGCGACGTCAGCTTGCGGAAGACGGCATAGCCAATGTGCAGCAGCCAGTGCGTGGGATAC